AAAAGACGCGAGCCGTCGCTGTGGTACGCACGGCGCGATGGGTCCAGGTCTAAGCTACACACTAGCAGTGATAGCTAGTCAGACTTTGAGCGTGTGCCTACCGTATTGGGCAAGTCTTCATCCATTTTCTTTTTTTTTTCTTAGGGCACAGTCATTTTTATTTTTATTTTTTCTCTTCTTCTTCTTTTCCCCTGGCCTGCGCCTGTTGTTTCTTTTCCTATTTTTCTTGCATTTCGTTTTGCGACCGTTCCGACGGAAGAAGCCGACCGAGCTCAGGGCCAAAATAATTAAAAGGCCTGTCCCGCGCCCCCCTCGCGCTCGCAGGAAAGCTCGTGAGACCAGGGCAGGCAAGGGTCATCGTCATTACACAACTGCGAGAGCAGGTGCTGAAGTACTACTACGTACTAGTAAGCACATGATCAGATCCCCTAGATATCTCCGGTCCCTGTCATCCTCGGCGCAGCTCGCTGCTTCATGGTTTTGTTCTAGCTAAGAAGGGCGAAAGATGTCGCCGTAACATAGCACTGTACTGTGCGTGCGTGTACGCACAAAAGGCCGAACTAGCCGACCAGACAAGACGGACTCCTGCATGGTCACCGACGCTTCCCGCGGTCCGTCTTTCCTTCACTTTTCTTCCGAGCCGCGAGCGGCTGGTCGAACAGCAGGGAACGACAGAAGCTAAAAAGACTTGTGCAGCGGTTCAGAACTTTCATGTTGACGAGCAGACGAGCGATTCGCTTTCAATCTTGAGATCCGCCTCTCAGCTCTCTTGTCAAAAGCCAGCTAGTGTAGTAGTAGTAGTAGTAGTAGTGTAGTGGTGAACCGGGGGCAATTCCGACTTCCGACTACTGTAAACTAGTGAGCTTGACTTTGTTTCCTCCGCGTGCGTCCGCCTCCCCCGCACGCAACGGCTGGCTAGCCTTGGGAACATCGACAGAAAGAGCACGACGACATGTCCTGGACATTTAAGAGCACAGACTCGTTCCACCCAACGCTCTCCCTAGCGCTCGGATCTGGCCCCACCGATGCGCCTGTGCCGTCGTACTGCCAGCCGTACATCCTCGTCCGGCTGCCGCCCGCCGTCTTTATAGACCCCCACACCTTCCCAGCCCACTCGGCGCTCACCTTTCTCAACTCGTCGCTCGTCGACTTTCGAGCCGTCGACTTTTCCCGCGTCGAGCTCGAGGCGGCCGTGGGATGGAGCGACCCCCGCGGCGACGTGCGGCGGCGCCGGGGGTCCGCTTCTTCAGCAGCCGGCAACGGTGGGGCAGTCCGGCGTGTGGGTGACAAGCCAGGCAAGAGGCGCGCAGTCAAGAAGCCGGGCAAAGACACCTTTGTCGTCGTGGGGCAGGAAGATGAGGAAGACGAGATGGGTGGAGGGCAGCGCAGGCTCAGAGCCACGAGCGAGTCGAAGCGATCAGACGCGCGCGCGCCGTTGGCTCGCGAGCGCACGGCCGTCCTCCTGGCCCTCGACCGGGATTTCGACCGTAGGGGTCAAGACCAGAACAACAAAGACGAGAGCGACGAGGGTGATGACGAAGGCGATGACGAGGAAGCTCTGACAGGAGTGAAACGTTCGTCGTCGCCCACAAGCAGCAGCAGCAGCAGCAAGGAAAAGACGACCATCGACATTCCCCTGCATGTACGCTACTTGCCCCCGCGCCACGCTTCCACCCCACCAAGCCCATCCGAGATCCTCGACCGGATCCTGCACCCGTCGACGTCTGGCCTCTACGACGACGTCACCCTTTCCCTGCCCGACGTCCTCCTCGCCTGCACCTACTCGCCCGCCTCGACCCTGAGCCCCTTTGAAGCCGTCGAGCCCGACGAGCTCCTCCCACCGCCCCACTCGCACCTCACCCTGCCGCCCCACCTCGCCTCGCTCGAATGGTTCCGCCACCGCCCGGCGCCCCAGACAAGCTCGAGGCTCACCCTGACGCTGCCTCAGGGCGATGCATCCCTCGCAGGCTCTGTCCAGCAGCTCACGCTCGCCCTCTTTGTCGTCGTCGCTCTCTACATTGCCGTCTCGCTGCGCTCGACGCTGAACCGTGTGCGCCAAACGCAAGCGCAGTGGGAAAAGGTCATGTTGGGCAAGACAAAGTAGTCACCCGCTCTCTCCCGTCTTCAATCATAATGCATCATGCGCTCTTCTCTCTTTCTGTTACTCAATCTTTTCCTTGAGTCACAGTCACACTAACCTGCCTACCCAAAGGCAAAAGGAACTGAGACTGAGAAAGAGTCACTCCTGTATTAACATTAATCGCGTTTCTCATCATTGGCCTCTCTTGCCACTCTATAGACTAACATCGCCCTGCCTGTCCCTGCTCTCATCGCCATCTGCCGAGAGGGCATCAAGCACGCTGACGTCGACTGGGTCGTAGTCTGGCGGTCTCCTCGGATCGTAGTAGCCTCCCCTGACTGCTCCTGCCCCCACTGCTCCTCCTCCTCCACCTGCCCTCTTGTTGCCCGCCGAGCCTGAAGAGACGATCCTGCTCGCGCGCGGGAGACCCGAGACGAACCTGCTGCTGCCACCACCGCCAGCGGGTCCCGCGGCCGAAGACGACGGGAACGTCGAAATAAAGCTGCCGACGGGACTGACCGTCTGGGCCGTGTAGCTCGTGTCGCCCGCCGAGGTGTTGCCGCCGCCGCTCGTCACCCGGCTCGAGCTCGACATCTTTCTCCACGCGTCGGCAGACGACATGGCTGAGGAGGGCGCCGCGCTGGAGCTTGAGCTCGGCGAGTGTGGCGGCTGCTGTTGTTGCTGCTGCGGCTGCGGCTGCGGCTGCCTGCGAGAAGAGACGGGCTGCGGAATCGAGGAGATGGAGACGTTCCTCGAGACGACCCGCGGGGACGAGGTCGAGAGCGACGTGGCCGCCGTGCTCGTCGTGCTCGGCATCCTCCTGGGGTTGTTTCCGCTCCCGAACCGCTCAGCGAGGCCGGCTGACCGGGGCGGCGAAGTAGGCAGCCGGCGGACACCCTCAATGGAGCGATCCGCAGACGACGTCGGACCGGCTAGCACGGTGGATCCTGTGCTGGTCGACTGGGACATGGCGATGCTCGACGGAATCGAAGTGGAGCTCGACATGGGCATTCTCGAAGGGCGAGGAAGAGGCGAGCCCGTATCATGAGTAGAGGCAGTAGCAAGAGCTGAAGCTGAAGCTGGAGCCGGAGCCGTAGCTGGAGCGGAGGCAGGGACAAGGGCCTCGGACTCGTGCGGCAAGGGCTCCGAGTCGGTGTTGTCGCCAGTCTCTTCCGGCGCTTGCTCGTCGTCAAGCTGCCATCGCATCTCGTCGTCCTTGACATCGAGGCCAAGAGCAGAAGGGTACGAGTGCAACGACGGCGACCGCTCTGCTGGGTCATGGTGGTGATGATGATGATGGTGCTGCTCGACCGGTGGATGCAGGAGCGAGTTGCCCCCAGCTTCGTATGATGATGAGTCGCGGTACTCGATGGGGTCAAAGTCCTCACTGCGCATCGAGTCATATCGACGGTCCTCGTGGTCATCTTCTTCGTCGTCGGCCGCACCAACGTCGTCGTCGTCGTCGTCGTGGTGAAGCAAGACCTCACGGTCATCTTCATCGTCAAAGTCGAGATGCTCATGCTCGTGGGGCAGGTGTCCATTGGTAGCCGTAGGCGCAGACGAGGTACCCACATGGGCATGGGAGCTCACGCTGCTGCCGCCGGGAATATCCAGCATCCGTCTCGACAGGGCCGGCTGCAGGTCTTCCTGCAGGATGCTCACTGAGCTGGCCGTCGGGCTCGACAGTATGCCAGGTCGTGCACCAGCACTCGCCGCATTGTCGAGCGCCTTTTGCACCTTTTCCAGCAGCTCTGCGATCCGGACGCGGTCCGCATGCTCGACCTCGAGCTGGCTCTCGAGGGTCCCGATGCGAGCCTCCTTCTTGGCCTGCTCCTCTTGTCGGAGGTCGAGCTCGCGCTGGAGCTCGAGGACGCGCGTGACTTCTTGGTGCAGATCCGACTCGAGCTGCTCGTTGCGGCTGCGAAGCTCTGCATTGTCGAGTCGGGACCGTTGGAGCATGTCGAGCAAGCTGTCGCGCTCCAGGGCATGACGTCGATACACGGCATTCACCGAGGACTGCTGCTGTTGGCCATTGCCGCTTGGCGAAGAGATGCCCCATCCAGCCTCCCCTGTTCCTCTAGCTCCTCCTCCTGCTCCGCCCCCTGGTGCGCTGGCGATACTGCCTGCATCAAAGAATGAAGACAGGTGGCCGCCGCTGCCATCGAGGGAGGACAGCTGGCCGCTGTGCCTGGAAGCGTGGGCAGCCGCCCTCTGAGTGCCGCTGTGGTGGTGACCTTGGTTGCTCCCTCCTCCTCCAGCAGGCGTGTTGGACATGCTGCCGCCACTGTTGGCCGCCGCAGCGACAGCGAGGGCCTGAGCCACGGCGACGTTGCTCGCCAAGCTGGTCCGGCTGCTCGGTCGGTTGATGTGGTCCTCGAGCCGGTGCCAGTCCCTCCACGAGTCGCGGCCAGCCGGGGTTGGGCCTTGCTGGTGTCGCAACGCGGCATTGGACGTCGGCGTAGGCGAGGCACTCGACAGGAACGCACCGATGCCTTGGTTCGACTGCGCAGACGACGTGCTCACATGTCCTCGTGTGCCCCGCCGTTGACCGTCAAAGTTTCGCATCGCTCGTGACTCAATGATGGGCGAGTTGGTGATGATAGAAGACGAAGCCTGTGAAGCACGTTTGCTGCCACTGCCACTGCCACCGCCGCTACCGCCGCCACCGCCACCGCCAAGGCCATGGAGAGGCAGGCGAGATGCATTGGGCGAGGTGCGCAGGCGTTGCCATTCGGGGTGAGCTGACTCGATTTCCGACGACCGCGGCGTCCCCTGCGTCTTGGCAGTGGCTGACGGCGAGGTGCCTGTACCCACGGCCGAGCCAGTGGCCGACGTGGCGCTGGTCCGCTTCGTTGACTTTGCTGAGCCAGACGTTTGCGTTCGACTTCGTCCAAATTGAACAGCAGCCGAGGAGGCATCCATGGCGACAGGGACAGCAGTAGCAGTAGCAGCACCAACACCACCAACAGCAACAAGAGCACTGTCAATGTCCTGGTATGGCCTGCGGCGTGGAGGCGACTCGGAAGCGGCCCTGCGCGAGCCAGTGGACAGGTTGCTGGTGCGGCCACGGAGGTACTGCACCTTTTCGCCCATCTCCTCGGACAGGCCAGGCAGGCCAGCGACGAGTGCGGCCGACGACGAAGAGGTAGTCGACGAGGCAGGATTCATCATGGCCGCTCTCGAGAGGGCATCGCTCTCGCGCAGCAGCGCCTGGCGAGCGGCGACGCGCGGATTTACAAATCCAGTAGAGGCTGAGCCACCGCCGCCGCCGCCCTGCGACGGACCAAAAAGATACGAGGGAGGGGCCGGAGCCGCGCTCTGTGTGCGTTCGCGAGGCAGCGCATAGCCTCGCTCCTGCAGGGGCACCTCGCCCGGCTCAGCGGGGGCCCGATACTGCGTGGGCTGCGACTTGGTGCTCCTCCGTCGCCAGGACGCGGCCGGCTCCTGCATTGGCGAAGGCGCAAAGCCAGCAGCGGAGCCGACGAGGTCGCACATGCGCGCATAGGCCTCCTCGACATCCTGCATCGACTCCTGACGGTTGCGAGCAGCTCTCATGGGCGTCGACTCGCGCTGGCGTGGCACGCCTTGCCCATCCTCCAGCACCGATGGCCTTGAAGGCGTCAACAACTGCGCTTCCTGCTTCGGCTCCCTTGTCTCGACAGTCTCCAGATCGCCGCCGCCCTCCGTGTCGTCGTCCTCATTGGGAATCTGGGGCAGCTGCGACGAGCTAATAGCGCGCCGGACCTCTTTGACGGCATTCTGCAGCGCGCTCTCCTGCTCCGGGGGCAGCGTGACGCGCGACAGCTCGCCGTCGTCTTCAATCACGCCAAACTCGTTTCGGCCTTCGTCGTCAAACATCGAGATGCTCACGCCGCGCGGCGTCACGATTCTTCTTCGCAACGAGGCCGGGTCAAAGCTGCCTTCGAGATTGTGACGCCGAAGCGCAGCTTCGACGGCCGCCAGGTTGCTCTCGATCTCCGAGACAGAGATAGACTGCTCGGCTCCATGGTCGTGGTCAGTGGTAAAGACATCGTCAACATCGTTGTCGTCTCGCCGCGGAGAGACCCTGGCTCGAGAAGACCTGGGTTGGCCCCTGCTAGACACCGCTGCAACCGACGCCAGCTGGGGCGAAGAAGGCGAGCCCACGGCTGGTGGCCGCGCAAGTGACGAAGATGCGTGGTTTGCCTCTTCGTCGCCAAAGGTGTATCGTCTCCTCTGGATCGACGTCGGCGACGAATCATCATCGTCGCCGGCGCGCTCTCGGCCGAAGTCGCCGTCAAGACCATCGCGGCCATCAAGGCCATGTAAGGGAGCCTGTTGCTCGGGATAGCCAAACGAGTTGGACGTGTCCCCACTCGCATTGGCGCTTCCCCTGCTGACACGCCCGGTGCGCGGCGAGGCGGGCGCTGCAGCCAGTGGTGGTGGCCAGCGTGTGCTCGAGTCGCCGAGCTCGCTATCGTAGTCCGAGTACTTGCGCTGCTCGAGATTGTGGATCAGATCCGAGAGCGGGCTGACGCCGGGCTTTGTCGGTGTATCTGCCGACAATTGGCCCCTCGGCGTCGAGAGAGTGCTGCGGTCGCCCGAAGCACCAGCACCAGCAGCGGGCGTGGCACCGGGAAGCAGGGAGAGAGCCTGGCGTGAAGATTTCGACGGCTGCGAGGGCGTCGATGCTGCCTCGGCGAGGGAGCCCTCGAGGTACTGGGCCCTGGGAGACGACTTGGCAGTCTTGAACGAGGACATGCTGCCCGTCGTCGCCGACGAGCCAAAGCGTCGCGATGATGAGTCTCGGGGGTGGCGCTCCTCGTCGTCCCTGTGGGCGCCCAGGCCGCGGCCCGTCAGACCGTCCCTCTCGTCGGCATCCGTCTCGGCGTCTCTCTCGGTCTCGGTCTCGGTCTCCATATCCGTCTCGGTCTCCGTCGCCGTCTCATTTTCAGGCGCCGTGGTGAGCAGCGAGGCACTATTCCTCGACCCCTGCCACATCCTGGGCACACTCGCCCGTGCCGGTCCCACCTTTCGGCCGTTGGATGACGAGGGGGACGATAAATCCTCCTCCCTTCCAGGCGAGGTGCTCAGCGCCACGCCCGTGCCTTCGTCAGTCGAGGCAGTCGACGGTCGCTCTGCAGCCGCTGCGGCGGCCGCCAGTGTCCCGTCGGTAGACAGTCTCGCGAGGTCAGGAGGCAGCCGCGGCAGGTACGCCGGGGCAGCACCCCCGCCACCACTCGTCCTTCGCAACGACGAGTACGGCGAGGCTGGTGCAGTCGAGAGGGCCTGCAGCGTGAGCGACCGCTCGGGCGATCGGAGGCTGCCCAAGCCGGAACGAGGGGGCGAAGCGGTCGCTGTTCTGCGCACGGGCGTCGAGGGGGGCGAAGAGGTGCCGTTCTCATTTGCCCTTTTCACCTGCTGCGCCAAGACAGAGGAGCGCCTCTCGCCGTCGGCTCTCGACGTCGCAGCCGGAGATGACGCACCTGCACCAGCGGGCAGCGACTGGCGCGCTGCACTCGCTGAATGGTGCTGGCGTTGCACTTCGACTCCCTCAAGGTCGACCTTTGGTCGGGGCGGCGTCTTTGCACGAAAGGGAGCAAAGATCGACGAGCCCTTTGAAGGCTTGCTCTGCTGAAGCTGCTGCTGCTGCTGCTGCTGCTGCTGCTGCTGTAGCTGATCCCTTGCCCTTCTTGCATCGACAGCAGCGTCCCGACCGACAACTCCACCGATCCCCGTGGGTCGCGCATCCGTCTCCTCGATCCTGCCCAGCCTGTCTGTCTGAGCCTCTGCCTCGTGAATCACTGGCGGCCGGCTTGCCTGCGACGTCGACTTGGCCCTCCCGCCAAACATTCTCCGGACCGATGAGGAGAAGCTCGAGTGTGTCTTTGGCGAAGTCGATGGCCGAGCTGATGATGACGGTTGTGGTGCAAATTGGCTGCAGTATCATCTATTCTTAGCTCCTTGTACCCAAACCAAGCAGGGTGAACTCGCTGCTTTTCTATAAGTGCACTTACCTCCTTGAAGCGGTCTCACGGGCTTGGTGAATGACCCGCAGGCTGGCACTCGCCTCTGACTCTGCTCGCTTGCCCTCGGCTCTTCGTACGGACCTCGGCCCGCCGTCTGCCTCGAGGAAGTCGAGCGTCGACTCTCGCTTCGAGTTGGAGCGGTAGAGTGGCAGACCGGATCTGCTCGACGAGGGCTCCGCCGCCGCCGCCGCCGTCGCCATATCGGAAGATATCCCGCTGAGCGTCACCGACTGGTTGGCGAGATGGGAATGGTTGACGATGGTCGCCCTGCTCGAATGCGGGCCCGAGAGCCGCGAGCTTGACGGCGCTGCGACGGGAATCGCAGAAGCTCGAACACGGGTGGGCGACGAGGGGGAGACGTAGATCTTGGAGGTAGATGTGGAACTTGAGGCTGCTGCTGGCATGGCGCTGTCGTGGGATGCGTCTAGGCCACTGAGGATATCCGAGAGGGGATCCTGGCCGAGCGACTTGCTCTTTGCCTTGTGCGATCGCCGTGAGCCCGACTGCGACGGTGTCGATGCGCTGTCGGCCCTGCTGCGCCGAGCAATGGATCCGAATCCAAAGGTGAGGATCCTCTTTGTTGTCGCGGATGCTCCCGTCTCCTTTTCGCCCTTCTTGCCCTCGTTCTTGTGGGAAGAGAACGCGGGTGACGCGGCGGGGTAGGTCACTGGCCTCGGCTGGAGGACGATGCCCAGCGGTGGAGGTGGCCCAGGGTCAGAGATGACGTTGCGCCGTCGGGCCGAGAGGCGAGAGGCCGACGAGGAAGACGACTGCGGCGAGTGGTCAATCGAGTGACGACGATGCTCCTCTCTCGGGTGCTCTTCTACGGCGGCAGACGAGGATCGCTGGGCTCGATGCACGACGCTGGCGATGCTCCGCACAACGACACTGCTTACAGACGAGCCTCTTCGTCGCGACCGCGGCGGGGGAGAAGGAGGCGGTGACGGTGGCGTGGACTCCTCTGGCGCGTCGACAAAGACGTCGTCCTGCCAGCTGGCCGAGTCGCCTCCGGATAGCTCGGTGTTGGCCTGGCTCGGGGCAAACGAGGCTGTGGAAGCGTCGGATGCCCTCTGTCGGCGCTTTTTAGAACTGGCAAAGGGCGACGACAGCCGCTGTCCAAGGCTCTGCCGCGGGGGAGAGCGGCGGACGTCGAGGCGCGAGAAGCGGATCCGGCTCTTGCCAGTCGAAGTCCTCCCTGAACCAGCGGGGGCCGATGGCGGGGGCGCGCTTAATGAAGAAGACGGGGGCGGCTGCGGTTCGTCGCTGCTGCGCCTGAGCTCCGACGAGGGCAAACCCTTGCGACGGGGCGACTTCTCCGAGTTGAACTCGCCGCTCTTTTTACTGCCTGGCGACCAGCGCTTCGTTGTCCCAACCAGGGCCTGGCTTGCTCGACTGACGCTGCTCGAGGCCGGTTGAAGAATGCTGCCCCGAACGTTGCTTGCCGTCGAGGAGGTGGAGGCCTCCTTCTGCCTGGACTGGGCTGCGTGCAGCAACTGCGCCCGGACCTGAGCCTGTGCTCTTGCAGCAGCGGCCGCTGCAGCGATGCGCTCCTGCCGATTGGCCGATCTGAGCGAGCTGGGCGTCAGAGGAGCAAAATCAGCGGGGCGTGCTTCGTCGCTGATTGCCTTTGGCTTCTGCTGGATTCCTCCCTTGCCGTTGTTGCTCTCGCCGACGCTCGACCACGTCTGCTGGGGTCCGTCAACCGTAGGACTGTTGATTGGCGTGCCGAGGAGAGACCCGCTCCGGCTGCGGCTGCTGAGGTCCAGCTGCGAGATCTGGCTTGCTCTTCGAAGTTCCTCGGCCCTCCTTCTGCCTACCGAGCCCGAGGGCGACCGAGGTGGGGGTGGAAGCGACGTCGGCTCGGCCGCGTCGGGTTGCCAGAGGCCGTAGAGGGGAGAGGGCGAGGCCGGCCAGTCGGGACTGCGGTTGCCAGCAAATATATGTGAGATAAGCTGTCGCTTATTGTCACGCTGCTGGGGCAGTTGCTGCGGTTGCGGTTGCGGTTGCGGTGAATGCGACTGCTGCTGCTGCTGCTGCGACTGCTGCTGCTGCTGCTGCGACTGCTGCTGCGGCCGATGGAGTGGTTGGGATGATGTGCGCGGCGGTGTGGTGGGGTAGTCGCGCCGGTCCAGATATACCGTCGGAGGGCGCCCTGAGAGTGTAGTCGCTTCTGCTGCGGTTGAGTAAAGGAGAAGTGGAAGGAAGGGGGGTGGGAGCGGCAGAGATGCAGTGAAGAATCAGGAAAGGAGCGAAAGCATGGATGAATGCAGTGGGATTGGAGAGGGGGAAGGAGAAGAGGAGAGAAGGGGAGAGGCGGATGGGTGGATGGATGGGAGGGAGAGAGGAAGCAACGTTAGCCGTCGAGACTGCACAGAGTAGGATGGATGGATGCGACTGAGTGGTTAGAGATGAAGGGAGGAGTGCGATGCAAAAAGTGGGCCAAAGCGCGTCGAAAGCGCGCTACCCGTCCCGCTTCAGAAATTGAGCGGACCGTGCAAAAAGGCGAAAATGAGGAAGAAAAGAGAGAGAAGAAACAAAGAACCGCGAAACAGAACGAGAGGAGGCCTCGGAGCTATCACTGCTACTACGGCTATTGTTGCTGCTACTCACTGTTTTTCTCTTTGTCCTGCCTGCTGTGATAAAGGCGCAGATCAGAGCGGGGAGGCCGAGCGGGCAGCGAATCCACGCGTCGAGGCTCAACTGGGCCTTGCTGGATGCTGTTATCTTTGTCGCCAGCTTTCCTGGCGCTAGCGCCGCTGCTGCCTGTCTTTTTGGTGATGGTGCTCCCACGGAGAAAGTGTGCAAACGACCGGCGGCTGGATCGCCGCCTGAGCGAGGAGGAAGAAGATCTCTGCCGACGAAGCGTCCTGCTTCCACCTGCAGCCGTGGCAGAAGCAGCAGTGATAGGCCCCGCGGCGTCTGGGATGACGCGATGGGACGCTTTCGAATTGCCAAGCAGAGAAGCACGCTGGGGTCGCTCCTCGTGCTGCTTGTGCTCCGGACGCCGTTTGTACTCAGAATGCAAGGGGCCCTGGGAAGATCTGGTGCTAGCGTCTTCACGTCCTGCTTGATTTGTTTGCCGGCCCAGCGGCTGCTGAGACAAGGAACGAATAGAATAGGCCGACGAAGAAGTGGCCCTGCGATGGAACTTGACAAACGCCGAGGAAGCTTTTGTTCTACGGTCCGCTTCGACTTCGCTCTCCTCCTCCCCCGTCGTCGAGGATCGCTCCCTTCCTCGCTGTCGCGACGGGTAAGACCCAGGCATCGCGACGCGTCGCGCCCGGGAGTTTCCTTTTCCGAGGGGTTTCTTTTTTTTTTGGTACGCTTGAAAACCTTCTTGGGACGAGAGGCACCTGGACTGAGTGTCTCAGAGGTGCGTCTTGGTCGCTGACAGGTCGATACAGTGCTACCAGATCTTCTGGTCGTCGGTTGAGATTGAACCTTGTTTCGATGGCGAGCGTCTGATGGTGCTTCCTGTCGCTGCCCGTGTTACTCCCCTTGCTTGACAGTGTCGTTGAAGGCGTTTATTAATTTCGTGGATGGTTTGTCGTAACAATTTGCCGTTTTTGTTGAGCAAGGGGCAATGATGAGTAGCTCGTTTGTTGAAGCGTTATTAGGCGTCGTTGGCGCTGGTCGTATAGAGCATTAGATGGTCGTATTGTGATGTCCTTCGTATGGTCGTCGTTATCGAGCTATTGCTTCCAGGTTGTGTTCTCCGTGGCGATGTGTCGGCGTTGAAGGGTCTGCTAGAGAGTCATTAGAGAGAATGAGAAGAAGCTACTATTAGAGGGATCTAATAATTATATGGATCTGAACCGAGAGCGGCTCAGGTGTATGGATGGATGGATGGATGGATGGATGAAAAGGTGGATGGATGGGAGGGGAGGATGAGAGGGGGGAGAGTCGAAAAGGTCGGCTATTTACAAAAAGAAGATCTAGAATTGTGCCACGGATAGACACGCCTCTGCTGCGGAGCTATGCTGCGATGCAGTTAGAGGGAAAGCTGCGCAACGGGATATACGCAGAGCCTCATGACCCGGAGAAAGGCGGACAGTCCAGTGGATGGATGGATGATTGGCGATGTCGGTCTAGTAGTCCTCGAGGGTGTGATGAGAGTGTGATAGAGGTGAGGGTATGTGGACGTGGGTCAACAAATCACCCTTCTGTCCTCGACACTCTGGCGACGAAGCTCTCTATCGTTTAAAGAGAGAGGCGAAGTCTAGATAGATGGAAGAGAGAAACAGACGAGAATGACTAATGGATGAGGGCGGATGGGTGAAGAATGGATGGCCCAGACCAAGAATAAAGTCGTCACTACCACGTTATCGAGCGGTTAGGGATGCATCGTCCCTGTTCCGACAACTATTTCTTTTTTCGTTTTCACCCTCCCGCATTTTATTTCACTCTCCGTTTTCCTTCCTGGCCCGACCCCCTCTTTCTCTTTCCTGACATGCCGCCATCTTTCCACCCTGAGATGCCTCTGAGCGTGCCTGCAAGGAGCCGGGCAAGATCATAGGCTGGCTAGATTCGCTAACTTGATCCGTCATGGCATCAATCTGGTCACATCCCAAGGAAAATCCGCATGAAAGAGGCAACTGTGGGATGATGAAAAGGAGCAGGCCGGGCCAGGAAGGTAAGAAAAGGCAGGTGCAGCGAGAATCACACTTTAGGCAAGGCCGATCCTCAACGTGCAGTGCCGTTCATTTCCCGTAGCAAGCAAGCCAGGCACTTGGTCCGCCCAAAGCAAACAATGGCAACAAGTAATATATAAGAAGCCGTAGATAGTAGTAACTTATTGGCGCGGCCACGCACTTTATTTTAGAGCCAAAAAGAACCGGCCGGTAAAAGTTGCAAACAAATCGAGCGTGCAAACAAATCGAGGAGCGAAGATTCAGGGGCGGCACAAAACGCAACACTTAAAGCGGCGACCGGTTGAATTCGTCCTTTCGTCACGTACGCGTGCGACGACGCTCCCGCCCGTTCCTACAATTTCATTACTTCCATTTGGATCAGAGAGGCGTCCAAACCTTGTCTAATCTGAGGCGGCCAGGCTCCCCGAGGCAATCACTGGATACGGAAGATAAGGTTTCACGGATCCTTGTGCAGCAACAGGGCATAGAGTACAAGGGGCAGGAGAGCAAGTTAAACAGTTGTGGTATTAGGGGGCCTTCTTTCGGTCCAATCTCCTATTGATTCCTCCGAGAAGCGCCTGCGAGATGGCGACGATGTGAGCATCAAATTCTGCAAAAGCTTCGTGTTCAGTCACGTGCAACACACCTTGATGAGCAGGCTGGGGTCGAGGGCCATGCCCTGGTACGGCACCGTGTCGACAATGTCACGGATATGATGCTGGGAGACGAGGGCATCGTCAAGCTCTTCGAGGGCCTCCTTGGCTTCTGCATCATTGCCCACCTATGAGAAGAGAAGGAGGCAAATTAGCTGCTTGTCCCGCTGCGCAGAGCGACTGAGGCATCAGTCAATGCGCACCTGGACAAATTGTATGCCGATCTGGGCGAGCGGGAAGCGCCCCTCGTCCAGACGCCTCGCACAGGCCACGATGACCGATTCCGGATCGTCCGTCGCAGCACCGTCGGTGATGCAGACGTACTGGGACCAAATTAGCACAGAAAGGATTAGGAAGAAAGTGGAAAAGCGAACTCACGTTTCTCTTCTTGGGCTCCTTGCCAGACTTGGTCGCCTTGTACCGTTCAATCTCGTCCATGTATTCCAGGAGCAGCATCTCAATCTTGGTCCCCATCGGTGTCATGCCCTCGGGCTGGATGGAGTCGAACAGCTGTTTGACCGCCACAGGGCTGGTGCAGTCGAGCAAAGACTTTTCCGAGTTGAGGAAGTGGATGTCTAGCCCGTCATCGTCGTACTTTGCTGCGACTGTAGGGCGAGAAGGAAGACCACAGGGCAGCCGAAGGCGACATTAGTAAGACAGACACGAAATGAATATGAAGCTGTCTCTACTCACGTTCGACCATTCCCGCCAGCGCATCTCGAGCCTCCTCCCAGCGAGATTGGCCCATGCTTCCATCGGGACGCTCATTGACATTCATGCTCGACGAGTCATCGACAATGAAGATTGTGTCAAAGTCACGGAGGAACTCAAGCTGGTTCTCCTTGATCGATGGCTGGCGCGCCGAGCCAGCTGCAAGCGAGGATGAAGCCGAAGTCGCCATCTCTTGCGAAAGCCTCCTCGCATGGGCAGACACGCTGTCCTGCCTCCTCACGCCGGAGGCATTGCTGCTGGGCGGCGAGGAGGCGGCACCGGCAGCACTGGAGATGTACGAAGCCGGGTCCGCATGAAGAATGTTCTGAGGAGGACGTGGGAGTGGAGCCGTGCCCGACTGTGGCATGTAGCTGGTACGAGGGTCCGCAAAGGGGTTGTTGGATGCAGGCTGAGGCTGCTGGTGACCGGGTGGGGGCCCAGGCGGCGGAGCATACTGCTGCGCATGCGACGGAGCGCGTGTGTTCGGGTCCGCCACGGGCTGATACGGTGGCGGCGGCGGCAAGCCAGCGGTAGGGTCCGCATTGGCGGCGGGATTGCGGCTATTTGGCTGACGACGGCTGCTCATGGTGGTTGGTGCAAGTTGCCTACTAAACATGTGGTTCGATGAGGCGGTACCATTAGTGCACGGAGGAGTGGAGGCTCGGCCGAAAGGCGGTGTCACCGGATCTGTGTCCTTCCCTCGTTCACGTGTTCGCACGTGCTTCTTGAGAAGCGAAGCCATCTTGCTCCTTCTTTATCCACCGATTCAAGCCTCTGCTCCTGACAGTGGCACCTTCCATTCTCGAAACGCTCTCACCATCACTACTCTTTGGAGGACAACCACCCTCTCGCTTGGCGTGCCACTTCGTATGAGCACACCGGTAAACAGACTTAGTCAACAAATTCGTCACCTCGCTTCTACCCCTTCGAACATGTCCGAATTCAAGCCTCGCCAGGTTGGCGCCGCCAACACTCTCGGTGAGTTGCTCGGGCACTCTGCTTGCACCACCTTGGAAGACGTAGCTTAGACCAACCAATCCCTCCCTTCTACCTGGTGTCCCTCTTGAAAAACTAAAGACTGGCGTGTCTGGCTTGAGAGCAAGGCTGGACAGCCGCTCTCGGCGTGGCACGACATTCCGCTCTTTGCCGACGAGTCCAAGACGATCCTCAACATGGTTGTTGAGATTCCTCGCTGGACCAACGCGAAGTGCGAGATCTCCAAGGAGGAGCCGCTCAACCCCATCAAGCAGGACACCAAGAAGGGCAAGCTCCGCTTTGTGCGCAACTGCTTCCCCCACCACGGCTACATCTGGAACTACGGTGCTTTCCCTCAGGTGCGTTTCACTGTACATGCGCGAGGTTGGGTAGTCCATGAGGCTGATCAGACCTTATTTCTTGTCGATATAGACCTGGGAGGACCCCAGCGCGACGCACCCCGACACCAAGGCAAAGGGAGACAACGACCCGCTGGACGTGTGCGAGATCGGCGAGCAGGTCGGCTACGTCGGTCAGGTCAAGCAGGTCAAGGTCCTCGGCGTCATGGCCCTCCTTGACGAGGGCGAGACTGACTGGAAGGTCATCGTCGTCGACGTCAACGACCCTCTGGCCCCCAAGCTCAACGACATTGAGGATGTCGAGCGCCACCTTCCCGGCCTCGTCCGCGCCACCAACGAGTGGTTCAGGATCTACAAGATTCCCGACGGAAAGCCCGAGAACCAGTTCGCCTTCAGCGGTGAGGCCAAGAACAAGAAGTACGCCACTGAGGTCATCCACGAGTGCAACGAGGCCTGGAAGCGTCTCGTCAGTGGCCAGGCTGATGCTGGCGAAGTTAACATTGCCGTGAGTGCCATCGCTTCTTCGCCGGTGTTAGGTGTCTCCTCTGCAGTAAGCTCAACCACACTCTTTCGCTCTAGAACACCACCGTCCAAGGCACCAAGGGCTTCAACGCCTCGGAGGCCTCATCCGTGCCTCCAGCCAACCCTCAGGCAGCCGCCCCCATCGACCCCAGCATCAGCAAGTGGTTCTTCATCTCGTCGAGCTCCATGTAAAGGTGATGTATCTATTCTCTCACCGCGGCACTACCACACATCTACTAGACAAAGGAGGAATAAAGAAGTTGCTCTTCTCAAAGAGGACCCTTGATGTCCATGTAGACTGGCGTGTGATCGCTTGCACCCCAGACGGAGTGACGGATCTCGACGGCGCGGACTTTGCCCTTGATCCTTTCTGGTACGATGAACGAGTCGAGGCGCCAGCCAATGCCCTTGACCCGACAATTGCCTCGGTAGCCATAGTAGCTGTAGTGGCCGACTGCGTCTGGGTGCAGCTCGCGCCACATATCGACGTAGGGCTTGGCGCCCTCTACGGCCGTGCCTGCCAGCACGGCTCGATGATGGCTGCACTCGATCTGTGTCCAGGACAGCCTCTTTCACTGTCAGCAAGAGCAGCCACTGTATCTCCCAAAGCTGACGCTAGGGCCAAGTAAACTCACGGCGGTATAGCCCGGCGACTTGTTCCACTTCTTGCTCGCTGCCGAAAGGTCGCGGCTGTCAAGCACGACGTTCAAGTCGCCCGTCCAGATGGTTGGCTTGCGCTCGTCGCACTCCTTGAGGTGCCTTGCAAATGCGGCATTCCACGCCTGCTTCTGCGGCATCGTCTTGAGTCCCTCGCCTGCATTGACGACGTAGGTGCCCGCGAGGATGTAGTTGGAGAATTCGGCTGTGATGAGACGGCCCTTTGTGTCTTGCGGCGAGTCCTCGCCTGCTGATGTGGCAAGGCCTGTTGTCACCTTCAGTGGCTTTTGCTTGGACAGCAGTGCCACGCCTCCGTAGCCCTTCTTGAGACCGATGCCCCAGGTCTGGTACGGGTAGATTTCGCTCAGGCGCGGATGCATGGGAACGTCGTTGCACTGCGCAGGCTCTTCAGTCTCAGCCGGCTTGTCCTGGTGCTGTATGCAGGGCGGACAACTCACCTTTGTCTCACTCAGAAAGAGCACGTCAGCCTGCTCTGCCTCGACGTATCTCATAAAGCCCTTTGTTAGGACGCTCTTGAAGCTCGTCACGTTCCAGCTCGCGATCCGGACGTCTCCGTCCTGCTTCTTGCTCTTTTCGTCTCCCTCAAACGAGAGTGGGTCGGGCACAGATGTGTTTCGGGGCAGCTCCTCGGGCGCAGTCGTGTCCATCTTGGAGCCGCCGGGAGGCGGTGCCGAGGGGTGCGCCGCGGCCGCTGCCGCTGTTGCTGCTGGTGGTTCGCCACTCTTTGCTTCTTGCTCGTCCTCGCCCTTTGGCTGTGACTTCTTCTGCGCCTTTCCTTTCTTTGGCGACGTAGGGGCAGCCGGCTTTGCAGCTGGTTCCTCCTCGGCGTCCTTCACCGCTGCCTCCTTCGTCGTCCTCTGTTTCTTCTGGGCGGGCCCCGCCGGCCCGTCCGCGGCCCCGTCTCCGTCGCCAGAGGCCTTAGCCACCTTGGCCTTGCCAGCCTCCGGCTTGCTTGGACCGGCTCCGTTTGCCTTGGTCTTGCTCTCGGCCGCGGCCTTTGTCGCCGCCGCACGTTTCGGCGGCATGTCTGTCGAGATTAGGATCGAGATCGAGCTCGCGTTCGTCCTTGCCTTGCTGCTCAGACCCAGACTCAGACCCAGACCCAGACCCAGACCCAAGCTTGAGCTCGAGCGATGATGTCCAACAATCGATGACTGCTTACGTTGCTGCTGCTGCAAAATGGGAGGGGATTGGCACAACAAACGTCTCGAGAGACACACGGCAGACGGCGAAGATGTGCTGCTGACAAGCGACCTCAGCATGGGAAGACGACGCTTTAGTAAAAAGCGCTCCACTCTTACGAATAGGACGGCGCTAAGTCTCACCACACAAAGAAGACGCGACGCGCCCATTACTACTAGAGCTTCCTGCTCCGCTACACTACAACGAAGAGGCAACACTCTCGTCCGCAGACTACAAGAGGCAGCGGAGGTTGATGTTGAGACTATTATTGGTTATATTTCGCTCGACTGCTCAAATAGTCGAGCAGGGGGGACATGGGGAAGTGAAGAACAGGTAGTCAAAAAAAGAAAGAAACTAGGGTTTCCAGAAGAGAGAAAGCAACAAAGAAAAGAAAAGAGATGAGATGACCACGACGCTTGCAAGAACTCTACTAAGGTGTGGCTCTGTGAGAGAAATGAAAAGCTCCGAAAAGGAAAAGAGGGAAGGGTGAGATGGGCCGGGGGAGACTTTCACGCGGCAGCAGCCTCCTCGGGTGTGGCAGTGGGTGAGGGAGCGGGGCGCGGGGAGAACTTCATTCGGGCGCCGTCCTCTGGGAAAATGCCGGCAATGACGCGGACCTTGTTGGACGTGGGCGTGATTTCGTGCTTCCAGTTCATCGAGATGCTCGCAGCGGCCAGGACGGCCGTCAGGTGCATCAGTGCATATTGCTGGCCGATGCAGTAGTGGGGTCCACTTCCGAACACGAGCCAATTCCTCGGGTGCTGCTGCGCCGGCGAATCAGGGCCCTGCATCCATCGCTCTGGGATGATCTTGTCGGGGTCTGGGTAGGCCTGGGGATCGTGGAGCGAGTTCCAGAACGAGGGAATGACCATGGTGCCCTTTGGCACAGTGTAGTTGTCGTCGATCTTGAAAGCCTTGTGTGCTGTGTAGGGGACCATGATGACCGGCGGCTTGATCCGCAGGCTCTCCTTGACGACGTTGCGCGTGTACTCCATTTGGTCGATGAGGTCGAGGGTGATGGGTGCATCGAGCTGACCGCCTCGGAGACGGTACTGCTCCTCGCGCACCTTTCGCAGCAGCTCCGGTTGGTCGGCAACGTGCTGGAAGAGGTACGTGAGGCCCGAAGACATGGCATCCTGGCTGGCAAAGAGGAAAGAGAGCACGGCAAGGGCGATTTCGCGATCGGAAAAGTCTCGCACCAGGGTTCTCCTCGCGTCCGAGCCCAGGTCCGGGTTCTCCCTCTCGGCGCGCGCATCCTGCATGGCCTTGATCCATCCATCGATGAGGCAGTTGGGCTCACCGCCGGCGGCCATGCGCTTCTTGCTTTCGGCCGAGGCGTGTTCGAACCACTTGATTGTCATCTTGCGCGCCTTGATGGCATTGTATACCTTGGTGCCCGGCAGAGCAAAAGGGAAGTTAACGAGCTGAAGTGCGAGGGTGATGAGCCAGTAGTGGTCCGAGATGTCCTTTTGGCCCTTCTCAGAGATGTAGTCGCCGCAGAACACGCGCAACGACGTCTCCATGTTGAGGTCACGGAACGGCATCATGTATTCCTTTGCCTGGGGATCCGGGTCGGCCATCCATGCGGCAAAATGACGCTTGTAGATGTTCTCCTGGATGCCCAGGTACATGGACAGGGCATTGCGCGTGAAGAGAGTGTTGAGGCCCTTGCGGAAGTCGACGTGCGGCTTGCCGTTGAGGAAAACCCTACGGGAAGAAAACAAAAGAGGATCCGAGCGCGATTGCGATGGGCGGCCCCGGTTTAAAATGAGCATTCAGTGCAGTCGCAGATGTATCTCGCATCAAGCTCAGCTCAGCTCACCAATTGTCGGCGCACAGAATCTTTTTGGCTGACGCCACGAGGCAGGGCTCGGTGTACATGGGGCTATTGAGGATCTTTCGCGTGTGCTCCGTGGACGAGGCAATGACAATGAAACTGGATGCAAGCGCTTCAGCTCTCAACGTTCGCTACGGCATGCGGGCCGAGACGTCAACGAGGACAATTGGCGACGACGACCACTCACATGTGAAAGACGCTCGCAACACTCAGAGGGCCACTGTTCCATCCCTTTTGGTAGTTCTCCAGCGATGGGCGGAGCGAGTCGGCAAACTTGCCAATAACGGGAATTGTCCACGTCGGGCCTGGAAGACCGGCTTTCTTCTGGCGGTAGGCCACCTGCTCGTAGATGAGACCAGTGGCAATGATAGCCAGGACAGCCAAGGCGACGGTAAAGAAGTCTGCATCGCGCAGAGTGATCGCATCGAAGAATCCGAGCACTGCCGACGAAGGACTGGAACCAGCAGCAGCCTTGGCACCCATGCCTCGGTTTCCGCTGGAAAAGGGCGTGAATTGGGGCAGGGCGCCCGAGGCAGACGCTCTCAACGACTCGAAGCGCGACATGGTGGATGCCAGGACAAATGAGCGTGTGATCCTCCTCGAGGGAGAAGCCAGGGTATGGATGCTGATGGTGGTCGATTCTCCGATCGGCCGGCTTTAGTGCGCAACCAAGGAAGTTGAGCAGCGGCCAAGCAAGCGAGCGAGCGAGGATAAAAAAAAAAATCAAAATCGAGAACAAAGAAAAAAAATCAGGTCAGTCAAGGTCGCCGGAAACTTTCTTCCTTCGAACCAGGGCTGGCATGACATTTAGCGTGCCCTGAAATCACGCACGAGCAATCGGCATTAGTTACCTTCGTTGTAGTTGTGCAGACTACTAGTTCGTAGTCGTGTAGTAATAATGGTACGTGGGTAAAGGCGCGTAAGGGACTTTTGGTTACGTGTCCTGGTAGTCCGTGTGTGGGTAGTTTGCACCCGCGGGCAACCCGGCCCTGGTACCCCGATCCTCGCACGGCCAGCCAGATGGGGAGGAGATTGAGTCGCGGCCCGGCTGAGTGAGTGAGTGGCTTGAAGCAAGCAAGCTAGTTCCGCACTTCTGTCTGTTCTTCCTCTGCGCACGAGAGCAAAGGACGAATCAGACCAGTCTCGACTAGTGGAAGAGGATGGGAAAGCACGATGTCATGAGATTCAGACTAAGCTCCCATCACCCCACCTCGTGCACCAAGTGAATTAGAGCCACTCAGGAGGGATGACCATCAGAGATGACGGGGCAGGCGAGAGCGATGATCAAGGTTGTGTTACTAAGCAGGAGTGCTCCAGAAGAATGGCAGGAGCAAAAGCCAGAGCGGATCTGGGCGACCAGGGACTCTAGGCTAAGATCTTCGTCTAATTAATCTTCTGTTCCTTCCATGCGCTGGCTCAGCCTTATTTCGCTGTTGGCCCCCCCCCCCCCCCCCCGCACCGAAGCCCGGCTACTAGCCCCTGTCCTGTGGAACGGCCAATCATGGACTTGTCACAGAAGCCCCTTTTCCTCAGCTCAGATTGCCAGCAGTGGCTGGACAGTAATGAAATGAAGCGGGGCCGAGCCGCCTCCTTTGCACTGTACCTCCGCCCCGCAGGCGCGACCATGCGCCGATAAATTTCCAGCGCCCCTGTGCAACGACGACGACACCTACGACAAACACACGAGTAGAGACAGGCTGAGACGACAAAGAGCAGATATGAGCACCTCCAACGCTGTCGAAGGCAAGGGAGATGCCGGCGTCAAACTCGACTCGACGTCGGCAGTTCCGCCGCCCTCCCCGATGGAGTCGAATCACCGCGAGAGGCTGGTGCAGCGCCTCCGTCGCATCTCGCTCCGCAGCAACGCTTCTCGAGGCTCGCCAACGAAAGGCAAAGGGGAAGCGCCTGTAGCAGAAGCCGTCATTGGACATGCACGCAAGGAAGATGACGGCACCGAGCTGGCTAAAGCTGCGCCTCAAGAAGCAAAGGCGCCAGCACCGCCCTCGAAAGATACAGAACCAGAGCAGAAGTCGGCTCAAAAGGGAACCCTAGCGCCCGTGCCACGACCGATGCTTGAATCGGAAGAGCCTGACGAACCGCAGCCCGTGGACTTGGGGGCCCAAATTGTGAGTTTAGGTTGAAAGGAACAATCCGACTGTAGAGAGAGGCTGACGCCGACGACTCAGTTGGTCTTTGGGCCTGACCAAGCCATGGCCGACATACAAGCAAGGGTCGACGAGGTGTACGAGGCACAGGTTGCCAATCAGTTTGGAAGCGATCGCTGGGCTCTCTTCTTCAAGCCCGGTCAGTACACGCTCGATGTCCGCGTGGGCTACTACACAACGGTACATGGCCTCGGTTCGAGCCCCGAGGACGTAGTCATCACGGGCGCAGTCCGGGTCAAGGCCGACTGGATGGAGAACAACAACGCCACCGTCAATTTTTGGCGCGGTGTCGAAAATCTCACAGTGATTCCGACCATCGAAGAAGACGAATCCATTCTCGTTTGGGCAGTCTCCCAAGGTATGTTCTATCGATGCTGTCGGGAGCGGCCGCCCAACAACAAGCTGATTAGGGGGTAAACATGATTTAGCCACCTTCTTCCGTCGTGTCCATGTCAAGGGCCCAGTCGTCCTTTCCGATCACGGCGGCTGGTCTTCAGGCGGCTTCATTGCCGATTCCCAGATCGACGGGCAGATCGACAATGGCACTCAGCAACAGTTCATCACCCGCAACGTTTCGATGGGCTCCTGGACAGGAGGGTCGTATGCCCAGGTCTTTGTTGGCGACCTAGGTGCTCCCAATGAGGACTGGCCAAAGGTGCCATTCTCTACCATCAAAAAGACGCCCGTCGTGCGAGAGAAGCCCTACCTTGTCTATGATTCCACGGCAGACGCCTACCTCGTCGCCAAGCCAGCTACGAAACCCTGCAGCGTTGGTCCCAGCTGGACTGGTGAAGGCTCTGTCAAGGACGCCACAGTGGCTCTCTCTTCATTTTACGTGGCCGACCCGACAAAGGACAACGCCGATACTTTGAATGCTGCCCTGGTCAAGGAGATGTCGGTCCTCTTTACGCCCGGCGTCTATCTGCTCGGATCTGCGCTTGCTGTTACGGCTCCTGGCACGGTCCTCCTCGGCCTGGGTCTTGCAACGCTTAAGCCTGTTAACGGGACCGCGGCTCTTACCATCGCAGATGTGGAAAATGTTCATGTCGCCGGTCTGCTCCTGGACGCGGGCGCCAACTTCTCCTCGAGCCTGTGCACGGTCGGTGACGCTGGTTCTGGCTCCCTGAACTGGACTCCCAATGACAAGCCAGTCGTTCTCAGCGACGTCTTCTGTCGCGTTGGCGGCGCGGGGCTGGGGCGCTGCGACAACTGCATCACAATCAATCGTCGGGACACCATTGGGGACAATCTTTGGTTGTGGAGGGCCGACCACGGCGACGGAGTCGGTTGGTACCTCAACCCTTGCAACACCGGACTCGTCGTCAATGCCGACTATGTGACAATCTACGGCCTCTTCAACGAGCACCACAAAGAGTATCAGACTATTTGGAATGGCAATCATGGTCAGGTATTTTTCTACCAGGTGAGCCTTCTCCTCTTTCTTTTCCCCGCTCGACCGTCGGTGTGCTGACAGGAGCCACACAGTCTGAGCTGCCGTACGACCCGCCAAACAACAATGTCTGGTCTCACTCGCGTGTGGCTGGATGGGCCTCCTACAAGGTCTCCAATGCGGTCACGTCTCACTACGCCACGGGCCTGGGCATCTACTGCGTCTTTACCAACCCCAATGTGTACGGATTCTCTGCTATTGAGCAGCCGACCTCGCACGCTTCTTATGAGCCCAAGGCCGTGCTCGTCAGACATGCGACCACGGTCCGCTTCGGAGGGGCCACCAACTCTGGCATTGACCACGTCATTAATGACCTTGGTGCCACGATCAACGATACTAACAAGGAGGCGCAGCTCGAGAGCGCTTATGAATGAACTGTCAGCGACTTGTTCGCAGTAGAATGATGGACAGTCTTCTTTCTTATGAGTAACGAATGACGATGACTATATTCAATGACGATAGTGCGAGACCGGGACTCGGATAAATTAAGACGATGATACACTCAGAAACTTCTGCGTCAAGTGGAGTGAAGTGGGCTCGAAGACGACGATGACTCGCAAACGAAATCAGCGCAACAACATGGTGTTCGACGACTCTGACGATGACTCTTCGCAGCAGCAACAGCAGCCAGGGAACGGTACATCTTCGGTTGACCAAGGCGTCTCCGCGCGCTTGGCTGCGCTTGGGGACCCTCTGCCGAGGCTCGTCGCGTTCGACCTAGACTACACACTCTGGCCGCTCTGGGTCGACACGCACGTCTCTGGGCCGCTCAAGCGCCGCGGCGAAAACATCAACAAGGTCCACGACGTCCATGGGCAGCCTCTCTCCTTTTTTCCCCACGTCCCCGCCATCCTGCTGCACCTGCGCAAGAAGGGCGTCGTCGTTGCGGCGGCAAGTCGGACGAGCGCGCCAACAGTGGCGCGCCAGGCCCTCAATGGGCTCGTCCTATTCGATGACGAAGAGCCTGCAGCGGCTGTGCCGACACCGCGGCGGAGTCAGACGACGACGCAGCGCAAGACTGTCAAAGCCATGTGTGAGTTTGTCCTTCTCCCTCCCTCTTCCCTCCCCGTCTTTCTGGACCCGTCATTTTGGCTGACCCCCTCGCATATCAGCGCTGTTCAATCATCTCGAAATCTACCCTGGGTCAAAGTTGACACACTTCCAATCGATCAAGGCGAATACAGGGGTGCCCTATGATGAGATGGTCTTCTTCGACGATGAGTCTCGGAATGCAGAGGTGGGCAACCGGTTAGGTGTTCATTTCCACCTCGTCGGGCACGAAGGCCTCGACGTCAATGCATTCGAGACTGCTGTGAGGCAGTGGAGAGCAAAGAGAAAGGCGAGGGAGCCAGGACAGAACAGCAACCCGGCCGACGAGCTTCTGCGGTGATCTTCCAATTCGACAATCTATTCATTAATGGGAGGCCCTTCCCTATGTAATGCAGCTATTTGTGTACAATTGTGTTGGTTGGTGGTAATAGAAGACCACTTCGAAAGGTCGGGTGGTCAAATGACACGAATTAGACAAGGTAAAAGGGGGATGAGGGGTGGTCTCGGTTGAGCTACTCGCTCTTCTTCTGCTTCTTCTGCTTCTTTTCCTTCTTGCTGGCCATCCTCTCTTCCACCGAGATGATGCCACCGCTATCCCATTCCTCGCGGAGCCACGCCTTGCACTCCTCCTTGAGCTCGGCCGCATTCTTTCTTCCATCCAGAAGATCGTCGAGATGGTCAAATTGCCATGCTTCCACCATGGTCAGGATCCTCTGCATGAGGGGACCCGGTGCGTAGCCAAGAGCTTTCGACACCTCGTTGCCGTCGAGCAGCGCCTTGTCCTGCAGATGCGGGATCAGCGGGGCAACTGGACTGTAAAGATCGCTTAGAATGTGGTCCAGCGCGGTCGTCTCCTGCTGATCGCAGATGTCGAGGACAAGATTCCAGAGAATGAAAGCCTCTGGCGACAGCTCACACTCCTTCTTTGTGAAGGTCATGGTTGGCAGTCGGAAGATGAGAGCTGCGAGCATAATTCGTTAGCCTAAGTGTGCTACCTTGACTTTCGACTCGGTGACGTACCAAGGGTGGCCCGCGGGCTGACATTCTGGCCGGCAAGATTGGGTACGAGATGTCCACGGTAGGCTTGAGCCTGACCATTGGCCACAGCTTTATCACAGCCTGCATCGAAACATGCTTTGGAAGGTCGCGAAAGCAGCTCAACAGACTTGAACAGTTTGGCAACTGGGTCTCTCGTATTGAACCCTCCGAGCTGCGCGATAACAGAGCTTCCATCAGTCTTTATCAAGGATGGAAGTGGGAGCAGATACTCACCTTGAGACCGATGGCAACTACATTTTCTGCGGCCGTGAACCACTTGCCTTTCTTTTCTTCCCACTCCCATTCTTGAAGCGGTCGAAGAGCGGCAGAGAGGAAGAGGTTTCGACGCTGGTACTCGTCGAGCAAAGGCTGCAGTAGCTTCGAAGGAATGCGCTCAAGATCCTTGGTCGAGATGCCGCCAGAGTATCTTTGAGCCCGCGAGAGTTGCGCATCAGCTTCACCATTGCGGCGTCTGGCCTCAACCCATAATTGGTCGAGAATAGTGGCAGGCTCCAGGGCGGTGCTGACGTTGCCAAAGGCCGTAGTTGACAACGATATGGGTCGAATTTCGCCGGAGTTGGGAGCAGGCTCGAAAATGATGGGAAAGAGGTCGAGGTTTTTGATGAGATCTAGTGCCAAGAGTGGGTCGGGTCCTCGAAGCATCTTGTCAACCTCGTTGCCGAATCGCTCTCGGGAAACCTTTTCCATCAGCGCCTTTCGAATCTCATCAGAGTCACCGTCCTTGTTTGCGTTGAGGCAGGCGACAATATCGTAGTTGACGGCATACTGGAACCGACTGGCGAAACGTACGCAGCGGAGCACACGCAACGGATCATCGAGAAAGGTTCGACGGGGCGATAACGGCGTTCTGATGATCTTTTCGCGGAGATCGACGAGACCCATTCCCGTGCAATCCTCGACTTGACGAGTGTGCACATTGAAAAAGAGCGAGTTGATTGTGATGTCTCGACGTTGGGCGTCTTCCAACGGCGTTCCAAACGTCTGTACATCCGAATGAGCATCGTGCAAGGGTCCACAAGGTCTGTACTACATACCATCTTCGGGATCCTGCTGTTGCCTTCATACACCTCCTTTCTGAGATTTACAAAGTCGAGCTGGAGGCCCGCCACCTTGGCCGTGGCTGTCTCGAGGTTCTTGCTCTGCTCTGGGTTCGCCGCAATCTTGGAAATGTGGCCGACGAGAGAAGTCGAGGTGCCGCCATAGAGTGGGGAGCTAGGGTCGGTGGCAAGCTGAGTCGATCGAAAGGCCTCGGAGAGGAGATATGAGCGCAAAAGGAGGGCAAAAATGTGACCGGTCAATGTACTGAGCGAAACATCGAGGTCGTGCGAGGCGTGCCCCAGGAGCTGCCGTGGCAGACAGAGATGCATTCAGCGAAAGTTTCTGTGGGTGCAACATGATATTGAGACCCACCTTGTCGCGTACCCAGCCTCCTGCGATCCTCGCATCGCACGTCCAATTCTCATGGTAATCTATGACAACACCGCACGACTCGACCGGGTCTGGCTGAGGCTTGTTCTCGGTGATCCACTGGCAGGCTTGATCGAGGAGCGTGCACAAGGCATCCTCAATGGGGTCCAGTGTCAGCACTGGCACATCCATTTCGTATGGGGCGTCGGTCGTTGTGGATAAGGGTGCTCCTCGAGATCTGGCGCTGGCACTGACGGTCAGGCGACTCAGCTGGGCTGGGGCACGAGTGGAAAGGCGCGGCCGAACTGACGAGCAAAAGGTCGACGAACGGCCGACAGAGCCTTGTAGCAGGCGCTCAGCAGGGCTTAATCGGGCGAGAGCGGGGCGGAGGGCAACTCTGCGAACGGGGTGCATGTGGCGACCTGCTCAGGACTGCATACTGTTCGCAGCCTGCAGTGCGGTCCCAGGGCAGTCGTAAGAGAAGAAGATCTTTCCTCGCCATGAGCCATTCGTTGGTGGAGGCAAAATCCACGTGAGCGAGCTCAAGAGTTTAAAGTTGCTTCGTACTAGTCCACTCAGTCCAGAAAGACGACGAGGACGACAACGATGATGATCGGTAGGACCGTTGCGAGGAGGGCAGCGCCTTTGGGAGCGACGACAGCTCGAGGACAGAGACATTACTCCTTCTACCCTCCACCAGAGCCGTTCTCGTCCCAGTCAACCAGGGCGAGCGAGCCTCCAACGCCTCCACCACCACCACCACCCTCATCGCTCTCGACTTTTGGCGCATCTCCCCAGCTCCTCTCCAAATTCCTCGCAAGAAATCCAACAGGACTGACGCTCCGGTCTCTTCTCTCTTTGGGTGGTGAGCCAGGCTCGCCACCTCCGACCGAGAAGCTGCTGCGCTCGGCGAGGTTCACGGCGCATGAGTTGCCCATCCGGCTGGCGCGACGCGTGGATCAGTATCGGTCGCTGCCCTTCATCGTCGGATCGAACCCGTACATTGCCAAGATTGCCAGGCTGTATGCGTCTAGCTTCGACAGTCTCGCAAGTCTGGGCGAGATCACGTCAACCGCGGAAAACGAAGAGTTTACAAGAAAGTTGGAAGAGATGGTAGCCCTTCACTCGGAGAATGTCCCCACCCTCTCTAGAGGTGAGCATCGGTCGAGGCCGAAGCATGCACCATTTACCTTGAAGCGACTGACTTATTGAATCGACAGGGTTCATCGAATGCCAGAAGTACATGCCTTCAGCGGCGATCACACACTTCCTTGATGGTGCCATTCACTCGCGAATTGGCATCCGGCTCATCGCCGAGCAGCACCTCGCACTCACCCACGCTCACGCAACTGGTTCTTCAACAAATGCACACTCTGTCGGCATCATTGACACACAAGTCAATGCAGCCGACCTCATCGATGCTTGTGCAGCCTTTGTTGGAGACCTGTGCGAGAGCACACTTGGCATCAAACCGGCCATGGTCCTTGAGGGCGATCGCAGTGCGACGTTCGTTGGCGTCTCCAGCCACCTGGTGAGTCGAAGTTTTTCCTCTCGTCTTATTTGCTCCTATTGCCGTGGTGCTGATACAACTGCTTGTCAGAGCTACTGCATGACGGAGCTGCTCAAGAACAGCTACCGGGCCACCGTCGAAAGACATTTGCGCCTCTATGGCTCCTCGTCTGACCGGCCGCTTCCGCCCATTACCATCTCCCTCGCCCTCTCCCCGACGCATCTTTCGATTCGGATTCGCGACCAGGGCGGAGGAATCCACCCTCGCAATTTGCCCCACATCTTCAACTACACCTTCACCACTGCCGGGTCTTCTGGCGAGGACGGCGAGGCCGGTGGGATGAAGGAGGACGATGATGAGGGAGGACCGTATGCGATGCAACAGGTCGGCGGCGTCGTAGGTCCCGGTGGGCAGGAGGGTTTGGGAGCGTTGAGCTCGGGCGGAGACGTCGGTCTATCGAGCGGCATGGGCACGCTCGCCGGTTTAGGCTACGGCCTTCCTATGAGCAGAATTTACGCAGAGCACGGACGAGGAAGCTTGGACATCGTCAGTCTCTATGGTCATGTGAGTCGACCGTCGTCCGACAACTCCAAATCTGTGTGAGCTGACAAGACGAAACTAGGGCTGTGACACATTCATCAAAGTGCGCGCGAACCCCCTGGATCAACAGTGACTTCTCTTCATACTCTTCTCTTTTTCATGAGTACTGTACACATCATCCCATCACATCTTTGTAAAACATCCAACACTCCTTCTCGGCGTCAAGAGACAGCAAAAGTAGCACGCACGGCATGCCGCAATACGATGAGAGAACAAGACGGAACAATACAATAATAGAGCGAGAGCAAAGACGGGTAAAAGATAAGAAACGACAAGAGAGTGGTCTACTCCAATGAGCTGCCGAGATTGTCGAGGTCGACCTTGGGGTGAACCATGAGAATGGGCTCCTGCGAGGCCGTCAAATCTTCCTCATCGCCATCCGGCTGTGTCTCGTCCTCGTCATTTCTGAGCTCAATAAAGTATTGATCTTTGATGAGCTTGACGACGACCTTGGCCGCCAGTTCCCTCTCCTCCTCGAGCTGTTCCAAAGTCTCGATTTCGCTCTCACGCTGCTCGAGGTACCATTGGATGAGGTCGCGCCTGTTGATACCGGATCCCGTCGCCTTCTCCATCTCATTGACGCGCATCACCAACAGGTTCAGCATCTCAATGTAGCGATCGTGGGTGATCTTCAGCCTCCGTCGTGATGACGGCGCTGCGGAGGTCTCAGCGGCAGCGGCGGCCGTGGTAGGAGCTGATGCTGCAGTCGCTGGGTCCGCAAGGGTCGCAGCTGCGCTCGACATGTCCGCATCCATCGACTCCTCCATCGAGGAAGCCTGCTGCTGCTGTCGTTGTTGCTGCTCCCGCTCTCTGAGCAGCGTGTCGTCATCCTCTTCCTCATCCTCAAAGTTGATGTCGTCCTTCTCGACGTGGATGATCGACTGCCTGAGGAGCGAGAATGCTTCTCTGACAAATGCAGGCGTAATCTCCTGCCTGCAATTCGCTCGCGCAATCGCTTCTGAGAGCCGAATCATGCTCTCCAGCTGCCGAACTGTGATCCTGTATGAGTTCTTGCCGCCTGCGCCCGCATCGTCCTCTCTCAGCTGCCTGTACTTTTCGACGAGCACGTCGCTGGCCTCGGGCGTCAGTTTGGGCTGGAAGGTTCGCGCATAGCGAATGTAGCGCTGGATGGCCTCTGTGCTGAACTCTGGTGCAATGGCACTGTCCTTGAAGCGGTGGACGTTGATAATGTGCTGCGCAATGTTCATGTCGACATTCTCGTTGCATTCGTCGAGAACGACAAAGAAGAGGTCGAACCTCGACATGATGGGCGCCGACATGGCTACGTTAGCTCGCAGCGTCATCTTGCGGTTGTATCGCCCTCCTACTGGGTTGGCCGCCGCCAGGATTGAGGTCCGGGCATTGAGAGTGGCCTGAAGACCGGCTTTGGCAATCGAGATCGTCTGCTGCTCCATGGCCTCGTGGATGGCCACTTGGTCGCTAACGTCCATCTTGTCAAACTCGTCAATGGCGCAGATGCCGTTGTCGGCCAGCATCAGGGCACCAGCCTCGATTGTGAACTCGCCCGTCTCCTCGTCTCGCACCACGGCTGCCGTCAGACCGGCTGCCGAGGAAGCCTTGCCCGATGTGTACACAGCTCGTGGCAGAAAGCCGCAGACATATCTAGCAGAAGGATGTTATTAGCTTCTTGATTTTCAACCTGACGCTTCTTAGCACAACAGGTCACTCACTTGAGGAACTGCGATTTGCTGGTACTGGGATCGCCAACAATGCAAATGTTGATGTCGCCACGGAGGTGGATGCCCTCGCGCGTCTGCTTGTGCACGCCACCCATGAGCTGGAGCAGGATGCCCTTTTTGACAATGTCGTGGCCATACACAGTGGGCGCAATGCTGTGGACGAGGCGCGAATAGATGTCATCGGTAGAAACCATGGCTTCGAGCTCATCGCGCTCCTCCTCCGTCAGAGCATTCATGAGCGTCTCGGGGTCTTCGGCCTCGCCTTCATCGCGCACGTTGCCGCCCTTGCGGTCCTCGCCGCTCTGCACCATGCAGGCCAAAAAGGCCGTCTTGTAGGTCAGGTCGCGAACGCCGAGCGAAGCAAGACCCGTGACACCCTGTTGGCTGATGCCTTCGGGAGCGCGGCCGCCCGCAGCGTCTCGCTGGATCTGAGCGTTGACACCCGGAACGCCAAGCTGCGACACATCGGGCACCACGATAAAGGTGCCGGTGAAGACGCACTTGTCGCCAGCCTTGGCCCTCTCAACGATCTCGGAGCGGAGAATGACGTCGAGGCTGCGAGGCATGCTGCCCGTGGGAATCTCGTTGGCATTCTCCTGGATCCTGACCTTTTGCCAGTCAGCAAAGCGACTCTGATCGGTGTTGAGCTGCCAGTTCTTCGTGTTCTGGCACGTCGGATTGTGGCACATGGTCGGGACCGTGTACTTGAACTGCTGCTCGACGTCGCGCACCACGTTGCCGCACTCCTGGCACTTGAAGGCGCCGTAGATGAGCTCGGGCCTGACCTCGGACGTGCGCGTGACTGTACCGCTGATCGACGTCAGACGACCGATGCTGTCGGTGCGCAAGTCGCGGATGCCGGAAACGAGCGCGAGATTGTAGAAAGAGACGCCAAAGTCGCGAGGCTTGAGACCCGAGGAGGCCGTCGAGGCGGCGTGTGCGTTGATGTAGAGATACTCGGGGCTGACTTCGGCAACGAGGTCGGCGACGGCACGTCGGAGGTAAGGCAGAAAGCGGTAGTACTGCTGACTGACGGCCTCGGCGAGCAGCGACTGATACCGGAGCAGATGGGTAAAGTCGACGAAGAGCGTAGTCCGCTGGAACTCGGAGAGGGCGCTAATCTGGGCTACGTAAGGGCGCTCAGTCGAGTACCCGTCGCCATCTGGGTCTGGTGAGCCGGAGAGGGGCTCTTCGACATAGCTGCATCAGGAATCAAGGGTAAGTACCTTGAAAGAGGAGGTAGAGGACACAAGAGCGCAGGAGCGACTCACTTTGTGAGGAATTGGACGAAATGCTCGCGCACACGCTCGCCCGTCTCGTCAACGACAGGGGCAATCTCCTCGATGTTGATTGGCTTCCGTGGTCTGGCGTTCCTCGAAGCTGGTGCTCCGTCATCTGCATCCCTATCGGTGGTTTGTCCACCATCGGGTCCCCCCGTGTGGCCTTGACCGTTGTTGGTGTTGTAATTATTCGTGGGCATGCTGCCATCACTGGGGATCGAGGCGTCGAAGGCCAGCGGATCAAGGCGGGCACCCGACGTACGGCCTGCAGGCGAGCTCCTGGTCAGTGGCGATGACGGCAGCGCCGACGAAGATGAGAGCATCTCCATATTGTGCTGCTACTGCTGCTGTGCTGCTGTGGTTTGGTGGGTGTGTCTGAAGGGAAGTCCTCGCGAAAGTCTGGCACGAAAGAACGCGTCTGGGGGTCTGTTTAATTTACGCGTCGCGACGCCACGTGAGGTCACATTCGTGTTGGTGTTTTCGCGCGTTCGCGCCCTCTTGACTAAGAAAGGCGCATGAAGCAGTAGCAGCAGCAGCAGTAGGTAGGTGTGATGGCAGAAGCACCAGCCGCTGGCGCGCCTTCAACGTCTGCGGCAAGGACGCCAACGATGGCACGTCAAGGGATTCAGAGTGCAAGGCAAGAAGTTGCGGTGATTCTGCAGCAAGCGCAGCTCGACATCGACACAGCCTTTTTGCAGGCTCAGCTACTGGTCCCTGCTGAGCTTCCTCCCAAGACTCCAGCCGCAGTAGAGGGACCGCGCCGGCTTGTGGTCAGCGATGGCCGCAATTTGACGTTTGAAGAGACTGTTGAGTCACACGATCAGCTGGACCAAGCTCTGAGACAGCTCGACAAGGAGCACCGAGACCTTCAGGCGAAGTACAAGGCCGAAAAAGACGACTGGAACAAGTTTAGAGCCTGGTGGCATTCCGTCGTGGCCAAAAAGAGAGCGTCTCAAGGTGGCACAGAGACGGGCGAGAGGCAGCAGGCGGAAGGCGGGCCCAGCGAAGGACCTGTTCTTACAAAAGCAAAGAAGAGAAAGCTCTCGCAAGAGGAGCAAGATCTTTTTAACCGCTTGGATATGGAGTGCGATGTGACCCAGACATCGACAAAGGCGCAGAGCCCAGTCGCTGTTCGTCGCGCCTCAGACATCAAAAGGGATAGTAAAGAGAAGGAGAAAGAAGAAAAGGTGGACGATAAGGCGTCCTTAAGTGCCTCTCGAAGTAGCGATGAGGAACAAGATCGCAACAATCCAAACGAACTCCACGGCCAAGCCCTAAAGGAGACTGCACGGTCGAACTCGCAGGACCAGAAGTCGTCAGCTTCAGACGAGAGGGAGACTACAGCAGTGGTGCGCCAGCTCAGCTCAGCGCAGCACGGGTACTACAAAGTGGACCGACTTCGGCGGATGGAAGAGCTCAAGAAAGATCCACTGAAGTACAAGGGCCGTGGAAGATACTCCAACGGCACCAAAGAGCACGGGGAGGAGGGGAATCACACAAGGTCTATCAACGACGAGTACGAGATTGATCCGGAGAAGAATGGCGGTGTCGACTTTCCGCACAAGGTGAGGCACGCTTGTCTTTTCTCGAGGAGGCAGCTTCGCTAACCACCGAAGACGCCAGGCGGTGGTACGTGACAAGGCGCAGCGCAAGGGGATGCACGCCTTCGACTGCGAATGCTGTCGCGATGTGGGTACTTCTTGACATGCTGCCGGAGGGTCAAAGGGCGTTGAGCTGACCTGCATACATTCTCACAAAAGTACTATGAAGCAGTCGGCCCACCACCCGAGACGACGGCTCTCGGGGACCCGGTCCACGAGACGAGCGAGCAGCGCGAGGCACGGATGCAGGAGCACCGCCAGCAGCTGAGCAGGCACCGAGCCTACGGACCTCCGGAGCTTACTCCTCCTGGCTACTGGTGAATACAGACGTTGCGCTCCTGCCAGCATACATTCTCACCTCGCCTTTTCTATCGGTAGGGACATTGGGTTCCCCACGACGCAGAAGCAGAAACAGCTGAATCAGCTCGCCGAAGAGGAGCACGAGCGCAAGCGACGGCAGATGGCTACGTGGGTACCCCACTCTTCTCCCCTGCGATTCCGATGCTCTCCGTTTGACCCCGTTCCTCTGCAGAGATCCGCGATACAGGAAGCGACAACAACCCTGAACAACGAACGCATATAGCACCAGTGTACAGTACATTGTATTCTCTCACTTGTTTTTGTAACATCAGGGCGGCACAGAAAGCACTTCAACGCAGCATGTTCATCCGTGCCTCCTCTGCCATGCGCCTCTTCCACATCCTGTAGGCCTCCTCTCCCCACACCTCGACTGGGCTCTTTCCAGCCTTGAGGACCTCTCGCTCGTGCTTGTCGCCCTCTGCTCTAGTGAATAGGGCGACGTTGCTGTACGAGAGCGGCAACGTCGAGTCCCACCGGCACATTTTCCCCATCGTCAGCGTCTCGTGCGGCGGCACGACTGACCTGGCGCGAAAGACTTCCTCAAAGACGTAGCCGACGTCCTCCAGCGTCCATGGGATCCTCCGCGGACCGTGCGCTCGGTCGTTGAGGTCCTTGAGCCCATCGCCGCCATCGGCGACGGGGTAGCGCCGCTCTGCCGTCTCGAGGTCGGTCCAGAGTCGCTCATACGTCTTCTTGCGCTTCTTGAACGGCAACGGCTCCTGCTCTCTTCCTGCAATGTCACAGATGAGGTATGTCGCGGCGGCCAGGCCAAACATGGCAGGCAAGGGACCCAAGACGGGCAGGATGCGGACACGAAAGTCTTCGAGGGCAGCCAGCTCCTCGACGTTGCCCTTTTGAAACTCTTCCTCGTCCAAGGGAAGCAGCCTTGTGTCGCTCTTCTCCGTCGAAAAGACGCACATGATCTGTGGCAGCGGGTCTTGGTCCGCTTCGTGGGCTGCTGATGATGACGACTCGTCACCGTCCTCCTCCATCTCAAAGGCCGGTCCAAGGCGAGACGATGCGGCCTGGCCAGAGATGGACGGGCGTGCGCTTCGGCCCGAGCGTGAAGAGCGAACATCGACAGCCTCCAGCTCCTTCAGACTCGAAGTGCGCGATGCAGTCGACGAGGGCGTCTGAGAAGTCAGTGTCGAAAGCGACGGTCGCTGCAACTTGCCCTTTTCTTTTTCCTCATCAAGAAGAGCTGGCGAGATTGTCTTGCCGTCATCTTCGCCTTCCTCGCCTTGAGCCTCCGAGATTTCAGGGACAGCAAGGCTGACAGCCGGGGAGGGTTCCTCGTCATTGATTAGTCCCGGGAACTTCTCAGTCTCGGGACTCGACATGGGGCTGAAGAATTGCGAGGAGCCCGAGCCCTTGGAGCTGGCAGATGAGGTCCTGCGAGAGCGCTGTGCGCCAGGCCGGCTGTAGCTGCTGTAGCCGGCGCCGCTCTGCCCTTGGAGACTCTTGAGCGCATCATCGACTTGCGACAAGGCCCCTGCAGAGGGCGGCTGCTTCGCATCAATGTCTGCTGCGCCTCGCCCGCTGTGCTCGAGCTTTTTCGAGGTCACCGGAGCCGATGTCTGGGCCGGAGCGCTAACCTCTGAAAGCTTCGCCTCGTCGTTCTTGTTGTCGTCGTCGTCGTCGTCATTGTGCTTAGGCAGCTGCTTCTTTGGCGGGGCTAATGTGCCTTTTGTTTTAATGCTCTTTCTCCCCTTCTTCTCGCGCGATTGCAGGCCCGGAGCCCAGACTCCCCGGGCACGAAGACCCCTTCGGACGCTCCTCGCCAGCGGATCCTCGGCGGTCCCTCCCAGGTCGGCCACCTGGATTGTGCTGGCGTCGGCCTTGGCGCCAGCACCCATGCTGCTGAAGCACTTGATCCGGTTCCGGTAGCAGTACTCGAGCAGGTCAATCTTTGTGTCGATGTTATCTATCGCATCGATGACGTACGTCGGCCTCTGGCCCTGGCCACCGTCCTTTGCCGTCGCAGCACCACCACCACCAACAGCCGGGCCCAGCAGCCGGGCCGCTTCCTGACCCTTGAAGATCTCGACGCGGGCATCCACCTCGGCCCAGGGGGCAATCTCGGCAAACTTTTCCTTGCAGACGACAACCTTTGGGCGGCCGACGTCGGCGAGGTTGGCGCATGCATGGCGATTGAGGCTGCTCAGGCTGACCTGGTCAAAGTCGATGAGGCGCAGCTTGCCCACACCAGACCGCAGGAGCATCAGGGCGGCCCAGCTGCCGACGCCACCAGCACCCACGACAATGACAAAGGCATCGCGCACCTTGACCATCGCTTCTTCGCCGAGGAATGAGTAGTTGCGCGAGAGCTGCTCGCGGATCAGCGACTCGTCGTACGGCGTGGGCGTCGCTGCGCCCGGTGCCAGCGTCGTGGCTCGCGACGAGCCCCTCGAGGAGGGCCGAATGGGGAGGGAGCCCTGCCGTGCCATGGCGGGCGTCGGACGAGGCGAGGAGGAACGGGATGGCGTGCTGGCCTGGCTGGCATTGAGCGCCTGCAGGTAGCGCGGCGTTGGGCCCTCGATTCGGCCCGGCGTCCGCAGCGTGCCGGCATGGTGTGCATCATGAGAGGCTGGATTCAGCGTCGAAGGCCTTTCGGGCTGCTGCTGCTGGTGCTGCTGCCCCTGCTGAGCAGGAGGCTTCGTCTTGCCCGTGAGCGCGTCTGCCTCTTCGTCTGCGATCCTCGCCGCTCTCCGTACCCTTTCTTCCAGCTCGCCTCGTCGTTGTTGTCGATACAGCCTCTGCACGCCCAGTATGCCCAGCGTAGTCACAATCGACGAGGTCACGGCCACGCCCGTGACAAGTGTGAACCACTTGCGCCCAGAAGATCCATCAGACGACGACGCCGTTGCGAGCGCCGACATCGTCTGCGAGGCGTCTGTCTCTGTCGGTCGAGGAGGAAGAAGGCGACCTTCGGGATTTTTTCTTATCCTTTTTCCCTTTCGACATTTTCTCCTCTGCTTATTTTTCCCATTCTTCCTCCACCTTTCGAAGGGTTGGACGTGCGTACTACTACTACTACTGTCCTCATGGCCTTGGTCAGCGACGTCTCGCTCCCTTTGCAGTGATGCGAGGTCCGAAGTTGAGGCGCATCAATGGCGACTCGACCTGGCTGCTTCAGCTTCCCCTAGACGATGCCAAAGGTGCGACTACGACGTTCAACGTGGTGAGCAGAACTTCTAGGCGGCTGCGCTATGCGCATGCACATTTGTTGGGCAACGCAAGCTAAATGTACTACAGCTCCTCGACCCGTGGCTAGACGACTCCTCGCAGGTCGACTTTGCGCCTCGCTTCTCTGAGCAGCGGCGCCTTGTGCCTTCGCTCGCCACGTCCGTCGCCGCGCTCGAGTCCCTTCTCCAGTCTGAGAGCGACGACGATGACGACGACGAGAAAAAAGGCGGACCAGGGCGAGCCTCGAGACACATCGATGCCATCCTCATCTCGCACCCTTTCACCGACCATGCGCATCCCGAGACGCTCCTGGACGAGAGCCTGCCGGCACGAATACCCATATACACTGCGCCGGAAGCAGGACGACGGCTGCGTGGTCTCCTGGCGCACGTTCCATCAAAGTCGCAGCAGCGCAACATCGTGGACATTGAAGTGGCAAAGATGGACGAAAAGTCAGCCCCAGCCTGGGTCCAAGACGCCAGCCTAGGTGCCAATGTCCACTTTGTTTTTGTGCCCGCTCGAGAGTCCATCTTCTCGGCCGGTCATGGCGTAGCATGGCCCTCGCTCCATGGCGCCGTCCTTGTCCTCTACCGACATCCGGGGACAGCCACTCGAGACATCGGATCCTTCCTATACTCGCCACATGGGCTAGCGCCCACGTCGGTCCCACGCTGGCTCACCAGGTTGACGGAGCGCAGCCAGTCAGCTGACGACAGAGCTAAGCATGTGCTCATCCAGTCGTTTGACCGCCAGGAACTCCCTTGGATTCTGGCCGGCACCGTCGCGACCGGTCTGCCTGGCGCGATCGAGGTCGCCGTGAAGGCCTTCAGAGGTGATGCTCAAGGGAGGGCATACAATGCAGACTACATCCTGGCGACGCACGACGAGCACAAGGAGGGTGCAGGCGTCGTCGCACGTCTACTCCGTCGCTATTTTCTCGGCCAGCGCAACGCCGATGGCTCGACGGGCAAGTCGATGCTGGCCGGAGATATCCAGAAGCAGGCACAGGCTCTCATTAATGATGAGCTCCAGGGAGGCAGGCCAGTCACGGCCCTTGTATTGGGGACGGAGGATCGCCTACAGCTTTAGGACAGTGACGATTCATGTGTAATGTTCATTCGTCAAATCTTTGAGGAGAGTGAAGTAACAAGCCAGTGGGAAAGAGATCGGGGAAGACGAGATGGTACGCCGAGATGCGAATTGGGTCTTCGACCTGAAGCAGGGAGCCGAGCCAGATCGCGAGGGACCGCTCTGTTTGAGGTATATATTCGCCTGTCACTTGTGGTCCTTCTTGTGGTCCTTCTTGTGGTCCTTCTTGTGGTCTTTGTGGTCCTTCTTGTCATCTGTCTTGATCTGTGGTCCTTTTCCGTCGCCCTTATCCTCGACCTTGACTGTCTTTCCGTTGATCGACGAAGAGGCCACCACGTGCTGGCCGTTGTTGGCCCACTTTCCATTCTTGTTGCTGGTATGGGTAATTTGTGGTCCCTTTCCATCGCCAACGTCCTCAACGGTGACTGAGTGACCATTCAACAGAATCACATTCTTTGTGTATGAGGACTGCGTTGTGCCACTGCTGCTGCTGAAGGACACCGAGGACGAAGAAAAGGCATACTCGCGCCTAGCGAACCGCTCATGCTCGTTTCGAGTCGACATTTGTCCTGCGCCGTTGTCCCGTCTGCGCATAGGGGCAGACTGGTCGCTCGAAGCGGCAGCTAAGGTAGTCGGGCTGAGCAGGAACACAAAGACGGCCGAGAAGGCGAGTAGCAGGATAGCTTGCATTGTAGTTCGAACGAGTGCCATGTCTGACCTCTGTTGACCGGAAAAAAAAATTGTCTGCTCGTCGAAGAGTAGGTGGGTGGCGTTGTAAGATGGCAAGAAGGAGACGGAGAGGGAGGGGGAGATAAATGAGAGAGCAGGCCGTCATATCGAATCTTTTCGAATGTCAATCGCGAGCTCAGCTGAAGAGGCCGCTCCCTCCGCCCGTCCGCGCGCACGGAGCCCCTGTGTCGCGATCAGAGGGCCATCTTTTATTGCTGACGGGCCCGTCATCTCTAAATTTATCTCTCTCGCGAGCGATAGCTCCAAGACAAAGATAAAGTGGTATTGGTTGAGTTGGCATGATGTTTCGAGTGTCAAGAGTGTTGAGCAGCCCACTCGTCCATTATGTTGTTTAGACGGCATTGTTTTTCCGGTGCATTGCCTTTGCAGCAGGGACGATGGAATGTTTACAACGCAGAGTGGCAAGATTGACACAGTAGCCACCGGAGTCGACTTATCAATGGAGATGGCCGTCGTCGCAAGTCCTTTGTGGGATCGCCGAGTGGTTCCCGTCATGCAGTCTTTCATACAAAAGGCGGCAGTCTCGCCGGCTTGCTATTAGCCATCGCTCTTCCTTTACCAACCACCATTCGCTGCGATGAGACTGTCTTTCTTTCACTTCTCGGCAACTTTCGTCCTTGCGACCTCTACTGCGGTGGCCATCAAGATTCCCTCGCACAAGCATTGGGGTCGGCAAGATCCAGGGAGGCATTGGATGTTTGAGGACAAGGAAAATCTGGCACCGAAGACAATCAACCTAACGCTGCAGAGCAAGTTGCCAGGCTCGCCGATTTGGATTCCCTGCCTCACATGTTTACCAGGCCAGAGTTGTACGGTGGAGCTGGGCACCGCTCTTGTCCGAGGCGACAAGTCGATATCGTCACAGGTCGAGCGGGCCTACCAGCAGCTTAAGCCGTCTCAACGCGAGCGTTGCTTCATTTGTCCGCCTGGAAAGACTTGCATCATCGAGGCGGCGACCCCGGTCCCGCCCAAAAACCCAGTCTGGGTCATCAAAACACCAACGAGCGGCGGCAACAAAGCTAACGACAGCTGCATCGCATGCTTGCATAGTCAATTGTGCAAGGTTACGCCCAGCAGCAAGATTATGACCAATCCGCTGCAAGATTCAATCAAGGTACCGCTCGTCGACAATTGTTTCACTTGTCCAAGGACAACACAAGAGTGCGAGACAGATATGCAAATATTCTGGCGCCCCAACGACTCGATGTCAAATGTTGATTGGGTTCCCACGAAACTTTCTCAGACAGGCCAGGAGGATTCGTGGATGTTCGCAAACAAAACGGGTCATTCTAGTGATCTCCCCTTTCCCAATACAGCAGACCAAGCCGCTGAGGCATGCAAGTCTAGCAAAGAGACGGTCATCGTCGAGGGAAACGGACAACTGCCCATCCTAAGCGGCAACCGTGAGTACTGCTGCTGTAAAACTTGGTATCTCACGTCTCACGATTTCGCAAACAGCTCTGAGATTCATTGTATGCCCAAAGGGAGGCAGTGGTGCACTTTCGACGACAAAGAGATCCGTCGATGTCTACCTCATTCGTCGCCTCACCAGCGCTGAATGGAAACAGCAGCGAGACTTGCAGCAAGTCCCCGAGACTGGCTTTGAGCTCCACGAGGTCTTGAAGCTCTACGAAAGTAGTTCACCTCTCACGCTTTCGAAGATAAGGGGTCAAATGTTATACCGTGAGACTGAGATGATACTTCTTTCCTTCTTTAAAAGCAAATGCTGACTCTCTGTCTCTACATTTTCTCTAGTCGCGCCCAACGAGGCCGTGCCCAGACTGATGTCGGGAATCTATACGCTCCTGTTCAAAGAGAGGTGTGTCCCTATCTCCCTCTTTTCGACCGTGCCCCATTCAACCTAGCCTCTCTGATCATGACAGGGGCGAGGACGACTGGCAGACCTACCAGAAGGACCTCGCGTTTGATTGAGACGACCATGCCTTCTTTCCTGTTTTTCCGGTCCTTCCTCCTTCTCATAGACTTCTCTTCAGCGATCACTCGATTCCGTCCATGTTAGTCTTTCTCGCAATCTAAAGAGCTCAGATAATTCTCGAGCAAGGATGGATGCAGGAGTGCAGCTCCGAATGTGCGGATTCCTAGCAGCACATCTAAGAATTGAAGGCTTATTCGGACCGAGGTACGATATCATGTCTCGTGTTAATCAGCCCTTTAAAAAGGTTTATATTGGGGTCTCATCATCGCTTGGGGGAAGTCAGGGCTCATCACGGGAAAGTAAGGGGAGGGTGGTGAGAGATCGATAGCCATAGGAGGATGACTCAAAGGCGGAAGACAGTATTCGCTTGGGCCGAAGCGGCTGACGACGTCGAAGCTTGAAAAGGGGCAGCTTTCACGCATTGCCATCGACAACAATAACGGGATAGGACTGCCTCTGATAAAGCTTGCCGAGTTGCTGTCCCTTGCCCCTGTTGGCAACGAGACGATATCAGCATCTCGCGGGTGCAAAGCTCTGATCGTGGAATGGACATACGGGATCGTGAAAACCTCTTCGATGATGTAATACCACATACCCAGGGCAAAGGGGACTGTGACGTTGAATTCTATACGCGGAGAATGGTCAGCAAGCTGCGCACTCTTTGAGACATCACCACTGTTCACATACTGTACGAGAAGCTCTTAGACGTGGCGATGTCCTCGGGAAGATTGTTCGGTGTGATGTTGGAGAGGACATCGACCTTTGCGGGGCCATTGCCGGCCTTTATGGGAACGAAGTACGTGTTGAGCTGCAACGACTGAAATGGTTGTATCATGCCCGAGCAGTAGATCAGCCCGTATTCTAAGATCAAACCGGCGTTAGCCACGCAAAGAAGTGCGACGCAACCATCCTACACTCACGATTACCGGCAGTGTAATTGTCGATGTTGTAGTCGGCAGCACCGTAGAGGATGGTGCTCCTGCCATTACAGAATGTGTTCGTGGGGCTATAGCTGTTCGGCTTGATGTCCTTGCAAGAGAGGTCGAGGCCTGGCGTCTGAAAGCCGTGCTGGCTGGCGCGCTTGAAGAAAGTCATCTCGTCTTCGTCGCTCTCGATGCTCATGGAGCGTCCGATTAAGCTTTGGAGGTCATCGTCGCTGAAAGCTGGAGCCATACGCTTCTGGATCACGGGAGTGGCGGAGCTGACAGCCGCAAGTAAGGTAGCGACCGCAAGCGTCAGCGTTGTAGAGGAAAGCTTCATGGTGAATGTGTTTGTGTGAAATTTGATACGTCGAAAAGGGGGATGTTGACGAAGCAGAAGGGCGAAGCGAAAAAAAGACGGTCCGTCTTATAGGAAAGGGACGATCTGCAAAACTGAGCCCGTCATCTATTGTTTCCTGCAACAAGCTGACTTTGCTTCGATTTTGTTCAAATGTGGGTAGCTCGCTGGTAGACGAACGCTAGAACCGCTCCGACTAAGCGAGCGCATGGCGGCGGAGCAGTTCGGGCCTGAAAACACTCTCTGTCCGTCGAACAAGGGTATGCATCCGACGGCCTTGTTGCTCCGTGCTGAGCGCAACGGAGGTCCGTCGCTTGGGAGGTGTGCGTGTGGAAGTGGTGCTGGTCGCACGCCGCGCACGGGCATGGGAGCAGGACGACGCAAAGAATTAGGGCGGAGTCCGAGCTGACTTCTCCAACGTCGTGACCTGAAAAGAGAAGGAGGGTGGAGAATATTCCCTTTCGCGCACAAAGTAACGACCGCTCCTCAGACAAAGGTAGGAGTGAGAGTCCCAGCTCAGACGGGCCTTGGCCTGCTTTGAAGTCATACACCTCCTTGACGTTGTAGCTTGATAGATTGAGAAACTCTTCTAGTGAGCCGGCATCAATTGCCCACCGACACGGGCGAAGCAACGTAGCTCAAAGATCGGAGTATAAGATGTTCAAAGCAAGCTTGTTGCCACTCTCTCCATCTCTCTCTTCTTGACCTCGTGGCCCAACAGCCCGTCACGGGGTAGCCTAATGTCATGACCAATGGTCTCACGACGCCAACCGATGCGAGAGAGTCCTCAGTCAGCCCTCAATAGTATACCCGGCTCGAAGCATTTTGCCGGACCAGGGAGCTTCCATCGGTATGCTACTATATAGTGATTTCTCGTTCGTTCACTGAGGCGAAGCGCATTTTGCACTTCGATACATTCGAGCCTCAAGGAAAGACGAGACGAAGAGAAAAGAGAGAGCATAGTCGCGGAACTTATTCCGAAATTTGAGAGTCAGCTTCCAGGCCAAGCAAGCCACGACGTGGAAGAAAAGTTGATAGACGCGGGAGATTTTCCGCCGAGAAGGCCTTCCCTTCTCCCGTGGCTCGGCCCGAGGCGAACAACGGCGAAGAGGGTCTACCGAATGAAGATCCATCAAACGATGGCATCGCGGAAAGGATGGCGATCCTGTGAAGGCCACGCGCGTCTGCCTAAAGATCCCTGCTGTGTGTCACTGTGCCCTGTGGCCAGTTCGATCTACTCGGCCAGCATGGTAGCTGAGCTAAAGATCGCTCGAACGCGTCAAATATTGCCGACAAACCTAGCGCAATCTCTTCGCTTAGTTGCGATGCGGACGATGCAGAAAGATCGATCTATCAGTCGTATGCAATAATTCTCCTCTTGCAGCGTTTGACGTGCGTCCCTTATGCTACTTGCCAAGGAAAAGCTCTCACACGCACCCAGGCCCCCGTCAAAGGCCTGTTTCGTTCGAACACTTTCGCCCATGCTTTGTAGGGAACGTCGACCTGATGAAATTATTGTCGAAAAGGACGGGAGTAGTGTGACGCCTACCATGTAGGGTCGAAGCATATCGTCGGGGACGCGCAGGTGCGACTTACGTACCGTCGGGAGTGCACTAGTACGTAGTACTTACTTGATTTGCTCACAAGGACCCATGTACATGTCATGTCCGTATAGAACGATGAAGCAGTTGCTCTCGATGTTCTAGATTTTGTCCGAGTCCTCTTTAGCGAAGGTCTTATAACTGAGTGGGCCCATCATTCCTTGCGCCTTGCGACTTGACACCTATTCTTTCCGACTCCTTTAACCGCCATCCTCCCTCCCTTCTCCCTGGTGACGGTGACCGCCTACTTTTCTTCTTTCCTTCTTTGCCCCTCCGTGACAACTGCTGCCCTCCCAACTTTGCACCTTCCTTTCTTTCCCAACTAAAAGCGATGCGACTCTCCTTTCTGCCTCCGGCCTTCATGGCCTTTCTGGCTCTCCTCGTGGTGGTCGAGGCCAATGAAGCCCTTGATGTCCGCGCTACTTCCAAGCGACCGTCGATCGTGTCCGGCAACCGCAAGAGCCACCCGCAAAAGATGATGGCCACGACCTGCTCGCGATTCCGCGATGCCTGCGTCAAGGCTGCTCTCGCTGGGAAAAGTGTGAGACTGTCTCTTGAAAGGAGCTATTCACAAGAAGAAGAAGCTCAAATGGCCTCTCTGGTACTTTACAGACCGGCAAGCACGCCATCGTCTACGATTGCTACAAAAAGGCGCCCAAGAATACGCAGTACCACTTCAACTGCCACATTGGGCGCAAGGACTACACCCAAAAGGCCTTGCGCAAATTCTCGGGCGGCACGACCTCGACGAGCTACACTGCTGTATCGACCACGACGAAGACCGTTTCGACAGAGACGGACCTGACGTCGACGACTGCGACTTTCTCCAGGTGAGGAAGATCACAGTGTTCTCCGTGAGATATTTAATTGTCTGACGCATTCTGTGCATCTGTAGCACGCAGACGGACACAGAGACGGCCACAACGACTGACGAGTTTAACACGACGACGACGACGACTGTTGATGAAACTGCCACGGTGCCCGAGACGACGGTTGAGAGGTTAGTGTCGTGGGTTGTCTTATCTGTGTGAAGTACTACAGAGCAAATATCGCCAATCGCCAGCTTCACCATCACCGAGACGTCGACGCTGTCGGTGCCCACTACGATTGTGCTGACTAACACGGTGACGACGACGTCAACCTCGACGTCCTATTCCAGTGTTGGTGACATCTTCCCCGTCATCGACTATCAAATCGCGACGACGAGCCCGGCGCGCCGAGCATCTCGTCTTGACGGCAGCAGCTTCTGCAAGGCCTACTCAAGCGCTTGCAGCCGTCAATGCGCTCGCGTCAACTCTACGCCCAAGCACCAGGTGTGCCAGCAGAAGTCCGGCGGCCGCGTCTCGCTTTCGTGCGTGTGCAAGAACAAAACGCTCGAGGTGAGTAGAGCAGGTTTTCTTATTGTCCTTTTGTAGGTTTTCTGATGTCCGATTGGGTGAATAGACACAACACGCCCTGGCCGATATTGGTGATGACCAGCACGTCTCGGTCGTCTCGACGATTGCCACTTCGTCTGCTACGGCTACCGTCACAAGCACCGTGGTCATTCCCACGACCGTCGTTGCCACCGAGACGACGACTTCTACGTCGCATGTTCCCGTCACGTCGACAGTTGTCTCCACCGTCACGAGCACCGGCACTGTCACGGCCACGTCCACAAGCAGCACGACTTCAACGGCCTCGGAGACTGCCACTGTCACTGTGCCCGTCGAGACCACGACGGTAACCGAGACGGCGACGGCGGTTGCTTCGACAATCGTGGTGATTGCTCCGACAGGTGTGGTGAAGGCGACCTACACCAACGGAGAGCAGCCTCGCTACGTCTCCCGACAAGATACGACGAACCGCGGTCTCAACACACTTGTCCTGGACAGTGCCCAAGCTGAGCCCGTCATGATGGTCTACGATGCGCCCACGAACACGTATGCGCTGCAGTACGTCACTGGTGGCCTCTACCTCTCTTGCGAAGTTGGAACGACAATGACCACGGGCACCTACGGCTTCTTCGTATCCGCCGCCGGTCGTGATGCGGGTCCTTCTGGCGGAGCCGGACCGTGGCAAGGTCGCCCCTACGAGAGCTACTGCTTCTCCGTCGCGGCCAACTCGATCACGCAGGCCACCATTCCGATCCAGGCCGTCTGGATTCAGCCCGACGGCACTAAGTTCAATCCCGTCTACATTTCTGACAATTACGAGGACCCCAACCGGTACATCATCGTGGCCGGTATGGATGGCCAATTTGGTACGGACTTGCCGACGGTCACCATGGCCCTGATCCCGCAGGCTTGAAGGCACGCATCTTCTATCGCTCCACATCACTAGTCACTATCCTGTCTTCACATGTCCATCTCTCGCAACCGCAGATTAATCGATCGCTTGCCCATTTTACCGTTTCGCTCCTTCGATGTCTGTGTCTGTAAGGAGGTAAACATATAACCGTGATCCTACTCGTACTCGACGTCAAGGCGACTAAAAGGACCTTTGGTGGTGTGTCTTTTTAGCCTTGATTGTGCGGCGACTGAAGATGTCGGGGATGAAGCCAGCATTAGGATCGATGGGTTGTGCGTCCGACGACAAGGGTGCGAGAGCGACAGAGGCAGCAGCGATGGATACGACGACGACGATGCGCTTCGTGAGCATCTTCGATCGCGGTGGCAGTCTGTGAGAGGTGAGCTGGGACCTTTCCAGCTCTCTTTCTCTTTCTAGCTGTCCCTACTTTGCGCCTAGGCGCCCGTGCGCCCGATACTATGGCGGAGTCCTGCAAATTTCATTGCGCTCCGCTCGCATGAGTGACCGCTGCTGTCCCTGCCTCAAACGACCCGTCTTTGAGGCCACCGCGACGCGGGCCGCGTCGAATGAAGTGTCGGACCGCCATCTCACAGCGAGTGGTCCCCCTTTCCAGCTTTGAATCTCCACGCACCTGAGTTCGAATCACACCAACGCCCTACAACGCACACGAGCTGCGCAACAGGCCAAAGCTGAATAGCAGGAGCGCATACTGACGGGTGGGCAAATGTCTCATCAAAATTATACGTTGTCTCTCCTCCAGGCTCTGGAGCAGTCTATGTGGCTTATGCTGTCTGATTTGCGCCCCTCTAGAGGTAGGCGAGGATGCATCCAGCGCCCTCCTCCTTTGTCACGACGCGAACCTCCGTCTTCTGCTGCCCCTCCAACACCGTTCCATCGATGCAGGTCCTCTTTGCCTTGGCGTCTGCCTGCGCCGGCGTCCATTCGTATCCGCCACACCGAATGTACTCGCAGGCTACAACTTGGTCCCCCCTGCCCTCTGAGGCCTCGTCTATGTCGCCGTCAGGCTGGGCAGGGTACGTGAATCCAACATGTTTTCCTCCGCTGTACACGCCCTTGAACATGATCGGGCCCAGCCTTTTCTGGGCAAATTGAATGCGAACGTCGGCCGTGTCGTCGCCGGACCAATTTTGAATCTCGTCGATGCTGCGCTTGAGGGACTGCACGACGGCTGGGTCCCTGCACGGCCGGATCAGCAGGAGGTCCAGCGCATCCTCGGGTCGCGCCAGCCGCGGCTCCGGGCATGAGCGAGCTGGACCAGAGAATGGGCCCGGGACAAAGTGCGGCTCCAACCGATCGGTCGAGAGGCAGGCCACATAGACAAAGGGTCCGTCGAGGGTGCTGGCGTCCTCTTTGACAAAGTCCTTGGCGAACGGATCGTAGCGGAAGACTGCATTGCCGTGCGTGTCCAAGGGCCGCAGCTTGAGTGTAGCCTGCGTCCAAACGATGGTGTTCTGCTCGGCTGCCATCTTGAATCTTTCAATGCCTGGGTGGGTCGCTCGAAGCGCTTCGGAGTCGGCCAGGATCGAGGCATGGAGCGCATGCGACGTGATGAGGTGCGCAAGCGTCGTCTTCTCGCTGTGGCCAGTCCCACTGTCACCGGCTATCGTCGAGACGCTAGCAAGGGCAAGGGGGTACATGCTGCCCGAGCTTTCTGTGTCGAGCATCTTCTCGAGGCTCTTCATCCGCCAAGCATCGCCCTCCTCCTCAGCACTGGCACCGCCTTGATCCGGCGGGTAGAGAGACGCATAGAGCGCGTTGGCCGTCCCTGCAGGTACCAGTGCGATGCTCGTCCTCGGTGGTGGTGTGTACCTCCCTTGGCTCCCAGGCTGGCCCATGAGCCCGTTAGTAACCTCGTGCGTCGTGCCGTCTCCACCAACTAGAATGACCTGCAGCTCGTCTCCTTCCTTGTCCAGGCTCGAGCGGATTAGCGAGGCGATACGGGCGCCATCGCCGGGACTTTCGGTCCGATGCACATCGAAGCGTCGGCTCTTGGCCTTCAGCCTTGGTTCAATCTCCTCTGTAAAAAGCCGTTCCGAGATTTGCCCGCCTGCCGCCGGATTGATGACGACGTGGATCATCCTCGTAGAGTCCTGCGCCATCTCTATCGCACTCTTTCAATGTTGGTCAGGTTGACTGATCGGTCGATGAGAGAAGCTGAGGTGCCTTTCATGCAAACCTGTCGGATTTTAGAGCTCGTTTTCGCGCCCGCACGGACCTGCTTTCTTCAATTCAAGTCATCAGATCATATTGATACAATCGCATGAATGACTGGACAGATAGCGCGATAGGTCGCACCCCAGGACTTCGAGAGCTACTGTTTCTTCTCTCCCTCTTCGTACAGGGTATTTTCGTCGATGCGCTCTTTTCGGCCCTCGTAGCGGTGCCACGTTGTCACCTTTTCTCCCCACTGCTGCAGCTCGATCACTCGGGTCCTGCGTGGGAAGCCGATCTGCAGTAGACGCAACGTGAGAAAATGAAGGACTGGTCGCAGATTTAGAAATCGTAGGACTTGCTCACCTTGCCATAGCCAGCGTAGGAAGTGCCGCCATTGCTGTGTCGGGCGTGCAAGACAGTGGTCAGATCGTGCTTGCAGAGGCCACTGAAATCGCCGTACTCACAAGCAGATCCACAGGCCCGTGACCCTTCTGCAGGCTGCATTGATATGCATGTGCCCGTGAAAGAAGCCTACAACGTCCCTCTCCTCCTGGGGCTGCGCGACGATTGCGTCAAAGATGCCCCCGTTCTTCTGCCCTCCCTCGAACGTGGCTCCCTCCTGCTCCTCGCCAAATTCGAGCTTGGACCCAGTGTGTGGGTCCTTGTCGACCGGCGCAAAGGCCTCGGGAATGGGAATGTGACAAAAGAAGAGGGCTTTGGGCTTGGCCAGATGCGTCGCCTTTGTGGCATTGCCGTTCCATACCTCGCCCGTGGCGGCGCTCTGCCGTTGCACAAGGGAGCTAGGCGACAAAGCGGTACCGCTCCTTCTCTTTACCTTCCACAGCCTTCCCAGATCCTTTGCCCCGTCGGGTATGTATGGCCGTGCGATCTTCTTCCACTTTGCCGAGACCTTGAGGAACCACTCGATCTGGTCCTTTCTGATCCAGTCGTACCCGTTCCACTTCCACGGCTTCCACTTGTCTTTCGGCGCAGCGCTGCCCGAGTCGAGGAGATAGAGGGTGAAGAGGTGCATGTCATCGGGGGCGGGAGAGTGAAGCTCGATGTAAAAGTTGCCAGCACCTTCGCCATCGTGCAAGCTCGCCGGACCCGTCCTGGTGAGCGAAAAGGGAAGAAGGCCGAGCATGCGCTGCTGCTCGACGCGACTCAGGTGGCCAGACTCGGAGTCGTGGTTGCCCTGGATGGCAGCCCAGGGAATCTTGCGGTCAATGACCTCCTTGAGCACTTTTGGCAGCACGCTCTTGACGTCCCAGCTGCTGCCCTGGCCATTGAGCTGGTCGCCGCTCCACACGACGAGGTCTGGTTTTTCCTCATCGAGCCACTGGCCAATGAGGGCGTTGGTGTCGTCGTCGGCCACGCAGGGTTTCTCCGAAGACTGCCAATCAACCTCCCTGCAGTCGCCATGGGTGACGGAGAAGTGCATGTCGGCCAATTGGACGATCTTGAAGGTGCCGTCGGCCTTGAAGAGCGGGTGAACGGGTAGCGGAGGGTTTGGTATTGGCGCACGGCGCATCGTAAGTCTAACGCCGCTCGAGGAGAACTCAGGCTGGTAGGGCGCCACCTGGCCCACGGGCTCGAAGCCGGGCCAGGGAGGGCCATTGCCGTAGACGATGTCGAGCTCCGTGACTGGCTGATAGGTGGAGTTGCCCGCCTTTGAAGGCTCGTGATACTCGCCTGCTTCGATTCCCACTCGGTCCTCGTCTGTACCCCCAACGGTCCGATAGTAGAGATGAAGCGGTGGGAGCTGCATGAAGATGCGCATGTAGTGGCTGCGCAGATCGGTCTTGACCCTGTGCCACCCGGCCCACTCCCCTCCTTGCGGGTTCTGGTCTGTGCCCAGCTCGACCAAACGTACCTCGACCACGTTAGGGACATCGGAGGTGCGCTTGGAGCGCCTATAGAAGATGTAGCGAGACTCGAGGGAGCCAAAGATGTTGCCGAAGACGCCGCCTCCCGTTGTCTTGCCCTTGTCCTTGGACTCATTGACCTCACTCTCAGAGTCTAGCGGTCGATCTACTTTGACCCAAGGCCCCAGCCGAGCATCCTTTGCGGCAGTACTCGGAGGTCGACATACCTCGAAACCAAATCGAAAGCACTGGTGGACGGTGATCTCAGTGAGGGGAAATGTGTTGGGCACCAAGGGCGCAAAGATGTCGTTCGGAAACGAAGGGCCATACGTGATGGGAGCGGAGGTCGCTGTGGAGGAATGCTGTTCCTCGAGGTCTTGCTGGGGCTTGGCGAGACTGTGTGGCGAAGCGAGCATGTCAAAGGCCTGGTAGCCAATGTAGCGAGTTGAAGGGGGAAACGAAGGTCGATAGAGGAGACATGTCCACGTCAGCAGAAAGATGAAGCCCGCCCATGCGAGGCAGAATCTGATCGGAGGCCTCGTGCAGCACGAGCACCTTCTTTTCCTCCTGTCGGGAGTCCCCAACTGGCTCCATGCTGGCGTCCTTGTCACCATAGCTGGTGTTTCAGGAGGTCAGTTCGCGGGTCAGTCCAACAGCGTGCTAGTTAGTCTCTTTGGTCTGCAGACGCGCCAATAGTCTATTTCTTATTTGTCTGTCCGAAACCCGAAGAGCAGAAGAACTACAGAGCCCCACGCACGTCCTGCGTCCATCACCGATTGTCGTCATGGCTGCTGGGACAAAGTGGCAGCTGCTGTCGGCGGCCATGCGACGCCCAGCCAGAGGTGCCTGGCCATCAATTGCCTCAGCATCGGCGATCAGGCCAAGTGCCAGGCTAGCTGCGATTCCCGCGCGGACCCTCACATACCGATCACCAAGACAAAGCAGGCCTTTTTCCTTCTCAGCTCCTCGCAGAGACAAGAACTTTGCAGCTGCCACCGACCTCGAGACGTCCTCGCCGATTGCCCGATATGACAGCCTGGTCAAAAAAGGGCTTCTTCGAGAGGACTCGTACCAGCGAAAAATTGTCGGAAAGCTCGAAGCGCTGCACGAGGAACTCAAGAGTTACACGCAGAAGCTGCAGCCAGAGCCTCGCTCGCCCACGCACGATGGCGGATTTGTGAGTCTGCTGTGCCTAATCGGCATTGTCTTTGCTGACCATGCCATTTAGCTTTCACGCCTATTTGGGCGGAGACCGCCGACAGTGGGGGAGCAGGAAAGCATCACCATCCCTTCCGATATCCCCAAGGGCCTCTATCTCTACGGAGACGTGGGTACGGGAAAGAGGTAAGTCAATCATGTCGTATGCCTTCCAGAATCTCTGCTAAGTCTTTGCTTCTCCAGTATGCTGATGGATCTTTTCTACGATACGTTGCCGGCCAACATTACAAAGAAACGACGAGTACACTTTCACCAATTCATGATCGATGCTCACAAGCGCATGCATGCATTTAAGGCGCTCACGCACCGCCCTAGCGGCATGGTCATGTCTGCACGCAGCGCAGCATTCAACGCCGTCGGAGCTGGTGGCGCCGCGGGCGGAGGCAAAGAGCGATCGCAGTTGAGCAAGGATGCGGGAGAAGAGGTGGACCCGATTCCTCACGTCGCACGAGAATTTGCGGAAGAGGCCAGCGTGCTCTGCTTTGACGAGTTCCAAGTGACAGACATTGCAGACGCCATGATTCTTCGGCGGTTGTTTGAGCACATGCTCGGTCACGGCGTTGTCTGTGTCGCCACGTCCAAGTGAGTTATCTATCGCTTTTGTCTTCTTGCCCTGTATTGATGTTCTTTTTCCGCAGCCGACACCCGGATCAACTGTACAAGAATGGCATCCAGCGCTCGTCATTTGTGCCCTGCATCGAGCTCCTCAAGAAGCAGCTCGACGTCACCGACCTGGACAGCGGGACCGACTACCGCAAGGTGCCACGGGCGCTGTCCAAAGTCTACTTTTCTCCCCTTTCGCCCGAGAACCTGTCGGAGATGAACAAGCTCTGGGACGCCCTGACGTCCGATGAAGACGTTGTCACAAATCGACCCCTAACAATCTGGGGAAGGACGCTGCCCGTCCCGCTCTCAACGCCTCGCGTTGCTCGCTTCACATTCATGGAACTCTGCGGCCGGCCGAGGAGCGCGGCAGACTACATTGAAGTGTGCCGATCGTTTGGCACCATTTTCATCGACGAGATTCCCGAAATGGGTCTGCATCAAAAGGACCTGGCCAGACGCTTCATCACATTTGTCGATGCCGCATACGAGTCCAAGGTCAGACTCTTTGCGAGCAGCGAGGTCGAGATGATGAAGATCTTCAGCAAGGGCGAAAGGACACAAGATGGCCCTACGCCAGACCAACTGAGAGCGCTTATGGATGACTTGGTACGTTTTCCTTGGCTCCACTTTTTGATCTCATAAAAGACAAGGTAGCTGACTTGTAGAGCTACACCCCACAGGGACTGACGATGGACCAGATGGGCGGCCTACCACTGGCTACTGGCGAAGAGGAAATCTTTGCCTTTGCACGCGTACTGAGCCGGTTGAGCGAGATGAGCTCAAAGCAGTACGCGGAGCTTGCCGGGGGCCAGCACGAGGCCCCGCCAGAGTATTGAGCATGCCACACGCGTCGGCTCTACGGACACCATGCCAAAGATCGTAGTGGGACCCTAGTGCTGGGCCTGGAAGATGAGGCGCAGTCTGGAACATGTCTAGAGATATCCATTGAATAGATGCTCGAATGAACAACATTGGAAGAAGTTTAATTAGCGAATCTGTTGAGCGGCCGATGATCGCATCATGTCAGTGGTAGGAAAAAAGGAGAGGAAAATGAACGGCTGAACTCACAAGCTGGGGCTTCTGTGCAAACGCGACTCTCCTCTGCTCTTCGTCTCTCCGGTCACTGCTCACAGCAGATCGACCGTCTTCGAAGCTCCTCCGCGGGTATACATCTCCTCCACCGCCTGCTAGTCCACCTGCTCCCTTTCGTGGAGGCGCGGTGGCAGTGGCCGCAGGATTGACTGGTGGTGCACTAAGTCTCCGGTAGTTTACCGGTGGCCTCGGCTGGACAGACAGACCTTGCGCCTGCTGCTGCTGGTGCTGCAACGCGACCGGATGCCTCGGCGGGGGATTGGGTGGTACCGGTCGCGCATGCCTCGCCGCCGCGTAGCCCTCGTACTCGTCCCTTCCCAGGGGCGCAGAATCATGGCGCGTACGGCTTGCAGCAGCCGAAGAAGATGGGGTAGCGTCGTAGATGTACCCGCCATAACCGTCTGCGGTCCTCTTGACTGAACCGCCCGAGGTAGAATAGTCGAATCGAGTCTGATAATTCGATGCGAGGTCTGTAACCCTCCGCATATTGGATGGCAGATCCGTCGGTGGCGAGAGAGGCCTGTCGACGTTGGGACCCCTCTGACGGTCTCTCTCCTCTTTCTCGGCCTGGTAGTGAGCCTTCATGCGCGCAACAAAGCTCCGCTCGCTGTCCGTCGAAAGTGTCCGGTTGAGGCTCATGTTGCTCAGACGGCTGCCGCCGACGGAAGGAGCGTAGCGGTCCGGCTCGTAACGGACACGTTGCTCCTCTTCGTAATCCGGCCTTCGATCGGCATAGTGACGAGGCTGCTGAACAGGTTCAGAGTATCTAGGACGTGGCGAGGCTACGTGGTCAATGCGTTGGGGCATGGGCGGGGGCGTTGCGACAACGTCCTCTCTCCGATAGCCCTTTGCAACGGCCGCTCCCTCCCGATCGAGCATCCTTAGCCGATCCTCGGCCTCGGCGAGCCGTCTCTGTAGCTCGGCCTCACGCTCGAGCTGCTTTTCGCGCTCCTTTTCGCGCTCCCAAACACTCACGCTGCGCCCGCCATGGCTGCCCGACCTCGCACTGCCGTTATTTGCGTTTTCGGTGGGGAATCCGCGGCCAAGTGATGCTGTAGCATAAGGTCTCGAGGCATCTTGCAACGGTGCAAGGAGCGATGCCTGTTCTTGTACTGATGTTTGCGCGCTTGCAGCTTCTTGGCGCTGCGCGTCAGTGTCCACGTAGCGGTCCAGGGGTCGATGAAGCGGCAAGTCTTTGACAGCTGCTGCGCGCTCGGTCTCGAAGTTCTTGGTCGGGGATGACGAAAGCTGATTCTTGTTTTTAAGAATGCCAACAGTCGGGCTGGACGTCGCCTGCTGCTGCTGCTGCTGCTGCTGTTGCTGCTGCTGCTGGGCCTCTTCCTCGGCCTCCTCGTCCTCTTCCTTGATCATCTTGGACGGGTCAAAGAGCCCGTCCAAGCGCTCGTCGGGCGGCGTGAGGGGCGTGTGGGGACCTCGGCCCGCACCAACACCAGCCAGATTGATCATGGAATTGTTGGAGTCTTCTGATCCCAGGTTTGACGCGGAATTGCTCAGGCTCGGCGTGGCGTCTGAACTGTTTTGGCCTCGCGATGTGTCCTGGCGCGCATTGCTTGTCGTGTCTCGTGCAACGCTCGTTGCGGGAGCTGCGGGAGGAGAAGCAGAAGTTGTGGTGGGCTCCGCGGCTGGCTCCTCATCCTTCCTATCCTCGTCCTGGCCGCGATCAATGATAGTTCCCTCGGCCCCTGACGAACTTTGAGCGTGATGCGAAGGCTTCTTTTCCTCTTCGGCTGAAGTGTCCTCCTTAGGTGAAGGTGGCTGCTCTTCCCACTTCTCTGACTTGACCGACACCGCCTGAACGGTGGGTTTGCGCGAGACTGTGACAGCCGCCACGTTTGCCGCATCGGCCTTCTTTTCCTTGGGCGACTCAGCTGCTGCTGCTTTCTCTCCCGGTGCTTTGTCCGCAACAACTTTTCCGTTGCTATCGAGCCTTGGGAGATTAGCATATGTCACGCTCGGATCCTTGTCTGTCTCCTTGGCCAGCTGCTGCTGCTGCTGCTGCTGCTGCTGCTGAGGAGGAGGCTGCCAGCCCATCTGTTCCGCTTTCCAAGCGGTCTGGGCCTTCTCGATTGCTGCCTGCCGCAGCTTCTCCTGCTGGTTGATGGCCTCACGAGCCTCGAGCTCCTTGACGGCCAGCACCTGGGCCCAGCCCAGCGCTTCGTCAGTCAGCTCAGGAGGCTGAACGTTAGCCATGGCCTCGCTCGAGGCGAAGTTGAGCCACTCGTTGAGCTTGCCCACATGTGGCCCGATCTTTCTGACTTCCTCGCAGTGCGCCTTCCACTCGGTATCGGCAAGGCCGCCCATCGTCGCAGCCACCGCGAGGCTGGTAAGGTATGTCTTGGCGCCAATACTGGTCCCATGGGTACTCTTTGCGCTTGCGATGTCGTTGGTTAGGCCCTGGATGTCACGGATGTACTTGTCGTGGCTCTCGACCGCTCCTCGCCCGCTCTTCTTGACATTCTTTTCGTGTGTCGCATGGGCCTTCTTGACCTTGGAATCGAGAGTCTCGACGAGGTCGTCGTGTGCCTTTTCCTCTTTTGCAATCTTTTTAAAGTATCGCGCGCAATGCTCGTTGAGGGCCTCGTACTCCTTTTGCACCATCTTTGCATGCTTCGAATGGACGTCGTTGATGCCCTCAAAGATGGCAGAGGAGGCCAGAAGCGTGTTGGCGGGGACCTCTTCGAGGGCCTTGGCCTTTCCCAGCTCGTTGAGGCTCTTTGCCAGCCGTTTCTCGCTCTTTGCTAAACGCGCCTTGAGGTCTCTATACTCGTCTACGGCGTCAAGGACGGACTCGAGTGCTTTAAGGCTCTTGTGCATGTCGTTACGGTCAATGGCGTGCGATTGACCAGCTTTGTTGTCTGCTTCCTGTGCATGCAGCTTCGTGGATGGCGCCGTCGGCGATGTGGGCCTTGACGAAGATGGCGCCAGGTTTTGGACGGGCGCCAGATGACCCATTCCAAGGACGTGCATTGTTCCGTTGGAAGTGCCGATGCTGTTGCTGTTGCTTGGCGTGGGCGAGAGATTGGTGAAAGATGGGACAGAGTCAAAATATTGGCCTCGAGACGAGGTGGCCTGACCAGGCGAAGGCGTGTTGGGGTTCGAAGGCGTGCCCGTGTAGCTTCGGCTGCTGTTGATGCTGCTGGTGTAGTATGGTGGCCCAGGTGGCGCAAGGCTGCCGCTGGCCACGTTGTTAGTCTGGTGAGATGATGCGACGCTATAGACGCTTTGGTGGCCAATGGAAGATGTCGGTCCTACGTGACTCCGTTGTTCAGTTCCGGTGGACGCAGAAGCCGGCGTGAAAGGGGCTGATCCGCCGTATTGCGAACTTCCTCCTCCGCCTCCGCTCCCGCCTCCGAAGAACTTTTTCATTGTGCCGCTGACACGCCAAGGGCGGTTATCTCGTCGCCTTGTCTTTCCCAGGGGCTCTCGTGGTGGTCAATGCACGGGCGGTTCGGTATATTCCTAAAGCTCCGCCTTCTTTATGAGCCCGCTTCCTCTGTCGAAGCGACTGGCTGGCTAGCTTTATGTGTGCTGTTTGTGGCAGTGTGTCTCGGTGTCGTTGATGGTGGGGCGTCGAAAGCTGATGTACAATGTAGTGCTCTGCTCGACCGACCCGTCAAGCTGCTTTAAACAAAACGCGCCTCGCTGCAGCCTGTCGAGCGGCCAAATCAAGCTCAGGGGTCGAAACTAAAAAGTCCGCGTCTTAGAAGATGACCCGAGCAATGATTGACCACGTGGCTCCAAGCAACCGTGTTCCGGCATCGTCTCTCTAGCGCCGTGACGGCTCGACGCGGGCACGGATTGGATTCAGCCTTCGTCACTGCTCATGGGCTCTACGTTGAGTCTTTGAGCGCATTCAAGAAGGCCAGACTGATGAAGGCAAAGGATCCGCACATGAGAGGCTCTAGTCACCTCCTAGCACCTATTCGCAGGCCAAGCCTGCGATGGCGATGACTTCTTATGTTGAGATTGGCCAAGAAGTAGTGCTTTCACTTTTCAAGCCCCGCATTTGTAGAGACTTATTTGTTTTTCATCTTCGGGCTGGAGAAAAGGGCTGGAGGAAATTGAAACTGGAAAGAGATCGCGCATCGTCCCACTGCCAGAGACGGTTAGGAAAAATCAGCTTCCCCGCCTCTCATACCTCTTCTGACCCTCCGCTCTCACACTCTCTCACCCTCTCCTTCCTCGCTCTCTCTCTCCCTCAATCTCCTTACCCTTCCGCCTACTCCCCCCCGTTCGCCTTCTTGCCTTCTCCCAGCCTTCGTCTCCCACATCACTCGTTTCCGCCATTTCTTTTCAAGTCGATTGAAACCAAGGATTACCAAAAAGCCGGAACCGTACCATGGCTCCACTCAACCCTCTGCTCCTCGAGCTGCCACTGCACCTGGCGGTGTTTGGCTTTGCTACGGCCCTGATGGGCCTCACGGGCTCTCACATCCACCAGCTTGGCGCTATTGTGGACAAGATGCAGCACCAGAGCTCATACCCGGACTTTGTCAATCTTGACACCCAAATGATACGCAATGTCGACTTGTGAGTCGCCAAATTTCTGCCTTTTCAACCCCGCGAGAGACTGACTGCGTTCACCTCTATGACAGAGCCATGCTCGTCATTGGATGCGTCCAGTGGGTCTTTAGCGGCTTTGCACTTCTCATGGCCTGCAACCAGTTCAAGAAGCGGAGGGGAGAGTACTCCGGAAAGGGTACTGGCGCCTGGCTGGTCGTTGGCCTCGGCCAGCTCCTTCTCTTGGGCGCGTGGACGGGTGTTGTGGCAGCATACACGGCCTACACGGTCATGAAGACGTACAACTTCAGGGAGGGCTCGGGCTACTCGGAGCCATTTGACAGCAACCACGCCATTTACCTCTTCCAGATCAATTCGTGAGTTGCTCTTCTCTTATCTTGGGTTCATCATTTCACTAACCGATCGAGTTGTTTTCGACAGCTACATCCAACAGCAATCGACGGAGAGCCTCATCATTGGCCAGAACCCCGGAGCGACGGGCATCACCTTCTCCCTTGGCGAGTGGGACGTTTCGACGCTGGCCGAGGCCAATGCGATTCTCAACAAGCAGAATTACCTCAACATCTTCTCGTGGAAGGCCGCCGTCGCCGTGGGCTGGTTCGAGCTTGGCACCACCTTCCTTGTCACCGTCGTCCACTTTGCCCTTCCATTCGTCTGGAAGCGCATGGGCCTGATCCGACAGCCAAAGAAGACGAGCCAAGAGTACTACTAGTCGCCATTTCTTCTTTTCTCTCTTCCATCCGCCTCAACCTTCTACCTTCTTCGCTTCAGGTGTACGCTTATTCAACACACACACTCTCTCTTTACCCCGTACTTCTCGCCTTTTTTTGTGCTCTCGAGCCACTTTCCCGTTGCTACCATAAGCCCCTCGCGTGCGGTCACATTGGTGCCTGCGCCCATCGGCGAGCTCTGCTACCGTCCCACATACAGTCGTTTTAGCACACATAGTACCCCACCTTCTGTTGTTGCTTGCTCGAATCTTGATTCTTTTCTGGATCTCACTTTGCTCCTCAGCCTTTCGTCGCACAGGCTACTACTTGCATCCGGCTCTATGCGCTCCACCGCGGCTGACTGACCGACGCGTGCGCTGACGCGCGCGAAGAAAATTGGACAGCTCCAATGCAGATGCTCGTGTTGGTTGCTTGCAACATTCACCTGAGGCAACACGACTCGACAGACGCCTCACATCATTGGAAGGGAGTGAGGAAGCCATGCTGTACATGTGGTTCTATATGACTCCCGAGTAAAAGCCAAGGAAGAAGACAAGATAGGGGGTCAAAAGGCTGGAAAAGCGGTCCATGCGACAGTCGACACTCTCTGCGTTTGGGCCGCCTCGTCCGACCACGGCGCCACCGATTGACGCGCGGCCTCCTCTGCCTCTCCCTTACTTCGACCAAGACTTGTCCAACAGTGTTGAAGGTGGCGCAACAGCTGATATAGAAGGCGATCCGGAGCGGCAAGGCAAGGAAATGCCGGCTCCTGCGCTCCCTCCGTCGGACAACGACCAACGTCTGCATCCTGCGGCCGAGACGATGGATCATGGAGGGCCCGAGATTGGCACGGGCCGAGGCCAGGAGGCGGGAAGTGACGTGTCTTCATGGCTTCCCAGACCAGGGCCGTCTTCGTCGTCTGGCGAGGCAGCGCCGACACGCAGCAGGAGAGCCGCTGCGACGCGGTCCGAGGCGCAAAGTCGGCAAATGACGCTGGCGCTCAATGGCGCGCTGGCTCTGGAGAGAAAGGCTGCCTTATCTTTCGCTGGAAGAGAGGCAGGGGATGATGGGGAAGAATACCTGGTAGAGACGGGCAGCGGTGGTGTGGGGGCTGCGAATGAAAGCGAAAGTGTTCCGAAGAGAAGAAAGAGGGGAAGGCCGAGGAAGGATGAGGCGGCAAAGGACAAAGCGAGGGAGATCAATCTAGTCGACGATGACGAGGAAGACGAGGAGGGAAAGAAGAAGATGGAAGAGGCGAGGAATAGAAAAAAGAAGGAGAAAGAAAGGGAGCAGGAGAAGGAGATGAGCCTGCAAGTCAAAGGGAACGGCTCCTCCGACGGGAAAGTCCACTCCTTTTTCGCAAAGCGACTACCGCGGCCGCCGGCAGAAGAGCAGACGAAGGACGTCGCTGCCGCCAATCAGAACGCCTTCTTTGTGGCGGGCAACGGGAGCTCCTCTAGAGCGGCAGCGCCGTCATCAATAGTCAAGAAAAGGCCCCTGATGGAAGCGAGGTGGCCGAGAAGTGAGGAAATGCTCGTCGAACCTCCTCCGCAGGTACAAGATGTCCTACCGTGGAGTCGTCAATTCAATTGGCCAAAGAAGGAACCCAAGGACCGTATCCATAATGGCTTAGCACCCGAAGAGTTGCAGCCATTGCCTTGGCAACATCGCGCCGGAGCACACAACAAAGGTCGAAACGAAGGCGGCCGTTCGCCCGTCACATCGTCTAAATTGCACCCAGAACAATTGGAAGAGCTCGTAGCTTCGAGTGCGAACACACTTCCAAGCGGAAGCTCCACGAAGCTCGCCGGCAAAGGCCTCACTCAAAATAGGTCAACCAAAACCAACGAGGCTTGGACTGATCGATGGAGGCCGCTCAGGGCTGATGAAGTGCTCGGCAACGAGGTCGGAGCGACTTATCTGCGCGACTGGATACATCAACTTCAGGTCTCGCCTACGGCCTCGGTCAGAAGTACGGCCAAGACGGAGCAGGAACAGAATGGCTTGTCATCGTCGCCTGGCAAGAACAAGAAGCGCACGATGCAAGTTCAGAAAAGGGCCGAAAAGAAACGTCGAAAGAAGGCTGCTTCGAGGCGAGGGGGTCTCGATGGCTTCTTGGTGGACGACGACGATGGCGAAGATCAAGTCGGAAGCTGGGACGAGGGAGACGACGAGGAAAGTGCGTGGTTCGATCAGTTCCGAACAAAGAACGTTGAAGACCTAGTAGCTACCGCGAATGTAGACGAGCCAGATGAGACGTTATTTGCCAACAGCGATAGGCTGGCGAATGTCCTTGTTCTCACCGGTCCCACCGGCAGCGGCAAGACAGCATCGGTGTATGCGTGTGCCTCGGAGCTCAACCACGAGGTCTTTGAGATCTACCCTGGCATGGGAAAGAGAAGCGGAAAGGAGCTCAGCACGGCTGTCGGCGACCTAGGGCGAAACCATATGGTTTCGAGTGGCGGCACGGGAGGGGGAGCTACTTGGAAAATGCTAGATAGGAAAGAAACTACGACGATCTCGAGCAACGGCCACTCGACAAAGCCTCGTCAGTCAGTCATTCTCATTGAGGAAGTAGACCTGCTTTACGACGAAGACAAAGGCTTTTGGGCCGCCGTCGTCGAGCTTGTTGCCGAATCTAGGCGACCAGTGATTCTGACATGCAACGGTAAGTGGTATTCCCCCAACTTTCCTTGAAATGAAAGACTAAAGCCTTCTCAGATCTCTCGGCTGTACCGTTAAGCGATCTGCCCATCCAGCGGGTCCTCACCTTCCGCCCGCCTCCTGCATCGATCGCAGTTCCTTATTTGCAGCTTCTGTGCGCTCACGAGGGATACCTTGTCGAGCGAGCCGATCTGGAGAAACTCTACGCTTCGACGCAAGGGCTTGAAATGGATCGAGCAGCTATCTCGCAGCTGACTTTTACTTCGGATGGGCGAGATGGCGGTCCGGTCAATCCACGCATGCAGCTCAATGCCATCGACAAGCTGTCAGATCATGAGTCCTTCGCTGCACTCGACCTTCGCCAGGCTATAAATCAGCTTCAATTCGAGTGTCAAGGGTCCTGTGACTCAACAGCGAACACGCATCCAGCCAAGGCAGCGGCCCCCTCGTGTCGGCGGTTGATGCCACAGCAGCTGGAGAATCGCTCCTTCTTCGATGCATCGATCGAAGCGCCGTTCGATCGCGCGAGCGAACTTCTGGAGCCCGATCGCTACCTGCCCTTTGCGACGCATGATGAGTTGCAGCTGCCAAACGAGATGGTTGCCTTACCAAAGATGAAGCCAAGACCAATCTGGGCGGCATTTCCCACCTTTGCTCGCGAGGACGAATATCGTTCTGTCCTTGCGCCTTGGAATAGCGACGAAGAAGAGCTGTTACTAGGTCGCCGGACAACATCGAGGAAGGTCGATGAGGTGCTGGGGTGCAGGGGTCTCTGCCTCGCTCCCTCCTGGTCTGCCTTCCTCGGCTCCGATCACTGCATCACCGACTACACTTCGCATCTCTGCCGCATGGTCGCCATCGACGATGTGGCTCAAGCGCAGCACGCTGCGGAACTCGCACGGGCCCAAGAAGAGGCTCTGAAGCGACGGCAGGCCCTTTTCGAAGAAGCAAGTGCCGTCTCGGGAGGCAGCCAGCGGCAGCTCGACGAAGAGGCGCTGCAGAGCGCAAGCTTCAGTCTGGCAAAGATTGGCATCAGGAGCACGCGGGGCTCCACCCAGATGATCCTGAGCGGCAGCTCCGAGGGACCGGGCGACTTTGTGAGACTGCTGGACCTGGACAAGCCAATTCTGGAACGGATCAGGGAAGTAGGATCATTCAGCATGTAAAAAGGAAACCAAGCAAACATCATGTACCGTATTCGAATCAATCGATGCTCGTGTCAAACTCAAACCAAGAGCTTTAACAGTTGTTTCATTGAGGAGCAGAAGAGGAATCTGAATCGACGCCAAGGAGAATCCTAACCTCTTGAACGCTTCTCAGCTTCAAACCCGAAGTTCCAGAGGTTTCCGTCTCGACGAGGACCTTGTAGTCATCGGCGAGGCTTCTCAGCGCATTGCCATGCACAGCGCTCCGAGCCGACGGAGACTGAAGCAGGCGGAGCTCGGGTGGAGCAAGAAGCGCAGCACCCGAATTGAGAAACGTCTCCAAGGACGCTTGCATCTTTTTCCACTCCTTCTCGTCCGTCCTCTTGGGCGGGGCAGAGGCCATTGTCGAGAGGCCGCTCTGCCGCAGGAGATGTCGATGGTGTCGCCCCGTCAGGTCTCCGAGAAGTCGGGAGGCCTCTCGGTCGACCTTGATCTTTGTCAAGCTGAGCGTCGCTTCGTAGGGCTCGACAACGGTGGTGCGCATGTGGCCCAAGCAGTTGAGGAGGTAGATGGACCTATTCCAGTGGGCTGGCGTGTCGTCGTCTATATTAGCAGCGGGATCCAGCAGATCCTTTGCGCTGCTGCTCCTCCGTCGGCTCGATGCAGGCAGGAGCGTGTCTGCACATCGAACGCACAGCTCCATCATCGCATCGATCAGACGCGCAAGGACCGGTCCGATGTCTGAAGCGACATTTTGCCCCTCTTTCTCGTCATCGCGTAGAGGCAGGGTGTCGCCAAAGAGGTCTTGCTCGGACAGTGTTGACTGGTGGACCGCCAGAAGCTCCTTGAGTGTGGCACATGCGCCCAAAAGCGGTGGCGATGGTCCCAAGTCCGACTCGGGCGTCTGGTGGAAGCGTGAAAGGCCAGCTGCGAGATTGTCGAGGGTGTTGAGAAAAGCTCGATATGAGACCTGGCTGATCTCTGAGAGCGTCTTGCTCAGCGCCGCTTTGCTTCCAATTGTCCGTTCCATCGTCACCCGGTAGAACTGAACGAGCGAAGCGAGCTTGAAAGTCGTAATGCACCCTTCCTGCGAGTTGACAGTCTGCTCGACGCGCACGTTGAGCGGCCTGCCGCAGCCTTCCAGGACACGATCGAGGACTTCCCTCGTCCAGATCTCGCCCTTCGTCAGACCAATCTGCTCCATAACATCGCGATCTCTTGTATAGTCGATGCTGCCTTCCAGGCCTCGTCGACGTTCTCCCACCCTCCGTCGACCTTCGATGTCTTCTGCCTTTTCAAGACGTGAGAAGAGGCCGATGAGGAACTCGCGCTCAGAGGCTACCGACTGGTGAACCCAGGCCAGCATGTCGCCGACGTAGCGCATCGGGTCGTGGGCATGTAGCTCGATGGGCCGAGGCAAAAAGGAAGGCGCGGGTCCGCCCACTGTCAAGGCCATCTGAAAGGCATTTGACAGTTGCTTCGCTCTGGTCGTGGCTAAAGCCTTGAGTGCAGGTCTGGGGAGACAGAAAGTCAGCGTGTCCAGTCTGGCCCCAAGCACCTTGAAACTCTGGCATCTCACCTGAGCAGGTCCTCTCGCTGATCAAGCCTCTTGACCGACTCTCGCACATTTTGTCCGACATCCTGGCCCTCTTTGAAGGTACTTCGAAGCTCAAACGTGAGCCACTTGGCCACCTTGGTCTGCGCCTTGTCCATCAGGCTGGCCGTCTCGTCCATGATGTCAATGCCCGCCCTCATGCCGCCCACCTGCCCCTCTTCGCGGCCTACGAGGAGGACATGGCAGTCGGCCCTTATGGCCTCGATGCGATCCATTGCCTCAAAGAGAAGAGGCCCGACCGGAAGCGATCTCGATTCGATTGCGTCGATCTGTGCCTCGGCTAGTGTGAAGCGCGAGAGAAAGGCGTTGAGCAGCTTTGCATTCTGCGCTGTCGTTGCCCTCTGCTTTCGCAAGCCATCGGCATGTTCCAAGAGGTACCGCGTCGAATCGTCTGCGCGGGTAAGTCTTGAGTCGATGTCGTTGCAGGCCGCGTAGAGCTCGTCGATGTGGTTTGAGACATCTGAGATCGCCCGGTCCACTGTCTCCAGGACGTCCAAGTAGCCCAGCGTGGCGTCCTCGACCGAGTCCTCTGCATCTTTGGCCACCCTCGTCCGTGCCCACGCCACGTCAAAGTGCTTCTTGTGCTTTGCATCGTCTCGACGGCTGTAGCGCTCCTCTATATCGTCGAGGGCCTGTTTGACTGCCTCGGGGTCCGTCTCTTTCGAGCGTCTAGGATCAAAGATGGAGCGAAGCTTGAGCGAGAGCGGGTGCGTCGCGGGCAAGGGGTCGAGGTGTGACGACGAGCCCGGTCGCCTTCGCGAAGGCCCTGCCTCGGTCGAGGCTGCCATGCGTTTGCCTTTCCCTCTGGCTCTTTCGCTCGCGCGCTCGCTGTCCGGGCGCCGCGTTGTCAATGAGAGCAGACAGGTTCGGCGCACGGCCACTTCCCTCTCTTGGCCCTGCATTTTCGATTTTTCAGGTCGGCCGGCGACCAAAAGCAACGAACGCGTCGAGTGGAGCAGCCAGTCTCGCCTTCTGTCCTTTCACCTCTCACCTCACCTCTTCTCTTCTCTCCTCCCTTCCCTTTCCCGTCTTTTCCGTCTCGTCTTCGTTGCGGCGTTTGTTCACGTAGAGGAGGCAGAATGCATCGAGGGAGTAGCATCGGCACCGGAAGTGGTCCATGGCCTTCTCAAGGTGTCGAGGACCCTCTCTACGAACAGGACGAAGAAGGTGTTGATGAGGAAGAGCACAGGGAGCGGCTTCAGGACGCTTCGTCTACCGACAAGCCTACAAGGCCGGCGGGTCCACAGCCGTTGACGGGGAGGAGAAAGACGCTAGGAAACGAGGGAACCAACGACGCCGAGCCGCTTTCAAACTCAAACGGCTTCGACAACCACGAAGCTGGCGGGGCCAGTGGCTCTTCGTCTTCGTCCAAGGTCCCAGCGGCAGGTGCAGGTACGAGGGTAGGGCCAAGACCGGTGCCAAAGTCTTCGTCTTCGCTTCGTCACATCTCTTCCAATACACGTAACGTCTCCTTTGGCGTCCCCGCTGTCCACGACACACCCTACGCCGGCGGCGAAGGAAGCGCCGTGCAGAGGCAGCTCAACGCTGACAAGAGGAGGCTAAACAAGGAAGAGCATGATATCGGTCCAGATGCTGAGGACGACAGCGAAGGCTCGCAGTCAAGCGGTGGCAGCTACGAGGCGGACTTGTATGGGTCAATAAGGAAGAGAAAGGAAGGCTCACCCTCTTTGTCCGCAAATCTCGAACTCATCGGCAGCGACGATGACGAAGACTACGGCTTCGACGATGCCGGAAGAAATTTCTGGCAGAGCAAACCCTCGATAGACGTGCAGGGACGGGAAGCAAATCTAAACGACTCCCTTTTAGGATTCCCGTATGACTCGGAGACTCGTGGGCTGGCAGACGTTGATGCTGGGGAGGGAAACAATGCGTTCGGCATGGACCTGGGGCCTCGTCGAAGCGAAGCTAGAAGACGGTTCAGCGATTCGTCGTCGTCCTTCGCTATTCCAGGGGACGTAGATGCGAGCGCAGAGGCTGATGCGCGGAAACGAGATCGATACCTCGCTGCTGAACCTGGCGGGCCTTCGCTGTCTGGTCCCAAGCGTGCGCCGTGGCATCCAAAAGGGCCAGCAGGAGACGGTAGTCGTGTAAGCCCGCCTCTCCTGGGCCCCACGAGCGGCCTCATGACACCAGGACCCCAATTCCCCCAGACTCTTCACACGCCAGTTGGGACACCTCCAGGTGAGATGTCTTTGTATCTATGGCATCACCCACGCGCGCTAACACTGTCAACGAAACAGAGCATACACCCATCGTGGAGCCCCGGCAACGACTTGAGTGGTACACCATGCTCGAGTCCGTCCTGGCTTCCGAAGTGCTTCGCTCCGAGACGAAGAGAATCAACTCTGCTGATGCGCCCTCGTTGACAAAGGAAAAGCTCATGTACCATCGCTGGCTCGACATTCGCGCCAGTCTCCGCGGTCGAGGCCATCTTGCCGGCGCAGTCGAGACGGAGGAGAAAAGGCTGGCAAGTGGATGGCCGATCATGGTCCGCGAGGTCATTGGAGCCATCAACGAATGCAGGGGCGTGGCTGAGAAGCGAGGTCTCGAAGTTCAGCAAGCCCACGACGACGCAGAGGCGGCAGCAACGACGGCAGCGGCAGGGTTGATTGGGAGAGATCAAGTCGTCCATGAGGCCAGCCGTGCCGTCGACGACAGCTCTGGCATCAAGGAGAAGATTCTCGATGAGGTCGGTCAGCTCCTCGCGCGTGTTGACAGCGCAGAGGAACAGTTTCCTTCGATGAAGAAGATCGTAGAGGTGGTGCCAGAGTGGGGCAGCAAGGCTCTGCAGGACAAGCTCGAGGCGCTGTACAGCTGGTACAATGTCACTAACAGTCTTCGGCTCCAAATTGGTGTCTTGCAAAAGTGGACCGGTAGTGACACACTCGAGATTGCAGGACACCAAGCCCCCAATCGTCAAGACCCCGAACGGAGCCACATGGAATCTGGCCGTCCTCACCAGGGCGTCGGGGGACCACCTGGTGCGGGAGCGCTTGCGGGCAAGGAGATGGAGGAGAGCACCTTCCTGGAGCGAATCCTCAAGGAAGACTCGCTTCAATCAACTTTTGAGAAGCGGACCCTTTCAACGCTCAATGCGCTCATTCTCAAGGCCAAGGCATCGATCATCCAGCACCACAATGCTTTCAGCCGGATGGCTTTGCCTTCCTTTGAGCCTGAGCTGGTGCAGCTCATCAATTTCCCGACTCGCATCATGGAGGGGGCTCTCAAGCTTCGGCTCGACTATGCAGGCAAGCTGCGCGATCCGAGCGTGCTCATCATCGACTCGTTGACCGACGACTTGAGAGCCGCTATCGCCCTGGCCTGCCGCATCAAGATCCAATACACGAGCATGATGATTCCCGACCCTGCCAATGGCTGGGAGCTGCCGCCGTGCATCGGCATTGGCTACGACGACGTGCTCCGTCAAGCCTTGCGCTTCTTCTTCAAGCTGCTTCAGTTCAAGCTCAAGGGTGCCGTGTACTTTAAAGAGACGGAAGTCTTGGAGCCCGAATGGCGCTTCCTCAGCACCGCCGTTGAGGTGATCGATGGAGGTGATGTGATCGTGGCCAAGAGCGTGACCAGATTCGTCAACCAGCTCTTCAATCGCATCGTCGACTACTTTCGGAGGGAGCTCTCTGCGCCAACGACAACGGCAAGGTCCTCGCGCTATGGCCGTAACCTCGCAGATGGCCCTCCACGTCGCTTCGACGCCATTCGCTCCCAGACAAAGGCAGCTGAGATGGCGCCCCGCGGGCCCTCGACGGCGGGCGACCTCACAAAGGGCAATGTCCTCGTCACGCTCGAGGAAAAAATCAAGTGGATTCACCAGGTATTCGACAGCGTCCGGATTCGCAGCCGGAAGCTACTCAGCTTGGCAAGAGATATTCGCAATCGGCTAGAAAACGCGGCAGAGTATGACCTGAGCAGCCTGCGGCCTTCCCAAGGCGCACCGGAGTCGGACTCAAATCCAGACTTATCGACGACAACCGCAACGCCGTCGAAACAGGGCAATATGGACCTGACCGAGTTTTTGCAAACGCTCATCAACGCTGGCTACTTTTTGGTCATGACAGGCACCTTTGAGGCCGAGGGCACATACCTCATTGCCGAACCCAGTCTGCAGGACAAGCCGGAGCTGATCCAAGAGCTCTTCCTCAAGTGCATGCGCCGCGTCAAGCCTGCCGATGAGGACACAGCGCTGGCTGCCGAAGCCAATGCCAATGCCCTGCCAGGAGACGAACCTGCACGCGAGAACTTGCGAGACGATCAGTCGGAGGGCGAGGGTGCTGGTGGGGCTGGGTCGACAATGGGACTCGAGGATGAACACCCTCGCTATCTCTTGCTCTTGAGCCCTCGCGACGCTTTCATGTGGACGGGACGAATCATGTCGCTCAAATTGCTGAGGAGAATACCCGTCGAGCTCAAAGATCGAAGATTGCGACTGGTTGCTGATGGTCCTAAGCGAAGGCTGCAGATGTGCAAAGAGCACCTTTACACCGTCTTTGCCGCTGCTGCGAGGGCTCGAGAGCTCCAAGGTGAAGGTCCGCCACCGCCAGCCTCTACCGCCAAAGCGTCTAAGAAACAAGAAGAGGAAGACGTTGCCAACAGCTTCCCGCTCGAAGTCATCAGCGAGCACATGGCCCACATGAGCTCAGTTCAATCAGAACTCCGAAGCATCAACCAGGGCGTCTACCTCTTGTCCGATACGCTCATCCGTTCAGCACCCACCATCCGACGCAAGCTTCGAGGTCGCAATGGCGACGCAGAGCAAGCTGCGCGAGAACGAAGCCGCTCGTCGTCCGACGGCATCACCAGTGATGACCTTCTGAAAGAATCATCAAAGGGGGGTGACTGCGACGAGCTCATTCAGAATTGCTACAGCATGGCTTCGGAGCAGGGATTCCGTGCTCTGCCGTTTATTGAGTCTGCACGCTTGCAAGGACAGATGACTCTGGCGCTGGCACGCCTGGCCATTGATTGGGTCGCCTTTATCTGTGACGACTGCGAGCCGACGGATCGAAAGACGTTCAAGTGGGCAGTGGCTGCGCTGGAGAACGCGATGCACGTCACACGAGCAGATGCAATTCTCAGTTTGAGCGAGCAGGACTTTACGCTGATGCGGAGCAAGGTCGCCAGCTGCATTGTCCTCTTGATATCTCACTTTGACATTCTTGGCGCAAGAAGCAGCGTGGCAAAGGCAAAAGAGGAAGAGGAGAGGCTTGAGCGAGAGAAGGCGGAGCGAAACAAGGTGCCGGGGGCGCCTGGAGCAAAGGAGCCCTCAGAAATGCGGGAGGCGGCGGCCAAATTGGTGCAGGGCATGGGTGGTGTTGGTGCCCCTCCAATGCTGGGCAGAGCCGACAGCGGGATGCAAGCCACCGAGGAAAGATGGGTGCAGAAAGTCATGGAGTGGGACGCGGCCAGGCAGTCCATCGAAGCCGAACAGCGCCTCATCGGCAGGGTCCTCGACGATACCAAGTTCGAGGACCGTGGCTTGCAGAACCTGGCCTCGTCCTCGAGTCGCATCCAGATTCGATGGCAGCAAGGACGCTTCATCGGCGGCGGCACCTTCGGAACCGTCTACCTGGCTGTCAATCTCGATTCAGGCGGCCTTATGGCGGTCAAAGAGATCCGCTTCCAGGATATTTCCTCGACGCCGGGCTTCTTCAAGCAGATTAAGGACGAGATGAGCGTGATGGAGATGCTTAGCCACCCCAACATCGTCGAGTACTATGGCATCGAGGTTCACCGCGACAAGGTCTACATCTTCGAAGAGTATTGTCAGGGAGGCAGTCTGGCCCAGCTCCTGGAGCACGGTCGCATCGAAGACGAGACTGTGATCCAGGTTTACACTCTGCAGATGCTTGACGGACTCGTCTACCTGCATTCGAAGGGCGTCGTCCACCGCGACATCAAGCCGGACAACATCCTCCTCGATCACCTGGGCGTCATCAAATTTGTCGACTTTGGCGCTGCGAAGGTCTTGGCCAAGAATCAGCGCACTATTCAGCGGACACGCAAGCCGGGAGTCGTGGCGCCCAATGCAATAATGGGCCCTGACGGCAAACCTGCGCCGGGAGGTATGGGCAGCCTGCAGGGCACGCCCATGTACATGGCGCCCGAAGTCATCAAGCCCGATCCCCAAGGTCACGGCGAGTTTGGCGCCATGGACGTCTGGAGTTTGGGATGCGTTGTTTTAGAGTTTGCCACAGGCAGAAGACCCTGGAGCAATCTCGACAATGAATGGGCCATCATGTTCCACATTGGTATGGCTAACCAACACCCTCCGTTGCCGGAGCCCGGCCAGCTGTCAGAGCTGGGCATCGATTTCATTCGTCAATGCCTCACTATCTCACCCGATCAGAGGCCCTCGGCGGCGAAGATGAGAGAGCATCCCTGGATCCAGAACCTCATCGATGTCCTCAACGCCGCTAATGCGGAGGAAGAGGCAGCGGCGGCGGCAGCCAACAATAGCAATAGTGGGAGCAGTAGCAACCTAAACGTCCCTGGTGGAGACAGCGATGGCTCTCACTTGGCCCACCAACATCAACATCACCATCCCATCATACAAGCGGGCGACAACGCTGCTGGCGTCGCAGCCATGGCCGCGACTCCTGGCACAAGGTCGATTCACGGCTTCAACTTCCCCAGGCCTTCGGCAACTGCCTCGCTACGGTCATCAGACCTGGCGAGTGCGAGCAGCCACGAGTCTTCGTCGGTCGCTTGGCAATCTACATCCTCCCGCTTGGCACCTCCAGCACCGACGACGGCGGCCACATCGCTAGAAGCGCCTGCGGAAGAAGAGACGAAGGAGCTCGGGTCGCTCTCTACTTCTGCACCGGCGGACCAGGGAAAGCCAGAGGTGCATGGGCAGGCTCATCCTCCAAAGGCGGATCCAGGACACCCACATCATGAACATCCGGGCTATGAAGCCCAAGTGGCTGACATGGCCTACAGAGGGGAGGACAAGCAGACAGACGAGATACTTGCGCCTGGTCCTCCTGATCTGGGAAACAAGGCCGACGAGGGCGAGGCTGGCGCGCCCCGCGGTGGAGAGTGAGCACTTTTCCAAATCTCATGTGTTTTCTACGACCCATCTCTCCCTGTGTTTGCGTTTCTTTGTTCTCTTGTGCAATTATAGTATTACATTCGCATCTCTCTCCCTTCGTCAGAGTGCGGGCCGGTCATCTATGGACCTGGATGGTACTGACACATAGCAACGCAGCGGCCTGAAAGATGGCAAAGAGGAAAAAGGGAAGCCAGGGTACCGAGTCAAGCGTCTCTACATAGACTGCCGTCGTGAGGATCTTGGACAGCGTCATTGTCAGACCATCGACGAGGGAGATGAGGGCGAAGAAGGCTGCGGTGGCGCGCTTGTGGAACGCTTCTTCGCGTTCAGCCTCTCCTCCTGCCGTCGCGTTGAGATCTTGTCCTGGCAATGGATCTGGCACGCTGGCAGCCGAGTCGGAGGAAGAGGAAGAAGAAAGAAGGGGGGTGGTGTAACCGAGAGCATCGACAGTGACTGTGACACCCACAGAATGGAGTGCCGCCTGCGCGCCTGCGCCCATCTGTAGCAGAAAGATGCCAGTATACAAGGCCGTGGTCGAGAGGAATTGACTCGTCGCAAGCGAGATGAAGAGCCACACAAGGCTGTCCAGGCTTCACGCGGGCGACATCTCAGCATTAGCAGCGTCTCAGAGGGGAGATGGGTGGCAGCACTTACAGGTAAGAGAACTTGGCTAGAGCAAGGTCAACACGGGCTTTCCAGAGCGAGACGAGGCCTTTGAGGTGGTGCAGCTCGTCTGCGTCTTCGTCGTCATCTCCTTCGGGCGCGGTTTCTGCTGGCGTGCTGTTGGCGATCCTCTTAATCTCGCCGTTCGTCAAATGCCTCAGCCCAGCCGGCTTCCTTGTGTAACGCTCCAGCACATAGAAGATCGCGGGAACGACGATGGCCAGCGCCAATCCGCGGCCGACGCCCACGATGGAGACGAGGAGACTGATGTTCTCGCCTGTCCATCCAAGACGGTAGCTTCCATACTGGGCCAGGGTGGAAAGGCCGACGATGCTTGTGTTGGCAAGTGCCTCCGTCAAGGCGACGCGCGTGATGCGCCAATCGAGCAAGCCGTCAGACGGGCGACGGCGCGGAAGGATGATGGAAAGTGTGGAAATGTCCGATGGCTTCCTCTTTTGGTCGTTGTCGTCCGATAGCGCTTCAGCATTCCGAGGGGCTGTTTCGGGAAGCAAAAAAGCGACGGTTATAATCGTTGCCATCATGCCGGCGGTGGCAACCAGGAGTGCAGTGACGTTGCTGTGCTCTGTCAGCACAGGAGCTGGGACCTGATCGGTCGGCGGCCGTGGGCTGTAAGGCGGTTGACGTGGTGTCTCAGGCCCATGTCTGCGCCAGTCGAGGCTGGCCAGAAAGCCAGTACGACTGATGGGATACAGCTCGGCGCACAGACTCAAGAGAAGGGGACCAAAAGTCAAGCCCACAAGGATGCTGATGGTAAGAAAGAGGTAGTTTCGCGTTCGGACCGCAGCGGACGAGACGTCGGTGACGAGAACGCGGATCGCAGAGATGACGACGAGCTCTGTCCCGAGCATTGCGTAAAAGACGGTCATTGCGAAGAGCGTTGCGAGCGAGAGAAGGGGTCCGAGACGCCAGGATCCCGACGCCGTTTGCGCCGTCGGCCCAAAGGGATAGAACTTGGGCAGCATTGCAAGGGCGAAGCTGATAAGTGTCTCGGAGAGGATACCGATCATCAGGACGGGCCGTCTACCCCACTTGGACAGCTTCGAACCGTAAAAGATCACAGCCATCGATCCAATGCCGGTGCTCAAGATGTCGGCAACGAACGTAACTTGGGCCGTGAACGATTCGACCGACGACGGCGAGCAGGCCTTCGTGTTCCCCCCTTCAAAGGTGATCGTCTGGACCTCGTCTGGGTGAAGACCATAGTAAGCTGCACAGGCGAGATCCCTCGTTGCCGTCATTTCGAAGCCCTGTTTGCCGTAATAGAACAAGAAGAAGGTCGTCGCGACCAGCAGGGTCCTGATCAGCGGCCATTCGGCTTGTAGCGAGTCGACAGCTTGAGCCCATCTGCTCTTGCCAGCCGCCCCTCGCTCGCCCAACAGCGGTTGTCTCTCTTCTTGACTCGTCATTGTGTCTCTCACATGGGCTTGTGGAGGATGCGAGTGGTCGTTGCCTATTCTTCTGACGCCCTTTATAGCAGCTACCTTATCATATCGACACTTGCGGGTGGAGGAAGACACTGTGACCGAACTTCGGAATGGATGCCTTCGAAGTGGATCTGTGCGTATCGCTAGGCTAGGCCTCTCTGCTGCGCAGGAACACGCTAAAACACGTCTCTCCGCTTATGGACCTGGCTGAGATAGAACTACGCACGGTACGGTAAGTGCTCAGCTTCCTCAGCTTCCTGAGGTGGGATTCGCTCAGCCTCGGTGCTTAGCTTCTTCTCCATTTTGCTCGCTAGATTCGCCGTTACAATCTTCCTGGCGCGTCGATGAAGATAACAAAGGACGTTGGAATATAATTAATTCCCACATTCAGGCACATGTCGCCAAGCACTCTCTCACCGCAGGCTTCTCTGCTATGCTGCATATCGGACACGATGTTCTCCGTATGCACCAGATAAGCTCCATAGAGACTGCTCCGCTACTGGTGCTGAGCATCAAGTCGTGAATCCCTTTTAAAGACGGGTGACAGGCACACGAACACAGCCGAGCCAGCTTTCCTCGCCCCAATATGGGCACCAGCGCCTGCAATGACGGCTCCTTTGTGAGTGCCACGCTCCAAGGTCGTGTGGACCATTCGGCTGACGCCGGGGCGGGATGACAAGGGACCAACGTCGACTTGCCGATTCTTCGACTTTACCCTTGCATTTGAAAACATCATCTTGGCTGCAGTGCCTTCAGCAGCGCTCATCCTCGTAGGACTGATTCGCATCGCGTTCTTGAGCGGCAAGGCGAATGCACCGACAACGGCCGCGGGGTTGAAGAACAGCGATGATATCGTTGGCGCAATGCGGACCAGCTTGGCTATCCTCCATCTCGTTCTCAACGCTGCCGTGCTTGGTCTCGCCGTAAGCCGCGGCTCCATCAAGGACATGCTCGATGCCGATACCGTCGTACCTGCCCTCGGTCTTGCCTTTGTGGCAGCGGTGAGTTGTTTGCCCTGACAAAAGCGTGTCAAGTTGCCTGTCTGCTGACTTGCCGTGTCAGGTCGTCTGCGTGCCCACGTCCTATCTTGAACGAAAGAAGACTTCGGGCGGAGGCTGGCTGCTGCCCGTTTACCTCTTTTCGACTTGTCTTACCGATGCCTGCCGCGTTCGCACCCTCTTCAGCGTCGCCTCGAGCACCTCTCATCATGGCCCTTTGTCAGCATTTGCAAGGCTTTCTGCCACACTTCTCGTTGTAAAGGCGCTCATGCTAGCTGCTGAGAACACGGCCGGTGTCGAGTCGGACGCCACAAAGGAGGCAAGGGCAAGCTTCATCAGCAAAATGTTCTTTTGGTGGCTCAAGGACCTGCTCTGGACCGGCTTTCGGAAACCGCTGGAGATGGAGGACCTCGATGACCTCGGTCCGAAGTACTCGGGCAAGGTACTCGGCCAAAGGCTTGCCGAAGCCTGGCAGCCTCGGGAAGAGCAACTTCCGCGTTCAGGTTATTTCGCTCGACGACGGTCAATAGCAAAAAAGGACGGAGGGGAAGAGTTGGCTATGCACGAGCTGGGTAAAGGATCGCTCGACGGATGTGGTTCCACACAGTCCCATCGGGTCACCAATGGAGGCAATGGCCACACACACCAATCTCATCGTAGTACCAAGAAAAAGGGGAGGAGCCTACTGCTTGCTTGCTTCCTTGCCTTTCCTCGCGAGCTCCTGGCTCCCATCATCTGGCGTCTTATCAATCTGGGTGCTACGCTCAGCCTACCATTCCTCGTCAGCCGCACGTTGGCTTTTGCCGAGTCGTACGTCTCGGACAATGACCAGCAGCAGCAGCCGGCGGCATATGGGTGGGGTTTAGTAGGCGCATACGGTCTTGTCTACCTCATCCTTGCCTTCAGCACCGGTCAATTCAATTGGCTATGCAACAAGGTCCAGGTCAAGCTGCGTGGCGCTCTGATCGAGGTCGTATATCGCAAGAGCCTGCGTCTGCATCTGGATGCTGCAAAACGCCGCGGTGGTGGCTCGGCGGCCAACCTGACGTCCGTCGACATCGAACGCTTTGTCAAAGCCGTCCTCGCCTTTCATACGCTCTGGACAGGCTTTCTCATCATTGGCGCTGCGGCGTTCCTCCTCTACCGCCAGCTCGGCCTGGTCTTTCTAGCAACAATCTTCAGCATTGTCGTTTGCCTTGTCGTGCCTCCTGTGGGCTCCAACGGCCTCACCGGTCGACAGACACGGTGGAGCCGAGCGACAGATCGTCGAGTGAATTTAACCAGCAGCGCCATTGCAAACGCGAAAGGGCTCAAGTTCATGGCTTATGAAAAGGTCATCGAGAAACGCCTCCTCAAGAGCCGTGACGAGGAGCTGGCCATCGCTTGGCCCTTCTGGATCCAATTCGTTTTCGTCAGCACTTTTACCAATCTCGTGCAGGAGATTATGGCTTTTTCTACCTTTCTTGCCCTCATCTTGGTTGATCGATTTACCGGCTCGCACAACTTCACTGTCCACACAGTCGTCACCTCGCTCACCCTGATGCAAATCCTCGAAATACCCCTTTTGACGATGGGACAGTACTACGCACAGCTCCTATCAGCCTATGCGTCGTTGAAGCGGATTGAAGAGTTTCTCCGCGAGCAAGAGCGGCCCACGTACGCGGACGACGATGGAGGACGTGCCCCTAACGAAGACGGGGAAGAGCTGGACATGAAGAGGCGCCACAACTTCTCATCAACGGACTCAATCTTGCCTCAGGAGGAAGCTTTCGCCGCCTCGTTTGACTCTGCGACCATTGGCTGGAACAAGTCAAAGCCAATTCTCGTCAATGTCACTGCAAAAATCCCTCATGGCGAGCTGACGATGCTATGTGGCACCCTGGGCTGCGGCAAGTCAACCTTTCTCCTGGCACTTCTGGGTGAGGCCGATTTGTTGAGCGGTTCGTGTCGTCTTCCTATGAAAAAAGCGCCCATCGCATACGTGGCACAAGACTCATGGTTGCAGGAAGGTGCCTCGATTAAGGACAACATCCTCTTTGACAGTCCATTCGATGGCGAGCTCTACCATACAGCAGTTCACTCGACGGCTCTCGGCCAAGACCTCGAGGAGCTAGCTGATGGCGACCGAACACTCGCCAGAAGCCTCTCCGGTGGGCAGCGGCAGCGTGTGGCCCTGGCCCGCGCAGTCTACTCTGACGCTCAGACCTACATCCTCGACGACGTAATGAGTGCTCTCGATGCCGAGACAGCGTCACACGTATGGAAGTGCCTTCTGGGGAATCAGGGCTTGTTGAAGGGAAGAACGGTGGTACTGGCGACCAACGCTCTTCATCTCATCCATCACGCAGCTCACATCATTCGGCTCGATGCCGGCAAGATCGTCGAGATGGGTCGTTTCGAAGAGCTATCGGACAAGGGAAAAATGGCCATCTCGCGTGCCTCGCTCGATTCAGAGGCTCCCGATTTGGCCAAATTAAGAGCAGCGAAGCCCAAGATCCGGTATGAGGAGAAAGACGACGACAAGCATGAAACCGTAACGAGTGGGGGCGTGCAATGGCGCGCCACATATGGCGCCTGGGCCAAGGCGATTGGATGGGGCGTCTTTGTGATGCTTATTCTCCTCGATGTCTCTCGCTCCAGTAGCCGCCTCGCGTGGAATTTCGTCATCCAGATCTGGGCACGTAGCAACGAGGAGCACTGGCAGGGCGACCTAGCAAAATACCTCTCCACTTTTACCGTCCTCGTCTGGTTCGTCATCTTTGTGACCCCTGTTGAAGACATTCTCCTTGTCTATGGATTGGTCTTCAAGGCTGGCCGCCGCATCCATGCCGACGAGCTGCGCGGCGTGCTGTACGCCACGCTGCGCTTCTTCGAGGAGAATGCCTCCGGAAGGATCATCAATCGCTTCTCGCAAGACGTTTTTGTTGTCGACTGGGAGATTACGATGGCCTTCGGTAACTTCCTTGGGTGCACAAGCATGCTGATCGGTCAGATTTTGACGCTTGTCATCCCTGTACCTTTCATTCTCATCGCTGTCGCCGTCGCGCTCGTTGCCTACGTCCTGATCCAGAGGCTATATGCGCCACCGAGCAGACAGCTTCGACGCTTGGAAATGGCTACAAAGTCGCCCATTTATACCCTTTTCGCCGAGACATCGTCGCCGTCTGGGTTGGCGACTGTGCGAGCAGCCGCACGACAGTCTACGTTCGAAGAGATTAATACGGCCCGGCTTGACAAAAGCCAAGCGCCGTATTACTATCTCTGGGGTGTCCGACGGTGGTTGCTCACCTGGCTCAACCTGCTCGCTCTGGTCATCAATGTTGCCCTCGTTGCCATTGTCGTCATTCTTCGAAAGTCTTCGGCCGTGGCGCTTCTCGGTGTGGGTCTTGTGCAAGCCACACAGATCAGCACGATGCTCAACCAGACGCTCCTTGCATGGACCGAGCTGGAGATCGCGGGCGTGGCTCTAGAGCGCATGCTGGCCTTTGCAAGGCTCGAGCCAGAGGAGAGCGCTTCGACGCCCGACGGACGTTCCCGAAAGTGCATCGAGCCCGCCGAGGTCAAGGGACACGTAGAGTTCAAGAACGTGTCAATGTCTTACGTCGAGGGAGCTGACCCCGCCCTCAAAAGAGTCAGCTTCTCCATCCAGCCGGGCGAGCGCATTGGCGTGTGCGGACGGAGCGGATCAGGCAAGAGCACACTCCTTTTAGGCCTCTTTCGGATGCTGGAGCCCGTCGAAGGCGAGATTCTCCTCGATGGCCACCCCATTTCGAGCACGCAGGCACATTCGCTGAGGAACAGTATGACGATCGTCCCGCAGAATGCGCTCCTCCTGGCTGACTCGGTCAGGAACAACTTGGACCCCGCTAGAGAGAGGAGCGATTCAGAGATTTGGACAGCGCTTGACAAGTGCAGGATGCGTGACTTTGTTCAGGCTCTGCCGAGCGGGCTCGATACACTCGTCGTCAGTGGTGGCAGTGGAAGCGCGGAAAGCAGCGCAAAGGACAAAGGCGGCGACGACGACGACGACGACGATGAAGATGCTTCGAGAGGAGCCAATTCCAGCGTCCACTTCAGCGCGGGCCAGCGTCAGCTGTTCAGCCTGGCTCGAGCCCTGCTCAGACGAAGAAAGGTCCTCGTTCTCGATGAGGCGACGAGCTCGATGGACTACGAGACGGATCGGGCGGTGCAGGAGGTGCTTCGGAGCCAGTTCAACGACTGCACAATGATCACCGTCGCCCATCGCATCGCCACCGTGAGGGACTTTGACCGCATCCTCGTTCTGGGTGCGGGCCAAGTCGTTGAATTTGACACGCCCGACAATCTGGTCCAGAAGCCCAATGGCATCTTCCGGTCACTCGCCATCGAGCAGGGGTGTGCCTGAGGCACTGCGATGCTATTTCCACAGCTGCGATGCCATTTCGATATTATTTTCCCTCATTCGTTCTGTAGATGGGCCCTGAACATCTCTTGAACTACATGTGTATTCCCTGACAAGACAAAATGTAAAAGTGACGACAAGACAAGAGAAACAGGATGGAGAGAGAAGGCAGAAAAGTCGATTAGGTCGACGAGGCGCGGAAGTGAAGGAGACCCTTCTTGCCCTTTTGCTTAAGCTTCTCGTCGACGAGGCAGTAGACGAGGTAGAGGACGATTGCCATCCAGTAGAGGATGTAGACGAGGACGGAGCCGAGGTTGGCCGTGTTGTTCCACCCGACCAGACTGTTGAGGACAGACCAGCCGCTGCCGCCGTTGTCGGTCTTGTCCTCTGGGTTGCAGCAGTCGAGGTGCCAGAGGTAGTTGAGGGCGTCGTACGAGCCCGGGCCGTTGCCGCCCTCGGCAGCAGCGTCGCCGACCTTTTGCACGTAGCGGTAGAACTGGAGGTAGTAGATGGAGCGCGAGATCATGCCTGCGGCAATGACGAGGAGGGCAGCGGTGGATGCGACGAGGAAGATCTTGACGCGGGAGAAGGATCCAGCGCGGAAGACGATGTAGCCGCAGAGGAGACCGGCAAACAGGCCGACGATGGCCGGCAGCGGGATGGAGCTGGCAGGTAGGCCGAGCGAGACACCGCCGATGAAGACGACGCCCTCGAGGCCCTCACGCAGCGTCGTGATAAAGGGAATGACAAAGATGGCCGTTGCGCCGCGGGCCTCGCCCTCAAACGGCCTGCGCACGACGCGCACCCACTGCTTGAGCGTCATTTTTCCGTGCTTTGCGTCGGAGTTGGCCGCTGCAGGCGATGACGGTGCGGCAGCCTCGTGCGAGGCCGACTGCTGCTGGAGCAGGTGGGGCGCCTCGACTTCCGAGCTGGGCGACTGAACGGCCTCGGCGCCCTCCTTCTTCTCCTGGTTGGGCTGCTCCCGCTCCTTTGTCGTTGTCGAAGACGAAGACTGGCGCTGGAGCTCTGACGCTTCGCTCTTGATCTCGTTCTCGCTCTGCGTCGGGTGTTCGAGGCCGGCAAAGGCTCGCGCGAGCTTCCGTCGCCATTTGCCGCGTGACCGGTCAGCGCGGAGGATGGCGAGGGACATGGGCGTGATGAGGAGCACGGCAATGAGGTTGAAGATGCCCTCCCAGAGCTCTTCTGACCGTCCGTACAGATCTGTCGTCTGGGTGTAAAAGACGGCGAGGAAGGCGGCGCCAATGATAAAGGCAATCAGCAGGCCCGAGAGGGCACCAAAGAAGATGTAGCGGCGTAGCTTGCGGATCAGCTGGCGCTGCTTGACAGCCTCCTGCTCCTCGCGCTCATTCTGCGGGACTTTGCGTACGTCGACAATACGCTCGAGCATGCCCGAAAGGATGCCGATGACGAGGGCCGCCTCGAGGGCCTCGCGGAAGGCAATGAAGAAGATTGCGGGCGCAAACACCTTGTTGCCCGTCGGCATCTTGAAGACTTGTTCGCAGTGCTTGCTTCAGGGAGTGTTTGTGGTTGATGATGAGGAGAGAAAGAAGAAAGGAGGCAAACGAGGGTGAAGAAGAAAAGAAAAAAAGAGGCTTGACAAGATACCTTTACGAGTAGTGCTCAGGCTCAAGCTTCTCGCCCCTCCCGGGGCACACAATCAATCAGATCACAGTTAGGGAAAATGCGGCATCTTCTTTGTCTCGGGGAGAATGGCCAGGGCTGCTTCACAGGCAGGTCAGCCCAAGAAAGAGTGCAGTCAAAGTCTTGCCGCGGTACCTGCGCTGATGCTTGACCTTGACCAATCGTGCGAGCTTTTTTTTTTTCCTTCCCTAGCTGCTATCAGTGCTACTAACAGCTAATAGCTAGCAGTAGTAGGGCCCGACTTCCTGCCTGCTTTCAAACCCCGAGCAACTTGTGAATGAAACGGAAAGCTTATCAACTCTCCTGCGCTGTAGCTGTCAATCCAAAAAAAATGGGCTCTTCCAACGACGCTAGAAGAGGAAGCAAGGGCCACTCCCTACGAAGACGAAAATCGCGCGAGTAATTTTTTAGACTACAGTAGCTTAGTAGCTGGGGTGGCGCTCGTTCCAGGCCTCAGGATTCTTTTCCCGGTTTTAATCTGATCGCGGTATTTTCGAGGTTCAAGATTCAGCCCCCCTACCAGGTCAGTGTGAACCGGCCCTTTGCACGGCTTCTTCGTGCGTAATCTGATCAGAGCAACCGGGGATGGCAGGAAGAAGAGAAAAAAAAAGCCGACTCACTTCGTCCTCCAACGGCTGCCGCCGCAAAACAGCGTGCTGCATGTAGCCTAATTACACTCTCTGCCGTGGGCTCGCATGCCCGCCTCGACACTCGCCCCGCCGGGAGCTATCTGATCTGACACCTATCCACCTCAGGCCATGTCTGCCTGCAGTCAAACGATAAGAAAATAGAAATAGAAATAGAAAACATCAAATAAAAATAAAAATAAATGGGAAGAAGTGGTCCAAGTCAGAGCGTCGCGCCAAGCAAACGAGCACTCTGATCAAGACTGCCTCCTCGAACAGCTGTCTCGACCGGAGACGATCCGCCACAGACTACACGTACGTACGGCTGTAGAGCTGCAGGCTGTTGGACAGCAACTTTCGTTCCTGCCTTGATTGCTCGACTTTCGGGTTTGATCGCGGCCTTTTTGCGAAAACCGATAGCTTGCGAGAAGAGCAAAGCTAGGCGAAAGGCAGCCATTTTTTTTTTCTTCGCCTTCTTCATCATACCCCATCTTCCATCGTCGCCGTCGTTGTCATCGTCGTCGTCAAAGAGAGAAGGAAAGAAGAGACGATGCTGGCTCCACTGCTCGCTGCACTTGCATCGGTCGCTGGCCTTGCACAGGCTGCAGACGTCAACCTTGACTGGCAGGTCGGTTGGGTCAATGATGTCAACCCAGACGGACTGGCGTCGAGGAGAGCCATTGGTGTCAACGGACAGTGGCCGCCGCCCATCATTGTGAGTGTCCTCCTCTCTCATTGCTCTGTGTCCGAGAGCAACCCTTGGAAGAGAGTCTTCTCATGCTGAAAAGGTTCTTCCATTCCCTCTGGCATAGAACATCAACTCGACCGACGCACTCAGTATCAAGTTGACAAATGCCTTTGGCGATGGCACCAGCACCTCGCTGCATTCTCACGGCATGTTCTTTAACAACACCAACTACTACGGTGAGTAGAAATCACGGGCCTGTGCCATCGACTGATTTATTGAGGCTGACGGTGGCTGTGATGACGGCGTGGAATGAAAAGATGGCGCCGTGGGCATCACCCAGTGCCCGATCCCCGACGGACAATCGATCACGTACGAGCCCCTCAACTCGAATCTGAGCCCGGCCGAGCGTAAATCGCAGTGGGGCACCTTCTGGACCCATGGACACTACTCCGGTCAGTACGTCGACGGTCTGCGCACGCCGAGCATCATCCACAATGCCGCCGGCGAGGTGCACCAGTACGACGAAGACTACACCATTATCCTCGCAGACTGGTACCACCGCGAGCACCAGGACCTCCTCGTCAATGACTTTCTCAACACCAAGAACCCGAGTGGCGCAGAGCCCGTGCCAGACTCGGCCCAGCTCTACATTGCACACACGCCCGCCAACGGCACGGCAACCTACCTCGAGGGCTTCAACGAGAACTCGACGCTGCCGTTCCAGACGGGCAAGAGCTACCGTCTCCGGCTGATCAACATGTCGGCCCTTTCGATGTTCCACTTCTGGATCGAGGGCCACGACATGCAGATCATCGAGGCCGACGGCGTCGACATGGAGGCCTTCCCCATCGACTACGTCACCCTCAGCGTCGCCCAGCGCTACTCTGTCCTCGTCCAGGCACGCAACGACACGTCGCAGAACTGGCTCATGCACGCCAACATGGACCCAGAGATGTTTGACCAGGTGCCGGATGCGCTCCAGCTCAACATCACCTCGACGATCTCCTACGGCGCCGACAAGGCCAACGTGGGATCCGACCGGCCCACACTGGACGCCTACGACATGTTTGACGACACCCAGCTCGTGCCGTCGGCCGTCGAGCCCATGGTGCCCGCCGACGTGTCGCACGACCTCAACGTCTTCTTCACCACCTACTCGGACGGCAAGAACTACGCCAGCTTCAACAACATCACCTACGTCCAGCCGCTGGTGCCCTCGATTCTGTCGGCAAAGACGACGACGGACGTCAGCCTGCGAGCGAACCCGGCCACGTACGGGCTCGAGAGCAACGCCTACGTCGTCAACCACCTCAACATGGTCGAGCTGACCATCTACAACTGGGACGCCGGCTTCCACCCCTTCCACCTCCACGGCACCCAGTTCCAGGTCGTGCACAAGAGCATGGACGTCACGTCGGACGACCCGACGGTGAACCCGCCGTTTGTCGAGGGCAAGGCCAACCCGATGCGAAGAGACACGGTGACGGTGCCGTCGGGCGGGAGCGCCACGCTGCGCTTCCGCGCCGACAACCCGGGCGCCTGGTTTCTCCACTGCCACATCGACTGGCATCTCTCGTCGGGTCTTGCCGCCATCGTCCTCCAGGCGCCCGAGATTGTGGCGCAGAACCAGACACTGCCGAGCGAGATTGCGTCGCAGTGCGCCGCGCTGGGCATGCCCACGAGTGGCAATGCCGGTGGCGTTATGAACTCCGTCACCAACTTTGGCACTTTGAGAAAGGCACCCGCCCTCCTCACGACGGGCTGGACCGCGACGGCCGTCGGCACCTTTACGGCCTGCCTCATCACTGCCCTCCTTGGTATTGCCACCATCTGCTGGTACGGCTTCTCGTCGGGCCTCCAGGAGGACGAGGACGAGGCCAAGGGAGAAGGAGAGACACAGACGCAGACACAAACACAAACGCAGACGTAGAGGAAGCTTACATCATGGGCCCCAGGACGAGGGTGGGGAGGGAAGGCAGTTGCTGTGCTCCTTCTCCTCCTCCTCCTCCTCCAACCGCGTCGCCCCGTTCTTGGCAGTCATGTACTTTCTTGCTTGGAATCTTCATCTTGGAATGGAAGTGAGCTTTTCGATATCCTTTTGCTTTCTTCGAACAGTCCTTCTCTTATTGCGAGTGGTGTTAATGATGATGATGGTGATCATACAGTACAGAGGAGAGATGAGTGGTGGGTGCAATTACAAATTATGTGGGAAGAGAAAGGGTAGAAAGGGACGGACGGCTTCAGCGCTGCACCCTCTTGAGGGCCCTCGAGACAATCTCTGTATTTCGAGTCGGCGATGATGGCGACCTGAGGAGGGCCTGGCGTGCCAAAAGTGCCAGTCGGCTGGGCGGCCTGAGCGAAGCCAGGAGCGCGCACATGGCCGAGAGCAGCACGACGCTGCCGGCTTGGTGAAGGCTGGCGAGCTCGATGGGGACGAGGTAGATGAGCGTCGAGATGCCGAGCGAGGCTTGCGTCACGGCTGCCAGGGACGCCAGCAGGGCCATGCGCGGGACCATGGGCGGCAGCGGTGTCTTGGAGCGCAGGAGCGACGAGGACAGCCGCCGGCTCCTCCAGCCGAGCGCGAGGACGGAGCAGAGGGTGGTGATGGCCAAGCACCGGTGGATGAGCTGCACCGTCACTGGGTTGGACGTCATGTTGGCCACGATGAGGTTGCTGTCGCTCGATCGACGGTACCGCTCGTCGAGCAGCTCCTCTCTCGGCGGCACAAAGCCTTCGCCCATGTAAGGGAACTCCGAGTAGACGAGGCCGGCGTCCAGACCGGCCACGAGGGCACCGCTCATGGCCGTGACAAAGACGAGGCCCGCCACGCCACGAGACAGGCCTCGGAAGCGACGGACGCGCGGGTCATCGAGGGCAGCCACCAGTCGCTGCGCATTGTCCTTGACTGACATCGACCAGCCTCCTGCCCGGCTTGTGCCCGTGGCGACGGCATGATCACGGAGGATGGAGATACCCGTGTGCAGCATGCCGAGATAGACCAAGAAGGCAGTCCCCAAGTGGGCTGCCAGACGGAAGTGCGACACGCGCGGGTGCCAGCTCTCGCCGGCGCTCGTCGACGGCTGCGAGGCCGCATGAGCGACACCATCGAGTCGCACATCCTTGTCACCGCTCGTCGACGAGACAGTCGTGTTGGGGTGGCTGGGTGCCAGGGCGGGTGCGCTCTCGTCGGGTGCAGCCAGGCCGCTCTTGACCATGTACCAGCCCAGGGCGCCCTGGAAACCGATGCCTGAAGCAATGGCGAGGAGCTTCCACCGAGTACCCGCCGAGACCCGCCCCCTGACAACAAAGTAGAGAGCTGGGAGAACAAAGGTGACGCCAATGATGCGCCCGAGGATGCGATGGGACCACTCCCACATGTAGATGCTCTTGAAGTCGTCGACGGTCATGTGCCGGTTGAGAATGACCCACTCGGGCGTCTGGCGGTACTTGTCCCACTCCTCGGCCCACTCGGCGTCGGTCCAGGGCAGACGCATGCCCTTCAGCCCGGGGTTCCATTCGGTGATGCTCAGACCCGACTCGGTGAGCCTGGTGAGGCCCCCGACAACAATGACGGCAAAGACGAGAAAGGCGCAGAAGAAGAGGTGGTAGGCCACCGCTGGCCGTGTCACGCTTGATCCTTGCTGTGCCTGAGATTCGCTGATGGCTGGTATCCCTTCGCCTCGTTGCGGCGGTGTTCCCCTCTCCTGCTGCTGGAGCGATGCATCAATGGATACCGTGCTGTATCTCGCGCGACTGAGCAAAGCCAATATCGGGGAGCAAGCGGGGGTTGTCGGTGCACTAGAAGGGCGGAGCGGCGAGAGGCAAGGACATGAAGAGAAGAAGCTTCGAGGCCCACCAATGAGCAGGGGCGTTGCGATGCGCGTGCAGGTCCCTCTGTACAGCCCTAGTCGAGCTGAGCTGAGCGTCTGCAGCAGCAACGGCGTCGAACTGCAGCCTCGGACGCTGGCCATCATGTCCCCGTTGGCTGACGTCTCTTGTCGAGAAGGAGAGAGGAGAGCAAGCTGACTTCTTCTCTCCTTGGACAAAGTCGAATTAGTCAGCAGCAAGCAGCCTGGGGCCAAATTAGCCTTTTGGATAGCTCGCACGGCGCGTCGTCCTTCCGTTTCGGCCTCTCTGTCGGACGTCGCACAGCAGCAGCAAGCGACCACAACGCCGACCGAGGCCAGATGTACTGGCCGACGACGACAGCGCGTCGACTCCATCTGTCGCCGTCTGGGCTCGACCGAGCTTCGATTGAAGGCGAGGTCAACGCTGCCCCACCACAGGAGTACGAAGGGGAACGCATCGTGCACCTTAGCAGAAGCCGCAATGGCCATCTCTGGGCGGCCGTCAGCGCAAAGACACTCTCCGTATGGAGCACAAGGCCATCACAGGCCATCGCGGCACTCATAAGAACACAACGGAGCTTGCGAGAGTATGGCAACAACACACGGGTATCCTGGAACGAGGACGGGCAGGGCATCGTCGTTGAGGTGCGTCTGCAGTAAGGGCGCAGAAGGGAAGAAGGCGTGTACATGCTGACCGATTTTTTGCCTGATTGACAGACGGATCAGTCCTATCTGCTACTCTACAACTTTGACTTTCTCCCCTCTTCGATCTACTCGTATGTCCCCTCGACTGGCAGCGGTGCCAAATCCAAGAACAAGGAGCCGTACGCGCCCAATCCTGCCGCCCTCAAGGCCTCCTTTGCCGCTGGTCCAGGTGAAGGGACCGGAGCGATGGCTTCAGAGCTCAGAGGCATCGGCGCAGTGGGGAGCCAAGGACCGGGAGAGGGCAAGCAGATGGCTGCCGAGATCCGCTTTAAGCTGGTCCTGAGAATAGACGCGGGCCTTGCCTGGTGAGTTCAGGACTATCCCCCATCACTTCTCGCTGAAATTGCTCTGACACACATCGCCTCGTCCTCACAGCGCCATGCCCACCAATGCCTATCTCATCGTAGCTACCAAATCTCCTCCTGCCATTCAGTGCATTCCGTGGCCCGAAGACACTTCAACTTCTTCAAATGGAGCGAGACCGACGACGAGGACGAGTCTGTTGGGTCGTCTCGACTGGATCATCAAGGACAAGACAGCCGACCCAGCTTCTGACACTTCGAGCAGCGAAGCACCAGTCCATATCTGCGAGATTTACCATTCACGAGCCATGAACGTCTTTGTCTGGTTGACTTCGGACGGGCGGGCGTACAGTGCCAACCTTGAACTCGATAGCAGAACATCGATATGGCGGGGAAAGTGCTTCCACGGGGAACCAAGAAGACGAAGGAGACGCTCGTCGGCCTTCAGACACGAGCCATTGTCGAGCGAAGCTGCAGAGCCGCAGTCGGCCATCAGCGACGCCTCCATCAACATGTCTGTCGATGGCGACGGCGAGGAGAATGAAGAACCGGGCAGCTACGGCGTGGGCGAGAACGCGACGCTGCTGCCACAAGAACGGGCAATATGCGCCTCCATCAATGCCAAGTTCAGCCTGATTTCCATCGGTCTCCAGGACGGAACGGTGGCCATGTACAACTACCGGGCGCCTGGAAAATCGCCCCTCTTTTCCCATTCCCTCTCCATCCGCAAAGCGCTGCGCTCCACGGCCTCCTACCTCACCACGGGCGCCGTCCAGTGCTTGAGCTGGTCCAGTGATGGGCACGCCATTGCGGTGGGATGGGAGCGTGGCTTCGCAGTCTGGAGCACGTACGGCAAGCTCATGGGCTGCAGCCTTGTCGAGAGTTGGGACACGATCAGTAGCAACTTCTCCGACCGATTCATGTGGGGTGTCGGCGGCATGTTCTGGGGTCCAGGCAACACGGAGCTCTTCCTTCTTTGCCACGAAGGCGAACACGCCCGTGCTCGCTCTCGAGCGAACGATGTAGACGAGAAGGCCTCCTCCTCCACTTTCGACGCCGATGCCCAGCTCTTCGTCCTGCCCTTTGCAAAGTCGGCAGTGGCTAGCCAGCACTCACCAGACAACACAAGGTACGCATTCATCCAACTTGACGACAGCGTCCTCGTCTACAGAGGCAGCGATCAGCCCGACATGAGCATCATCAATCCAGAGAGTGACGTCTGGCAGACAATCAAGATCCCACAGACTTACCTTGCCGCCAATTGGCCAATCCGGTACGCGTGCATCAGCTCCGATGGTCGACTGATTGCTGTAGCGGGAAGACGAGGCCTGGCCCATTTCTCCTCGCTCTCTGGCCGCTGGAAGACGTTTGACAATCCGACTCACGAGCAGAATTTCGCCGTCCGAGGCGGCTTGCAGTGGTACCAGCACGTTCTCGTTGCCGCTTGCCACACGGGCGACGAGTTCGAGCTGCGCCTCTACTCTCGAGATGCTGCCCTCGACAATTCCTCGGTCCTCTACACCGAGAAGCTACCGTCAGAGGTAATTCTGACGACACTCTTCGACAACAGTCTCCTCGTATACACTGCCGACAATACCCTATACCACTTTCTCATCGCGATCACGACTCATGAGATCAAGCTCACCTTGTGCGGCAGCATCGCCTTCGACGGCGTCGTGGGTGAACCTGCTCGCGTCCGAGGCATGAGCTGGCTCATCCCTCACAGTCAGCAGCGTGAGTGTGTTCCACTCCATATTGGACCACCCGTCTTCATAAGCTGATCTTACTTCCTCTAGGATTCGGCGATCCAATGGACGACTTGACTATGGCCACCGTCATCTTTCTGATCGACGGTAAGCTCGTCCTCCTCCGGCCGCGCAAGGCCGGCGAGGACATCGAGGAGGTGTCTTACGACATGCAGATCCTCGGCGATCAAATCGAGTATTACTGGACCCACTTGCAGGGCATCGGCACCCTCGAGAATTCGCTCTGGGGCTATGACGGACGAGGCATCAAGTTGTGGCTCAATGCGTTGACAATTGAGCAGGCCGAGCTGCGCGACGAAGACGAAGAAGGTGATGATGATGACGACGATAGGCCAGAGTACAAGACGATCGAAGAGAGTGTCAGCATGCCGCTGGACTTCTACCCACTCTGTGTCCTCATCGAGAAGGGCATCGTCATCGGCATCGAGCCCGAGGTCTCGATGAGGCGCAACGTCGAATTTGCCATCTTTCGGAGCGCAACCAACACCCACCTCTTTCTTCACCACGTCCTTCGATCTCACTTGGAGAAGGCGCAGCTGCGCCAAGCGGTCATGTTTGCGTCGCACTACAAGGGTCTCGTCTACTTTGCTCACGCCCTCGAGATCCTTCTTCACGATGTCTTGGAAGATGAGGCCGATGCTCAATCACAAAATGGTGAGGACACCATGTCTCGCTCTCAGTCGGATGGAAGCATCATCTATCGGAGCGAAAGCAACTCGAGTTCGCTTCAAGAGTCATCGCTTGACCCGGACCACTCCGCGGTGGGCTCCTCAGGCGGGCCCGATGAAGCAAGTCCGGATCAAATAGGAACAATATCCCGAAAGACAGCGGTGCTACCCCTTGTCATCGAGTTCCTCGACCATTTCGAGGAGGCGCTTGAGGTCGTGGTGGGATGTGCGCGAAAGACCGAGGTGGCCAGATGGTCCTATCTCTTCAACGCCGTTGGGGAGCCGCGAGATCTGTTTGAGAAGTGCATCGCAGCGAACGAGCTGAAAACGGCTGGCTCCTACCTCCTCGTGCTCCACAATCTCGAGCCACTCGAAGAGAGCACTGCCCACACGGTCAGATTGCTCCGACTGGCCGTCAAGAACAAGCGCTTTGCGCTTTGCAAGGACCTGCTGCGCTTCGTTCGGAGCATGGACGAGAGCGGCGCAGCGCTTCGGCAGGTGGTCAAAGAAGCAGCCTTGCTGCCCGAGGACGAGGTACCCGTTCAAAAAGGCCTCGGCGTCTCCCTGGCGCTCACAGGGCGACACGACTTCTTGGCCTCACCGTCGCCTGGACCCTTGAACCGCAGCTCATCGGCACCAAACATTCTCGATGCCATGCCCGAAGAGAACGAAGAGGACAGCTCGTCGCCCTCGCCACAGTGGTCTCAGTCCAGCAATGGGCCTCCCCAGCAAATTAGGTCTGTATCTCTCTTCGGACAGAGGCTCGGTGAGGGACCACCAGTGCCTCAGCTGAGCGTCAATGGCCGGATCATGGCTTCTTCCCCGGCCCAAAGCCAGCGCCGAATGGGAGCAAGCAACGGCCAAAATGGCAACATCGGGCTTGGTATGAGCTTGTCCCGCGTCGGACTACGGTCGACGGACAAGCTCTTCGAGACGTCCCCTCGAATGAATCATCACTCGTCCTCTTAGCTTCTCTGCATAGATCCGTCCTCCTTGTTCTTTCAATTAGCGCGTTCTATTGCCGAACACCGAAGCATTGCAGGCTTGAAGCGCGCCACACGTGGCCATGCATCATTTGTTGTGTGCCCAGAGCGGGGGAGCGCGGAGAGTGATAGCGGCGATCTTCCCTTCATCCCAATCGATCCACCACACCGGAATAGCAGGATGTCGTGGTCGTCGTCGTCTTCTTCGTCGGCCTCGATGTCTGCGGCCCTCGTCAAGTGGGCGCAGCCGTTCTGCACCCAGTACGGATTCAAGCACTTGGCCCCGTACCTTCCCACGGTCCTGGCTTCGTTGTCCTTCTGGCTCTCGCTGCAGTACCTCTCTGCCAAGGTCTCGCCTCGCCTCTTTCCTCAGACCTTTGCCAACTTGCGGCACTCAACAAAGATCTCGTGGCACGTTCACTTTGTCGCCCTCGCCCATGCATGCATCATCACGCCCATGGCGGCGCGCATGTGGTACAAGGTGTACGAGCAAGGAGGCATGGAGGGCAACCACCCTCTCGCCAGGAACAGGACGTACGGCTTCGACCATGAGGCTGCGCAAGTCTATGCCGTCGCACTCGGCTACTTTGTCTGGGACCTCGTCGTCAGCGCGCTGGTGGGTTGTGCATCCGTCTCTCTGAATTACTACTTGCCTTCTGACAATGACGCATACATTCGTGCAGTTCGATGGACCGGCCTTCGTCGCCCACGGTGCTGTGGCCATGATTGCATTTGTTTTTGTCTACGTGAGTCAGCCTTTCTCACAGAAAGATGCTTGGCAGATGCTGACATGGAAAACAGCATCCCGTCTTCATGTACGACGGTCTCGGATTCCTCCTCTGGGAGGCCAGCACTCGTAAGTCGCATGATCTGCACTCTACTACCTCGACGGTGTCTTAACACCCTACCCCACACCTACAGCCTTCCTCAACATTCATTGGTTCCTCGACAAACTGAGTAAGACGGGCTCGACGCTCCAGCTCGTCAACGCCTTCTTCCTCCTCTCTTCCTACGTCCTGGCTCGCCTCACTTTTGGCGTCTACAACTCCTACTCGTGGTTCATGCACGTCAACTTCCCAGCCAAGCCTCACAGCCCGGCCATTCCCCTGCACATCCACATCTTCTACACCGTCGGCAACGTCGTGCTCAACTCGCTCAACTTCATCTGGTTCCGTGCCATGATTCGTGCCGTTCAGAAGCGCTTCACCGCCAAGCCCGCCGACGGAACGGGCAAGCTGGATCCAAGAAAAGTGGCAGAGGGCAAGCAGAAGATCAAGCTCGGCGTCGAGGGCACCAACGACCGCGAGTTCGAACGAGAGGCCGGGACAAAGGGCTACGATTACGAGAGCCACGGCTCCTACTCTGACACGGATCGCGAGGCGAGGTGGAGGCGAGTGGCCAAGAAGAAGGAGTAGAATTTTCGTCTGCCTTGCCAATGGTGGACAGACATATCCCACCCGAGAAACGGGCAATTGGAGGAGAAAAGGAGCTGCAGCAAAAGGGAAGAGCCACAGGAAGATAGACGGCCCTGTTGCTGGCTGGGATAGTGGTTGCGAAGATGGAAAATGATCAGATACACAAAGGATCTTGCAATGGAGGATGCATTAATCTGCAAGAGATAAAGCTTGGCAAGCGGACATGGAACGGTTTCGAGCGGGTACTGTTACATGATCGGAGAGAAAAGTAATTTCAGATGAGGTACCGGTACGTCTGTCTGGCGCTCATTGCACGCTGCTGGGCCTCTTCGAGATTTTCGTTGCCGGCCTGCACTTGCTCGACGGTACCGTGCCTCCGATCCAGGTCCCTGTTCCTGCGGACAAGCACCAAGCGGATAACCAGGGCTGTGCCGATGGCAACGAGGAAGCAGCAGGCACTGATGAGGTTTGATCTCCAGTACGATGGGCCCCACTTGCTTGGCCAGACTAATTCAAAGGTCCATTGATTAGCCAACAAGATTCCCATGTGCAGAGAGGGCACAATGACTCACCATAAGATCCGGCAATGTTGCCCAACTGCGAAATGCAGTTGACGGCAGCCAAACCGACGGCGCGCTTGTAGGTGCCCCGAATCGAGTTGCTCATCCACGAAAGCACCAAAACGTATCCAGCATAGCTAGAATAGGCGTCAATTCTTCCCATTTTGTGGACTCTCGAGCCAAGAGATCGATCACTCACGATTGCGCCTCGATGAAGAGAGCAAAGAAGCGGGCGCCCAGGTTCGTTGTGACGGACGAGATGATGAAGCCGATGATGCCAACGCACAGGGGGATGCAAAGATGCCACGTCCGCTCGCCAGTCTTATCGGCATGCCAGGCATTTGTCATGACCGCAAGGAACGCCCAGCCCCAGGGGCCAAAAGTGATGATGAGCTGTTGTTTCACTCGGTCAGTTTGATGCTTCTTTGACTGATCCATGAAATGTAAAAAGATGACCTACAGTCGTAATGTTGTTGTATCCGAGTGTTCCGACGATGGTCGGGAAGAACTGGTTAAAGGCGACGCCGGTCGTCGTCGCTGTCAGGCACAGCGCAAAAAGCCAGACAATGGGGTCCTTTGCGGCGAGGATCAGACCCTCTTTGGGACCCTGACCCTCGGCGCCCTCAATGAGGACTTCGCCAGCATCGTCCGCAAGACGCTGCACAGCCAATTTGCGTTCGGCAGGCGTGAGCATCTTCGAATTGTGCGGGAAGTCGGGTAGGATAAAGAAGCTGCAGAAGGCAACGAAGACGGTAATGGCGCCTTCGATGATGAAGAGCCATTGCCAGCCTCGGATACCCCCCTTTCCCTCCATGTTGCCCAGGATGCCGGCGGAGATGAGGCCGCTGACGGCATTGGACAGGATGCTGCCACCGTAGAGAACCGCCATGCGCTTCGCCACCTCCCTTCGAGTGTACCATCGCGAAAGCAAGTACAGAGCTCCGGGAAAGAAGGCTGCTTCCGAGATACCGAGGAAGAAGCGAACGACGACGAGCTCGCGGAAGTTGTGTGTTGCGGCAGTGCAAGCGGAGACGATACCCCAAACGCACACGACCGAGGGGATGTAGATGCGTGGACGACCGATGTGTGCCAAGAGCAGGTTTGATCTGGCGAACGAGAGCGTCCATCAGCCTGTTGCTTCTCATCTTATGAGAAGGGAAAGGACCTACGGAATCTGGAGAAGAATGTAGCCCACAAAGAGAATGCTGAGCGCAGTCTCGTATTCTTGATCCTTGAGGTTGAGGTCTTGTTCGAGCCCCTTGAGCCTCGCCGCCGAGATGGAGTTGCGGTCAAGGTAGTTGAGGAGATAGAGAAGTACGATGCAAATGAGAATCCTAAGGTCAATCTTGCGCACCAATTTCTTCTCCATAGCGACGTAATCGATGTCCTCCTCCTCCTTCTCTACGGGTGAGACCCCTGCACCGAAGGATAAGTCGCCGTCAATCTTCTTCTCCGACATCTTTTCCTTTGCGGTGGCCTCTTCGACAGCTGGAAGCGCCACGATCTCGTTCACGTTGGACATGCTTGCTTGGACTTCCTGGACTGTGTCGTGGTGTAGAAGACAGAGCAGAGGAACGGAAAGAAAGTTGAGAACAGCTAGCTCTATCTCGCTTTGTTCAGCGGCACTCCTTTGGGGCACTTGCGGGGCGCCGCTCTCTTCCCCTCATCCTCCCCCAGACTCACCTCTGCAGCTCCGCAAAGGAAAACGAAAAGAGATTTTGGGAAAATGGGTCTGTGGGATCACAACAGCGACCTGGTACCTACCTGTCTTGGCGGCATCGGCGAGACCCCCGCGTCAAGGAAAAACCGTAGGCAAAAATAGTGAATAGGCACGACGCGCGCGGAAAGGCGGATGAGCCGAAGAGACCAAGCGAGGCAGAATCAGGAAGGACATTAGCGTCTTTTGGCCGCTAAAAAAAAATCATCAAAGAGGGGGAGAGTCCGTCCGAGGAGGGTCACAGTTGCAAGCAGGGGGGGCGGATCAAAGGCAAGCATCTTCACGCGGCGGAGGTTAAGCAGAGGAAGATGGATAAAGATTCGGCCTGGTCGGAGGCCGTTGGCACCGGCGCAAGTCCAACTTGGTGCAGAATGCCGCGGTTGAACGTGCAACTTAGTCTGTACCGTGATCTGCGCCGAATTCCGCTTCCTCTATCCCGCTTCAGGAATCTAACAGCAAATGCTCTCAACCGCTTCTTGGCAGTTGCGCAGGAACAAGGTGGTCTCTTGTATCAATTCTGTAGCACCCTGACTTTGAGACAGGCTGGAAAGAGAAAGGTCCAAGTACGTCAATTAAATTTATCAAATGTCACCGTGTTTTGTGAAGACGAAGGAAGAGAGGAGTAGACGTAAGAAGGGGGGGAAATATGTGATAAAGGATGACAGTGAATGGACCTGAATGGAGATAGGCCGGCCTAGAGAGAATTGAGGCTCATGAGCAGCTGCCGATGCTGCGTCTCGCTCATCTCTCTTGTGAAACGCCTCGCCTCGAGCCTCTCCGCCCTGAATTGTTCGTAGCGTTGCGCCGTGAATTCCTTGATAGCCTCAATGTGGGTGCCCAATAGGCAAGTCCTCAGCATGGCGAAGTCCGATTGAGTGGGATCGAGCACATTTGCGCTTCCCCATTTGTACGCTCGCTCGAAGCGCGTCAAGGCCTCGTTCGGCTCTGACTCTGTCAATTCGAGCTTTGTCCCATGAGAGTACGAATTGTCGTGCGAATTTGGCGACGAGACGAGGGGCGGCATGGCAGGAGCGTCGGCAGATTTTCTGTCCTTTGGAACCAACTCTGAGGGCTCTTCATCCAAGGTGAGAATGGGGGAAGCCTGGTTGGCATGCTCCTTGGGCAAAGGCGGGACCGGCGGGACGTCTTCCGAGGAAGATGCGACCATCCCATTGGCGACGCGCCTTTGCGCCTCGAGATAGTCGGCGGCATCGGCGCTCGTCAGGGTCCCTTTCATTGTCAGTCCCGCAGCCTTGTCCTTCCTGGGCGGTCGGACTGGCTCAGGAGAGAAGAGGGTGAATGGTACGTTCTTTTCGGGAGACTCATTTGAGGCATTGAAAGGAGGGTCTTCCTGACCAATGTCTGCGGTCCCCTTCTTTGGTGCGTCCGTCGTGTCCTGGCTCGCACCAATGCCCAGACCGGTGTTGCTCTCACTGACGCTATCAACATTGAGCTGTGGTGACCCCGTTGTGCCAGAATAAGACCGTCTTGGGCGAAGTTTGATCACCTTGACCTCTTCTCTCGTATCGGGATCTTCCACCTCGTCTTCGGCCATGGGACTCTTTGCCACTTCAGTCTTGCCTCTCTGCTTTCTCCTGCTGCGCGACGCGACATTCCTTACTGCCTCTTTCCTCGCTTGGGAGGCGTCACTGCGGATATCGAAAGCGCCCAAATCGATCTTTGCCTTTACGAGGCTCGCCTGGACTGCGCTCCTCACCTCTTCCGTCCGAGCGGCTGTCAAGAGGTCTGATTTGGCCAGGATGGGCACAACGTTGGTCCTCTCGCTGAGCCGCGCAATAATGGAGAGCTCCACGGACGAAAGTCCAGAAATTCTCTCTTCGTCCTCGTCCTCATCTTCGTCATCGGTGTGAGTGTCCTCATCCTCTGTCCCCACTAAAATCTCCATCTCCTTCTGACTAAAGTCGCTGACGCCCGAGGAGGTGTGCGCGTGGCTCCGCGACATGGACTGGGACCGTTGAGCTGCAGGGCGGATCGCATCGGTGGATGCAGCCACCTTCCTCTCGCTGATTGCAGCCAAATCCGACGCTTTGGCTGCGGACGCGCTTCGTGGACGAGACTTGTCAGCAAAGCCCTTTGTCGTCGAGGCGTCGGCTGCAGACGCGCCCTTGCTGCGCTCCCTTCCTTGCAGTCGCTCGAGGCGCATCCTTTCCCGATCGGCTCGTCTCGCAAACGTCCTTTCAACGAGGTGGAGGGGATCAATAAAGTAGAGAACGAGATGGACATGGTCGTCGCCACGCGCCTGCCTCTGCACCTTGGACTCTTCGACGAGGGTGCTGTTGAGCTTGCCCTCGATGTACCGGAGTAGCGCAAGCGTCTTTCGTTCTGTCTCGAACTCGTCTTCAAGGCTGAAATCGTAGCCAGGAGTGTCGCAGACGGAGACATGGAGTTTTGTGCCCTGGCCTGAGCTCGCGGAAGACAAGATGGACGGCGACCGACGGAGGCCCGTCCGACTCGGCGCTGGTTGTCCGCCAGACTCAAACGTTTGAAGAGGCAGAATGGCCCAGCTCGGCAATTCGATGCCGTTGAGAAAATTGAACGACCGTGTGCGAACCGGTGTCGGTGGCGTTGTTTTCCTCGTGCTATGATTCGCATTCGTCGACAGACCAAAGGAAGCGGCGGCTGACGACGGCGGAGCACTGTGAGCTGCAATTCAGACGCAAAACGGATGAAAACTTTCTCACCAAGCTTCGCTTCCTCGGAACACACAGAAAGGTCACAGGTGGACAGAAGTGTCCTGATCCAACTTGTCTTTCCCGTAGCCCTACCACCGACGACCATGATGTTGAGCTCGCTGGGAGCCTTGCTTCTCTTGAGGCTCATCTTCCTGGCCGCATCCACCATGGATTTTCTCTGCGAGGGTGACTGCTGCGGCTGGAGATTAGGCGACACGCGAAAGTCGAGAGGCAGTCCCATGACGGAGTAGAGCCCGCTGCTGGAGCTGGCCGTTGAGAGAGTTGACTTGTGCATCGCATATGCAGACGGCGGTGGTCCAGCATTGCGCTTCGAGGGACTCGCCAATCGCGGCTGGTCGTCCTGCGGTGCCACCTTCTGCTGGAGCGACGGCTGAGCCCCGCCTTCGCCCATCTTCGACGCTGCCAGCTCTTTTGTCCACGGTCGATGGTACGCCGGAACGAGCGGAGACTGCGTTTTCTGGCCCCCCTCCCGCTCCCGATTCACTGTCGGAGGTGTCATTGGCGGCGTGATGGGCGTTCGGCCGCCCTTACTCGGCTGTGCCCGAGGAAGGGTGTTGGCTCCGGACATTTCTCCAGCGTTCGCGATGTCTTTGCCGGAACCAGCCTCGGCGGTTGTCTCGAAACCGGTCCCATAACGATGCGGCCCTGCTAGGCTGACGAGTGACCGATTACCAGGCAGCTTGAGCACGTCGAGCTCAGGCACGCCGCCTGGCTCCTCATCCCCGTCCTTGCCGGACCGACTGCTCTTTCGCCTAAAGATGGGCATCTCCGACTGTCACCGTCTCAAATGCAGATGGATGCAAGTGGGAACAATGGTGATCGGAGCAAAGGTGGGGGGTCTCTAGTACAGTTGGGGCCCCTTGTCATGCGATTCACAAATGACAGCTTTAGCTAGTAGTAGTGTCTGCGAGAACTTCACTTTAAAATTTAAATTTAAGGTGCGCTAGCAGCGAGCTTTGTTTCCTGACACGTGGCGTGGCATCCCACGCCGCCGACCAAGCCGAAGCTACCCATGGAGCTCAAGAGGCCCTCTCACCAGACGCCAGCGGCTGGAAGAGTGCCCCAGGCAGACACGCCAAAGTTCATCTCATCGGTAATCTGCTGGCTAATGTGCTTGTCAGCGGCATCATTTGCCTTTCGAGGCGGATCATGAGCCGCGCGATGGTGCTGAGAGTGGTGGTGCTTGTTGTGAGCGTGCTTGTGTTGATGGCTGTGTGAGGCGTCGTCGTGGCGCATGTCTTGACAGTGCTGCTGCTGCTTCTGTTGCTGCTTGGTCTGTGCCTGAGCATGCCTTGTCTGCCGTCGCAGAAGGCGTTCGCGCTCTTGCCTCTCGAATTCGGCCTCGTCTTCGCTGTCCCAGTCGTTGGGCGTCTCAGGAACCGGCTGGCCACTGGCTTCGAGCTCCTCTTTGGCCTTTTTGATGGCTAGCTTGACACGTTCCTCAGCGTCCTCGTCCAATATCCGACCTACCCTCTTTTTCGGGTCACTGCTTGCTGACCGCTCCTTTCCCTTATGAGATCGGTCCGTGCGATGATCCTCCTTTGCCTTCCCGTGGGCCTCATCCTTACGATGACGGTGCCTTGAGACACGCGGTTCGTGGCCTTGGTGGTGATGAGCATGGTGACTTTTGTGACGATGCTGATGACGATCGGATCGATGAGATGCCTCGTCATGTCCGGCGGGTGCATCCTTGTGCACTTCTGCGCCGGAGTGATCGGGTGTGTCTTCTGATCTTGTGCCCCTGTCCTGCAGGGTCTCAGACGCAAACCTCACCATGTTCTGGCGCTGAGAAGACTCCGAGCTGGGCTCTTCACCAGGCCCTGCACAATTCCAGAACTCGTCCTTGCGCTCTGTGCCTTCTTCCTGCTCCGGCCTACCCGACGCCCTATGTTTGGCTTTCGAAGCGAGGCTCAAGAGCTTCCACTTCGTCGCCCCAGAGATGCGCGAATTGATGTCGTCTGGGTCATCTCCCTGCTTGGTTTTACGGTATGCTGCTTCTACCACGGTGGCGAATGAGCTATTGGCACCCGACGCGCTTTCATCGCCTCTTTTACTGCTGTTGTTCTGCTTTGCTCCTTTGCTCGGCTGGAACATCATGACACCTTCAGCAAATGCGACTGAGTAGACGTCTGCCATGATGTGCTCCTGTTGCGAAGCGTCTTGCGCTTGGGTCTGAGCTTGCGCCTGAGGCTGAATTTGACCCTGAGCCTGTGCCTGGGCCTGGGCCAAAGCCTGAGCGTCTCTGGTCTGCTTTGATTTGAGCTTCATCTTGTGTGCGAAGCGGGACGCTACATCCATCGACTTTCTTCCTAGGCCGTTCTCGACCGTGCGATCTTGCCGGGGAGGGCTGTCATCACGATGCCGAGGAGCTTCTGCGATTGCAGGACGATGCGAAAAGAGGCCTGTCGCTTTTCGCTCGCGCACAGGCCGACGCGGAGGGCTGTTGCGGCCGTCCCTGACGTACTCGCTTTCGGGCTCCTCGTGGTATCCTCCAGGGATCTCTGCAACTTGCTGCTCGAAGCGCACACCAGACGTGCTTTTGGACGGTGCCATAATGACTAACGAGGAGGAGACAGGGACAGCAGGTCGCGCCCCCACCTCCTTTTACACCAACTGCCAACAGTGACGCCCACGCCACGTTGACGTACATTTGCGACAGCGCCCAACTAAAACAGATCAACAATGGGCGCAAGGTCAAACAGCCTCGCTCAGTTTGCTACTCGTGACCGCCTCACACACTCCCCGAAAGGACAACAAACAACATGGTTGAGGGCGCCACGCCACATGGCGCAGGCGATGATTTCTATTTTTAGTAGCCAGGTACGGGACACAGGACTTAATAGGGCAGCTGACAACGCTCGTCCACGACAGCCGCCGGGAACGAATTCCGGTGGGCCAGCAATTTTGCAAGTCGTGCCAGCAAGGCAAGTCCATGCCACCACGCAGGCAGCAAGTGTATGCGAGAGAGCTGTCTTGTCTGACCTCTGCTCCTCTCCCTGCTGCCTGCTGAGAAGCTTGGCCTACGGCAGAACGCCAGTGCTCTGAAACGCCAAGAAATGCCGCCAAGCCGCCGGTGCGGTTTTTTCTAATTTGTCTTTATCAGTTTTGAACAGTCCTTTCCTGTCGACCTTTTCCTTTATTTTTCCAGCTTTAGAAACGGGTTCGCGATGTGGTGACTTGTCGTGCGGCAGCAGAGTACGCGCCCTGTTCGCCAAGCCCTCTTTACTATGCAGCTTGGCTATTTGATTCTATATTCCCTTTTTCCCTATTTTCTTTTGCAGGCAGGGAAGGAGCGAGCAGGCACGCATCAAAGACAAGATATAGAGGATGTTCACGGGGAGGCTTGCCTGGCTTGGCAGATGGGGCAGGGGAAAGAGGGTGTGATTTACAACTCTAGACGACTCTGTCGAGCAAATGAGTGGCTTGGAACCATCCTCGTCTTGGCTGGGCCCACATTTTACCATCATTACTACCTGACTGTAATTGTTCAGGTCCGCCCGAGTCAACCAGCTGGGCCCTTGTTCATCTCCCGAGCAATTGGAAGGGAGGAGCAGTCCGAAATCAGCAGGAGGCAACGTTCGTCATCTGCTTGGCGTTGCTTTAGCCGGGAGGAGGCGGGATAGGACAGCAAGACGGAACACACCACCAAGACCGCAACACCGCGATACGAGCCGACCAGCCAGTCAGCCAGTCAGTCGGCCAGTCAGCCAAGCAGCCACTGCTGGGAAGCTAGATTGACGCTGGCCTTCGGTCGGGACAAAATCCCCTATCTATCATCAGCCTTGGCTTCCCCCTCCTCCTTTCTCCCTCCCCCTTCCTCGACCACCTCCTCACCTACCACGCCTTTCGATACCATGCTCGCAACGATGTCATCCTCAACATCCACTTACTACTCGCAGCAGCAGCAGCATCAACACTACAGCCATTGGCACCACCGCGAGCCTTCCGCATCTTCGTCATCTTCTTCGAGCCGTATCGCAGCCCCAGCATCGAGCTACGCGACCGAGAATGGCGGCGGCGTCAGCGCCGGCGGTGGTGGCAGCAGCAGCAGCAGTGCGGAAGCCCGATCGCCGGGCGTGCTGACAGCGACGGGACGCAAGCGCAAGAGACTCCAGCGAGCGTGCGTGGCCTGCCACAAGGCCAAGAGACGCTGCGATGGTGGCCTCCCGTGCTCCAACTGTGACTTCAGTGGCCGGCAATGCACCTATTCCGACTCGCAGGGCAAGACGGTGCCCCCCACGCAGCGCACGCCCAGCACCAGCACTCAAACTTTCTCACTCACGCAAAACCCACACCTTTGGCAACAGCAGCAGCAGCAGCAACAGCAGCAACATCAGCAAGGTCCAGCTTCCCTGCCTACCAATTCGCCGCCGAGTGCCGCACACCACTTACCGCCCACGCCACCGGAAGCGCGGTCGCCGCCGCTGAGCCGCGCCTTTTCGCCACAACACAGTCTCGAGCCAAGTGCGGAGACGCGGAGAAGCCTCTTGTCGACGTTTTTCTCCCAGTTGCCCGCCTACAGCACCACATTCGATGAGGTTGCCTTTCTGCGCGACCTGTCCACATCAGAGGTGCCCAATGTGCTCCTCTATTCCATCTATGCCGTCAGCGCCCGCTACCAGGAGCAGACGACGTCGCCATTGCCAGGGAGGGATCGCATCAGCGCCGAGACGTATGCAAAGGCAGCTAGACGCATGCTGTATGAAGAGAGCCCGGACACGGGCTTGACAATGCTCGATGATCCCCAGCTGGAGACATCGCAGGCCCTCTGTATGCTGGCCGCCTTCGAACTCGGCGTCGGTCGGAGCCGAAGGGCTTCCATCTTCATGTCTCTCTGCCACCGCATCATCATCGACATTCGCCTCCACGAAGGCATCGTTCCCCCACCACGGAGAGTGTCGTCCTACAGTGAGACATTGTCGAGCGCCAACCTGGCCCGACGGGCCCATTGCCAGCGCTACCTTGGCATGGCATGGACCCTCGACATTATCATTGCTGCCCTCTCTGGCGCCTGCCCCTCTTTCCGTCCCGGCGAGATCGACACGACCCGCGGCACTTTTGCCTCGGCCGTCAACGGAACCACCGACGAGGTCACCTCGAGCTTTATCCACACGTTGGGCGCAGTCGACGTCTTTGCCCAGGCGCTCGAATACGTCAGGAGAAAGTCCGATGGAGCCGGTTGCGAAATGGCACTCCACCGATGGGCCGAGTCTCTTCCTGCAAACCTCGTCTTTGACCTCGAGAACCTGGGCGGCGCCTCGACTGCGCTTCAGGGTGACCTCCTCCCTCACCGGACCGCTGCTGGAAACAACGGTAACGGCGCATCAAAGCATTCGGTCATGTCGGTGGGAGCTGCGCAGAACTGGACAGTGATGCATTCGCTCGCAGAGAGTGCTACCTTCCTCGTCAGTGGCATGAATCCCAGCCCGGGAGCCATGTCGAGGCGCGATGCAGCATTCAAGAACCTCGTCATGATCCTCGAGACGATGGGAAGCCAAGCTCGCCAAAGTCCTTTTGCTCTCGTCCCTATACTCATCTGCTCTCGAGCACCCGGGGGCCACGATGGACCGAGCCAGGCACGACGGTGGCTAGACGAGGCGAAAGCCCTTTGGAATCTCGGCGACGAGCAGGCCACCTACGAAAAGCTCGTTGGCACAACCCGGTCCTTTGCTGCACCCTCATGGAGCTATGCAAGCAATGGTAGCGGCAGTGGCGGCAGGTACGCACCGCCTCCGCCGTCCTCGGACCCAAGTTCGTCGCCACCGCGACGATTGTCGCCGCCCTTGATCAGACATCACCATTCTGGTTCTGGCTACCATCTTCCGCCTCTCGTGTCGTCGAGCGCCTCCTCAGGACTCCCTTCGCTCCGCTTCTCACCACCGAGCGCTGGCACCACACCCTCGTCGGACCGCCGTCTATCTCCTCCTGATCACCCATCTAGCATCTCCCTCTCGCTACCGGCACTGCCCTCCCCTTCCAAGCTCTACCACCAATCTTCCGCTACGTCTCCCACGAACACCAGATCCGCCGACCCCTTTAGACTCGAGGGAGGTGGCCGCGGGCTTGGTCTTCTCGCCAGCGTGCAGCGTTAAGGTCCTTTGTGCCCTTATATAATATTCATCTTTGCGTTGAGCATCATTCCCTCGATGAACAGTAATAGCAGTGTACTTGTTTCAAAACGTATTCTGGGATGAGAGTCTGTGACTCTTCTCTGAGAGGTGGCAAGACGTCACGACTGAGCAGAGGCTTGTCTAGGTCCTCTCGGCCTTCCTTTCGCTTATCACTTTACAAGATCTAGAAGCATCGTCTTTTCTAAATCTTTTTCGATCATCCTCAAGGTAACTAACATCTACCTCATGACCATCGTCAATCGCCCCGCAGATGCAAAACAGGGTCTTTGAACGGCAAGCAAGGTCTTCTCTGAAGATTCCGATTGTGTTATGCGCCTTCGACCGAGGAAAGAAGGATGAAGGAGAATTATGATTAGGTTGGAAATATTGGGGAACACGTTCGACGCGAGTTCCACAAACGACTGTCGTGTGACCTTAGTGGCAAAGGCAAAGCGGGGGCATGACCCCCACTTTTCGCCTTCTCTCCATCTCCGTTGCCTCGGCTCACATGACGATGGCGGGAAGGGACCTCTCTCTCTCTCTCTGTGTATGTGAATCTATACCACGTTTGCCCGGTCACAGGTCTGTATTGGATGCGGTGATGCATGTGGTGTCACTTTGCCGTACACGGCAGCCATCATGCAAACGCCGACCTAGTCAAACGGCATTGGGCGAGCGTATATAAAGAGAGGGCCAGCCGAACTCGGCAAGGACTCGCTGTAACAAATCAGCTCGCTCCATCATGTCGTCTTTCAAGGGAGGTTGCCTCTGCGGCTCTGTCACCTACGAGTACAATGGTCCACCAGGCGATGGTATTGCGTGCCACTGGTGAGAAACCTGAAGGTACAGTCTTGCCCAGTACGTCTCTGACATCGCTTTGTGGCTCCGCAGCACCCACTGCAGACGCTACACGGGCGGTGTAGCAAGCTTCAACCTCGGTGTCGAGGCGGCCAAGATGCAGTGGAAGACCAAGGACACGCTCACGGCCTTTGTGTGAGTCGTCTCGGTAAAGGAAAGAGCTTGCGAAAAAGACTGACGGTTAGGCGAATGAATTCGCAGCGACAAGTGCGACATTGGAGAGGGGCCTCGTCGGTGGTTCTGCAACAAGTGCGGAAGCCCCCTGGCGACTACCCTCGACTATGATCCAGCGCCCATGTTCATCAAGGCCGGATCCATCGATGACTTTGAGAGTGTCTTTGTGAGTTGCTGATCGGCCCTGCAAGGCGCCTCTTTACACTCGCTCACAGCTCTACGTGCTTTAAAGCCGGACGTGAAAGTTCATCTCTTCACGCCGGAAGTGAGCACGGCAGTCAAGAAGCACTGGAACTTCGATGGTCAGACGCTCTTCAAGGGCATGCCCGGATCCGAGCAAGTGGCACTTTAGGTCTAGCTCCTGTCCATAGCCCCCTCTCTTGGACCCTGAGCTGAAGAAAGTCATGTGCCTTACTGTTAATGCTATGGTACAAAAGATGCAGGGTGCAACCGGCCCATCTAATCGCTTCCTTCCTCGTCGCTGTCGTCCTCGTCATCGAGCTGATCCATGCCATTGCTGCCCCTTCCCATCGTGCTCGCGGCCAGTTGGGCCTCTTGGGCGCTTAGCGTCGTTGCGGGAGCGCTTCCCGTCGCAGGTGCTGTCCCGTCTCCCATCTTCGCCGCCGCGGCCACCCGTTGCCCTGTGAAAACAAGGTCTGAGAGACACGCTCCCACTACTCGAGTGGGGAAAAAGAAGAGGACTCACGGATGAGAATCAATCGCGCCTCCTTGTCTCGTCGCTCAAGTTTCGCCAATCGCTTCTCCATGTCACGCTTCAGATCCCAATTGAGCTTCTTTGGAGCGATATTCGTGAGATCGAGTTCTTGCTCCCTCCGCGCTTCGTCTGCTGCGAGAACAGCCTCTTGGTAACCAGCGATGTCTGTATTACCTCGTCAGTATGATGCTCAACCACGGAATGCAGATCCTTAAACCTACCAGTCTCGATTGTATTTTTGAGCTCTTCGATCCTCAACTTCTTCCCCTGTCCTGCCAGCCTCCTGAAGCTAGCGAGAAGCTGGGCTATAGAGAGCCTTTCAAGGTGCTCTGTGGCGAGATTGTCGTCGTCCTCTTCCTCATCACCCTCTACTTCTCCCGCTGCTGCTGCTGCTCGTTGTAGGGCTTCGATCCTTCTCTGCCGCGACGAGATGGATCCATTTGCTTGTCTTTGCGACGAGAGCCATTCGGACTTCTTCTTCTTGAGAGCCTCGATGCGGGCGCGTCGCGAGGCGGATGCGGCCTCCATTGCAGTCGCGACGTTCAGGCTGAGGAGGGTAGACGAAGGCAAAAAATGTTCGACAGTAGTGAGATGAGATTCAACACAATGACCAATCTTGTGGTGCCAGTTTGTGTCATTTTCGGTCATCTTCCCCTTCACCTTAAATTGCTTCCTTCAGCGTGGGGTGGGCGTGGGGGGAAAAGGTTCACCTTCCTTCTCATCCTCAAAAGGGGCGCCATACGATTCGATTCTCTCTCCCCCATCTTCCCCCACCTCTTTTCCCCTCCAGACCCCATCCTTGACCACCAGCATGGCAGACCTCTACATCGTTGACTTCAGCATCCACGATGTGCGTTTCCCGACGAACCTTTCCGGCGATGGGACCGATGCGATGAACAAGGAGTGCGACTAGTGAGTCTCCTCTCTCCTCTCTCTCCGGCGTGGAGCTTATTGCTGAACATACGATAGCTCGGCGGCCTATGTCATCCTCTATACCGGCCCCAAAGGCTCGGCTGCCAACAAAGATCTCAATGACGCGAGCGCGTCCCCTCGAGGATTCGGCATGACCTTCACCATCGGTCGAGGCAACGAGATCTGCTGTGCGGCCATCAAGAGCCTCGTCGAGCATGCACTGCTGGGAAAGAGCGTCCGCAGCCTCACGTCCGACATGGGCAAGACGTGGGAGGCGCTCGTGACCGACTGCCAGCTCCGATGGCTCGGGCCTGAAAAGGGCGTCATTCACCTCGCGTCGGCTGCAGCCGTCAACGCCGTTTGGGACCTGTATGCGCGCATCGAAGGAAAGCCCCTTTGGCTGCTCATTGCTTCCATGTCGCCAAAGGAGCTCGTCTCCATCGTGCCCTTCAAGTACATCTCCGACCTCGTCACGCCGGCCGAGGCGCTGGCCATCTTTGAGGCCGCCGAAAAGGACAAGGCGAAGCGCATTGCAGAGCTGCAAGCTGACGGCTACCCAGCATACACCACTTCGGCCGGTTGGTCCGGGTACGACGACGCCAAGGTGGCACGATTGACTCGGTCGGCACTTGCGCAAGGCTTCAACCACTTCAAGCTCAAAGTGGGCGCCAACCTCGAGGACGACAAGCGTCGTCTGGGCCTCGTGAGGAGCATCGTCGACAACCCCGCTGAGATTCCCAAGGGCTGGGTCCGGCCGTCGGAAGCGAGCGTTGCTGGCAAGAACGCAGGCCCCACGGGTGCTGTTGTCATGATCGACGCCAACCAGGGTGAGTGGCTCTCTCCCTTCTTCATAAATCTATGCCCCCTCGCTGACCCGCCAGGACCTCTGCACACCAGTCTTTGACGTGTCGGAAGCCATCGACTACATCTCGCAGCTTGCCTCCTTCAAGCCCTGGTTCATTGAGGAGCCCACCTCGCCCGACGATGCTCTGGGCCACGCTGCCATCCGGAAAGCGCTGCTGCCGCTTGGCGTCGGTGTTGCTACGGGCGAGCACGCCCACTCGCGGGTCGTCTTCAAGCAGCTCCTCCAGGCAGACGCCATCGATGTCGTCCAGATTGACTCGTGCCGCCTCGCTGGCCCGCAAGAGGTGCTCGCTGTGATGCTCATGGCTCGCAAGTGCGGCAAGATTGTCTGCCCGCACGCAGGCGGCGTCGGCCTGTGCGAGTACGTGCAGCATCTCAGCCTGCTCGACTATGTATGCGTCAGCACGACGATGGAGCGAAATGTCCTCGAGTGGGTCGATCATCTCCATGAGCACTTCAAGGACCCAGCAAAGATCTCGGAGAAGGGCAGGTACGTTGCGCCAAGCGCACCAGGCTACAGCATGGAGATGCTCGTAAGTAGACAGACCTCGCTTGCTTCTCTTTATATCGGCCTTTTCCACTCACGCTCTCGACTTTCACAGGCAAGCTCCATCGAGGACTATACCTTCCCTACCGGTTCTTACTGGTCAAAGGGGACCGCGAGGACACCTCCCAAAGTCGAGGGTCACTAATCTTGACACTAAGCCTACTCTCACACCCCTCATATCTTCGTACATATATAAGATTCTGAGCAATGCACTGAAGAAAGAATACGAGTTGATGCAGAGGGATGACAAGAAGCTCAATACCGGCCATAAGGGCCTCCGCCGTAGGGACCACCGCCGCCGCCACCTCCTCCTCTTGCATTGCCCCCTCGCGGAGCGCCGCCTCCAGACTGCGGCCCTGTACGGAAGCCCAACGGCCTGGGAGGAGCTGCCGATGTGGTGGACGGCGGAGGGGCACCATAGGCTCCACCACCATATCCGCCGCCTGCACCTCCTCCGTAGGCACCACCGCCGTAGCCTCCAGCTGCTGGTGCGGCACCGTAGCCTCCTCCTCCCCCTCCTCCGCCGCCGCCACCGCCGCCGTTGTAGGCACCACCGCCATAAGAAGCGCCGCCGTAGCCTCCCGAAGGCTGTGCTTGAGATGCTCCACCCCCGTACTGGCCGCCGTAACCAGCTCTTGCCCCAGCATGAGGCGGGCCACCTCCCGCTCCTCCATACCCATCTCTTGCGCCTCCTCCGCCATATCCACCTCCTCCATACGCACCGCCGCCGTACCCGCCTGCACCTCCTTGGTACGACGAGCCACCGTAGGAAGAAGCGTAGGGATCCTGTCTACCGCCTCCATGCTGACTTCCAAAGTCCTGCAAGCCACCGCCACCTCCAGACGGCGGACCATACTGCGAAGGCGGTCCTCCATAGCCGCCGTAGCCGCCGTAGGCTTCGCCGCCTGCGCCATTACCGTACGAGTCGTAGCCGGCAGGCTGCGGCGGGTAGCGACTGTAAGGGTCCGCATGTCTCTGCGGTGGTGGGCCTCCGGCGTTCGAAGGTGGGTAAGCGCCGTACTGACGTCCTCCGTACGAACCGCCGTATGCCCCTCCCCCTCCTCCTGACCCATACCCCTGCTCGTCCCATCTGTGATGGACCGCCGGTCCCTGGTGAGAACGATGCGCCATGGGTCCGTTGCCCATCCTCATCGCGCCCGAGTCATAGTGGCCACCATAGGCCGTGGCAGCGCCGCCTCGTGCGCCGCCTCGCGGAGGTCCACCCCTGCCTCTGGAGCCGCCACGATTGCTCGGTCCACCTCTACGCGTCCATTCCTTGTCTTCCTCATTAAGCACTCGCTTTGGCAGCTTGACGCCCTTGAGCAGCACGCTTCTGTGCGGCGTCTTCTGCGCCGGAAACTCGTACAGCACCGACAGGCTTCGATCGTTGGTGATGTCAGCCAGTTCGGCATCCTCAGGCTGCTGCTTGAAAGGAGTGTTGAAGGTACTGCCTGGCACGCAGTCGGGGTCTGCCCGAACAATGCCCGTGATACCACCGCTGAGCGCTGCGTTGAGGGGCATGCGCACCGCCTCTTCATCGTCGGACTTTGAGGCTCCCTTGCGCTTAACGTACAGCACGCACAACTCGTTGTAGAGTTGATTGTCTTCGCTGACGAACAAGGTATGATCGCCAAACGAGTTTCGCCTCACCTCGTCCTCGGTCAGCTGATCGTACTTGGACTCGATCGCCTGCAGCAGCCGCTTTTCATCGATAAAGGGGAGCAGAGCGACACCCTGCCAAGCCATCTTCTTGCCGTTCATATCGATCGAGAAAGTCTCCGGGTAGAAGTCGATGATCTCCGAGTCACTTTCCGTCATGAGCGGGTGCAAGACTGGCGGGATACTGGCTCGACTGGCAGCTGGAAGCACACCCATAAGCTGGTCGAACGGACGGAAAGGCTTGCCTTGATCGAATGTGATGTCAAGCGTCGCAAGATCGGTAAAGTCTGCAGCGAAGGGCGAGAAGTGGTAAGGGTAGTACCAAGTCCAGCTGGGGCATCCTTGATAGTAGTAGGCCAACACCCATGATAGGCCCTCCATGTAGGCCTTGACGACGCCTCGTCGAAACTTGGTGTCGCTCAATTCGACACCAAATTTCTGCTGGTAGTAGCGCTCCCGGTAGCCAGGCTCCCACAGCTTGACCGTGTCTTCGTAATCGACTGTCCCATCAGGGTTGACTTTGCGCTCGATATTCGTCGCCTCAACTGGATCCACTGTCTCGTTACCCTCGTCGTCTTCCTCCTCGGGTGCCTCTTCCTCTCCTACAACCGTACCTTCGTCTTCTCCATCCACGTCGTCGATGGTACGTTTCTTGCCACCTTTTGCGCTCTCCATTGAGGCGTCTCCGTTTGCCTCAAATTCCTCTTCTTTACCGTCGACGACATACAACCCGTCAGGCGTCTTTGTGGGGGGCTCGGTATTCATTGTTTCCTGCTCATCCGTCTCCTTGGTGGTCTCCACATCTCCATTTTGCACTTTTGGCTTTGGACCGATGTCATCCTCTCCTGCGTCCTTGGAAGAGCCGTCGTCGGTCTTCTTTGCGCTTGCTGAAGCAGCTGTCACCTTGGATGCCTCTTCATCCGCCTCGACCTTGGCGCGCTTCGCGCCCTTGCCGTTGGACAACGCCGACCTGGCCGCGTTCCCCTTGAGCTCAGCTTTGAGCTTCTCGGCTGCGCTGAGATTGGCCATCCGGATCGCCTTTTGGTTGCTAATAATGTCCTCACTCCGGCCACTCTCGAGCGCTGCGATGGCCTGTCGCTTGAGCTCTTCTTGCTCGTTGCCGTTGGCCTTCGGAGGCGCACGGCCCGAAGAATAGTCAGACTCGCCATGCTTGAAGCCAGAGCTCCTCCGTTGCCGCTCTTCATCCTCGAGCTTCCTCCGCTTGGCATTGGCCTCCTGTCGTTCTTCCTGCTCTTTTCTTCGCCTAAAGATGTCGTCTTCCTGCCCGGCGATGCCCTCGAGGATCAGCTGGGCATTTTTCAATTCCACCTTTCCGTGCTTGGTAAGGTAGCCGCCCATCCTCGGAAGTTCAGCCTTCCAGATCTTCAGGAGTGTGTCGATCGCCCCTTCTCGGATCTCGAGACTGGGCAGATGAGGCAGAAAGTCGTTTCCAACAAAGAAGATGAGGAAGACCCAATCGTCGATGGCCCTCTCGAGGTCAAAGGCAAAGGGCAAGTTGGGCACTTGCAGCTCCACCTCGAGATATTCTCGCAGCGCCACGACGTCGAGGAAGATGAATGGCTTCTTTTCTGGCTTTTTGGCGCCCACCTCATCGTGCTCGCCAGACTTAGCCTTTGGCTCGCCGATGCAATTTGCAGCAATGTGACCCTCTTGGCCGCACCGGTGACAACCCCTCGTAGATTTCTGGTCTTGCGCAAAGACGTCCTCACGAAGCACTTTGAAGTAGGGTTCGTGGGTGGCGAGCGAAAGCATGATTAGGTCGGCATCCAGGCCATAGATGACGTGCTTTGTGTTGGGGTCATGCTCTGGGTGTGATCTCTGGCGCCGGATGTGGTCCATGATCTTGTGCTCTCCCTCTCCTGGCACACTGGCATCGGAGATAATGACCTGAAGATTTCTCCATCCGGCATCCTGATTGAGCTTCTGTGCTACCCAATACCTGAGCGAGGCCGCCAAAAGATCCATGAAGGGCGTGCCGGGCGTGATCGCATTAGAGTCCCACGCCTTCTTGTTCTCCTTTGCCTCATCGGTCACAGGTAGACCCGAGGCCTTCCACTCCGCCAGTGCCTTTTCGCGCTCCTCCTGCTTCTCCTTGGCCTCCTGAGCCGAGCGAAATCTGCGCGACCGCTGCTGATTCATCTTTGCGCGCGGCGCAACGCCATCGATGGCCATCATCAGCAGCCGCCTCGGCCGGACCATGTTGACGACACGCTCAGTGTACAGAAAGACCTCCTTCATCATCTCCTCTTCTGTCTCGGGAGGCGGCTGTTTTTCGAGAATTTTCGCTCGTTCAGCTTCACCTGTGCATGTCACGAATGCGAACGGGGGTCAAGAGCTCACCTTTCCTTCAGGATGCGTACACGGATGTACAATGCCGTTCATATCTAAATATAAACAGTCGAATTCTTCCCCATTCGGGTTGGGCCCCGACATGTCGATGGGCAGCTCCTCATCTTCGGCGCCATCCTTGCCAGGCACTGTTCTTGGCTCCTCCTCTTGCACCTGTCCGACAATCTTAGGATACTTCTTCGAAAGCCACCGGAAGAGTGCTGGGACACCCATGTCGTCTTTCCGCTTCCTCGAGCAGCGTCTCTTTTGGGAGTCGGCAAATGTTCGATCAAGGATGCAGACTCAGCCGCCAGGAGGGAAAGCGAGCTGGAGGGCAAAGAGCAGAGGAGCTGAGCAGGTTGGTGGAAGGGGTGAAGCTCAATGTGTTCTGCATCTGGGGAGCATTGGCCAATTTTCTGCATCCTACATCTGACATCTTACGTAAGCCGGGCGCCCTTGGCTTCCTAAGCCGCACCATTATTTTTTTTTGGCTCAATCTTCCTTCCCTGCGCGTCATCAATGCACGCAACAATGGCTTCGCTCTTTCGTCCGGCCCTCTCATCGGCACGACTTCAGGCTGAGCGTCTCTGCGTATTAGAGGGACCATCGTCGATGAGGCTCGCGCTGCGGCCAGCTCAGTCGGCGAGAATAGCAGCGCCCTTCGTCCGGCGGACATATGCAACATCATCGTCAGATCCAACACCTACCCCACCACCAGGTCCACCAGGCGGAAGTTCGCGCGAGGAAAAGGCCAAGGACCGCGAAGCGATCGGCGTGAGTCCGGAGTGCATTTTAAGTACCCCTCTCTTTTCCCGAACGTTGATCAGCTGACAAAGCTCCCATGTTGTGTTGGCAGCCTTTCAACTCGCGCGCCGCCCTCCTCTTTGTCGTCACGGGCATCGGCCTCTTTGCCTATTTCAGCCGCGAAAAAGCCGCCGTGCAAGCACGAAAACGGGCCGAGTCAGACCAGGCCCGTGTTGGTCGGCCCAAGATTGGGGGCGAGTTTGAGCTGCTGATGCCCACACCCGTCCGACCGGGCGATGAGGCAGCGGCGCAGCAGCAAAAGGTGGAGGCGCGGAGAGTCACGGACGAGGATCTCAAGGGGAGCTTCAGCCTCGTCTACTTTGGCTTTACCAACTGTGAGTGCCTGCTAAAAATACCATCTGAGCGCAGAAAGAGAGGAGGGCAGACACTGATGGGGAGCACGATTGGTCCACCCAGGCCCGGACATCTGCCCAGAGGAGCTCGACAAGATGGCGCACATTGTCGAAAACGTCGACGACAAGCACGGCCCCGTCATCAACCCCGTCTTTATCACCTGTGATCCTGCACGCGACACGCTCCTGGCGACGTCCATCTACGTCTCTGAGTTCCACCCCAGGCTCATTGGCCTCACGGGCCCGTACGAGGCCATCAAGGCGGCATGCAAGGCCTACCGCGTCTACTTTAGCACCCCGCCGGGCGCCGACCCAAGCGGCGACTACCTCGTGGACCACTCCATCTTCTTCTACCTCATGGACCCCGACGGAAAATTTGTCGACGCCTTTGGACGGAGCATGGGCCCCGACGAGGCCACACAAAAGGTCCTCGGCTTCGTCGACCAGTGGAAGAAGGCCGGCAACGAGATCGAACGGGCAGACGCAAAGGAGCGTATCCTCAGAGATGCAAGCAGAAAAGTCGATGTGTAGCTAGCAGCATCTATCATTACCACTACTCTTTACTAATTAAGGCCATTACTTCCATGGTAAAAAAAGAAAAGGACAAAGCATTTGCTCTCCAATCTGCGACGGAGGATTGCAGGACATTACTGTCGCTCTCTTACGACTTTTTCACCGTGGTGATGCGGCCCTCGCAGATGTCGAGGGCCTCCTTGAGCTGCCTTCGGGCTGTCTCTACATCGTCGTAGTCCAAGGCACTCGTTGCCCACTTTGCCAGCTTCTGCACCCTGCCCGTCAGTGCTGGGTTGAGCGAGGTTGGCATGTCGGCCTCGGCCAGAGCCGGCTGCTGCGGAGGCGCAGTCGGGACGGCGGCGGCGGCGTGCTGGACTGGAATTGGCTGGAACGGCGGCGGCTGTGGCGAGGTGGGGAGAAACGTCGACGGTGGGGCAGAGGGCTGGGGAAGATGGAGGTGCTGGGCGAGCGTGGGCGGCGTCAGGGGTGTCGTGCTACCGCTGCCGCCCGGCGGCAAGGGGAGCGCGTCGCCCCTCCTTGTCGAGGCCGTTCTTGACAGCGTGACCGTCGAAGACGGCGGCGGCGGTGTCGGCAGCGGACGCGCGCCCGGGCTCGTCGTTGCTTGGCCAGGCACCGGCTGGCTCGGATGCAGAAAGGCGCTGCCGGGCGGGTGCTCGAGCGACGAGTTGCCAAAAGGCAGCTGCATGTTCCCGCCCCTCGTGGGACTCGATGGCGCAGACGCCTCGCTGCCAGTCTGAGACGAGGAGCCGACGACGCTGCCGTTGCGACTGAGCTGACCCCGCCAGGGCATGGAGAAGTTTGGGCTGCTGGCGGCCGCAGGCTGGGTGGGCGGCAAGGCCAGTGACGATGACGAGGAGGCAGGCAGGCCTTCAATACCCTCACTGCCACCGAGACCAAGACCGAGGGCGCGGGTGTCAAAGCTGAGGCGCGACTCGGCCCTCCTGCTGCGCTGCGCTCGCGGCGTAACGGGGTCAGATGCACCGACATCCGGCTCTTCCACGTCGGGTGAAAGCGCGTGTACTTCGCCCGCGCCCGGCTCTTGCACGTCCCCCGTGAGCTTCGCCATCTCCCTCGCCACGTAGTCGTCCTCCTTTTCGGCGTGGTGAGCGTCCAGGCCGGCCAGCTTGGCAGCCGCAGCGTCGAGCTCGGAGGCTTGCTGAGAAGACTGCTGCTCGCCTGCCCCCTCTCCATCTTCCTCGGCACCACCGATCGGTCCTGCAGTGGGCTTTCTCCCCTCGCGAAGTGCCTTTGCAATGTCGGCGGCCTTCCACTTTGCGTACTTGAGCTTCTCTTCCATCTGTTGCTCGCAGTCAAAGAAAGGTCGAGTCAGTTGCTTCCTGTACTTGATCAAAGAGCGGATATGTCACCAGCTCACCTCGGTATCGAGCTTGCCAAAGTTGGTCAGAACCTCGATGAAGTTTGCCGCGACGAGGAAGCGCCTCGCCGTCGCCTTGGACGCCTTGCCCCTTCTGTCCTCGTCGTCTGCACCCCCAAAGACCTTGAGCGCGACATTTTCGACGTATGCCTTGGCCACGATGTCGTCCCCATTGACGACGTCGTTTCCCGCCAGGCTCTTCTTCTGCGCCTCGAGCGTGTCCATGAGAGTGATGAGAAACACCTTCGAGTCGGGCGCGAGCGAGTTGAGGAGGGGGATGCCGAGCTGCGCAGCGTGGTAATTGCACCAGTACGAAAGGGCCGGGTCTGCGGTCCGCGTCTCATGCGCGCGCTGGAGGAACGGTGCGAGTGGCTTCAGATCCGTCGGCGGTGCCTTGAAGGCCTCGCCTCCCTTGCCAGACGCCGAGGCCATCTTCTCGTCGGCGCGCTCGGAGAATGCCTTGCTATATGCGCTGGTTGACGATGATGGTCTTGTCCAGCACACTTTAAACTTTCGGCCGTGCGCGGGCGCGGGCGCGCTGCACCCTTTGGAAGCAGACTTGCGATTTCAAAAAGCGGCGCTTGGCCAACAAGTGCTTTGACCACCCGCCAGTCGACGCGAACGCGAAGCCTGACGACATCATGAGCGCTCCAGCGCAAGGGCAACAGCAGGTCAGCACCCCTTCGTCGATCGGTGGCGGCCTGAAGGTATCGAGCAACTCGCCCGTCGTGCTCGATGTGCAGCGTGAAGGCACCGTTGGCGTCAATGTTAGCCTGTGAGTGTGTCCGTGTGTGGCACGAATGCGATGATCCGGTGCTGAGCTAGCTGCCCCACCTCTTTGCATCGCAGCCACCCGCTCCCCATTCTCAACGTCTCAGAGCACCTCACAAGGACAGCGATGCAGGCAAAGTCGACAGATGTAGAAGGTGAGAATGAGACCGCGAGGCACCCTGACCGGGAAGTGTGCTCTGACCCTTCTCTCAAGTATACGGGGCGTTGCTGGGAACCCAGTCCGGTCGGAATATCGATATCCATACGACTTTTGAAATCATAGTCAAGGCTCCCAATGGCACCAGCACACGTAGAGAGGTAGACCACGACTTTCTGACGGCAAGACAGGCTCAGTGTAAGTGGTGCCAGTCTTGCGTCGTGGTCATTCTGCTGACTCTGTCTCAGTCAAGCAAGTGTTCCCCACCTTTGACTTTCTTGGCTGGTACTCTACCGGCACCATACCCACACCGGCCGACCTCGAGATTCACAGCCAGGTGAGGCCATGTCTGGTCATTGGGCGCACACTCACATTGCTAACCACCTCCTGACAGCTGTCTGATTACAACGAGTCGCCCCTCTTTCTCCAGCTGTCGCCCTCTGATCAGAAGCTGAGCCAGGCAAGAGCAGCCGGCGAGCTACCCATTGCCATTTATGAGACCTTTGTCGAGATGCCGACAAAGGAAGCGAGCTCGGAGGGAAAGGTGTCGACCGAGACCGGCCCCGCCACCTTCTTCTTGCCAGCCAACTATCACGTAGAGACGGGCGAGGCCGAGAGGATCGCCGTCGATCACACGAGCAAGCCGCCCGAGGGAGGAGAGGACGGTGAGAGCGGCGGTGAGTTTCATGTTTTATAATTCGCGAGGGAGAAACGGAAGCTGAGATTGCCGACGGCATTCAGTCACGGCCAACCTCACGACGCAGTACAACGCCATTAAGATGCTCTCGGACCGCATCAATCTCATCACGGCCTACCTTCAAGGTGTACAGTCTGGCAGTCTGAGAAAAGATCCCGAGTCGCTCCGTCAGATTTCGAGCCTCGTCGCCAGCCTCCCTGCCAGCAACGAGCTGCCCGAATTCCACAGCGAGTTCTTGACCGAATACAACGACGTACTCTTGACAAACTATCTGGCCAACATGACCAATGGTCTCAACTCGCTCAATGAGGTGATTAGTCTCCTAGTTTGAAATCTGAAGCAAGAGCTGACATTAGAGCGAAACCCCTTCTCCAGCTGGTCGACAAGTTCGACACTGCTCAGACGGGGGCAGACGAGTCACTAGGTCGCCCAAGAGGTGGGCCCGGTAGGAACACTCGCTCAGGTCGAATGCAGCACTACTAGAAAACTCCACGATGTACTACTACTGCCCTCTTCTGCGGGACCATCAACACCCAATCAGCATATTGGACCACTCAAATAGCTGTTGCAGAAATAGCTAGACTACAATATCAGGAAGGCTCCCAGTCCAGCTGCAAGAGCACTAAGGCCGAGGCCAATGGGGGAAGTAGTCGCCGCTGGAGATGCACCATTTGTCTTCTGACGATACAGGGAGCCACCAGGAGCGATGAGGTCGGCGTTGGTAAAGGGCCCGGTGCCCGCTGCAAAGGCAGCGCTGAAGGCTGACTGCATCTGCTCCTGGGGCGGAAGCCCACCTCCTGCCGTCGTCGTTGCTGCCGCTGGCGTCGCAGATGACGCCGCGGTGGCAGTCGAAGAGGATGCTGGTGTGCTTGATGACGTCGTCGTGGCGTTGCCTGCGCTCACGAGCCGGCCCTCGCCCCATGGAACAGCCGGGTCTCCACCGTCGGGCTGATTCGCATTGGGCGGAGGCACCGTGGCTCCGCTCGGGTCGGTTATGGCGAACCTCGTCGTCCACTTGGAGTCTTGGTCTCCGTCGTGGTTGTACTGGAGAAAGTAGATGGCTGACGTTGGTTCCACCTGCGGACAGGTGTAGTTGTACGAGGTGACTGCCGTGTTGGTGCCGTCGAGACCCGTGGCGACGGTGGCAAGCATGGTCATGTTGAGGTTGCTCCCCGTCATGAGGGAGATGGACATGTTCTTCCAGGTGGCTGCTCCGCTCGTGTCGGGCGTCCAGGAGGCGGTGCAGGTTGCACCCTCGGAGAAGACGTCCGTAGGGGAGCCCAGAGGCGTGAAGCCTGCAGGGCTGCCTGCGCCGCTTGGCGATGGCGAGGGAGCGGCAGCAGCAGAGCTACTGCCATCTCCACCTCCGAAGAAGCCGAACAGCGGTGCGGCCGAGACGGTTCGGACGATAGATGAACAGAAAAGAATGGAGAACAAAGCGACGAAGCAGACTGGTGGCTGCATGTTGGTCGAGACGAAAGGCGCCAGGCCCCGTTTGGTTCAAAAGAGCGTGCAAAGACGAAGGATTGTAGAGGCCAGCACGATCAACGTGCTGCCTTTGGAGAGAGAGTGAGGAGCGATCAAAAGGAAGGTGATGGTGGCAAGCGTGATGGTGGCGAAGAGGTTGCATCTCAGGAACACACATCTGTTTGGTAGATGCATCGACTAACATGTCGCAACAATCGCGACATGTCAGGACGCCCACTTTCAGTCGGCTTCTTTTGATTTCTTGGCTTTTTTGAACTCGGGCAAGCACCAGCGCCTCGGCATCGGCCACGCTCGACGACGAGCTGTTTAGTCATATAGCTCAGACCCAATCCATGATCGTGAAGGGAGAGGAGTGCCGTCACGGTGATGGTGCTGTGTGAGCTCTGGGGCATGAGCAATTCCTCGGCCGAGCTACTCAGCTTTCGTTTTTAGGTGGAGACTTACGAACGTGTGTTGATCTTCTCACAAACTCAATCTGCAACAATGTCGTCGTCGGCGCCGTCCTCGAGCGCTGCTCGGGCAGGAACAGGAGGGCAAGGAGGAGCGGGAGAAGGAGGCACAGACTGGAAGTGGCAGGTTGGCAAAGCACTGCTATTTTACATGGGTACGCAGGCCATCGTCGGTCCCAACGGCCTTGTAGCCTGGTACAGAGGAACATCGCAGGTGCAGAATCAGCAGTCGCCGGCCTCTGCCAGCGTTCCGCCCTCGCCGGGGGCACCAGGTACACAGGAAAAGCTCGCTGGCTTCAACCAGCAGCAGCCCGTCATCGGACGCGTACCGCCGCAGATGACGACGCATGCGCTCTTTGAGCACCTCTTGCCCTTGGACGTTTACGTCTTTGTGAGCTCGAGCGAGGCGGCTTCGCACGACGACGTTTCGACCCAATTCTCGTCTTTGGTGCCTCACGGAAAGGGCGCTTGGTCCACTCCGCACCCAGATTATGCTGAGCTGCTCGAAGATCCAACGAGGGAAGCAGTGACGGGAGCCAAGGTCGTCCAAGGTCCACAGGGCCTGCCCGCGATCAAGTGGAGCAACATCACTCTCAACGACGCAAGCCTCAAGAGGACGGCCGAGCTCATGGTGAAGCTTCCAGAAGACGTCAAGACGAGCAATGCGAGCGTGTGGGCGGACATCGTCGTAGTGCCCATGGGCAAGCCCTTGGGAGACCGCAAGTCGCTGAGAATGCGAAAGAGTGCGTTTGCCTTCCTGTTGTCTTCCTTTGCCACATGTTGACCCGTCGTTCGTCCATCAGTGCTCACACGACTCTTTCCTGAGCGCAAGGAGAGAGAGGAGCGCAACTTGTTCTCGAAGTCGTCGAACCAAACTGCTTCGAGCAAATCGGCCGGACCCTCATCCGTGCTCCCGTTCCTCGACAAAGAGCCTGCTCCCCTGATCACGCATTGGCACAACAACCTCACACTTGCTTTCGTCGCGCAGGACCAAGGAAGCGGATATCCCATCGGCAAGCTGCCACCTCCCGTCCTTCAGTGGGTCCACGTCCTCGAGACGCCTGACGACGAAATCGTCACGGCAGACAACGCCGACATCGCCCTCAATTACCCCGTCGTCTTCCCAAACGACTTCTGGCACCTTAGGGAGCATATGTACCCAATCAACTCGACACTCGATTCGGTTCCGCTCTACATCAACCTCTACACGACAAGCTTCTTCAAGTTTCAGTTGCTGTCTGCCCTCGGTGACTCGTTTGAGAAGCAGCCATCGATGGCTTCCGGCGAGCTCGATATCCTGAAGCGCACTCTTCTCGAGACGAATCCGTGGTACTTGGGCATCACGGTCGCTGTCAGCATCTTGCACAGCATCTTTGAGTTCCTCGCTTTCAGCTCCGACGTCAGTCACTGGCGCAACAAAGAAAACGTGAGTCGTCCACTTTGACTTTTTGCTGGATCTCGAGCTTATCACCTTCTGCTTAGATGACGGGCGTGTCCCTCGGAACGATCCTGACAAACGTCATCGTCCAGCTCATCATTCTCCTCTACTTGATCGACCAGTCGCAAGAGACGTCATACATGATCTTGGCGTCCCAGGGCATCGGCATCGTCATCGAGGCATGGAAGCTCACGAAGGCTGTTACTGTCAGCGTCGTACCACGCACCGCCGGCACGGGTCTAAAGGCGCTGAGCTGGCTGCCCTACCGCATCAACATCGAAGACAAGCACAAGCTATCGGAGGAGGAAAAGAAGACGCAGGAATATGATCGCCTCGCTTTCAAGATTGTGGCGTGTATCGCAGCTCCTCTACTCGGCGGCTACACCATCTACTCGGCCGTGTACCAAAGCCACAAGGGCTGGTGGTCATTCATCATTGGAACACTGTGTTCATTCGTCTACGCATTCGGCTTTGTATCGTTGATTCCGGTGAGCACCATTTCCTCAGTGACCGTTGATGCAGTTAAAATCTGACGTGAGCTCCCTCCCTACATAGCAACTCATCGTCAACTACAAGCTCAAATCCACGGCGGGCATGAATCCAAAGACGTTCGTTTACAAGATTCTTGGAACTTTCGTCGACGACCTCTTTGCATTTGCCATCAAAATGCCAATCCTTCATGTGAGTCTTGTGTCTTTGTTCTTTCGTCTCGGAAGATTGACAAAAGTAAAATTCCTTTCCAGCGCCTGGCCTGTTTCCGAGACGATGTTGTCTTCCTCGTTTTCTGTGAGTAGCGCTTGCCCCCTTCAACGCTCATTCCTACTGACACATGCCTTGGTGCCTCAGTGTACCAAAGGTGGATCTACGGTGTGGACAACACTCGAGCCAACGAATTCGGACAGGTCGTCGAACGCAAAGACAAGTCAAGTGGGGAAGAGAAGGAGAAAAAGGATCAGTAGATTAGTAGCTAGAAATGCTTTTGCACAGTCAGGAATTGATTTGGTCCATGGAACACTTGACGGTTCATTCACCTCGAAATCGGAGAGTGGTAGAAGGCCATGACCGGATCAGGCGAATGATGCCACGTGACTTTCCCTCGGCTAGTGAAAAATTCTGCTTGCGCTCGTGGCAGACCTCGTTGCCATCACCTTCCAACCACGTTGCCAGAGCCGCGATCACAGCCAGAGACGCTTCATTGTCTTAGGAACGCTTCAGAAGAGGTGAGGATGACTTTGTTGCCCAAAGGATTGCAGTGGGGCATTGGACAGGGCCTTGGGGGAATGGATGGATTTCCCAGCTGCCGGATTCTGACCTTTTGCCTTTCTTTGCAACAGCTCGTGTCGCATTTCTCGCCGCCACGCGATCCCAGAGCTCACGCGGCAAGTGACGTCCAACCTTGAGAGACCAACACTTGACGGTCAACGCACGCTTGCAGTCGTGTTCATAGGTAACAACTTGCCTAACGCTGAGGTCCTACCCTTCTTGCCGACTAGCACGACGTGTATTGGTATTGCACAAAGCATCCGCGACACCTATAGCCGTGCTTTTCCCCCTTCTTCGCACCCATCCGCGCTCGTCGAAACCGCTCGTATTCTTCGCGAAGATACCTAGGTAGGTGATATTCGGTACTGGCAATCGCGCACGTACCGAAGGCCATTCTGACCGCGTTTTAGGCAACCATCAGAACCGGAAGAATCATCGACCATCAGCCATGTCATCCACAGCAAACGGAGGTGCGCCGGCAGAGGAGCACGTGAAGAGCGAGCAGCAGCAGCACGACGAGGCAGCAGCAGCAGCTGCTGCCGCGGCCGTCGCTGCTGCCGCTGCCGCCGCGCCAGGTGGAGAGGGCGACATTCCTAGAGAGGAGGGTGAGTGAAAACAAAGCCATCCTCGTTCGGATCCATCAAGGCGCTCAGTAGCTAATGCGTCCCGACGCGTCTCGGTGATTTAGCAGACGGAGAAGGAAGGGACGCTCAACACCAGGAAGATCAAGGACAGCAGCCGCAAGAACAGCAGCCACAGGACCAGTCGCAAGACGCCTCGTCGACCAACTTCTTCGACGAACATCAAAATTACCAGTACTTTCCTCAATCGTCGGGCGCCGGCGGGAACAGTTTCTCGGCGCCTTTTCAAGCCCATCCGCATCCTCAACACCCTCATTTGGGCGTGGAGGCTCTCGGACACGCTGCTGCCGCGAGCGAGCACGCTGGTCGCGTCCCTGTGCCCAGTGTGAGCGCGCCAGAGGGCGATGGGGGCAACGTCTCGAGCTACACGAACGATGGCGACGCGTCGATGGAGCTTGGCACCTCGTTTGCGGACACGACAGGCGCGTCTTCGATGGACAGCCCCACGGGCAATCGATCGTCGTCGGGAAAGGCAAGAAGCTCATTGGCGCCGCCCGACGGGGCCAAGAAGGAGACGCCATACAGCCGAAGCCCCGAGCTCAGGGTCAGCCACAAGCTGGCCGAGCGCAAGAGGAGGAAGGAGATGAAGGACCTCTTTGATGACCTTCGCGATCAACTCCCCAGCGTCGAGCGGAGCCCGAAGACGAGCAAGTGGGAGATCCTTACCAAAGGTGCGTTTCTTTCAGCAGACTCGTCTGGGTGGCTTTATTCTGACGCGTGTGCCCAAACAGCCATCGAGGTGATCGCGAAGCTCAAGCAAGATGCAGAGGCGATGAAGAGCGAGCTTGCCGCGCTCCGCGGCGAAGCGCCCATGCCTGACGACGGCCAGCAAGGCGTGGATGCCAACATGGAGAACACGGCTGACTCGTACAAACAGTACGAGGAGCAACAAGCGGCTTCACAGCAGCAGATCGAAGCGGCTGCCGCTGCGGCTGCCGCTGCGAACCAATTCGCACAAGCGCAAGGCCAGTATGACGGGCAAGAGCAGCAGGAGCATGACGGACAGCATGGTCCGCCTCCCCCAGCACCCGCGTCTGAGGACCACCACGAGCACCAGCACCATGAGCATCAGGAGCACGAGCAAGGCCACGAAACCAACGGTGCCGAGCATCACCAACAACACGATGACCAGCAAGGTACCAACGAGGAAGTTTTGCGAGACTGGAGCAGCATCACAAATGCTGCGGCCACGGCAGCTGCTGCCAGTGCTGCAGCTCAATGATGGCGATGATGACCTGGTCTTCTCGGTCTTCCGTCCTCCTCTTTTCCTTCCTCTCCTCCGTTCCCTCTGATCTTCCTCCGTGTCACCGTTAGCTCGATTCGTGTTATTACCTCTACTGTACTGTGTCTCGTTGCTCTCCTTTTTCACTCTTCTCTTCTCGTCCTCTTGCGGTAGACATTCTATCGCTAGACTTCTCTCTTCTCTTCTCCAGTGTAGAATGGATCTGTCTTCTTTCCCAGACGACATCTGCACTCCAGGCTCTAGTTTTCTCTCTCTGGTCGCATTACGTTCAAAGACTACCGATAAGACGAGAGCGGTGATTACGATTAAGTAGTGTCTGGTTTCTAGGCTTTCGCGGCCTGTCTATTCATTTCTTGCTCGAAGACGTTGATTGCCCCTCCTTGTCCGTCTCTGCCTCTTCCAGCGCAGCCTTCTTGCTCTCGTGGTCGCCTCCTGCCTTATGCTCCTCCTGCTGTGCTCCGGCCCCGGATGACGGCGATGGGTCTGTGTTGAGTGGTGAAAGTACGGGCGTTGCCATCAGCTCTTCTGCTTCTCTAACTCTACAATGCGATGAAGGGGAAAAGGAAGGTGCACGGGAAGTGCGGAGACTCGTGTCTATCAAGATCATCGCCTGTTCCCGCCACCGCCCGTGAACCAGTTCCAGGCTTTGCCGACGAAGCCCTGCCTCTCGCCTCCTGCCTCGCCTCCTGCTGCCTCGCCCTCTGCCTCGCTCCCTGCCTCGCTCTTTCTCGAAGATGAAGCGTGCTCCTCTCCACCCTGGGACGAACTCGCTCCCTTGCTCTCGCTTGCCTCGTCCTTCCTTGGCGCCGGCGAGGACGAGGACGGAGACGGTGACGGCGACGAGGGGGGAGGAGGCTGGAAAGAGGCAGAGGAAGAGGGAGCAGACCACCTCTTTTCCTCCTGGACCCCATACCTTCTTCCTCTCAAACCACCCTGAAACCCACCAGAAGAAGACGGCTTTGGCTCTTCGGCCGCCTTACTGCTCGCCTTGGGCGCCTCTTGCTCCGAAGACGGCGGCGGCGGTGGCGGTGATTGTTGCTGAGGCGGGGGAGATGTCTTTCGCCCTTCGACCTCGTCAACGTATTGTTGAAGAATTTCCTTTTGCCGTTTTGTCAGGGACCTTGAGGGCGAAAGTGAGTGCCATCAGTTTCAGGGCGTGTTCAGTAGAGGATTCTCCGCAGCAGAGAGATACTCACCTGGGTATCGTGACTTCGAACTGGACCAAGAGGTCTCCCTTGTCGCCCTTTCGCAGCAAGCTCGTCACACCCCGCCCTCGCAAAAGCATTTCATCGCCCACCTGAGTGCCTGCGGGGACTCTGACGTCGACGTCTCCATCAAGCGTAGGGACACGAACCTTGCCACCCAGGATTGCCGTGTGGAAGGGGACCGTCGCAGGGTAGTAGAGGTTGGTGCCTTGCCTACGCCAGGTCTTGCTGGGTCGCACGCCTATCCGCACATACAGAGACCCGGGCGGTCCAGAGCCTTGCAAGGGAACATCGCCGGCTCCGTCCATCCGGATCTTGGCGCCATCGTCGACGCCTGGCGGGATCTTGACCTCGACAGTCTTTCGTGATCGCACTCGACCGACACCCTCGCATGTCCCGCACTCGTCTCCCGGCGCAACAGACTGACCCGCTCCGCCACAGGCTGGACAGGTGCTGGCCATTTGGAAGCCGTTCTGGATCACAAAAGTCCTAGTACCGGTACCATTGCACACACCACAGGTGCGCTTCTTTGCCCCTTGCTTCATTCCGTTGCCCGTGCACGTCGAGCACCGTTCGACGGGGGCAATCGTCACGCTACGCGTGGTGCCACGGCAGGCCTCCTCGAAGGAGATGGTGACGCTTGTGTCCAGGTCTTCGCCCCTTGTTTCGCCAGCAAATCCTGCCTGGCCACCTCTTGATCGTCCCCCGCCACCAAACGCCCCAAAGAGACCTTCAAAGATGTCTTGTGCGTTTCCGCCCCCACCACCGAAGCTCTGGAAGCCGCCAAATCCCCCGCCGAAACCTCCGAAGGGCGAGCCACCGCCAGCGCCGCCGCCAAATGGATCAAAACCGGGAGATCCATCGGTCGTGCCGTACTGATCGAAAGCTGCCTTCTTCTTGTCATCGGAGAGAATGTCGTACGCCGATTGGATTTCCACAAAGCGCTCCTTTGCTCCCTTTTCCTTCGACGTGTCTGGGTGGAACTTCTTGGCGAGATCGTAGTAGGCGCTCTTGATCTCCTTGCTGGAAGCATCTCTTTTGACTCCAAGCGTGGCATAAGGGTCCTTGGCGCCGCTCGCCTCGACCCTTGAGGACGAGGAGAAGAGCCTCCTTTGATGGCCCGGGGCACCGAGAGAGGCTCTCGCCGAGGACGCACCTAGCGGTCGATGAGAGAATGTCGCAGGCGAACTCGTACTTCTGCAAAGCTTGGATGAACTCAGAGGTCGCCTAGCGATCGGTGATTCGGCAGGTGTCCGACTCCCACTTGCGTCGCCGACGGCATCGTTGGTGGCGATCTGTCGCGAGGAATGGAAGCGGTGTCCGGGTGTTGATGAAGCGGCAAGCGCTCCCGTCGCCGCCGCAGCCCCAACAACAGGCGAAAGGGCAGACGACGCCGCGACTGCCCTAGCCAAGACCATAACGAGCACTCTCTATAGGACGGAAATCACTGCGTGAAGTCCGATCATGCGTCAAGGGTGAGGATGGTATCTCGAAAATCGGTTTCACGACCTGTCTGATCACGTCGACGCTGCTGTCTGCTCTCGCTGTGTAGGAAAGTCGCTTCTCGCGGCGTGGATGAGCTGCTACGAGTAATGCTGTCTGAAGAACGAGCGAGAAGGAACGAGAAGAGGGGGGACGAATCACACTGTCGCTAATGGTCCTCCATCTTCTCGAAGCTCTCACGACAGGAAAAAAAAATCATGAAATCACGTGTCGGGGCGCGCCGCCGATTCCCTCCCTCCTCCACGCAACCCGGTCGGCCCGGCTCCGGTCGCCATGCTTTCGGCCGCCGAGTGCGCCTCGTATCTCAAGCCTTCCCTGGCACGCTCGTTTCGCCGTAACTCAAGCGAGACTGTGTCGAAGAGAAAAGCCGACATACTGGCATACCAGATTTCATCGCTCGTCCTTGGTTACAGGACAGCCTGTCTCGTCGACTGTTTCGGCGGTGACAAGGACGAATTCTCCTGCCTGAGGAGTGTACTTCATGGCTTTGCCAACGGATATGATAGCATTTTCCCAGGGTCTATTCCTGATGAGGTGCTTGTTGATGGCCTCAAGTCTCTTTTCTTTGTCTGTCATGCTCCCACAGGCCAGATCTTCATCGTGGACAGGCGCAGATTTTTGCGGAGAATGGACAGGGCGATGGAAGAGACAGAGTACTTCGTCAAGGTAAATAAAGGCTCACCTCCATCAGTTCAAGTGAGTGAACTTAAGCCAGACGGATCAGGTCCGCAATTGACAGGTGTGAAATACAGTCGGAGAGGCCAGCCTATCTCTCGGCACTGCTCGAAGCCATCCGTGACAATTGCAAGCCCAAAGCGTTAACGACGGCCCCCGGAAGCAGACCCACGCAGGATGTCCTTCTTGACAGTGGGCCGCCCTCTGGAAGTGTTGCGAACGGTGAAATCGATGTTGACGAGCTGAGCCGCCATGCAACAGAAGGAATCGCACTCGCTGGCTGGCTACTCGACTATGAAGTGATCTATTACTACGAACAATCCCAACCCAATCAACATCAAACCTACAGCTGCTCGGTCGACGATGGATTCGCGCTTGACCTCGGCTCTTTTTGGCCGGAGGCGCTGGTCAATAACTTGGAAGGCGTGCCTCTTCTTCTCGTTCAAGTGGATCTTGTCGGTCTCGATGGGTTGAAGCGACGCAATCTCTACGCCTTCACCATCCCTCAACAATGTGTGTTGGAAATCTTTGGCTCGGAGAAGGAAGTCATCGAAAATGTGAAGCTGTCTGTCGAGCGAAGGCTTCAAGGTCGTGACCGATTCGACATCGTCGCGTCAGTCACAACACAAGATCGGGTCGCACTGTAATATACTGTATCATGTTTGCTTCATTGTCACACCCACTGCCTAAGTCTGGTAATCAAGCCCTACTCATCATCTTGACAAGAGGCGAGACTGCACTACTTTGCATGAGGACTGAAGCTACGAGGACGAAAGCGTCCTCTCAACATCCCGAGCAAACTTAGACAACTGAGATGGTCGCTATGTCTGATGTCTCGTTCTCGCGCGTCATCTCGTTAGGCACCCGTGAAAGTTGCAGCGGTACCTCTGAGAGACGGGCAGTCCTCACATCTGAGCTCTAGTCAGTTCTTGATTGGTATCACCGTGGCCAACATCAGCTCGTTAATGAATGTCATCCATTGCGTATAATCGGTTAAATCGGCCGGAGTCTACCCGCGCATCGCACCAACAAAAGCACCACCGCGAAGAGCCAGAACCAACTGTCGGACATTCGGCACAAAGACGATATCAGAAGATGGCAAAGACGAGGGGTGCCTATCTGTGCTACTCACGTGAAGAACCGAGCCGCCCTCAACGCCGAACTCCTTTGCTGTTTTTTCGTCGTGCCTGCGCAGCAGGTCAGCCGATGCCGGCCCTTGACTACCTTTGCGCCTGGCCCAGCACTCACATTTGCTTTCCACCAAAGATGAGGCGCTGCTGAGCTGGAGGAATGCCTTCCTTCTCCTCGACCCGCTCTTTGATCCTAGTGATCTTGTCTGTGGGCTCGATGTCGAGCTCGATCTCTATCAAATGAATCGCGTCAGCAAACCTTGCTACAAGCCTAGCGAACATCAGTCGGCAAATGACTCACCCTTGCCCGTCAGCGTCTTCACTTTGATGAGCATTTTGTCTATCTCCTGCTTCTAAAGCTGAGTCCAACAGGTCAAGGAGACTGGTGGGCCCTGGTCGTCGTCGTTGTCGTCGTCGTCGTCGTTGCACACTCAATCTACTATCGACAATTGGCGTGCTCAGGGTGGAGCTCTAAAATTACACGTGGGTAATCATGTGGCTTGTGCTTTCGCTGCTTCCTCGCCAGGGCTGAATGTCAGTCAGCTGCAGCAACGACAACGAAGGGGACGAGGACGAGGACGAGGACGACGTCGGCGTGGGAAGAAGCAAGAGCGGCACCAGATGGATCACGGAGTGGTGCAGAGATGGCTTCGGAGCATATTGGATCCAGTGAGCGAGCTTTTTGTTGGCTTGGAATGGACAGGCCGAGCTCACTACGCGTGTGTAACTTCAACAGTATCCAGAGGCGGATCGGGTCTATGCTGATGTGGACCGAACCTTGATGGCCGTCTCATCCTTGTCTCCCAAGACAGAGGTATATAGTAAGTGATGCTGGGCTAGTGCTTTCGTAGGTACCTAAGCTGATCAACTGGACGTTTCAAGCCTACGACGATGGTCGGACGCAATTGCTGCTGGTCCTGGAAGGAACCATCCCTGTGGGCTATCGCGGAGCCACGTACAACATTCCGGTTGCGTACTGGATCCCGAGGATGTACCCGAGAGAAGCTCCGATTGCGTATGTCACACCCACGGCTGACATGCTCGTGCGGAAGGGCAAGCACGTCGACGTCAGCGGCAAGGTTGGCGGGCCATATCTGGAGCGCTGGGAGAAGAAATGGGAGGTGAGCTGCCACGAAGCCGCATCTGAAGTGAAGTATGGGAAACTTAGATAGGCCATCTCTTTTAGGCTTCGAACTTGCTTGATTTCGTCCACGATTGCCAGAGTATATTCGGCCAAGAGCCACCAGTGTACGCGAAGCCAAGAGGGGCTCCTTCAGCACAAGGCACACCTTCGCCAGGGCCAGGACTGAGTCCGCAGCCATCCGGTGATCCACGGGAAAGACGGCCACCGCAATTGCCCCCTCAAAGCCCACAAACAACTTCGTCAAGAGCAGAAACAGGGCCTCCTCTAAAACCCCCCAAACCAGGTGGAAGCTATGCCGATCCCCAAAGGCGGACGTCGCTCCCTCCGCAGGCCAACCATCAGAGCCCCGGTACCCAACATCATGATCCGCGGTACGCCGCAGGTGCCTCGCATCTAGGTCACCTTGCTCCCTCAGCCTCTCCGACTCAGCATTTCCGGCATCAGTCCATGGATCCAAGGTATTATCAGTATGCACAACCAACACCCCCAAATACAAGCGTGTACGAGCAAGGGCTCCCTGTAGAAGCCCCTCGACATCCAAGTACAGGACCCCGTCAGCCTGCTCGAAGCGTGTCTCTGTCGGCAGCCGAGGCGGGCTCCTCACAAGCACTGCCAGCTGGCCCCTCGCATTTGTCGCCGAACGGACCCCGCCCTCCCCCTGTTCCACCTGTCCCTCAGGATTTCGTCGAGACTCGATCAGGGTCTTACGAAGAGGTGCACCAGCAGATGCAAAATCTGAATCTCGCTTCTCCGCTGGGAGCACCTGCGCCTCCCCGACCGCCGAATCCGGAACTCCTGTCGCTGCATGCGCGACTGCACGCAAAGCTTACGATGCGATTGCAGCACCTACGAAACACGCTGGGCGAATCCCAAAACCAGCTCCAGTTGCTCAATTCGGACCTCGATCGAGGAGAACCAGCGATCCGCGACGAAATGTCAAGGCTCGAGGCAGTCCGTGACGTCTGTCGGGCGACGGGAGACGGCCTCGAGAGGTCGGTCAATGAGGCAAGAGAGTGGGCGCAGAAGCTCAGGGAACGGGAGGATCCCAATCCAGATGAGATGGTGTTTAGCACGAGCATTGTTGGAAATCAGTTGAGTTGTTGATGAACATGTCAGAAGGTTGTACTGCACGTTTGCTCACCCGATATCTCTTTGCTACAGGCTCATCGACTTGGTTGCGGAAGACAACGCAATCGAGGACACCCTCTACCATCTTGGACGGGCCCTGAATGCAGAAGTGATCGACCTCGACAGGTTCCTCAAGCAGACAAGATTCTTGGCCAGGGAGCAATTCATGCGACGCGCTCTCGCTCAGAAGATATGTCATGGCATGGGGTGGTAACAATGTCTAAGATGATGATCAAAGGAGATACACGGAGCATCTCACATGCGTGCTTGGAAAGGGAGTGAAAGTGCCCCTGCGTGTGTGTGTGAAAAGGGAAAAGATTATCAATGGCTATGATGATATCAAAATCTTCATGAGGATCATCGCGTGCTGGTGCGATGTTCGAGTCTGCTCTGAATCTTCGTTGGCTACATCCTCTGCTGCTTGATGATGTCGCTAGCCCACTCGGCAAAGGCATAGACACTGGCCTGCGTGTGCGCAGACATTTGCATGGGAATGACACTGGCGTCGACTACGCGGACATTTGCCGTGCCATACACCTTGAAGTTGCCGTCGACAACGCCGCCATGCTGCCTGGGCTTCATGCTGCAAGTGCCCACGGCATGCTGCAGGGCCCCGTAGGTGCTCAGTATGTGGTTGCGCCAGAAGGCATATTCGCTCCCGCCAAAAGGTGCAAGCGTCGTTGCATTGATTTCCGGAAGGACCGGGGTGCCTGGCTCGCGCACCGACAATACTTCTGGCGTGTTGAAGACTTTGACGGCTGCTTGGATGCCGCCGACCTCCATGTCGACGTCGATATCTGCCGTCCAATAGCGAGGATCTACAATCGGTAGATCAAATGGGTCGATGGACCTTGCGTGGGTGAATCCTCGGGAGAATGGGTGTAGCGTGTACACGGACGACGAAAGGTCGCTTTCATCACCAAAGAAACCGTTGCCGAAAAAGTTCTCGCTGGCGGCCCATTTGCGGCGGAAGAGGCCGCGGGCCATCAACTTGTACTCGGCCACAAGAGCATTCCTGTCGACGGCAGCACCCGCTTCGACAGCCTCACTAGCCCACCTATTCACATTGGCTTCGACGTAAGCTGCGACGGCGGAAATGTTTCGGGGAAAGAGTTGGGCCATGTTGGGCTGGGCAATGGAGCTTGAAGCGCCCTGGCCGCGCCAGCGGCGATCCTTGACGTTCGCACTGATGCCGACTTGACATTGCTCGGTCATGTGCGTGCCCACACCTGGAAGGGGTATGATGACGGCTTGACCAATCTTGTTTAGTATGGTTGGCGACCCGATGCCTGAAAGCTCGAGGAAGAGGGGTGACTGGATGGCGCCCGCTGAAACGATCACCTCCTTCGAGGCGAAGATAGTGTACATCGGACCGTCTTTCTCGGCTCGTACATCGACTCCTGTCGCTCGAAGTAGCTTCGAAGATCCTCTTTGCTGACCATTGCGCTTTTTTGACGACGATTTGGAGTCTTTTGGTTGCTGCTGGCTCCAATCAAGCCGTGTGCCCCGCCAACCGACCAGGATTGTCAAATTGGGACGAATCTTCTCATATGGCGAGAGATATGACGTCGCAGAGCTTACCCTTTTCAGATTTTGGTGCTGATACACCGTCGTAGGGACATAAAAGACGCCATTGGGGTTGCCTGCTTGCGAATCGCGAATTTTGGGCAAGCCGTGGGCTCTAAGGCATCCCTTGACGAAAGCAACTTGAGGTGGACCGCTGAACATAATGTCATCGAAGCAAATGTCCACAGGGCCGCCTCGATGATGGACGTCATTGTCGAACGTGACACCCATAGTCGCCAGCTCGCGGGAAGGACCATTGAGATTCTGGGCTTTTTTGTAGTATTTGAGCAGTCTGTCCCACGTAAAAGCTCGGTTACCACTGATGAGGCCCATGACATTGACTTCATCGAAAACACATCAGCCTTGTTTCTAGAGAGCTCCACCGTCGCATCTGCTCACCCTCATCGCTACTCGGAGCGTTCCAAACTTGACCATTGACGGTGGTAGAGCCGCCCAGGCCCTTTCCAGACCACTGCTGCCGCGTGTCACTGGATAAGGGCTGGAAGACGGTCTCAAAATTGTGCGAGTACTTTGAATTGCCCTGCGTTTGTCCATATGTCTCGTTTGCCATATAGACGGGCGGCGCGTTGCGTGTGTCAGTGCCAGCTTCGATGACAAGCACGTTAATGTTTGAGTCCTCCGTCAGGCGGTTGGCCACCACCAGACCAGCATTGCCTGCGCCGACGATAATGTAGTCAAAGATTTGCTTGGAAACTATTGAGGCGTCGCTGATGATAGCGGCGCCTCCCGAAAAAGTGCTTGCGGCTACCGCGATCTCTGTGAAGATCAGAAAAACCAGGAATGGAATGGTCACGAGACCGTAGAGCGAGATGGGTGTCATCTCACGTCGCTTTGATCAGGAAAGATGGGAGAGAGGAGACTCGTGGTTGTAGTTTGGGAGGAAAGGAGAGGAGATCCGAGACTCAAAGAGGGTGAACACAATAAAGACAGGGGTGGCTGAAGGATTCGCTCATTATTGCTTCAGAAGGGGTCGTCGGAGCGGCAGACTCCTCTTCGAGATGCGCGGCGGCAATGAGAACGCTCCAGCGTCGGAGCTTCTCTTTACTACCTTAGGTAGGTGCGATCTCTGACGCTATCTGTTTTGTTCTTTATTTTTTAGTTGATTTTTATTTTGTTGCGAGGGTTGGCCCGAGCGCGGACTACGTACGCTACTACTACTAGCCACGAGGGCTTAACAGTAGTAGGTAACCCGCCAGGGCTCTCGCTGAGCTGCACCCGTTGACTCTCACTTAATCACGGCCAACTGCTTGCATTTTCCGGCACCAAGAGAGCCCGTTTTGCGTCGACAGCAAAGGTAGTAGCTCGGCTGTTGAGATTCGTCGAGGGAGTCGAGGTCCCTTCTCGGCCCGAGACGAACCTTTGCACCGACGTCTCTACCCTCAGTACTACGCGCAGTCTTGATACAAACCACCGAAACCCCCTTGTCCTCCTTGATCGCGCATCCTCGCAACAGCACAAAGATCAGCAGCTTCTCTCTACGCAGCCGCATCAATTTTGACGCCAGCCATCGGCCAGTTCCAACAGCAGCAACAAGACAAGTCGAAAGGCTTGAAGGCCTTCAGGAGTCATAACGCAGCGCCCAATCGATATCGAAGGCGACGACTCCGCAAGGGATCGTCCCCACAAGCGGGCTCGTCTCGGCCCAGCCTCTGGCATCGATCAGAGGAGCCCTTCTCAGAGCGACTCGAACACCGCGACAACATCTTCAGCCACGAACATGGCCCTTCACAGCAGCAACGGCACAGCAGACGGCAGCCGATCGAACGGCGAGGGTCCTATGAATGGCCACGGCGATGGCAAAGACGGGCAGCAGCAACAACTTTCGAGCGACTCATCCCTCCTCCACCGTCGCAGTGGCAGTAGTGGTAGCAGCAGCATGGCCAACCATGGCGCGCCCAACAACGGTAATGCTTTGAGACAGAACTCAGCCACGTCTGAGGATGGGGATGACAGCATCGACGATGATGCGAGCGCATTCACGCCCCTCTATGATGGCAGCTCTATTGACAAGCGAGAATTTGTCCGCTTGACTATTCAAAGCTTGAAGGAGCTAGGATTCGAGTGAGCTTGCCGTCAAGATCTCTGAGTTATAATGTACGGACGAGCTGACCACCGCTCTTGCAGATCGGCGGCCAAGGCTCTGGCGATGGAGTCTGGTTTCAAGATGGAGCACCCCTCTATCCTCGCATTTCGACAGGCTGTCTTGTCAGGCGACTGGAGAAGTTCAGAGAGGCTCTTGTTCGATGGACTCAATAGTGCTGCTTCGAGAATTGCTGCGAGAAGCGCAATCGCAGGTACAAGCTCATCAGCCGGACTGGATCTGGTGCTTCGCGACCCCCGGCACCTCGGGATAGAGGTGAGTAGAACGCTTTCGGTATTTTCTCTGAAAACTGACGCCTGGATTTCCTGCTTCACAGCACGTTAAGTTCCTCATTGATCAACAGCGATATCTGGAGCTCCTCGAATCACGGCAGACGAAAAAGGCTCTATCGATCCTGCGTGACCGCTTGGCCCCCCACAACGCAGGCACCGATCGACTGCACCACCTCTCCAGTCTTGTGATCTGCGCTTCTCCAGAAGAGCTTCGAGCGAGGGCCAAATGGCCAGGCGCTGGTGTCACCTCGAGAACGGAACTTCTACACGCCATCGAGTCCGCTGTGCTACCCTCGATCATGGTGCCAAGCAGAAGACTACCGGAGCTCCTCGAGCAGGCTCAGCTCGAGCAAAAGAGGTCTGACCCCTATTTTAATCTTCCCCTCGACACTCACGTCTCCCTCTACACCGACAAGGTCTCGGATAGGTCGTCATTTCCCACTGATACGGCGGCCATCCTGACGGGTCACACCGACGAAGTCCTACACGTGGCCTTTTCAAATAGTGGTACAAAGCTGGCCACCGCAGGCAAAGACAAGATGGTCATTGTATGGAGTGTGGGGGGCCGACAGAGCGACTTTGAGGTCCTGCATCGACTCGGTCCTCACTTGGCTGCTGTTTGGAGCGTGGCTTGGAGTCCAGATGACAAGTCTCTGCTTTCGACGACAGTAGACGGTGACGTTGCAGTCTGGAACATTGAAGATGGATCAAGGAAAGAGTATGCCAAGCATCACTACGAGGCTGCCGGCGCTTGGCTTCCCGACGGTCGCCATTTCCTTACGGCGAGCATGGACGCGAGCGTTGTCATCTGGGACAATGCCGAGGAAAAGAAGCTGCACACCTGGAAGACATCTCCGTTCCGAGTACTGGCCTTTGATGTCTCACCCAACGGACGATATCTCGCAGCCGTCTCCCATCGCGCCATTCCAAGTCGCCCATCTGGAGACGGACGCACGCCTGGGACCGCGGGTACCTCATCCACGAGATCGTACAGCTATTCCGAAAGCCCCAGTCCACTTTCGATGATGACCGGCAATGCAGACGACAGGCCGACGACGTCGCACGCCTACCGTGACGTGAATGAAGATCAATTCAGCGCTAATGGTGGGCCTGAAGGACGAGCAAGAGGAGAAGATGGAAGAAGTGACACAGGCGGGGGGAACAGGCTCCTCACCGACGAGAAATATCGCCTTTCATTCTACGACGTCGAGGCGAGGGAGGAGTTGGGTTCAATTTACTTCTACGAAGAGATGTCATCCGTTTGCTTTTCACATGATTCGCAGCAGATTCTCGTCAATCGCAAGCCAAACGAAGCGCAGCTCTGGGACTTCCAAAGGCAGTCATTATTGCGCCGATATACGGGCCACCAGATCGCGAGAAACGTCATCAGAAGCTGTTTTGGAGGCGCGACGAGGAATTTCGTTTTGAGCGGGAGCGAAGATGCTAAAATCTACGTCTACCATCGGCGTTCTGGCCAGCTATTGGACCGCTTGGCAGGACATGGTGAGGGCTGCGTCAACAGCGTGGCTTGGCATCCGTGGGATTTTGCTCTTTTTGCCAGTGCTAGCGACGATACGACTGTTCGCATCTGGAGGCCGAAGAGATTACTGGGCACAGCATTGGGCGTCGAGGAGGAAGCGTTTGGTCGGCACCGTCGGCAGATGGACGAGCTCGAGAGATCAGGTAATAGCCCCAGCATCGGGAACGGGGTTGGTCATTCTCTCAGACGAAGAAGCGCTGTAAATGGTGAGGGTAGGGCAACCGGGCAAGGTGCGACGAATGGCTCGACATCGAGATCGAGCGACGCAAGGGATGGCAGCGTCGACTTGGACATGATGGGGCCCACGCCGTTTCCATGGAGTGTCAGTCCACAGCATCCATCTACATCCATCATGGGGAGGGACACCGATGAAAACGGGGACATCAGCATGGCAGCGGGAAGCAGCAGAGAGCAGCAACAGCCGCAGGCAAGAGGATATTCTTCCCCTTTATCAACGCCAGGGAGGAGACGACGGACCCGAAGAGGTAGCGGTGGAGCCGGGACGCGCCGTTTCATGGAGACTGTAGGTGGGATGGAGGTGGAGGTCGATGAGGACGAGGAGGACGAAGGCGAAGGGGACGAGGATGAGGATGAGGAAGATGGGGAGGAAGAGGACGATGAGGAGGGTGTAGAAGGAGAGGAGGATGATGAAGATGACGAAGATGAAGAGGGCGAAGGCGAGGAAGTCATGGAGGAGGCAGACTGATCAGCATCGGCACATACACATGCCTTCAAAGTCATTAGTCTTGTTCGCTCTTTTCAGTATCCTCGGCACATGAAGCAGACAAAGCACACTCAGTATATCGCTCCGTTACTCTCATTATCAATTCGGTTCATTAGCATGAAAGACAGTGATACATCTAGGCAAACTCCCGTTGGGTGAAAGAGGCGACGGCGGCTTGGTCCATCTCGTCCTTTCTTGGCAGCGAGTTTGGAGAGTCGACGTCAACAGCAGATCTGTCGTCGACTGGAGGGAGAGGGACGAGTTTCTTTTCCTCGACCACTAAAGATGCGTCGTCTCCCCCATCTCTCCGGTCACCGTCCCCTTCGACCCCATCGTCGTCGTACGATTCGTCTTGGATGATGCCGCCCATGCTTCTCAACCTTGCCCACACGACTTCATTGACCTCTAAATTCTGTGCGAGGCATACCCCTCTCTCGACCAGGCCTTGATGTCGCCGGACGACACCCCCCCTGAGCTTCTTGGTAAGAAAGGTCTCTAGTGTTTTCAGGGGCCAGGCGTCCGGGACCTGTTCGAGGATGTCGAGCGTGGACAGGTGAATGGCCTGCGTGTTGAGGAGGTGCGCCGTAGGGATCTGATAGGTTTCTTCCCCTCCCTCTCCTCTCGAGGATTGATCCAGGTATATTTGAAGCAAGAGTCGGAGAAGCTTTGACTTCTCGCCGTCGTTCATGTCGGGCTTGCCTGATGGCATCGTTGCTGGAGGATGGGCGGGCGCAATCTTCTTCTTAGTTGCTCCTCGGGTGACCAGGGTCGCATACAGCTTCAGCTGAGGCCTGCCGTCGTTGGCGATTCGCTCCGCCAGCATCGGACTGAGAACTTGGCCTCCCTGGTGGCAGAAAGCTTCGGCTGAGTTGGCATCTCTCAAGTTGATTGCGAGAATCTGGAGGGCCTCTCGGTTATGTCGAAGTTTGCCCAGCAAAACCGCCTGCTCAAACATGAGGATAGGCACACGTTGAATGACTCCGAGGAGAGACTCGACGTTTAGGACTTGTGATCCTTGTAGCAGCATGATGAGCTTCAGGCGCTCCAACATGACCTTCGATCCATCGATACGTAGAGCCAAATGAGCGACGAATGAGTCTTCGTAAGCGCCCTCGCGATAGTCAGTTGCCACTTCGGCCATGGCTTGTCGTTCGGCATCGTCCTCTAAAGCCGAAGCAATGCGCCCCAGCAGCGTCGTGACCAGATCCATGTGGGCATCCGGAAGGCTTTGTTTCCGAGAAAGGACCAAATACTCCAGAAATGCCTCGGCGGCCTTCTCGTCGATCTTTCGAAGCTCGGACAGCGTGCCTTGGTGGTCCCCTGCTGCCAATTTGTCGGAGCCTCGGCCGACGCCTCGAGTTAGGAGCCTGATACCCGCATCGGCGTCGCGCTGAACCAGCCAGAGGCCGTACTGTCGCACGAGTCTTGGGTCGTCGCAGCTCGACAACATCGTGGCTACATCCTGCACGGTGCCCGCAAAAGCGGCGTCGACAAGCTCGCCTCCGATCAGCCGGGTCGAAAGGTCCAAAGCCCTAGACCAATCGCCCTGCTTTTCTTTAATTTTTGCCAGTGCCGCCCAGCATTCGTTTTGCTCCAACAGTGGCTCGATGGTCGCCTCGTCGCACTCATTGTTTTCGGCAAGCAGATTTGTCAATGACGCCTTGTCATTTTCTTGAGCGTACAGTTGAGCCAAGGCTGTATCGGCCAAGTGACGCGGGAGTCTCTCGCCGCGATAGTGATTGCTCGTCAATCGATGATCCTCAAGCAAAGTCCGCACCAAACCTCGAGCTCTGCTCATGAGGAGACCGAACAGCTTCTTAAGGACATCATCCTCGTCGACATCCAGTGGCGGCGAGTAGTTGTCCTCGAGATTGTTCCTCACTGGTACGATGTTGGGTCAGCGCATCAGAGCACAATGTGGGAACGAGATGACTAACCGTAATCTTGACAGGAGCCAATTGCAACGAGCTCTTGCTCGATGTCGGCAAAAATCTCGACTTCTTTTTCCACCTGGGAGGAGGGAGGTATCAAGTCGGGGAAGAGACAGCAGAGAATGGGGTGAAGATCGAGGCCACTCCGTAAAAGGTAAGCGCCGGCTTGTTCAAATCGCAAGGATTTGAGATGCCAGAAACCGATGACTTGATTGATGTATTCGAGCTCGAGGGCCTGTGCAACAAGAGAAGTCAGCGTCTTCAGCTGCTGCAAATTGCTTTGGTCGCACCTCTTTGCTGCCGTCATCGCCGGCTTCCTGAACCTGGGACCAGGCCTCGTCTGCAAGAGCCTGACATCGACGAAAGTCGCCTCGGATCAAGGCTCGCATCGCAAAGGTCGTCGTCCTAGTCATACAGAGGCACTGTACTGCATTCTTGCACACCAGTAATACCCTCGACTTCATCCGTGCGCCAAGAACTTCTCTCTTCCAGCTCATGGGCCCCCTTGCGTTGTCGTCGTCATCGGCGGCGGCATCGACGCGTCGAATACTTGATCGGCCTACGGTGGCCGTGATGAGCCGCAACTTATCCTGGCTTGCACTCTCGACGACTTCAAGCGATGTGGCGGCGGACGAAAGCAGCCTTGGCTCCAGCGCAGAAGGAAGGTGCAAGATCTGTACCCTCTGCATCGTCTGAACGTTGTGAACCTCAATGGTATCGTTTCGCAGCAGCGCGTGCAGATAGGGGTATTCCAGAGCTGTCAGGGACGTCGCCAAAGAGAGTCAGCTCAGTCACTGAAGAGCGCAAGATGGGCACACCAACCCAGTGCCCTCGGGTGACTCGGCCATTCGAGAATCTCGGCCGTAGGACCGCCTTGCGGCGTGATGAAGACGCCCAGCGTGAGGTCTTGCGAGTGGCTCGTGAGAAGGAAAACGCAGTTGCCCTTGCCTTTGGAAACGGACAGGATCGATGGCCGCACAGACGCAGAGGGAGAATCGGAAGTCTCGCTGATGGGAAGTCCAACGGGCGATAGCGTCGCCTGGCTCAGGTCCACGACGCTGTAATCTGACGACGTCGCGATGCAGAGGGCGTCTGCAAACCGGCGCGCAAGCAGTGCTCCGCTTGGAAGGGGAATTTCCTGTGCCAAACAGCGAATAGCATGAGTCAGACTGAGAGTGTGATTTCATGATGATAAAGGCGCAACGCACCTTAATGATCCTCCAGGTGTCTGAGCCCACTTTGACGAGAATGATTTGCTTCCTCTTAATTATGCATAGGCTGACTAGTCCTTCACCATCGGCCTCTTGCCCCTCAGCATCGTCAATGACGACACTGGCGACGCCTTTGGTGTGCGGCAGTACCTGTGGATGAACCGGTTGAAGGTCCGGCAGCTCATAGAAGCTCAAAGTTGATTCGGACAGGACGGCAGCGATGGATAAGGGCGCGAGGATCATGATGCGCTCCACGGGTTTACCCATTGTGGAAATGGTGCGCGAGGCCACATGCTGGTACTCTTGGTCATTGGGCGCCGACGACGTCGAGGGTGCCGATGGAGTATGAGAGTACCAATGTATTTGACCATCGCTGGAGCCCAGGTAGAGATTGGTTCCAAAAGGCTCCGAGCATCGCACCGCTCGACTGATGGCTGCGGGCGAGTCGGCCTTGATGCGGTGGTCATCCGGGAGCGCTGGGTATAGGATAGGGTGTAGCTGGAAGAGATCAGACGATCCCTCCATGGTTGCTAGATCCCCTCTACCTTGGGAGTGGGAGGAGGATTCAAGTCGAGAAGAAGGTGCAGTGCAGCCCGTGCGAAACCACGTGTCGCGCGATTGCTAGAGGCCGGCGGCCTTGTCATTTCCGATCTGGAGGTGGGGTGCACCCCCGTTGCAGCTCAATCGACAACGTCGTGTTGGTGTGGGCAGCAGCGGACACAGACTTCATCAGCGCCAACAACGACCTAGTGTGCGTCCTCGTACCTCTTCGCAGAGCAGCGGAGACACGTCCCGTCTCTCGTCCACGCTTTCCGGCTCTGCACTTCCGCGTCTCGACCCTATTTCCCGTCCTTTGTCCTTGTCGTGTGCCCGGGGACATCGACGAGGATAATGACTCTTTGCGCGACAGAGGACAACTCTGTACGACAAGGATTGGTCAGGAGCTGAGGAGCGAAACATGGCGCAGGAACAAGACCAAGGCGAGGTTCCACGCATCGACATTCGAAGTCGCATCGCAGCGTTCAGCAACGGCGACAGTGACAACAATACAAAGGCCAGTGCAACCCACTTGTTGAGGCCAGCTAGCAGCGATCTTCGCAAAGCGCCTAGCTTGACCGAACTCAAGCGTGAGGCTGGCGATCAGAAGTCGGAGAAAGGGCAAGCAAGGCTTGTTGGCCTTCCAGGCCATGTCGCGAGTAGGCCGCGATCAAGCTCGAGTTTCAGCGGTCGCGGTGATGGAGGAGAGGGAGCCGCAGACGATGGCAGAAGAAGCCCTCGGCTAGGTGTAAAAAGTATCATTGCGCTCTACGGGCAAGGCCAACAGAGCGCAAACCCCCCTTCGTCAATGTCAACGGCAACGAGCAAAGGACCTCCTGCTCCTATTCCTCCTCGCCCCTCGGCTTCCACGAAGCACATTCTCGACGCTTCCGAAGACGGAGATGTGAGCCACCCCTCGCTACAGCTCGTTGAGTCACTCAGCCCCAGCCCGACCTCATCAGCACCGAAGATCTCACCTACCGTTGCACCGTCCCTGCCTCAAAGACCATCTGCCGTTGTGCCTGAATCTACGTCCAGCAAAAGATCGTCTTCGATCCCTCCGGCTCCACCGGCCAGGCCTGGAGCTACCTCGTCGACTGCTCCCGTACCCAGTCTTCCTCCCCGCAGACTCAATGGGCTAGTCGCGAAAACCGATACCGGGTCCAGCGCGTCCTCATCCAGCAATGGCAGTGGATCTACCCCCATGTACGCTCCGTACCAGCGCAAGAATAACGGCGAGGCTTCCTTCCCAGCTCTGCCGCCTCGATCCAAGTGGGCCGCACGATCAAACGATGACCTTAGTGTGAGAGACGGTCTGGGGATCGACGCAAATAAGCAGACAAGCACCGTTTCGAATCACAGCCTGCCGGTTCGAGCGGGGGGGATGGGCAGCTTGGGGGCAAAGTGGGCGAGTTCCAGCAGCGGACAAGTCAACGAGTTCGGCGCCTATACCCAACAGTTTGCGCCACCACCAGCACCACCGCCACCGCCGCAGCGAGCTCATAAGCCCCACCGATCGTCACTGACCTCCATCTCCTCGTCTGCCAGCAGCAATGGTGGAGAGCAAGACGAATCGTCCAGAACAATTTCTCAATCCCCTACACCAGCCATAACTTCGATGCTCGCTCCACCCAGACGCATGACCCATCTTGCCGCTTCGGGCCCTCTCTCGTCGGCAGCCCCGTCCGGGTCGTCGTCATCGTCGAGAGCGTCATCGCACTCTCCTGGTGTGGTTCAACGATCGACATCGGGCCCAATTGCAGGTGTTCCAGCTTCTCGCGCTCTTCCCTCCTCCCAACAACAACCCAACTCGCGTTCTTCCAGTCCGCAATTGGCTCCTCCGCCGCGCCACATAGAGTCAACGAGGAGGCTGGCCCCAGCCGCGCAGCTCCACCCCGTGGGGGGTGCACATGCGCATGGACTCGGACTTGCCGGAGATGGTCGACCGAGAGCCTCGCCATACTTTGACCTGTCTCCGTCTGGTGCTCGATCTTCACCTCATGGCGGGAGCGCTCGCCGAGGACATCGTCGAGGGTCTCGCACAAAGGACGCTGCTGCTGCTCTGTCACGCGATCCCGGCGTCGCACGGGCCCGGTATGAGGCACTCTTCAATTCGTTACTCGCGGCGGGAGCAGAAACTGTCTCGGGAAAGAGGGTTGGGGCTATATGGAGAAAGAGCAGACTTTCCGAGAGGTTTCTCGGCAAAGTGTGGGAGCGCGCGGTTGACTTTCAAGAGACTGAACAGACGGAAAAGCCAGCCGCCCTGAACGGGGAAAACAAGCAGATCAGACGGAAGAGGAGGCTGGGAAAGGAAGCATTCGTCAGAGCAATGGCCGCGATCGACCATGAGCTCGCCAGACGCAGGGCCCGGAGGCTTTCGAGAAAGGCGATCTCCAACGATCCGTAGACCAGCGATCAATAGTGCACACTTTCGTGTTTCAAGCTACCTTCTTCATTTATCCATACCAAGCACACCCTCTTCTCTCCTCTTATGACATTGGACATTTGCGTCGAGCCCGTGCTCTTTGCGTAGGCTTCAATAACGAAGGCCTCATCTACAATTGGGTGACTGTCTTGCCAAAAGACGAAAAGGATGAAGAACACTCTAGAGTGTCTCTTCGGTCTTCGCCCCGTCTTCATTGCCGGCACCTTTGGCATCCTCTGCGAGGCGATCCGCCTTGACTTCCCCGGGCGTCACCTCGTCTGTGTCGCTGGCCACCCCGTTTTTCGTCGACTCATTGAGGCCACCTCCTTCTTCGTTCGCGACCCCTTTCTTTTGTCCCTCTTTCTTCTGTTGTTCCTCCTCCTCATTCAATTCCTCTTTTTTGGCAGCCTCTTGCTTCGCTTCGTCCGTCACCGTCTCCTTCGCTTCCTCTCCATCGTACTGCTTGACTTTCGCGCCCAACCCCTGCTGCGTCTCTGTACTCTCACTAGTGACAGGAGCAGGAGGAACTTCCGGGGCGGCAGCAGCAGCAGTCTCTGTTCCATCTGAGCTCGTCTTCTGCGCTGTCTCGTCGTTCTCTTCGTCTGCATTTGTTGGGATCTCTTTCGCGTTCGATTCGGTGAGGCCGCTCTGCTCATTCGACTTTCCCTCAGCAGCCAAGTCTTCCTTTGCGAGCCCATTTGCGGCGGTCTCTTCCTTGATAGGCTCAATACGCTCGGGAGCGTCCACCGTCGCTGGTGCAGTCGTATTCACCACACCCGACGGCGAACCTGGCTCGGTATTGTCGACCGAAGCAGCTGCTGTAGCAGGTGTCGAGGCTCGAGCCGGTGAGCTTCCATGGCCCTGTGTCTGCTGCGCTGCCCTCTTTCTGGCCGCCTCGGCCAGTCGCTGCTGCAGCGACATGCGACCTGACGATTTTGTCGGCGTCATGCTCGGTGATGTCGGCTGCTCCATTGGTGCAGGTGAAGAGGCGCCACGGGAAGGAGACGAAGCCCCATCGATGTTCGCCTCAGGCTTGGCAGTGGGCGTCGAAGGGGTCGCAGCCGCACTGTCATTGCTCTGCCGTTGCTCTGGTTCGTCCCCTGAATGCGCAGCGGAATCGACGGGAGTCGAAGCAAAGGAGAAGCCGTTCTCTTCTTTGCTAGGTGTCGGAGGCGGCTTAGGTTCTTCCTCCTCCTTTTGCTTTTCAGGAACGACTGGGGGTGGGGTATCGCTTTCAGTTTCTCCCTCCTCACCCGCATCCGACTTAGCAGGCGCAGGAGGCGGCTCCATCGCGACAACTTCAACCGAAGGTCTTGGCGGCGTCTCTGCTTCTTTCCTTGCAAGGTGCAACGACGAAGACCTGGCCGAGTCATTCGAATCTCTCGCCGCAGTTCCGTTGACCTCTGCTTGCTGCTGCTGCTGCTGCTGCTGCTGCGACAGCGTCTGAGACGTCCCCTTTCTGCCGAAAAGTGGAATACGGGGTTTGTACGCCGTTGGTGTCTGTTGCTGCTGTTGTTCACCTTCTGCTTGTCCTGCGCTCTGAGCCTTGGAAGCCGCGGTAGCGGCAGCAGCAGCGGCCGCTGCAGCTGCCTCGTCTTTCGCTTTGATGACGGCCTCTAAGCTCTGAGACTTCCACTCGACAAACTTCAATGGAGAGAATTTTTTGTCAAAGTAGGCTCTCGTCGTTTTCATCCTCTGTCTTGCTTCTTCCTTTGATGCCTCGATCTTCTCGAACTCCGAAGCAATCCGTTGGTCAATGCTCTGTAGGACCTGACCAATGACGAGCTCGACAACGCTGGATTGAAGATATTTGCACAAGACCTTGTGAAGCGTCGCTGTCTCTTTCACAAGGTCGGCGATGGGTTTGAGCGGCTCGCCGTCGTCCGTAGCGGAGCTTGGAGGTAAAGGCGTGTTGAAATCGATGTTGGAGAGCGCGCGACAGTGAACAGTGAGGCGGTCGCTCATGATAGCCATGAGCTTCGAATGGATCTCGTACTGGTGCTCCTGATAGTCTCTTCGCAGCTTGTCGAACTCAGTGAGCATGACGGCCTGCTTTGGGCTCAGGTGCCTGCGCACGGTTTCGCGGACGTATGGGATAAGCGAGATCATGATCGAAAGCGACTGCGACGCAAGGGCAAGGTGTTTTGCCGTGATGTTCTTTAGTCCTGCTGATCGCATGGCTCCAGCGCCCAAGACGACCTGACAGGTTCTCGAGTTGAATTGTTTGAGGAACTCGACAACCCGACCCATGACCTCTGTTGTCAGCAGGGGAAGGTTGATGACCACGCGGAGATACTCGGACAGAAGCTTGAGTACTTGTAGGCTGGCACCAACCACGAAATACTGTTTGCCTTCGATCTCGAGCGTCTTTGCCAATCCATCCTGCTGGTCCTCGTTCAGCTGCTCGTTCTCTCCGTTCGAAGGCGAATTCAGCTTTTGAATCTCCTCAATGGGAATGAGGAGCTCCTGCGGGTCGACTGTGGCGCTCTCGACGATAATCCTGATTTCCTCTTGTTGTTTTGCAGACACCTCCGCCTGGCCCCACATTTCCTCCTCCACGGCTTTTGCGGCCCCTTCGATTCTTTGGCGGTGGAAATTGGCCATCCACGATTTTGCCTGATTGAGCACGACGCCTCGCAGGCCAACAATCATGCGATGGCAGGTCGCTTCCGTTTTAAGGATGAAAGACCATGTGAGATGGAAGACAGCGAGGAAGGAGGTGAGATCGAGGCCAGCATGCGTCGAGGATCGCAGGGAGAGGAGACGGGAGGCCAGCGTGTGCGTCAGGCCACATACATCAGAGACGAGAGCTGAAAAGGTCGTGGGGAGCGACGGTGAAACGCCGGGTGGCATGCTGAGCTCTGGAGCGCCGTTGGTCGGAGTTGCTTCTTCGGTCTGCATACCACGCGCGATCTCATCAAGAATCTGCAGCACAACTCGAGTCTGCGCCTCGATGTTCTGAATGCAAGTCGTGAGGCCGTTGAACACATGCGTGGCTATTTCGAGGAAGACCTTATTCCCAGCGTCGCGCCATTTGGCAGCCGCTTCGGCGCCGCCAGGTCCCAATTTGGCATCTGATCGACCCGAGGCAGCTTCATCGTCATCGATGAGCGTAGCCAGATCTTCCACTGTGCCTCGTGATTGATCCGCGGGAAATGCTGAAACAGAAGCCGATGCATTGCACAGGCAAGACCTCATCGTCGTGCGTACCGCCCGAATGACAACGTCGCGGTAGGCCGTGCACATTTTTTCGACTCCAGCCGTCCGAACAAGGCCCCTGAGAGGCGTCGCCAATCGGAGGCGCAGCTCATCATCTGCCGCCGTCGAGTGGGGTTTGCCGTCCTCTTTGGGCTCCTCTGCCACCGTTGCTCCGTCCTTGACGGCGTCCGACTTGACGCTCTCCAGAACCTGAGCTGACGGACCGATGACTGTTTCGCCTCTTGTCTCAATGCGTTCCCTCAAATCCGCCGAAAGGACGGTCAAGATCTCGACCTCGAGCTGAGCAGCGATCGCGTCTCTCATCTCTTGGAGCTGTGGCTTCATCGCCGTTACCGAAGGAACGGAAGCGAAGTCCATGTCGACATGTGATGGGAGTGAAGATCCAGCAGCTTCGCCGTCCGGACCAGTAGCGCTCGGGTCGAGTTTGATCCGACCCTCAATGACGGCGACGAGATCCTCCATGACATCGAGAGCCTCGTTCCAGTCGCCGCTTTGGGACAAGAGCCTGCAAAGGTCTCTCCTTTCGCAGAGCATGCCTACCAGACCCACGACGGCGAGCCTTTCGCTCATTTCCCTCCGTCTCGCCTGCTCTTTGATGACACGCAACCCAGCCTTGGCAACGTTCTCGTCCTTGTCCACCAGCTCCCTCGTCAGGGATTGGACCTTCTCCAAGCAACTGCTCGCCTCGGCCTCAAGGTCCTGCAAGTTTCCGAGCTCCGCGAAGAATGACGAGGATCTTGCGGAGATCTCGAGGATGAGGTGCTGCTCGACGACGTCGCTATAGTACGACAATTTCTCTTGAAGCATCTGATTGAGAGCGACATCGTAGCCTGCCAGCGTCGATGCGCCTTTTCGCACCGCAGACCCATCACCCGCCGAATTGGCCGCCTTGTATCTCTCCGTAACCAGATCGAAGGTGTACGGGTTCCCCAGATCAAAGTCCTCGGAAAAGAAGACTTGCGGTACGGTGCTCAGGGGAGGCAGCTTTCGCTTGCCAAACGCCGCTCGCACTTCGTCGTCTAGCCCCGGTTCTTCACCGTCACCTCTCTGGTTGGAAGACACCTCCGTCTCTGCATCGGCATGTCCATCTGCAGCAGCAGCAGCAGCGGCGGCTGCCGCTTCGCTCTCGAGCTTCGCTCTGCCCCTCCGACCTAGCTTCTGGTTTCGTTGGTACCGATCCCACTCGTTCTTGACGCTGGTCAGATAGCCTTGCAACTCGGCTTTCTTGACCTTTGGTATATCTGTGTGAGACTGCGAGATGGGCGGATATCGTGAAGAGGACGGGTCGATGGGCCGCGGTGGCTTGTTCGGGTTGTTGAGCAACGTCGAGATGGCTATCGAGCGTGTCAGCGACTGCTGGCCAGAAGAAGGAAGAACAAGAGCCTATCTCACCATTGTAGCCAGTCAAATTTGAGCTGGTACTCGACTCGCCGACTGCGCCAAGCGCCAGATTGGTGGAGCTCATCCCCGCGAGGCCTTGCATCGCTCCCAGTCGCCTGGCGGCATTGTACGCTTGCGAAGACGAGGCCGAGGGCTTGGTGGGTGAACGTGCGGCGCTGCTCGCCACAGACCCAACCTCTGATTCCGACGGACTGAAAGGCCCTCCTGCCCGCTGCGGCGAATCAGCCATGACGCCTTGGGCCTTCAGCTGTGCCTCGAGTTGCCGCTGGGCTAAGTGAGCTGCTGTCGGTGCCGTTGCGAGTCGCGCTCGCTCGGACGCTTGCTTTCGCCAAGCGTCTAATTGGCTGCACACGTGGAAAGTCGAAATTTAGAGCGCCACTCCACTGCTTGTATCTCCGTTCAGCGGGCCAGATGTGCTACAAACGACGATAGAGAGGGACCAATCATGGCTTCCAGAAGGATGTCTGTGCGGGCGCTGGCGACAAGCGCGCCGATGCACCGCGCAGCTCCCTCTCATCAGGTGTCGCCGCTCCGAGAAGAGATACAGCAGCGGGTGCGAGATCGGATAGGAGAGAGGGACCGCCTCGTCTCCGCTCCTCCTTCGCCGTTTCTGACGGATCGCTTTGCAAGGAGCCACACCTACCTCCGCATCTCGTTGACAGAGAGGTGCAATTTGCGGTGTCTCTACTGCATGCCCCTGGAAGGAGTGCCTCTGACGCCGACGGACGAGCTGCTGACGTCCGACGAGGTGCAGCGTGTTGCGAGGCTCTTTGTGCGGCAGGGCGTCAACAAGATCCGCTTGACGGGCGGCGAGCCAACGGTGCGCAAAGACTTGGGCGACATCATTGGCGCACTGTCGGATCTTCGCAGCGACGGTCTGAAGCAGATTGGCATCACAACCAATGGCATCACTCTGCCGCGCCACCTTGGCCACCTCGTCGCCAATGGCCTTACCCACCTCAATGTCTCTTTGGACACGCTCGACCCACTCAAGTTCGAGCTCATGACTCGCAGGCCAGCACAGGGTCTCGAAAAGGTGCTCAGCGGAATCGACCTTGCCCTGGCAATAGGTGTTGAGAATGTCAAGGTCAATGTTGTTGTCGTTCGGGGCCTCAACGATGGCCAGGACGTCCTCGACTTTGTCGAATGGGCCAAAGACCGAAGCGTGGTGGTACGCTTCATCGAATATATGCCCTTCGATGGCAACAGATGGAGGCCCGAGAAGCTGGTGCCGTACACGCAGCTCCTCGCAACTATCGAGGCTCATTACGGCGGCCTGGCGAAGATCGAGGATGATGCAAATGACACGAGCAAGCACTGGAGGGTGCCCGGGCACAAGGGCAGCATTGGCTTCATCACAAGCATGACAGACCACTTTTGTGGGACGTGCAACCGTCTGCGTATCACCGCCGATGGCAATCTGAAGGTGCGTCGTTGCAATATCCTCTTTAGTGTGGTCTAGTGTGGCAGGCTAAACAACTCAACAACGCTCAGGTTTGCCTCTTTGGCAATGCCGAGGTCTCGCTGCGGGATGCGATGCGGACCGGTGTATCACACAAAGGCTCGCCTCCCACGCCAGCGACGGACGAGGAGCTGCTGCACATCATCGGGGCTGCCGTCGGACGCAAACACGCCAAGCACGCCGGAATGAAGGACCCCGAGGATCTGGCAAAGGGTAAGAATCGGGCCATGATCCAGATCGGGGGGTGACGAGAATGCGACTCAAAATCATCCATTCACTCTTTGTATTCTTTTTGTATAGGTGAGTGTCCAGCGGAAGACGTTGTGGGGGAGAAGACTAGTCACGCTGACTGGAACATTACGACAGGAGCTGCATTTGTATCAACACGACAATTATCAAGACTTCGTTCGCTTTCTCGCTCTCGCCACTTACCTCTCTCTATACCGACCATTGGCTCGCAGGTGGGCCTCCGTGCCTACCACTCGTCACAAAGACGACCGAAGTCGAAGCGAGACGACTCCAATATACTCGACCCATGGGCCGATATGGATGCAGCCGCCGACGCAGCCTATGCACCCGCACCCGCTGAAGATGCCGGTTTGAAAGTCGAACCGGCGCACAAAACAACTATCCCAAACGAAGCCGACAAAGGTCGACAGTTGTCGTGGTCGGCGTACATGGGTGACGCCGACGATGGCGACTCGCCGTGGGCGAGCCTGGACGCTATTGCCGATGGAGCCGGCCACCTCGCCAAGCCCTTCCCCATTCAGGCCGAGGGAGCCAGTGACAAAAGTCACGAGGACGCCGCCATGGTGGCAGCCGTCGAAGCTGCTTTGTCGCGCCAAGAGACTGTTGCAAATGCACCTTCAAAGGCGTCACCTCTGCCTGCTTCCCATTCCATGCATGCGACTTCTGCCAGCCCGCCGCCTCCTCGGCTTACGCACGTGGATTCTGCGACGGGATCCGCCTCCATGGTCGACGTCTCGTCGAAAGCAACGACTCCCCGGACTGCGGAAGCTGTCGGCCGCGTCTCGATCCCGCGGGTGGCCCTTGAACTCCTGCGTGCCTCGACATCATCAGCATCATCATCATCGAAGGACGCACAACTGCCTCTGGGTGCAAGGCTCAAGGGCCCTGTCCTCCACACGGCCCAGCTGGCGGGCATCATGGGCGCCAAGCGCACTGCAGATCTCATCCCGCTCTGCCACGGCATCCCGCTCGCGCACGTCGACGTGTCCATCGACGTGGTGGAGGACGATGAAGAAGCGGAGCTGCCCTACCTCCAGGTCCGATGCACGGCGACGACGGCCGGCCAGACGGGCGTCGAGATGGAGGCCCTCACTGGCGTCCACGTCGCGTGCTTGACGCTGTGGGACATGCTCAAGAGCGTCGCGGGAAGGGACATGGTCGTGTCGGACATCATGGTCACGAGGAAGAGCGGTGGCAAGAGCGGGGACTGGACCAGGCAACCGTGAAGAGACCATGAAATCGATCGCTTAGCATTTAGCAAACTCGTCCGTGTGTATATGCGTGTGTGTATCTTCCTTTTGGTATACATGGGTGATGATCAAGAGGTCAGGGGAAGAGGCGCGACAGTACCAGACCGATGACGACGCCTGCCAGGAGGATGTTTTGCTGCTGTCTGATTGTCTCGCGCCAGGTCTGAGGTGACGTCGTGACCGCCATCTTTGGCGCTTGCAACGGTCGTTGCTGCTGCTGCTGCTCCTGTAGTGACAAGAGGGCATTGGTGGCCTGTTCGATGCGTGCGAGTCGTGCATCGACGCCCCCCATGTCCACCTTGGGACCTTGGGATGAATCTGGCTCAGGCTCATGCTCAGTCTCTGCGTCTGGCTCGACCCCATCGCGGGCTGCAGCAGCGGCGGGTCGCGCAAGGCTGTCGACGACGAGCCTGTAATGGAGCCAGAGGTGGTGGGCGAGGGCGAGCTGGACCCTTGCAGACTCCTCTGCTGGACTGCTATTCCTGCTCTGCTCGACTCTGCGGCCCTTTTTACCCGGCAACGACAGCAGCTCGTCGACTGCCTCGGAGGTCGCCGAGGGAGATGAGGGCAGCATCGAGTTCATGTCCTGCAGCAGGCCGACGAGCTCCTTGACGGTCGCTGTATCACTGCCAGTGACTGCCATCGATCCGTTTTCCTCCTCGCCACCGCCGCCGTCGCCGCCGCCGTCGTCGTCGTCTGTGCGCTCCACTGCGTCCAAGTAGGCATCGTGCGCGCGAACGGCCCATCGGAGCAGGCGCAGCTCGAGGTTCGCCAGCGTCTTTTGCGTCGGCCAGGGCTGCTCGGCCGCAGCAATGATGCCGACGAGGGTCGAGTTGGCCTCTGCGCGCTGGGAGCGGGATACGAGCGTACGCACCTGCTGGCCCCGGGGAAGCAGCTGGAGCGCGGACCAGGGCGAGGCGAGGAGCGCGCGGGTCGAGTACTTGCCCGGGTCGAGGTGCTTGGAAGGCACTCTCCAGCTGCAGGAGATGAACAAGTATCTTTGTCGTCAGAAAAATCAAGAAAAGAGTGTTAGAGACTCGTCTCCTCACTTGTGCGTCAGGCCAGCGTCGCCCTCGTCGAGCGTCCATGCGTGGCGGAGGTCCCAGCTGAGGAGCAGCGCAAGGGGTCCGTCGAGACCAAGGTCCTTTGGGATGCCGCTGGCGAGCTTCAGGCTTGCCCAGAGGGCTTCTCGCGGCTCGAGCCCCGCGAGCGTGACGTCGTAGTCGAGCCTGTCTCTCTGCAAGCCAAAGCGGAGCAGACCTGCGACGGGCGACAGGCCTGCCATGGCAAAGAGCGAACAGAGCGAGACGTAGGGCTCCCGATGCTCTGGATCAAGGATGCGGATCACGACAACGCCGTTCTTTTCCGCTGTCAGTGCTGGGCAAAGTGTCCTGTTGGGACGGCGAGAAGGGAAGAGGCGAAAGTGGACCGGAAGCGGCCGCTTCTGCTCCAGCTCCTCCCACGTCGTCTTCGTCAACATCATGGTGCTAGTGGTGGAGGGTAAGGAAAAGCCGCTTCCCCCGCTTGCCGCACCCTTCAGCACCGCTGTGCTTTGCTGCTCCGCCATGACCAGGTCTTCGATCTCTTGCCGGCTAGCATCGCCCCAGCCTGCGGAAGGACCCCTTTTGCAGTGCGCCTTGTCTTGACGCACCTATCTCTCTTTGTCTTTCTCGCACAGGTGGAGAGAGCGCGCGCGCTCTCGCTCTGACCCAAAATTAGTCCCGAATTCCGAGCCAGGAGCGATGAGTGCAACACGTCTTTTTTCTTCTCGCTGCTGCTGCCGCCGCTCCAGCGTCGTGTTGTCGTCGTCGTCGCCTCAAAACACGCCCGCGCTCGGACCGCATTTGCTTCGTCAACATGGCTCTCAGTAGCGGCGGTGCAGAAGCCGGGCCTTCGTCGGCGCCTGCCGCACAGGCCAACATGTTGAGGTTCGTTGACATCCAATCAGCTGCATGTTTATCGTCTGGGCGAATGCTAACACTGTAGGAAAAATTACACAAAAGCTACCGCGAGCTGCACGACATCCTCGAGTCATCGAGCTCGACGACGTCCACGGCTGACATCAGCAAGCAGCTCCATGCTCGCCTCGCCAGATTGACTGCATGCAACAAGCCGCCATCGGGTCCCACGCCCGCATCGAGGTCGAAAGTGACGTCCCCGGCGGCCTTTTCGACGCCCGATGGGTCGACAATCAGGCTCGACGCGCTGCAGCAGGAGCTGTGCCTCAACTTTAGCGAGGCGCACCACATCGATGAAGTAGAAGCCGCAACGGTCTTGCGCCTCTTTCTCGACAGCCAGGACACGGATCTCGACGCGTTGGCCAGACACGCCTCCGACGACGCCATGGCTGGCCTGCCCAAGCGACCACGAAGAGCAAAGCCTAGCAGTCGGCCGCACGTAGACGTCATGACGGCATTCATGGATGCATTGACGGCTTTTTACCTCGAGGAGCGGCTTTCGGTGCTGAGGTGCGTCTCTGCCCTTCTGCGTCTGGCAGACGACAGCTACAGCAACCTGCACGACGTGGCCAACGACGTTCTCTCCAACTTTGCCGACGAGGCATTCGGTCTCGGTTGCCTTGCCCGTTTTCAACAGCTCGCCGCAGAATCACTTGACGATGGAATTCGAGAAAACACGTCGCAGAGCGTCCTGTGGGCCACACACAACCTTCGCGAGCAGGTTGCCCTCCTGGAGGTCGTCACGCTCCTCTACTATAGCCGTCTCGACCCGTCGGCCAGCTTCGTCTCCAGCCTCCTGGCGGCGATACGCCAGACCGACTTTGGCAGGAAGCAAGCTGGGGCCGGCTTTCTCGACTCAGAAGGCGCCGGCATCATCGACTGCGTAAGTGGGCTGCTCCTCCTCCTCACGATCGAGAGCCTCGACCTGGAACGAGTCATGGATGGCTTCGACTTCTTCTCGCCGCCGCCCAAAGGCAGCCTCCTCGACGCATCCCACGTCTTTGCCGATGCTGTCGACTACATCAAGTCGACGACGGCGGCGGACACGGTTCGAGCGCCTCTGATGCTCGCCTGGTCCTTCTGGCTCAGCCGAGTGGACCAGGCCATCGCGGAGTGGAAGGCAGCGAGGCCGACGGAGCAAGTGCCTCGACACCTGAACGCCATCGAGTCTGCTGCGCTCAAGCCTGCTCCTGCTGCTGCACTGAAGAAGAAGGGACGGGGCGAGCGAGACGAACGCAACGACTTTGATGATGACGAAGAAGAGTCGCCCTCGTGGCCCAACTTCGTCTCGGCCGCTCTCAGCTCGGGCATGGACCTCTTTGGGACAATGCTGGCCGTCTCGCGATCGCCCCTCTTTGTCTCCGACAGTCCTATTTCCTCGCTCGTCTCGCTGCCCGTGTCGACGTCGCTGGCTCTTCGCGCAATCCTCAAGGGCTTTGTCCTCTCGATCACCGAGCTCGTCAGGCCGGAATTTGTCCTTGACTTCAATGGCCTCGTCGAACTCTGGCAGGCCACCTTTGGAGGAGCGACGCAGGACGGTGCGGGAGGGGCCGAGCTGTGTGCTCAGTTCTGGGAAGTCGACTTTGAATTCGCGCAGCGTCGTGCTGTCCTCGACACCGCGACGAGGCGGTGGCCCGTCAGCTTCCGACCCCTGCTGGGCCTCTGCAAGGCGCTTTCGGGCGCCTCGATCACATCGCCGACGTCCTCGTCGAGCCAGTCGGATGCCGTCTTGCGAGCGGCGATGCCCGTGATGCGCTACCTGTGCGAAATCGAGAGTCTCGCCCACGTCATGCCGCCGACGCCTTCGCTCGCTCCTCCCTACCAGCCATGGGAGGAGCCTGGGTCACCGAATGCCTACAAGGCCATCAGGCCGATCCCTGTCTTTGGGCAACACCTCATCATACCTGCAGGTACGGTGGGAAGGATGGTATCGGAAGCCGATGGTGCCCCCGTAGTCGTTTGGGATGTGTCGGGGCTGGGTATCAGTGCTTGGCGTCTGATGCGCGATGTCCTTGCCAACTTCGTCGGCCTTCTTCCGGGTCAAGCTCCTCCTCGTGCAAGCACAGACGACAGCCGGACAGGCGACGGAGCCGTCTTTGCAGAGCGGCATGCGCCTGCCAGCTTTGCCACGTTGTCGCCCGACGACGCTGGCGCTCACGATGCCGAGGCAGCGGCCAATGCCATGGATCTCTTTAGCAGCATCCTCGCTGCGGGTCCCCAACTCTCGGCTCTTTTACTGGCCCATCTCGAGGGCGATGATGCCAGCGGACTCGCAGAGGTGCAAGATCCAAGCATAGACGACAAGCCTAGCCTCCTCAACATCGCCCTCAAGGTCCTAGACCAGGCGCTCTTGGCACCTGCGACTGCATCCCGCGTCATCGTCAGCGCCTACCGCCTCATTACGCTCGCTCTTGCCTCGCGCCCTTCAGATATCTGGGTTGCCATGCGCTCGTCGAGCGCCCTGATTGGCTCCAGCGGCCTGTTGCCTTACTCTGTTCGAGGGGCAGGTGCGTCATCTTCGTCGTCCCTCCTCGCCGATGAGGTGAGCCGAGGCCAATTCGACGGCCTGAATGCGGTTCTCGACCTCCATCAGTCGCTGCTGGAAGACCTGCAACGGACCCAATTTTCCATTTCTGCCGAAGCGTGCCAGCTCAAGGTCGATGTGATGCTCCGTGCAGCCCGATGGATCTGCCAGGCCGTCTGGATGGAGTACCAGGGCTGGAAGTACGTCAAGCTGCGACAGCGAATCGAGATTGGACGCAAGTGTGTCCACTTCTTTGACACGATCTTGCGCGATGGCTGTATGCGCAATGCCGCAGAGAGCCCCGCTCATCGGCTCTCTGAAGCCATTGAGCAGACCTTTGTGTCGCACGTCAGCCCTCTCCATCTCGGCCCGCTCGTCGCGACACTGAGCCAGGGTCAGCAGCTCATCGATCAGCTCCAGAAAGCGATTCGACAGGTCGAGGCGGAACAGGCACGTCGGCTGGTGCAGAGCTGCCTTGGCTTTGCCTTTGCCATCGTCGAGCGACGACGGCTGCTGAATGCCGAGTCGCTCACGCCCACATTGGGCCTCTTCGAGCTCATGGTCTTTGACCATGCCACGGTGGCGACGAGGAGTGTTACAATTGCAAGCCGGCGATCGAATCGGGTTGAGCTGGCCACCGCCGTCGTTGGCTACATCCTCCTTCCCTTCTCGCGCCCACTCAGCATCGAGGCCGTCAGGCTCCTGACCTCTGTCTGTCGGTCTACAGCTGAGGTGGCTGCTGCGTCTTCTGGCGGCAAGGGCACGGCATCGTCACCACCGACGCTCGTGGGCCACTTGGGTTCGCTGCAAGATGTCGAAGCATCCATGGCTGGACTTGTAGATGTGGTCGCAAGTCAGGAGCGCGATGATGAGCTGCGGAGAGAGACGTGGACGCTGCTCGCGGCCATCGTCGACACACAGCCAGCCCTTGCAACACTGCTCCTCACAGGCCGTCACCTGGCCTCGGACGTGGAACGGAACATGGCGAATTCCTCGTCGTCGGGCAAGAACAAGGCGGAGGAAAGGCCGGCGACAATGGCGAGGACGGCCATCGACGTCGCAGTCGAACATCTGCAGAACTGGGAGCGATCTTGGGACTCGTCGCCGGCGGTCCTCGAGGCCGTTCTGAGGTTTCTGGGCGTCGCGTGGGCGCACGCTGCCGAACATAGGTCGGACTTTGCCAGACTAAGGAGCAACAAATCTATCTGGAAGTCGTTGGGAGACATTGCTGTCAAGGACTCTGGGCAGGTGCCTGATCGGCCGGAGCAATGGGAGGTGCTGGAGGCGGACGAGGGCGAGCAAGCGCAAGAGCAAAGCGACGAGCATGTCTCGGTCCAACGCTACGCCCATCGGACACTGTGTTCGGCGAGAGCCTTGACGCTTCTAGCGGCCGACATTGAGCTCGCCCCTTCAATGGCAAGGGCTAATGCTGAAACAAAGGAACGACAAGAGGAGAGCCTTGAGACAATTCTCTCGATCCTGAGCGATGGCAATCTTCTACAGACGTCTCTAGTGGCCGCCTTTGACGTCCAAGGCGACGTAGCGATGCACGCCGAGTTTCAAGCTCGCCTCAAAGCAACCTTCCCAGAGGTGAACCTGGATGACTTTAGGTACTCGGCGAGGCACGACGACTTTGATCTTTCAAGACGGTACGGCGACGGCTACTGTTTCGACATGGGCGCGTTCAGGCTCAGGCTGCAAGGATTTCTTCCTTCCATTGAGGAGCAAAGCGAAGAGATGGCGTTGGATGAAAGGAGCGGGCTGGACAACGAGTCGCTGAAGCAGGCCTGCCTGCTCGTCGCGGCCATCAATCTTGATTGGAGCATCATCGATGCGAGGACGACATACATGCGTGCCTGGACGAGGCTTTTGGAATCGGTGTCGGAGCCGTACGTCTCTAGATCGTCGGACTCGAGGCGTGAGGATAGGCTGAAGCAGGTTCAGACAACCTGCCTGAAGGCGTGGACCAGATGCGCAGCTGCGACGGCGGATGAAGAGGCAAACGGCGATGTCATCATGGGCATTCATTCCGAGAGAGTAAACTTGCTTTCCGTCCTGCTGGAGCTCTGCTGGGGCTCGTTCTCAGCGAGAGAAGATGGTCACCAAGAACCGCAAAAGGACTTCGAGCCAGTCGTTGAGGCAGTCGAACAATCATGCAGGCTCGTTGGCCACGGCGTCCTCAGAGTCGAAGAGAGTCTCCGCAGTGGCGGTCCAGGCTTTCATCGAGGCGTGTTTCGCATCGTCTTGCTTTGCACCCGGCGAAGCAGGAGCCTGCTCAAGCAGCGGGCCGGTGTCCGGTTGGGTAGCGGTGAGGGAAAGCTAAAGGACCAGGGAGGCGAGGACGCACATCTCCATCAGCGACTACATCAAAGTGCAGACCTGTACACCAGCCAGACGATCACCTGCCTGCGTGTCGCCATCGACAACGCTTGGGCAGCTCTTTCGAGCGTAGAGCGATTACAAGGATACCAAAGTGGCGAACGGCAAGTCAGCGAAGTGGTTCGAGCTTCACCCCTCGTTGAAGCAGCTGAGGACGATCTCAGGCTGCTCATGGCCACCTTGGAGCTGCTGCTGCGCGACGACGTGGGCATCCCGCCGCACACCTGGGCTCCCAAGATGCAGACTACCGGTCTGCTGCCTGCCGCTGTCGAGCTGTTTGCAAGGGCGCCGCTCACAATGTCGTCAACGACAAGCACGACGGCATTGATGACAAAGATGAATAGCAATGGTGGTGACAGCCGCTCCGACCTCTCCAACACCGAGTTGCTGGCAGCTGGCGCTTGCCCAGTCTTTGGATTTACCCTTCTGGGCTTCTTCCTGGCGATGGCCTCGTCGCCGAACACGGCAGAGTCCTTGGCGCTTGCAGGGATCACCAATGCACTGTGCGCCAATGCGCTCTCGAATCTATTCGACCAGTCCTCTCCTCTCGAGGAGCAAAAGCCAGCAACAGCGACGATTCCTCCGCTGCTCAACTCTGGCTATGAGAATCCGACGCACACCCTCTGGCTCCAGATGCTGCGCGTCGTACTCGGCCTCACGCACAACCTAGGCCTGGGCAACGACCGCTACTACGCTGGAACGACGAGTCTGGCCACGGTTGCTCGATTCGTCGAAATGGAGCTCCGCGGCTTTCTGCAGGTGTACTGGATCCAGATCGAGCGAAGTGTTCTGCAGTTCTCGCCCCTCGGTGCAGCAGCTTCAGGCTCGTCGCTGCGGCGCTTCAACGCTGCTCCTCTGGAGGACTTCGCAACTCCTTCTGTGGCCCCGACAACATTGACATTGGGACAGCTCGATGAGATGGAGGAGGTCGTCGGCCTCTTCCTGGCTGTGGCCCGTGTCTTTTCGGGGCCGCTGGCTTCGTCAGCTAGCACTTCTGTTGAGGGCAAGCTGCTGGACCTCTTTGTCAAGCGCGCGACCTCATCGACGCCAATGCTACAGCAGCTCGTCTACCTCGTCCAGCATCCTCGGGAGCTGGCTTCGCTCCTGGGCGCCTCGGTCGACAATTCTGGCTGGACACGGGAAGACGAAGCCGGGTGCGTCGAGCAGATTGCCAGGATCGCAGGGCAGATTGTCAAGATCGTCTGGGAATGGACGGGGTCCGTTGAGGTGCTCTGGACAGAGGAAGAGGAGTGGAGCCTGGATAGCCTCGTGCTGAGCCCCACGATCAGCACCGTGCCGACGTCGAGTGCCTCGATGGGGACATTGCTGGACCTGGCTCAATTTTTGAGCGAAAAGCTGAGGAGCCTTACGACGAGCGACGAAGCCGGCGGCAAGGACAAGGCCGAGGATCTTAAGACCGAGGTGGGAGAGTCCCTCGAGCAGACGCTTGCACTGGCAGCTACGCAGCTCGCCATTGCCGTTCATGGCCGCCCATCACCGACGACGAATGGGCAGACCGCCATCCAAGATGACACGACCGCGCAGCCCTCTGCTCCACCAAGGGAGATCGAGACGGGCCTGGCGCGCGACTTGGAGACGTGCATCGAATCGTGCAGGGCCGCATTGCGGGCCGCAGGTGGCGCGAAAAAGGCGAGCATGTTCTTGGACATTGTGGCAGACTTTGGCAAGAGGGTTTTGGCCTCGTCATAGCCAGTGACTCGGATGACCAGAGAAGAGAGAGAAATACAATTACATTTTTGCACAAGAGACTTGGAAGAGTAGGGGAGAGGCAGACATCAGAAAAGAGTGTCCTGTTTGTTGGCAAGAGCAGAAGTCAGTCAAAGCCCAAGAGTTATGCAAGGTGACTCGAATTGATGTCTCTCACCTCGTCACGAAGGTACTCTCCGACATCAGCCTGATGGAAGACGATGATGCTCGTCGGGTCGAGCTTCCTCGTGTCCACCGTAGATCTAGCCGTGACGCCGAATCCCAGGGGGGTGCCGTTCATGGCAAGCACGACGACGCCGGCGTGCTCGGGTGTGTCGTCGGTGATGCGGCCGAGGTGTGCCTTGACGACGTGGTTGCCATACAGGAATGGGAGCTCTCCATTTGGCTTGATCCAGACCTGATGGGGGCACGCGCTCGTCAGCTCCGCCAGCCTAGGGAACAATACAGAAAAAGAGAAAAGACGGGGCGAGAAACTAGACGAACCTTGTACTTTGCATACTGTGCCAACGCATCGAGAGCGGTGACGTGCAGCCTGAACTTGCCCGTCTTGCTGAACTTGCCAAAGCACGTCCCCAGCGACACGAGGTTGGGCCGCGCGATGGAGATTGCCATCCTCATGCATCTCTGTGAAGATCAAATGCATCGAATCAGCTCGTCTCATTAGACAATAGAGGAAGGGATGAGATGAAAGATGGAGGGAAGGGACGGAGGGGGAGAAGAGAAGAAACGCACCTCGGAGACATAGTAGACGCGGTCTCGGTGCAAGCGGAAGACGTGAGGCTCATCTTTCCGGTCGACCAAGTGGACAATGTTAGGGCCTACGTAGTGTGAAAGCTTCGTGAAGAGCGTCTTTGTCTCTTCTTCGGTGAGCGGACGCATCGTTGGCGTCTGCTGTTCTGCGGGGGATAAGGTAGCTGTCGCTGTTGCAACTGACGAGAAGAGAAGAGAAAAAAAAAAAAAGTCGACAGAGCCTAACTTCCGATTCCCGAGGCTCTTCAAGAAAATTTTCAGAAAGCAAGATTACATTACTACGACGTACCGCCCGTGATTCAAGGCACATAGAGAAAGGCGACGATGGCAAGACGACGAAGCGGGGGCGACCCTTCGCTGGCCGCGAAAAAGCCCAGCATGGGACAAGGTGGAAGAAAGAGCAACTCACAGCAGGCACAAGCACGGAAGGAAAGGCGAGCGGGCGGGAGTGGTGGCCCAAAGAGCATTCATGATGTCTTTGAGTATGCCACCGAGCAGCAGGAGCAGGGGCGGAAAGGGAGGATAAGCCGCAGAGGCGCCCCAGTCGCAACGAGCGGCAGCGAGGGAGAGGATAGCGAGGAAGAAGGCGAGTCTAAAAAGATTGGGCCAAAATCGTTTCTGGCGGGCTCGGACGAGGGGGAGGAAGCGAACCCCGTAGACCCAGACGATGACGAGGAGATCGACAGCGATGAAGCGTTCGGAGAGAGCGACGAGGAAAAGTTCGATGGCTGGAGATTCGGTGGGGGAAAGAACAGAGGTGACGAGGAAGAGGAAGAGGAGGAGGAAGACGACGAGGACATGGTCGACCTCTCCAAGATGCTTGACGACAACAGCGATTTTGGAGAGGACGACGAGGACAACGACGAAGAAGATGAGGGCGAAGAGGACAGCCGGCTTCAAGAGCACATGGCTCGATTCGCAGAAGGAGGAGGCAAACGCAGTGCATCGCAGGCCGATCTCGAGGGTGAAGAAGGCGAAAGCAAGCGAAGGGTGGTCCTGCCCGAGAGGAGGGAAGCCCTGGCAGAGGGCGCCGTAGGGAGCGTGGGCGGGGGTCAGGCGCTGAGCTTTGAAGACCTCATGCAGCCCTTCGAAGGAGAGACAGGTGCCAGTCTGGCCTCATTGCGCAAATCCGCAAAGACACTTGCCGAGAGCCAAAAGAAGGCAAAGGGTGGTGCGGCATCGAAAAGCGGTGGTGGCGCCCTGGCCGCGCCCCTCCCCTCCATCATCCAGGATCGCATCGACCGATCAGCGGCGTACGATGAGACCAAGGGACAGGTGCAAGGATGGCAGCCGACAATGAAGCGTTTGCGCGAGGCGCAGCATCTTTCGTTTCCGCTGCAGCCTGCACCAAAGCATGTTGCGTCGACAGCCAGCATGGCTGCCTACTTTAAACCGTCCAACGATATGGAGTCGACGATTGCCTCGATGATTGAGGATGAAGGGTTGACCGATAAACAGCTGGCCGAGGCCGAGGAGCTCAAGATGAACGAGCGAGGCATGAGCGCAGAGGAGATCAAGCGGCGGAGAAGCGAGCTAAGGCAGATGAGGGAGCTGCTCTTCAGGCAGGAGCAAAAGGCCAAGAGGGTCAAGAAGATCAAGAGCAAAACGTACCGCAAGATTGCTAGAAAGCAGCGCCAGCGGGAAGGTGCACTTGCCGAGGAGCTGGAGGGCGGCGCACAAGGAGACGAGGACGACTTGGAGAAGCGCATCGAGGCCGAGAGGGCGAGGGCACAGGAGAGGGCTACGCTCAAGCACAAGAACACAGGCAAATGGGCACAAGGTCTCGTCGGCAGAAGAGAGCTGCAGGACATGCCTGAAGCGCGGAGCGCTGTCGAAGAACAGCTTCGGAAAGGGGAAGAGTTGCGGCGACGCATTCACGGTCGTGGGTCGGGGTCTGAGGATGAGGAAGACGATGATGATGACGACGACGACGACGATGTCAGCGATGCGGAAGCCGCCCACGAAAAAGCCTTTGACGAGCTTGCTTCCCTTGAGAAGCGCGACGAGGCCCGACAAGCTCGCGACGAAGAGAAGCTTGACAAGAAAGGCAAGGCATTGTGGAACATGAAGTTTATGAAGGATGCGCGAGAGAGGAGCACCCGTGAAAATAGAGAGACGCTCGAGGAGCTGAGGAACGAGTACGCCGGAGAAGATGGTGCTTACCAGGTGGCTTCGAACCCCGGCCGGCTGGCATTCGGTTCCTCTGCTCCATCCGCTCAGAAGTCGCAGGCAGACGACGAGCAAGAAGAGCCCACTTATGGCGAGGACGATGACGAAGAAAGGGGCGAGCAGGTGACTTCAAGACGACCGAAAGGGCCTCTCAAGGTTGTCACTGAGGAAAGCACACAGGCCACGTCAACGACAAGAAGATTGCCTCCTGAAAATGCTGCATCTAGTGAAAACCCGTGGCTGGCGGGCGACCGAACAATGTCCAAGTTATCGCGGAAGAAGAACGACATCGTCGTGTCCAAGGAGTCGTCATCACAGAGCAAAGCTGCCAACAAGCTCGAAAAGTACCGGGCAAAGGGTCAGGACGCTAGACTGGAAGAAGAGGAAGAGTCAAGGCTGGAAATCGATCCAAAAGCTATGCTCTCGATGCGAGAGCGAGAGGAGGACATGACAGCTCATCGTGCTGGCTCAGATGATGAGGTTTCGACTGACTCCGAGCGTGAAGAAGAGCAGCCAGTTCTCGTCACGCAACAGCGAAGACAAGGGGGACGAGGCTCCAAGGCAATTCAGCAGCGTGACTTGGTCGCCGAGGCCTTTGCAGGCGACGATGTGGCTGCTCACTTTGCTGCCGAGAAGCGGGCAGCAATTGAAGCAGATGCGCCCAAAGAAGTCGACGAGACGCTCCCAGGCTGGGGCTCATGGACGGGCAAGGGTGTGTCCAAGAAGCACAAGCAGCAACCGAAGAAGAAATTCGTGCGACAGGTGGCTGGCCTAGACGAAAGCAAACGCAAGGATGCGAAGATGGCAAATGTCATCATCAACGAGAGGAAAGATAAGAAGGCCGACAAATACAGGCCAAAGGACGTTCCATTCCCTTATACCTCCAAAGCTCAGTACGAAATGGCGATGCGGAACCCCTTGGGTCCGGAGTGGAACACGAGAACCCAGCATCAGCGCTTGACATTGCCTAGGGTCACTACCAAGCCTGGCCAGGCCATCGAGCCTATCAGTGAGTATTGTGTATCGAGACCCTTTTCCAGTTCTCTCGACTGATTGCGCACTCCCACCAGAGCGACTCTTCTGATGCCTCTTACATAGCTCACAGACCATGTGTATTTACCTTCATCCTCTTTCAAATCATGGTACAGTTCTGATTTTCACATCTTCTGGCGATATCTGACATTGGCCATGGGGTTCCAAGTCTTCTTTGTGGTCTTTGAACGAAGTGGAATTCTGCACCGGCTGCACTCCCTACAAGAGACTTCATGAAAGAAACCTAGCCAGCGCCATGAGAGTTGCGGCATGATTGAGAGCTAAGCATGCCGTTTGGAAAGTGTGGCGCCACCTTAGGAGTCTTCATCGACCTGTTGGTACCTCTCAACTGCTGCGCGATTGATGGAATACATCAGACGAACAGGCTGAAAGGAAGGCAGGGAGTACATTCAGTGAACGAACGAGGGCTTCCTGAATCATAAAGGAAGGTTACTTACGGTCGCTGGGATTCGAGTATGATTGTCGCCCTTCTTTGGCACGGGCGCATTCTCGAGCGTGTAAGGACGATTGTTGTGGGAAGGGTCCACACTTTTGTAGTCAAACGCAAGGAGGAAGCAAGCAACGACGACCTTGATCTCGAGTTTTGCGAATCGCATTCCTGCGCATGGATGAAGGCCCGTACCCCAGCTCAGAAACTCTTGGTCTCCAGCTCCTTGCTGGTGGACAAAAAAACGGTCCGGGTCGAACTTGTGAGGATCAGGGTAAATTTCGCTGTTGTAGTGGGTCAAGCTTAGCCAGTAGACAAGGATGTCGTCTCGTCGCAGCTGCTCGCCACCGTACGTCAAGGTTGAATCACGTCGTGTCGCGGACTGACGCGGCTGGTAGCTTCTGTAGAGGCACATGCTCATAAGCTTGCGCAACGTTTCCTTGAGGCAGGCGTCCAAGTAAGGGAGCTTCTTCTCCCAAGACTCTAGGGGCACGCTCGCGACTCGTTGTAAGATGTCGAGCTGTAATTGATCTAAGTGAGAAGCCATGTTGGAAGAAAAAGAGGAAATGAGGATGGACGCACCTCGTCATAACTCGCATCTATTATCTTGGCCTCTTGTCTCAGAAGACCCTCCATCTCGTCCCTCAGCTTGCTCATGCACTTCTCATCGGTGCCTACGAAGATGAGGAAATAGGCTGCTACTCCGGTCGAATTGATTATAGCGGCGAAGAGCGCCCCGACGACGTGAAGAGCAATCTGTCCCGTCGTGGCCTCTTGATCAATCATCTCCTGTACATAATCATTTTCCCTTCGGCCCTCTGCGATCCGCTCATTGACTGTGTGGGAAATCTCCTGAAAGAGCCGGAAAGAGGAGGTCCACTTGCGGATTGTCCTAGGAAAAGGAACGAGTGGGAAAAATGTCGAGCCGAATTGCGTCGACTCTTGGAAAATCCAGAATGGATCGGTGATGCGCCTCAACATCTCTGGCGAGCGAGTGTGCTCGATACAGCCAATCGTTTGGACGGAGATTTGAAAAATCAGCTGAGGAAGGGTCAATCTCTCTAGCTGCCAAAAGAGTGAGAAGAAAGACCATCAAGTCACCTGATAGACTGTGACGTGGGTGTCGATGAGGCCTTTCTCTTTGGGAAGTCTGGCGAAGGTCGTAATGGCGTGCTTTGCCATTCCTGGAATTAGATTCGAAAGTCGTTCGGTCGATGTGGCCGCTTTGAGGTGCTCTCTGTGGAAATCTTCCAGCTCCTTTCGACTCTGAAACTCATCATTGCGTCTCAAGAAAAGTGGTAGCTCGGGCATGCCAGCGAACATCACTTGGTAGCCTTTCCCAAAGTTCGCATCCCTGTTATTGAAAAAAGTCCTTGCGTCGGCCTTGTTGTCGCTTGAAACAATGAAGACGTTCCCGACGCAGTTGGAGCGAATGCCCGGAATGGGATGCAGAGCACCAATGTGGCCAAGATTGCACGTAAGAAATTTTGACTGGTCGCTGTAGAAGTGTGGCGAGCCCAGTCCGCCAAAGATGGATGATTGCACTTCTTTCGTCTTCGAGTCTGGTCGGTACCGGTTTCTGGGCGGACTGAAGAGCTGGTACATAAGAGTGGTGAAGGCAATTGCAATGAGGGAGAATGTCATTGGCGATTGACGTATGGCATCGTCAAAATCGACGTAGAAAGACCTGAAGGGGGACATGGTACCCGTCGACATGGTGTGATGGAGACACTCGCCAGCCCTAGCTACAAGTGACGGATCCGAAAGGACTCGTGCCTTTTGTCTCGGACTCATGCGCTCAGCTCTATTCACGGCAAGACTACCGCTGTTTTGATTTGCTAAAGGGTCACACCAAATCCAACAGCGCCTTATCGTCGCGCCCAACGCTGTTGCTACGGTGCCAATAGTGGCACGGAACAAATTCCGTCTTGCAAGTTGACGCCCAAGTTTGTCCGTTTCTTCGGGTGAACGGCGAAACTACCGCTTCACTTGGAGCCTTGATTACCGCACGGAGTGTGATTCGATCGCAACTCCTCATCGGGCGGGACAGCTGAGAGCAATGAAAATGTCTTTTCATTGGTCCGCTGCCCAGAGGCGAGGCACCCCTTTCTTTTGCAGAGTAGACCTGCAATTGGTTTCTTGCCTTCCAGATGCCCAAACTCCTTTCCTCTTGCGTAGGCTACGAGACGGCCCAAGTCTCGAGTTTGTCCGGAACCTGTCGCTATGACTGTCAGAATTAAGCACCGCCTCACAAACGTCACCTATGAAAAGGGGGAACAATATAGACTGCAGTCCCAGGAACGTCCCCTCAAGCTTGCCATTTCGACTTGGTGCCTGCTCCGCAACACGGGGGGCGTGCCAAGACTAGCGATGACGGCTGCACCCCCGCCTCTTCGTGTTTTCCGATGCTGATGCCTGGCTAAAACAAGATTCCCTTGTGTGACAAGGGCGGGACCTGTCACTTCGATGCATCTGTCATGCAGTCCGACGCCCTGACAAGGAACGTTTCGGCCAAGACGTTGCGCGCTCAATCATACCAGGAAGTAGCTTGGTTCCTGAACAGAGAAATATTTCTCGTAGTTGCAGCGAAAGACACCAGAGCGAATGTCCACAATTCACCTAGGTTTCCAGAAAAACAAAAATGAAAATTGGGCGTCGTTGGATCTGCAGCAAGGCGTCATCGTCGTGCTCTCTGACAACTCTCGCTTTGACGCTACTGGTAAAACGACACTGTCCGCGCCCGTGCCTTCGCGGATTCTTGCTGTACCTGACGCCGAATGACCATATTTGTTTGTTCGGAGGCACTCGGAGGCACTCTTGGCCGGTTGTCCGGCATGCCGCCGGTGTCATCTAATTGCTTTGCCTCCCGTCCGGCTGCAGCGGGGGTGAGAAAGAGATTTAAGGTTGCCCGACGCTAGTGATGGCCGTCCCTGAACGTGCTTAGATGGAGACAGTGGGTTGCAACGTTCCTCTCGAGAACAAAAGAAGACTGGTGAAAGGTATAAATGGCGCCGTCGATCGAAGTAGCACTCCCCTCTACATTCTCCTCATCCGCAGAAGAAGCATCTAACATGGTCCGACTCTCGACTCACTTTGCACTCCTCGTCGCCAGCGTGACTGCTGCGCTTTCGCAACCCATCGACCAAGACTCTCTTGCCAAGCGAGCACCTTCGGGCGTGCCCGGCTTTGATGTCTCGCACTACCAGGGCACCGTGGACATGGCCTCGCAGAAGTCAAAGGGTGCACGCTTCGTTATCATCAAGGCTACCGAGGGCACCACCTACACCGACGCGAGCTTCTCCGCCAACTACGACGCTGCCACAAAGGCTGGTCTTATCCGTGGAGCCTACCACTTTGCCCACCCTGACTCCGGCTCGGGAGCGACGCAGGCAAATTACTTCCTGCAGCACGGAGGAGGCTGGTCCGACGACGGCATCACCCTTCCGGGCATGCTCGACATCGAGTACAATCCCAACGGAGCCACCTGCTACGGCCTTAGCGCCTCGGCCATGGTCAATTGGATTACGGTTGAGTAGCACATGCCCTTTGCACCTTTTCTGACTTTGAATTCGCTCACATCCTCGTGACATGATGTAGGACTTTGTCAACACATACCACTCAAAGACCAAGAGGTACCCTATCATCTACACCACCAATGACTGGTGGAACACATGCAGTGAGTCGGAAGCAAATGAATGTCGAACATTGCACATACTCAACATAATATTCTCAACACCAATTCAGCGGGCAACTCAAAGGCGTTCAGCGCAAACTCGCCCCTCAATCTCGCTCATTACCAATCGTCGACCATCGGCACGATCCCAGGTGGCTGGCCTTACGAGACCATTTGGCAGTGGGCTGACTCGGGCACCTTCCCTGGTGACCAGGACGTCTTCAAGTGAGCAGATACGACTTGGCTGATCTACGTCCGTTAACTGACTCTCCTTGCGCACCCATAGCGGCAGCGAGGCTGGCCTCAAGAAGCTCGCCACCGGCTAAGAGCTCAGTGGACTTGGACTTGTAATTATTCTCATCTCTAATTTTGATCCTTGTTTAGTATGCCAGAGATTCCTTGCCAATCTTCCTCGACTTTTTGACATCTCCTCGTCTCTCTTTGGTCTTCCGTGTTTTGGCCTTGTCCCGACCTATCAGCCCCTTAACTCGGTTTCTCTGCTCCTCGGACGTTTCGCCCGGTACGTCTTCCGTAAGCAGCTCGACCATATGGTTTTTGAGCTATATCGTCGATGCAGTCAGTCGACAAGATCACATCTTGAGGAGTCAAGAAACAACACACCTTTGACATGGCATCTTCAAGGTTGTTGGCCTGGCTGCGCGTTTTCGTGGAAGTGACGAAGAGCGAGTGTGTCGAGGCTTTGTAATATGGCTGAGAGCAGGCGTTAGTAGATTATTCCAGTAAAGCAGCGGGTAAATAGAACGCACCGAAGATTTTGTCAGATGCTGAACGGCGCTTCTTGGCATCTTCTCGACGACAGCATCGGCACCAGAGGTGGCCTTGTTCAGGTCCAGCCTGATCTCGGCCTTTGTATTGACCTTGTTGACATTCTGTCCTCCGGGTCCGCCGGATCTCGCAAAAGAGACGTCTAACCAGGTTTTTGGTATCTCGTGAGGCGCGAGATGTTCCTGTGCCCAGCGAGCTCGTTGCTTGATCCTTTCCACCTCTTCCGCAGACAAATTTGCGAGAGAGGAGCTAAAACGAGCGAAAGACGCCCTGGCTACCGCATGAGGTGTGACCAAGCTCCTCAGCGATGCGAAGAGCATGGCATCCTAGCAAGCAACGCGGCGAAGAGAGCAGTCGGCCACAACCAAAATATTCCAATTGTCACCGAGGGGCCGGTGAGCCACGTGTCCTCTTTGAACGTCCGAGCGCCATCCAACACGGCTTTCCTTCTCGACTTGTTGAAGCTCCATCGAGCGAGCGTCTGAACGATGGCCGCCACAACGACGCTTCGGTCGGCTCAGCTGCAATGTCTGCACACATTGTTGAATCTCAACACGCCGGTCGCTCCGCCGAAAGCTGGCACCTCACAGAATCAAGAGGCCGACTTGACACTGCCGACCGGGCCCCCAGTCTGGAAGGTCCTCATCCTGGACAAGACTAGCCAGGAGATTCTGGCGACGAGCATGCGCGTGCAGGATCTCAGAGATGCAGGTGTGACTGTGCACATGTGAGTCGCATCCGAGGGAAAGAGAGGGCAAAGTGCTGAGCTGACGGGATTTGTGTATACAGGCAACTCCACTCCGATCGGCCCCCATTGCCAGATGTTCCTGCTGTGTACTTTATCGAGCCGACGAGCGAAAATCTGAAGCGAGTGGCCGATGTGAGTCAGTTGAATGAATACAGAACGAGCAGAGCTGACGCCACAAGATGCTTCCCTCAGGATCTGTCGAAGTCGCTGTACGAGACTACCTATCTCAACTTGACGTCGACGCTTCCGCGGCCGCTGCTTGAAGAGTTCGCCGCTCGGGTCGCACGGGATGGCACCTCTGGCATGGTTGCGCAGATTTTTGATCAGTACCTCGATTACATCGTGCTTGAGCCCAGCTTGTTTTCGCTCCTACCTGGCCCGCCGTCCGCTTCATCTGCACCTGTGCTCAATGGCACTGGAGAAAAGAATGGTGGCACGTCCGAGAAAGGCTCCGCAAAACCGCCAACAGCAATGACGACAACTTACGAGAGGCTCAACGACCCAAAGAGTGGCGAAAGAGAAATCGAAGAAGAGACAGAGAGAATCGCGAAGGGCCTCTTCTCGGCCATGGCGACTTTGGGTGCGCTTTGAGGTTCTTGTCCTAGATGTGTCTGCTGCCAGCTGAATTGGTTTTCTACAGGGAGCCTGCCGGTGATTCGATGCCCCAAGGGCAATGCAGCTGAAATGGTCGCAAGAAAATTAGAGAGTAAGATCAAGGAGCACACGGCCTCGGCTCGGGGGTCAAGCCATCTCTTTTCTGGAGGCGAGGGGAGCAATGCGTGGTCAAGTAACCGACCCCGTGAGCATCATAGGCCGGTCACATCCTTCGGTGAATGCGCTGCTAACCCTACTCTAAACAGTGTTGATCCTGCTCGATCGAAATGTTGACCTCGTCCCGATGCTCTCGCATTCCTGGACGTACCAAGCATTGGTGCACGACGTGATGGATATGAAGCTCAACCGTGTCACCGTCGATACGACCGAGGGGGGCAAAGCGCAGAAACGAAACTACGATCTGGACTCCAAGGACTTTTTCTGGGCCAAGAATGCTGCCACGCCCTTCCCCCAAGTGGCCGAGGACATCGACGCCGAGTTGAACAGATACAAGTCTGATGCAGCCGAGATCACCAGATCGACTGGTATCAGCAGCATGGACGACGTTGGGCAACTAGACCTATCGTCAAATGCATCCCATCTCAAAGCAGCCATCACGGCGCTTCCAGAGCTGACGGCACGGAAGCAAACGATAGATGCGCACATGAACATTGCCACTGCGCTGCTCCAGGGCATCAAGTCGCGAGGTCTAGACACCCTCTTTCAGCTCGAGGAAGCCATCACGAGGCAGAACAAGGCAACCATCTTGGATACGATCAAGGATACCAATCTCGAGTCTGCCGAAGACAAGCTGCGGCTCTTTATCATCTACTACCTTTCCGCTCCAGACTCAGCCTTTGCCAGTCGATCGGATCTCGAGGAGTGCGAGAAGCTGCTCAAGGAGCAAGGAGCCAACCTTGGGGCGCTAGAATATGTCAAGAAGTGAGTTCCGTCTCTACATCAAAGTGTTTGGCTGCTTGCTGACTCGATCACACACAGGGTTCGCGAGCTCACAAGAATGACGATGCTCGCGTCCGCTCCGGCGCCCCAACCGTCAGGGGGAGGGGAGTTGTTCCGCGGTTTCAGCTCGCTGAGCAGTCGAGTGAGTCCCTCGCATTCGCAGGACATTCAAATCTGACCGCCGGCTGACACGATATCCTTGGGACAGCTCACGGACCGGCTGAAGGACAGCGGTCTCGACAATCTTGTCTCGGGCGTCAAGAACTTCCTGCCGGCGCAGAAGGATCTCACAGTGACTCGGCTCGTGGCATCGCTCTTGGACCCTTCTTCGGCGTCCACGCAGGCGCTGCAAGAAACCGACGACTGGCTCTTGCTCGACGTTCAGGCCCGGAGAGGCGGTCGAGCCGGCCCCACCACCGTGGCGGGATCCCAGCAGAGTGCCGCGAGTATGGCGGGTAAAAAAGACGCAATCGTCTTTGTCGTCGGTGGCGGAAGCTACGTCGAGTATGCAAACCTGCAAGAGTATGCGATGCGCACGGCGGGGCATGGTGGGGGTGTCGTCGGATCGGCAGGGCAGGGGAGGAGGATCACATATGGCAGTACAGAGATTCTGACCCCCCAAGCCTTTGTGAAGGCTCTCGAGAAGCTCGCAGGGTGATGGCTATCAATGACAATCCTATAGTTCTCATTATTTTCCGTGTGTCCACGGCTTCCAATGCTCAGACGAGGGTAAAGGGCACGGGACATGGCAAAATGGGGGAATATCGCATCTCTTGGTCTTCTTGTGTTATAGCATCGCTACTTGAGAACATATTAGTCCAGGTCCAAGTCCTCTCCTCCACCAGAGGCATCTCCAGGTCCGGAAGCAGAACCAGCCGCTGCCTGGCCAGGATCGGCGGCTTTTGAAATGACGGGCGGAGGGGCACTCTTGACTGCCACTGTTCGAGGTTGGTTCGACGATCCTGCTCCGGGTGCACCGCCGCCGGCACCGCCACCCATGAGGGAGCCAAGCATGTCCTGCATAAAGTTCCCGCCCTGTGGTCTCGACGGCTGAATGTCAAAGTAGATGGAGCCGAGCTGTGGAAGAACCTTAAGGATTTGGTATTAGCAAGACTGTCCCTCTGAGCAATTACGGCGCCTTTCGGATGACCCACTTCGGCCATGTAGTCGTCGTCGAGACCGCCGGCTTCCCGCTCGTACTGCCTCACAATGGCCAGCCAGCCATCGCGAAGCTGGTCAGGCACCCTAGCGCCGCTGGTCCTGCGCTTGTGATCGACGGCCTGCGAGATCATGGCAAAGGCCATTTGTGCAAAGTTCAAGTCTGGGCTCGCCGTGAGGTAGAGCTGCTGCGGAGACTCGGGGGCGGGCATGCCTCCCGGGGGGGAAAAAGGTTTTGGGTTCGGCTTGACGGGCAGGAGAAGGTTCGGGTGCTTCTGGACCAGGCGCGAGATGTAGATATTGAGGAAGGCACGCGAATTTGTCATGGCGCGCGCGAGGAGCAGGCTGTAGAACGGCTTTGTGGTCAGCTACAAGACCCGATCGAGCAAAGAGAGAAGATGAACTCACGGGAGCAAGCCTCGCAGGGCAAATGCACCGGCACCCACACGCTCAATCGACTCGGCTGCACGACTCTCGCCGGGCTCCTTGGTTGCTTCGGAGGCATGGGCGGCGAGCCAGTCGAGCATCATGCATGCAAAAGACTTGGGCGCGTGTGGCGCAAAGAGGTCCGAGGAGGCCATTGCTGGGGGAGGACTGCAAGCGGCAATGTAGTGCGGCTCCGATGCGAGGTAATCGCCCTCTGTTGTCATAATCAGCTCTAGTCAGCGCCGAGCATTCTGAAGAGGAAGCTTGATTACCCACCTTTGCTGAGGATCTCGGCGATTGCCAGCCTGAGGTAACCGTCTCCAGCAGGAGCTCCTGTGGTAGCGACCGACCACCTTAAAGCTTTACCTGTCAGTATCTTTCCCATCGTGCATGCCAAGGAACAGAGAGACACGCACCTGATGGACGCATCAATGACCTTTTTCCTCCAAAAATCGGGCGCGGCCAGCGAGATGAGCTCGACGAGTCGAGCTGCGTAAAGGAGGACGTCAGTGTCGTCTTCATCTTCTCGCGCACCGCGACATTAGAAGAAACACACTTCTGCTCTGCTCGTCGCTCTTGATCTGGCCCTGGGTGTAGACGTCTACAAGGTAGCAGGCGAGATCGCAGCCGCTGCCCTGCTCCTTGTCCGAGAGGAGCTGCTTGGACCCGTCATAGAGCGACTTGATCGCGCCCTCGTAGTCCTTCTTCTTGAGCTGCCTCACCGTCTTGGTCCGCAGCTTCTGGTGCAGCTCATATCCGCTCGACATCTTTCCACTACTTTGCCCTTCGTTGCCCGTCGGTCGCTGGAGAAGAAGCAACAGCAGCGACGTGGACCGTGCAAATAAAGCTAAATTCACGTGTACAGACACTGAGGGAATCACTTTCCCTCTCAATCTTCTCAACGTTACCAAGCACTGGCGACGGCGGTGGCAGCGGCGGCGGCGACGAACCTCGAACATGAACAGCTCGGCGTTGTCGTCACGCTTGGAGCGTGACAATATCTTCTCTGAGGAGCAGAAGAGGCTCTATCTTCTCTCTCTGCCTATCCTATCTGGACCGCTGCCCACAGCGAACGAGCTCGAGGAGAAGGTGCTCAAGGAGTCCGAGGCGGCGCTTCAATGGACCGCTGATGCGTTCAACAAGTCTTCTGAGGCGCTTTCCCAAGCAATCAAAGAGGCTCGAGATCGAGTGAGATCAGCGAGTGAGGAGCTAGAATCGATGCCCGAGGAAATTTCGTCCATCGACGATGAGATGCTCGATCTGCGGGGCGAGCTCGACGGCCCTTCATCGTTGCTGAGCTCGCTCGAGAAACAACATCACCAGCTTCAGCAGATCCGCGCTGCCAGAGACTATCTCTCGGTGCTGGCCAAGGCCGAGGATCTCAAGTCGCAGGTCATCACCAAGAACAACGACGATAAGACGCGGTGGGGAAAGCAGGGTGCGCTCGCGACGCTCTCTCAGCTCTCACGCCTCGTCAAGGCAGCCCAGCTGGCACATGGGGACGCACCACATTTGCGTGGCCTCACGTTCGCCGAATCTCAGGTAACTCAAGCATACGAGCATCTGCGCAAGGAACGCATGCAGAGGCTGCATTCGGCCCTCGAGCAGAGCGGCTGGCCTCCTCCGCCCGTCGAGCTCGATGGATCGAGAGCCGGTGGCAAAACCCAATCACAATCACCAGAAGATATGCTGCTCGCTTCTTCGTCGGCCAGAAGATGCTGGAGGGATGTCATGGAGCTGCAGGTCAGGGGGGCCAAGCTCGGTCTAGCGCCGGTCCCGACCGCCCTGCAAGGAGTGATAATCAACAAATCAGCATCGTCATCATCGGCGGGAGCTGCAGCCGGGTCGACCGAATACGAGCCAGTCTTGGCGGTTCGTTGCCTCCTTGATCCCCTTCTCCTCCGCTTCTACTACCACTTCGACTCGGATCGTTCGACCAATCGACTGAACAAGCCCGAGTGGTTTTTGTCCCATATGCTGTCACTCTTGCGAAGCCACTCGTCCCTCTTCGACCCGGAACAAGGCGCTGTCGCGTTGCTCTGCAGTTCTGAGAAGCATGGCACGTCGGTAGACACGGCAATGGAGCTTCTTCATGGCCTTCTGCGACCCTTACGATACAAAATTGAATCGAGCATCGACCTGCTCCTCCAGCACCCAGTCTTACTCTCCCACACCATCATGCAAGTCTTGCGCTTCGACGAGGACCTCCGAGACCTATACCCTCCCGCGGCCCGGCAATTGTCTAAGTCGGGAGACTCAACAGTCAGGCTCGCTAACTCACTGCTGTCGAAGGAGACTGTATTTGAAGCCTGGGTCCAGGGCGAGCGTCAATTCACGAGCGAACGCCTTGAGGACCAGCTGTCGAGTGGCACCGCCTGGCTGGTGGGCGACGAAACTGATGACGATCAAGGCGATTCTAACAGCACCTGGGCTGCTCTAAACCAGTCGTCGATTGATTCCTCCACGACAGACGCTGATTCGCCCTCGATGAAGACAACGCGGTCTGCCAGGTCTGTCGTAGACCTCATCGACGGCCTCACCGCTCGCTACTCCCCGCTTTCATCCGCCAGTCAGCAGCTGCCCTTCCTCTTGATCCAGTCCTCGCTCTTGAGGCTCTACGCACAGCGACTTGAGCGGTCACTTGATGCTTTCGAGAGCCTCAGCTCGGCATTTGCACGCGCAATACCCGGCGGTATGGCCTCGAGTGGCAGCGATGGACCAGCTTCAGTCCCAACTTCCGGCGGTCTCTCTGACGGAGGCGCATTTGGGACAAGCGATTCTGCGATGGTCCAGGGCCTAAGAGGACTGGGAAGGCTGCTGAAGGCTTGTCTCTCGGCATTATTTGTTGTTGCCCATCTCGACCGTCTCTCTTCGACGAGCTTCTTCCTCGTCTTGGGCTCCGCAATCGGGGGCGGCGAAGCTGGTGGAGGCCGGCTGCTGGCCGACTGGAAACGATTCGAGGGAGAGGAGGAGGAACAGGAACTCGACAAGGCCTCTCTTGGAGAGCTCGTCAGGCGAGGGTGGCGGAGCGGAGGGAGGCTGGCCAGTGCTGCGAGGCCTTTGGCAGCGAGTGCCGAGAGAAGCTCTTCAGCTTCGCGGTCACCTGCGCCTAGAACTACAAGTCTAGCAGCTGAAACCTCCCTGCAAGAGGGCGATGCAGAGGTCGCAGTCGATGTTTGGCAAGGACCGAAAGCGCGCTTTCAGACAATCGTCGAGCGAAGCCTCAATGCCATGGAGAAGCTCGTTGTCGGCGAGACGCTCGACAACCTCCGCGTCTATTCTCATCGGTGAGTTTCCCCTCTGGGATCGTGCTCTACTTCTTCTTTGCTCAGACTGATCATGACTCAAAAGCGAATGGGATGACGAATCCGAGCAAGAAGGCGACGAAGACGAGGAAATGCCGACACCGACGCTCTTGGCCTCGCTGACGATCCTCTCCACCCATCTCACCCATCTCCTCCCGTCTCTACCCTCGCAACGGCGCATAGAAATGTACCGATCTATTGCGTCGAGCCTGTCGACGCACATCGTCGATCGCGTCGTCATGGCCGGCGGCTCGCACCGCTTCAGCGTCAGGGGCGCGAAACAGTTCAAGACCGATGTCAGGCATGGCTGGCTGGGAGTCGTGCGCGACGGCGCAATTGATCGCGCCCTTACCTCGGTCACTTCCCTCGTGCAGAGTCCGGCAGTGATCAACAAGCGCATCGAAGGCCCCTGGAGGACGCTTCTGGATGTCTCGACGTTATTGAGTCTGGCCGAGGAAGGAGCAAGCGGGATTTGGACAGTGGCGCGAGCCACGCGGGCCCTCTTTGAGAGAGACGCGCAGGACGACGTCGAAGGCTTCCAGGCGCTCAAGCGGGAACTGGGCATCGACGACCGCATGCAATTGAGATTCGCCAGGGAAATAGTACGGCGAAGAATCGACTGTCCTGCATAGTCCTCTCTTCTCCTTTCTCTCACAAAAATCAACAATCCTTGCCCTTTCATTGCTATCATTCTCTAAGTCTGTGCACAAGATTCTTGCTGTGATGCTTAACCTCGGGCAGCAGCAAGCTTGACGGCGAGCTGCGCCGCTTCGTCGAGGTCAAAGACAGGGTGGATCTGTGAACGCACGTGGTCTACAGTCAGCACAACATTCAGGGAAGACAGAAGCGCAAGAAGATGACTGACCTTGACACCGCTGCTCGAGCCAAAGCCCTCAATGACCTTCTTTGCGTCGGCCTCCTGGTTGCCACGGAGACGAGCGACAATGTCAATGTTGACGTCATCGGCAATCGACTTGGCAGCCTCGACGAGAGACTCGGCCACCTTGCCGCTCGAGACGATACCGCCGAACACGTTCACTAGAGATAGTGAGAGTGAGTCAGCCGAGAAGCAGACGGAAAAGGGGGTATGACGCACCGAAGAGAGCCTTGGGCTTAGCAGAGAGGAGGAGCTTGAAGGCCAGCTTCATGGCTTCTGCGTCCGCACCTCCACCAATGTCGAGGAAGTTGGCCGGGTTGCCTGTGAGGTCGAGCTTCAAGGTCAGCGTGCGCCATGGTATCACTGAAACGACTGCTACTCACCGCCGTTGAGCTTGACGACGTCCATGGTAGCCATAGCAAGACCAGCGCCGTTAACAAGGCAGCCAATGTCACCGTCGAGCTTGATGAAGTTGAGGCCCTTCTTACCAGCCTCAACCTCGTCCGCATCTTCCTGCGTGGGGTCCCTCAGCTCGGCAATGTCTGGCTGCCTGAACTCGACGGCGTTGTCGTCAAAGCCCAGCTTGGCGTCCATGCACAGCACCTCGCCGTCCTTGCTCTCGGCCATGGGGTTGATCTCGACCTGGGTGGCATCCTTCTCCTTGAAAAGCTTGTAGAGCTTGACAAAGGTGTCTGCCGCCTGCTTCTCCTGCTTCTCGCTGCTGAAGCCGAGCTTCTTGGCAATCTCGAGGGCCTTGCTTTGCTCGAGGCCCTTTTCAAAGTCGATGGGCGTCGTGATGATCGCATCAGGGTTCTCAGCGGCGACGTCCTCGATAGACATACCGCCCTGGTTGGACGCAATGAGGACAGGAAGCTGCGAGGCGCGGTCGTTGAGCAGGGCGACGTAGTACTCGTGCGCCGGTGGCCGGGCCTCTGCGAGCATGACGGCGTTGCAGATGCGGCCAGCTTCGCCCGTCTGCTTGGTGATGAGCTTGTTGCCGATCATCTTGGAGGCGTAGTCGCGCGCCTCCTCAGGCCTGTTTGTCAAAGTATGCACCCTCGCGTCAGAAAGGCGCAAGTGGTCGAGATGCCCCGGGATACAACAGAAGAAAGAAAACTCACGTCTTGATGAGGTGCACACCACCCTGGAGGCCCGAGTCAAAGTGACCCTTTCCTCTTCCACCGGCCAGGACCTGAGCCTTGATGACCATGCCTTTTCCGCCAAAGGACTGGGCGGCCTTGAAGGCCTCCTCGGGCGACTTGGCGGGAATAGAGCGAGGGGTCGCGATGCCGTACTTGTTCAGCAGGTCCATAGAGAGGTACTCGTGAATCGAGAGGAAGCGCTTCTGTGCCGCGCCGGGCCCTCCGCGAAGCATTGTGCTGGCCATCGAGGCGCGCGTTCGCAGGCCGCCGAGCGGCTTGAGACCCATGGAGCTAATCATCTTTGTCGTCGTCGTCTGTTTCCGATTTTCAATTCGATGGAGAGAGATGGAGAAAGAGAAAGTCTGATGAAGGAGGAACCCTCAAGCACGGGCGCAAAAAAGCCGACTGGACTTTCTTGTGCCTCTTTGGCACGGGACACATGGCGCGCGTTCTCTTTCTTCTCCGCTCAGGCGCTCTCCGCTCGGACAGCTAGCTCCACGTCGCGACTTCTTCCTTCCCTTGCCCGTTCTCTCCTTCTCTCCCCTTGCCACTCAGCATGTCACGCAGACCAGCTGCGGGCGTGGCAGACCGCCATGCGCTCCTAGCGGGCGGCGCATACCCGTCATCGTCCTCTCCAACGCCGTCCCAGCTCAATAGGAACGGCACGCTGAGCCCCGGCGGCGGCGCTGGCGGTGCTCACCTTCAACCTCGAACGGCCTCTCCATTCGAGCAGCCCTATTCCCACTACTCAACCGGGACGCCTTATGCGCCCTCGTCATCCTACAACACCTCAGACCCGTACTCTGAGTACGACCGCGGAGCGCCAAAGAAGGAAGGGCAGCCGGGCGGCGGCGGCGGGGGTGCGTTCGGAAGCTTCCTGAGCAGCATCGGCGCCAGGACGGCCGAGGACCTCGAGGAGCAAAATGACGAGCGGTTAGAGGGGCTCAGCACCAAGGTCAAGATGCTCAAGGATGTGAGTCTCCTTGCGACTGCACCAGAATGTGACAAAGAGACAAAGGGTAGGAGAGCTGGATCTTGGCTCACCGTAAGATGGAACCGGGTAACAGATCACGCTGGGGATAGGCAACGAAGTCCGCGACTCTACCAAGGACCTTGATTCTCTTGTGAGTCTCTCCCCCTTCCTTCTTGCCGAAACAGAGCCGAATGTAGAAGCTGACTCGCCGAACAGTCCGAGGCATTCTCCAACACGTCGGCCTTTCTCGGCAACACCTTTTCGCGCATGAATCGCATGGCCCGACGCCAGGGAGGCTGGTTCTGCAACATGATGATCTTCCTCATTCTTGTCATCTGGATCTTTGTGAGCAGGCAATCTTTGTACTCGAATGAGGCGAAAGAAGCAAAGCTGATCATTCTGCCGTGCTCAGATCTTTCTCTGGTGGTGGAGACGGTAGCCTTCCCTCTTGCTTATCACGGTTTCACATTCACAAAATTCGTATAAAAGTGATAGACCAAGAGAGGGACAAGGCGAAGGAGAAGAGAAGAATAGGCCTGGTAACAAAGAGGCGTCGCAAGGAGGGAAAGAGGGGTTCTCTCGCGATGAAAAACGAAGAGGGCGAGAGTCCGTACATGGGAGACTGGAGAGGTCCGCCCACGAGGGCGGGGTACAGTACGAAGTGAGACGAGGCGAGACGACCTAATTTCGCAACGAGAAGCCCTTCTTCTTTGTCTGCTGCTGGTATGCCTGAGAGAGAAAGCGTCAGCAACGAGCTGCGGGGCAAAAGCCAAGGTATTACCCACATTGATCTTTTCCGGCGTGAGCGGCCTGCCGCTTTCGAGTCTCCTCTTCTTGTCTTCGAGCTCGAGGCGTTGCTTCTCGAGCTGGTCGCGCATCTCCCGGTGACGAGCATACAACTCCTCCTCGCTGTGCGTAAAAGAGATTCAGCGGAATGAAAAAAAGAGGAGAATCAGACAAATGACCACACACCTCTGCTTGAGCTTGGCCTCCTTCTCTGCCACTTTTTGCTGGAACACGAGCTTCATCTCGTTCTCCATCTTTTGCAGCTTGGCCTCGTGCAGGGCACGCTCCTCGGCCATCTTTGCCGCCGGGTTGACCTCCTTGAAGACCGAGTGGTCTTGCGTCACGCCCATGCCAACGAGCTTCTCGCTTCGGTACTTTTCATAGAGGACCTCGTGGGTGTGCTCCTTGAGCTCCTCCATGTGGCTGCGGATGAGCATCTGGCGCAGCTTGACAAAGTCGCAGTGCTCCTCGTTGTCCACCTCAATGACACCCCAGGGGTAGGCCCTGCCGCGAACCCGCCTTCCGTCTGGCGTGTCAATCTCGGTGTCTGAGCCAACGACGGCGAAGGGGATCTTGCGCTGCGAGAATAGCCCAAAGGCGTTAGCACCTCTTGCAAAAGTCCGCAAGAGAAAGGAGAGCGACTCACGACAATCTCCTCGTTTTCGGCGATCGTCTCCTCATCTTCATTGTCATAGACGGGCGCGTGGAAGATCTCGATGCGGTGGTGGGCAATGTCGTTGAGGACCCTGGCCTTGAATTGGGTGATCTCCTCGTCGGTCATGGTGTCCGACTTGGCAATAACGGGAATCAGGTTGACCTTCTGGTGCAGTCGTCGCATGAACTCAATGTCAATGGGGCGCAGGCTGTATCCGCCTCGGCGTCAGCTTCCATCGTCGCACTTGTGGGCGAGCAAGCAGGCAGGGAAACTCACGCATGACCGGTGGGCTGGACAAAGTAGAGGCAGGCATGGACACGGTTGTCGACGAGCTTGGCTCGGTTCACCCGGTTCTCCTGCTCGAGGTAGGCGTCAAAGCGAGACTCGATGTTGTCGACGATAGGCTTCCAGCTATCATCGTTGTTGACAAAGTCACCGAAGCCCGGCGTGTCAACGACAGTGAGGCGGAGTCGCACGCCACTCTCCTCGATATCTAAAAAGTAAAGAAGACGGGGATCTTGAGCATGGCGGGTCCGCGACTCGTAGGGTCCATCCTTGGCAACTCACCAGCGCTGATGCTCTCAATGGCAACAGTCTTTGGCCGCTCCTGGTGCGGAGGGGGAACCTCCTTCCTGGGGTAGAGTCGGCTGTTGAAGAGCGTGTTGATCAAGGTCGACTTTCCGAGACCGGATTCACCTGGTGAGGGGTCCCTCGACGTCAATTGCTGCAATTGCCATAAAGCCCCTGCAGCACCATTTACTCACCGACGACCATGCACGTAAAAGTGAAGCCCTTTCGCACACTCTTGCGGTGGACCTGGTTGGGCAGGTTGGCGAAGCCGACGTAGCCCATGAGCTTCTTGCGCGCCAGAGCGGGCGCCGCGACACCACCGTTGGAAGACATGAGTGCGAGCCGACCTGTCCTTTATTAGTCGAGGTGAGTGGGAAAAGCGTTGGTTATTCCAATCGACCCGAGATATTCTTGTCGATTCGACGTCGGAGTGAGTGGACAGGAAGATCAACGCGGGATGGCAATGATCAGCAGAAGACCAGAAGCGGGCGACGAAGGAGGGAAGAAGGTCAAGGGGCGAAGAAGGAAAGGGTGAGGGATGGTACGCGAAGATGAAGCTCTTGCTCGCTCTAGCGGGCATTGCCTCGATTAGAGCCCAAATGGGTCTTGCGCGCTGCTGGCGGCCAGTCTTGCGCTTATTCAAACCATTCAAACAATGAAATTAACCCTTTCAATTTGCGCTCTGCTAGGGTAGTAGTAGTAGTGATAACAATATTCGTGAGTGTAGTGTAACTTTTAGCCTTCTTCAAGACCTGGCCCTTCACGTGGACAGTGACATGACGGAAATTGTGCAGTGTGATTTTTGGCACCGCGAAGAGATTGGCGACCAGAGGCAGACGACAACAGCAGCAGCAGCAGCAGCATGAAGCTCACGCCGGAGCTCATCACTCGCAGCGGCTCGACGATCTCGACGCTGAGAGATAGAGAGGTGAGCAGGATGCCTGTGTCGACTTCTTCTGCCGTGATAAGCATACTCACATATTCGTCTCTCTCTCGCAGCTGGATCTTCGAGGTCGGTCCACAGCCTTGGACGGCGAGGATGGCTAATCAGAAGCTGACGAGTCTCACCCAAACAGGCCACAAGATCCCTGCCATTGAGAACCTCGGTGTGACCCAGGTGAGCGATATGTAATCCAAAGGCTGTGGCTGCAAAGCGTGCTCACTCTTGGCGCATGTCTAGGACCAAAACGACTGCCTGGACTTGACCGACAACGACATCCGGGCGCTGACCAACTTTCCCGTGCTCAAGCGGCTACACACACTCATCGCATCCAACAACCTCGTCTCGCGCATCGACCACCGGCTTGCAAACTCGCTACCGAGGCTCACGACGCTCGTGCTCACAAACAATGCCCTCGCGGATCTCTCTGCGTTGGACCCGCTCGGCCGGTTCCCGTTGCTCGAATTTCTGACGCTGCAGGGGAATCCAGTCGCGAGGAAGAAGCACTACAGGGAGTACGTCGTCTGGAAGTGCAAAAAGGTCAGGGTGCTCGATTTCCAAAGGGTGAAGCAAAAGGTATGTCAATCATTTCCCTGTGGTCGAGCAGGGGGCTGGAAGGGATGATGTAAGGCCGGCGACACTGACGCGCAGACATGCTTTTAAAGGAGCGAGAGTTGGCAAAGCAATTGATGGAGACCGCGGACGGGCGGCCATCAGCGCTTGCGGCTTCTTTGTCAGCAGCAGGCCAGGCGCCAAAGGATGCAGCAGCAGCAGGGAAGGGAGCAACGAATGGCGTGGGGGCCACCACCAAGACGTTCGAAGTAGGCGCTGGTCTCGTCAACGGAGGTGGGCCAAAGGCAGGAGCAAAATTGACAGCGGCGGAGCGCAAGGCGCTGGAAGAAGCGATAGAGAGGAGCACAAGCCTGGAAGAGATCAAAAAGCTCGAGGATCGGCTCCGTTTGGGCTATAGCATTGCGGCTGCGGATGGCATGGAAGAGTAGGGAGCGATGGACTACCTGACTCCCGTTGATGAGGATGGTAGAAAAGTAAACCCTTTGTACTAGTAATAATGTCAAGTAAACAAAACGACGATGCAAATATGCAAGCAATCAACCACCGAATGGTCTTCAGGGCTGCTCGCCGATCTTGCCCTGGGCAACGATGGTGCCTTCGATCTCGCGCTCGACTTCCTTTCCCAGCTCCTGGAGCCGGTCCATGTCCTCGCCAATCAAGGAGACGTCGACGCCGTTGTTCCACTTTGGGTAGCTGCCCACCTTGATGCCCTCGGGCTTACACTTGTCCGTCAGCTTGGCCAAGAAGGGGCTGATGTTGCTCTCTGGCAGCTTGGTGTGCACCAGCAGCCGGAATGGCCGCGGTCGGTTGGGGTCGATGGGCACGTAGGGCTCGAGGCCGTCGAGTAGCGCCTCAAAGAGGCGGGGCACGCCGGGCAGGATGCAGAGCTTGCCGGCCATGCGCACCACGGGCACCCAGAGCTCCTCGGTGGGCCAGATGATCTCTGCGTTCTTGCTGGGGAACAGCGCCATGCGCTTCCTGGCCGTTATCATCTTTTGAAAGAGTGTGAGCACCGAGACAAAAGCAAAAGAAATTGTAGAAGATGAAGAGAAAGTCTCACCTCCTCCGTCTGCTGGCCCCAGTCGCGCCGCCTCGCAGCCATGTTCTCCTGCATGCGCCGGAGCGTCTCCTGCGAGTACTCGAGCGGCTCTGCGTTGAAGGCCTTGGCCATGCTCTCGTACGTGATGTCGTCGGGTGTGGGACCGATGCCGCCGCTGGAGAGGACAAGGTCGTACTTGTCCGTCATACGGCGAGCAGCCTCGATGATGTCGTCCTCATCGTCGGGGATCACCTCGATCCTCTTTACGTCGATTCCTGATGCATACCTAGTCAGCGTTGATTCTACCCACGGTCACACGCTCGCATGCAGGCTATCCACGCACCGAGGTTGAAGCACCACTTTGCAAAGTAGTTGGAGTTGGAGTCTTTTGTCTTTCCATTGAGCACCTCATCGCCAATGATGAGACAAGCCGCCGTCTTGACGTAGTTGCCTGGCCCGAGCGGGTTCGCCGGCACGGGCGTCTTTTCAAAGCGCGGCATCGTCGGCTCGCCTGCGCTGCTGCTGCCCTTTTCCCGCTGCACTGCGCTGCTCGACATGGCTGCGGAAGACGTCTGTTGCGAAGCGGGTCGTGCGAGCTGGGCCGTGAGCGAGGCAAGGCGGGCGACAGAGGGGGAGGAGGCGGCCGTCGCTACCCTCGTTGTGGCTGCCAGCGGGATCATCAACGCGCTGTCTGGCCAGACAGCTCTGCACTTGCAATGTGGGCAACGATGTGAATGTGCTGCGCTTATCGAAGGAAATTGGCCGACTTGCTTCTCTCGAGCGTTGACGACGGAGGAGTAGGAGCAGAGCAGTCACGATTTTCCTATACAGTCAAGCTTAGATGATACGGGGCGACACCGGAAAAATAGCGCCTGTGCGTTCTGCACAAAGTGGAGCTTCATCCGGCTTCCTCGGCTTTGCGCGCGAATGGAAAGGGCAGACAGCGGGGGCACCCAGGCAAAAAGAAGAAAGGCGTGCGGCGCTACACAGAGTTTTCGCACAGACTGAGGGAGAAGCGGGCAGCAGCAGCAGCAGCTAGTAGTAGTAGCCAAGAAGGACGAAAAGGGTTGAGTTTCTCCACAGCGGTCGCTTCGGCCAAGTGGTTAATCGCCGGCCTTATCAGAGCAGAGGCGTCAGCAAGTCCAGCGTGGGGGTGCGAAGAGTTTTGTTGTATATAACCTGCACCCAACTCCCCCGCCTTCGCCTCCGACCACGACTCCGACCCCGACCTCGAGACGGACAAGAAGAAGAAGACTGGCAGCAATGGCGTCGCCCCACCCTTCATTAAACCCGTTTGGAATGGGGCCCTTCCACTCCCGTCGATCGACGGTGATGGGCACCCGCGGTGTCGTGGCCTCTTCGCAGCCCCTGGCCTCGTCGGCGGGCATCAGCATACTGGAGCAGGGAGGCAACGCTGCCGATGCTGCCGTGGCCGTCGCCGCCGCCCTCAACGTGACGGAGCCGTGCAGCACGGGCATCGGTGGCGACGCCTTTTGCCTCTTTTGGGACGCCGAGAAGCGCCAGGTCAGGGGTCTCAACGCCAGCGGCCGCTCCCCCGCCGCCATGTCGCTCGACTCGCTCAAAAAGGCAGGCGTGACCGACGGCATTGGGCTGCAGAGCGTGCACTCCGTCACCGTCCCCGGCGCAGCCGCTTCCTGGGTCGATACGGTGGAGAAGTTTGGCTCGGGCAAGCTGACGCTCGAAGAAATTCTTGCACCCGCGATCCGGCTCGCAGACGGCGGCTATCCCGTCCATGAGATCACGTCCAAGGCCTGGGTGGCCAGCGAGGCAAAGATCAAGGCTGCGTCACCCAACGGCGACGAAATGATGCTGCCGGGCAGCAAGCGGGCGCCCAAGCAGGGCGAGATTATGCGCATGCCCAACCTCGCAAGGACCTTTCGCGAGGTGGCCATCAAGGGCAAAGACGGCTACTACAAGGGCAGGATTGCCCAGGCCATCGTCGACGTCCTCAAGCAGAAGGGCGGCCTGATGGAGCTCGAGGACCTGGCCAAGCACGCCGAGGTTGGCAGCGAAGAGATCACGCCCATCTCCTACGAGTACGGCGCCTCAAGCCCGAATGCGCACGACGGCGTCACGCTCCATGAATGCCCTCCCAACGGCCAGGGCCTCGTCGCTCTTGTTGGTTTGGGCGTCATTGACTCGCTCCGTCGACAGGGAAAGATCGGCGACGTGGCAAAGATGGAGCACAACTCCGCCGAGTACTTGCACACGCTCATTGAGGCCCTCCGCTTCGGCTTTGCAGACGCCCACCAGTGGGTCTGCGACCCGGCCCATGGCGGCCTGGACCGAGTGGAATCGATGCTGAGCGACAAGTACCTCGATGAACAATCCAAAATCTTTGATCCCAAGAAGCTCGTCCACATCGCCCACGGCAACCCGGAGAGCTCGTCCAACACCGTCTATTTCAGCGTGACGGATGGCCAGGGCAATGCGTGCTCGTTTATCATGTCCAACTGTGCGTTTCTTCTGTTCTCCCCCGCTTGTGTTCTTCTTCGTGGCTTACCTTGCAAAAAACAGATACTGGCTTCGGCTCGTGCATCGTTCCCAAGGACTGCGGCTTCACGCTGCAGAACCGCGGCAGCGACTTCAAGATGGACCCGGCGCACCCGAACTGTGTCGCGCCGAGCAAGCGGCCGTATCACACCATCATCCCCGCCATGGCGACGAGGCGGGCTGAGGACGGAAAGCCGGAGCTGTTCCTTTCCTTTGGTGTCATGGGTCAGTCGTTGCTTGCTGACCTTCCCTTCGCCAAGAAGCAAGCAGTCGCTCATGTGACCTATATTACTTTTGTCCCTCACAGGAGGCTTCATGCAGCCCCAGGGCCAGATCCAGGTGCTGCTCAACATCCTGCGCGGCCACACGCCACAGGCGGCCCTCGACGCGCCCCGGTTCTGCATCGGCACAGGCATGCGCGACAAGGGTCCAATCGACTCGACCGTCTATCTCGAAGAGGGCATCGCCGATAGCGTCGCAGAGGAGCTCCGCCAAAAGGGCCACACAATCGTGCAGGTCCACGGCTGGGACAAGCGCGACCAATTCGGCCGTGGACAGGTCATCATGCGCGCCAATGACGCCGGCTCTGGGAGAAAGGTCTGGGTCGCCGGCAGCGATCCCAGGGGCGATGGAAATGCGATTGCGCAGGTCTGAACCTGCGGGCTATAGTACAGTACACAACAATTGATCATACAAGTATAGTACAGCACAGCCAATACTTCTATAGATGAATGTTGTGCGCAATGCGATACGAAAAGCAAAAGGGACTTTTGGCCTCCTAGTCGTCGTTCTCCTCGGCCACGACGTAGCTCACGACGTAGTCGCCGTCGTGGCTCACGCTCAGGTGCAGCTTGGGCAGCTTCTTTCCGCCGCCCTCTGCTGCAGCTGCAGCTGCAAAGGCCCGCTGGAGCCTATCGGAGTAGGCGAAGCTTGGTTTTGGCCGGCCGAGAACGAGGGCATCGTGCCAGCTCGTCGTTTCCCTCGTCGCAAAGCGCGGGTAGAGGGCCTTGAAGGCGGCCTCCTTTGCTGTCCAGCTGCCTCGTCCAGAGAACATCAGCAGTGAGAAAGAGTAGGACCGAAAGGGAAAGAGGTAGAGACTCTTACCGGACAGCGAGGTATCGCAGCTGAGCCGCTTCGTCGTCGAGGCCTTTTTGTGAAGAAGGAGATGAAGAAGAAGAAGATGAAGAAGAGGAACGCGCACGCAGCTCGTCGAGCTCGGCGTCGTGCAGGACCCGACGCGCCAGCCTGCTCGCCGCGATAGTCGTTGCTGCCGCTGGGGCTGAATGCGCGGCCGCAGACGAGGGCAGTGAGTGCTGCACCCGCCGGGCGTGGCGCGCGATGAGCTGGCGCAGGCGTGGGAGATAGAGCAGGTCGACGCCGATGCCAACAATGGTGGCCTTGGAGGCCATACCGTGCGGTAGCAAAGCAGCTGCGCTTTGCCTCTCACGATCCTCGGGACTCTGCGTGTCGCCGCTTCTTGAGAAAGACAAAGAAGAATGTCAGAAAAGGCTGATCAAACAAAGGACGAACAGTGGACATTGCAGGGACGGAACTGTATGACATTGCTTGCACGCACGAAGGACATCCAGTAGAGAGCAATGGTCTGTGGGGGGGAGACGGGTCCGCAGACACCTACTCTTTCTTCTCCTTCTTCTCTTTGTCGCCGCTGCTGGCCGATCGAGGGAGCCGGTCCTCAATCCAATCGAATGCCGTGTCGATGACATGCTCGACGGGCTTGTCGAACAGATAGGGCTTCAAATCTTCTTCAGTATCATCTCTTCCTACCTTGACAAGCTAAAGCAACTCACAAGGGCGGGCACGAAGGCCAGACCAGCCACGGTAGGGCCTGCGCCTCGAAGTCGTTGGCTCTTTGCCTTGGCAAAGATGGGCGCAGAATACCGCACGATCTGAGCAGCACATCGAACATAAGTCAGCCTTGCCAAAATGTATTACGCAATGCTGGCCCAACTCACGCTGTGAATGGTGAAAGCAGCTTTGAATCCGAGGGGAATCATTAGCAGGATATTGTCGCATGGAGGCGCACAGACTCACGAAGGGCCATGCTGCAAAGCACAAAGAGACGGAGACAATTGTGATTAATGAACCGGACACAAGGGCAGCTGCCACTGAAGTGACTTACCTGGCAATGCTCTGAAAGACGGCTCTTCTCGCCATGATCAGGCCGACATGGGTGGCTTGGCCCACTTCGCCAAGCTTGGGTGTTGCAAGTCCCTGCTGCTCGGCCTCGAGCTGGCGCTTTCTCAGTTCGGCCTTTTGCGCAGGCGAGAGGGCATCGACGCCCTTCTCCTCGATCTGGAGGTACTCTTGGTTGGCCCGATAGCCGGCGTAGCCGACATCTCCGAGGCTGTGTTTATGTCTTTGAGTCGTCTTGCTTCTCAAAGGGGGAAGCAAGCATGTTGGAAGCTCACATGTACGTCCAAGAGATGCCGTAGGCGGCGCGCACAAAGTTGGGATTCGTCAATGGGCGGAAAGCCTCGCCAATGTCGGAAGAGTAGGCGATGTCTACACAAACCGGTCTTCACTCAATCTCGCAGGACGACCGCAAGCATGCAGACGCGATAGACTCACATCGACTGGAGGCAGTGATGAGCGTCCTCAGACGCATGGCAAACGCAGCATATCGGCTCGGCCCCTCCTCTACCGCCTCCTGCACCGAGTCCCTCTGCGGCGTGGGAATAGACATGACGCTGATGGGTGAACCGGGAAGAAAGATGCGCAGTGCTCGGGCCAGAAAGAGACACGCTGCGCCAGAACTCAAAGGGGACGAATTGGAATTGTATTTTTTCTTCCACTTCCGGGCTGCTCGACTTCTCTTTTTGTGATCTCCGCGGACAAGGGCCTTGAGAAGAAGAGGAAAAGGAAGGATGGCAGACGTCGAAGCGCTGCCCGAGTCCAAGTTAGGCACAAAGGAGTACTGGGACTCGACCTATGAGCGGGAATTGAAGACCTATGCCGAGATTGGCGACGAGGGAGAGGTGTGGTTCGGCGAAGAGGCGGTCGAGAGGATGGTTGACTACCTCGATGAAGAGAGAAACGAGGGCGATGGCATCGCAGAACAGCCCACAGTACTCGACCTAGGTGTGTGGCTGATGTATTGGTGTGTACAAGGAGCATGTCGCTGAATCGTGGTTCAGGCACAGGCAATGGTCATCTGCTCTTTGCCCTTGCCGAGATGGAGCCACCCTTGACAGAACCGTCGCGCATGCTGGGCATCGACTACTCGCCATCATCAATACAGCTCTCGAAGCGGATCGCCGATAAGCGCGGTCCAGCGTGCTGCGACATTGGCTTTGAGGTGTACGATTTTCTCGACGACGCCAATATCCAGAGGCTCAAGGCGGTGCACGACGGCGGTTGGGACCTCATCTGCGACAAGGGCACTCTTGATGCCATTGCCCTCTCAAAGGCAAAGGACTCCTCCGAGGATCCTGTGAAACGCTATGCAAGCAGCGTGGCACGGATCTGCAAGCCCGGTACCCTTTTCGTCATCACCTCGTGCAACTTCACTGAGCAAGAGCTCAGGCTCATCTTCGAGCAAGGCTTCCAGGTCCACCACGTCGTTCCCACGCCGAGCTTCTCTTTTGTAAGTACGACTCTACAAAGTGACGTTGATCGCAACACTGACGCCTCTATCTGACCCCAGGGTGGGCAAAAGGGCTCGACAACTACCACGGCTGCCTTTCGGAAGACATGAATGTATTGTATCATTATCACCATCAGCTTCTCGCATTGCCATTCATCATCTTCCCTCCTCCACTCAAAGAGAAGAAGCAAGCAACAAACAGCCTGTCGGAAAAGTTGGTCGCGTTTGATTTTCCATTTTTCTATCAGCTCTTCCCCATCTTCCATCGATTCAAGGCCTTATTGCCGCTGCTTCGGACTGGACGATGGCGTCTTTTGCAGACGAGCTCCTGGCTGACTTTGGCTCCGACGGCGGGGCATCTGACGGCGAAGCATCCGCGTCCCAAGAGACGGGCGCGAGGGTCAATGGAACCAACGGAAGGCAGAATGGCCATGCTGGGAAAGGTGGCGGCGACAAGGACGACGACGAAAATGATGGATGGGGCGAGATGAGGGACGAAGACCTCGACGATCTGGAGGGTGGCGATGAGGACGAAGAGGACGGCATGGCTGTTGATGGCGAAGGCCAGGGCGGGCAGAGGCAGCTGGCCAAGAATGCTATACGCCCGACGGACGAAATGACAGAGGACGACGTCGAAAAGATGGATCTTGGCCCGGAAAACGTTGAGAGCGTGTCGAGTGTGAGCAAGCTCATGGGCAGCACAAAGATGCGAGAGACCCTCGAGGTGAGTGCTGTCGGTGCATTATATCCAATCCAGAGATACCTGACCCGTTGCATGCCCGATCCGCAGGCCATCGAGCACTACTCTTCGCTGAGCGAACCCGACATCAGCGGCATCCTCGAGGAATCGCCCGAGTACCGGCTGATCGTCAGAGGCAATAACCTGGCCGTTGATGTTGACAATGACATCATGGTCGTCCACAAGTTCATCCGCGATCACTATGCACCGCGCTTCCCCGAGCTCGAGTCGCTGATCCCCAACCCGTGGGAGTTTGTCCAGACGGTGCAGGCAATCGGCAATGACGAGGAGGAGCTGAGCAAGGTGCAGCTCGACAAGATTCTTCCCCACGGTACTGTCGTCGTCATCAACATGACTGCTGCCACGTCCAAGGGGAAAAAGCTCGACGAGGCAGCGTGGCGGCGCGTAGACGAGGCGTGCAAGGTCGTGTTCGAGCTCGAGGAGGCCCGGCGAAAGATTCTCAACTACGTCGAGTCGAGAATGACGATCATTGCGCCCAACCTGTCGGCCGTTGTGGGCACTAGGGTCGCCACCAAGCTTCTCGGTATCTCTGGTGGTCTGACAGGGCTGAGCAAGATCCCAGCGTGCAATCTGATCCTGCTTGGCGCGTCGCGAAAGGCGCCCACGGGCTTCTCGACTGCGCATGGGGGCAAGCCACAGGGCTTCATCATCCAGTGCCCGCTCATCCAGAACACGCCCGAGGAATACCACCGACAGGCCGCTCGAATTGTCTCGGCAAAGGCCGTGCTCGCTGCCCGCGTCGATGCAGGCCACAGCGACCGACTGGGAACCTATGGCGCACGGCTAGCGCAGGAACTGACGCAGAAGCTGGAGAAGCTGCAGGAGCCACCACCGTCAAAGATGACAAAGGCCTTGCCTGTTCCACAGGAAGGAAGCGGCAACAAGAAGCGGCGAGGAGGAAGGCGGGCGAGAAAGGCAAAGGAGGCCATGGGTATGACTGAGCTTCGGAAGATGCAGAACCGTGTCAAGTTTGGCGAAGCGGAGGAAGAGAGCGGCGCATTTGACGAGGTCATTGGCCTCGGCATGGCTGGCTCCTCGAGCAATACGGGCAGGATCAGGGCGCAGGCGGGCGAGGCGAGGAGCAAGGCAAAGATGTCGAAGAGGAACCAGACGCGCCTCGATCAGCTCCGTGGCGGTGGTGGTGCGGGCGGGCTGCGGCTGCCAGACGCTGCAGGAGGCGCAGACGACACGAGCTCGGGCACGGCATCGTCGTTGGCTTTTACGCCCGTGCAGGGAATCGAGCTCGTCGATCCATCGCGGCAGAAAAAGGTGCAGGAGGCAAATGCAAAATGGTGCGTTCTTCTTTCAGGCTTCCTCCCCTTGCCTTTCTTCTCGAGTCCATTCCTGTTGACTGACTGACCTCTTCTTCATCAGGTTCCAGCAAGGCATGTTCTCACTCGCGCCCTCGGTCACCAAGGGAGGAGGTGCGAGCGCGCTTCCTGGGTCGTCGACCAGCAACGGCAGCTCAATGGGCCCTCCTTCCTCACTGCCAGCCAACAAGAAACAAAAGACGAGCGACTGACCGCCGTCGCCCTCACCGTCTCCTCCCTTTCACTACCAATGATGTATTCTACAGCAATGCTCCTTGCCCTTCCTCTCCTCTTCCTTTCTTCCTTTTTGCTACTAATACAATTGCAAAACACATCATGTCCGCTACCATGACTCCCTGACGGCCGCATCGAGGAGCTCTGTCAAGACGTCTTGGATGCGCCACGAGTCCACGTCTTTAATTGAGACCCCAGGCCGATCGTCGTCTGCGGCAAAGGACGAGGCAACGTCGGGCAGCTTCAGGGGCGCTATCTTGAGTCGGACGCCCAGGGATGGGGCGCCTGAGCCCGTCGTCCTGGTCGGTTCCGAAAAGGTGTTTGAGCTCATCTCTGTCGCCACCGCTTCTGTTTCTCCTCCCGCTCCTGCTCCTGCTGCCATCGCAATCGTCGTCAGCCCGCCTCCGCTGAGTGGCGAGCCAATGGAAACAGCTGCGATGGACATTCGGACGAGCGAGAGCTGATCCGTGCTGATAGATGTGTGCTCTTCCACGTAGCGTGCCAGCGCAGGTAGCAGCAGCCGCTTGCGTTGGGTGACGGCCTCGCCATTCGCCTCCTCCTGCACAAGGAGCTGCCTGCAGATGCGCCAGGGTACCGTTAGCGACAGGGTGGCGAGCCGGGGGTTGGGTCCGCGCTTGCGCTTGTTGCTTGCCTCGTCGACGAGGACCTGGTTGGGCAGGGCAAAGGTGAGCTCGACGGGGGGCGACGGTCGGTCCTCCTCGTCCAAATCGTCCCTCCTCCGCTGGATCTGTGCATATGTCGAGGAGAGAATTGCCTCGGCCAGCCGGACCATGTTGGGGCCTCGCAAAGAGGACAGAGCAGTGCTCGATGTGAGGCGACAGTCGAAGCGCTTCGACATGTAGTCGAATGCATGCGCGATGAGCGCGCGCGCCGTCAGGCTCGAGGCAGCCGCGGCCGTGGCACCGTCGATGTCGTCGGCCGACGTGGAAGTGAGCGCAGACGCAGAAGGCGCCTTGGACAGCACCAGCGGATAGTGGTTTTTCCTTGCGCCGGGCAGAAAGACGAGGTGGGCCAGCTCGACCCTGCGGTCCCTCATGCGGCCGCTGGGCAGGAACACGGGCGCAGCCTTGATCTGGATCTCGATGGCCCAGGCCATTCTGCGCTGCCCTTGCTCGCGCTCATTCTCCGCATCGTCGTCTTCGTCTGCTTGGCGTACAGCTGAGAGGTAGCGCTGCAGAGGTTCGCCCTCTTCCAGGGAGAGGAAGCCGGCCTGGACAGATTTGAGACGGTCTGCGCCGATTCCCTCTGCCCTCCGCGACGGCCCCTCTTCCGAGGCAGGCGCGATGAGGAGCGAGTCGTTGAGTCGGATCGAGAGATATGAACTAAGTTCCTTGCCAATGATGTCGAGTTGCTGTGTGGTGAGCACCGAATTGGCCGCCGCTTGGGGTCCCGTACCTCCTCCTCCCCGGTGCTGTCGAAGAGGAGGGGGAATGTGGAGAGGCGAGAGCGAGTGCAGGTAGAGCGTGCGATTCAACAGCATGCCTGCACGAGTGGTCAGGAGGTGGCTTTCGATGTGCTGCAGGTCATCTGAGCTGCTCACCTTTCAGCGACGCCCACTTGCTCGCTTTGAAGAGGCTCTCATCGATAGGCACCTCTTCCTGCGCAGGCTCTTTCTCTTCTTTCCCACCTCGCTTCTGCCCTTCACTGTCCTCCTCCTCCTCTTCTTCCTCTTCGCCTTCCTCTTCCTCCTCGACTTCCTCTTCTTCTTCTTCTTCTTCTTCTTCTTTGATCTCCTCTTTCTCTTCCTCTTCGTCTCCCTCAGCCTCTTCTAGCTCCTCATCCTCATCCTCTTCCCCTGCCTCATCCTCTGCTGCCTCATCCTCCTCCTCGTCCGCTCGACTCCCTCTCGAGCTTCTTCGCTGCCTGGATTCTTCCTCGCCGTCTTCCTCTGCTGTGGTCCTCAGCGTTGGCCGTCGCACCCGCGTCGACCTGCGCACAGGAGAGTCCGCCATGGTGACTGGCGCCGAGGTCGTCGGTGTTGCTCTTTCTGTTTCTCTCTGCGCGCTTCTCGCGCGATTCGAAACGCGTCCTAAATCCATTCATTCGATCTTGGTGCGCTCAGACTAATGAACTTTTTGGGCCACGCGAGCTCCAATGAGGAGCAAGTCCGTCCCCGTCCACCCTTTGGGAAACTTTGCACAGGGCAGCGGGCTGGCTTCCTCACTCACTTTCCCCTTCTCTCTCAATCTCAGTGTGTGTGTATGCGTGCTTGATTGGCTCCGATCGCCCTTTGGATTAAACAACAAACGATTTCAGGTGGGCCGCCGCCGTCGGGACTAGAGTCACCACAGAGCAAAGCAGCCCTGGGCCCAGCAGCCGGTGCAGCAGCAGCAGCAGCAGCGAGCGACGATCAGAATGGCTCCACCTTCCTCTCCTCCCGTGCCGGCCAGCTCGCGGCGGAGCAACCGGTCGCGCTCGCCCTCGCACCCGCCCACGACACCACCACCGGAGATCGACGACCCCCAGCTGGAGCAGGACCTGGACGCTGCTCGGCAGATGAGTCGGGCGAGGGCCAACTCGACGTCGCATCGGCCCTACTACGCCACTCCGGCGTCGCCCGTCCACGTTGCTACTCCGGGCCACATCGAGGCCAGTGGAGGCCGCGGCGGCCTGCTCCAGGAGTCTTCCTTGGGCGTAGGGTCAGGAGCGGGAGGAGCAGGAGTCGCTCACGGATCCTCGAGCTTTTCCGGCGACTACCTCGCCAGTTCGCCCGTCTTCCATCACCAGCAGCACCAGCAGCAGCAGCCACCTTCCTCATCGTCGCCTGCCGCACACCACTCCTACTCGCCGCGATCTCCGCTCGTCTCGTCGCGCTCGGCCCACCAGGGCCATGGCCATGGTGGACATTCGGCCTCCGCTGCTGCTGCCGCTGCCGCTGCCGCGCGCTTCTACATGGGCCACAATCGCAACGGCTCAAACACGTCCCTCGACAGTGCCTCGCACTTCATCGACCACCGCAGCCAGCAGATGATGCCGCCCAACCTCAGCCCTGGCTCCCTCCACGGAGGCGCCATGAGGAGCTCTCTCGGCGGCGGCGGCCCGCGGAGGTCCCAGCATCGCCTCGATGCCGTGTCGCCCAGCCTGGCACGTGTGGGCCGCATCCAGAGGGGATTCCTCGGCGACGAAAGCGCTCTCGCCGACGACGATGACGGCGGCGCGGGTGTGGCTGCCTCACACCAGCAGAGAGCCACTGCTACCGATGTTGCGAGCGGCAGTCGGACCGGCCAGCTCATCGATGTCGACAACGACGACGACGACGACGACGCTGATGCCGCCAACCAGACGAATCTGCGCAGCTATCCGACGGTCAGTTCGACGGGCGAGCCTGGCCAAGGCGTTCACTCGTCTTCCTTCACCATGGAGCAGCCCCAGGGAAGGAGGCTGGGCGCCCACGACTCTTCAGAGACGCCTCGGACCTTGTCGAGGCGACCGTCGATGGCCCAGGACGACGTCTGCTTCCCGATGTTAACGCCTGGAGGAGAAGAGGTGCCCGGCGCGCCCCAGTCGCCCTACCATGATGGAGGCGCACACGCCCATCTCCACCATCATCACCACCATGAGCACGTCGATCCCCGCCAGGCCGACATGATGCCGGGTTTTCCCTTCACTTTCGATCTGGTCACGCTGCAAGAGTACGCCGAAGAGGAGCGAAAACGAGTCGAAGAGGAGTCTGCCCGGGCTGGCACTGGTCTCGGCGGTGGTGGCTGGGGGCTGCGCCAGAGGGGTGCAGCCACCGACATTCGATCGAATCGAGATGCCAGACGCAGGTCGCAAGCCAATGCCGATTCTCGAAGTGGTGCATCTGCTGCTGCTCCTGGAGAAGGAGGCGGTGCTGCCTATGGCATCTCACCAGACTCGGACGATGCCACCTTCTACTCTCGTCGACCACGCAAGTTTATCAACATGCCTGGCTCAGGCAATGACGAAGGCGCAGCCAACCCCAGGAGTAAGTACCAGCGCAAGCTGGCCTTGTTCGAAGGAGCCGGCCAGGGGCCACCGCCTGTCGGCGCGCGCGCAAGCACAATTGCTGGCGCAGGCGGCGGCGGCACCAGCGGCGGTGGCATCTTTGGCGGAGGCGACCTGATGGGCCAAGAGCGCGACAAGCATCGCTCCAAGGCCACTTCCAATGGCTTTCCCGTTGACACCAAGACGCCGCTCCTCGATGGGCAGAATGGCAAATCGCACGACGGCAACACCCTGCCGTCCTACCATGGCACCTGGAACGGTGGTCCGGCGCCAGACGACGAGGATCTCTCCCGTCGCTTGGGCCGCAGCCTGTCGGTGGGCGCTGGCCTCTCGAGCCTCTCCAAGCCTTCCGGTCGGCGCTACGGCAACCGCAAGCTCGGTCGTCAGGAAAGCTCTTTTGGGCCCACATCGGGCCTCGGAGAAAAGGCGTACCGGTTCACCTTCTACAGCAACGCGCTCCCGAACACGATCCACGCCAGGCACCTCTACGAGCTTCCTGCGCCCGGCCAGTCGTTTGAGGAGCTACTCTTGGGTCTCCAGCCGGGCGAGCTCACCCGCGAGGAGCAGGAGACAGAGGCAGCCGCAGCCGCTGCCGCTGCGCCTGGCGCTGGTCCCGAAGGAGAGTCAGAAGCGACCGACGTCGAGGGTGGCGATACGTCACGATCACAAGCGCAGCAGCAGCAGCAGCAGCCCCGGCCGGCTGCCAGTGGGCTGTCTCAAGCGCTCAATGGCCGCCTCGAGGGCAGCACGGCACCGGCGACGGGGGCCAACACGCCAGAACTCGCTTCAGTGCCTCATCTTCAACGTGTCAGTAATCGGCTGGAGAGCAGCAGCCGTGCCCCAAGCGCGCGCAATTTGAACCCGGCTGGATCGCAGGCCCAGGCAGCGCAGGCGACGAGGGAAGCGGGCATCGCTGCAGCCATGGAACGAGCGCGCGCAGGCCCAGGCGGCGGCATCCGGATGGATCAGGATCCCGAGAGCAACACCTGGTGGCTCGACGTCCTCTGCCCCAGCGATGCAGAGATGAAGATGCTCAGCCGCGCATTTGGCATCCACCCCTTGACGACTGAGGACATTCTCATGGAGGAGACGCGAGAAAAGATTGAGCTCTTCCGAAATTACTACCTCGTCTGCTTCCGGTCCTTTGACCAGGACCCGTACAGCCCCACGTACCTCGAGCCGCTCAACATGTACATCATCGTGTTCCGTGAAGGCACCCTCTCGTTCCACTTCAGGGCCACGCCTCACCCGCAGAACGTGCGCCGGCGCATCAAGCAGCTCAAGGACTACATCAACGTCACCTCCGACTGGATCTCCTACGCCCTCATCGACGACATCACCGACGCATTCGGGCCCCTGATCCAGTCGATCGAGTACGAAGTCGACTCCATCGACGAGTTGGTCCTGATTCTCAAAGAGGCCGAGCAGTCGGACATGCTTCGGCGCATCGGAACGTGCCGAAAGAAGGTCATGGGTCTGCTCCGCCTCATGGGCAACAAGGCCGATGTCGTCAAGGGTCTCGCCAAGCGGTGCAACGAAAACTGGAGCGTGGCACCAAAGAGCGACATTGGCCTTTACCTCTCGGACATTCAAGACCATCTCATCACCATGACGCAAAACTTGAACCACTATGAAAAGATTCTGTCGCGATCCCACTCCAATTGTGAGTTTTCGTCAAAAGCTGATGACGGGAGATGGTGGAAGAGGACTGACTGACTTGGCCACGTACAGACCTCGCACAAATCTCAATCGAGATGACCGACGCCAACAACCAGATCAACGACGTCCTGAGCAGGCTGACGGCCCTCGGTACCGTCATTGTCCCCCTCAAGTGCGTCCACTATGCTTCTTTTCTTTTAGCACATTGTCCGTGCTGATCCCTCCCCCTTTCGCAGCGTCATTACAGGTCTGTGGGGTATGAACGTCCACGTGCCAGGCCAAGATGTCGAGAACCTACGGTGGTTCTTTGGCATCGTCGCCTTTATGATCGCCCTCGCCGTCATGGGCTACTTTGCCACGATTCGATACCTCAGCCGCTGAGGCTGGTTTCGCGCCTTTGCTCCTTCTGTCTCTCTCTTTCTTTTCTCTCCGTGCATATATGCCAGAACAGTAGCGGTGCTTTTGTCCGATTATAGCAGTTGTAGGAAGTGAACAGTCAAAACAGCATAAATCATACACGCGCACAATCGGCGCCTACTCTTCATCCTTTTGCCCAGCCACCTCTCGGCTGTACTTGTGAATGCACTTGAGGAAATGGCGGAGGTCCTCTGGGTCAACGCCCGGCGTGATGCCGTGGCCGAGATTGGCGATCCAGGCGCCCTGACCGCCAAAGCCGCCCTTTCTGGCCCGGCACATCTTCTCCACTTCGCGCTCGATGGCCTCCTTGCCCGCATAGAGAATCGAGGGGTCCATGTTGCCCTGGAGGGCAATCTTGTGGCCGGCCTCGTTTGCGCCCAGGCCCTTGTACGAGTTACCGCCCGGGTTGGCGAGCTCGACGACGCGGCGTGCGACGCTGGGCTCGACGAGCCAGTCGAGGGCCACGACGTCGTAACCGCTCTTGGCGACCTCGGGGAGCGAGTGTCCCAGTGCGCCCTTTGCAAAGCAGATCAGCGGCACGCAGGGCGTCGAGGTCCGGCTCAGGGCATCGCGCACGCCCGAGGCAATCTGGCGGAGATAGGGCAGGCTAAAGGTGCGGAAATCCGAGGGCGACAGCTCGCCAGCCCAGGAGTCAAAGACCTGGAGCAGCTGGGCGCCGGCCTTGACCTGTCCGACGAGAAAGTCGATGCAGACGTCTGCGATGCGCTCGAGGAGCTCCTTGGACTGCTCCGGGTGCTTGAAGAGCCACTTCTTGGCCTTTTCAAAGCCGCGCGAGCCACCGCCCTCGATCATGTACGCCATGAGCGTCCAAGGAGCGCCACAGAAGCCAATCAGGGGCACCTGGCCGTCGAGAAGCCGCCGTGTCTGTCGGATAGCCTCATAGACATAACCAAGCTCCTTTTCGACGTCGACCTTTTTGCGGAGTCGCTCTACATCAGAGGGCTCGACGAGGGGATCAGGAAAGTGGGGCCCCTTCTGGGGCAGCATCTCGACAACGAGGCCCATCGCCTGCGGGATGACGAGGATATCGCTGAAGATGATGGCGGCATCGAGCAGGCCTGCGTACCGACGGATAGGCTGCATGGTGATCTCGGCCGCCAGTGCGGGGGTCCGGCAGCACTCGAAGAATTCGTGCTTCTCGCGCAGCTGTCTGAATTCTATTGTTCTCATAACCATGGTCAGCATTTCTCAATCCATCAGAGACCGTTGGTATAGGGAGAAGACATGCTCACCAGGCAAGTATCGACCGGCCTGTCGCATGACCCAGACTGGCGCCCTTTCCGTCTCCTCGCCACGGGCTGCGCGCAGAATCAGGTCATTCTGAAGTCCTTCCTCGGGCCTCCGGCATTCTGGGTTCGACTTCTTGGCAAAGGAATTGAGGTGCGTCAGGATGGCGCGAGACATCTTTGCGTCAAATGTCGCTTCCTCCTATTTCGAGGAGAGAGAGAGAGAGAAAGTGACGAGGCAAAGAAAGATCAGGCGATGAGGAGAAGCTAGCAGGCAGCCCTCCTTCTCTTGTCTGTGCGCACAATTTGGACTTTCGGCACGTGAAAATTTCCATCGGTGCAGTCAGCCAAATTCTGAAATACTGCAGCTTCCTTCTGACTGTGACTTGGCCCACGACGATGGCGCCCACTGGCGGCAAGCAGAAGGACAATAAAGATCAGAGTCAGGATGGGCAGGGTTCTGGGAAAGGGAAAGAAAAGGGCTCATACAAAGATGGACCTTCGATGCCCCGGATCGCGCAGCACGAGGCCGTGCAGACGCTCAACTACCTCTTCCAATCCGCGTCGTACCTCTCTGCCGTCGCCGGGGCTCCTCCCTCGCTAGCGATCAGCCGAGCAAGGCAGCTCGTTGGACTGTCCAAGAAGGCGACGACGAGACTGGATACGTCGGTGAAGCGGAGCATCTGTCGGCGGTGCCGCGCGCCGCTCGTGTTGGAGGGCCTGACAAGCTGTGTCAGGGTCAAGAGAAGCGGCCCGCATGGATGGGTCAAGGTGACAAGGTGTCTCGCCTGTACAAGAACGCAGATCGTTCCCCTTGGACCGGGATTCGATGAAGAAAGTCGACGACAGAAGGCACTGAAGAAGAGAGAGAAGCGGAGAGCAAAGGCGGCCGAGAAGAGGAGGCGCATGGCGGAGGCCGGCGAAAAGAACGCGCAACAAGAAACAAGCAGGAAGAGGCCGATTTCGCAGCGAGCAAGGAGAAGGGCTAGTAGGGAGAAGAGGGCAACGCTCGAGGCAATGAATGAAGTCAACGACCGATCAGCATTAAAGAAGAGCATCGGCCCAAGGAGAAGGAGCAAGAGATGTGACAAGGACGAGGTCAAACAAATGGGGCAGGATAAGGACGCAGACATAGAGATGGAACCAAGGGATGTTCCGGCTACCTCGTCGTCAGAAGCGAAGAGAAGCAGGAGGAGGAGAAAGAAAGCTTTGGTGGCACCATCTCTAGACTCTCCGTCGATCAAGGACCAAGCTTCGAGCGTCCGGTTGGCGGACGCGCTCCCTCGCTACACAGATCGACTCAGAGACAGCGCGGACTGGCATAGGGCAGTCGAGAAGGCTTCTGAGGCTGGACAGCTAGACCAAGAACAGCAAAGTACACTTCAATTGCTGCGTGGAGATCATATCATGGCACACGGCATCGGACGAGGAGGTGTTCTTGGTCCGTCGTGAAGGAGTGAATGTATTGATAATGTAACATGATGTAGCTGTACTTTACAATGTATGTACTGTATAATGATCACCGTTGTTGTCGTCGTCTGTCCCTTCGCTTCCCTCGCTCTCCTCGCTGTCTTCGATGCGGTCCGGTGCATCGAGGGGCGCGCGCAGCTGCAGGCGGCACGCGACGTAAGCATCTGTCTCGCCTCTGTTCCGCCTGGCTATACACTGACCACTGCAAGGTAGGCACTAGCAACAGCCCTCGCCCACTCGTCGTTTGCGTCAGCTGCCTGCTCTTCCATCTCGTCCGCTTCTTCCTCCAAGCTGTCCTCCTCCTCGTCTTCCGCGTCTCGACTGCTGACCCTTTTCCTCTTGCCGCTCTCGCTCGACGCCACAACGGTCCTTGCCTTGGAGGATCTATCTTCCTTCCTGCCGCTCGTTCGAGACCGCCGTTGTCGTTTGCCCTTTTCACCTTTTGAATTGAGTAATTCTTCCGGTACTCCTTCGACGCTCTTGATCGCACCCCTTCTTCCACGCCGAGCATCGCTGCTAGCGTGGCCCGCCATGGCACTGCGACTCCGGCTTCTGCTTCTGCTCCTGCTCCTACTTCTGCTCATGCTCCTGCTTCGACTCGTACTCCGGCTCCTGCTTCTGCTGCTTCGAGAGCCGCTCCGGCTCATCCGCCGCCTCTGCACCGTTCCAGTACGTACGACGACTTCGAATCGCTTGCAAGCATCTGCAACAATCTTGACCGCTTCTTCGTCGGCCTTCTCTCTCAGCAGGATCAATTTGTCTGGCACCGGAGCAAGCTTGACCTGTTCTGAGGGAACACCGACGAACGTCAGGCGACCCTGCCTCTGCCCGTCGACCGAAGAGGGTAGCTGGCGACAAGCGAGAAACAGATAGAGCAGGGCGCCGTACAGATGAACCAACGGCTCGAGACTGTACGGCCATGAGACGACGACGAGGGCAATCTCGTGGAAGGCTTCTTCGTACTGCTTGACGGTGACAAGCTCTGCGACAATTTCGAGAAAGGCTTCCAGTCGCTTGTGGAAGAGAAGATGGCCTCCGTCAGCTTGCAAAAAGAAGTGTGACTGGATTGTTACAGGTTCAGTTGTCTCTCACAATGCCACCGCGCCTAGCGCTGACGGATCTCAGGAAGGCCAGCCTCCTCCGTGCCGACTCGGCCTCTTGTTGCCTTGTCATTCTCGTCTGCGCGGCTTCGTCGCTGTTCCCCCACATCGTGGCCACCTCGAGTGCATACCTCCACAGGTCCTCCGGCCGCCACTCGTGGCTATACAGAAGCACCCTCAATGCTCTCAATGATCTCATGGCATCCTTTCGTGCCAGACAGATGTTGAGCAGGTCAAACGTCTTTCGGATGTGCAGCGATCGATGAGAAGGACCGATCAGGTGCTCATGGAATCGGCCTGTCTTGCTCCTTCGATCCGGCTCGTCATGGCCTCGTGTGATCCGATGGCCTGATCCAGTCTTGATCGGTGGCGGCGGCTCGTACAGGAAGCCATTTCCTTTGTCTTCGGAAGGCGCAACCATCACGGTCTCGTTCTCTGTCTCTCAACTTTCTCGTCGGCGGAATGGATTCCTAAAATCTACTTCTTGTGGAGAACGGGTCCTTTCGGCCGAAGTAGTTTTTATTTTTTTTGCCCTCTTTTTTATGGGCCGTCACCCGCTCCTTCTGTCTACCTCTTTTTCTGTCCCGGTAGCTACGTCGACGTCCGAAAGCTGCAGACATAACAGCAAACATGGTGAGTCATGCTGACGCGATGGATCAAAGGGCATACACTGACAGTTTGAGTACTTTTGCCTTCCTAAAGTCCGTTCCAAGATTACTGGCGCAGGTCTTCTTCCTGGGGTCACAGATCGTCGGGAAGGCCTTCATGGAGGCGGGCCGGCAGGCTGTCCGAAGTGGGTACCACCATGTTCTCACCATGCGAGCGAGAAGTAACTGCTTGCTAACCGTCTTGTTCTGACAGATGCCAGAGCTGGGAGGGTAGAAGCGGGAGCAGCGGCGGCCGGAAGTGCCACAACAGGAAACAGCGCGACAGACATGCTGACCCGGACGCATCGAATGACACTGGACGAAGCGCGGCTAATTCTCAATCTTGGAAAGCAAAAGGCGACAACGGATGTCGGAGCAGAGAAGGAGGTGCTGCTGAAGGTGCGTTGCTGTAAGCTAAAGTTGACTCTTAAGACAACGGAGCTGATTCACTTTGCTTTAGAACTACGAACACCTGTTCGCGACGAATGCGCCACCGGCGCCAAAGGGGAAGCAGGGTGGAGGACAGGGCAGCTTCTACATCCAATCCAAGGTCGTCAGGGCAAGGGAAAGAATCGAGGCGGAGTGGAAGGAAGCAGCAAAGAGAATGCAGCAGCAGACCGCTGAGCAACAACAACAGCCCCCGCCGCCACCGTCAGGAAGCGCAAGCGAAGCTAAAGGTCCGGATGCCCCGCACTAATGTCTCTTCTTTCTGCTACGTAGAGACGACAGAGCGGGGGAACATGGAGCCGAAGAATCACGACTTGTATCACTCATTGCAGCAGGACTTTCACCACTTTTTCAGTTCGATCGATAATCAATGCGTCAGACCTTCTACGTTTGTTGTGTGATATCATATAATCTCACAAGAGACAGCACCTTGGGCTTGAGAGGCATAATCTCTCAACTCACGTCCTGCCGTCCTAGGTCAAGCACGACTTCATGGGACCGCATTTGCTCTACGATGCACTTGCAGCGAATGAGAAAGTCATGATTGATTATGAGAATGAACGAGGTCGAGAGTATGGACAAGAGAGACGAGAAGGGGCATGCTCGAGTGAAAGCTAGTACTGTTATGCGTGCGTGATGGTGGGTGGGATTGTCTGAGGGGAAGGGAGAGCAAATTAAGTGAGTTGAGACACCGTTAACGATTGCTGGCGGTGCTCGCCAGGCTCTGGCCGCTTCCAGTTCGAGGGAGGCTCGTTGTGCTGCCGCTCTTTGTCGAGAGTATCTCGGTCGAGGAGCGCGTGCTAATTTGGCTTTGCCGCGTCGTCGAGCGCGACTGATTGTTGGTCAGGATCTTTGAGAGCGTTTCAAGGGCATAGCGGACCTTGGGCACCATGAGTCGGACGAGGGCGCGCTCCTCGTGCGTGGTCAAGGGGAGCGACTCAGGCATGGCCACGCCCTCCTTGTTTGCTTGCTTCAATGCTTCGTGCTCCCGCCGCGAGCGCCCCTTGTCCGCAATGGAAAAGAATTCGGCCACGGTCCACGTCCACATGACGGGCGTTCCTCCTTCCTTTTCCCGGGCCTCGATGACCGAGAGAACCAGGCCATCCTGCGAGATGAGGAGCTTGGAGTGGTCATAAAAGTTGAACTGCACCACTCCGCTGCTGAGCCGGAAGACGATAGCCTGCATGCACCGGTACCATTTCCACACAAACGCCATGCCAGCCGTGATATCCTCATCGAGCTCCATAAGCGGCGATTCGACGCCAGCGAGCCGCGTCATGATTTTGTCTTCAAAGTAGCTGAGGATCTTGAATTTGCGAACGATCTCGTTGGTCATGCATTTGCGCGCTGCCTCCTGCGTCTCCTGATCATCGGAGCCGTGCGGGATTGCAAAGTTCTCTCGCTTTTGGAGACTTCCCGTTGCTTGGTCGGCAGTGGCCAATTTGCTGCGCGCCTTGGCGCGTGAGATGTGGTCAAAGTGTGTCCGGGCGGCGTTGACGGACATGGCCGAGTCGTCTCGGAAGTAGGTGCCCACCGATCCATCACTGAGGGCGAAGCCGAGTCCGTAGCGGTCCATCTCGTCGAGCCAGCAAACGACAAAGCGTTTAGGTCCGACGGACTTCTGTCGGACCTTATTGTGCTTGTCAGGCTGATTGGTGGTGAAGATGTCGATGGCGTTACCCTCGGCATCCATGGGAATGTAGTCGACCTTGTTATCAAAGCACTGCATAGCATCGGTGATGCGCTGGACCGCTAGCTCCATGCTCGAAGTTCGAGGAGCAGCCTTTGCAGACGGGGCATCGCTCAAGGATTGTCGAGGAGGTGCTGGAGCGGTACGGCGCTCCGAGGGCGCATTATCGGCCATGCCGGCAACAAGTCTCGCCTTCTGGCCGAGCATTCGACGCTCATCGGCACCCATGGCGTCATTGCGAGAACGAAGAGACGCATTTGGCGGCGGCATCCGCCTCGAGTCGGCCGCATAGCCCGCGCCCGCATTCTCCTTGTCGCCGTGGCCGGGGGCCGCACCGACTTCGCCGCCCTTGGCACCTGTCGAAGCTGACATTGCCCCACTTTGCTGTCGGCTGATGGACAGTGCGCTGAGCTGTCGAGCGAGACCGGTGGCATGCTTTGCCCGGAGGGGAGCGCTCCCTTGCGGGATCTTGACGAGTGATTGTCGACCCAGACTGTGTCGCAAGCGAGGTCAGCTATATCTGGGGGGAGCAATAGCAAGGGAATTACGCACTTCAGGAAGGCGGCCAAAGAGCTGCCTGGCTGGATAGCACGCTCGAATTCGATGTCCATCCTCTCCTGGTCGTCTTCTGCTTTTTCTTGAGCCTTGCGCTTCTCCCGCGCCGTCCGTCTCCTCTCTTCGTCGGACATCTCTTCTTCTTCCACCTCGTCATCTGCATCGTCTCGCCAGCCCGTCATGGCCTTGAGTGTGGCCATGTTCTTGAGCGTTTCTTCTTCATTATATACCAAGCCGAGGTGAGGAGGGAAGCGTGCGGCGGTAGAGGGAATGTGAAGGGGGATAGGGCCGCTGGTGAACCAAGGGTGGTTCATGATTTCAATAAGCGATGGTCGATCGGCTGCAAGGTGGAAGTGTCAAAAAAGGAGAAGAATATGATGACAGGCTGTAGGGTGACCCACCAGGATCGCGGGTCAAGATGCTCCGGATGAGATCAGCAGCCAGTGGGTCCACGTCGTCGGGGACGGTGTACTGGTTCTGCTTGATCTTGTCGTAGATTCCTTGCACACTGTCCGTCTGGAACGGTGGTCGTCCAATCAAGAGCGTGTATCTGAACATGGAAGAGCGAGTCAGATGAAGCCTGCGCAGGGAAGAGAAGGGCGACTCACAAAATCACACCAACGGACCAGACATCGACCTCGAAGCTGTGACCTTCGCCGTGGCGATCCTGGTAGAGGATCTCTGGAGCAATGTAATTCGGTGTCCCGCAGACAGTCCTGAATGGAAACGTCAGACGAAAATGGCTAGAAAGAAATGCCACAGCAACCCACCTCTTTCGTTCCTCTGGGTCCTTGAGAAGCGCGGCCAGACCAAAATCACCAATCTTGATATGCATATTTGCATCGAGAAGGATGTTGCCCAGCTTGAGGTCGCGGTGGATAACATGGTTGTTGTGCATATACTGGCATGCAGCCAAGATCTGGATCATATAGAATCGAGTCTCCTCCTCCAAGCAGCGCCCTCGTGCCTTGATCATGTCATTGAGGCTCTGTGGATGCATCGAGATGTCAGCGAGCATTAAAGCAAGGCCCACAAGCAAGAGACTCACCCCATTAGCGCACAGCTCGAGCTTGTAGTAGATGTTGGTCTCGTCCTGGAACAGATCCATGAACTTGATGATGTTGCGGTGGTCCATCGAGCGATGGATCAAGATCTCGGCCAGAACCTTGGATCTGCTCTTCTTGTGGTTGACCAGAGTGTCCTTGAGGATCGCCTTGAAAGCCAGTGCACGGCCATCTGGGCCCCTGACCTCGTATACTCTCGCGAACCCTCCCTGTTGTGTCCATCATTAGCGCTCTCTTTGGAACCTGCATACGTTAGGAACACCCCACTTACCTGGCCAAGCAGCCGTCCTCGCAAGTGTTCGACGCCATTCTCGACATCAGCAATGACGTTCGGCACCTCTGGCAGGTGGGCGCCCTTCTTCTTGACCTGCTTCTTTCGTGGCGATGTCGAAGCGGCGGCGGCTGCAGTTGCAGCAGCAGGCGGCTTCTGAATGGTGGCGCTTGGCTTGAGCGGCGGAGCCCTCTCGGGCGAGGAGCTGCTCATAGCTTTGGTGCTCGGCTGCCTGGTGGGGCGGTAGGTGCGCAACGAAGGGCCAGCATTGATGGGGGGCAGCGGGTCGTATCGGCCAAAGCCAGCCGCGGTCGTCATCGGCAGGTCGATCCGATGTGTGTTGGGCTCGATGGAACAGGCCTTGAGAAAGATGGGGTGGGTGAGTTCCTGGGCGTTGTCGTAGACGAAAGAAGCGTGAGTGGCAGTGGTAAGATGGTTAGAGCAAGCAGCAGCAGCAGCAATGGCAGCAACGACGGCTTTGAATTTCAATATCCAGTCCTCTCCTCCGTCGGGCCATGGGCCTTCAACAAAGCACGCGAGACTTTGGGACGCGTTTGATCACGTGTGCATCAAAGGCCAAAAGAAGACTCACTCGAAACCAACACCTCGGCCAAGGCCTAATCCTGCTCAAGGATTCCCAGTAGCTAGCTGGCCATGGACCGCTATGGACCAGACGCTCGTCCTCGAGACGCCGGGTCAGGGCCTGTCGGACGACGAGGAGACAGTCTCGAGACAGTTTCACTTCCCCTTTCCCCGGGCGTACAAGATCCAGCTCGATCTCATGCAGGCCATCTTTCGGGCGATTGAGGACGGCAAAGTCGGAATTTTTGAGAGCCCGACTGGTACGGTGAGTTCTGCCCTGCGTGTCCGCGTCATCTCCGTGCAGGGTTGTGTGCTGATGGCGATAAGAGCAGGGCAAGTCATTGAGCTTGATCTGCGCTGCCTTTACGTGGCTTCAACTCAACACCGAGCGAGCCTCTAAAGGAGCACTAGCACCCACCAAAGGCTCGGAAACAGGTGAGCGCACTGTAATTGTTCAGATGTCACGAGGGCGTAGTTGACGTTTGGGACAAGAGCCTGACTGGGTTGTCGAACATGACATTGAGAGACGCCGTCAGGAGCTCGCGAGGCAAGAGGAGGAGCTCAATGACCGCATTCGAAAGGCACGCCAACGTATGGCAAAGGACCGAGCAAGGGTGAAAAAGGCCGCTGCACCCCGAAAGCGCCTCGCAAGAGGCGAAAGCGGGAGCGAGTCAGATGATGCATTCCTTGTCGAGGATGATTCTACCTCTGGGCAGCCCGCAAAAGACGACGATGCTGCCTTTCTATCGCCAGAAGTGCGCGCCCTCATGGCCCAGATGGAGGCTCGATCGGGTGGAGGCACGAACGCCGTGAAGCCCTACTATGCTCGCCCAAGACATGTCGCAAAGGAGGACGAAGACGAAGACGAGGAGCCCGAAACGACGCCAAAGATCTTCTACGCCAGCAGAACTCATAGTCAGCTGAGCCAGTTTGTTGCCGAGCTCAAGAAAACCGAATTCGGCCGACACATCAGCGTCGATGATGAGGAGGAAGGTGCACAGGTGCGAAGCGTCAGCCTGGGCAGCCGCAAGCAGATGTGCATCAATGAAAAGGTGCAGGCTCTCGGCCAGAGGGCGGGTGCAGAGGCAATGAATGAGCGCTGTCAGGAGCTCATGAAGGCCAAGGCTGGCTCAAAGAGTAATCGCTGCGAATTTCTGCCTCCCAGTGACGAGACCGGCCATGCTCTGATGCTCGACTACCGGGATCGTGCACTCGCCGAAGTTCAGGACATCGAAGAGCTCGTTGAGCTGGGCAAGGAGATGCACACATGCCCTTATTTCGGCGCTCGAACAAGCGCGCGGCAAGCCCAGGTAAGCCGATAATTTCTTAGTGCCAGATTTCCAACAACTCACCCTCAGTTCTGCAGCTCGTCACTCTGCCTTACAATCTCCTCTTGAACCAACATGCAAGGTCCTCGCTCAACGCCGAGGTTGCCGGAAGCGTCGTCATCATCGATGAAGCACACAATCTCATTGACACCATCCTTTCTATTCACTCGATTGCCATCACCTCGGATCACATCGATCGAGCTCGCAAGCAGATTGAGGAATACCTCCGACGATTCTCATCGAAGCTCCGCGGAAGCAACGAGATGAATCTCCGGCGCCTTCAAAAGATCCTTGAGGGCCTCGCTACCTTTTGCAAGGCTCTTTGCACCAAAGCTTCTTCCGTGAGACGGTCTGCAATTGAAGAAATCTTTACGGCCGCTGCAGTTGTCGGCAAGATGGGCGGTACACTGGACCAGATCAACCTCGTGGAACTGGAGTACTGGCTACGCGACTCTCAAATCGCTCGCAAGGTCGCTGGCTACGCCGAGAAGCGGGAGATGAGAGAAGCTGCATCGAATGGAACGAGGGAGAAGAGCGCAGGCCAAAGCGCCGTCTCGGCCATGCACTCCGTCGAGACTTTCATACTCTCGCTAGCCAACAAGAAGGACGATGGTCGGGTCCTGTGCTCAGTCCGCGGCGATCCACCGCTAGTTACATTAAAGTACCAGCTCCTCAATCCAGCAGAGGCATTCATGGACATTGTCGACCAGGCCAAGGCCGTCATCCTGGCTGGAGGAACTATGGCGCCCTTGAGCGACTTCAAAACGCAGCTAGTCCCTACGCTACCTCTCGAGCGCTTCGCAAGCTTCTCATGTGGTCACATCATACCTCGTGAGAATCTGCTAGGGGCCGTGGTCCACTGTGGACCCAAAGGAACTCCTTTCGAGTTTAGGTTTGAATCGAGGGCAGATACCAAGCTGCTCGATGACTTGGCAAATTGCTTGGTCAACTACGCCAACATTGTGCCGCACGGCCTCGTTGTGTTCTTGCCTTCGTACGCCTTTCTCGACACTGTTCTGGCCCGATGGAAGGAGACGGCTGCGCTCAAGAGGCTCGAAGGCAAGAAATCGCTTTTCTACGAGCCAAGGAGTACGACCGAAGTTGATGGCGTCTTGAGAGACTACACACGGGCGATTGACTCGAACGCCGGTGGAGCGATGCTGTTTGCCGTCGTGGGTGCGAAGCTTTCGGAAGGCATCAACTTCTCAGACAGACTGGCGAGGGCAGTCGTCATGGTCGGCATGCCCTTTGCCAACGCCCAAAGCCCAGAGCTGGCCGAGCGAATGAGCTACGTGAGGAAGCTAGCAGGAGCAGTGCCGCAAGCTGCCAGGCAGCCAGACGCAGGGCAGGAGCTCTACGTCAACCTATGCATGAAGGCCGTAAATCAGTCCATCGGCCGAGCGATCCGACATCGAGGCGATTTTGCTGCCCTCATCCTGCTCGACCGTCGTTATGACCGGCCAGACATCCGGGCAAAACTCCCAGCTTGGATCCAGGAAGGCACTCGATCTTTCCCCGCTTTCGGACCGTCCATTGCAGCTCTGAGCCAATTCTTCAGAGGGAAGAAGGGCATTGTGTTATGATTGTTCGAGGAGAGCTTAGCATTGTATTTCTATCATTAATTTTAGAGAATCGCAGAATCGCTCTGGACGCGCCGAAGCCTTGCCCCTATAGATCTTTCTTGCCCTTTCCCGTGGACCCTTCGCCTTCCGACGGGACAGAGATAATGTAGGGCATGACGAGCTGAGTCAAGGAAGAAGGTGTCAGTCTTATGGTCCACCCTGCTCTAAATTGATCTGTTGCGACTTACCGCATTCAGCCGACGAAGCGGCTGCAGGAGATCAAATCGTCATGAGCCTCTACGCTCTGCCTCTGCGCGGAAGGAGAAGGGCTTCACAGACTCACGTAAAATAATGAGCTGGGCATGGGTTGGTGGTTCCAGCGGTCCTCGAAGTGAATGATCTTGCCCTGGCTGTCGAGCTTCATGACGACAGTCGAGAGCATCTCCTTTTGGGTGCCGATGCCCTTGACATGATACCTCTGCCTCTGAACCTGTAGCATTGCGCGTCTGGTCAGTCTTGAAGTGAGGGGAGGACATCTATCTGGAAGGTCTCGCTTACATATTGAACCTCGTTGGGCTCGTCCTTGACGACGTGCCAGGCGAGCAGCTCCGACTTGCTGAACGCCGCCGGCATGCCCCACCACTGGGCCTTGTACTGTCGAGCACCCGTCGCGTAGCAAATGGGATCCTCGAAGATGGCGTGCGGCGACCAGGAGCGGTCAAAGATTTTGTGCGACGGCATCGCGCTGAAGAGGTCCTGAGCATCGGCTATGAGCTGCTTTGCGCGGGCGCTCGTCGATGCGGGCGGCGGCATGTTGGGATATTGATTCTGCGGCTGCGTAGAGAGGGGCGTGAGGCTGACTTGAGGACGGTCAAGCGTGAAGATTGGGTGGAGGCGGTGCTTACGTAAACGAAGGGCAAACAGGAAGAAGATTCATCCTCGTCAATTCTCCGACTCGGACTTCTGAACGAACGACAACAGCGACGACGACGGAATAATGGCAACTAACATTACCTTTCACGAGGGCATCGTCTCGTACGAGGAGCGCTGCTCCCTGCTCGGGCAGCAGGGCGCGACCATCTGGCTGACGGGCCTGTCGGCGTCGGGCAAGTCAACAATTGCGACGGCGCTGGAACAGCACCTGCTGCACCAGCACAAGTCGGCCTTCCGCCTCGACGGCGACAACATCCGCTTTGGGCTCAACAAAGATCTCGGCTTCAGCCCCAAGGACCGCGAGGAAAACATTCGGCGAATCGCCGAGGTGTCCACGCTCTTTTCCGCCTCGTCGTCCCTCACCATTACCTCGTTTATCTCGCCCTATGCAGCGGACCGCGACGTGGCGCGCAAGCTCCACGATGAGCACAAGCCACCGCTGCCCTTTATCGAAGTCTTTGTTGATGCCAGCGTCGAGGAGTGCGAGAAGCGGGACCCAAAGGGCCTGTACAAAAAGGCACGGGCGGGCGAAATCAAGGAGTTCACTGGCATCTCGGCCCCCTACGAGGCGCCGCCCAAGCCAGAAATCCACATTGACGCCGACAAGACGTCGGTTGAGGACAGCGTCAAGATCATCACCCAGTACCTCCTCGAGAAGGGCTACCTCAAGGTCAACTAAGATGCTAGTGTGGGAGCTGAGGAGGAGGTTGTAACATGAAGTAGGATGCATTGCAAGGGGAATAGTATCCTTGAAAGGGTCTTGGCCTAAAAGACCGTCCTTGTTGCTATTGCTATGGGGTGAGGCTGAGAGGAGAGCAGCAGCAGCAGCAAGGTGTCGTCCTCAATCGAGAAGAAGGCATGGCGCTGCGACGAGCAATGGTGCGCGTGGATTCTTTCTCTTTTCTTTCCTATCTCGCACGAGTCATTTGCCTGCCTGCTTGCTGCCACCAAGACCTTGAGGCAGTTCATGTGGTGTGAGAGATCCGGGACTCACAGCTGCTGTAGTAACACGCAAGAAAGAGTTGCAAGAGGTTCTTCGGATCCAAATTTCTCGTCATTTCAACTCTGTTGTGTATTTAGAAAATGCACTGTAGCTTCTCGACGGTAGAAAATGCACCGTGCGCGTCTTAAAGGTCGCTCCCTCCCCTTTGTGCGCTACGCGGTCGTCAAACCAAGTAACCCGTGCTCGGGACCGACCAACACCTTTCCGTCGAGCAATGACGTCTCGATCACGCAAAGATCGAGCTGTTCCTCTGACTTCTACGACATCAGACGGTGAGAGCCTCTATAGTAAGCTGCAGCCAGCATGTCTACAGCAACCTGACGTGAGACGCCTTGCAGAGCTGCACCTTTGGCAAAATGCAAAGGGTCACATCAAGACGTTTCAGGAGCTTCGATCGGCCCATGCTGCCGCTTGGTCAGCATACGAGTCGCACAAGGCCAGGTGGGCTTCCAGTCACTCAGACGATGGCGCGAGCGAGATGAGCAATGGAAGTGGTAACGGCGGACCTAGCGACGAGATCAGGGACGAGCTGCTCTCGACTTGCCAACAGCTGAAGAAATCCATGGAAGAAGAACAGAGGTGAGTGGGCTTATATTGTAGAACGCCAACAACAGCTACTGTGGCTCACTCATCTAAACAGGGAGATCGACTATGCAGTTGAGCAGGTCGAATTGCTCATGGCTGTTCGTGATGATGTGGGCGTGGCCGATTCGACACCGAAACAGCAGAGGAAAAAAAGAAAAGCCGACAGCATGGCTTCTGCGTCGACCTCGCCGACGACGCAAGTATCATCATTGTCAAAGGAACGAGGGCTCTCGCCGCTTTCTTTGCGCGAAGAGGCCTCAGTAAACCAAGCGATCGGTGGCCCTGCCCCCGAGCAAAAGAAGCGGAAAGCGAGCAAGTCGACCGGTTCATCGGCAAGTGTCACGCCGCAGAGAAGGGGGACACTCAAAGCCGATGTCGATGGGGCCGCAACTGCCACCGCTGCCGCCGCGGCTGCCTCGGCCTCTTCGTCGGCTTCTGGCTCCGCCGCAAACGCAGCAGCAGGTCAACAGAGCACGCCTAGTGCCTCCACTACCAGCGGCTATGTGGACCCGGCCCGGGCTCGCCGCGAAGTCCTCGGTGGCCAACTGCCCCTCAAGGTCGGGAGGAGAGTTGCCTTTCGCCAACCTCCAAAGTCCAAGGCCGGACCCGGAGCGGCCAGTACAGGGGGCGAGTCCGTCGACCCGTCAGCAGGTGGAGCTGATGACGATGGCGAGACATGGATTTTGGCCGTCATTACAGATTGCATCAATAACGACCGCAACCGGTGAGTAGCCTACATTCTTATTCCAGCCTGCTGGTCCTCTCTGACCGAGTCGCCATCCTTTCAGGTACGTTGTCAAAGACGCCGAAGACGCCAAGGACGACAATGCACCGTGCGTACCTACGCATTCTCCTGCTGTTGACAGCGAATTGACACCAACTTCATTAGAACCTACAAAACGACGCTCAAAGCCATTGTTCCCCTGCCTGAATCGCTCCAGACATTGCCGTCGGAGGATTACAAGATCGGAACCCAGGTCATGGGCCTCTACCCCGACACATCCTGTTTCTACCAGGCAGTAGTGAAGGGAGGCGGGCCTGGTCTTAGCGGCAAGATCACCAACAAGGTCAGTTCTCTGCTTGCCCGAACTTATCGAGTCGCTTCACAAGTGGCTGAAAGTGCCTCCACAGATGCTGAGAAGGGCAAACGAAATCCTCAATGCTCCCTACCATCTCGAATTCGAAGATGATGGCCAGGACATCAAACAGATCCCTGCATCCCTCGTCGTGGAGCGTCCTTGACGCTTTGTTCTTCTAATCTCCTGTAACTTTATTAACATCGAGCATTCTGTGTAAAAGCGTCGTTGCAGACTCTGCTTTTCGTTCCGAAGCCTTGCGTCTGATATTTTCTACTAGTACAGTACATGAGGATGTGATTGTGGTGTTAGTGATGATGATAATACATGGCGGATGACTCAATGAAGGGGCATACTCTGTCCTGCCCTGTCGATGAGTCTCCGCCTAATGAATTCCTTGACGGTGTCATTCCTATCGGTAAGCCAGTTAGCGCTCTTCATTCTCTTGTCACGCTGCTGGAAGCGACGACGTTGTTTACCCACCCCTGCTTTGAAATAAACATCCTCCTCTTGGCCGAATCGGACCAGAGGAGCACGCGCATGTTGTCGGCGTACGTGCGAACCAGCTCGAAGTCCGCACCGCTGCCAAATTCCTCGTGCAGGAATCCCTCCTCCGCTCTGATTCGCCGCTTTTCGCGCTCCCACAGCCGGATCTGGTCAGTGACGGTGACGGGAAGCAGAGGGTCGTTTTTAAACATCTGCGGATGAGCGTGGTGGGTGAGGTACATGATGATCTGTCGGGAGCGTCTCGCTCAGCTGGTTGGTCATATGAAGGACAGGTCTGCCTGTCAAGACCTACCTGCTCGGCACCTATACCATTGCTCAAAGCCTCCTTGACGCTGTCCCTTGTAATGACGCCCGTCACAAGATTCGGAAAGCGAGACTTGATATGCACAAAGAGGTTGAGGACGTCGATGCGCAACTTGTTGCTTGTGTATGCATACACCTTGTAGTTCGTCTCGAGAATCACGAAACCCCTCTCTTCCTCTGTACCTCCGCCTGCACCTGCTTCGTCCTGAGTACCGTCCTTGCCACCGCCACTACCGCCGCCGCCGCCAATCAAGGGCGTTGCACCGAAGCTGGTGAGTGTCGTGATGAGGCGCGTCGGGTAGAAGCTTCTGCTGCGCTCATTCTTCATATAGACGAGGCCCATGTCACGGAAAAATTCGAGCATGCCCCTCTGTGATGGCGCCAAGGCCGAGATCTCGTAGTCCTGGCCGAGGGTGGCCGAGGAGAGAGTGAAGAGGAAAGTGAGGTGTTCCACAACATCGCTTGTCGAATTGCGTTCAGACGATAGAAAACGGAGGTACGTCTCGAGCAGGGTCCAAAGCTGCGTGGGTACGTCGTTGAGGAGAAACTGGAAGCCGTCCGAGGTGATGCCCATTGTGTAGAGATTCTCGCTCCGCGGGGCTTCCGGCTGCATGAGACCGGCTTGACGAAGGAGCAGCAGGACTTCTTTTGAAGGGGTGCGCGCGTCAATCGAAGCGACCATGTATAGCAAGATAGACTCCCACGATCGAAGCGCATACTGGTCAAGACGGCTAATGGGTATTCTTTGCGACTCGCCAGGCTGGCTCGGTACGCCAAAAGACCGATGGTCGCCGCTGCATAGCCGGAGAGTTAGCAAAGACGAAAAAAGATGAGGAGACAGAACCAAAACCCACCCTCCGGTCAAGGCCCTCTTAAGTGAGTCGGTCCATATCCCATTCAAGCTGACAACTTGCTTCGCCTCGACGATGATACCCAGATCCGACAACAACTCCTTCGCTTCGTCCAGTGCCCTCTGGCTCTTGGACTTTTTGCTGCTCGTCCCTGCTCCCTCATCCTTGACCGCTGCGGCATCGGCACCCCTGGTGAGCAGAGCAGCGACGTCATCCGAAGGTAGTTGAGGCAGGCCATTGGGCCCATTCGGGAGAAAGAGAAGGACAAGGATGAGGTGCCTGGCGAGGGGAGGAAGAAGCCGGAAGATGGAAAGGGCATTGGACGGATGCGAGTACAGCTCTCGGCGGGCGCGGGCTTGCAGGGTGAGGAGATGCGTCAGGATCGTTGGCAGCCCTCCCTGCTGCTCCCTTGGGCGAACAACGGGTGCCAAGTCATCGTCTGCTGCATCGGCCATGTCCCCTGGACCAATGTCAAGCGAAGCAAAGGCCAAAGCTGAGATGAGATACTTGTCTGTGCCTGCAGAAGTGACAGAGGTCTCACCACGTGTTTTGTTAAACATTGAAACGGCGGGTCTGCAATTAGCTCAGCTCCACTTGGAAGAACAACACCTAGTGCCTGCATTTTTGCCTGTTTCAGCCGCGACGATGGCGTCCACGTCCAAAGCACCTCCGCGGCAAGCTGATGCGGACGGCTCGCAGCTGACCTACAATGGTATGTTGTACCATTGCGTGAAGCAAGAATTCTGTTCTCACTGAGAATGACACAGAGACAATTGACGCTGTCTGCGGATTCAGTGCGTGGCTCCCTTGTTATAAAGACCTGTGACTGAGCCGCTGACATCGCCCGCGCAGTCAAGACAGCGATCCACACGATCCTCTGTCATCGTCAGGTGTACCCTCCCAGTGAGTCTCGCTGGATCCCTGTGTGGGAAGCGAAGCTGACAAGAGCTGTGAGCACTTGTCAGACGTCTTCACTAGAAGGCAGCGTTACCGCGTTCCCGTGTGGGCCTCGCGACATCCAGGCTTGACGGCTTACATCGACGATGTGGTCGGCTCCGCACGCGTCCAGATTGCAAAGGCAAACATTAACTCTGTCCACGTCGTGTTGAGCTCCATCGCGACCCAAAAGGTCCTTGAGCGCTACCGCTTCGACGTCGATTTCCTCCTAGGCCATGTTCAGCCACGAGATCGCAATCTTAGGTGTGTGAAGTTTCTAATCCACAGAATCTTCTGAGTCTGAAGCTGACTACGAGTCTGTGCGAGTAGCATCCCGGGGAACATGACGGCAGAGACGATGGAGTTGCACATGCGTGCCTTCATGCAGAAACTCATCTCGCTCGACGGTGCCCTCTATGATGTCGAGGACGTCGAGGATGTCACGTGGTCCCTTGTCCTCGACATGAAGCCTGGCATGGCCCCTGAGACGGACGACAAGCTGGGAAGCGAGCCGAGTCAGGGCCCGTGGATGCCTCACGATGACGATGGGCCGGGTATGACGACATTAACTGGGGAGGGAGAGCATCGAGAGCCTCTGTCGGACTCCGACTCGCTTCGAGCCAAGCCGAAGGCCAAGGAGGCGCAGGATGATTCGCTCATTCTGCCTGTCAAGAGCCTCGATACTGGCGTTATCAACCTGATGCTCTACGTCGAAGAGCATCCACAGGCCAAGCGGGAGCAGCGTTCCCAATCGACTCCCAAAAGTAGCAACAGCAACAGCAATAGCAATAGCAACAGCAATAAAGTCAGCAACAGTCGCGACACCCTCGGCAAAAAGACGAAGCGCGCTCCCCTTGCGGCCACTGGTTCCTCGTCGACTTCTGCCTCGCTGCGACCTCATGCAGTCGAGCGGGATCTCGACGAGCCACAGCAGCTGCCGACGTCCTCGGGCGCCGTGGCGTCGAGCAAGATCAAGAAGCGCCGTAAAGTGGCCATGGGCGGCGTCGGCGGTGGCGCAGGCCAAAAAGAAGAGACGGACACGAGCGATGATGAGCAGGACTCGGCCTCGTCGAGGAGCGGGAGCAGCAACGACAGTATCCGAAGCGTCAACGATTTCGCGGGCTATGCAGGAAACGCCGGGGGCGCAGGCATGGCTGGGACGAGAATGTGATTGTGTTGTATTGTACTGTATGCTATATAGAAATACACAGCCTCGCCGGACGTTGTATGCATTCGTCCACACAGAAGCTCAATCGGAAAAGAGGAGCTCGAGGTTCTGTAGTGCTTCGGACTTGTCGTCTGGCCCGCGAGTTCCAGCCAGAGCGGCACCGACCAGTGCCGTTTTGCGGGCCTGGATGGCAAGAACTGTAGTAATCGCGTCAGCAATGGCCACCAGAAGCGACTTCATCTTCTACTCACTTCGATCCTCAATCGACTCGTCGATGAGATAGCGATGGACGTGGACCTCCCTCGTCTGTCCGAGACGATGGATGCGGTCGATAGCTTTGGCAGCAATCAGCTGATGAAGAGCATTTGCGACGATTTACTGGTACTTACCTTGGTCCTCAGTGCTCGCATTCCACCAGCAGTCGAGCAACCAGACGTGGTTAGCAGCTACCACTGATATGTCCGTCAGTGGCCAACATCAAGACATGAAGCGTTCGGAAAGCTCACAGTTGAGGCCCACACCTCCAGCACGAAGGGAAATCAGCATGAGCATGCGCTTGGGAGCACTGCTAAACTGCTTCAAGACAGTCTCTCGATCCTTTTGGGAAGTCGTGCCATCGAGTCGAACAAAAGCGTGGTGGTTCTTGCGAAGCACCACCTCGACGAGATCCAAAAAGGAAGTGAACTGACTCTGCGAGAGAAAACGTCTTTAGTACGAGCTCTGGGTAATAGGTGCTTCTTTTCTTTCAACGCACAAATATGACGCCCTTGAAATTGGGATCCTCGTAGCGGAGATTATTAAGGTGCTCCACCAAAGCCTCCAGCTTCGTGCTGCTTCTTAAATCATTGCGTCGGAAGAAGACTTCAGGCTGTGAATTTTGCGAAGAGGGCGGTGGGAGTTCTTGGTCGTCGTCCGAGCCGGCCCCGACGGCTTCGGCTATGCGATTTTTGCGGCGGCGCGTCCTTACGGCGCTGACGAATTGAGCAGGTGAGACGGGTCCCTTTCGACACGTTGGGCAAGCCGGCTCTTCGTCTTTCTCCTCGCATCGCTGCAAATGGTCGACGAGGCAGCTTCGGCAGCCCATATGCTTGCAGGGCAGATAGCATATCTCGCTCTTCTCCTCAAAGCAAAACGGACATTCCATGTCCTCTTCGCCGTCACCTTGCTGCTGCTGAATCAACTCCTGCAGTGCCTCGATCGAGAGCGCCTCCTGCCCATCGGCTACCACCTGAGATCGGGTGGGATCAGAATGATTGAGCCCGGCCTGATAGTCGGCGATGAGACGCTTCAGCTCTTCCTCCTTGTCTCCCAAGGCGTCCTCTTCCTTCTCTTCCTCAGCCTCCTTAAGCTTCTTAGGGCCCTTGAGAACGAGCATCGGATGGCAAACGGCCTGCCTCAGGCGCATAAGGACCGAGAAAATGAAGCTGAAGTTTCTCGAGATCGTCCCAGCAGCGGCCAGGGTCTGGTATTGCATGTAGGCCCGGTCGTAAACGCTGTCGTAAATCTGCCTTTCCAGCGGACTGAATTTGAGACGCACGACCTCAGTCACTTTTGGTGGCAGCTCGACGATGGATTTGCCATCTTTGTCCTTCATCTTCTTCTCGCGGCGCATGAGAACTGACTCAAGGACGACCTGAACGATTTCGAGGGCCCGCGGATTCTTTTGAGCGAACGGCTTGGAGATAAAGGAGTTGAAGAAGCTGAAGTCGCCCCATGGTTCAACCCGGAGAAAGCGTAGCAGGCTGTAGAAGTCTGTCAAGCGATTGACAATGGGCGTGCCGGTCAGACACCAGCGGCGCTTGGACATGAGCTCGCAGCACGCCTTCGAGTTTCTCGTTGCTCGATTCTTGATGTTGTGCGCTTCGTCTAGGATAATTCGGACCCACTCGACCGCAAACAGGGGGCAATTGTTCGCCAGATATTTGGAGCCAGAACCTCCGCTGTCTAGGAAGCGCTTGTACTCCGTTACCAAGGTGCCATATGAAGTGATGACAATGTCGACGCTTCCTCCCTCAAGCCTTCCGACAAGGTCGCCTTTCGATTCGGCATAGTAGAGCATCGAAGTCATCGAGGGTATCGCCCGCTCCATTTCGTCGCGCCACTGGCCGATCAAAGACATGGGCGCTACAACCAGTGTCACCTTCCCATCCGAGGCAGACGTCTTGAGCATAGCCCTGCGCCGATCAACGTCTGACGTGCTGCTCCCAGCGGCAAATGAGGTTGCCAGGGACATTTGACGATACTTTTTGCCCTGATCTTGCTTCTGTTCCTGTTCTTGCTGATCTGCACCTTGGCGCTCCTCCTCCAATTGCTCCTCCGTTGGTTGGTTGGTGAGGATCAAAGATGCCATTTGGATGGTCTTTCCCAGACCCATTTCATCTGCCAAAATTCCACCGCGAGCTCCTCGACTGGAGTGTTGGAACTTGAGGCTGAGATCGCCCGTGTATGGGTTGAAGTAAAAGGTGCCCGTCGCCGTGTCCAGCAGGTCCATGCGCTCGTCGTCGACGGGAAACCGATATTCCTCCCAGAGCGGGTGCAAACTCTGTTCTCGCGAGTCTTTGTTCTTCTTCTTGCCCTGCGGCTCCTCCATCTTGAGCATCCAACCGAGTGCCTGCTTCTGGTAAGGGCGCAGCGTCAATGCGAATCCATCCGCGGGTTCCACCTCTGGCAGCGAAGAGTCGTGCAGCTGCGCCTTGCTGTAGACATTCTCGAGCTGTACATCATCCATCTCTGTCCCATCATTCTCTTCTTGTTCCTCTCCATCCACCTCGATGGGCCCCTCCAAGATGGGTGGGTGAGATGTTGGCTTCGGACTCGGCTTCTGCGAAGCCAAAACGTCACCGTACTGCTCCATCATAGCTTCGCTGTCGAGATTCTCGCTGCCACGATGAGACTTGAGGATGTCGTTTGATAAACTGGGACGCAATGTGCATGCTCGAAACAGCCGAACTAGCGAGACCTTGCGTTCTCGCAGTCGTTTCTCGTCGGCTGATTCAGCTGTCTCTGAGCCCCAGCCATTGAGCGCATCGGGGCCATCCCTAAAAGAGATTCCTTCGGAAAGCGACTCTGGAAAGGCGGACCGCAATATGTATGCCTGGGAAGACAAAATAAGTAGATGACGACACCTGAGCTGCATTTAGAGACGCACCTTGATCTCCAGGAGCAGATCACAGCCTACTGTAAGGCTGGAGGGACAGTCAACGACGAATCCCTCGAAATGTGCTACGTCGTGGTCCATCACTTTTGACATCCACACTGAAATGTCACTTGGTATTCTCCCCACTTCGAAGCCTGGCAAACTCAGTCAGCAAGATTCGTCCTGAATTTTCATAGGCCAACTTGCTTACCTCTCATGTTGCTGAATCTGACAATATAGTCCTCTTTCTGCTTGACTTTCTTGACCGAAGACGCAGCTGCCCCGAAGCTCAGCGTTGTCTGCTTCTTGCCTGCTTTCGTGATTTTGGTCGGCTGAGCCTGGAGGGGCTTGGGTTTTTGCCTCTGGATCATGACCTTGTCCCCTTGCTTGATGTAGTTAGGACCCTTGCTGAGCGACCATGCCGGCACGATGAATGTTCCCAGCAGTCTCTTGCCCCATTTCCCGATATCTTTGCTGCTACTGCTACTACTGTCTTCGCTAAGATTCCTCTGCATCATTGTATCGCCCGATTCAGCCCGGTCAAGGCGCAATCTCTTTGCCTTCACATCAGTATCGAGCCCGTTCGACCTTTTCCCATTCGCTTGGTTTCCTTGGTCAGGCAATGCTTCGATCGTCGCCATTGCACTATCCTCTGTTTCACCATCGCCATCGTTGTCGTCGTCGTCATCTTCATCATCGCCTCGAAACAGGGCCCGGGGTGGAGCGGGCGATTCCTCTGCCTTCTGCTGCTCTGTGGCATTGTCGGCCACTGCCTTTGCCAATGTGTTGGGTGCAGATGACTGCGGGGGACTAGAAGAGAAGAAATCTTCTCCTCCATCGTCGCTGCTCGTCGTCATTTCGTCAGCCTCTGGGCCGAAGAAGCTGAGAAGTCAAAAGGTGTTGCTCCGCCGCCGCCGCGTCGTCGTTCATCTTTTTTCTGAGTTGATAATCCTGTAATGAACCACGCGCCTGCCAATTTACAGGACGCGTTCGAGATCCTCTTACGTAACACCATAGCGATGTACTGTACCACAGAAGTGCGGCAAACGCTATGGCGCTTGAATGTTGCTGCAATTCCATTTCATGCGGAACGTGCTGAGGCTGAGTTTTGATTATGATGGACCGCTGAATTGATGAGAAGTCATATGAGACAGGTGCTCAGGCCCTGCCAAGCTAATGCCCTGTATCAGACGAAAGCCGCGGCATGATCACATCTTGTTCGCAAAGCGTGACTGATCTCCATGCGTGAGCAAAGTCGGTATGGAGAGGTAAGAGGACCGTATAGTGCTAGTCTCTAGAGGATGCTTGGGCCGCTGTCTCATTAATATTGTGCACGCCACCGCGTCTGTCACTGTGCTCCCATCGCCCACTATTTCTGCTGCCGAGTTGCCCAAGGACGGTACTGTAGGTCAATTTGAGGCCAGTGATGAGCATGCGGTTTCATTAATCCCGAAGTTCCAAAAGCAGGAAGCTTTGACTGAATGAGGGGTCCGTTCGCCTCTAATTTGAATCCGTATCAGGTCTCATCAAATTGACAATGGCAGAAGGGGCCTGTGCTTTCTCATTCACAACATAGCTGCTAGAAAAGGAAGGACGTCTGCGTCGCTGTCCTTGTCTTGACCCCTTTGAGTGAAAGTACATCTCCCCCGTCTCTCTCTCACCCACCTCTCGCTCCTCTAGACCTTCGCAAAGGGTTTCTAGAGCTCATCATCTAAAAAACGTGTGTACCATTTTGGTGCGACGACAATGTCTTCAATGGTGGGCAGTGGCCGCAACGGAGGAGGCAACGCCAGCAGCAATACTTTCAGCCGGAGCAATAGTGGACGGAGCGGAGGCAACGGCAACAACAATGACAACTACAGCCGCCCTCAAAGCCATATGACGCCTAGTGAACCGTCAACAGCGCACGACGACTCCACAAGGTTAGTACACTTGAAACCATCTCTCTCAAAGGGTCGGATTGCGGCCGCTGACGTGTGCTCGTAGCGGCTTTTCTGACGATGCTGTCTCGTTCAATGAAAGTGTTTTCTCTGGCCAAGGCGGCGCACCCTCGACCCTTGGTGGCGCCACTTCGATTTCGGGAGCCTCGCACTATCAAAGGAGTGGCAAAGGCAGCGTCGGCAACGCCCCTCGATCCCCACTTGGTGTGAACGTGAAAAGTACAGCGGGCCTTGATGAGAATCAGTCCAGTGCCACTCTCGGAAGTATCGCCAGCGAGATGATCGAGAATCGCAACCGAGCAGGCAGCGACGGTATTCACGGCCAGAACAATCAACAAAATGGTACAGTCCAGCAAGGCCGCGGCAACAATGCTAACAACAACAACGCCGACAGAGCTCAACACCGTGAGTCGGCGACCTCAAGGTACGAAGACGCCAGCGATGTCCTTGGCTCGACAGAGGACACGTTCGTACGTAGCGACGAGCGTGACAGGCATGGAATGCCCACTGCTACTCTGTCTGGCGTCCAAGAGAGCTACGACTACGAAGATCCTCCAAGCAAGGGCCGAGCTGATTCTCGCCGGGGCGCCGGCATGGCCAACGCTTCGCAATTTGAGCAGACTGACGCCGCCTCTTTCGTAGGCCAGGACCCAATCGCTCAGGCGGGTGACTTCAACCGCGACGACGCTGACGTTGTCTTTCTGAGCTCCGAGATGGGCTCGGGCCCCAACCGTCAGCCTGCGACTCGTTTCAAGATTCATTCGATCAACCTTCACGTCCACTCGCCTGCGCTGAGTGAAATGGTCGATGATCTTGAAGACAGCCAGATGGAGTTGCAACTTGAAGAAGATGCGGCCACTCTCAAGCTTCTTTTCGGACTCATGTACAACCGTCCCGCACCATCGCTTGGCATGAACGAGTGGCAAGTTGTCCTGCGCCTCGCTCGATGCGCGCAGAAGTACGACGTTGCCCGCGCCAAGGAGGTTGCTGCCGCCTACTTTACCGAGCAGGAGCAATTGGGCGCTCTGTCGCCCTTTATGACGTACGCTTTTAGCGTCCAATACAGTGAGTCGTCCCGTAAGTTGCCCGTCATTGCAACGAGGGCTTACCGTGACTGTGAACGCAGGGCTCCCCGCCCTGGAGGAGGCTGCTGCCGAGCGATCGGTTCGCTATGATATCCACCACCTGCCTGAGCTTGTGTTCAACATGATGGGCTTCAGTGCATTCCAGAAGCTGGCCGCGTTCCACGCTCGCCGTCAGAGCCACTACAGCGACTGCCTCAATGCGATTGCGATGGACCCAAAGGAGCTGGCCGACCAGTGCTACCAGACAGGCGGCGTATGCGTTATTGCGCCATGGAACAAGCTCAAGAACAAGCTGGCTTGGCCTCGTCAGATGGGCCGAGACGGCTCCAAGAAGCCTCCGGAGCCTGCCGACATCATTCGAAAGCTCGTTACTGAGATTGGCCAAGTGGGTTGTAGTAAGGAAATAAGATGTGTATCAGATTGACATAACTGACCCGCCAGCGACAGATCGACTGTGGCACATGCTCAAAGGCGCTCGTCGAAGGTGCCTTGCAGGCTCAGTTGGCACTCGAGAGTATGCCTTCGTACGTCGACAGGGAGGACGCTTTTTGAACGTCGCCCGTACACCCCCCACACTCTTTTCTCCTCTCCCTCCTTCGCGGTGCTAATTTTTCCTACCACTTTTTGAAGAGCCAAACCGAAAGAATTTTAAAACCAACCTCATTCTGCCTTCGAAATCAATGCCTTCTTCGCTTCGATAACAAGTCCCTTACTCTGATAAAAAAGCGCCCTTCTTAAAACAGTAGTAGTCGTTGGTGTCTTCCGGTGTGTGCAGCTCGCATCTTTTTCTCGCTAGTTTCTATCACCCCAAAGGCGAAAGACGTGACAGAACAAAAGAATAGAAAAAGACAGGAACAGAAAAGTAGAAGAAGGGCTGCAGGGGCTGGCGGAGGAGATAGACAGCCCTGGCTGGGATGGATAAAACATCGCCCCCCCACCACTTGGTTGCGGCGTTTTTTCCGACCGCGGGTGAAGCCGCGTGATTCGAGCTAGAAGAGTAAGGCGAGGAAGGGGCCAATGCTCTATTCGTGTAATCTTTCCCTTCTGATCAGAAGTAGTAGGCCGTCTCTCTCGTTCCCTGTACCAAATTGTCCTTGGCCGGCTGGCCTTCGGCCTACTTCAAAGTCAGTAGACCATTCGATCGTCCGGCAGAAGCCGGCAAAGGGAGAAAGAGCCGTGCAAGTCATGAGTAGCAGTAGTCGCAGTAGTAGCAGTAGGTAGTGAAGCAGTAGGTAGTGTAGCAGTAGTTGCGTAGCAACTCGCGAAAAGTGTATCTTGCTGAGCGGAGTCACACTTCGAATGACTGTCGAGTGAGGCGAAACGTGGGAAAGGGAAAAAGACTGGGGGAGGGGACGATGAGGGAATGAAAGGATGCCCTTTCTTTTCTATTTTTTTTTTTCTGACTTTTCTGCCAAGGGCCCACGCTCGCTCGGTCCAGGCTGCTTGTTTGGCGCGGATTTTCAACTTGGCCTTCACCATCTCACAGATACTCCGGACGGCGACAGCACGGGGGCTGAAGACGAGAGAAGGACGAGCAGTGGACTACACGGGAGGGCTAGAGATCCTCGAGTAAGATCCGTGCCCCTCTACTGCGCTTGCCTCCTGTTGTTCATCATCATCATCATCATCACGCAACCGCAAAGTCACCGGAAACGCCGTCCTCGCCGCTCCTGCTGCCCGCCCGCCTGTTCGCCCGCCCGCCTGCCCGCCAGTCCGCCGCCGCCGTCGCCGCCGCGCTCCCTCCGTCGTCAACGGAGGTGCGACCCTCTTTTCTTTTTTTGCCCAATTTCCCTCACTGTTTTTTTTCCTATTTTAGTCTTTACTGGCCTGGTACCGCTGCGGTGGAAGAAGGTGTTTCAGGGGGAGTGATCACATAAAACGCCCGCCGTCACCACTACGACGCACGCCGCTGCTGCATCGCCGTGGTATATCCCGGCCCTCCCTTGCTCTTGTCCACTTGTGATCGCACCGTCGATCTGGCGGAATCAGGCGGGAGCACGCATTTAGGCCGGTCAAGGATCCGCTCGAGACCGATGATAGCCATGCCATCGCCGATTCCCATCAACGGCAGCAGCAGCAGCAGCAGCAGCAGCAGCAGCAGCAACAACAACAACAAGAACAGCAGCGGCGGTACTAGTAGCAATGCTGGCAGTGCCGGTAGTCTGTCCCCAACGATGACTGCAAGCGCTGCCGCAAGAGCAATTTCGGGGTCGAGGACTGGGCCGAGCTTGGAACCGGGGCCAGGGGCAGGGGCAGGGGCAGGGACAGGTGCAGGGACGTGCGCATACATCGACGATGGGACACGAAAGCGACACTGGCCGCCCCGGCTCTATCTCGCCGTTGACTGTGGCGGCACCAAGACGGCAGCAGCAGTGTGCGACGAGGCGGGCATCCTTCTGGGTCGAGGCCACGGTGGTCCGGCAAACTACACCGATGTCGGCCTGCTCGCCTTTCTCAACTCTGTCCAGGAGGCCGTCTCGGATGCGCTGCGGCGGGTGGCCAGGCATCTCCTCGAGTTGCCCCTTGATGCTTGGCATTCGATCCAAACCGCCGATCCACCTCCCATCCGTGTCTATGACGAAAACGGGGGTTCGTCGTCGTCGTCTCCCAGCTTCTCTTCGTCGTCGAGGGCGTCGATCGTGGCTGCGCTTGATGCCATTCGCTTTCCTGGTCTGCCCGAAGATGCACGTCGGCCCTGGTTCGAGGCTGCCTGGTTCGGCATCGCCGGTGTGGACAGTCCTGTAGATGTGACGACGCTGAGCCCGCACCTGGCCAGCCTCCTCTCGCTTCCCTACCCCAGCCCCCGGCTCATTGTGGCAAACGACACGTCGCTTCTCGCCTCGCCCGTCACCGATCCGAGCAGACCAGAGATCCGGAGCGGCGTCGTCGTCATTGCCGGCACAGGCAGCATCGTCATGAGCTTCAAGCAGAGGAGCGACGGCCTGCTCAAGGTCCTCGGCCGCGTCGGTGGCTTTGGATGGCTCCTGGGCGACGAAGGGAGCGGGTACCAGGTGGGCAAAAGCGCCGTTCGCAAGGTGCTCGACATGGCCGATCGGCAGAGGCTGCTTGCCCACAGCGATGAAGAAGACAGCAATGACCGCGAACACGGCCGTGACGGTGAGGGATGCGAAGAGCACGAGGGAAGCTGTTCGACGTCGACATCGACATCAGAGGAAAGTCCAGATGAGGGCGAATTGGTGTCCTTTGCCACGAGGTCGGGCACCATCAAGATGCGCAAGAAGCCGGGGCCCCGTTGCAGGGTGGCCTCCTCGAGAACAGCTGCGAGGGGCGACTCGGTCAGCAAGGAGGCACCGCCGTACGGCCGCGTGCTGAGAGATCGCATCCTGCAGCACTGGTCAATCGTCTCGACCGACGAGCTCCTTGGCGCCGTCTATTCCGATGATATCTCGGCCGCACCGAGCAGCAGCGGCAGTCTCAGAACCTCGCCCGCCACGGCTAAGAACGGTGGCGATGCAGAGACTAGTGCCGCCGCCACATCGTCGCTCTCGGCCAGTGAGGCCTCAGCCAACCTGCTGCCCCCCGTCGCACCGACACTCGACGTCGAAGTCCAATTTCGGGGCGCTTCGCCCATCCCCTCGCTCAGCTCTAGCCCCACGGACTCAACGGCCTCGTCGTCCGTCCATCATAGCTCGCACTTGGCCGCTGGCCCCGCGAGCTCCGCACGACCGCCCAACTCGGCTCGGTCGCATTCTGAGTCGAGTGTGCGTGACGATCGATCCTCTCGCGGCGAGCGACAGACGGGGGAGCGTAAACACCGGCTGGCCTCGCTCGCCCCACTCGTCTTTCATCTCGCCTTTAGCCACGACGATGCCATGTCGCTCGACATCCTCCGCGAGCAGGCCCACCATCTCGCAAAGAGCGTTGCCGAGCTGCTCAAGCCACCGCCGAGCACGCGGGCCCATCTCAAGGCCCACGAGAGCGTGCTGTGCATGGGTGGCAGCCTCGTGGGTGTCGAGCGATACCGCCAATTGCTCGTCGAGGAGCTTGCCAAGCTCGGTATTGCCTTTGACAGCGTCGTCTACGTTGGCGATCCAGCCCGCAGCGGTGCAGTGGCCCTCAGCGCCGTCGTCGAGAAGCTGCGAGACAGCGAGACGTGAGGGCGATTCTCTACTCCTCTTCTGTTGGTCATTTCTTCTTTTCCTTTCCTCCCAGCCAAGCAGCATTCATTACAGAGCTTTCCTAGCAGTAAAGACCCGTCCATTCATCAAACTTGTACTTCTTACTCTCTCTCCTCCCTTTCTCTCAATCCATCGTGACAAGGCTGGCCTCCCAAAGAGAGACGGATTTCTTCTCTTCGCTCGCGCGCTCTGGTCTCGCTCTCGAGAGATTTTTGACTGTTTTTGACTCATTTTTCAAGGGAAGAAACCCTCCACCCAAGCCTTATCCCTCGCGCTATCAAATCTTCGCGAACGATTTCTTCTTCTTCCTTTCTCGTCACCAGCTTCACAGAAAGTAGACATGCTTGTCGCTCGTCGGTGCTCGGCGCTCGCGAGGGGCTTGCCCCTGCGCAGGGCTTTCGCCAGTAAAGCTGGAGTGCGCATTTCCATTCCTTTTTCTTCCCTTCTCGCTAGCTCACATGCCCTTCTCTTTGCCTCTCACTGCAGCCCTGCGATGCCTACCTCGCCGTGACTCACCCAGACGGCTCCGCATCCTCGGCGTCTCAAGTCTCCCAGACGCTCTCCAGATTTGACGAATCGACACTGGCGACGTACTCGCGCCCGACGGTGCTCCTCACGCGCGGCAAGGGACTGGACCTCTATGCCAAGGTCGATGCCTCGACGGAGCCCTCTGGCTCGTCGGAACGGCGCTACCTCGACTTCTCGAGCGGCATCGCCGTCAACTCGCTGGGGCACGCAGACGGCGAGATTGCCAAGATCGCAGGCGAGCAGGCCGGTCTGCTCGTCCACAGCAGCAACCTGTACCACAACGAGTGGAGCGGCGAGCTCGCCGACCGCATGGTCCAGCTCACCCGGCAGCACGGCGGCTTGGGTATGCCCAAGGGCGACCCCGACAACAAGGCTCACCAGCTCAAGGTCTTTTTGGCCAATAGTGGGACAGAAGCAAACGAAGGTGAGCAGCAGCAGTGGTAACGAGCGCGTGCATTAGGTAAATGCGTGAGCAAGAGAAGTTGATGGACAAGGACGATGAATAATACAGCGGCGCTCAAGTTTGCCCGAAAATACGCAATGGTGACGTCCAACGCCCAGCCCGGGGAAAAGTCTGGCCTCGTCTCTTTTCAAAACGCCTTTCACGGAAGGACAATGGGCGCTCTGTCCATGACACCTGCGCCCAAGTACCAGGCGCCCTTTGCGCCCCTCATTCCAAATGTGCGGACGGGCGTCTACAACGATGTCTCCCAGCTCGACACTCTCATCGACGACAAGACGGCAGGCGTCATCGTGGAGCCCATCCAGGGCGAGGGCGGCATCTTCCCGGCCACGCATGAGTTCCTTTTGGCTCTTCGAAAGCGGTGTGATGAGGTTGGTGCCCTCCTCATGTACGATGAGATTCAGTGCGGCCTGTTCCGGTCTGGCACGCTGTGGTGCCACTCGGAACTGCCCGTCGAGGCGCACCCGGATCTCGTCACGATGGCCAAGCCGCTGGCCAACGGGTTTCCCATCGGAGCGGTTCTCATGAAGAAGAAGGTGGCAGATGCCATCGCAGTCGGTGACCACGGGACAACATTTGGGGGCGGGCCTCTGACCTCGAGGATCGCACATCACGTCCTCGGTCGTCTGTCCTCTCCCGAGCTCGTATCCAACATCGAATCGTCGTCTGAACACCTCCTCGAACGTCTCACTGCTCTGCGCCATCACTTCTCCGACCTCATTGCACACGACGAGCACAAGCCGAGCCCCAGAGGACGGGGCTTGCTCGTGGGCGTGAGCATGAAGGAGCCGAGTCATGCAGGGAAAATGGTAAAGCTGGCCAGAGAGAGGGGTCTGATTGTCTTGAGCGCAGGAAGCGACACGGTGAGGATCGCGCCGAGCCTTATCGTGACCAAGGAGCAGGTCGACGAGGCAATCGACGTTCTCGAGAGCTGTTTCCTGGTCCTTAGAGGGGAGACATAGAGCTGCAAAGCTTCCCGTTTGCTGCAATGTCGATGTCATTGACTAGAGAAAGTCTATTGAATGAGCCGGAGCTTGTGAAATTTAGGCAGGTCTTCGAAAGGGTGGCGATTCGCATTCAGTAATGGTCGTGAATGAAGCAATTGTATAGACGCAACTCACTAAGTCGGAGGTAGTCGAGATGCTTTGCGTGGAGTGCATCAGCCTGCCGCACGCCCTCGCCGCTCCACGTTCTCCATCTCGACTCTTCGCCGTAGACGACGGTCCGATCAGGCAATCTGAATATCCCTGGCTCCGCCTCCTGCTCCTTCTTCCCTTCCTCATCCTGGCCCTGCCTTTGTTCTGGCTCTGGCGGTGTCCATGTTGGAGGCGGAACGACGACGGACCCTGCACCCACTAGGCAGAAGTCCCCAATCGCAACGAGGTCCGTCACCCGGCACTTTGGCTCAAAGGTGTTCCTCGATCCCACCTGCCTCGCCTCGACTCCTTTTCGGGTCGACTTCTCCGTCAGCACACTATTCTTTTATCCCGCCTTGACACTAGAAACGAGACACGGTACTCACTGCACCCGACCTCAAACAAGTTCGAGTCACCCACGACCATCCTCGTCGGCGCGCCAGATGCACCAATTCGACAGACGAGCTGAGCGCCTTCTTCGACGATGCAGTCGCGCCCGATCTCGATCGTTGTGCCGTTGAGCGCATGCACAATCGCCTTGGGGTGAATGACAGAGCCTGATCAAGTCACACCATCCCTCGCCGCGAATCAGCTCTGGGAAAACCTGACAGCAAGATGGAGAGAGAGAGAGAAAGAGGGGAGAGAGTGCTCACCGCTGCCAATGACGATGTCGCCGCGGAGGTCCGTGTCGGCCGCGATAAAGCAGCGCGACCCAACACTCAGCTTGACCGGAGGACTGTCAAATTCGCCGCTGTATAAGCGACATGAGTCAAAAGTGAGGTCGATAGGGTACTCACGGCGCCATCGTTGCATCCCCGTAGTGAGGATGTCGACGAGAAGAAAAGTGGAGACAGGACCACACGCGAATGTGACAAAATTAGAGCTTGCCCGACATAGCGGCATTTCCGTGGATATTCAGAGCAATGCTTGATAGAGGGGGTATGACTATGTTACAAAAAGACTTGCAAAGACTGAGGTTGATGAAGACCTTGATATGAAAAAGAACAAGTGAAGTCAGGCCAGTATGCCCTCGATCGTCCCTCTCAATGCATCTGACCAGGCTTCGAGGGCACCGACAAGGAAGTTTGACGGAGCTTTGGCCAGTGCGGGTTTGCCCCCATTTCCCAAGCCCGGTCCAGGTCCGAGGCCCTTGCGAGCTAGGGCCCAAGAGCGGACTTTGCTCGCGTCGATCGGGATCTGCGAGGCTATGTCTTCCCTTGAGAAGAAATGGCCGTGGAGGCCGTATGGAACTGCAAGTCGCAGATGTCAGCAGATTGTCTCAGATTCAATGGCAGGCAGCGTAGCAAACTGACCCCTCTGAGGCAGCTCGATGCGACAGACGACCGTCTTCATGTCTTTTGCATCGATGATGTACAGCTCGCTTTTGGCGTCGGGTGTGCAATCGCCGTCTGCGTTGAGGCCCTTGGACTCGTCAAAGACGAAAAATACGAGATAGCCATCGTCTTCGTCCCCGCCTTCCACTCGAGGGACGAAGGTAGCCTCTTGACCATAGCAGAGTGGGGGCAGGGCGAAGATCTTGATGGCGTCCTCTTTCTCGCCCGATTGAAGAATCTCAGAAACCGTTCGGTCGTCCACGCATTCGCCCTTGGAGAGCAAACCAGCGTCCTGGCGAGACCTGCCTCTGCACACGAGGGCCTCAACGTCTACCTTTGCCAGGCAGTCGATCTTGGCATTGCGGCTCCCGAGGCCGGCGTCAAAGGAGCCACAGGTCATACTGGCTCCGTATACGAATCGGTTCTTTCGCTGCGAGAAACGCTCGTTGATTGTTGGGAATTCCAAGGGGATGTTGCAGAGCGCAAACTCGTGCGAAATGGTGTTACTCCGAGGTGCAAAACGCCAAAAGTACAGATGGCAACGCTCCTCTTGACCTAAGGGCGGCTTGCAGTTGTCTGGCGTAGCAATGTTACCTGCGCTATAGACCAGCGTGGCGCTGTTGAGTCGGCATGCCAAGAGGCAAGCTGCGTCTTCGTCATCGTCCCATGCATTGGCGGCGTGGAAGATGGAGCAGGACTCGCTCTCGTACCATTGGATCTCCTGGGGAGCCCATCGAGGCATGACGCCGAACCTTGTCGGCATGTCACGATGGTAGCTGAGCATTGACTGTCCTGCGACCAGATTACGAGGATCGAGGACGAGTGGGAGGTCGATGAGAATAGTCTTTGTTGCTGTCGCGCCAAAGTCGTGGGCCAGCTTCGGTCGGGCCACGCCACGTACAGGCGCGCCCAGCAGAGCAGGTTTTCGAGAAGAACGAGGCGGGATGACGCTCACTCGCAAAAAGGGTGCAGCAAAGGACATGTGGTAGAGCAACAGCTCATTTGTCACCGGGTCCACTCGAGGGTGGGCCGTGGTGAACTCGTTGAGCATCTTGAACGGGCCCTGTCCTTTTGCCCAGCCGCCATGCCACCAGTCGGCCGTCTCGAGACCGGGAAGCAATATTTGGATAGGTGGTCCGCTCTCGCATCCAGCGAAAGCCCTTCCATCATGCCAGTAGACAGAAGTGTTGGCCACACTGATGCGTCCCACACGAGGTCGACGCTGGAAGGGTAGCCAACTGAGGAAGACGAGGACGATCGAGCGGAGAAGCATGGCCAAAAGATAAGGTAGAGCTGACCATTGGAAAGGAAGCGCGAACGAGGTGATCGATGGCAAAATTGGTTGACGGTACTTGGTGCTGGTCGACAAGAGGACGTCTGTGAGAATGTACTTGTTGATGAACATTGGCCGTGCGTCTCTTGATCTTGCTTCCTTTTCTCCAGGAGTCGGTTCGGAGAACAAGACACCGGTCAGCATGCCTTTGCCGCAAAGTCAGCGATGCAGCTCAAGACAAGATAATTGCGCCCAAGACTCACCGTCACCGTCAAACCAATGCGCATCCCGTTTCTCGTCGCCGTCTGCCAGAGGATTGCCGCCATTACGAACGTACTGGCCGCCGTGGAAGCATGTCGGAACGCTTCCTTGCACTACGACGCCCTCAGTCAGCGGCAGCTCCCGCTTGACGGGCGTGTAATTGCCAGACGTATAGGGATGCCTCATGGTCGCCGACGACGAGCAAGACAAAGACGTTAGGGCAGCTCCAATCCAGCTCGAGCACAGGCGAAGGCTTAGAAGCTAGCCTGTGCAGGGTTCAGCACTCGGTGCGTTGCCCATCGGGCAAAATTGCAAACCTCCACATCCGAAATCAGAAAAGATCCCTTTGACATGGAAAAAGATCAAAAAAGGATGACGCGCATCGATGGGGCCCACAAAAACTGCTTACATCAGGACAAGGATTGTAGATTGGCACCGACGATACAGGACTGGACCCTGGACTGGAGGTCCACAATCTTTGGTGACTGCCATCGAGCTTACCACCTATAGTGGTTGATGATGTTATAGCCCGGCCCTGAGCTTGAAATTAAATGCACCAGCGGGCTTCCAGCTTAGTAAGAAGGGATTGTCGGGCTGCCGTCATGCACCCTGTCCGCATGCCTCTATACACAAAAGCCACCGCTACCTACCTACAACTGCTTCCAGGGTCGAGCCGTGCAATGGAAAAAGGTTGGTTAGCCGCATCGATCGGCAGCGGCACCCTTGTGAAGATGAAAGTCCTCCCTTCTAGCGCCTAAGCGCACCCACGGCGTATCTTTTCTGTGTCCGTATCTCTCTGGGCCACCGTAAGTGCTCGTCTCAGCTGGCGAAAAAGGCCAGGTAACGTATGACGCAGTGCACTTGATTTACCAGGCCATTCCCGTATTCTATCCCTGAAAACTGTTCACTTTGAAGGAGAATAGGTTTCAATTAGACGGCCCCTCACCGTCAGGATCGATGATGATGAAATGCCTCGAAACAACGACTGAAAAGGCCCGCTTTGGGTCGGTCGATAGATGGCCACGAGCTGGGCCTTAAATACTGTCTGTCTTTGAATGGCAGAGCCATTTCACTTGTATCCTTCTCTACTTTCCTCCTCCCCCCGTATCAACAATCACCCCTCACCACCGGATTATGTCTTCGACCATGGTAAATCTCGCTTCACGGGCGGGGAACGAAGCCCTCAGCGTTAACCCCACTGTTGCCGACATCGACATCACGACAGCGGCATCCGACTTTCTCTGGATGATCTTTTGCGTCATGGCCGCCACGACCTTGGGAGTGGCATTCTGGGCCGGATTCACCGTCCCCCGTGGCAACCGCACCTTCCACAATCTCACCGTCATGATCACTGCCACGGCCTCGATCGCCTACTTCTGCATGGCTTCGGACCTCGGTGGGACGCCAATCCCAGTCGAGTTCAGAGCCGGCGATCTGCGCAGCGCTACCGGCGGCACACCCACCCGTTCCATTTGGTACGCCCGCTACATTGACTGGACCATCACCACGCCCCTCCTTCTCCTAGAGCTGCTTCTGGTCACGGGACTGCCCCTGAGCGACATTGTCATCACCATCTTTGCCGACCTCGTCATGATCATCACTGGTCTCATTGGCAGTCTCGTTTCCTCGACGTACAAGTGGGGTCTCTTCACCATCGGCTGCTTCGCCATGTTCTACGTCTTCTACATGCTCTACGGACCCGCCCGAGCCTCTTCTAAGCAGCTGGGATCCGAGCTTTCCCGCACATACCTCATTGGAGCCAGCATCCTCAGTTTCCTTTGGTTCCTCTACCCCATTTGCTGGGGCCTCGCGGATGGCTCCAACACGATCAGCCCCACGGGCGAGATGGTCTTTTACGGTGTTCTTGATCTCCTCGCCAAGCCCGTCTTTGCCATCATCCACCTCGTTTCGCTCCGCGGCATTGATTACTCTGCTCTCCAGCTCTCGTCTGGGAAGTATTCCGAGTTCGCCCATTCCAGCTCCCTTGAAAAGGGCGGCGCAGCAGCTGCTGGCACCGGCGCTGCCAATCACCGTCTCTCGGAAGCCACCGTGGCCCACCACCCCACGACGACGGAAAAGAACGGCGAAACGGCTCGCGCCGCTCCCGAGACTCACAACGATCAGACCACCCTCGACGGCCACTAAATTCTTTTACAGTCAAGTCTGCTCTTCTCTCTCTCCTCTCCCATCCCGTTCCCACCCTTCCCCTTGCTCGATCTAGGTCACCTCTCCGAGTATTCACCACCCACTATATCATATACCTCCTATTCTCGCTGCGAAATGGCAGTCAAATCCACTCTGGCCTTGTCTTTCTTCTCAATCTTGATCAAAGATCCTTTCCGAGCTCTCAAGTAGGATGGATGCTCAGAATGGAAAGCACACATAGCGGGAACAGGTTATAGAGCAGACGCCGTCCAGCCACTTGGAAAGTGCCAATGTATTTTGCGATTACTTAGGTTTTAGGCGTCGACAAAAGCTTTGACATTCTCGAGCCAGGAGCAGTACTCTGTAGGAAGAAGAAAACGGAATAAGTCAGCGACATGTGCGACGGGCTTCTCTAGGACATGTCATCGATGCTCACCTCTCTGCTCCTTGTATTCGGCAAAGTTGGGGATGAAGAGAGCCAGGTCCGTGGCGATACCCCTCTCCTCCAAGAATGATTCGAATTGTGCTTGGACGGCCTCATCGAGCGTCTCAAACTGTGTAAAGGAGTCAGACAACGGGTACACTCGTGGAACCTGTAGAGTGAAAACGGCTCAAACATACCTGAGGACCAATGTAGAGGCCTCTTCGCGCCCAATCAGCTTCGGCCGTCAGCTCGGTGGCCAGCTTGGGGTCCTTATAGAAGCTGATGTTCTCAATGTTGAAGTCGCCGTCAACGGCCTGAGCATCGATGGTCAACGCGCCTTGGTTGGGCTGCGTGTTCGAGTCAGCTACTGAGCAATTAGGAGAAGACGAAAGGGAGCATTCGCACCTTTGAAATGGTAATGGCACATCGGACAGGGAAGCTAGGTGTGTCCTCGTCCTCCTTTCCCTCTGCATCGGCATCATCCATGTCGCTCTGCACGTCTGCGGTGTCAATGTCGCCGATGGAGAAGAGGACGCGAATGTGCTCGTTTCCAAAGTCCCTCGTCAGCGCAATCTCGTCGCTGCCCGCCACATCCTCAATCTTCCAGACGCCAGCCTGCCTGAATTCGGCCAGAAACGCAGGCTCGGATCCGCCAGACTCGCGCTGAATCTGGGCAGCCGTCTCCTGCTCGTACGAAATCTCCTGGGCGAGGCGCGACGAGAGCTCCTGGTCGTGCTCACCGGCACCCAGAACGGGGCGGGTTGTCGAGAGGAGGCGGGCCTGCTGAGCGAGGTGCCTCACCGGCGTGGCCACAAGCGAGCGAGGAGCGATGCGGCTGCTCGAGGTGGCAGCCACCCTAACGGAGCGCGCCAGCGAATTCCTGAACGCGGACATGATCTCGTACTATCAAAAATTGGTCGCTGCTGCTTTCTTCGTGGTGAATCGGTGGAGGAAACGCACTTCACTTTGCAAAGACGGCGATGAGCAAAAAAAAAAAAGGGCGCGCGACACGTGGTCTCGGGAAGGCCTTCTTTCCGTTCACGGTTTCGCGTGAGATCTTCTTAAAAGAGGTGTGAACTTCCAGAGACGCCAACGAGACGCCGTGCCAGCATCTCATCAGATGTTGAGCGCAAGGACCTAGTACAACGGCTCAGTACAAACGAAACGTCTCTGAAGACACAGCAACGATGCCATGGCGATACGAAAACGGTCTCCGAACCATGATACTGTCACGATCGTCGCAGTACGAAGAGTGGGCGATGCGAACTCCCTCGTCAATCAAGGCAGAGGGATACAAGCACTGGGAGGTCATTTCTGGACAGTGGCAACGTCCTGATCCCACAGAGATAGACCAAGTGAGTGACGAGGTTGCCAAGTGGGAACTCTGCGACGCCGAAGCTTCCAAGATGATCAACGCAAGGATCTCCGCCAACTTACGACCCATCATCGACGAACTCGAGACGTCCAAGGAACGCTGGGACAAGCTCAAAGAACATCTCTGCAGGCCAATGACGGCTTCAAGGATCTCTGCCATTGAGAGAGACTTCTTAAAACTACGACAGACGTCCACAGCGTCGAAATTCCTAGTGAAATTTTTCACCACAAGAGCACAACTCGCCCGTCTAGGCTGTCAAATATCTGCGTTTATGCAGTTCCATATCCTCATCGAAGGCCTCAGCTCCGATTACAGATTCTACAAGCCAGTGTGGGAGCTTGAATTCAACAAGGAAATGAAAGCTATCGACATCAAGGACAAAGCGGGACAGGACAAGGTGGTCGAGCAGCCTTTTTACATGATGATAGCTACCGCGAACAGCCGCGAGTGCGACGAACGTCAACGCTTGCAGCAACAGGGTCGGCGTCGCCACCCAAAGCCTACCGCAGACAAAGCTCTCTCTTCCCAGCATGACAATAAGCAAGGCAAAGATGTAATCAAATGCACCTACTGCAAGAAGCGCGGCCACCTCTACAAGGATTGCAGGAAACGCCTCCAAGTCAGCAACAAAGCTCCGCACCACATTCACAAACAACCCGCGCAGAAAAATGATGAGTCTGACGACATACCAAAGGCCTATGTAGCGTTCAAGGATGACCTTGTGGCCGGCGTTAACGGCTGGATTGCTGTCACTGCTGCCACACGTCACATGTCGAGTTTCAAAGGCGATTTCATCGAACTGCAAGACGCGAGAGGCCCCGTTGATCTTGGCGGCGGAAGGTGGCTGCCTATCCACGGGAAGGGGACGGTTCGTATGATCTCGCGCAGCGACGGACGCGTCTTCCACCTCGTCAATGTTCTCTACGTCCCCGGCCTCAAATTCCGCCTCCTCTCTGTCCAATGCTGCCAGGAGCAAGGACGTGACGTCAAGATCAGCATGGACTTGTACGAAATTACCATCACATTTGGCGCTCGATCGCTTCACTGCCCTGTCACTAGCGGACTCTACGTTCTGGATGCCGATATAGCCTCGCCACAGGAACACACGTTGATCACCACGAAACCGGTACACTGCGCCCTGCAAACATGGGATCGTCGCACGGAACACGCGGCCACCGACACCGTGCGACGAACGCAAAAACATGTCATCGGCCTGAAGCCCGATGACGTCAATGACATCCAGAACGAGACTCAGAACAAAGAACCAGCTTCGCTATGCGCAGCATGCCTGCAGGCAGGAGGCATGCCCTCAGACCCTTTCCCGTTATCTTCATCCTCTACAGACACGACAGCGCCGCTTCAACTTGTCCACACCAAGCTGGCGGGCCCCTTCGCCAAAACGCCAGATGGAAACCGCTTCATCTTGTTGTTTATCGACGATTACACCGGCTGGACCGATATCACGCCCATCTCCAAAAAGAGCGATGCCGCCACAGCCTTCCGACGATACAAGGCACAGGCTGAACGGCTACACGAACGCAAAATACTGACTCTTCGGTCTGACGGGGGCACTGAGTACCTCGGTGAGTTCCAACAACTCCTCGTTGCTGCAGGCATTCGTCACGAACGATCGGTGCCCGACAAGCCGCAACAGAACGGCGTCGCAGAACGCCTCAATCGAACGATCCTTGAGTCAACACGAGTCTTCCTCATAGACGCCAACGCTCCGGATGAGCTTTGGGCGGAGGCAGCCGTCACCGCGACGTGGACACACAATCGGACGGTGCGGCGCAGGCGTCCTACTACGCCTTACGAAGCATGGTTCGGAACTCGTCCCGACGTCTCCCCTCTTCGCAGGTTCGGATGCGTCGCCTGGGCCAAGATCAACACGCCGATCAGCGAGCTCGACGACCGCGCAAGACGCCTCATGTTCGTCGGCTTAACCGAGGGCGTCAAGGGCTGGCGGCTCCTCACCGCAGATCGCAAGGCCGTCTATGCACGGGACGTCATCTTCGATGAGGACGTCAACTTCCACGGCACAAACAGCGTCTCCATCTAGCCTTGGCGAATAACTCAGGTGTTGTGGACAGGGCGCAACGAATTGCGTAACGAACCGCGCAACGAACAGCGCAACGATCCGCGCAACTAACAGCTGTCCGACGCCGAGACCCATCGCCTCGACGATCCCCCAATCGACTCGCCCAACGACGACGAGGCTGAAGAGCCGACTGACGCTGCGGATCCGCTCCACAGGAGCGGACGCATCACGCGTCCCCCGCCAACATTGAGCGAACACGTCGCCCTTGCTGTGCAGGCTTCTGAAAACGAAACGTCATACAGCGACGGCCTCACCGATCCGCAGAGCGTCAACGAGGCAAGGCACCGCAGCGATTGGCCGCGGTGGCAGGAAGCCATGCGCGCAGAGCTCAAGAATCACTCCCTGAACGGAACCTGGGAAGTGATACAAGGCAACGATTGCGCCAAAGGACGCTCAATCACTGCTGAGTGGGTCCTCCATATCAAGCGAGACAGCGAGGGACGAATCTGCAAGTACAAGACTAGCCTTGTCGCTCGCGGCTTTCAGCAACGAGAAGGCATCGATTATGACGAGGACCTTTTCGCCTGTGGTTCGCTCAGGAAGCCTGCGCGTCGTTATAGCTGTTGCTACAGCTAAAGGATGGTCTATGCGACACGTGGATGTCGTCGCAACGCTCCTCAACGGTCCCATCGATCGAAAGACCCTTCTCATGCGGCTTCCACCCGGTCCCGACGCTAATCGCGACGAACAACAGACGATCTGTCGCCTAAAGAAAGGGATCTACGGGCTGAAACAACCGGGGCGCATCTGGTACACACATCTTGATGCTGCGTTGCGACGATACGACTTCAACCCTTGCAGTGCCGACATGAACATCTACACGAGATGCTCCCACAGCGGAACTACAATCATCTGCGTCTACGTCGACGATCTGCTCATCGTCGGATCGAATGATGATGACGTCAACCAGGTGGAAGCGAAACTAACGGCACGATTCCGCATGACATCCGAGGAGGGCGTCAATTTCTTCCTGGGAATGCGAGTAACGAGGACAGACGCCTCTACAACCCGACAGGACTTTCTCACCAGTAGTTCGCTCAGAAGTCTGCACGTCGTCATTGCCATCGCTACAGCTAAAGGGTGATTCATGCGACAGATGGACGTCGTTGCAGCCTTCCTCAACGGCTCCATCGATCGAGTCACTCCTTCCTGTGCTGCGGCAACTCCGTTACACACTCTCTGTCCTCTCATGGCTACGACATCCCTTGATCGCTCTGCAGTAACGCAAGACACGCAGGGACAGGCCACATTCAACGTCCGACAGGTTATGAGCCCAAGGACCAATACAACGAATCTACGTTCAACGTCTAACAGGTTATGAGCCCAAGGACCAATAAAACGAATCTACGTTCAACGTCCAACAGGTTATGAGCCCAAGGACCGATACAACGAATCTGTACATCGTCACTAACGTCAAGAATCGACGTCAAGAGAGAAGACACCATGCAAGAGCGAAACGAATACGGTATTCGGCCCCTGGTGCTGGCACGATCGGAGCAATACGACGAGTGGTCGATGCGCGCGCCTGGCAATCAAGGCAAAAGATTTCGAGCACTGGGACATCGTCACAGGACTCTGGCCATGCCCCATCATCACTGAGAAAGGCCAAGCAGATGATGATATCACCAAATGGCGAATATGCGACGACACAGCTTCCGCAACCATCTGCTCAACGATCTCCTATGAGTACCTCCGCGCCATTGACAAACCCGAGACCTCCAGAGAACTCTGGGACATACTTAAGAAGCTCCTCGGCTCCATGTTAGCTAAGCTACAATGGTCGCCGGCATCGAGACTAGTAACAGAGCGCCGCAGCACGATGATAAACCACCTCCAAAAAATAACGAGTCCGACGGCTTATCAGAGGCCTTTATAGCGCTTGCACTGCCCTCGTAGCCGGCGTCGACGGCTAGACCGTTGGCAGCGGCGCCACACCCCATATGTCAAATTTTATCAAAGGCGATTTCCTCGACCTGCACCCTCCTCATCAACAAAATTAATATCCTCGACGCCGATCAAGCTATGCGATAGGAACACGCGGGGCGCTCTAATTACCACCAGACCGTTTCACTGCGCATTACAGACTTGGCATTGTCGCATGGGGCACGCTGCCCCTCGACACGCTGCGACAACGAAGCGACTCGTCATCGGCCTAGAGCCCGATGAAGACCAAGACATTTCAATTCAACGAAAGTGATATCGCGCGAAACAATGTCCTTTCAAAGAACCATGGTGCGACTCTTGTAGGTACTACGCCATCCCTACACAGCCTCAAACGGCGACAATTACTGCCGAGAAGTGTTGACCATGCTTCAGTAATCATCACTTCTTCCTCTGCTGCCGCAATACAATGCTTCTCTTTCCCTACTCCTACACAATCCTTTTTCGTCCTGCCAACCATGCGAGACACGCACGAGACACCGTGCCAGCATCTCATCAATGTATGATTTGGTACAAGATTGCCAAGCAATGCATTCTGCAGAGGGACATGATAGTAGGACATGACTTTTCCGGAGGAGGGGGCCGCTTACTGGTATGGATAGGAAGAAGGGAATGCAGAGGGAAAGCCTGGCCCACCGCCTTGATTGTTCTGCTGATTATACTGTCCTGGATAGGAAGAATTTGGCGTCGCCGCACCTCCTGGTCCCGAGGGCATGGCAAAGCCGCCCACAGTAGGTGTGAAATTGCTGTTGCTGGGGTACTGGTCTGCCATGGCATAGGGCGGCGGTGCGCTGCCAATGTCCGGGCCTCCGGGATAAGAAGACTGACCGTGAATGCCAGGTCCACCTGGGTAGGAGGACTGCTGTCCAATTCCTGGTCCGCCAGGGTACGTGGATTGACCAGTGGCACCCATACCTCCGGCAAACGGAGCCTGGGGCCCACCAGGGTACGATGACTGCGCTTGCCCCGGATACGAGCTCTGGCTAGCAAAGTTTGAGGGAGCTTCCCCTGGATAAGTCGAGGCAGAGGGTGCCTGGCCGGGATATGTTGATAGGTTCGCCTGGCCATACGGTGCCGATGGGAGCGACGAAGGAACTGGAGGAAAAGCTGCGCCCGCAGGATGAATAGGAAGCGCCTCGTCGCGTACAAATGGCGGCTTCTGGGGTGGTGCCACTCCTGCCCGAAGTGCCTCGTCGCGCTGCTGTTGCCACCTCTGTGCTTCAAAGGCCTCAAAATGCTGCTGGTGCTTCTGCTGTTGAGCGCCTCGCGCGGCCAGCTTGAGATTCGAGTGTTTTCCCCCCTCATCTGACGCGTCAAAGCTGCTGTCGATGCCTCCCAAGAGCACCTTGAGCGCATGGAGGTCGTCGGTCAGCTCGATGCCCGTGGCGCGCCTGACCTGGACAGCCTCCTTGCGCCTGTCTGACGTCACATCGACCAGACCACCGATGTGCGGGTCGGCATCGATGAAATCGAGCCAACTCTGGGCATCGTCGTCATTGCCTACGGCGGCGATGGAGAGGCTGAGCGCATCCTCTCCGTACGGCGTGGCGGCCAGCTGGGCCTTTGCATCGGCGACGACGCGCGACATGCGATTGTTGTGCTCAGTGGGCCCCGTGGGTCTGCCATCGGTGATGACAATGACGAGGGCGGGCTTGTGCAGTTGACCATGCTTAGCCTTGTTCAGAACATTAGCCTGGATCAGCCGTTGGAGCGAGTCGCCCAGCGGGGTTGCGTTTCCTTGCCACTTGCATGCCGAAACGAGATTCTTTGCCTCGTCAGCCGTGTGGATCCTCTCCGGTGCGTGCTTTTGGCCGTTCATCCAGAGCACCTCCATGCCGTCGCGGTCAAAGCGACCGGCGGCATCGGCGGCTCGCTTGAGAATCGAAAGGAGCGTGTCCCGCCGGAGATGACCCTCGCTGCGCATCGACGCCGAGTCGTCCAAGAGGAAGGAAACATCAAAGAGGGCCAGCTTGACCTGCAGAATATCGCGCAATCAGCTTCTCAAATTCTATGCCAGTCTGGGTATGGACGCCCTACGCACCAGGTCCTGACCAAGCGAGGGTGGAAGCTGCCAGGATTCGCACACTTCTGCCAGTGCACCGCTCGCCGCGATCTGCTGGGCAATGGCTCTGATGCGGTCGAAGTTGTAGAAGGCGTACAGGTTCTGATCGACAACGCAGGCGCTGAGTAGGTCCGCAATGTGGTTGGCGTCTCGCAATGAAGCCCACCAGACATCGCCGGTCGGTGTACCAGCTGAGTGGGCGATTTGGGGGTGATGCTGTTGCTGCTGTTGTTGTAGTTGTTGTTGGTGATGGTGGTGATAGTAAGCTGCGCCACCAGCCGCTGCCACTCCGCCGGCGGCTGCTCCAGCTATGGCCCATGGGGCCGCATGATGACCGGTTGGCTGCCAGTGGTACTGCTGCCCATGCTGCAGCTTCTCTTTCTCCTTCTTCTTGCTGAGTTTGTACAGCGCATATGACGTGATGCCCACCGCCAGCCCAGCAAGGAGCAGCTTCCGGTTGAACGTCATGGTGATGATGACGGGAGACCGGGTGACCGGTGATTCAGGAACGAAGACATAGCAGCACAGCCCATGTGCATTATTTTTTGCACTCTAGCCCCGCGCTTATCCGACTTAGGCTAAATGGGTACTCTTCAAACGAAACAGGCCTGAGTGCTCATCTTCACGATATTCACCTCTCCATAGTGTAATTGAAGTGAGGGTACCTCAACGAGCACACAGGGGCTGGGTGCCTGGAACTTCATCGGCGCGATGCGTTGAATATTGGTATTATTGGAGAATTGTAGCGAGGTCTGACGACCATGCGGGTGGGCGTCTTTGAGATCGCTTGCATCTGGGCTGAAGTCGATTCGAAAATTTATAAGATCAATGAATTGTAGTCCACTGCCCTCGGCCTTGGTTCGGTTTCTTCACTTCTCCTTCCTCTTGTCCTTGACTCGTCTCGCCGACTGAGTGCTGTGCGCCGTCGAGAGCTCCCTCTCCCTCTCTTTCCCCTCTTCCCTCACGCCACAGGGCAGGTCCCACAAGTACGTACCGTACCACGAAAGCAGCAGGTCTCGCTTCCACAGCAGGCAAGCCATTTGGCAGCTACATGTCTCTGTATCCGCTTCCCCTCACACCACCGTCGCTGGACGACTCGAGGCGCAGAAGGGCGCCTAGCTGCCTAGTGCTAGGGGCAGCCTACCAGAAGAGGGTCGAGCGTACCCACGAAAAGTTCGTCGTGCCAGATAAGCCCCAGAGGAGCAGGGAGCTGGCGCCCGAAAAGATAGCACCGGCCACTTTCAGATTTCGTGGGTTGCATTTCGAAGAGGTTGAGCATTACGACCAGTCAGCCACCGTCGTCATCGAGGGACTCGGCAAAATAAGCCCTGGCAACAACCCATGGTACGCACAGGGAGCGACGACGACAGCCAGCCCGAGTCTTGCCTCGTCTGCTTCGACCCTCGTGAATGCTGAGGAATGCGATCACGACCACGAAAAGCTGCCCCGTCACGCCAAAGGCTTTTACAGCCCTACTCCGAGCGCCAGCGGGACGGCCGCCATTGCCAGCAACAAGAACAGAGAGGAATGCGTCACACCCCACCGTCACGCCCGCAGCGCGTCGATGCCAATCCTACCAGCAAGAGCAGAAGGGAACGACGATGAAGACGACGATGACACACCCTTGGCTGTTATTCTGAAGAGAAACAGGTCGTGCGAGACTCTCATGTTCCCCTCGATCCAACGTCCGCCGAAATGCGTGAGCGGCGTCAAGAGCGATCTCGTCGGCCGCCTGGGAAGGCGTCAGTCAGGCTAGCTCCACTTTCTTCCGAGCGAGGGCTCGTGGGTCGTGAAGTCACCCAGTCAAATGCATGTGAAATGAAATCCAAATTTCCTCTTGCGTTCGTCCTTCGTGCAAAGGAAAGAGGAGCAAAGACCTCGATCTCCTGCTGTATCGCACGAATTGACCGACCGCGAGGTCAGGTTTTCCCACAAGCACTCTACTATTTCGTAATTTTATAAATTGAACCTTTTTCTCATTCCTCTGGAAGATATTCAAAATCAAGGTCACACCGCGCGGTAAGCCAGGACACGGCGTCTTTTTCCTGAGCCTGGCCCGTCCTTGGGAGTACGTGTTGCTGGGCATTGTTCTTTTCCGTGTCGAGAAAATACGAAAGCGAATTAATTTCGAGCGTCACAAGACGACAGGGCATAGACTACTGTAGAGGAGGAAGCAGGGAGAGAAGAGGAAGAGGCAGGTGCAGACCAATTTAAAATGGATTATCGACGCGCCTCGGCTCCGAGGGGCAGCCGGCGCCGAACCTCCGCAAGGAGCGAGGACGGGCTTTTGGACCATGCGGTCGTTGGCATGGGCTCCCCGAAGAGAGGGAAAGAACAGGCGACCTGGCCATAGTGGCGAGAAGACCGAGCCCATTGTCCATATTACATTTATGCCTCCTACTCTTTGGACTTTCGTCACCAATTTCATCGCCAGCCAGTGAGGAAGAGGACGGGAAAGCAGGCTTGCACAGAGAGGCGAGACCGAGCGACAGCTAGATTGTCTTATTTTCTTTTTCGGGTCGACCTGGTTTTTAAGTTCGTCCCTAGTCGCACTTGCACATGGTCCCTTTGCATTAATCGCTGAGGTCGTTCCCAGGCCCCTCCCTCCAAACATTGAAGGGACCAACACCAGCTTCGACTTCCACTCGACCGCCTCTTCTGTGCTTCTAACGTCAGCGGCAAGAGGGCCGACCGATTCTCGCTCCTGTCCGCACCTCGGCGCAGAAGAGGCAGAAGCGCTGGCCCGTCCACGTCACGTCGGAGGTCGAAAAATTAAAATTGCTAGTCAGTAGAAGGAGGAAAAGCGTGCGTCGTCGTGCGCCACTGTCTTCGCTGGGCCCGCTCTAGTCCTCGTCCTCTTCTCCTTGTCTCTCTCTCTCTCTCCGCATTCAATGGCGACCTCGGCAACGACGACGACGACGACGACGAGATAGCGATCCCCGTCGATACCCGCTTTTGATGTTTAAAAAGGGCCCGCATTGTTGACGTCACCTAAGAGGAGCGCGAGAGGCGAGGCGGTGTTCGACGAGGTTCTTTCGTCGCTTTATCGTCCCGCCCGCCGCAAGAGGAGGGCTTGGGAGGTGGTAGAGGAGGAGAAGAAGAAGAAGAAGAAGAAGAAGGAAAGGAAAGTGGCGGCGGCATGAGCGATTCCAACGATGTCCTCAGCTGGAGGCGTGTTCGTCCCTCTGAGAACAAGCAGACTCAGAGTCCTGCGTTGGCGTCGGGGTCAATAGGAGCAGCAGCGGCAGCAACACCACTACCACCAACAACTGCAGCAACAACTGCAGCAGCATCAGCAGGGCTAGCGGCTATCGAAAGCTGGCGCAACCATGGCAGAGCGACAACGACGACGACGGCGGCGGCGGCGGCGGCGCCAGCGGCCGTGGCCGCGCCGCATGGAAGACTGCCGCGGCCGCCGGCTGCTGCCTTTGGGCCCGCCACGCCGTTGAATCCGCTCAACACGACGCAGGCTCGTGAGACGACGAGCAAGCCCCTGCCACACCCTGCCACCTACGCCGGCACCGACAATTGGGCCCTCACACCCAGCGGCTCCCTCCCCAGCCTGCCGGGCACACCAAACAAAGCGCATTTAGCGCTGGGTATGTGGCAGCACCCCAATCTCCCCGGCGAGTCACCTTCGTCGGCGTCAGGCGCAGCAGCAAAGATGCACATGTCGGCTCAGGGCGCATCATCTACGTCTTCGCCGAGGTTAGGACCAGGGGCAGGGGCGCTACCAGGCCAAGGCCAGGGCCAGAACAGAGGCACAGCATCGCCCTCGAGGCTCGGCGGCACTTCCAGCTGGCTCCCTCCGTCCTCGACTCCTTCACGAGGTCACATCTCGCCAAAGCGGTCCAACCTGTCGCTCAGCGGTGGAGTAGGAGCAGGATCAGGCGCAGCAGCAGCAGGGGGGCAGCAGCAGCAGCAGCAACAGCAGCAACAGCAACAGCGCAGCCCGAGACTTTCTCCAGCCCCGGCAAGGAGGTCCATGGCCGACGCGGCGCCCTCGAGCATCGCATCGCTCCTTTCCACCACCCCTTCTTCCTCCTCCCACCTCCAGCAGCCGGCACCCCAGCCCCCTGCTCCCACGCTCCAGCACCGCGACTCGATGAATTCGGTCGCCTCGTCTTCCCATCCGCTCTCCCACTCGAGGCGCAGCTCCCAGGTCTTTCAGAACTCACCCGCCAGCTCCGTCGTCTCGTCCGTCCAGACGGGTGTCTCGCGCCCCTACCGCCCGCCCCAGCTGCGTGGAAGGGACAGCATCCACAGCCTCAAGCCTCGCATGACGCACTACGACCGTGTTCGCACCCCCAGCCTGCGAGGCCAGAGCCGCAGCCCAGACCCGACCTCCTCGGCCTTTCGAGCGTCGATTTCATCGAGCCGGGGCACCAGCCGCGCTCCCTCCGAGGTCTACTTCTCGCCCGCCGTGTCCGACGCCCTCTTCTCCCCTCCCAGTCAGCTGCTCGACGACGGCCGGTCACCCCCTTCGACGAGACCACGGGGCACCTCTCGACTGAGCTCCTTTAGCGGCATCGGGCCTGACGAGATTGTCGTGCCAGAGCAGAATGAGGATGAGGACGAGGAAGAGGGCGGGGGTGAGCAGCAGCAGCACCAGCAGCAGCACCAGCAACAGCAACAGCAACAGCAAATCCAGACATCGCATCCACAGCCACGACGCAGCTTCGACACAAACTCCCTCATGGCCAAGCTGGCTCATGCCCGTCTCAACGATGCCGCCGCTTCGAATGCATCGACCGACGAGCGAGAGAGAGACGACGACGACGTTGATCTCTCGGCAGAAGACATGATGCAGCCCTCGCTCACCGACTCTTTCTACATGAGCCGCAATGGCAGTCTGGCCAGCCACGGTCCCGTCGTCGACATCTTTGAGATAGGCGACCGCCTGGGGCCTGGAATGACGCACGATGGCCATCGCATCACCATTGCTGCCACCAGCGAGGGCTTCCAGTCGCAGGAGGGAGACCATTCAGGGAGCCAGCTGCAGGTCGTGCGAAAGCTGGGCGAAGGCAGCTACGCAGTCGTCTATCTTGTCCGCGAAATCAGCCCACAGGAGGCACAGCAGCTCGACCGCGAGGAGGAGGAGTCCAGGGAGGATGCCAGGCCAATCGCACGGCCGTCTGCCGAGGAGTCCTTTACCGCCGCTGACCAGACCTTTGCCGCCGATCAGACGCTGGCTGCCGACCAGACCTTTGTCCCCGACGAGGCTGCTCTTGGCACGACGCTCAAGGCTGACGGTGCCGGCCGTCTTGCGCAAGCAGGCCTGAGCGTAGACACCTCATTGGACTCTGCGTCGCCTTCGTCGTCCTCGCAGAGGTACTTTGCTCTGAAGTGCCTCTGCAAGCGCGACCTCTCTCCAGAGATGCTCGAGGTGCAACGATTGGAGGTAGGTGCTAAAGGCGAGCTTTCTTGGATAGCGAGGCGCTGACCACGTTGACTTCTGCTAGGCGACGATCCATCAATCCATCCCCGCCCATCCGTACATTGTCACCCTCTACCGTACCTACGAAACACCCGAGTGGCTCTTCCTCGTCCTCGAGTATTGCCCGGGGCAGGACCTCTACTTTTGGCTGGAGCAGGCGCACGATGGGTCCAACCTCGCTGGCCAGCGGAACAATAATGGCGACGACAGCGATGAGGCACCAACGGCCTTGGACGCCACACCTCCTTCACCCTCGATCCTGGCCTCGACGGCGGGCAGGTCGCTCTTGAGTCGACGGAGATTACGTCTCGTTAGTCGCATGTTTCGGCAGATGTGCGACGCCGTGCAATTTTGTCACGATCGCGGTATTTCCCACCGCGATATCAAGCCAGAGAACTTCATCGTCGAAGACCGTCGGCTTGACGATACCGACGAGGACAACGAGAGCGCTATCGAGGACGACGACAGGGGTCGCCCGGTCGCCGACGGCCAGATTGTCGTCAAGCTAACCGACTTTGGCCTCGCCGTCGCGCAGGAAGAATGCATCGACTTCGATTGCGGCTCAAAGCCCTACATGGCCTTTGAGTGCCGCAACAACGTGGCACAGCACTACGATCCTCGCCAGGCCGACGTCTGGTCCCTGGGCGTGGTCCTGCTCAACCTCATCTTCCACCGCAGCCCGTTCTCGGAACCCAATCCGGACCGCTGCGACAGCTTCCGATCCTATTGCATCGACCCCGTCGCATTCTTGACGGTTGCCTTTGATGGCCTCACGCAGCAGGCCGCCGAGTTTCTGGCAGTGCATGTCTTTTGCGACGTGACATCCCCGAAAGCATCCTCGGGCGAAGAAGACGAAGCTGGGCCCCTACGGACGAGGATCTCAGCGAGAGAATTTGGCGAGTGGGCCAGGGACCTTCCACGCCACTTGGGCCTGGAGAGGGGCCGCGAGGCCCACACGGTCAGTCGCGGAGCCGACATGAGTTTCACGTCGGCCATGGAGCACTCGAGAAGCCTGTCGTCTTCGCGCGCCCCGTCGCTGTTGGCGTCACCGAATACCGCCGGTCGAAGCCTTTCGATTCCCGAGGAGGACATGGCGAGCTGGGATCGCTGGCCGACGCTCTTCCCAGAGTACTCCATGTCGATGGCGACCAGTAGCGAATTGGGTTCGCTTCGAGGCTCGCCTGCGGCCAGACGCACGCCAGACACAAAGACGCCCTCGCATACCTCGTCGCCTGGGCAATTGGCACCGTTGGACGCCGTTCCGCCTAGCGAAACGCGCAAGCCCACAAAGCTGGCCGAGACTGTGCCCGGTGCCATTGCCGAGGAGTCTGAGTCGAGCAGAGATAGCGCAGCGGCCACGAATCAATCCTCGACGGACAGCGGCGCGGGCGCAAATGGTGAGCTTCCAGAGGCTGTAGAGGAGGTTGACGAGGAAGAAACCGAAGAGCAAGCGCACGCTCGCGAGAACGGGTCGGCGTTGACGAGTGCCATGCGAGAAGAAGAGGCAGACGTTTCCGATGCGATGCAGCCCCCACGCTCGGCTACGACCTCGACGCACTCCAAGCGGCGGAAACGAGGCGCTCGAAAGGGCCGCACGGCAGCAAAGCAGGAGTCCAAGCAGGAGCTCAAGCGATCTCGGTCTGTAGAGAATCTGCACTTGGGCGTGGAGCAGGAGCAGAGGCCGAGCAGCAACCCGAATCCGCGCGACGTCGTCTTGGCTGAACTCGCCGCTGCGTCTCAGTCTCTGGCGAGGGAGATGAGCAAGGCAATGAAGAGTGGCGGTACAGCGACGTCGACTCAGCCTTCGCCCATGCATGGCTCCTTTGCGACTAGACGACCACAGGGCTTGACGGTGAAGACACCGTCGCCGGACGAGCATGGTACGAGTGGCGATTTGGCCACCTTGTCGCTTCCCCCGGACACGCCAGGGGCGGCCAGCGTTGGACGAGGCAGCGTGACCAGCAGAGCGAGCACGCAGTACACCAACTACAGCTGGAACGACCATCGGACTGCTCGGACGCCGTCGATGTTATCGGTCAGCACGCGCAACACTGACAACTCCGATGGGTCCAAGTGGGATTCGGCAGCCAGCCGGAGAGAGCGAATGCTGGCAGCGGCTGCTGCTTCCATGCCACAAAGCGGTCCTGGCTCTGGCTCTGGCTCTGGCCCGGGCTCTGCTGCCCCTCCTTCGTCCGCTCGTCCGACGCTCGAGGACTCGGGACGAACGACTGTGGGCTCGCAGAGCTGGTGGCGCGAGAGAAACCAATCGCAGGCCTCTGTCTCGAGCATCGACACTTTTTCCTCATTTGCTTCCGACGCTGCCAGCGTCTTCTCTACGGCGTCTGCCCCAGCGGCGTTGGCAGCAAAGAGGCCACACCAGCAATCAGCATCCCCTCCGCAGACATCTGTACCTGCTGTCCCGCCAATGCCCGCTCCGTTTGCTCCTTCGTCTTCCTCGAACTCAGACAAATCAGCGCCCAGAAGGCCCACGAGAGGCCTGCTTGGCGTCGCTACGGGTCTCGATACGATCTCGGAGCAGCGGACGAGTGGCAAGGCGCCTTCGTCATCGTCTTCCTCGAATATCGCCCATGGTCCCAGCAAGGAGCAGCTGGATGCCAGCTACCTTGCAGAAATCTTTGGTGGCAACCCAAAGGCACAGCAAGAAAGAAGGCACCAGCGCCGCCAGCAAGACGCCATGCGCGCCGCCGCAGCACTTGCCCGTCAGCAGCAGCACCAGCAAAGTGGCCCTGCAGCGCCCTCGTCCTCTTCTTCGTCTCTAGTCTCTTCAGGCTCCTCGCTGTCGAGGTCGAACATTTCAGTCATGAGGCCAGGGAGCGGCGGCGGAGGGAGCGGCAGCAGCAATATCAACGGCAGCTCCTCTTCGATTGCCTCTGGTCAGCAGACTGCGCAAGTGGCGCCGCCGGTGCCTGGTTCCAGCAGCAGCAACCTTGGCGGCACCACGGCGCAAGGATCACCCTCGCACTCGCAGGACTCCGATGCGTCAGCCTCGACGAACCCGCGCAAGAAGATGCTTGGCAAGTTCCTCATGGGCGTCAAGAACTACAACAAGGGCGTCAAGGTGGCAGCCCCTCCCGACGAGAGGGAAGAGGTCCTGGCTTCTCCGACGGACGTGGTGGAATCGGACAAGCCGCGCAACCCCCTCTCCCAGCAGCACTACCGCCATAGTACGAGGGATCGCTAACTTATACTCTCCTTTACCAACTTGCAAATGCTTACACACGTATACACAACCCCACCCCAACCCACCCTTCTCTTGTCTCATTATCGTTGGCAAACCACTTAATCGTAAATTGGAAAAATGAACATCTGTCTCACGACGAATGGTGGTCGAGACTTTCTTTTCCATTGAAGGGGTTATCTACATCAAGAGAAGCGGAATGCCTCGGGGTATAAACGAGAGAGAGAGAAGGAGCGCCCCGATGGCCTAGAACCAACGCTGAAGTACAGAGGGGAGTCTCAGGTGTCGATCCTCATTCGCCTTTTCGTCCTCGGATGCTTCCAACGCATCGTCTCTGGACGGTAATGAAGCGAAGCGGACATGGGCCCCCTCGTCTCGGCACATGTTGTCTTTTCCTTCCTGCCCCTGTGCCTCAGATGGTGGTCCGCATGGCGGTCTTCTCGCGTTGAGGATGGCATTGAGGAACGCCAGCTCGTCGGGCGCAATCTGGTCTTCCGTATCGGCTTCTTCGCGGTGGCTCCCATTGCCGCTTTCGCCGGACAAAGAGTCGAGTGAAAAGAGGGACGAAGAAGAGCAAGAAGGTGAAGGGAAGGGAGTAGAAGAGAACGGGGACGATGTCGAGGCCACAGGTGTTGAGTTTTGGTGACGAGAGCGGCTGAGTCGCCGAGTCACCCGGTCAAGGCGCCGTAATTTCCATTTTCGTCGTCCACGGCTCTCAAAGTGTACCTCCAGGTAACCCAGCTCCCATAGCGGCGGAGGGGCATGCAGGCAGCGATTCGTGAGGATAGAGGGCGAGAGGGGCACTTGGAGCGGCAAGATCTTTACTTGATAAGAAGACTCTGCGTCCATTGTGCGAGCTTCGACAAAGATTTGTCGTTCTTTTCAGAGTTTTCGGAGCCTCAGCTTGATGATGTTGCAGGTGTCAAAGGAGATGGTGAAGAGGACCGTGATTGCGGGTGCCGCTGAAGCCTAGTCTTCCGACGACGGCGTCCTCCCTTATATATTCTGCTCGCGAACATGAAGCGCAAGCTTGCTCATGACAGCAAGTGTGGCGTGCGCGCGCTTCCATCTACTGCGTTTCACGGCCGCCAAAATGCAGGCTGTCTAATCGTGAAACGCCGACGCATCGCCACAGTGCAAAGTAGGGACGACATTCCGGCGCGCGTACAGAGGAGAGCCTATTCGCAAATTTGCTCTAGCGCTTCCGAAATGTGCTTGACGCACAAATTAAGGCGTTTATCTGGTGCGCGTTTCGCTCGACAGCATTCAAAACGGCGATTCGACAAACCATTGATCCAGCGCCGCATGGAGCCATTTGCCAGCAACCTCCCTCGACTCGCACACCTGAGCGAGTCATAGCTGAGGAATCAATCGTGTATTTGTCGTTCAAGAAAGCTAAGTCTACAACTAATTGTCACTTTGACATATTCTGGGGCGGATGAAGAGAATTTGACTGATGTGATACAATGCGGTTGCGGCCGTCCGTGGACGGCCGAGGTGGGTTTCGGGGTGGAATAATGCGGAGGTGTTGCCAAGAGTCCTGACTCCTCATGATTGGGAAATGTTCAGAGGCTGAAGAGGAAGCGCAAGTCCATGACGCTAAGACGTCCCATAGCTGAGTCATCTTTACCGATGGCAGCCTCGATCATCGCGCTCTTCTTGTTCTGAAGCTCGATGATTCTCGTTTCGATCGAGTTCTCAATGACCATACGCTTAACGATAATAGGCCTGTGTTGGCCCAGGCGGTGAATGCGGTCCATGGCCTGCACCTCGACCGACGGATTCCACCAGGGGTCCATCAGGTAAACACGAGATGCTTCGGTCAGGTTCAGTGCGACGCCGCCTGCCTTGAGCGAGACGAGGAAGACGGTGACGCCGACGTTGTTCATAAAGTGCTCGATGGTCTTGTTGCGCGCCTCTGGGGTCATGTGGCCCTCGAGACGGCAGACCTGGAAGCCGGCGCGGTGCAGACGAAATGCGATGAGGTCGAGAAAGTTGACGAATTGGGAGAAGACCAAGCTCTTGATTGTCTTGTCCTCAGAACGCAGCTGCGTGAGCTCCTCCACGAGAGCCTCGATCTTGCTACTGCTGCGCCACTTGTCCATGTCGATACGCGAGATGATGCCCCCACGCGCACCGTGATTATTCAGTCCTTGGACTGGTGGCTCGAGTGCCTCACCCTCCAGGTCAATGGTCAGCGTAGCGTGGCAGTAAGGGCATTCGGGCACCGTCTCGCCTTCGCCTACAAGCCCGTCGCCCATCCACTGACGAACGCATTCGCGGCAGAAAATGTGGCGGCACTTTGACATGATGGCATCCTCGGCCTCGTCTTGGCAAATTCGACAGACGTGAACGCTGTTGGCAGCGTTGCTGGCTTCCTCCCCGAAGACGCTCTTCATGCCCGTCTTGGACTTGAAGACGAGGTCGGGGTGGCATGCACACTGACGCATCCTCGTCAAGAGCGTAAAGACGTTGGAGTAGTTGTTGAGAACGGTGCCTTGATCGATATAGGTGGTGAATTTGCGGGCGGTATCGCGGTACAAGGACTCGTAGAGCTCCTCTTCCTCTTCGTTGAATAGATCGCGACGAACCTCAATGGTCCTCGGAGGCAAGCCCATGTCGTCTGCACGTTCGAGCTTGGTCCTGCGTAGCATCATGCGGTCAAGGAGCAGACGAAGGCGGGCAAACGCATCTCTGCCCTCGCCAGTCGTTGTGCCCTGATTCTGAATGGGCTTGAGGATTTCGTTGTTCCAGAGGCAGACGTGATGCATGGGCGTGTGGCCGCACTTGTCGCAGTTGCGTCGGTCGCTAAACTGCCAGTGGAGAGACTTGCAAGGACAGCGCTTGCAAAAGTAAAAGCTGTACGGGTCGCCGCCGAGGAAGCGAATCATACTGTAAAGCTCTCCGACACGGTTTTGCAGTGGCGTGCCGGAAAGACACCACCGATTGGTGCTCTTGAGCTCGAATGCGCTTTTTGCTGTGTTTGTCGCTCGTTCCTTGATATTGTGGGCTTCGTCAAGGACGACACGGTGCCACTTGACGGCGTGTAGGGGGCTCTTGGTCTTGGTGATGAGGCCCTTTTTGCGAGAGCCTGATACTTGCTTCCTGAACGCACTTTCCATCGTACCATAGCTAGTCAACACCACATCGGCCTTGGACAGGATCTGCACGTCCGACGATCGGTCGCTCCCGTGCCAAACAATGACCTTGAAGCCTTGCGTATACTTTTCGATTTCGTTGCGCCACTGGAGGATGGCCACCGTAGGCGCCACGACGAGGTTGGGTTTCTTTCGATCGGAAAGGAACAGGCTGATGATCTGGATAGTCTTGCCCATACCCATCTCGTCTGCCAGGACGCCTCCCTTCCAGAGTGATTTCTCCTGCTTGATGAGCCAGTTGAGTCCTTCGCGCTGGAAGGGGAGCAGCTTAATGTTTAATCCATCTGGCTGGTTGGCCATCTCCGGTTTCTGGCTCGGCGTCGCGGCGAGGTCTGTCCAGATCTTTTTGAGCTCCGGATGATGTTGAACCAGAGCCTCGTAGTTCTTTTCATACTGAGAACGCTTCTTTGCGCGCCTCTTGCCCGTCCTCTTCGCCCTGGCTTCAGCCCTTGCCTCCCTCTGCTCTCGCTTTAGGCGCTTAGCGCGCTGCTTTGCAGTTTCGTATGCGGCATTGACGTCGGCTCCAGCAGTTGGTCCAGCGGTGGCAGCAAGCGGCATGTCGGCGCTTTCGCCTTCGCTATCGCTAAGCTCAGAGTCCTCTTCCTCTTCTTCTTCCTCCTCCTCCTCATCGCTCGGCTCCGGTATCGTAGCCGCCTTCCTTGCACGAGCCCTAGGCTTTGCATTCGCGCGGTTGCGCTTGCGGGACGATCCATAGTCTTCATCGGAAAAGTCGCTGTCGTCCCAGCCCACGTCGTCAGGCTCCTTGAACTCGCCGCCGTCAGAGCTTTCCTCGTCACTGGGTGGAATCGAGTCGGCCTTGCGTTTGGGAACCGGTCGTACGGCGCGCTTGCCCGCAGCCCGCTGCATCACTGGCTTTTCATCCTCTGTCTCTTCGTCGTCGACGAAGCCGCCGCCCCCAGCAGCTGCACGACTGGCACCAAGGACGGCTTTCAGCTCATCGTCGCTGTCGAAGCAATAATCCGCTACAGATATCGTAGGTTGTTCCTCCTTTTCCTTTTCTTTGCCCTTCTTTCCGAGACCAAGCGACTTGATTAGGCTGTCGTCGATGTCCGAGAGGTCGTCATCATCGTCTTCTTCTTCTGTATCCTGCTTCCTCGTAATGTCCTGTTGCTTGCTTGACGAGGCAATTCTCTTGTTCGGACGCTGAACTTCCTCCTCCCTCTCTTCCTTCTTGACACCGGTCCTGCTGACACGCTTGCGCTTGCTAGTGGCAGCTCTGTCTTTGCCCTTTTTGGCCAATCTAGTCGGTTCTCTCTCGATCACAACCTGAACATTCCCTTCCAATTCGGGCGACAGCTCATAGATCTGTCCAATTGTCCGGGTCTACTCAGCATATTGGGGCGTTAAAAAAAGAACAGCAGAAACGCACCTTTTTCTCATCGCCATCGGCTGTCTCGACGGACGTTGCAGGCGTGTTGGTGCCCGACGTCCTCACCGAATGCGCGGCGCTGTTGCTCTTAGCGGGCGACGGCGTGTCGGCAATGACGATTGGCTCGTCGGCATTGTTGAACTTGCTACTCGCCGTCGAGCGACGTCCAAAACGACGCAGCGATGCCATGTTCACTCTTCTCTCTTCTCTCTCACACGACTTCTTCGTGTGCGGGGAGAGACCGGCTGGTAGTGAGCGGCTCAGCACAAGTTGCTGCAGTGCCCTGCATCTTCCTGCAGTGGCAATTTTTTTTCTCCCTTATTTTTTCTGAATCGCTCGCTTTTGCTCGCGTGGTATCTTAGATAATGATCGCGACGCGCATCGACGCGTACAGTACAAGTTCTCATCGCGAGCTAAGAAAAGTTCAACCAAGAGGGATAGCTCGATCACAGGGGGAAGACTTGCAAAGCTGCCATTGATGTGCTGAAATGTTGTGTCCCATTTGTGGAACGAATGGTATCCAAAAGGCTAAAGTAGTTCTGCAGGAAACAATCATCCTCTAGCTCCAATGTGGCCGGCTTGGCCGACTGGATTGTAGTCGAGATGCTGTCGTCCCAAGGAAAAAGGTCAGCAAGGGCACGCCCTTCAGCTGTGGGATGGGAACCAAGACTCACCACATAGACTCGTTCAATGTCCGAAAGCGACTCGGCGCAGTAAACGATGACTTCGCCCAAATCGTGCGCTTCCTTGAGCGGAATGCTATGAGGGAGCACCATGTCTGCCTCAGCGATCATGTTGTCGCCCGAGTGGTAGAGTTCGAATGCGCTGATGCTGTTGACGGAGCGGAAGCGTGTGACAAGATACAGGGCGCGGCTGATGTCGGAAGATGAAGCGACGGCGCCCGACAGCTTCGTGATCGTTTCCGCCAGCGTCTCGAGCCTGCGCGCGGTGTGATCAGATGGTGCGGTCACGTCTTTGCCAGGGAGAGGAGCGACTCACCATTCCCAAATGATGTACAGAGACAGGGCAATACCTCCAATCGGATCAAGAGCTGGCCAGCCGAGTTTCGAGCCAATGACGGGGAAGATGAGCGATGCGACGTTGAGCACGACATCATTCTCGGCATCTTGTGCCACGGCGCGGACGCCCGAGCTTTCGCTGGAGCGGTACAAGAGCCACATGACCGACTTGATGCCAATCGTGAGCACCATGAATGCGATGCCGAGCAGAGGTAGTCTGACCACCTCCTCGGGCGCGTGGCCGCCGGTCTTGATGACGGCCCAAAGCCGTTCAGTAGACTCGACCAAGACCTGACAAAAGGATGCGACCATGAGGACACTGAAGATGACCACACCGAGGGGCTCGAAGCGTTTCTTGCCGACGGGATATTTGAAGTAGGTTGCCCAGCTGCGGTAGTTGACGGCCTTTGTCGTCCCAAAGATGATGACGGTACTCAACAGGTCCAAGGCTGAGTCAACGAGACTTGCAATGAGGGAGACAGAGTTGGACGAGAAGACGGCAACCACCTTTCCCGCAAGAAGGAGCACATTGACGGCAAGGTTGACTGCATGAGGATTCGCTGTGAGCCAAGAGCAGCCCAAGAGCAGAGAAAATGAAGAACCTACTGTTGATGGCAAAGGAGGCGCCCTTCTCCTTTCCCTCCTCACGCTCTGCTCGACCAGGTACATGCTCGAGGAGCTTGATTCGATCACGTTCCGAGATGCCTCCAGGATGGCTCAGCTTGCCCTTCGCTGTTTCGTTCCCTTCAGCGGCGTCGCTTGCCGTGTCCTTTCCTGTGGAAGCACTCCTGTCCACCCGCACCACAGTACCCGATGTGCCAGGCATGAGGACGTCCCTGTGACGGGCGCGTGTCTTTCTTTCGGAACGCTCCATGGCCAGCTTGCGGTCGAGAGAGCCCTCTGCATCGCCGCTGCGGCCGCTCTTGGAGTCACGCTGCTCTGTGGCGCTCGATTCATCCAGCTCATCGTCGCTGTCCGAGTTGCTGATGTCGTCGATAATACGGCGATTGCGCCTCTTGGCGCCCTTGGCCGTCGACCCATTTGGTTTCCACTCGTTTTCGACTGCGACGGGCCGTCCTTGGACTGTAGACGCTCGCACCTCGCCCGCCTTTCCCTTTCTGCTGTCGTCAAGGACGGGCGCATCTTCATTGGCCAACTCTGCCTCGCCCTGAGCCGGGCTTCTTTCAGCTGAGTCATCAATGGTACTTAGTCCATGGCCGGCACCCGAAAAGGTGTTGATGGCACTGCCGTTGCCAGTGGAGCCGTACCGGTTTGTCGACGGGGCAGGCGGGGAGGCAGTGCGGGGCGACGACGTTGACTTAACGAGGGGGCTGACCTCGTCGCCTCTGTTGCTCTTCACACTCGTGCCGAACCAAAAGCCGCTGAATGCGTTGGCGGCCCTCGTCGTGAAGCTGTCAGTCCTCTTTCGGGGCTTGCCACCACGCGGCCCAGTCTCGAGGTCGCTGTCATCCTCGCTCTCCTCCATGTAGCCCGTGTCCTCGTCCTCGTGAGTATCGACATCGGTGGAGTGCCGGCCAGAAAAGAGGCGATGGCGACTGCGAGTCTTTACGCGCTCCACCTCCTCCACTGTCCCAAAGCGGCTCATGACCTCCTGGGGAAAGCGGCTCTCGAGGATCTCGTCGACCTCCCTCCACCCATCGAGGATGGTATTGATGTTCTCATAGTACTTTCGGAGCTGCGAGCCGTTTTTCTTGCGCTTGCCCAAGTCAGCCAGGGTCTCGTCAGACGAGCGCGCCCATTCGTACTGGCCGCCTCTCCGGTCGATGAGCGTGTCGAGGAGCGAGAGATCGTGGATGGACTGGTTGTTGTGGGAGAGCGAGTGCTTGCCTGGAAATCCCTGGAAGCCCTGGATCGAGTCCGTCGAGTCGTAGCGGAAGAAGGGGTTCGAGTCACGGCGGGGCGAGTAGAGGTGGTGGTGGTGGTGGTGGTGTTTGTGCGAGTGACGAGGATGAGGCTGGTGGTGAGCATGATGATGATGATGATGATGCTGCAGCCGCCTAGCTCCCCTGTCGCCCTTGCCCCTCGGCGATGAGCCTCCTCCCGGACTGCCAGGCCGGGTGCCGGGGAGGGACTGGGTGCCATCGAGCACCGCTGATTGTTGGCTGTGCGCCGAAGCCTGGGTGCCTCCCTCGTCGAACCGGGCGCCGTGCGTGTGCCGGGGCAGGGGTGGATGCGCGTCATCCATCGACGATCGCTCTGGGCCCGACGGCGCCTTGTATGCGCACATCTCGTCCTTCGTCAGGTGTTCGATGCAGCGAGAGGGCGACCCGTCTGGCCGAGTGAGACGAACGAGAAGACTATAAGCGATGTGAGCTGCTCTGGCCCGCGCCCAGGAGCCAACAGCCACAACTTTTTTTTTTTTTTTCTTGGCCTGAGGTGTCCTTTGGAGAATTATAAATAGAGAAAAAAAAAGAAACCCAAAGCCAAGGAAATGAAATCAGCGAAAGAGCCGTCAGCGACGCCACTACTGGGCGACATTTAGTCCGACTTCTGCATTACGACGTCGGTCGTCGCGGACAATGTAGGACGAGACCAGCTCGACGCCCAAAAGATGACGGGCGCAAACGCAAGCAAGCGAATCAAGGTTGCTCACTCGCCTTCATCTCAGCCCTCGTTGCGGGACTTGTTCGCCAGGCAGGGAAGCAGCAATCATGCGAGCCCAGAGCGGCAGCCAGTGGCGAAGCCGCGCTTTGGCGCCGCAACAAAGACGCAGGAGGACATCGAGATGGAATGGGCCATTCAAGAGAGCCTCAAAGATGTCGCCAGGGCCCAGCCAGCCAGCGAGCCAACGGAAGAGGATGCTCTTTTCGATGAAGAGCCATTGCAGGAGCGAGCGGACAATTCAAAGGAGAAGCAGATGCAGCTGCCCGGACCGGCTCAGCTGGAAAGCTCCGCAAAGGCGCCGCCCACGAGCTCATTCAATGCATTCTCGAGGCTCATGTCTTCGCACTCCGAGGCCAAGGAGTGGGCGTCAGCGGACGTCATTGAGGCGAACAACTACACGGGCGCAGCACGCTCGAGGCCCGACCGCAGAACGGCTCCCTTCTACAAGGTGCTTACAGGCATGCCGATCTCCGTCGACGCTTTCCGATTTGGCGCTATACCAGGGTGTAACGCCTACTTTCTCAGCCACTTCCACGCTGACCATTATGGCGGCCTGACGTGAGTCTCACCTATGTGATCACAAGGTGGCAGGTACTGACCTCTGTCTTTCCAGCTCGGCATGGACCCATGGACCAATTTACTGCTCTGTGACGACGGCCAACCTCGTCCGCAGCTCACTTCGAGTCCAGGACATCCATGTCGAACCGCTTCCCATGAATGAGACGATCACGATCCCGCGGACAAACGGCGTCAAGGTCACTCTCCTCGATGCCAATCACTGTCCAGGCTCGTGCCTCTTTCTTTTCGAAGGCCCTCAGAGCATCAATATCCTTGCCCCACCCCGAGGCTGCAAACCGCAGGCCATCGCACCGCCTCACATTACGTTCCGGTACCTTCACTGCGGCGATTTCAGGGCCAGCCCACGACACATTGAGCATCCGGCCATCAAGGGCAAGCGCCTCGACATTGTTTATCTGGACACGACCTACCTCAACCCGAGGTACTGCTTCCCGGCCCAGGAGCAAGTAGTCAATGCGTGCGCCCAGGCCGTCCGAGAGGCGGCACCAGGCCAGACGGATGCGTGCAGGTGGCAAGGAGGTGTTCAAGATCATGATGAGGAGGATTGGAGGGTGAGCCCACTCAAGGGGAAAAAGCTCCGGGAGGCCATGCAGATGAAGAGGGATCAACCGAGCGCGGATCAGATGAGATCCTGGCTCGGATCGTCGTCATCGTCGTCTACAGTAAAGGACGAGGTCAAGGAAGAGATAGACGAAGACGAAGATTTGGCGGGTCTCGACTTTAGGGACGAGGAGCCCATGGTGGGTCAGGATCGAGAGGGCAGCATGAAAGTCGAAGAGGACGAGGCAGAGGACGAAGACGAGGAAGAGACTCTGGGAGAAGACCATCAGGACGAAGGTGCCCAAGAGTGCGAAGATGGCACTGCACCACCTGAAGCTATCAATAAGGGAATCAAGGTCAAGCTGGAGCCACAGGAAGACTCACTGGAGCTAGATCCTCAAGCTGGGCTCTTCATCGATGCCAAGAGTAAGGTGAAGCACGAGAATGACGACGAGGCCAACACTGGAGACATGAGCATACAACCGTCGTCAACCATCGAGGCCCAGGCAAAGGAGGACGAATGTCCGACGACTCCCACAAATGAGATCAATACCGCAGGGACCGAGAAAGACATCAAAAAGGAGGTTCCTGTTACCCCTAAAGACGAGAAGCCAAAGGATCAGAGCAGGATCCTTGTCGTTGTGGGCACCTACACAATCGGCAAGGAGAAGATTGTCCTGGCATGTGCACGAGCCCTCAACACGAAGATTTACTGCACCGACTCTCGGAAGTACCGCGTGTATGCACAGCTGGACGATGCTGAGCTTCACTCGCTTCTAACACGAGATCCTCTTCGCGCGGCCGTCCATGTCACCTCGCTCATGACGATCAATGGCGACGCGTTACGGGATCACGTCAGCGCGATGCGCAAGCTTGGCGCGCGGATCGACCGCGCTATTGCCTTTCGACCAACCGGGTGGACCTACAGGCCACCGCCAGGTGCAGACCTTGTCTCGCCAAGCCTCGATCGAGTCATTCAATGGAACCAGTCTCGACGCTTCGGCTCTGGCAATCTCTTCCCGACAAGGGACAGCACGAGGGAGTACAGCATCTACGGTGTGCCGTACAGCGAGCACTCGAGCTTCTTTGAACTTTCGGCTTTTGCCCTCTCGCTCGACTATGTCAAGATCATCGCCACGGTCAATGTAGGCTCGGCCAATAGCCGCGCAAAGATGGCTCGATGGTTCGAGAAGTGGAAGTCGGAGAAGAAGAGGAGGGAATACAAGCCGGTGGTGCCGAGGGACCCCGACTACTTTTGATCGATGCCATTTCCCATGTCCTGCTGTAACATATAAGACTTTTGTGCACTGCATATTCATTCCAGCTCTGATGATGCCGGCGTTGCCTCCTTGTCAAAATCAGACATGTCGATGGCTCATCGATGCTTCTAGGCTTTCCAGAACCAGCTGGCGACCCTCAGTCTCATGAAACAGGCCCACGACTGAATAGAAAGACGGCATTGCAATTGAGACAATAGCCAGCTACGAAGAAGAAAGCAGGAGGCGGAGCACTAGATTCGACTAGCGAATGGGCCGCCAACCTTGAAAAGGAGAAAGAAAGATAGGATGAAACGAGGAAAGATGAGAAAGAAAGCAAGAGGGGATATCCAAGAAAAGACGACCATCTAAAAGGAGATTAGTCTGTAAAAAGGAACCGCTTATCAAAAGTGGACCAAGAGAAGAGACCGTGAACAGTGATGCTGTAGAGAGAAAGCTTGCCAGAGGAGCTGAGAGGAGAATTAAGGAAGAGAATGCTGAAAGAGAGAGAGAGAGAGAGAGAGAGAGAGCTGGGAGAGACGGAGAATTAGTTGTCGTCGTCGTCGTCGTCGGTCTTGACTTCATCGATCTTCTCAAGCTCGTCTTCCTTCTCGTCTGCCTCGTCGAGAGCCTGGTCACGGAGACGGCTGATCTCGTCGTCGTGCTCAGCGTCGTCGGCGTTGGCGTTCTCCTTGTCATCCTCCTCGTCGTCGTGGTTGAAGTACTCTTCGGCCTCCTCGGGCGTGACCTCCCAGCCGTTGATGTAGCTCTTGAGCGGGTCAAGGGCCTCGCCGTCCTCGTGAGGGTCCAGCGTCGTGTTGCGCGCCTGCAGCTCGATGGCCTGGGCGAGCGAGTGGACGCGCTTGTTGTGGTGACGGTGGGCACCGGGCGAGCGGGCTGCGTGAGCCTCGATGTTGGCCGTAGCCGTAGCATCGCGCTTGCCGTGCTTCTTGCTGCCGCTGGCACCGTACATGTAGCTGTAGGCACTGTTGCGGAGCTTGCCACCCTTGCTGAAGAAGGCGTTCTGCTGCGCGCCGAAGCTGTCGGGAGCGTTGCCGTAGGCGTAGCAACCAAAGGCGGCGTAGCGGTGAACGTACGGCTGCGAGTCCATCCATCGGTCGACCTTGGAGTGGAAGTGGCTGACCTGGCTCTGGCTACCGTGCGACTTTTGCGTGACACCGTACTCGCTGACCCAGACGGGCAGGTTGTAGCGCTTGTGGACCCGCTTGATGTACTTCTTGAGCTTGGCCGTGTCCTTCCACGAACCGTACCAGTGGACAGCCATAAAGTCGGGCTTGGCTCCGTGCTGCTTGAGGTGCTTCATGAACGAGTCCATCCACTTGATGTCGTAGACAATCTGCGGGCTCGAAATCTTGATGCCCTTCTTCTGGTAGTGGCGGAGCTCCTTGATCCATTCGCTGGCAGCTTGCTTGGGCGAGAGGTTGGCCTGTCCCGGCACGTCGGGCTCGTTTTGGGCGAGAATGTAGTTGGGCTTGTGCTTGTTGATCCACTTCTTTCGGTCGTTCCACTTGCCAGCCTTCTTGGGACCCCAGTACATGGGCACATAGTCGAGCTTGCCCTCAACCTGGGGGACCACGGCGTTCTCCCAGTGGTGGATCCACTTGACACAGCCCTTTGCCATCTTGGACGCCCATCGGTTGTCGGCGCCCCAAGGAAGACCAGCCTTGCAGTTGGCATTGTGCTTTTTCGCCTCGACGTCACTGCCAGCCAGGATGGCGGCCAATGCGACGAGGGCGAGGGCGAGGAAGCGGGTCGAGAGCATCTCTATCAAGACTTGCTAGGGAGTAGATAAACACGGATAGGAGAGGGTGAAGTGCGGTCGATTCGACCCTTGTTCAGTAATGAGCGTCGTCGAGAGGAGAAGGAGCGTGTGCGAGGCGCGAGATGGACAGGACGAAACGAAGGTGAGAGCGGAGAGGGGGAGAGGGGGGGAAAGAGGGAGGAGGTGTCGCTGACAGTGAAGAGAGAAAGAGAGAGAGAGAGAACGGGAACAGAAGGAGGGCTGGGCGCCAGTCGAGACGGGTGGTTTCCGCCTGGGCAGAACAGCAGCACACGTACACAGGGGCGGGAATCCAAATTGAATTTCTAATTTCAAACATGCCAGTCTTGGCTTTGTTGTTTTTGTTATAGCTCGCCATTCAAAACGCTCGCTTGACATTTGATACCGTCGTTGCGACTTGTAAGTCTCATTGATATACAATTGTCCACAGTTAGTGCTGCCCACAGCTTCTGCATAGCGAGCCCACCGGTCATACCTCGAGGGGCCTGTTGTAATTATCGATGGCGTGGTGATCCAAGGTATAACCCCCAGCAGGCGCGCCGCTGTCATCTGCAGAAGAATAGGCGGAAAGAAGCACTTCCGTGTGACGCGTCAAGTCAAAATGTTTTTGAAATTTTCCTTTCGTCGAACATTCTGTCAAGGATGGCCAAAAAGGAAAGCTGCCCCTCGTAATATGGTTCGTTCAAAGTGCGGAACAATGTGCCCTACAGTTGGGGAAAGGGTAAAATGCGACCTTGTGATCGAACGCTCGGGGTCCTTGAGGGGAATAAAAAAGTACGGGGATTAGCCATATTTCAGTTCATAGTCTAGAAAGACTAGCGTACTACTGGCCACTGCAACGTACTACTACTACTACTACTCTAGCTACACTGGACGATTCGACCGTGCTTGTGCATGCCAATCCTAGGCAGAGGGGAAAAATGTCAAAGGTCTCGTATTGCGCGACATTGAACTCGCAGCTCTCGATTCTGCTCACGTGGCCAATTTTGGCTCGACTGCGCTCGCGTCTGGGAATGAAGGCCAGCCATCCTGGAATCACAGTGAAATAAGGGTCGTGGTGCCTTTGCCCTAGCATCAGCAGTAGTAGTGTAGAGTGGCCAGCTAGCAGTGAGGTAGAGGCAGGACAATGTCAAACTGATGAAGATGTAATTAGAATGAGCTGCTTTCGTCGTAGAGAGAGCGAATTATTAGAGTTACATATACGAGCTGCTTTCTACGTTTCTGCCCAGCGGACTTGGCCGGGGTACCTTTGAAGTCAAGGGGGGCGAAGCAAGGAGAATCGACGTCGGGTCTCCCTCGGCAGCAGTGGAGGTAGAAGCCAGAGAAGGAGAAGGGTAGAGAGGAGACAGAGGCGACGGCAGAATAAACGATGGTGTCTTGGCGGCCGCGGTGCCCTGATGGTGACTCGGCAGCTGCGTCGACTTTTTTCGCCTCGCACCCGAGCTCCCTTTCTCGTCCAGCTCCCGATCCTCTGGGACCGGCTGGCTACTCCCACCGACGGTGCGTCGTCTTTTTCTCCAGATCTGCTTGCCCTTGGAGGGTCTGTTTTCGTCAGCACATCGGCCGCACTTCTTGCCCAGCGCATGCTCGAGCCGGTCCAGCCACTCGTCGCCAAAGAGCCTGCCCATCTTGTCCTCTTCCTCCTCGGAGCCTCTCGCTAGCTGTCCGTCCACGTAGACGCTCCGCGTGTCGTTGAGCTTGTGGTTCGGCATGACAAACGTCGTCACGAGCGATGCGGCGCAAATGGCCGTCGCCGTCACCATCATTGTCCGCCAGCAGACTCCGTAGGCGTCGACGACGGCCGTCCGATCCGAGCTGGTGCCCAGCGGGTGGTCCTCGATCCAAGTCAGCGGCTCAGTGTAGATGCTTGAGAGTTGGTTCTGCGCTCCGAGAGGCGCCAGCTTCTTGACCAGCAGGCCAGGCAGCAGGTTGCTCCACATCGCTCCGGCCACGGCGGACCCGATTGCGTTTCCCATGCACGAAAAGATGTTGAGCGTCGCAATCGACTGCGCCACGAATGCGTGGGGCACCGAGACCTGGACGGCGGCCTGGATGAGGGCGACAGTCAAGGCGCCACCGAGGCCAATGACAATCTGAGACGCGGCAATGTGGAACATCGAGTCCTGGGTGCCCTTGTATGCGATCATGAGGCCCAGTCCGCCCGTGTAGATGAGGACGCCGACGAGGGTGAACATCTTGTACCGGCGCGTGTACCGCACCGTCAGCCCAACGGGCAAGGAAGCGGCGGCGGTGGTGAAGCTGTAGAGGACGCCGATGTTCTGCTGGGCCCGACTGGAGACACCATGGACGACATAGAGATAGGTGGGGAGGTAAGCACCGACGAGCGAGTTTGCGGTCCAGAGCAGCGTCAGTGTGGCGACGCCGCCCCAGAAGGTATGGCTGACTCGGAAGCAGGGTGCAAGGATGGGTCGCTTGGCGTAGCGCGTCTCCCAGACTGCGAAAAGGACCAGGAGAGCAGCACCGACGGACAGCATGGCAATGATCCTCGGCGATTCCCACGAACTTGGCGATGCGGTAGCCAGCGTCAAGGGCACCAGAAGCAGTGTGAGCGAGGCAGACAGCAGAAAGAGGCCGATGAGGTCCGAGTTGTCGTAGAAACTCTTGAAAAGAGCAACGGCATCCGTCCGGGCCCTGCGCAGCTTTCTCGGGGATGCCATCTTCGCCGCAGGCGGATTCGCGCGGCGCAAGAAGTAGGCGATGGGCAGCAGCGCAGCCGGACCGAGGATGGCAAACATGCCCACACCCCACCGCCACTGGGGTAGCACGGCCTGGTAGATGTCGGAGCTGATGAAGCTGAAGACGAGAAAGGGCATCTGAGGGATGACCTGAAACAGCAGCCGGTTTCTCGAGCTCGTCATGTCGGCCAGGATGATGTTCTGGAGACAGTAGAGACCGTTGGCGCCCGTCTCAAAGAGAATGACCCCTCCGACGTAGGACGCCGTCGATCGGCTCGACGCCAGGGTGACGTGGCCAGCCGTGTACAGGACGAGGCCGACATCAAAGGCGCGATGGCGGCCGAGACAGTCTGCCATCGAGGCAAACGGCACCGCGCTGACGGCAGCCACGACGGCGCGCACGACATTGATGAGGGCCAATTCGGAGTGCGAAGAAAAAGAGTTGAGGGCGATGGTCTGGTACGAGTAAGTCGTGAGCCTGTCCAGGCTCAGCACGGCGCCCCACATGACAAGAAAGGCAAAAAGGACACCGAGTGATCTGGACGGGAGGGAGAGAATGCCGGTCTCCGCTGACTTCTCCGTCCTCGACTCGTTCCCTTGCGGCATCTTGCTTGGCTCCTGTTCCTGCTGCTGCTGCTGCTGCTGTGATTGTTGCGGCGGCTCTCTCTGCTCGAGTATGTGTCCAAAGTAGCTCGCAGCTTCCGCCTGCCCCGCCTGGTGTATGACGAGGGGACTGATGCCTCCCTCGAGCGCCGTGCCGTAGCCAATGTCGTCGAGACTCGTGCTCGCCTGCATACCCAGTGCAAGATTGGCACCCCGTGGCGGTGCCGACGCCGGCCTCTGGATCTTGTCCCTGGAAGCGAGAAAGGAGGCGACGGCCTGCACCTCGTCTGCGGCGCGCTGCTTTGCAAACGAGCTCAGGACAGGCGAGGCAGCCACCGCCGAGGCCTTTCGCGAGACAGCTGCTCGTATTGTATTTGTGGGTGATGAGCCGGCCGAAGACGAAGGCGACTCGGGAAGTGAGGCGAGAGCCATGGTGTTGCTGTTGCCCAGCACGCCGACGCCTGCACTGGGCCGTCTGGAAATGGGAGGCGAGTAAGTGGGCTGGTCGCTCTGGGCGGAACGTCGGCGGAGGTAAGAGGACGATGCATTCAGGCCGTCGGCTTGTTGCTGTTGCTGTTGCTGCAGTTGCTGCTGTGATTGCTGCTGCTGCTGCTGCTGCTGCTGCTGCTGTTGCTTGGCCACTGGTCCTGCCGCCGCTGCCGAAGACGAGGCGCCATCGAGGGCCTGCCTCATCTCGAGGGTGCGAGCAGCAGCAGAGACGGGAGCAAAGCTGTCGAGTCGAAAGGTTGGCTTTGTGCTTTCTTCGCTCGGAGCTGGGGCCGGACTCGGCGAGGTACTGGCTGGAGAGGTAAGAGGACCCCGAGTGCTCATCTCATCGGTCCTCCCCTTTTCTTTTCCACTCCAATAGCGGCGACGATATACTCTCCTACTCTCCTCTTGCGACGACGGCCCTACTCGATGGATGCTTTCTCCAGGATTTCTCGAGTGTGTGTGCGCGCGGGAATCGAAAGGGCCCAGGACCTCCGCCGCATGCTCATGTAGTACATACACTACTACTGTGCTTTTTCGTTTTCTATTTATTCGCTTCTCGATTTGGACACCCAAGCCACGATCTCATTTTCACTTTCACTTTTTCTCTCTTTCTCTCTCTTCACCCACACAACCGTACTCCTCCTCTTCCTCCCTTTTTGGTCCTCGAGAAACAAATACCTCGTTCCGAATTCCGATCTCGTCCTCTCTCCAATTTTTTATTTTTTTTTTAATCTTTTTGGGTTTCGGGTGCGGACTTTTTTTTTGGTTGAGAAGAAAGAGAACAAGAGGCGACAGAGACAATGGCAGCGGGCAAGGAGGAGAAGCTGACAAAGAAGCAGCGCAAGGCGCTCGAGTTCAAAAAGGGCGCCAAGGCTGCGGATAAGCGCGCGGCCAATGAGGAAGAGGATGGGGCCAGGGCTGAGGCCTCATCAGTCGTCGAGGCGCCGCAGGCCGAGCTGAGCCGCGTCCAGAAAGCAGAGGATCCCGAGGTCGACGGCGACGAGGAAGAACAGAACCAGGAAGAGGATCAGCAGGAGGAGGAGGAGGAGGAGGAGGAGGAGGAGGAGGAGGAGGAGGCGCAAGGTGAGGGCGCAGGCAAGCGGGTGGCTGCCAAGGGCAGTGCGACTCGGAGCAAAGAAGAGAAGAGAAAGGCGAAGCGAGATGCCAAGAAGCTGAGGATCAAGGAGAAGAAGGCTGGGGGCAAGAAGGCTGGAGCAAGCAACGGCAGCGAGCCAACAAAGGCACCTGGCGACGCGAGTGAGGCGACTGGAGGAGAGGATGAAGAAGATGACGAGGAGACAAAAGCGAAGAAGCGAGATGCAAAGAGCCGATTCATCGTCTTTGTCGGTGGGTGTCCTGTTTCCCTATTTCCTCATACGCAGCCTGGACTGACACTGCTCCTCTTCGTCACTCAGGCAACATGGCATACACGACAACGTCGGAAAAGCTCGCTGCTCACTTTGCACCGCACTGCTCCGAGACGCCGACAGTGCGCCTGCTGACGACGCCGGGCGACCCGACGCTGCTGTCCTCGCTGTCAAAGAGCAAGCAAAAGTCCATCGCCAAGGGCAAGTCGCCCGACCCGTCGCTGCCGCGCTCCAAGGGATGCGGCTTTGTCGAATTTGAGACATCTGCCGGCCTGCAAAAGGCGTTGCAGTTCCACCACACCATGCTCGACGGGCGGCAGATCAACGTCGAGCTCACGGCCGGCGGTGGAGGGAATAGCGGGGAACGCAAGGAGAGAATCAAGAGCAAGAATGCCGAGCTGGGAGAAGAGAGGAAGGCAAAGTTCGAAAAGTTTGTCAAGCCTGCCAAGGAGAACAAGGAGGAGCAGGGGGGCAACAAGCGAAAGACTACCGATGAGGGAGCTGCGGCGCGAGGCGAAGGCCAGGCACAGTGGGGCCCCAGAGGAGGCGCTGGTGCCGGCAGTGCTCCTGCTGCGAAGAGAACAAAGGTCGACAAGAAGTCCAACGGCAGAGCAACTGGCAGGAAACCTTGGACCCCAACAGGGTCCAACGCCGTCACCCTCTCTGGCTAGTCAGCCCCTCTCTCCTATTCTCTCTTGTCTCCATATCGTGTATAACATTATCATTCACTTTGTTGTTCAATTCATGCATAGACATGCCTGCGTTGTATGGAGTACTTTATCGTCTTCGAGAGGGTTCTGTTGGTCAATTTGACCCGGCTCAACTATCACGGCAGCCTCTTGACCTGCAAACCACGCTGCCTTTTCTTTCCTTTCTGGTCCTCCTCGTCCTCGCTCATCGACGGCGACTCGCTCTTGGCCTCCTTGCTTTCCTCGTTATTGCTGTTGCTGCCATCCTCAACTCTTCTTGTCCCGGACCTTCGCTCTATGGCCTCCAACGCTCGACGTGTGATCTCCTCTTTGGCGGCCTGTGGTTCCTGAGCGACCTCGTTCTGGAGCTGTTTCCGCCTAGAGCAGCTGATCGCAAATCTCTCCAGACCACCTTCAACCCCTGGATGACAATGTGTTGAATACGTGACCTTGTTTGTAAGCAGGAATACTGTATCGAAAGGGTTCACCGACACGTCTAGCTTGTAGTCAATAAGGCGCAAGAGACACGGACTGCCAAAGTTGAGAAGGATGCTGTAATCCGCATCACCAACGTCCCGGTAATCTTCAGTGGTGTAGTCCATAAACACCGAAGAAGCTGAATGCAACTCGCTGCAGATGTATTCGGCCACCCCATGCTGATACTTGAGCCAATCGAGATGCCTCTGACCACCGGAAAAGGCCGCACGAATGTCGCTGGTGACATTGTACTTTTGCTTTTTCACCAGAGGGATTGTCCACTTCTCCAAGTACGCCTTCAACCATATCTGAAAGTCCATGACTGCTTCTTTCGCCTCGGTGGAGCTATTTTCTTGCCGGGTGTCCTGGCTAATGGTTGCAGTTCTCTGTCCTTGCGCATTCCAAATCCCGAAACGAAACACCCTAGGCCTCCTTACTGTCTCGTGCACCTTTGCATCGCTTTCTTGTATTCGCTTATAGAGTGCCAGCCCTTCGTTGACCTCTCTCCTCACTTCCCACATTCGATCATAGCATTGAGGGCCCACGCGCTGCAGGAGGGTGACTCCTTCTTCTTGAAGAACAACGTTCCGTCGATACGACTCTTGACGATAAAGTCCGTATTGTGTCGAAGCTACACCGGTCACTCGCCTCCAATCCGCATTTTGCGCCTGGTTCATCGTGTCCTCGTTGTCCGTTCCTTCCCTCTGGGATTGCTGCCCAAGCTTATCCAATTCCTGCACTTGGGTATTTGCTCCTGGCTCGAGACTTTGCTCAGCTAGTCTAGCCATCACCAAGCCTCTCTGTTCTCACCCTTGTGGACCTCTATCACCATCGTGTTTCTATATCCTAACTTCGTCTTGGAACGATCCGTTATCCTTCGATCTCCTCGTGGCAAGTTCGAGTAGTCGCACATTCTCTCGATACAGCCTTTCCCTTGACAAACAAGGAAGACGCTCCCCGTTGACTGTGACAATAACGGTGCTTCCGGTGTTGCCTTGTCGCGGTGTGTGGTAACCCAGTTGGAGTTGTGGGCGCTCGGCGAGCCCGCGTTCGCGGAGTCAAGGAAGTTCTTCGGCCGAGCTTATGGTCCGACGGTCGAGCGCCAGGGGAGACCTCGACCTGGGACGATTTAGCTCGTCCAGGCTGCCCTTAAGTGCTAGGGTGACTCCGGCCCCCGCGTGCTGCGGCGACGGCGAAGCCGTCGACGCTCTCAATCGTTCAGGCGACGAAAAAGAGCAAAGGATGTGACTAGATGAAGAGGAAAGAGCGTTACAAGAGGGGAGTGGTGGGCGTCGTAAGGGCCTAAGCGCTCGCGCTCGGACCACCGGGCGCATCGACGGTCGGCAAGACACCGTGGAGCGTCGACGGTAGAAAAAGCGGCCTCGAAAACGTCATATTCCCAATTCTCCTGACTCCAGCACGAAGTAGCAGATAGAACACTACCATAATTGTGTTGGCCAGGAGTTTGGCTCCAGCGAGCTTGGTCTTTCTGCTTTTGTTTGGAAGGCTACCTGAATGCATCAGTCAAGCGATCCCCAGAGCACACAGCATGACCATCCAAATGTCACCGGTGCATTGAACATCGTCGTCCGTCGTCAAATCATGCTCATGGAGAGCACGAGCTTCCGAAGTCACATGTACTGTACCGTACAATCACAACTGCTAGATCCCATTAAGAGGAAGAGTGGTAGAAAAGTAGCAAACAGTTTCAATGCAAAGCATCACCGTCTTCTCTCGTCGTCAAAAGGATCGTCATCCTCCTCGTCTTCGCCTTCGTCTTCGTCAAACAAGACGTGGTGGCCATTCGCAGTCCCATTCCCATTCATCTGAGCACCGCGATCTTTAGCCCTCTTGCCCTCGAGCCGATTCATCTCGAGAGAACCAGAGCTGCCGCTTGCTACGCCTTCGTCCGGGTCCTCGTCGACGCGCAGCGGAGCCGATTCACCCATGCTGACGCGGGAATAAAGCGAGCGGAGTCCGCCGGACTCGGCGAGACCAGCACTACGACCGCCGCGGCCGCCAGCGGCGGCAGCGGAAGCAGCGGCCTTGCGCGCGGACCCATAGCGCCCACCTTGGGACGTGTAGAGGTCGATGAGGACGTTTGCCCAGAGAAAGAGGAAAAAGGAAATGGAGAAGTCAATGAGGCCCCAGGTGATGTGATCGACGCCGTAGGAGTCTGCCCAGCGCAGCTCCTCGTCGGTGGCCGACATGAAGAGGACGCCCGAGGCAAATAGGAGCCAGGGTGGCAGGTACTGGAACGCTCGGATGGGGAACCACTGCTTCTCCGTGTCCATCCTCTGCCGTTCGTCTTCCTCTGATGGTCGCTCTGCGTCGGGCTGCTGCTGCTGCCCCGTGGGCCCGTCGCCGAGGACGAAGCAGACCTCGATGATGCGGGCAGCACCAGCAGCCATGAGACAGTACCCAAACAGGGCATGGATCATCGTTGAAATCATCTTCATGGATATCTGGGCATCAGCAACGGTGGAGATGAGGTTTAAGCATGGAAGAATGCAACTCACCAAAGCCTGTGCGTGACCACTCATGGCCCAGCCAGTAATGACGATGACTACGGCGGGTACCACGCTCCGCCTGCCGCCCTTGGAGAGCCACATGCCAGCGGCGCCGCCAGCGACCCAGACGACGCCGAGCAAAGTGTGCTGCAGATCCTTGTGCGTCCACGGCCCGCCGTGGTGCTCCGTGAGCGCATTGACACAGCCCCAGGCAAAGATGACGGTGCTGTCTAGAAACTCCTGGCTGGTGTTGCTCTTGCGCCGTGAGAGCCAGCTGACGCCGGCCTTGAGCATGATGAGGAGAATGGTGCCGTAGCCGATGAATGCACTGCCCATGATGTGGTGTGCGAGGCACTGGCCCGTACGGCCACCCATGCACCAGGAGCGCAGCGTGATGATCCCCAAAAGCTGAACAGAATTTAGGGTGCATACGGTCAGCAAAACAAATAGGGAATGAAGAAGCGGGCACATTGCACAGAAGAAGAAAGAGTGCCCTCACCATTTGCAGCCAGCCAAGGATCGAAAAGAGCTTCCCAATGAAGCCGTGGGCAAAGATGATAATGGGCCGGACGAAGCCCTCTGCTTTCCATTTGAGATGGAGCTTGAGGTAAATGCCCAGTGCACCCTGTGCCATCAGCAGCGGGATCAGCAGGTTGGCCACAGTCCCGTGGGCAGTGTGAGGGAACGACCTCCCGCCGTGCCCATGGCCAAGAAAGTAGCCAGCCGTTGTCAGGGTGAGAGCCAACACAGCGAGGGGCACGTGGAGACGGTGCCGTGTCAGGCCGAGAACCATGGCGAGGGGAAAGAGGATGAACCAAGCGAGCGACTGGATCAAGATGTGCAGCCAGAGGATTGAGTCAATGGGCACAGAGTCATCGGCGGGGCCCTCCTGGTGGTGACCATGAGCGTCGACGAGTGCTGCCAGATAGAGGACTGCAGAAGAAAGAGCCACGAGCGCTGAGGCACGCCGCATCATCGTCGCCTTTTTGTCCTCTGTGCTGCTGCTGCACGAGTGTGTGTCGAAGGTGGGAGTGGTTTAAGTCGTCGAAAGGGCCAAAATATGAAAAGAACAGAGAGCCATGCCATGCAGGGTGCGCCGTCTCGAGCCTGAACCGCATTTTTCTTTTCTAACTTTTCGGCCCGCAACGCAATTCTTAGTCTAATTTGGTCCTGCATCTCAACACCAAAGCCACTGACAAGTGCATCGCCCACTTCCATATCAATCCAGCCTTTGTAGCGCGCTTGCATAGCTTTGCGCGCCGCGACGATCCTTGCTACGTGACGAGAGAGCATAGGAGCTGTCCTCCCAGCTCCCGCCACTGTGTGCTTGTCGCTCTTCCTCCCTTCCCAAACACTGCTTCAGGTATCAGGTCCTCGATCCAAGCCCCTCTTTGCTCGTGTATCGCATTGTACTGGACAGATACTCTGGGCCTTCTACGTACCAAGCCCCAGTGCTCATCGCCCCACAACCAAGATCCGACGCCGCCGACGACGTCTGTCTGGCAATTCTGGTTCGCCGCCACCCTCTGTTCTCGCTCTCGTTGAACCTCGGAATCGCACCCCTGGCAGCCGGCGGCGACCCGAGAGGCAAGAAGCGAGTTCGGCTAAAGCGACTGGCCCCGCAGACGCCTTTCTTCTTGTCGAATTGGTCCTCGAGCAGTCTAAGATTTCGAAGGTTGATTGGGAAAGCGACGTTTCCAATAATGACTTCGCACACCCGCTGCTTTCTACACCGTTGTTGATGCGTCTGGTGGTCCGAGCGCGAGCGCTCGGATCGCCACTATGATGCCTATCACTTTCTCTTGTGACGCTCCCATTTTTATCTTTTTGTCTGATCACATTCCTTGCTTCTTATCGTCTGAACCATCGGGAGCGTCGACGGCTTCGTCGTTCCGCAGCGTGCCCTGTCGGAGTCACCTTAGTACTCTGGGGACAGCCTGGACAAGCTAAATCGTTCCGGTCGAGGGCGCTTGAAATGGCAGACCGACGGTCAAGAAGCACCTGGGCGGTCGACGGTAGAAATCTCACCGTGGCAGATCAGTGATGGGCGAATTTTGCTCTTCGTCGAAATTGTACTGTACTGCGTATTCCTCGCAATTCTCGCAATGCTCATGTGGATCCTTGGGACCTGACTGGGTGGGGCGAGCTTATCTTGGCCGCGCGCTTATCGCCCTCGAGAAAGCGACTACCCGCGCGGCTAGCGCTTAGCATTAACGACAAGCGCCCAAATGCTCCACCCCGCGTCTAGATAAAGCTGCGAGCGAGAAGGTGGCAGGCAAACGCACCCCATCACCACCGATGTCTGCCATTGAGATCACATCGCCCTCGGGCAAGACGCTGAAGGTGCCCACCGGCATCTTCATCGAGAATGAGTTCCACAAGGCCGCTGAGGGTGGGCCCCGGCTCTCGACGCTCAACCCGGCCACGGGCAAGGTGCTGTGCGAGGTCGAGTGCGGCACCTCGGCCGATATCGATCGCGCCGTCGCGGCGGGCAGGCGGGCCTTCCAGACGCGGTGGGGCCGCAAGAGCACGCCCACGCAGCGGAATGCGTGCCTGCTCAAGCTCGCCGACCTCATCGAGGCCCACGCCGACGAGCTGGGCGAGCTCGAGTCGCTGGACAACGGCAAGCCGCGCTGGGTAGCCACGACGATGGACGTCGTCGACACGGCCGGCTGCTTCCGCTACTATGCCGGCCTGGCCGACAAGATCGAGGGCAAGACGATGGAGCTCGATGAGGGCACAAAGATGGCCTTTACACGCCTCGAGCCGATTGGCGTGTGCGCCGCCATTATTCCCTGGAACTACCCGCTGATGATGCTGGGCTGGAAGCTGGCGCCGGCGCTCGCTGCCGGCAACTGCGTCGTGCTCAAGCCCGCCGAGCAAACACCGCTCACGGCGCTGCTCATCGCACAGCTGTCCGTCGAGGCTGGTTTCCCCCCCGGCGTGCTGTCCGTGGTCAACGGATACGGGGCGACGGTGGGCGCGGCCATGGCGTCGCACATGGACATTGACAAGGTCGCCTTTACCGGCAGCACGCTCACGGGCCGCAAGATTATGGAGGCGGCGTCCAAGTCGAACCTGAAAAAGATCACCCTCGAGCTGGGCGGCAAGTCGCCCGTGCTCGTCTTTGACGACGTCGACATCGAAAAGGCGATTCCCTGGGTCGTCATTGCTATTCTCTTCAATCAGGGCCAAGACTGCACGGCGGGCTCGCGCCTCTTTATCCAGAGCGGCATCTACGACAAATTTGTCGCACGTCTCGTGGCGGCCATGAAGGAGCACGGCATCGGCGACCCCTTTGACGACGCCAACTTCCAGGGCCCGCAGATCACACGGGCGCAACAGGAGCGCATCCTCGGCTTCATCGAGAGCGGCAAGCAGGAGGGCGCCAAGCTCGAGCTCGGCGGCGGAGCCTGGCAGGGCGCCAAGGGCACTCCCTTTGAGGGCGGCTTCTGGGTCGAGCCGACCGTCTTTTCGGGCTGCAAGCGCGGCATGAAGATTGTCGATGAGGAAATCTTTGGGCCCGTCCTCGCCGTCGCCAAGTTCGACACCGAGGATGAGGCCGTGGCGCTGGGCAACGACACCAAGTATGGCCTCGGCGCCGGTGTCTTTTCCCAGGGCGCAGCCCGCTGCATGCGCGTCGCCGGCGCGATCCAGGCCGGCACCGTCTGGGTCAACAACTATGCGCTGCTCAGCAATGCCGTGCCGTTTGGCGGGGCAAAGCAGTCGGGCATCGGTCGCGAGCTGGGCGTGGATGCGATCAAGGAGTACGTCCAGGTAAAGTCGGTGCACTGGAACTACGGCGAGGACCTCGAGTGGCCCCTGCGCGGGTAGTGCATGCAATGTCATCTGCTTCTTCGATCTTGCCAGCACGAACTCAATTCGACCACGATGTCTGACGAACTATGACTGAAGCTTGAGGCGAGACTGACACGGACTGACATTAAGGTCACACTATTGAGATTGAGGTTGGAAAACAGTCTCGCCTCAATGCTGCGCACACTATGGATGTATTTCCTATTCCTGACATGCTTCCCATGCCTACACTTGACTTGCTACAAATGCCTGGTTCAGTGCTGGGAGGGGAGTTGGAAGCTCGACGTTTCTGACATCTTCAACTTTTTTCGGCCGACGTGTCTGGAGGTCCGAGCGCGAACGGACCCCCACGACGCAGCTTTTTCTTTCCGCTTCTTGCAAGTAACTTGGCTTCGACAGCTTCGACGATGGCAGCAACGACAGCAGCGGCGACCACGGGCTCTTCTGGCGCGAGCCTCGGAGCAGGCACGTTGCCATCTGGAGCCTCGTCGTCGTCTGCCACTTCCATGTCGCGCTCGCAACAGCAGCAGCAGCGGCGGCGTATGGTGTGCTCGTCCATCGCCGTGGTGCCCGCGACGACGGACGTGTCGACGCTGACGTCGCACCTCTTTTCGTCGTCTGTGCGCGGTGCCGAGCGGCTGCGCGAGCGAGACCTGTACTGCCGGCGGGCCGACGATGTGCATCCCCACACCACCTCCGTTGAAGCAGGGGACAATAGCTTTGCACCGGTGCGCAGGGCGCGCCAGGCCAACCGGCTCATCGTGCGCAGGTCGGCCGAGGGAGAAGGCAGGACGACGATGAGGCTCGCCACGCCAGCGAGGCCCAAGCGGGAGCAGGACCTCTTTAGCCTCCAGACGCTTCTCGAGGTGCCATTGCTTGTCGATGAGGGAGAGACTCCACTGGACAGAGACTCGAGACAGGTGCTGCAAGTCGTGGGCGCGCTCGGTTGGGTGTGAGTTGTTGTCGCGGTCTCACAATGACGGCGAATTTCCCACAGCTGACCCGGCCTCGATGAGACTCCAGACCCGACCACAGGACCGTTCGAGTCGGCCATCGTTTCGTGCTGAGGCAGGGCTCGGAGGCGGAAGGGTCTGTCCACCTCGAGGTGCTCCTCTTTCAACTGTATGCGGTGAGCAGATAGCCGCAATATCGTGCCCAGCAATCTGTTGTGCTCACTTTCCTCAACAGTCGAGCACAGAAGCAGAGGGGCTCGTCCCACTCTCTTCGAGCACCCACATCCTCCAGGCCATTTCAAGCACGCCCTTGCCTCTTTCCAACAACAACAACAACAGCAAGGCAAGGCCTCAGCAAGAGCCGGGCGAGCTCGACGCATCGACGCTGGCCGAGCGCGTGATCCGAGACATGCGAGCCATTCACGATGACCTTCGGGGCCTCGTCGTCTTCCGGCCCGACGACTAACAGGAAAAGACAAAGGCTCGCTTTACTCTTTTAGACAAGATGCGCAAGTCAGAAAATGTACAACAGAGACAGGCGTGTAATGGCAGAATCAATGGTTGAAGGGATCTGCGCCCTTCATGCCCTTGAGCACAAACGACTCGTAGCTCGTCTCGGAGCCCGAGAGATCGACTGTATACCGTTGCACTTTTGAAAAGCCCCAGAGGGCCTTGCGCCAGTAGCACATGGCGCTGGCGGGCGTGATGTAGCGCTCGCGGAAAAAGTTCCACTGGTTGTCTGCAATCTTTCTCGCCAGCGTGTCGTTTGCCAGGAGCCGGTCCATGACCTCTGGCAGCCGCTCCCAGGTCCGGTCGCGGAACTCTCGGCCATCGCCGTCGTGCACGAGCACGCCCTCGCCCTCGCCCTCTGGTGGGGGGATAAAGACGATGTTCTGGTCCGGGCTGTCCCAGTCGGCATTGTACAGGTGGGTCCAGTGCTGCAGCCACCGTGGCTCGTGCGTGACAATGACGACCCTGCAGTTTTGCAGGTAGCGCAGCCGGCCACTGTAGGTGTTGCCCTCGGGGAATCCGTGAAACTTCCACCGGCAGTGGTCTTCCATCGGCACGGGCTGGCGGTCCGGTGCACCCCAGTCGATGGCCTTGACGTCGTTCCAGTCGTGTCCGTCTGCAATCTTGAACATCGACTCGCGATCGGCGGTGCCGACCTTCATCGAGCCGCGCCAGAAGAGCTTGTTGACCTTGCCCTCCCACCCAATCTCCTTCTCCACCCGTGCCGTATTCGCTCGCAGCTCTTGGTACGAGCCGACGTGCTGCAAAGGCCAATTAGACAAGTGACGGAACCAAGGGGGGGATCTGTGCTTGGGGCTCACCTCTGGCCAAGAAAACCAGCCGTAGTCGGGCATCATCCACACGTCCTCCAGGTCCGGCGCCCGGTCGAGGCCAAACTTGCCCCGAGACCCCCAGTCCATCATGCCGATGCAGAACTCGACGTTGGGCAGCTTCTCTCTCGACGTGACGACGGCCATGTGAAGGAGGGCCAGCGCGGCCTGGGAGCGGGTAAAGTCGGACTGCTGGTAGTACTTGAGGTAGAGGCGGTTGTTGTAGATAACCACACGGGCATGAGTCCAGATGCCATCGTCGCAGCTGTACTCGAGGTACTCCTTGTTGTATCTGGTGGGTAAGGGTCAGTCGGGAGTGTATGCAGAGTAGGCTTCTCCTCGCTCACTCCTGCTTGGTGGTAAAGAACTCGACGCTCCGATCAATCTCCTTGTACAGACCGGGAAAGAAGGCGTCGCACTCGTCCTCGGTCATCGTCAGATCGTCTGGGTTGAAGGGCGTATGGTAGGAGAGGTGCTTCCTGCCGCTTCCCTTGACCCAGAGGTCATCGCCCTGCGGCCTCCGCCCGCCGTTGGAAAAGGATGGCAGACCAATGTCGCCGTAGAGGACGCCCTTGTTGTGCCACTTGGTCGGATTGAGCCTGCCCGTGTACTGCCCCACCTTCTGTGCGGCCGAGAGGAGACCAGTGGCCTCAAAGTCGTCGTCCGAGTTTCCCCAGGCGCCAAAGAGGAGGATGAAGCAGAAGCTGATCATGCCAATGATGGCCCATCTTGTCCGCGCCCGACCGACAAAGAGCCGCTTGGCGCCATCGGTGGCCGTCGATGGGCTCGGAAGGCCTACGCTGGAGCCGTCGTGAGCACGGACGAGCGAGTAGCCGAAGATGGCCATCGCGGGGGGGTTGCCTCGAGGTTTGCAATCGCTCGCTCACTGCCGTCGGATCGTTCGTTTGGTGAGTGATGGGGTGCCGCAAGTCTTTTCGTCGTCTAGTCACCCTTCCAGCGGGCCGCCGCGTGTCCGCTGTGTTGCTGCTTGCCGCGGAGGAGCGTGAGGAGCTCGACTGCTTATGCCTGTCCGAGGGAGAGAGAGTGCGCGAGCCAGGGACAAGCTAAGGCGGAGATCGAAGCCAGGGACGGAGCTTTGAGTTCTTCCCCCACGTGGTGTAAATAATAAAGCGACGCGGGAAGGCCAAGACATCAACACCACCGCGCATCTCTCTCCTTCTTTCTCTCTCGCTCCTCCTTTCCTACACCTTTCCTCGCCTCGCCTTTCGGAGCGCGCGACCAAGAAGGTGCCACGATGAAGGTCTACCAGCGCGAGACGATGCGCAGGATGATCAAGTCGCACCTCGACGAAGACCAGCGGCTCTCGTCCGAGGCCGACATCCTCTTCTTTCTCGCCTACCAGCTCTTTCTCCGCCGCCTCGCCGACGAGGCCCGCGTCCGGATGCAATACGACGCCGCGGCAGGCATCACGTCCTCCAAGCGCTCCATGTCCAAGAGGCACGTCGTGGGCGCGGTCCAGTTTATTCTCAGGAGGTCCGCTCGGCTAGCCACCAGCAATGCGACCAGGCGGAGGCGGTCGTGATATTGGTCCCCAGCGCGGCAGAACAAAAGGCGAACACAGGTCAAACGAGCAGAGGCAGCGGCTTCAAAGAGGGCGTAACAGGCTTCCAGCACGAACGACAACAATGTAATTTTATAGAGCGCATGGCTTCCAGCATAAATTAGATACCACGTCCACCGGTCACCTCGAGGATCTGGCCACTGACATAGCTGGCGAGGGGGCTGGCGAGGAAGAGGATGCTCGCACCGGCCTCGGTCGGCTCGCCTGGTCGTCTCAGAGGAATGTCGGCCGTAGCATTGACGTCCTGTTGCAGTTCAAACATGAGTCAGGGAGGGGCACTGCGATGAGCATGAATCAGCAGACCTGGAGAACCCACCGAAGAGCCTGCACGGCCGGGGATGCCCAGCTTGACCTCCTTTCCGTCAATCTTGATGGATGCGCCCGCTTCCTTGGCACCCGTGAGCCGCGTCTGAATCCATCCAAAAGCGACACAGTTGGATCCTGTCGGGAGGGTGAAGAGATGATCAGCTGGATTCAGAGGGAGGATCACATGAGGCCGAGCAGACTCACGGACACCAAAGGGACCCCACTCCTTTGCGACGGCTGCAGAAGAACAAGTCAGCACCACGCCCGATGCAAAGAAAGAGAAATCGAGGCAACCCACTCTTTGTCATGCCCAGGACGGCAGACTTGGCGGCAGAGTAGTTGAGCTGGCCCGTGTTGCCGTGGACGCCCGAGGTGGACGAGACCTGGTTTGTTAGATGGGAGTCGAGTCAGCGGCCGTCTCATGACTCATGACGAAGGACAGGTCCACTTACAAAGACGACGCTCCTGTTCTCGCGCTTTTCGGGCTCCTTGATGCGCATGTAGGGTGCCGCAGCGCGAATGAGCCGGAAGGGCGCGACGGTGTGGCAGTCGAGCATCTGCTGGAAGGTGGCGTCGTCGATGTTGTGGAGCATCTTGTCGTTTGTGAAGCCGGCATTGTTGACAATGTGGTTGATCTTGCCAAACTTGCCGACGGTGGCCTTGACAGTCTTTTTGCCAAAGTCGGGATCCATGACGTTGCCTTGGATGGCGAGGGCAGAGCCACCGGCGTCGGTGATCTCCTTGGCCACTTCCTCGGCCTTGGCGCCGTCGAGGTCAGAGACGACGACGTGTGCGCCGTGCTGGGCAAACAGCAGCGCAGCCGCCCGTCCGATGCCCTGGCCGGACCCAGTGATGATGGCGACCTGGCCCTGGAGGAGGGCGCCGCCGAGGTTGGCGCCCAGGTGCTTGGAAAGCTGCTGCAGTCGTTCGTTGGCCATGGCTGTGTTTCCTGATGTCTTGCTCGGGTGAGTGGATGGGTGGGGGAATGAAGGAGGGAATAAGAGTCCGATCTCGTCTTATTCCCCCCCAGAGAAGAAATAGCGGGGTGCCCTGATCACCGGCTCCACGGCCCGGCTCGCACCTTGGCCCGGGCGAGCGCTGTTGCAGTGCGCTGCAGGCAAAAATGCTCGCTCGCCGACTCGCTCGCACGTGTGGCGCAGGCCGGAAAACGCGCCGACTAAGCCCGCTCGTGCGAGAAAGACCAAAGTGCGTCCGTCGCGCGTCTAGTCCAGACCAACACAACACCCCTCCGTCCGTTCTCGTACGGCGACGGCGACGCTGAAGACGACAACAAAGAGGGGCAAAGACGGAGCAGCCGATTGGCTACTTTGAGAGAGAGAGAGAGAAGAGGTGGGTGTCACGCACTGGATTCTCCAGAGGCGAAGCCTGACTCGAGCTATCCTAGCAGAATGGAGAACCCGCATGAAGAAAGGCAGTCAATGCTGCTCGAACGCATCATCAAGAACGTCGACCTGCTCAACGACGCGATGGTAGAATTGACAAGGAGCATGGCCGAGATCAACGAGTTCAACCAGCGCGTCACGATTGTCAGCGAGCTCTGGGAAGGTGTGAGTAGGGGGTCGGATGACTCTCATAGCTCTAACGATGCGCAAGGGCACTGAAGAAGTCATCGACACAGTACCGCCGCAACGTGGCTTTCAACCTCGCCAATATGGACGACACGGAACGGGAAAGGGCTGGAGACGAGGCACACTCGTGATTGTGATCGAGGCTGCTGCAAGCGGGCCCTTTTTGTATTTGTACCTGTTTGTGGTCAGTTCTGCTGGCTACGCTGTAAATCTTAAGCACTTTCGGTGGTCATAAGTCGTGAATCTCCGAGGCGGAGATGAAACAGACTCTCCGGCCACAGCAAAGATGTGATAGCTGGGGATTAGGGTGGTCATTGCATCTGAAAAAGCGAGCCTGGCAGAAAGGACGCGATGGATGGTCTGCGTCAGTCGTGGCTTGTCACTTTGCAACTAATTACATCAAACGTTGTCACTTAGAGCGCCAACGATTAGATCTTGACCGAACACATCTCCCTTCCCTCTTTCGTCCCGTCTTCGCCTCGACAGCTAGGGCCGTGAGACTGCAGCTGGTGGAGGAAGTTCCTTGTTGTTTGAACGGCAACTTGCGTGCAGAGCAGCTAGAGTAGTGGTCGAATCGCGGACAGAAAGTAGGGAGAATTTTTAGCGCACGGCCGGCACACTGCCACGGACGTCCAGAGACTCTAAAATTTAAACAAGGGGCGGTGTATGTAGTGTTGGTCGACACTTCCTCCAACTTCCGTCGCATCCCCCACCACAAGCTACAAGGACATGCCACCTCGCAATTCCTACTACAACGACGACGACAAGGGGTCACAGGGCCCGCCGCCGTCCTATCATCAGGGCGAAGCGAGCACAAATAGCCATGGGACTGCCTATCAGTCAGCCCAGGCAGCCCTGGCTGGCTTCGAATCGAGCCGGGCCGTGGCCAATGGCGGGCGCATGAGCCCTCCGCAGGCTGGAGGCGCGGGCATTGGAGCCGGCCGCAATGCATACAGGCAGGACTCGGACCCGTCGCTGTACACCGACCCGTTTGAGTATGCGTCGACGGCGGCGGGACCGCCTCGTAACGTCGCAAACGTCACCTCGACCCGGCCGGACCCCAACTTTCTCGACCAGGACCCGTACAGCCACGAGGACCGGCCCCTCAATGGCGATGCCATGCTGGCGAGGAGCAACACGCTCGGCACACTGGGCCCCAACGATAGCGTCAGCGTCCAGGACATGGCTCGCGCTGGGAATCGCAGCTCCGTCGGCGGCGCAGCCCCGCTGCCGGTTGCCAAGGACGATGCCAGGGAGTATGACGACATCCCCGCCAGCCAAGTAGGGGGCGCACGAGAGCGGGGTTTGGATCGGTATACGCCCTACGGCGGCTATGACGACGAGTACCACGCCAAGGACGAGTCGCGAGGCTACCAAGATGAGTCGTACTACGGCCACCAGCAGTACGACGAGTCGGGCGCCTCGCTTCCCCTCAAATCGTACGCCAACCCCATGGGCTACGCCGACGACGAGCACGACGAGGCCCGCCAGAGGGACCAGTACTGGCAGACCAAAGACGAAGGCGACTACTACGACCGAAGACACCCGCCGAGCCTGTTTGCAAACAATCTCCAGGGACCCGTGCCGCCGAGAAAGGACATGGAAGACGAAGAGGCAAACAAGGGCCTTTTGGGTGCCCTCAAGGGAAAGTCTGGTTGGGGAGGCACTCTGGAGGAACAGATTGAAAGACGGCGAAGGGGCCTTGGTCGGCAAAAGTGGCCCATCCTCAGCTGGATTCTTGCGTGAGTGATCTGGATAGAGGCTTTCTCGTGGAAGGGGGAAAGTGACACTGACTATTCCTGCACAGCGCCGCTTTTGTCATTGTCTTCATCGTTGAGCTGATCAAGGCAAAGTCTGAGTCAGGCCAAGCCATCCAGACAAAGGTGGGTCATCAGGCTGTGTCCTAGCCTGAGGAACAACAAGCTCATCCCTATCTCCAGCCTCAATTCAACCCAATGATTGGTCCCTCATCGGAGTTTCTCATCGGCTTTGGTGAGTGCAAGCCTGCTCAGGCGCAAGGACTGGGAGGCTGACATACGGGGCAGGCGCTCGATTCGTGCCATGTATGCGCAAGGTGTCCGACCTGCCGACAACACAGCTGCTGCCCTGCATCAAGTCGTCGACCAAAGCGCTGAGCGACCTGACGGAGGCCGACGAGTGCCCCATCTGGCAGATCTGTGGTCTTCCCAACGAAAACACCTACGGACAGAGCTACCGATTCATCACACCCATGTTCCTCCACGCCGGCTTCATCCACATTGGCTTCAATCTCTTGGTACAACTCACACTCTGCACTCAGGTCGAGAAGCTCCTCTCGTCACCCTTTTACGCCATCATCTACTTTGCTGGCGGCATTGGAGGCAACCTGCTGGGAGGCAATTTCGGTCTCGTGGGCCTGCCTTCGACCGGAGCTAGTGGAGCGATCTACACCTGCATCAGTATCGACCTAATCGACCTGATCTACAACTGGCAATACGTGAGTAGACATTGCCTCCCGAGCAACAGAGATCTTCTAGCTTACCAAGACGGACACAGGAATATCGAGCAAAGACGAGGCTGATCATGTCGATTGTGTTTGCCATCATCGGTCTCGCTCTCGGTCTCTGTGAGTAATCATGTCGTATGCGGCCATGGATACTGGCTGACTTTCGCTCCAGTGCCCGCTCTGGACAACTTCGCCCACATTGGAGGCTTCGCTGTTGGGATACTGGGTGGACTCATGTTCTGCTCCTCCATCCACCCCACGAAACGGCACCGCTTGATTGTCTGGGTGTTCCGCGTCATTGCCGCTGGCTTGCTCGTCGGCTTTTGTGAGTTCTCCGGCGGCCTTGCACAAGCTTTTCCCCGTTCTGACCTAGAGACCCACACCAGTCGTCGGGCTCGCGACAAACTTCTACTCGAGCGATGACCCGAACAAGGCGTGCACCTGGTGCCGCTATCTCAGCTGCCTTCCTGCGTTTCCTCAATGCAAGGGCAACGGCATCACGAACTCAACCTCGACAGCTAACACTCGCAGAAACCTCCTCTTCGAGCTCTAGCATCCTCGCAGCCTCGCTCTCTGCTTTTCAAATCTCTCTCTCCTTTCTCGTCAACTCTCTTCATCTGTTATCTGGACAATTCGTCAATCTTTCATCGCTGGCATTGAGTGTGTAGATGAAATAGTCGAGATGTGTAGACGACCGACGACCAATTGTCGCAGAGAGGGCGGTGATGAGAGAGCACATCAGTTGCCTGGGTCGAAAACAAAACAAGGGGCCCGCTTTCGGAGTAGCAAAGGTGACCTGGACTGCTGCCTCATTTTGCCGCCTCTCTATCTTCACCGCCCCGCGACACAAGCGGAAGTTGAGATGAACAGGACAGCCGGGCCCCCTCTTCTCACATGATGAGTCCAAGAGGCGCCATGGAGAAGCGGTTCTTGTTCAAAAGGGGCCAGTGGGAGCTACGGACCGGCGCTTCGAGTTGTGATAGTGTCACCTCCCTACATCATCACTCATCCAGTCTTCTTCTTTTTCTTCTTCTCCTCTCCTTTCATTTCACCACTCCTGCTTTCTCGCTTCACTCTTGCTCCTGCGGCCTCCCAATCGCACGACCATGGGCGCCTGCATCTCGTCTACAGCTGTGCAGGACGCCAAGCCTCTGACGCCGGCAGCCCCCGGTGCACAGCAGCCTACTGCTGTCGGAATTCCGGATGGCGGTGCCCGAGAGGGGCCAAGTGACGAGGCCGCTGCTGAGTCTGCACGGGCGCCAGCTGGCAGTCAAACAGCAGACAAAAGCGTGACAGCTGCTGCTGCTGCTGCTGCTGCTGCTGCTGCAGCAGCTCCTTCTGTCTCTCCTGCTACTACCACATCCACCACCACGATGACGGAAGCACCAAAGCAAGACGTGGTAAAAGGTGACAATGAGCACTCGTTGCAATCTCTGTCTCTGACGTCCCAGACACACAAGATTGCCGCGATCGAAAGTGCAGATGGCTTGGCGCTGGTGGAAATGCGTATCAACCAGCTCAAGGCAAAGTACGGCGCTCCTCAAGGTGGTGACCACATCCAAATGCCTACAGTCATGGCAGCGGTGGCCGGCGAGCTACCGCTGAAGGACATGAAGAATGAACTGTACTGGGTTGGTGAGGTGTGTAGCTTTAACACGTCATGCTACCCTGCGCAAAGCGTTCACATTGCTTGTCATCCTGTCTAGATCTCTATTGGACAGCCAGGAACGAAGGTGGCTCTCAACTTCGACACCGGTAGTAGGTTAGTATTCATGCTCGGTCTTTTATTACCACTTGATACTGACAAAAGCTCTGTTTGCAGCGATCTCTTCGTCCAGCCACACAAGTTTGATCCCAAGAAAAGCACCACAGCAAAGGCAACAGGCAGGACTTTTAAGCTCACCTACGCCGATGGCACTCACGTCAGCGGAGACGTCTACACCGACAACCTCACCGTCGCAAGCTTCGCCACCAAGTCGCATGCAATTGGTGTCGCAACCGAGAGCACGTTTAAAGACGAAGGGACCGACGGCATCTGTGGTCTGGCATTCCAGGTGGGTCTTTAGACTGGCATCGCCACCATCAGCAAAGTGTCTGACATACATTCTCAATCCCTCGCAGAACATCTCCATGACCAAGGCCCCGTCCCTCTTCGACTCGCTCTACGCTAACAACAAGTCAACGATGAAGAACCACTTTGCCTTTGGGCTGTGGGAAAAGAATGCAGTGCTCGACCTGGGCCGCATCGACAAGAGCAAGTACCAAGGCGACATGGCCTGGTCCGGCATCGAAGGCAAGGCAGGTTACTGGCAGACTGGCTTCCAGATCAACCATGCGTCCGCAAACGGCATCATCGACACTGGCACCACTCTTGTACTTGGTCCCGTGCGCGACGTCGAGAAGATCCTCAAGGACGCGGGATGCGAGCTGAAGCACCAAGACGGTCTTGTCTTTGGCCTCTACAAAGAAGGGGCCATCAAGAACATCACGCTGACATTTGGAGGAAAGAGTTTCACCATGTCCAAGAGGGCGCTCTCGTACAAGCACGAGGGCGACAAAATCATCGCCTCGGTCTGTGGCGCCGATATGGGAAGTGGTGCGCCAGCATGGATCGTCGGTGGCTCCTTTCTCCAGGACGTGTATGCCGTCTTTGACGTCGAGAACAAGCGCGTAGGATTTGCGCCACGCAAGGCTTAGAGGGATCTTCCTTGGAAATACCCTTTCTCCCATGTCTACACCATCTCATCATCCAAGCTCTTCGTGAATCAATTAAAGCTCCTGACACCATTCAATTCACACTGACATGAATTCGAAGAGGAGAAGGAGAAAGAAATGCGATTGAGAAAGGCTTGCCGTGCCAAAGGTCGCGCCGCGCGCAGCGCGCAAGGTGATCGGCTGACCAACAAACCCTGTAGACTTACAGCGCATCGTCCACCGTTCTGCCCACACCTTGCTCTGACTTGACCATGATGTCATTTAATGCTGACACCAGAAGGCGGCATCAAACCCAGCCACAAGCTGCTGGAGCCATACCCATGGAGAAGAGAGGATCCTGGAGACGAAGGTGCTCCGTGCGTGGCAACCTAAAAATCCCGCGGTGCCGCGCACAATGTCTCTCATTGCCTCAGACCCTGAAGCGAGTATGAAGAAGCTGGCTTGCTAATGGTATAAGATGCAAGAAGGAGGAGGGGCATCTCAGGGTACGACAAAATCTTCATCAAGCAGCAGGACTATCATAGCTCCAGCATGACTGCTCGCAAGATCGTCTCTGTCATTGGCGCTACGGGCAACCAGGGTGCGGGTCTCATCGACGCGATTCTCGGGTCCAAGGAACTGTCGTCCCGCTACGCTCTTCGGGCTCTCGTCCGTGTTCCTTCCTCTTCCTCGTCCCAGTCTCTGGCTGCGCGCGGTGTCGAGCTCGTCAAGTTCGACCTCCACTCTGCCGACGTGGACGCGGCAGCCAAGGCGCTCCAAGGCTCCTATGCCCTCTATGCCCAGACGTTTACCGACTTTGGCAAAGAGGACGAGCAGTTCCCCCAAGGAAAGCGGCTCGTCGATGCCTCGCTGGCCGCTGGTGTCAAGCACTTTGTCTGGGCTTCGCTCCCGCATGTGCGGGAGGTGACACTGGGCCGCCTGACCCACCTCGACTACTTTGAAAACAAGGCATTGGTCGAGAGGTACGCCGAGGAAGCCAAGCAATCCAAGATGGCCTGCTCCTATGTCATGGCCGGCTGCTTCATGTCTAATTTCATCTCGGGACATATGCTTCAGCCCTCCCATGACGACCAGGCAGACTATACCTGGTCTGGCCCCTTTCACCCCAACGAGTCTCATTTTCCGCTCATCGATCCCCGTGTCGACATCGGCAAGTTTGTCGTTGGCCTCCTTGAGGCCGGTCCCGCCAAGTCGGACGGACAAAAAATCCAGGCCGTGTCGGAGTGGATCTCACCGGCGGACATCGTCGCGACCATCTCGTCGCTGACGGGCAAGAAATGCGTTGCTACTCGCGTCGAGCTCGAAACGTTTCGCAGCTTCCTGCCAGGCGATTTCGGCGGACCGTTTGCAGATGTCCTGTGCCTCAATGGCGAGTACGACTACTACGGGAAGGGCTCGTTCAGCCACCAGGCCCAGTCCGACGTGTTCTTCTACGCCGGGTTGGGTCCAAAGAAGTCCTGGAAGAAGTACGTGGAGGAGAACCTGCCCTTTCCCTTTGAGAAGTGAGGCCACGAGAAGTAGAGTACTTGTCAATTGCTCAGAACAGTATTTCGATCAACCTGTGAGAGAGTATGGCCTGCTCAAAGAGCTTCAAAACAAGCCTGACAAACCGACAGTGACCACATCGAGGGCGTAAGGCTCCAGATGCAGATTTATTTCGCGCTGACCTCTCTCCCCTGGTTGCAAGCTGCGCTTTCGTGGTCTGACCAATTCGCCCCTTGCGGGTGTGTTTTCACTCTCAAGATCTTCGCTCTGTAGGGTCCAGCGGACGTCGGGTTCACCTCCCTGATCACCAGCGAAGTGGACCGGAGAAGAAGGGTCCAGCTGTATGTGAATGTCGCAATCTTTGGAGGAAAAATTGACCAAGCGAACGACGAGCTGGCCCGTTTCTTTGTTGACGCCCACGCTCTTGTAGAGGTCGAGCTTCTTATCGATCACGCTGTCGCGCCATTCTGAAGACATGTCCTGGGTCTCGCTCTGACTGTTGAACGGCCGGTCCTGTACCTGGACCAGCTTCTGATCTTTTTTTCTTATAAATCCACCTTGTGTCTGCCGGAGAGGGTAGTCGTGCGTGGAATATGGGCCAACCACCTCGAGTGACTGGTTGAGCCAGTGATGAGCAGCGTTGTGCGTCGCTGGAAAGAGGGAAAAGGCCTGTTGGCAAAAGTAAGAGGTCGATCTCGAAATTTTGGCAGGCCCGATTGCCACGACGTTTGCCGCGTTTGGATTGTAGGCAAAGGAGGTCACGGAGGGCGCATAGGCTGAGCCGTAGCATAGATCGCCGTTCCTCTCTAGGCCGAGCATGTAAATGCACTCAGAGAGCGAGCCGCCCCAGTTGGGCGGACTGAGGTTGGCTTCCTGGTTGTGCAGCACGGCCATCTCGAGCTCGTAGATCCGTGTGTCGCTTCGAGGCCAGTGATCAAGCCGGTCGTAGTTGTCCCGGAACCACTGGGGCGAATTGTAGTCGTGGATGTCCACCGCAGTGTAATTCTTAATTGCGCTCGCTGCAGACATGATTTCGAATCGGCCCGTGCCAAATTCTCGTATGATGGACTCTTGCATGACGTTGAAGCGAGACTGGTAGGAGTTGTTGTGCGGGTAGTAATTTTCCCCGTTGCCGAGCTGGACAACGTGCAAGCTCCAAGGCTTCTTGCGGCCATTTTGTGCTCGTTTGTCGGCCCAGGGCCCTTGTTCGTCCGTGATGTAATGAAGTTCGTCAATGGCGTGGCGAGCGACGTCGTCCATGTCGCGCCCGTATGCTGCGCTGCCGTCGAGCGATGTTCCCGCAAACAGGCCCAGGCAAGCCTCAGCGCCGAACTGCTCAATCATGTCGAGCATCTCGTGCAGCCCAAACGACTCGGTATTCCACCCGGTACCCTGCCACGAAGGCAGACGACCTGGCCGGTCGATCAGAGGCCCGATTGTCTTTTCCCAATCGAATGCGCTTCCCATGTTCAGGCCCTCGAGGTCATTCCCGCCCGGCACCCGGACGAGCTTCGGACGCAATTGAGCCAGCGCCTCGGCTGCATCGGCTCGCAGATGCAGGTGGTGCCACTTTGGCGGGAAGAGGGAGAAGAGGGAAAAGTAGATCGGCCTGGACAACGCCTTGAGCAACTTGAATTCCAGTCGGCCCAAACCATCGGAGAAGTTGCCTGTCGGCTCGAGTGTACCTTCGAACAGTTTCCACTGAGGCGAGAGCGAGAGTGTAATATTCGTGTCGGCCCCCGTCGTACGGTCCTGCACCTTGAGGCTCACCTCGACAGGCACTTGGACCGTGTCGGGCCTGTCTTTGTTTTGGTCTTCCTCGTCCAAGCGTGCGTAGAACGAGAAACGGTACTTCGTTTCGCGAACAGCAATGCCGCCTGGCCAGCCTGGGTTCGAAAATCCGATGCCGACAGGGCCTGGTGCAATGAACGCACTTGTGGGAAGGGCCTTGGACAGGGGTCGATGGCGAGACGTGTCCAAGACCGTGTCTGGGCTGAGCTGGTCCCAGTATCTGACGGAGCCGCCGTCGTCTTGAAACGCACGATTTATGAGCAGGTTTGAGTAGATGCCTCCATCGGTGGCCTAAGGTAGTCCGCGTGCCTCATCGTCAGCTCGGAGCAGTGCCTTTGTTTTAAATCCGATAGACAGACTGACCTGGTTGATATTGGACTCGAGCATGAGATGGACTGCATAGTTGTTCACTGTCAGCCGAGAGGGGTCAACCACGAAGGTGTAGTTGCGCGTGCTGGATCCGGTTGCAAATGGGTGCTGCGTCTGCTGTCTGGCCGACGCGACACGGAACAAAGGCGAGAGTGATGCAGCGACGATACAGAAGAGCGGCGACTTCATGGTGGTTGGCTGTTGTCAGCTTTGGTATGCGTCCCTGAAGCGATGAATGTAGAGACTGCTGCCCGGCCTATGTTCTGTGTCGGAAGGGAGAAGTTGCTCAAGGGGACCGAGCTCCACAATGTCCTTTCTCCGTCCATCGTGGGAGCGGGCCTTGATATTGGCGGGTGGCCTGAGCGTTGTGAAATAGCGTCTTGGACTTGGCCCGCTTCGGCCCGCCCAGCGTGTCAGTACAGTGTCATGACAGGGTAAACACTCTGTATTGATTGAGGATGTTTGGGTGATTGGCTAGTACGTGAGGGACTTGCTCTGGTAGAGAGCGTTTGAGTTGCATAAAGAGGAGGGAGGGGGGGAGGGGCGAGGCGAGTTGAGGGGCGAGGCATGATCTCGAGGCGATCGAAAAGCTACCAATACTCTCAGGAATAAAGAGTGACACTATCGATATGGCACTCGGTGTGGTCACTGTAGACTTTGGGCTTGGCACCGACAACACCAGGTTTCGTTGTTAGTCCAAACTGGTCCCATGCTTGCGTACACCACAAGGTGTCCTTGTCATAGGCTGCTATCGTGATGTCTGTAAAGATGACTGGTCCAAAATCCCAGCTCGCTCCAATTTGAAGCCCGACCGCGAAGAGAACTGTCCAAAGATCGCAGTAAGAACTCTTTGTCTGGAGGGTGACTTGCCTCTTAGCACCGGATGCCTCGTAGCACGGGCATCCATTTGAACTCACTGTAGTCGAATGTTTGGGAAGGAGAGTAGGTGAAGCTAACCGAGTTACCATCAGAGCTGCCTACGGTGACGACCCAGTCATGAAACTCCCTAATGTACCTGAGATCGAACGGGACCATCTGGCCAGGATCGACACTATTGCCGTCTACCATGAAGGTACCCTGCGAAAATGTCTTGCCCTTGTAATAATCGCCCCCAATAAGCCACATCGGTTCTTTGTTTGTCTTTGGGTTTCGTCCTTGAAGTAGGCTCCGAAGCTTTTCCTGGTGTCATTGTAATCATTGAGCTCTTGGAAGCCCCACTCTGTCACTTCCTCTGACCGGCTCAAACTCACCGTAACTCCTTCCATAATCCCCACTCCGTCTTTTTGCAAGCCAGGCCACACAGAGGCCACATTGGATCCAGGCGGCAGGAACTTTGGAACGGTCACTTTTCCGCTAAGCCAGAAGACTTCTGTCTTCACCTTGCGGCCGATGCCGTGGAAAGTTGTCTCAGGGGGGCCTAACCCGTGGTTGGCCAATGATAGGGTGGCTATGACGAGTAAGAAGACGTAAATGGCGACAGGAGCAGACATGACGCGCAAATGTGTCTCGGCTGGGCGGCTCTTGCTCGTTAGCTGTGGAGGAGATGGAGGAGAGGAAGAGATGGAAGGATAGAAAGAGATGGACGGAAAGGAAGAGAGGGAGTGAGAGGAAGAGGGGACGCTCAGTATCCTTCCGCGGCGAGAGCGCGGCGCGACTTCTTGCTCCAACAACAGCTTTCAAGCGCACAGCTTCGCGAACTTCAACAGAATGTCCGACTAGCTTGAAGAAAAGGACTACCTTGCCGCTCCGCCCTTCCCTTGCCCTTGACCATGTCCCTACTACGATATTGCTCTTGATCTGTCTCTGTTGCTATCACAGTACCCAGTGATTTTGTTCTGCCACCCTGCCCTCTCTCATGCGGCATTTTTGCTCGCGTTGTCTTCTTTCAAACCCCTTTGCCAGACGCAGACGGTGTCTCGTTCCTCAGAGGCATCTGCAGCGTGTGTGCGGACGGCGGTGACTACGAGAAGATGTGCTCCTTTCTGGAGGAGATCACATTTGACTCGCCGCACGCTGTACTATTTGCTGCTTTCTCAAGATTCGTTGCCATCACTACCAAGCTCCGCCAGCGCTCGGCCAAGAAGCGGACAATCCGGGAACAGTGCCATTCTCAATCTCGCCGAAGGAGGGAAGGAAGGCGGCCGTTAAACGTCTTCACTGTGTTCACACGTGTGTCGCGCGCCGCGCCGCGCGCAACAGCCGTCCACTGTGATCGAAGCAATTGTCGAAAGTCAAAAAAGGGCAGACTAAATGACGCGCTTTCTCCAAAAAAGCTGAATCGGATTTGACAGACATCATATTGCAGGAAGAAGGGGGGAAAAAGTGTGGCTGGGCAAGACAGTCAGTCCGGCGCCCCCACGGCAAAAAAAGACGGACAATTAGTAGTACTCCTACGGCCTCCGATTTCAGCTCCTGTATCTGCTTGGGAGCCCCTCACAGGCACATCTGATCTTCGACGACGACGACCGCGGCAGGACACTTTTGCTACCCAGGGCTGCGTGTTTCGAGCCCGGCTAATATACTCCGCGCGCTGCAGGCGACTCTGGCGCCGCGGGCTCCGATCAATACAGGGCGCATCTAGCCGGTGGATCGCCCTTGCTCAGGAACACCAACAGGAACGCACACATAGGAGCCTCGCACTCCTCGCAGAACCAGTCAAGCGAGTGCGGCCATGACTGCGGCCGGCTCCTCTGCCAACGATGCGTTGCATCACCTCTACGACCAGACGTCGGCCATGCTTGGCTTTGGGCAGCAGCAGCAGCAGCAGGAGGGTGCCGCACAAGGCGAGCAAGGAGGCGAGTCGCAGGACCAAAAGGACATAGATGGACCGGGCAACCACCCTCAGGATGAGAGCAACCCGATGCATGGGTCAGACATGAAGGCCTCCGAGGACGAGACGAGGGGGGAGCAGACCCAGAAGGCGGGCTACGAAGAGGCGTCCAAGCCGGGCCAGCGCACGACACAGTCTGGACGACAGGCCGATGCCCTGGAGCGAGCCATGGGCGAGGAAGGGCCTGTGGGGCAGCAGCTGGGTGCGCAACTCGATCGCGAGCTCAAAGACGACTTGTATGCGCGTCAGAGAAACGAAGGTCATGAGCCGAAGCTGCAAGAATCGACAAAGGTGGCCGCTGGCGCCGCCGTCGGTGAGCCACTGCAGAGCGACCGTAACCGTGCAGAAGACGCAAAGGAGCAGCGCCTGAAGGAGGAAAAACAAGAGAAGGCGGAAGACGACTCCGACACGGCATCTATGCGAGAAGAGAACGAAAAGGATCAGCCGTCGCCCGCAACGCAGCAGCACCCACACCAAAAGGGACCCGAGTGGGCCTCAAGGCCCGACGATGCGCAGCGACGCAAGCTCAAAGAGGCTGCCGCAGAGCGAAAGAGGCAGGACTCGGGCAGGGAGAGCACCTGGAGGCGCCTCAAAAAGGGGCTCAAGCCGCAGGACGGCGCAGGCGAAGGGGGAGAAGGCGGCGAAGGAGCAGACCAAGACAGGGCGCAGGGACCACTGGACATTCGAGGCATCGACCTGCTGCGCGACCCAAAGGAGAACGAAGAAAGGGCGAGGCAGCAGGCCGAATCGGGGCAGAGCAACGAAGACCAAGCACCACCCCCGCCGCCAAAGTCGGGTGCATCGAACAACCTGGGCCAGCTCTTTGTGCCGACGCCCAAGACACCGAGGACGCCAAGCGGCGCATCGCCCTCGCAGCCGAGCCCGTCTTCACGGCGCTTCAGCTGGCGCGGACAGCCTTCGCCCTCGGCGACCCAGGATGGCCAAGAGTCGCCGGCCGAGAGCCCCACGCAGGCCAAGATGACGCGCATCAGCAAGCTCATGATGGGCTCCCAGTCCCGTTCGTCGTCGACGATGGCCAATGGCACCTCGTCTACGATGCCTGCCACGGCACGTGACGACAACGAGGCCGGAGACCAGGACGACGGCACCATCAGAGGCGTCGACGGCATGACCCACCATCCAACGGGCGGCGCTGCAGCCCGCTGGGGCGTGCTGAGGCAGCGTCTCAAGGAGAATCGGGCAAAGAGGTCCAAGACTGGCGACACAAAGAGCCGTGTCGTAGGCCAGATGAGCGTCGTGACGGAGCTGCAGTCGGGCATCCTCCCCGTCTTCCTCCTCAAGATGAGTCTGGAGCGCGACGAGGCAGGCCACCGTCGCATCCCCGTCCTCCTCAATCACGTTCGCCTCAAGATCACCGACAGCATCAACATCTTCCACAACACCCATGCCATCTTTCGCATCGAGCTCGAGTACGGCGATGGCCTGGTCCGCTGGGTCTGCTACCGTTCCCTGCGCGACTTTATCAATCTGCACACCCACTACCGCGCCGCCGCTCTCCGCGGCTACCTTGGCCGGCCCGTGGGCGCCGGCGAGGGCGACGTGGGCCTACCGTCTTTCCCCAAGACGAGTCTGCCCTACTTCAACCAGCTCAAGCAGCAGGGCTGGACAAAGAACAGCGAGAATGTAAAGGCCGACTTTGCAAAGGCTCAGCGCGACGCCCTCGAAGACTACATCATCGAGCTTATCAAGCGCACCATGTTCCGTCCCGAGGCCAACCGGCTGTGCAAGTTCTTTGAGATCAGCGCCCTGGGCATCTCGCTCTCGACCCGGGGAGGCTACCAGGGGAAGCAGGGCTACCTGCGCATCCTCTCTCGCTCCTCGCGCAAGGATGCCCAGCGCGGCATCTTGACGCCCGTCAGCTGGGCAAAGAGCCACGAGCCCAAGTGGTTCATCGTCAGAGAGTCGTACATTGCCATCGTCGACGAGCCCGACACGCTCCAGGTCCACGATGTCTTTTTGATCGATGGCAGCTTCGAGATCGAACGGCCAAAGAGACTCTACAAGCAGACCATCCACCTCGCCCATGAGCTGGGGCATGGCAGCGGCGCAAAGGAGCGAGGCTCGAGCGAAGATGTTGAGGGAGAAGGATCTGGGAAGAACCGATCGCAAGAGGGTGACGAAGGCGGAGAAGATACGCCCCAGACTGGTACGACGGCAAGGACCATGCAGGAAGCTTCCGAGGCAGACAGCCCCAAGACGCGGGCTCAGAAGCAGACGGAGCATCGTCGGAATGCCAGTGCACCAGCTGGTAAATCCAACGACAAGACAGCCCTCTTGACCGAGGGACAGTTCAACACGGAAAAGATTCGAGGCAAAAAGTCGGGCAAGAGCAAAGTAGCTGCATTCGAGCAGGAAGAGGGAGAAAGCACAGACGATGACGATGTCTTCGAGGGCCAGTCGGGCAACAGGAAGAGATCGAAAGACGATCCAAACGCAAACGTCTCGTCGCACACCTTCTACATCCGCAACGCCGAGCGAAAGCTCAAGCTCGTCGCGCGCAACGAGAGGCAGATGGACCAGTTCATCGCCAGCATGGACCGGGTGGCCAGGCGCAACATCTTCAGCCGCCCCAATCGCTTCGGCTCCTTTGCACCCATTCGTCTCAACTGCAATGCCCAATGGCTCGTCGATGGTCGCGATTACTTTTGGCAGGTCAGCCGTGCGCTGCTCAGGGCAAAGGACCGCATCTTCATCCACGACTGGTGGCTCTCGCCCGAGCTGTACCTTCGCAGACCCGGCCATCCAAAGTACAGGCTCGACAACATTCTCAAAAAGAAGGCAGAGGAGGGCGTCAAGATCTTTGTCATCATCTACAACGAGGTGTCGAACAACTTTACGCCCACCGACTCCAACTACACCAAGCAGCGCCTCATCGGCCTCCACCGCAACATCTACGTCCAGCGCAGCCCTTCGCACTTCCAGACAGGTACCTTCTACTGGGCGCACCACGAAAAGCTGTGTGTAGTCGACGAGACCATCGCCTTCATGGGCGGCCTCGATCTCTGCTTTGGCAGATGGGACACGTCGACCCACATGCTCACCGACAACACGCACCCAAGCCTGATCCCCGGGCAATCAAATGCCTCTGCCGACGGTCTCTCGGAAGATGGACCAGCGCCCGCGGCTGACCCGGCTCTGCTGGGCCCAGGCGCGAACGGCAAGGAGTTCTACGTGTGGCCAGGCCAAGACTTTGCCAACGAGCGAGTCATTGAGTGGCACGATCTCACCAAGCCCCAGGATGACCTCTTCGAAAGGCATCGGCACCCGCGCATGCCCTGGCATGACGTCGCTCTCCAGCTCATTGGGCAGCCGGCAAGGGACCTGTGTCGACACTTTACGCAGCGATGGAATTTCCTCCTCCGAATCAAGAACCACAAGCGCCTGATGCCGTTCCTCGTCCCGCCGCCCGACTTTCAGCCGTCTGAGCTCAAGAAGTTCGACTTGACAGGCACCTGTGAGGCTCAGATCTGCCGGAGCGCAGGGCCATGGAGTCTCGGCACGGCGAGCACGGTGGAACACTCGATTCAAAACGCATACCTCAAGGCGATCCAGATGAGCGAGCACTTTGTCTACATCGAGAACCAGTTCTTTGTCACAAGCACCGAGACGAGGGGCACCGTCATTGAGAATCAGATTGGCGAGGCCCTCGTCAGCCGCATCATCCGCGCCCACCGCGAGCAGACACCGTGGCGAGCCGTCATCATCATTCCTCTGATCCCTGGCTTCCCGATGCCCATCGATCATCCCGATGCCTCGTCGGTCCGGCTCATCGTCGAGCTGCAGTACCGGTCCATCTGCACGGGTGAGCACAGCATCTTTGGAAAGCTTCGCCGCGAGGGAATCGATCCGGACAACTACATCACCTTTTTCTCACTGCGCCAGTGGGGCCGTCTGCCCGGTGGTCAGCTGACGACCGAGCAGGTGTACATCCACGCCAAGGCCATGATCGTCGACGACCGGCTGGCCCTCATCGGCTCGGCCAACATCAACGAGCGGTCGCAACGCGGCGATCGCGACTCCGAGTTGGCATGCGTCGTCAGGGACACGGACCTCGTCGATGGCACCATGGCTGGCAAGCCCTTCAAGGTCGGTCGTTTTGCCCACTCGCTTCGCGTTCGACTCATGCGCGAGCACCTGGGTGTCGACGTCGATGAGATCGACGCTGCAGCCATCGAGGAGCAAGACCGGCGTCCGTCGCGGATGCTGGACGAAGACGACCACTGGGACCCCGCCAACGAGCAGGGCAAGGACGGCGATCCGAGCGTGGGGACGACGCAGGTGCATCCACGCAAGCAGTTTGGCAACCTCGGCCGGACCGTGGCCGAATTTGTCGGACCGGTGGGCTCGGGTGCGAGACGGGAGGCAAAGGAGGAGCTGTCGGGTGTCGCTTCGAGGATGAAGGAGCAAGAGAACGCGCAGCTGGCAAAGGACGACAAGCAGCAACAGCACCCGATGCACCGGCACGGTGCTGGCGAGTCCGTCGAGCAGCCCATCCCCGAGAGGATCGAGCGCATCGTCGAGACGCACCATGCGAGACCAGGCAAGGGCTCCGAGAACACCGTCGTACCTACGGTCGAGGAGCGCATCATCGTCGACGACCCGACGCTGGCGCCGGGCGCAGGCGACGGTGCATCGACGCCTTCACATGCAAAGAGCAAGAGTGGCGAAGACCTCAAGCGGGCCATGTCTAGCAAGGTGAGTTTTGCCTTCTCCTCTTCACATCCGCGCTGACCGGGTTCAAACTCTCTAGATGTCCATCAACCCGTGGGCGCCGCCCGCCACCACGCCCGAGATTGACGCCGACATGTTCGAAGACCCGCTCGACGACCGCTTCTTCAAGGACATGTGGCTGGCATCGGCCGTGCACAACACGCAGATTTTCCGAAAGGTGTTCAAGTGCGTGCCCGATGACACGGTCACGACGTGGGCAGAGTACAAGGCCTTTAATGCATGGGCCGACCGGCTGTCCCGCTCGAGTGGCCTGGCTCCCACGGCATCGACCACGGCGGCGGCGGCGGCGGCGGCGGCGGCGCCAACAGCAAACGGGACCAAGAACTCGAAGCCCAACAGCCCGCAGATCAAGCCTCAGACCTCGCACGTCAACGGGACAAGTGGAGCGACCGGCCACGAGGAAGAGAATCACGACAGCGGCTACTCTTCGGGCGCAGGCCTGGCCTCGGCGGAGACGGGCCACTCCAAGGGCTTGGAGGGCGCTTCGTCGAGCCAGTCGCACCGTGGAAGCCCTGCAGCGCACGAGAAACACCTCCCGACGACGAGTCCGCCTGCCAACGCCTTTCCAAAGCACATTCCCAAGCCCGACGACGGCTTCACCAAGAGGGAGCTCGAGCAGATGGAGGCCCTGCTCGAAGAGACGAGGGGCACCCTCGTGCTCTTCTCGACGCGCTTCCTCGAGGCAGAGGACCGTTCAGACAACCTCTTGTTCCCCATGGACAAGATCAACCCGCTCAAGTGGGTAGCCTGTCTTTCGCTTCCTCCACCGTTACTGACCTCGTCCCCCCTTTTTCCTGCAGCGTTTACGACTGATCCTCTTGTCTCTCTGTCACTGCTCCGTTTTCACGATTTTCGCATCGAAGAGTCTATAGAATTCCCACTATTTCACCGAGCTGCCTCCCATGAATATTTGAGCGCCCCGCGTATTCTCTCGTCTCTCCCTTCCGGCGTCACTTGTTTCCCTTACACAACTTCTATGTCAGCGAGCTGCCCCACCTGGTAAGAAGCAGACAAGGCGACTCACCTCTCCAAACAAACTTGCCCCATGCCTTGCCGTGCGTGCCGTCAAGCTTGAGCCGGACGCGCGTCACTTGCCAGTAGCAGAGGTGGTCCTGCTGCTTCTGCTCCTTGGTGGGACCCGCGAGTGGTTGGCCTTGTTCGACATCGAGGCCCTTTGCGGCCCAGCGCCGCTGGCGGACGCGCATGCCGACGCCCGACGCAGGCAGCGAGGCGAGGTGCTGGTAGAGCGTCTTGGAGGGCGCCAGCGCCGTGAGCGAGGAGCGCTTGACGTGTGAGAGGAGGTGCTGGGCCGCTGACGATGGACCCGGAAGGGCCTCCCGGAGCAGCGTCGCCGTCGGTCGCAGCATCGTTTTCGTCGTCTTCGTCGTCGATGCTATCGGCAAGCAATGGAAAGGTAGTAGATAGAAGAGGGGAAGTTGTGTCGAGGAAAAAGTCAAAGCAGGATACGTCACGTGATTTTTCTTTTCGGGTCGGCCTTGCGTCGCAGATCGCCCTTGTTGACTGGTCACTACCACCTGACACTGTCCCCTCTCCTCCCTTCCGCTCTCTTTTTGAGTAGGGCAAGAGCGTCAACACCGCCCGATCCACCTGCATTGGCGATCACAGGGAATCGTAGCGGCTGATCTCCCGCCCCTGTAGTGCATCGCCCGTTTCGTCGCGACTATCGGCTTGTGGGACGGGAAGAGAGAGAGAGGAGAGGAAAACAGAAGAGCATCGGAGAAAGCGAGGAAGGAGAAGTGCAGAAGGCGTTTTCTTCCAGAAAAGAGTGACGACGAGATAGGGGATGGCCCCGTCGCCCGCTTATGATGCTTTACGACCACAAGTACCCATGCAATCCGCCAAGCATCCGGCGCCACCGGCAACAGTCGACATGGATGAGCGAAGCAAGAAGAGGATGAAGCGGGCGCACGAGGAAGAGGGAGAGCTGCAACAGCAAGCTAGCGAAGGGGGAGATGCTCCGAGACCGACTCTGGGCGGCGTTGTCGAGCAACAAGGGTCCAATGCCGGTGGGCTAGACCTGCCGGGTGCGGTTGGAAATGCCTCCCGACAGAATCATCAGCAGCCGCCTGTCATTGGCGGGGGTCATCGCGCCTCGCTTCCCCAACTCGCTCTGCCCGGAGGCCAGTCGCCGCGCCCGATGGGTCCCCCATCGTCGTCGGTGTCGTCAGGGAATCCGAATATGAACAACAATGCATTCAGACCGTCACCGGGTGCTACAGCAGGGCCTTCGATGCGGCCTTCCAACCCGGCGACACCACAGGGCCAGCTGCCAGTGCAAGGCTCGACTCCGACTTCATTTTCAAGACAGTCGATGAGTGGGCCAGCGACGCCTGCCGGATCATCGGGCTTCAGAACGCCCGTCACGGGACCGCAGACGCCCGTCGGTCCCGGGCAGCCGCTGCCGCCTCCGAGCTCTGTCAGAGAGGGCAAAGCAAAGGATCCTTTTGGAGGGGGAAGTAGCGGCGGTGGTGGGGGAGGGGGAGGAGCAGGTGTCGACTCGTTGCAGGATCTCATGGGCATGACTGGTGTCGATCTTAGGGTGAGTCGTGATGCTCACATTAACTTTGGGTTCCGCTAACAGTACGCTTGAAACAGGCCGAGGAAGAAGCCATCCAAAAACGAGGCTCGCTTGCTCAGTCGTCAGTAGCGACAGCCGCTGTTGCGCATGGCCACGGACAGGCCATGACACAACGGGCGAATGTGCCCAGGTCGCTGCCGTTCTACCTCGAGATCTTTCCTCTGTCGCATCACATCCACAAGATTGGTGAGTGTGTTCCAGGCCTGTAGATAGACCGCGAGGGGGCATGCTGACGCAGGTTATACAGCGGCAAGATACGGGTTAGGGGTAGAGCCCGAGGTATTGACGTACATCTCCATCGCGACGAGGGTGCGGTTCCGCAACTTGCTCGAGTCGATGGTCACCGCTTCAAGACATCGCAACTGGTCATCGCATCTCAGACCACCGCCGATGTACGAGGGCGAGGAGGCAGGAAGCGACTCGAGCCGGCCAATGTATGACGAGGAGATTCACGATGATCCGTCCAAGCTTCTGGCTGCGCTGGCGAAAGTGGAAAAGGCCGAAGAAGCGCGGGCAAGACTGGCGCGGCAAGAGAGGGAGGAGAGAAAGGCGGCGAGGATGGAGGGCGCAGAGGGGGATGGGCCAAGCGCTGGCGAGGAAGGAGCAAGAGACGGGGCAGCAGAGGGCAGCGCCGGGGGCGGCGGCGAGGGTGGGGAAGAGGGAGGCAAGAAAAAGGGAGCAAAGAAGCCCGGTGTGGCAGCCACTGCTCGCAACATGACGGAGGACAAGCGGCTGAAGCTGGCCAACAAGACGGCAGCGGCGGCGCTTGGCTTTGGAAACACGGGCAAGGCATGGATGTTTGGGGGTGCCTCGGCATCCTCGTCGCCATCGCCGGCGGCATCGAGCGGCAAGCTGAATGGGAGCGCAGGGGGCAAGGCTCTGCCGAAGCCGAGATTCGCACCGGCGCCCGATCAGCAGGCGTCCTCCTCCTCGTCCTGGAGCTCCTCCAAGCTCGCGCCAGGCTCCACTAGCTCAGGGTCAAGCTTTGCCAACCCTGGTGGATGGGGCGACTTGGCGGCTCGACAGCGAGCACAGGAGGAAAGAGAGCGCCAGGCTCGCGTTCGCGTCACTCTCGACGATGCCCTGTACGCCCTCGAGATGGAGCGGGCAGGCGGGGCGGGCAGGGGAAGCGGCGAGTCGGTCCTCTACAAGACGAGGGCGCTGGGCAGTCGAGCGTTTCCTCCGCCAAAAAATCCGCCGCCCTCTTGACCTCCCATCTAACCCCCCTCTTACTCTCTCTCTCACTCCTTCTTGCGCCTCTCGAAAGGAAGCCCTCCCTCGTCCCTCTCCATGCCTCTCTCAGATGTGTAACAGTACGTCATTTTTCGCAAGACAAACAAAAGACACCAAAGTTTCCCATTTTTTTTGTTTCAATTGCCTTCCGCTTAGCTATCACCCAGATCTCTGGCCACCTGTGTGTTGGCCGTATCGTCTGTGGCCGCATGGCTGGGCATGTTGGCCGCCTGCGGGTCGGGCACCGTGTTGGCCTGCACCTTTGCTGTTCCCTCCATGACGACCTGCTCCACGCCTTCGACGTCCATGCCTGCGATGTTTGCCTGCGTCTCTGAGCTGGCCTTCTTTTTGTCACTGCTGCTGCTGCTGCTGTCGGCCGCACCTCGCTGAGGCACCGGCGGGGGCGCATCGGCGGCCTTGTCCACCTTTGCTGGCTGTGCGGCCGGCTGCTCCTGGAAGACGGGCGCCTGGCCACCGCCGCTCTGCACGCCGCCGCCGCTCTCCTGCGCCTTGTCGGGCTTCTTTTCAAACGGATGGTTGCCTGCCTGCGCTGCTGCGGCCTGCTCCGTGAGCGCCTGCGTCGTCCCGTCGCCGGCCTCGGCGGCGTGCCCGGCGCCACCACCACCACCACCGCCGACGGGCGCCGAGACGTGGGCCGACGTCGTCGGCGGCAGCACGGTGTGGATCGCCGGTCCGAAGGCGTCGTACTCGCTGAGCGAGTCGGGGAACTCGCGGCAGTTAAAGTCCCAGCTCTTGACCAGGCGCGCCCGCTCGCATGCCTGCTTCGTCCACGGCTCGGCATACGTCAGGGGCGCATAGGTCGAGTAGCTGAGCGCAGCAATGGCGACGAGGATCGAGGCGGCGAGGAAGCGGTACTTTGGCCGCAGGCCAGAGGTGAGCAGGTCAAACAGTACGGCCATGAGGAGAATGGCAAAGTAGAGGGCGGGGAGGTAGTGGTGCACGAACAGCTGGCGGTTCATGAGAAAGAAGGGGAAGAAGTGCATCGCCCAGCCCAAGGCTAGGAAGCCGGCCGTCTGGTCGTAAAAGACCACCATGGCTTTGGGAAGAGAACTGTGAGTTGTTGCGGGAGAGCTGTCCGGAAATTAGCCACCACTCACAGTCGTGGTAGTCGCGATAGCCTCGTTTGGCTCGCAGCATGAGCAGCGCCCGAATGGCGACGTAGACCATGATGGCACACAGGCTCCCCCACCAGATCAGCGGGTTGCCCACCAGGTAGACCTGCCTGTGGTCCTTTGTCCAGAAGTTGATGCCCCGCCTCAGCACCGGCCACGTCTGGGGTCGCGAGTCGTAGGCGTGCCTCTCCGTCAGGCCGGCATTGGTCTCCCACATGACCCGCTGGAGCTCCAAAAAGCGTCTCCAAAACGACGGGCGGAGGTAGTTGACCATCTCCGGGCCTTTATGGCCCGAGGTCATCTCCAGGAGCGGGTGGGTGTTCGTCTCGATGTACCATAGCGAGTTGTCGTACGGCGCCATCGTCGTTGGACTTGTCCTTCTCGACCGCTGAGAAGGAACGACGAGAAAGAGGCCCGAACAGGTGTGCGTGCGTGCGTGTGAGTGGATTTTTAGGCTTCGGCATTGCCCGCGCCACGTTTTCTAATTTTGACGCCGCGAGCTCGGCATAGGCGGCTGGCCCACCCACCAGACCGCTCGCTCGCTTTCTTCCTAAACCAAGGCGCCCTTGCCAACCATCACGTTTGGATTCCAGCAGCATGACGTCTCTCGGTCAGACGGCTGCGTCCGTGCGGTCACGAGGCGTGGGAGGAGGTGCTGGCGCGGGTGCAGCGTCGACACCGGACGGGTCGCCGTCGTTTGATGACCCATACTTCCAGGTGAACACCCCTCCGCGGGGCGCATCACTAGCGCCACGACAGCCACCGCCGGCCGGGGGCTTGCTGGGTAAGGGAAAGGGAGGAAAGCAGGCGAGTGCAACGATGGGTCCTGCCAGTGGTATCTCTTCCGTCGAGTGGAAGTTTCTCGCGGGCATCGTCGTCGTCGCCTTCATCGTGCGCATGTGGAAGATTGGCCAGCCCAGCAGCGTCGTGTGAGTTGGTGCCGTCTTCATCACTTGGCAAAGACAGAGGCTGACGGAGTAGTCCACCACCACCAGCTTTGATGAGGTGCACTTTGGAGGATTTGCGTCAAAGTACATCAAGCAGCACTTTTTCATGGACGTACACCCACCGCTGGCCAAGCTCATGATCGCCTTTGTCGCATGGATCAATGGCTTCCACGGCAACTTCGACTTCAAGGACATCAGCAAGTGAGTGTGCTGTCTAAACTCTCGATCGAATTATCCTTACTGACTTGCTTCGATGACAGGGAGTACCTCGTCGGGGAAGGCACGCCCGTGCCCTACGTCGCAATGCGCAGCATGAATGCCATCCTGGGTGTGGCGACCGTGCCCTTGGCCTACCTCACCCTGCGTGCTCTGTCGCTGCGAGCCACTTCGGCCATGGTCGGTGCGCTCCTCGTCACCTTTGACAACGCTCTCGCGACGCAGTCCCGCCTCATCCTCCTCGACTCGCCCCTCGTCTTCTTCACCGCCTGGACCACCTACGCCTGGGTCTCGTTCTGCAACGAGGAGCGCCGGAGAGCTTTTACAAGCACCTGGTGGTCATGGCTCGCGCTGACTGGCTTCGGTCTCGGCTGCGTCGTCTCCGTCAAGTGGGTGGGCCTCTTTACCATTGCGACGGTCGGCGTCTGCGTCCTCGTGCAGCTCTGGTCCCACCTGGGCGACGTGCGCCAGCCGCTCTCGACGATCATTCGGCACTTCTTCGCCCGCTTCCTCTGCCTCATCATCATTCCCTTCAGCGTCTATCTCTGGTGCTTTGCCGTGCACTTGGCCGTACTCAACCGCAGCGGCGACGGCGACGGCTTCATGTCTTCGGCCTTCCAGCACACGCTCAAGGGCCACGGCATGCGCGACACGTACGCCGATGTGGCCCTCGGGTCAACGGTCACGATCCGCCACCTCAACACCCAGGGCGGCTACCTCCACTCGCACCCGCACAACTACCCCACGGGCTCGGGCCAGCAGCAGATCACCCTCTACCCGCACGTCGACGAGAATAACGAGTGGATCATCGTCAAGGCGCCCGGAGCCGACGACCCACCGCCGCCGACGGACAAGGACGGCGTGCCGCTGCCCGTGGCAGGCCCCCACGAGGCAGAGAAGCACTGGAATGCTACCCTCGACTACCTCCAGCACGGTACAGAGATTCGCTTTGTGCATCGCAAGACCAACAAGCGCCTGCATTCCCACGACCACCGACCACCGATCACCGAGGCCGACTATCAGAATGAGGTAGGTAGTTGCTTCTCTTTTAGTTCTCAGGAGTCTGCCTGTCTGTCTGTCTGTCTGTCTGATGCTGACGCATGCTTCTCCATCCCAAGGTCTCGGCGTATGGCTTTGTCGACGAGGAGGGAAGGACTTTTGCCGGCGACAGCAACGACCACTGGATCGTCGAGATTGAACGGGGCGACTCGTCGGACTCGCAGAGCACCAAACGGGTCCGCGCTCTTCGCTCCGTCGTCCGTTTCCGTCACACATTGACGGGCGCCTACCTCTTCTCGCACAAGATCCCGCTGCCCGATTGGGGCTACGGCCAGCAGGAAGTCTCGGCAAATAAAGCAGTGGGCGCACCACGAGCACCCAGAAAGAAGTAGCCTTTGTCTCCGTCTCTGTCACTGTCACTCCTCACTCTGGTTTTGGAAAAAGCAAATGTATGATCGATTGGCACTGAAGAATAAACCCAACTAATACAAGAACGTGCGGTAAGGGTAAGGCCATGGGAAAGAGGTCACCCCTGCCTCATGAAAATGTAGGCGAGCCTGCGGACGAGCCAGCGAGGAGCGAGTCTGACACTGAAGGAGAGGACGTTGTTCAAGTAGCCGGGGACGATGACGGCCTTGTTTGAGTCGAGGGCTTTCAGCGTCGCCCTGACGACGTCGTCCATTGTGGTAAAGGGCAGGAGGACCTTGGACGGGTCTGCGCCTTCCTTTGCCCAGATCGGCGATACGGTGGCGCCGGGGAGGATGGCGACGACGGCGAGGCCGGTGTTGTGCATCTGGTGCTCGTGGTGCAGCGCCTCGGTCAGGGAGAGGACGTAGGCCTTTGAGGCGGCGTAGAGCGACATGTGCGGGATGGGCATGAGGGCGGACAGGGAGGACATGTTGACGATGCCAGCCATGCGGTGCTTGCCGTAGAGATGCTGCCGGGCGCGGTAGTAGGCGGCTGCATCGACGAGCGTCTGGGTATAGAGCTGGACGAGCAGGGTGAGGGTGACGATGTTGAGCTGCAAGATCTGCTCGACCTTTGCCAGTTCGAGGTTGTCCGTCGGCCCACCGATGGCCATGCCTGCATTGTTGGCGAGGATGGCGACGGGGAGGCCCTTGGTCGCCTGAAACACCTTTTCGGCAGCGCCAGTCGCAGAGAGGTCCTCGCAGATGATCTTGACGTCGACCTCTGTGTGGCCGAGACTGACACAGGCCTCGCGAATGCGGCGCTCGACACGCTCCAGCTTGCTCCGCGTCCGCGCGACGAGGATGAGCGAGTGGGTGCCGCGTCGAGCCAAGGCGAGGGCCAGCTCTTCACCGATGCCCTCGCTTGCGCCCGTCACGAGCGCGTATGGCCTCTGGGACCAGTCGATGAGCGACATTGCCGGTCCTTTTTTGTCGTCTTGACGATGATGATGAGAGAGGCAGGAAAAGTGATGAAACCTGCCGATCTTTCTTATAAAGAGCTGTCTTCTTCCTCTTGACCTCCGAACAAGCTGCTTTCACTCCACCGGTCGGGCATCGGGCTGACATCCGGAACTTCCTGGCCCAAGCGCGCGCGGGGAAGCTGGGAAGTCTAGCCACGTGTGTTGCACCGCGCCTTATCGCAACTCTAAAAGTGGGAAGGCCTTCCTCCCCCGCTCGTCGCTGCCGTCCGTCACGAAGCAGACGATGGGGAGGCGAGGATGGAGCCGGTGTACAAACGATCACAGCGGCCAACATGGTCGTGCCGCGAGTGCTCGCGTCGAAAGATTCGGTGCGACAAGCGGCTGCCGTGCGACCAGTGCACCAAGCGAGGGCAGGCCGATCGATGCACCTTGGACTTTGGCGATTCCTCCTCCTCCTCTTCCTCCTCCTCCGCCGCCGCCGCCGCTGCCGCTGCCGCCCCGAACGTGACACAGCCCTTGCCAGCTGGCCGCGACTCCTCGGCAATGGCTTCCCCCGTTCCGAGTCAGGAGATCCTGTCGGTTGTGTTTGCCCTGCAGAGGAGGGTGGACGAGCTCGAAAGGAGACTCGCCCGGGTAGAAGAACCCGATGGCCATTCAAGGTCGACGGCGCTCTCGCCCGCCGCAAAGGGCAAGAAGCGCGCGAGGACAACCTCGCTGATCAACGGCCACGGTAACGAAGAGGAAGGCGTCACAATGGAGTATCTCGCCCTGGGCAAGGATCGGGGCAAAAAGGTCATGGAGGGAGGGGAGACCGTTCGCCCACCCTTGGCACCGTCACCGCCTCGCCGTCGCAACATTTCTGTCCGAGCTCACCCTGACAACATCCTCAAGAACCCCAGGCCAAGAGCTATGCCGCCAGACATTGTCGAGATGCTCCTGCCCGGCCGGACTCTCGAATACGTCATGGCCTTTGCCCGCGACGCCGTCCAGTGGCAGCACGCCGTCGTGCATTCTTCGACGTTTCGCCGCGAGACCGAGGCCTTTCTGAGCCTGTCCGAGGCTGACAAGTGGATCTGGGTCAACCCTCTCTGGCTGGGTCTCCTCTTTGCCATTCAGAGCGTGGCAGTGCATCAGATGCCCGACTTTGAGGCCACACTCTCGTCTCTCGTGGAGCAGGACAGGCGGATGAATCGGCTCGAGCCGCGGCACCAAGCGCTGGTTCTGGACCACACCATGCCACAGCGGCTCCTCGATGCGGCTTTGCGTTGCCTCGAAGTGGGAAGATACCTGTCGGAGCCGAGCTTCTACACCTGCCAGGCCATTGCCGTCCTTGTTGTGTGCGCACACAACATCGTCACCGATTCCAACATCCTTGCCTCGCTCCTCGCCATCGGCGTCAAGACTGCTCAGACGCTCAATCTCCACCTCCTCGGGACTGAAGAGCACCGTCTCGAGTCTGAAATCGCGCGGTACCAAGCACGCTCAGGAGACGAGGAGGAGGAGAGCCACCTGCGGAGAAAGGTGATCCTCCTCGAAGTGGGCAAGAGAGTCTGGTGGTCCTTGACGCAGCAAGATTACTTTTCGATTCCCTTTCGCGGTGTGTCCTTGGTCCACCCAGACGAGTTCGACACACCGATCCCGTCAAACGTGCACGACGACCAGCTCGATTCTGGTCCACTCTTTGTTCCCAGCGAGGACCTGTTGGCCAACCAGGAGCTGACGCTCGTCGACAAGCTGCGCATCACGTCTAAGTCGTCTGACATCATCTGTCGCTTCTTTAGCCAACTTCCACCGTCCGGTGCACGGCTGCAGGAGCACGTCGAGCCCTTTGAGAGAGAGCTCCTCCAGCTGCTCAACATTGACTCATCGACGGGAGCGGTCCCGAAAGCCAGGCCGTCGTTCCGCTTCGGCCTCGCACTCCAACGCTATACCCTCATTGCCGTCCCGCACAAGATCCTCGTCTTGCATCGCGCCTTCTGCTCTCGAAGACCTTCGTCCGAAGCCGAGAGTGCGAAGTCGTACGAAAGGTGTCTGGATGTCTCGCGGCGTATCCTGGCCGAGTGCAAGGGCATGGCGCTCCAGCAGCAGACGAGGCCAGAGGCCCAGGTTGATGCTGTATGGACGATCTCGTACCATGCCGTGGCAGCGGCCACTGCGCTCGCCCTCGATCTTTTCCGTGCACCACAGACCAGAGGTGCGGGGGGCGCAGGCAAGAGGAAGGTGAGCCGGGAAGAAGTGTCAGAGGCCAAGGATACGCTCGAGGCCTTTAGCCAGCGAAGCGCCATCGCAAGGAGGGGCGTCGGGCTGGTGGGTGACCTTCTCAGAAAGTGGGAGGCGGCGGCTGGGCCGCCTCCGACGGCGATGACGGCAGCCGCTCCTTCGACGACCGCAGGTCTCCCGTGGGATGCGACGCCCGTAGACGAAGTGCCACAGGTTCAGAGTGGGGGAGGAGGAGGAGGAGGAGGACTAGCCGACGTGGAAATGGACTGGGACAAGCTCATGAACCTACTGGAGACGGTGCCAGACGTTGCAAGGCTCTTCGACGGGACGATCGGTGGGGCTGCCACGTCGTGAAATTGTCTTTGAATCATAAGTGTCACCATGTACAGTACAATACACTGAGGGATCCCTCAACCCTCTGAACTAAAATATCTATCAATCATCGTCGCTACTCTCATCGTCATCCTCTTCCTCATCTTCCCCGATACAGTCGAGGACCCTCTCAGCTTCTCTGACGCCTGACATCCATGCGCCGTGGACGCTCGCAAAGCTGGGAAGGGCAAAGACATCAGCAATCAGAAGCGATGGTAACGCGAGGCCATTGCTCACTTAGCGTGGCAGGTATGCTCTCCGCAGAAACCCAGCTTTCCTTCCCAGAGCGAGCTCGATGCCTCAATCATGTCGAGTGGAGAGCTACCGGGCGGCAGATGCGAGTAGGAGCCACGAGCGCGAGGGTCGCTGTGCCACCTTGTGACGAAAGTTTCGATTGGATCCGCAGCCGCGCCAAAGCTAGACATGGCTTTCGAAATGACGTTGTGCAGGGCACGACCGACTTCTTCGTCCGTGTACTTCTCCACTTCATACGACAGCGGCGGGCCCAGATAAACAACGAGCATCGCCGTCGAACGAGACTGCTTCGATGCAACGAACGAATAGTTGTGGAGCAGGAGGCACGACTGGGAGACGGTTTTTGCAAGGGGGGAAGTCTCGTCGGCGGCTTGTTGGGCCGACGCGGGAGGTGGGAGTACATTAAACCATTGTGCTCCTTTCGGCCACCAGATCTTGTTGTATTTGAGGACGACCTTGTTCAAGAGGCCGAAGCCTAGTCTACCAAGCGCAGCCTTTCGGCGTGGGGGCAGTGCTGGATCAAAGCTGACATCTGGCTGCTTTTGCTGAAGCACGCCAAGTGGAAGGCTGCAGATGAGATATCGGGCGTTGATACGTTTTGAATTGTCTTGCTCGTCTTTGTAGTGCGCTGCAATGAGATCGTCTGCGGCGAAAAACCATGTCAGAGAGTGAGGAAGAAATGACAACTGTTTCTAGACGGGAAGCTTCCCCACCTTGATCCAAAAGCTCAATCTTGTCAACGGGCGCCGACAGCCGGACGTCTGCCCCTTTGACCTCGATCTGTCGTTGAAGCCACTCTACAAGTTGAGAGTAGCCGTGCGAAACCAATGCATCGCCTCCAGAGAAGTCCTCCACGCCAAAGTCCCAATACCGCAGTGAAAGGCTATCGAGCGTTGCTCCGCTAGACTCGTCCATGATTCTGATGAGTTTCATGACCTCCTGCCGATCGTCGGCAGAAATACCCTTCCAGAGGTCAGCTTTCAAGGGCCCATTGCCATCTTCGTCGCAGAAAGCCAACGCAGGGCTGGACGATTCGTCCACATCGATGGGCCCTTCCACAGCCAATTTGTGCAGCCGCGTGAGGACTACACCGACGAGCTTGTCCAGCCTTCGACTCTCAGCTTGAGCGACACGCCGTCCTTGGGCGCCCATGTAGAACGACATATCGCTGTCTTCTATCTCATTCTCATCATCAAGCTTCAAAGGGATCTGATCGACCGTGTCAGGTGTGCCACATCGCATTCGGAGCTGGGAAGGAGTGTCATCCACCTCGTGGCACACTTGCGAGAGCGGATTTCGCTTCGACACCCCATGCACGAAGCTCGCTCCAAGATCAAGAGCAGTCTCGCGCTTGGTGTACTGTTCACTGGCGGCAACGTCGTCCCAAGAGACCGTATGAATGCGACCGCCCAAGCGGTCTCGTGCCTCAAGAATGACGACCTTGAGCGGTTCCTCTTGCGCGCACTTTGCGTCCAATAGCTTCTTTGCGGCAGCCAGACCCGATACGCCACCACCGACAATGACGACGTCGACTGATTCTGTGCCACTCATGCTTCTCGTTTTCAAAGAGAGGAAGTTGCCTTTACTTGACGCTCATCTGAACTCTCTCTGCCGCGCCTCCTTATATGTTGTCTCTGGATCAATCAAGTGATTCGGTGGAAGCAGCAGCGCCCTGCAAAGAAGCTACTTTGCTAGCGCGCGCGCGCGTCGTTTCGCCGGCAAAATCAATCTGTCCGCGACAGGATGTGGATCAGGGCGTAGCATGCAATGATCATTCACGTTGGTCGCCTGTGTTTGTCGAATCGAGTTGGAGTGTCTTCTGACGATACGATTCGTTGCTAGTCAACGACACCGAGGAGCATCTCAAAGTGAAATATTCAGACAGAACCAGCAATTTCTGTGCACCATACAGTACAGACATTCCATTGAATGACAAATTTAGACATTGACGAGCTCTCGATCGAGAAGCCTCTCCAGCATCGAGTCCTTCCACCAGCTTTGCTGCTCCTCGAGGGCCTGAAAGAGGTTGTGCTCCGTGATACCGTATTGCCCACCGTAGACGTCGTCCTTTGGTACCATGTCCGCCTCGGCCTCGATTGACCTCGGCGTCTCTGGCGAGGACGGCGGCGCCTCTACGATACTGACCCCGCTCATCAGAGCGCGTGACCGGTGCCACACGCTCAGCGCCGCGCGATTGTTTCCTCGCAGGATTGTGATGAGCTCCTTCTTGTCCGGCACGTAGAGTCTGGCCGACAGCAACGAGACGATTGCGATGCCAGTTCTGAAGATGAGGCCATTCTCGCCCGACTCTTCCAACAAGATGCAGTCCCAGAGCCGCGCGACAGCCTCGAGCGATAGAAAGGGTACGAACAGGGTCCTGACCCAATCGCGAACATAGGCTGAGGGTCGAACACCGTTCGCTTGCATGTTGGCGTACACTTTGGGCATCTGATCGGCCAGAAGCGTGTCAAACACCCGCTCGAAACCCGAGGCAGCATCGTGTCGCTTCGTAGGCGTCCGCGGAGTGGATGTGTGTATATGTGGCTGATTGTGAGAGGGACCCGCAGCAAGTGGATCTAGATCTGTAGAGGGGGGGAGCGCATACAAGGCCTTGAGCCAGGGTCGATCGGCAATGAGGTTGATGAGGGCGATGAGCGTCTCGTTTGGCGCGAGATTGGTCAGCAGCATGGCCACCAGAGAGGCCGACCCACGTTGGTACACTTTGACTTGGCCGTCATCGTCACTTTGGCGAGCAGCTGCTTCTACGCCACCAATCGAGTCTAGGCGAACCATGACAAAGGCGCAGAGGACGTCCTTGAGGTCTTGGTACAATGGCCCTTCGCGCTGAAACAGCTTCAAGCTGGGAAGCGTTGCGTCGATGTCGGCCTCGAGAGCCATCATGTCGGCTTTTGGAAAAAAGCCATCCTGCTGTGCCTTGCGGGCGGCATTGCCAGCCTGTACAAAGAGATTTCGAGGCAACATCTGCGCATTACCGCACGCTAGAGCCCACACGCGACCTCGCAGGTTCGGAGGCGCTCCTCGCCACCAGACCTGGCGGAGACGATGCTCTCTTCTTGCCCTCGTCCAGCTCGGCAATATCTCCTTCTCCCAGACATGCATCGCCTCGGACAGCACCTCGTCCTTTTTTCTCCTTCGTTCCTCGTCCTCCTGCGCCCGTTTCTTTTCGGCCTCGCGGTAGGACTTCATCATCGCCTCAAAGTCCGAGAGATGCCTCACGTCCTCTTCTTTTGGTTTGGGCGGTAGAGTGGTCATTCGTGTCCTCGAGACGTGTTGCTCCAAGGCCGAGGGCTTCGACCGCCGCCTTGCCTTATTCACATCCTCATCGGCGATGTCCTTGAGCCCCGCTACCTTGCCGTTGGGAATCTCTTGCGCTTCATCCTTTCCATCTTGCTGACCGGAAGATTTTGGTTCCTCTTCTGTCGCCTTCGGGCTCGGTTCTGCCTTGGTATACTCCTGATCTGGCTTTGGCGTGGGTGCGGGAGCTTCTAAGGCTCTTTCTTGTGCTGACTCTGAGGAGGTCGCCCTTTCCCCTTGCTCCTCCGGACCCCCCAGGCTGACCTCAGAGTAGGTCGTCTTCGAAGACGGCGAGAGCGGGCTGTCCACGACTTGTAGTTCGCCATTCTCATCGGCAAGCATCATAGTGATGCCAGGAGGGCCTTGATGAGGCGATGAGGTGGAGACTATTTGCGGTCTGCCCAGGGCCTGCGTCCTTGAAGACGGCTCGGGGCTGGCTGCACGCGAGTTGGACGCGCTTCTTCTCCCTCTGTATCTTCCCTCGACGGATACCCTCGCAGGCGAGATGCTGCGGGCGCTGGACGGCCCCGCTCGGTCGCGGGAGCCATTGGAGAGCAGATCCTCTGTTCTTCTTCTCTCCTCGGCAGCTCGCGCCACATCCTTCGCTGCCCTGCTTCCGGAAGAGATTGAGTCCTGGCGAATCTCGACAGCGCTCTTGGACGCCATGGCCGCGCCAGCACCATACGGCGAGTGCCCCTGGTCTGCGCCTTCAATGTCGAGGCGAATGTCGACAAAGTCGAGCCCGGCATCTTCGATTTCGCTTCTTTCTCTCGGCGACGGAGCTTCGGCATCCTCGTCCTCGTAGCTCTCGCCCTCGGCATCTTCCTCATGCAATGAATTGCCCACAAAGGTGGACCTCGACACGGCGCTGGGCGGAGGGGAGTCCAGGTTGTACTTTTTGGGGGGCACTGAGTCGATGCGATTGTGCCCACGCTTCGTCTTTGGCTCAGCTGCTCCAGCAAGCAGTTACTTTAGCGAGCAGAGCAAAGGCAGAAGGAACATAGAGCCTGGCTCACCTCGTGCTTGGGTCTCACTGGTCGTGACCTCCTCAGCTGCGTCTCGCAGCGGCGACGGGGGCGCCTCATGCTCCTGGCTCAGGCCCAAATCGCCGTCGTCCTCGCTCTCTTCTGCAATGTGGGAGCCCACGACGCTCTCGTCTTGCTCCTGCGCTCTGTCTGGCTCGCCATTGATGTGGTCTAGGTGTGGTGCGGAAATGTCGCCGGTGCCCTCCTCTGTCTGGCTCTCGTCCAGATGTTGGTCGTCATGCTCGCGTTGCAAAGAAGCGGCATCGCTGACGCCTATCGAGCTCATCGAGATGGAGGGAGATGAAAAGAGGGGAGAACTGCGTCCTCTGCGATCGCAACAATCACCTCGGCCCAGCAGAAGAGACCGAGATGAGACACAGAGAGGAAGGAGCGAGCCGTCGCGGCAGCTGGTGACGGCAGCTGGTGCAGGACGCGGATTAGGATTTGGTGCGCCTTGCAAGAAAGCCACTGTGCAAGCGCGCGCGTCAATTCGCCGGAAAACTCAATCTGTGCGCACAGCCAGGCACGCAAACGGCGCTGCTTTGTATCGAGCTGCTCCTCGGCTCATCTTCGAGTGCTACATCGACCTGAGGAAAGAGATGGACGGCGGCCTTCTTCATGTAAAAAACTCCCTTGCGCATTTCGCTTCAAGCATTCATTGCTTTTTCGTGCTCCTCTGAAAGTCAGTGGTGCGCATTGTTCGGTGATTGACTCTTTGCTGGATGTAATGTACTATACAGTATGGTCCTAATCTTTAATGACCTTGCTCCTTCCCTGCCGATCAAAGAGTTCAAAGGCACTTCCCGAAACAAGCCAGCCGTGGAATGGCGACACGTCGTCTGTCTCCTTGCTCACGCCAAGAGCTCTCTCTCCACAACTACTGCGCCTCTCTGGTGCTCCGCCGCTGTTCAAACCATGCTGCGTTGACATTGGACGATGCTGCGCGAGAAAGTCATCGACAATGTGCTTCGCCCTTACGTCGCCGTCTCTGTAGCCGCGCAGCTGTTCCTTGGTGCGCCTATATGCTTCCACGCCGACGCTGGACATATCGTGCTTCGACGCATGATACGTCGCTGATCCTTCTCGCTCGCCACCGTTGCCTCGATCCAGATCGTCGACAGCGCTGGAACAGGCATTGAACCATTCGAGCTTGCAAAACGCCGAGCGCGTCGAAGGTCGCAGGGCCTCTCCGGGTCGCCGCTTTGTCGATGCACCCTGCTTCCGCCCCTCAACGAGATTTTCGTGTCGGGTTGCGCCGGCCATGTATGCAATCGCTAGGATTCGAGACCGCGCATGGATTAGAACCGAAAGCTGGTCGCGGTTTCTCTACAGAATACAAAGACTCACAGCCAGGAGCAGGCACCAGGTCAAGATCGTCCGAGGCCGCACCCCGAATGTTTGCGTTCGGGTTGGCTCCCGTGACGGCCACTTCGACGCTTTCTCGAGAGTGTGGAAACGGCACTGATGAAAAGATGATTTGGGGGATTGGCGCTCTCCGTGGGTCGATCTTGGCGCTGAGGATCTCAGTGCACCTTGCCGATGCCTCGTCTCGGTCTTCTTGTGTCCAGCCCTCGTCGGCCGACGGCGACGCGCTAGAAGAGAGTTTGACCGAACGAAGCGCTTCGTCGCTGACGATGATACTGGCGAAGCGAACGGGCTCGAGCCAACGCGAGAGTGACGAGCCCTGGAGGCCGCACAGCGCCCACATACAGATCTTGTCTGTGCATGACATTGAGATAGAGGGCAGCGAGTCGGGACGACCTGGTTTAGTTCGCAGACTCGTCTCTGTCATGCTCAGCGTCGATCGGCCGCGAATTGGGCCCGTAGAAGCAATGGAGTTGGCCGCTGTACCGGTGCTTCGGACCGGCCCATCATCCTTGTTGTCGCCGTCAAGAGCCTGCCTTCGTTGCAGGACCATTGCGTTGGAGGCATCGCCACCTGTTTCAAGCTCATGACCTAAGACACACAAGACGTGGCGGCACGCAAACTGATTCAGGCTCACAGGGTAGCGTCGAGCAGTAGAGGTGAAGGGACACGATGTCCTCTCTGAGTCGCCATCTCGGTTGTTGGTACTTTGTCTGTTCTTCTTGAAAGAGGAACGGAATTCTTTTGTCGGAGTTTGTTGTCGTCTTCAACATGTCAGACCTCCCACGGGTACGCAAGACTTCGTGGACCAGCCGCTGGAGCAGCCAGGCCCGAGCGATGCGCCTAGCGAGAACCTCGGCGTGGCAGTCGTGGAGCACATCTCCATGGATCGAGAGATCATCGTACGGCAAGGCTTTGACGCCCGTAGCAATGGATATCGGAATATAGCACACCTCTCCATCCTCCGAAGCGATGCAAAGAACAACGCCTGCAAGGATCGTCCACTCCCATCTGAGATCCCAGCTTCTATGTTCAGCTTCTCCATGTCTTTACGTGCTCCGTCTCGGACGCACTCACTTGCCATCGCTCCGAATAGCGGGCTTCGCTCCACGAGCGGGAAGGCTTTGGTAGACATCAAGACAGCACTTTGCTATCTTGTTTGCACGGTCCCATCGCCCTTGTGCTCCTTCATCGTCACCATGCCGTTGCATCCCTTGTTCCGAAGCTTAAGTTGTCCTTGCCCAAAATATTCGCGATCGGCCTCTTTTCTCACGTGTTTGGGCCTAAATTTCATCGCCTGGAATTTTTCGCGGAGAGCAAGAGTGCAGCTCTTCTCCAACGACGTCGACTACAAAGAGCAATGACACGAGTTAGACATAAGCGGACACACCATGCACGACGAGGTGAGTCGCAGGGACAGGGACAGTCTCTCTTCTTGCCTGCCAGCCGACGAGGATCCGCTGACTCGGTGGCGCCTGGTCCTTCGCAGACGTCTCGCGGGCCGCGCGGACACGCGCGCGGAAGCTCGATCCCGACCAGATCCAGGCCAACATGAACGACGCGGCCGTGCTGGCCGCGCTGCAGAACCCCACGTCGCTCGATGTCGATAAGCCCGGCCTGGGCCTCTTTTACTGCGTGCCCTGCGACCGCCACTTCCCCAGCGAGGCCGACCGGGAAAAGCACGGGCGGAGCAAGCTGCACAAGCGCGTATGCAAGAAGATGGAGCAGGAAAAGGCCTACACCGTCGAGGAGAGCATGTGGGCCGCCGGCGTCGGCGTCGACAACAAGCAGCGCGGCAGCGCAGCCGGTGACAACAAGAAGCAAACGGCTGCCTCGTCGGCGTAGGCTTGGCCTTTTTCCCCGCATACAGAGCACTCCATCGAGCTCGCCCGCACCCTGTATTTGTATTTCGGCATCGTTGTTGTCCCTTCTCAATTGTCACGCCCTCTGTTCCTATGACCTTGTTGTCTTCTGCTCCCAGGGAAGGATCAGTCCAACTGTCTGGATCCCAATCCCAATGAAAGCTGGAGTGGAGCCAGCCGTGCGCGGAGAGAGAGAGTCCAGGCCCTCAAAGTCGCTAGGATTCATCATCTCTCCCCTTGTGTGGCCGCGACCATTTTCCAAGACAAGTCAAGAAGAGCGAAAAGATGAAATGAGAGACTTCCAGTCAAGCGGAAATAATACAAAAGAAAGAGTGAGAGTCGAAAAAGAGTGAGCTAGGAAGGAAAGAGTGGGCTGCAATGCCAGAGTGCTGACGAAATCCGTTGTGTGTGTGTGTGTGTGCGTGTGTGTGAGTGTGCAAGAGTGAGTATGTCTGTGTGTTGTGGGTGCGCGATGCTAAAAAGCGAGAAGGGAAGCAGGGCTGGGGCGCATTCAGCTACGACCTGGGAACGGGCTTGCGCTTGTTGAGGCCTCTGCTGCCGTAGTTGACAATCTGAGGCTGCGACTGCCTCTCCTCCTCCTCGTCCTGCTCAGCCACCTCGGGTGAGCCAGGTGATACAACCGAGTGGGTCGAGGCACCTGCGCCGACAGACACGCCCGACCGTGCCATCTGCGCGTCCTCGTACACGCTCCGGCCAGCTGAGCTGCGCGCGTCGTCAAAGTCCTCTTCGTTGTCGTCGTCGTCGCCGTCTCGGTCCGAGCGCTGAGCCTGGTGCTCAAAGGAGTCGTCATCGTCGTGCTCGCCCTCCTCTTCGTCCTGCGCAAGGCCACGGCGCGACGTCGACTTGGGCAGTGTGGGTGCTGCAGCAGCAACCTTCTCGCTAAAGGGGTCATCCTTGATCGTCGACGCCGAGTCGTTGCCCTTGGATCCAATGGCCGTACCTGCCGACGACGGTGGCCGCACGGCCGACATCTCATGGGCTTCGTCCTTTTCATCACCATCGCCCCCGGCGCCCATCTCGCCGTAGCCTCGGCGGCGGTTGGCCTTGCGGGCCCGCTTGCTGAAACCGCCGTTCTCGACGTCGATGGTGGCCGAGCTGGCCGAGCGCCGGGCCTGGGACTTGCGCTGGTAGCGCCAGATGCCGTAGCCAAAGAGAATGATGAGGTTGCCGATGATGTCGAGGCAGAAGCAGGCGAGGCTGAGCCAGAACGCGGGGCCGAGCTCGGTGGAGAGGACGACGGCGCCGAGCTGGTCGGTGGCCTCGGGCGTGGTGAGCTTGTGGCGCGCGGGGACAAAAACGGCGACGTCGATGAAAAAGGAAATGAGGGCAAAGGTGCACGAGAGCAGGCTGAAGATGGGCAGGAGCCAGTGCGACTTCTGCCGCTTCATCGTCACGAGGGCGCAGACGAGGGCGAAAAAGGTAAAGCAGCAGGAAATCGGGTGGAAGATGAGGGCCTTGGGAAGGTTGTGGTCAAAAAAGTTTTTGTAGATGCTCTCGTACTGCAGGTCCTTCCAGCCCCAGGTGGCCTCGGGGCAGTTGAAGTGGCCGGGCTCGTTGAATTGGGGCGCAGAGGGAAAGATGATGGGCTCGGTGCCCGTGCAGGCGGCCCACATGCCGAGCTCGACGAATTGAAAGGTGCTGAGATCGAAGCGGAAAAAGTCAAAAGCCTTGATGTAGGGCACACCAATTGAGGTGAGCAGCTGGACGATGAACGAGCCAACGAGAAGGAGTGCGCCGAGGAGGATGCAATACGTTGGGCCGAGCCAGTAGAGGAAGCGTCGGATGCCATTGCCCGTCGAGCGCGAAGCGCGCTTCATGGCGCTTCCGACGGACATTTTGAGGCTTGTTGTGGGAGGAGAAGAGAGAGGAAGGAGAGAGAGAGAGAGGACGGTGGAGGGGGATAGGAAGAGGGAGAGGGAGGAAAGAAGGGAAGATGGAGCAGCGATGGAGAGGCGACGATGGGAAGGGAGGATGGAGCGATGCGGAGGGGAATTAGAAAAAGTAGCGTCAGCCGCCTCCAGGCGGGTGGGTCCCTGCCATCTACGAATCTGTATGTGTCTCAATCCCACCTAGCCTGATTTACGGGCCCTGGCTGGCTTGGCCGCAAAGGAAAATCTGCTGCTCGCTGCCGGCCTGTGCCAAAGTCGGAACGCTAATTTTGAAATCGCCATTTCAACCCCAGACTGGAGGTTCGTTAATTGAAACGAGCGGTTCTTGAATTGGGACCTCAACCCTCGTTACCCAGCTCCAAAATAGACAGACCGGCACTGGGGCGCATCGAGGCGACCGTGTGCGTTCTGATTGGCAAACCAGCCAGTGTGGTCTTCTCGTTATGCCTGGACTGACAGACATCTGCGCTTTCTTCATTTGGATGAGCAAGGTATTCTCAAAGATATTTGCGTCTGTACGCCTACAGACAAGGTCAGAGGAGCGATCTCCCCGGCATAAAGGGAGAGAGAAGAGAGAGAGAAAAGTTCGCGAGGCAATTGCTGGCGTCACGTGTACAGTACAAGGCTCCGCCCTTAGAGCATGGTCAACACTTAATTCGTCCTCATCTTCTTGCGTCGACTTTGGGTGGCAATCATTTTGCCCTTTCCTGTTTTCTCCTCGATTCTCGCCTCCTCTCCGCCGCCTTCACGCAAAGAAGCTTCGCTCGTCTTTTCCTGCCAGGTTTCTGGTGGAAGGTAGGGTCTGGCTTCTTCAAATAATTTCAAGAGCGAAGGGCCTCCTTTATTCTCCCGTGCAAGTCTGAATAGGTTGTTTGTGTCGTTCTGTGTCCATTTCTTTTGGGGACGTCGCTCGCTCGCTCCTGTTCCATAAGAGATCCAACTTCGCAACCGAGCTCTCAGATTTCTAATAGCTCTGTCGATAGTCCGTTGCCTCCATTGCTCGTGCGTTCCTGTTTCCCCATTGGCCAAGCTCTTTTTGCTGGGCCCAAAGCGTCTATGATAATAGTTCCGTGAGTCTCTCGCGGCATTGGGGTTGCGTTCGCGCGATTCTCTTGTGTTGAACTGGTTAACGAGGTTCGAGAAGACCTTCTTGTCAATCAATCTTTTGTCCAGATCTCCTAGGACGAAGAATCTTTGGCCAACCTGAGACGCATCGCTATCGAGAATTTGCTGCCTGAAATTTTTGAGCGCATCGAAGATCGCCGTTGCCAGGCGTCTTTTTTGAACTTGATCGTGCACCTTTCGTTGAGGCGTTCTCCTAAAGAAGTTGTCGACGACAGATCTGACAATCGCGTCAAGCTCGACAGAGAATCTCTTGTTCGGCTTGCGCTCTTCCTTTGTCGGCCTGCGCTCTTTCTTTGTCGGCCTGCGCTCTTTCTTTGTCGGCCCGCGCTCTTTCTTTGTCGGCCCGCGCTCATCAGAGTTGCTCAATTCGAAAGCTGAACGCACGTCAGAAGACTCGACAGTGGGACTTATCGACTCTTCCGGCGAAGCTTCACCCCCGTGACCAAATTCTGTCCGAGGGCGCTTCTGCCCTGACCTGGGGCGTCGAGGGAAAGCAGGGTCTCTCACCAAGTCTAAAAGGTTCGGGGTGAGTGAACGTGCCTTTTCTTGGTTGGGATCCATAGCCGTATCGCGGTCATTTGACATATCGTTTGAAAGATCTATCTCATGCTCCAAGTGTTTATCTGGAAAAAGTGAGGAAAGAGAGGTATATTTCTTGTTCTTCTTCACGGACTTTCCTGAGCGGTCCATCTGCTCGTGGCCATGATCGTCAAGTTCCTCATGAGTCCTCTCGACCGGCTGGCCAGAGCCATGAGTTCCCATTGTGTTTCGACGTGGCTGCATGTCACGGAGGGACCTAAACTTACTTCGAAGGGCGAAGAATCTTCCTGGATATTGGGCGAGGAACTTTTCCAGCTCGCGACTTTCTTTTTGCGTCCAAGGAACTGGGACCCTTGCGAATTTCCTTTCATTACCTTTCCGATCATGGTCCTTCCAGCTAAGCTCTGCGTCTATCCTCTTAGAGAATCGTTCTGCTTCAATGCGTCCATTTCCATCTTTTGCCTGCCCCGGCGTGGGAATCGTACCCTTGTTGTTTTCCTTAAGAGTGAGACCATGTTTTTCACCGTGTTCTGCCTTTTTGTTCTCTCGAAAATTTATCTTTCGCTCATTATTTGCCTTTTTCTTGAAAGCCTCGCGATGACTTTCGCTCAGTATCTTTCGTTCAACTCTCAGAAGCTGAAAGCAAGGTTGGTAAGATTTGTGCGGAATTTCTTTCCTGAGCTCTTTGCAGATCGAGAAGATTTTGTCGGCAAATGTTGTTTGCGCCTCTTCTTCGGGTGTACCGGCTGCGACACTTTCTCTATAGACTTCCAGGGCTCTCTCGCTCTCTTCACGGGCTTTCGGATTTTCCGTCCTCGGCATCCTCTCCACCCGCTCTGTCTTTCTGGGTCCATCAGGTGGCCACTGTTCCTCTGACGATGTAAATCGACCGATAGCGTTGGTCTGCTCTTTAGCGCCCGAGGTGTGAACGAGCGCTGATGAATCACTGGCTCCCTGTCGGCGAGCGCTATTTGTTACAGCCTTGGAGGACGAGCCCTCCTTATATTGGAAAGGTTCAGGGGTCGTCGATGCCTTTGAGAGGGAGGCACGAGTCCGTGCGGTCGACGAAGCGGGCTGGCGAGCTCGGCGTGGATCCCATCCCTCGGAAGAGTAAGATGCTGAGGAGGTGCCTTGAGTATTCCAGCCTTCAGACTCTGCTGACGAAGAATGGCCCAAGAAAGGGTCTTCCGGCTCCCAATCCTGCGAAGAACGGGACGAGTCCTCCGTCGAGGGCTGCCTTTCTACACTGCTGTCCGACAGATGATAAAAAGACTCTGGGATACCGGAGAACGCTGTCATTTCCTCCTGAAGGTCGTGAGATGATCCGGCCTGCGCTGTTATGGGCGATGTCTGGAGATGCGAATCATCGCCATTGCCCTCGTCGGCGTTCGGATGCGGAATAACAACACCCCCATCGGCAAACCAGTGGTCTTTAAGCTGGTTCGTGTGTCTCTTCTTGGTTCTCGCTCGCTTGACTAAGTTAACCTCATCATTTTCTTCAGCGCTAGCCACGAGAGTGACAGCGTGCAGAAGAATGGCGATGAGGAGGAAGGATGAGAACTTCATGGTGTCTACGGAGGATGAGAAAAGAGAAAGGGGTCGGTCGTCTCGTAGAGGTGGTAAATTCCACAGGTTCCCCTTACTTGCAGAGTTCCTTTAAGCACTTTCAGAAGCAAATTGATGGCGTTGTCGCACCCGGACTCTGCTCGGTCTGTCGGGGAGAGCCGTGCTAATGCCTCTGCTGCGTTCAAGGGGCGTCCGCGATCAGAGGCTGTGCATTAACGCGGTGTGAGTCTCAAAGTCCGAAGGTCCGCCCCGGCAGCTCAAAAATCTCTCTCCTCCGTGGTCCCATTCATCAATCTCCTGTTGTGCAGACACGGCTGGCCATGTTAGATGGTATTCTTTTGATGGCTAGCCTGCTCTAATCGCGGGGCTTTCTTCAACTCAGGAAAGCAAGCAAACAATTTGGCCAATATTGACTGAGCTTCGCTATTCGGATGATTTTGCCCATGTCGGCATCAAGGTCCGTGGGCTCCACGCTAAGATCGACTGAAGCGACTTGCAGCACGCATCACGCATCACGAAATAGCTAATCGACGCCAGCAAGATGGGACTTCAACGTTTCCGACGGCCTCGACCCACGGCATGTTTTCTACCGTGAATGCGCGACGGTATGTTTTCTACCGTCGAAGCGGCCTGATGACAAGGCGATTGAATGCGGCGCAAGGCAAAGCTTGCCAAGCAACCTGCTGTCTTGATCACCTACTCTCAAACCGAGTACCTTCCTGGACAAATGCGCGAAACAAATGCGAAGATCAAGACCGAAAAGAGTGACGGTCGTCGTCGTGGGAGGAAGAAACACGTGACACGGATCTCAAAGTGTTTGTTCCGATGGGGGTGTTCGCCCCCCGCGTCGAGAAAGCCTCAAGAAAGAGAGTTTTCCGGACTAGAAGAGAGGTTAAAGGCGCACGACATCGCCTCGAAACCCATCCTCTTGTCCTTTTCACCCTCCTCTCAAGCCCAGATATGGCACAGACAACGGCAACGGCAGGCCCCATCGGGCTGGACAACTCGCTGCAGGTCGGCTCTGCCAAGGGAAACACGTCATTTGTCCTCGAGGCCATCGACAAGACGTCGTTCCAGGAGAGGCCCGTCGTGCTGCCCGGACCAGGCATGGTGCAGATCAATGTCCGACAGACGGGCATCTGCGGCTCCGACGTCCACTATTGGAAGCATGGACGGATCGGCGACTTTGTCCTGACGAAGCCAATGGTGAGTCTCTCTCTCTCTCTGTGTCGATTTCGAGATGCGAAGGGATCAATGTGTTGAATAGTGACGAACATGACGATGGCAGGTGCTTGGACACGAGTCGGCAGGCATCGTCACGGCTGTGGGCGAGGGTGTGACAACGCACAAGATCGGTGACAGGGTGGCCATGGAGCCGGGCGAGCCGTGCTTCAGCTGCTCTATGTGCAAGGGCGGGCAGTACAACCACTGCAGCAAGCTCATCTTTGCCGCCACGCCGCCGTACGACGGCACGCTCTGCACCTACTACAATCTTCACGCCTCGTTTGCCCACAAGGTGCCCGACAACATGTCGCTCGAAGAGGCCAGCCTGATGGAGCCCCTCGGCGTGGCCGTGCAGAGTGCCGTGCGCCAGGGCAAGGTGCAGCCCATGTCCAACGTCGTCGTCTTTGGTGCCGGGCCCGTCGGTCTCTTGACGGCCGCCGTCTGCAAGGCCTATGGCGCAAAGCGCGTGTAAGTGCTTTCTTTTTCCCTCTTTCGGCTGCATACTGAGATGCCTCACACAGCGTCGTCGTCGATATCATCCCGTCCAAGCTCGAATTCGCCAAGCAGTTCTGCGCCACGCAGACGTTCCTCCCCAGCCCCGCTGAGGCCGGCGAGGACAAGATGGCGGCCTCGGAGCGCAACGCCAACCAGCTCCTTGCTGAGATGGGCGACGAGGTGCAGGCAAAGGGCGGCGTCGACCTCGTCCTCGAGTGCACGGGTGCGCCGCCGTGCATCCAGATGGGTCTCTTTGCTACGCGCATCCGCGGCCGCTTTGTCCAGGTCGGCATGGGTGCCTCGGATGTGACGATTCCCATCCACCGCATCAACATCCGCGTGAGCTTTCTTCTCCATAACTTGCAGCTCTCTGTGTCTGGTTGTCTGTCCGGCTGACGTCTGACGCTCATCCATGCAGGAAATCGAAATGACGGGCTCGTTCCGGTATGGCGCAGACGTCTACAGCCTCGCCATCGAGCTCGTCGCCTCGCGACGCATCGACGTGACGCGCATCGTCACGCACCGCTACTCCTTCGAGGATGCTCTCAAGGCCTTTGCGGCCACGGCAAAGGGCAAAGGCGACGACGACATGGCGACGATCAAGGTGCAGATCTCCCAGGGCGCAGCGCCTGGCCACTAGCAGCGTGTGTCTTATTACACTGGCTGAGCCCATTGACTGTACTAAAAGCTATCGCTACCCACACACTCTCTCGAAGCGCTCAGACACCCACGCTGTAGACGGACGCATAATCGTCAAAGAATAGATTGGCTTTCTTGGCTGAGGTTTCATCGTCTTGTTAAGGGAAAAAAAGGTAATTCGACACATTTCGACACACTTTGTATGCATTGCAGAAGGGAAAGGAGCAGAGCGGAGAGAGCAGGTGGGAGGCTCGTGTGCTTGACGTCGCCCTCCTTTGGACTTGAACGGGACCAAAACAGACGACGAAGGGTTTTCCCTTGGGGCAAGGGCCCAGGATCTCTCACACCACCGTACTTTTGTATCCCAATACCGTCTGAGAACGATCTTAAACCCTTCGCTCTCCTTGTTGCGAGTCCACATGATCGCACAGGCTCTCCCATGCACAATGTCATGATGCAGCTTTCTCCTGTATTATACCCTTTCCCCTAAGTAACAAAGACGAAATCACCTTCTCGTGGTGCTCCCCGTTGACGACGATCATGGTGCTTCTGAAATTGCCTCCACGCGGTGTGTGGTAAGCTAAGCCCAAGCTGGAGAAATGCACAGTACTACACTACTACTGTAGTGGCGCGGCGAGGGTAGAAATTGCACCGTGGCAAATCCGTCGCGTGTCGACCCTGGAAAATGCACTGTTGCGGCTCGGGACCTGCCCCTTTCAAAAGAGATCCTCGAGGCGATCAGCGGAGATCGTTCCAAACAAAAGAAAACAACGAGATCGCATCCGACATCTCGTCATGGTCGGTCCAGCTCCAACGCCCGCGCCGGATCTTGTTCCGCGCCAAGGCATTGGAAGTGGCCTCAGCAGCATCATTGACAGTATTGGGAGCGGTCTTGGTCTAGGTGGCGGCAATAGCGAGAGCAGCAGCAACGGAAACGGAAGCAGTGGCGGAGGTAGCAGCGGCAGTGGAAATGGTAGCGGTAGCAATCAATCATCGGTGAGAGATTACTTTTCTTTTCTAGATGTCCGCAATGGCGGCACTGACGTTACCAGCCTGACTCATCTCAATCTCCGTCTTCTTCCTCACAACGCAACGATCCCAACTCCTCCTCTGATCAGCAGGGTAACAATAGCCAGACTTCCAGCCAGGGTTAGTAGAGCCACTGTGCTGCCTTTGCTTTGGACATGCTGAAATAGCTGATATACGTCAGGCACTTTTTCTTCTTCTAACAATCCTTCCCAAACATCATACACAACGGAACAACAACCATCACAAACAACAACGCAATCTGTATCATCTACCGACAACGGCACCAACAATTCAGCATCAACAGGCAACAGCTTTTCGTCCTCCAGCACACCCACATCCCAGTCGCAGGAATCAACTTCGTCTTCACGGTCTCGTTCGAGGAGCAGGGAAAGCACGGAATCGACGCCTACGACGATTGCCCCTTCGACGTACACCTCTCAGTACACAAGCGATGGCAACGTTGTTCAGGTGACGAGCACCATCTCCGGAACGACATCGGTAGTCGTTGTGACCCAGAATCCAAACGATGGTACTGTACAAAGTGAACGCAACAACTCTTCGCACTCGGGCAGCAACGGTGGGCTCATCGGCGGCGTCGTTGGTGGTGTCATTGGTGGACTGGCGCTCCTGACGCTCCTGGCCTTTGTCGCCATTCTCTGGAGGCGCCGGAAGGCTCGCACCGGTCACGGCTGGTTCCTCTGCTTCGGCGTGCCTCCCAGCCGTAGCCTGGATGGCGACGATGGATGGCCGACGTTCGATCCCGCCAACAGCTCCTCGCCCTTTGGGCCCAGCTCGATGGCCGCGGTCGGTGCTGCCGGTGCCGGTGCCGCAGCGGGAGCAGGGTCTAAACGGAAAAAGGGCAGCCAGCCTCAGGCGACGCTGCCAGAGGGCTTTGAAGCGGACCCTGAAGCAGGCGTCGACGAGGTCTCGAGTGGCGACCACGAGATGCGTGAACACGCCTCGCCTCACGCCTCCGGTGCATACGCCATCAGCGGCGGCTACGGCTCCCATCCGGGCAGCTATGGAGCCCCTGGCTCCCAGGACGCCCTCAGCAATGGTGCGCCAGGTTCGTACGGTGCGCCGTCGGAGGAAGGCCACTTTGCGAGAAATTCGCAACCGTGGGGTTTGAGTCCCTTTGTCGCTGCTCCGGGCTCGCCACCGCCGGCAGCCGCACAGCATGCTGGTGAAGATGCGCCCGATTACGGCCACCTAGACCCGCCAGAGGTGCGCGAGGCGCGCGCTCGCGAGCAGGCAGAGGCCGCCGCAGCGTATCGCCCGCAGTCGCCCGGCTCGCCTGGCATGCATCCAGCCATGCTGGCCGGCGGGATGCATAGCCCCACGAGCGGCTACAGCCACCAGAGGCTGCCCTCCAATGCCGGCAGCATTGGCGGCTCAAGGCGACCCTCTCAGGGAACGCTTGCTGGGCTCCAGCAGTCGCAGCACCCCTCACACACGGAAGCGTACGTCGACGCCATCGATGACGTGAACGACGAGCCGCGCAATGTGCAAAACGTCGACATCGTTGGCGACGTCACTGGACGCATGCTACACCTCAGCAATCCTGATAACTGAGCCGCTTCCATACATCCCTCGCCGACTACCATTGTTCCAGGCTAGAGGGAGCAGACACGAACTTTTATTTTGCCTTCTGTATAACATTTTTTTGTCGTCCTCTGTTTCATTCACAAACAGTCTACAAAGACAATCTCTACCGTGTAGCCATGTAGGACTCTTGCCTTCTCTTTTTCATATTAATTGCCATTGCACCACGTCCGCCACTTTGGCAACATCAGCTAGCTACTCTTGACCACGGCCGGCGCCACCTCCTTTGCCTTGCCTTCGATGACTGCCATGCTGTCGAGAATGGCCTCGTAGACTGTAAAGACGATTCCACCGCTGAGGATGAGCCGCGTCAGTCTGGGCGTGGTGCCCTTCCAGAAGCGCCGGACGCCCTCCTGCCTCAGCATTGTGGCCACGCAGTCGAAGGCGCCCTTGTACTGGCTCGCGCTCTCGGACTGCATGCGCGTCTTGACGACGTCAAACGGCATCGTCGCGTACACTGTCACGATACCGGCCACGGCGCCCATGCCAAATGTTTCTACGCCGCCGGGTTTCCGCCCGTCCTTTGTTGCCAGGGTTCGAAGAGACGAGTAGGTGGTGAGACGGACGGCAGAGTTTGCGCCTTGACGCATCATCGTGGGACCCAGACCCTTGTAGATGCCCGCAAGACCTTCATTTCGAATGATGGCCGCCGATCCACTGATGAGTCCCTTTGGTGAGGCAGGCCCGTCAGAGAGGTCAGCAACGAGCTTGTGCTTGTCAAGGCATTGCAGGAAAAAAAAAGCTTGACAAGCTCACCTTGTACTGTCTTTGATCCCTGGGCCGCTTGCCATCCTCGATGAGCCGTGTCTTGATGGCCTCCGAGGGCGTCACGGCGAAAGCACCTTCACACAGGCCTGCCAGAAACCCTGCAGCGATGGAGCGAGGAAGTGAAAGTTGGCCCGTCTGCAGGAGCAAGTGTCAACATGGGTTCGTTGCGGAGGCAAAAGGAAAAAAAAATTACGGACGTTTTTGTCTGCAACCGCCAGCTTGATGCTGTCATAGGAGAGGAAACGAACGCCGGCCTTGACGGCATTGCCTGCAACGAGGGCGCTGCAGCCGGCATAGAGGCCTCGAACACCATGACGGGCCAGGGTATCTTTGATGATGGTAATTGGTCCCGGCGGCCCGGAGCCAGATGCCACTGCAAATTGCGCTTGTGTCTGTGGGATGCCGTCAGCCACTGAAGCGCCAAAGGAGCAAGTCGGCCAGAAACAAAAGGGTGTCTGCTCTCACCTTGACGAACTCGGTGGGGTATGTCGCAAAGCCTTCGACAGCGCCAGCCACGGCACCCGCAAAGAGCGAGTTCAGCGGCTTCTCTTGCCTCTTTTTTGACGCCATGTTCTAGCTCGTATGGTCTCTCTGCAACACTAGTCACTCTCGCTGCCCTTTTATGTGCTACGACGACGAGAAAAGTTCCCCGCCCCTGTCGGACGATGATGCTCCGTCAGAGAAGGAAGATTGGTCGGTCGGCTTTCACTTTTTGGACTTTTTCCCGGTCCCGACGGGACGAGTCGCGACACGTGTTTAGCCCCGGCTGGTCCGTCCTCGCACCGCCCTCGTCTCGACGTGCTGAAGCGGCCTCGACGATTACCTTGCAGACGACGAGCTAATCGGCTCAACGAGCACTTCGCGACTTGCTCCTGCTGTGCATAAGGAAGAGAGAATGTTGTTACAAAACGAGATTATACGTACATACACAGAGAGACAGAGAGATAGAGATATAAATGATATGGGCGCCGATCACCGACGCTTCCGTGTGGACCACGGGGCAGACTGGGCTGCGTCTCGCGAGAAATCAATGCGGATAGGGTGCAGACCCCTCTGCTTCCTCCACCAATTTGTCCGCTTGATAATCTCTGGCTCAAAGAGGAACCACCACTTGGTGGCGAACCTCTCGCTGACCTCCCACGAGTCGACGTCCATCGTGTCGTCTCCCCAAACCATGAACGACGGCTCAGCGCCCGGAAGTAAGCCGCCCATCATCATGTCGGTGCACATGGCATCCTCGTCGAGGCCGTTCTTGAGGAGCGTCAACACCTTGTCGCGCACAGATGGCCACACAAAGGAAATGTCGATAAAGGGGTGGTGCTCCTCGACGAGCTGCAGTGCTGTTGGATACATTGTCTCTGGAATCGTGTCCCACTTGACCTTTGGTATCACTGTTACAGCCAGCTTGTCGGAAGGCATGTCGAGCTGCAAAGGCGAAGTGATGCCGAGGAAGCTTTCTCCGATGCGGCTGACGGCATTGAAGTTCTCGAGGTCTTGAAATGCATAGCCCATCCTCGACGCATTGGTGAGCACGGCCTGGAAGAGGTGCTGGCTTGGGAGCTGGAGTCCGTGGAACGGCGATGGCCTGCTCAAGGACAAGTAGCGAGCAGCTTGCACCTTGAAGGATTCGAGGATAGACTTGAACATCTCTATGCGCACGGACGCGGGAGCCTTGCTGCTGAGGATTTCGGCCATGCGGAGCGATGCGACAAAGTTTTCAAACAGCTGTGGCTGGGCGCTGAAGAACAAGTGCAGGTCCGAGAGGCCCGGAGCAGGGGAAGATGGCGAGATGAAGGAAGGATCGTGGCGGCCGTACTCGTTTGCGCTTCTTGAGTGGGTGATGAACGAGTCAGAAGGGACTTCTGAGAGAGAGAAAAGGAGGAGGAAGGGGATCACCTACCGGGACAGGTGTTCTAGGAGGTGCTTCGCATCATTGATGCTCTTGTTTGCCGAGTACTTTTGTATGACTTCGCAGCGTGAATTGACAGGGTCCTTTAGCCGGAATGGATTGCCGCTGAACTCAAACGCTGGTGTGGCCGATGTCGACCAGGTCGTCTGCTCGTAGGGTGAGGCGGGGCCCTCTCCTGTCAGGGCCGAGCCAGAAGCCTGATCGAGCTCCTCGATGGGCGACGAGGAAGACGAATGGCCCGAAGAGGAGGGCGATGAATTGCTTGCTTTTGATTTAGAGCCAGATGGCGAGCTAGAAGACGATGAGGTAGAGCTGAAGAGCGAACCAGCGTCAGAGGCAGGGAAGTTGAACGCCGTCGATCCGAAAATGTCGTCGAAGACATTGCTCAAATGTCTGTCAGCGCTGGTGCTCTTGCGATTGTCGATTACACTGCTGCTGCCGCCATACCAGCTGTCGGTCACGCTCACGCTGCCGATGTCATTGCTTGCGCGCCCTGTATCGAGGGAGATCCCAGCTGACTTGCCGCTCCTCGGCAGATCGTCTTCGGGCTCTTGCTCGGCGGCGTTTCTCAGCTTGGCCCGACGCCTCTTTTGGGCCTCACGGTTCTGCAGACGCCGCTTCTCGACGAGCTCCTCGGCCGTCAGCTGCCTTTCAAGTCGTATCATCGTATCCATGTTGTCGCTGTGGAGATGAGATTAGGGTTGAGTAGATGGTGTCAGGCTAAGTCCGAGAGTGCGCAGCAACCCCCCCGGTGCACAACTTGCAATTTGGTATTTATCTAACTTTATTGGTCTTTTAGAAATTAGAAATAGAAACGCTGTAGGGTGATTTCTAAGCTTTGTTTAACATCGCCCCTACCCTTACAAAGGATCATGACGAGAGCCGACGACCAAGGATCATGACGAGGACCGATCCACTGTGCGGCCATATCGACGACCAACAATTTGGTGCCGTCTTCTCATATGTGAGCCATTGCTCGTAGTAAATTATGTGTATCAGTAGCCACTCTTCTCTACTGTGCTCCTCAATCGATTCCGCTCTTGAGATCTCAGAGACACAGATCATGGTGAGGGTCGATCCACAATCCTGCCACACCCGTCGGCAGGGTCGGATCACAGGGCCTCCTTGGCAGAAGGAATGCCGAATTGCACATGAGTGAGAAGACGACAAAGCCGAGGTAGCCGCATTCCTGACTTCGCGCCTAACTTCGCGCACTGTGACATACAGGAGCACAGCAACCTACCAATCTCGTCGAGCTCCTCCGTGTTTGGATGGGCCTCTACCACATGGCTTGCAACCGAAAGAAGTGTGAAGCGACCCGCAGGTCAGGCGGAAAGTTATGTCGGTCACGCCTTCATGCCCTGCCGTCCGGATACGCTTTCCACGCGTGTCCATTACAATGATGCCAACCGTCCGCCCTACCCGAGAGGTGCGCAGTGTACAGCATCGGGGCCTCGGGTTGACAGGCTTTCAGTACTCCCGAGGGGGTAGTAGTAGATCCCTTTCCGCTTGCAGCGGCAGAGATTATTTACGAGGCACCACGGCCTGATTTCATGCCCTGGATCGACGCCTGACAAGACAACGGTGCTTTTGAGACAGCCAGCCTAGCCTTAGCGTACCCGAGCGCGCCGTATCTCCGGATCGATACACGGGTCCTGTCACTTCAAGTAGAGATACTCGCAACAGATGACTCTCTATTGCACCTTTGCTCAACGAGAAGCACGCACTCATCACGGCCATTCTGAGCGTGGAGAGGAGCTCGCTCGTCTCAGCAGTGGCGTCGTAGTGCGTCAATATGTGGGGAAATGGAGGTCATTTGAGGGGGAAGAGAGTCTCGGAAGAAAGAAAAGAGGAAAGCGGAGTTTCCTTCTTCCGCTTCGTTGCCTGCCTGGAGAGGCTCATCGTGACCGCACACGTGATAAAAGTTTGAAAGTTCTTCCGTCACGGAGTGCCGACGAGATTCAAAAAGAGTGAAAGCGATACAGAAATCCAAATGCAGGGCGACCCCGATAAGCGTCAGAGGCAGGAGCAAATAATGCTAGCATAACATCAGTGGTATATGCATGGCTGCTACCCTGTGTGCTGCGATCCATGGGGAGGGAAATTGTTGATATAAAAGCCCAAGCCCAAGCCTGCTTGACACCCACTGCCTGCTCCGCTCCATCTTCTGCAGACAACGGCAAGCAGCATCCACACCATGACGACGACGACGAAACCGCTGTTCTCCACCTTTACGCACAGTGTCGGCGCCAACGCGGCCGGGCACACGCTCACGGCCAAACTGCGCGCCATTGTCCGGGCGGGCTACGACGCCGTTGAGATTTTCCAGGACGACCTCGATGCATTTGCCTCGTCTGCCGAGTTCCAGGCCATCTACGAGGCCTCGACGCCGCCCGAGTCGCCCACGTACGCGCATAGGTCGCTGCAGAAGAGCGGCGCTGACGACGACCAGGGCAAGGACATGGTCACGGCGGCGCACAAGCCGTCAACAGAGGCAAAAACGGCATGGAACGCTCACGGTCCATGCACGCCGACCGAGGTGGCGCGCGAGATGGCTGCGGCGTCGTACATTGCCGGTCTCTGCAGCGTGCTGGGCCTCAAGGTGCTGACGCTGCAGCCGCTGCGCGACTACGAGGGATGGGTCGACGAGGCGGACCGGGACGCAGCCATGATGCGCGCCACGTCGAGGTTCCCCGTCATGCGTGCGCTGGGCACAGACCTGATGATCGTCTGCAGCAACAACGTGGGCGCACCAAAGACGACGGGCGACCCTGCCAAGCTGGCCCTCGACCTGGCCGCCCTCGCCGATGAGGCGGCACGCTACGATGCCGCAAGCCCCTACTATCGCACCCAGCCGATTCGCATTGCCTACGAGGCTCTGAGCTGGGGCGCCCACGTCGACGTCTGGCGGCAGGCGTACCGCGTCGTTGAGCTGGCCGACCGACGAAACGTGGGCATCTGCTTCGACTCGTTCAACACCCTCGGCCGCGAGTATGCCGACCCGTGCTCGCCGTCGGGCATCCAGCAGCCCGAGGACGCAGCCCTGGCCCGGGTCGAGGCCTCGATCCGCGACATTGCCAGGACGGTCCGTGGCGACAAGGTCTTTTTCCTCCAGGTCGGCGATGCAAGGAAGCTGCCCAGCCCGCTCGCCCCTTCACCCAACGCCGACGAGCCAAGGCCCGCACGCATGATCTGGAGCCGGGGCAACCGTCTCTACCCGGGCGAACTGGACCGTGGCGGCTTCATGCCTGTCACGCACTTTGTCCGCGCCGTCCTCCAGACGGGCTACAAGGGTCCCTGGAGCATCGAGGTGTTCAACTCCAGCCTCAACGACGAGGGCGACACCGTCGTCGACGAGCATGCCAGGCGCGGCCATGTCGGCCTGTCCTGGCTCGCCAAGCAGGTCCTGTAGACGCGCGCGCCCGTCCTTTCTGTCCGTTCGTCCACTCACTGCAGCCGTCGAATCTTGTCATCATCATTTGTAAACTACAGCATCAGTCATTTCATTATTCATCGATTAGTCCTCAGAATCACATCCATTGTCTTCTATGTTTGTGCGGCTCCGGATGACAATTGGGAGAGAAAAGCAAGATGGCACGGTACTGTACAATTACATGCTGGAGCCGTCGTCTCTGCATCTATGTGAGGCTCTTGATGGCGACGATGCTCGTCGCCAGGCTGTCGATGTCCTGCGGCGACGCTGTGCCCGGCGGAATCTTGTATGTCTTTCCGATACCCTTCCAGTCCTTTTCGCTCCCGCCTTGCTCGTCCACGTCGCCGCCGCTGCCGCTGCTGATGCCGTCTGCTTGGCCCACGATGCCCTCAAAGGTGGAAGCGACCTGTTGGCGGACGTCGGACGCGCTGGGCCCGCCGTGCTCCTCTGGCTTGGCGACGTGGACGACGATGAGGTGTTGCGTGCTATTCGAGAGACCAAAGAGGCGAAACGAGTCTGCAATCTGTATCGCACGATTTGCCCAGCCCAAGCGAAAACGAGAAGTGAGCGTGAGAGTTCAGCAGGGGGGCAGAAGAGACAAGGACGTCTTTGTTACGACCGAGCGAGCGAAGGAAGAGACTCACGTTCGTCGAGGGGCTGAGCGCCCACAGGATCTCGGAGTGGATCGAGCGCGTCTTCATGGCTGCCGATCCGCGCGAGGCCGCCAGCAGCGCCTGGTGGATGCCGACGACGAGGTGGGTGCGACTAGTGACCTTGCTCGCGTCCAGGAGGGCAAACTGGAGCGGAAACGCAGCGGGGCCCTCGGCCTTGAGGCGAGCGAGGACGGACGCAGCGTTGCCGAGGGACCGGACATGGCAGATGTGGACGGCACTGAGCTCCACGGGCAGGTGGCTCAGGTGCAGCGTCTCCATCTCTCTCTCTCTCTCCTCTCTTGCCGCCTGCCTCGAATCGTGCCAGAATGCGATGAGTCAAGGAGGTTGAGTGTGCGCTCTCCACTTTGACAGAACGCCAGAAAAAGAAAAGAAAAAAACGAAGGAAAAAGATAGTCTACGTCCGCTGGTGGGCGAAGCTAGAGAGATTTTCAAGAGCAGGGATTTCGACGACGACCCAAGGTCAGCACCCTGGCAAGCCTCGACAGATGGTGTCACGCGTGGGAACAGGGGACTGCATTTCATTACTGGACAAAAGAGAAGGAAAGAAGAGGGGAAGAAATGTGGGTTGAATGCCCTGGGTCGTGACAAGTCAAGGCAGAGATGCATAGCATCTGACCCTGTATGCCATGAAATCAGGGACCCGATCTCGGCCAGATCCCACCCCACTTTGCCCTCTCGCTGCGACTCGGAAGAGGAACGAGGTGGAAAAGGGGGCTTAAATGGGACTGGCCGAGACATACGTTTTGCTCTGAGCGCCGCCGCCAAGGTTAACGAGTCCCGTAATGAAACTGTATCCTCGAAAGCGCACAGATCGGCCCGTCCCCACCCCGCGAGGAGCGAGGACAGGCGGCTTCGCACTCCGGTCTCAGACGGTGAATGCAGCGTCTGCCCACGCACGATGGAAGCCATCGAGGGAGCAGAACACCGGCGCTGGTGGTAAGAAGAAGGGAAAATTTTCAGGCTGAGAGAAGCCCAAAAAAATATCGAAAGCTGCAGGAGAGCGTGTGAGACGAGCACGTGACTGGGCAGCCCATGAATGCAGGGCCCTGTCGCTTGGCTCGCTCGGTACATTTGCGGGGGAGGAAGAGAGCGAGGACCGGACCGATGGCGTCTCACAGCAGTGGACTCTTCTGCCGCCGCCGCCGCCGCTGCTGCTGCTGCTGCTAACCTCCAACACCACAGAAGCGCAAACAAGGCAATGGCGAAGCAGCAAGACCAGGGCATAGCGCCCGAGGAGCCGTTTGGGAGCGTGCTGCCGTTTGCCGAACCGTCGTGGTACGGCGCGCTGGGCCGCACGAGCCCCTACTACGGCGAGTCGCACCGCCGGCTGCGGGCCTTTTGCCGCGAGTACGTCGACTCGTGGATCGATCAGGCGGGCGACTGGGAGGCTGCAGGCCATGTCCCCGCCGAGCAGTATGCCAAGCATGCCAAGCTCGGCTTTGTCGCGACGTTTATCAACCCCATGGCGCCCGAATACCTCGAGCAGGCGGGGATCACGCTGCCTGCGGGGATTCACAGCTCCGAGTGGGATGCATTCCACAGTCTTATTGTCGCCGACGAGCTCATGCGCTGCGGCTACCTCGGCGTCGTGTGGGCGCTGGGCGGTGGCAATGCGATTGGTGGGCCTCCGATCGTCCGCTTCGGCTCCCGCGACGTCAAGGACGAGATCCTGCCAGGCGTGATGCGGGGCGAGAAGCGCGTCTGCCTGGGCGTGACGGAGCCTGGCGCCGGGTCCGATGTCGCGCAGCTCAAGACGACGGCGGTGCGCTCGGCTGACGGGAGCCACTACGTGGTGAATGGGCAGAAAAAGTGGATTACCAACGCCGTCTTTGCCGACTACGTCACGGCCGTCGTGCGTACGGGCGAGCCCGATTCTGGTGCGGCGGGGATCAGTGTCCTCGTCGTGCCCCTCGCGCTGCCCGGCGTCGAGCGGAAGCACCTGGCCAACAGCGGCGTCGCCGCCTCGGGCTCGACGCTCATCACGTTTGACGATGTGAAAGTGCCATCGCGCTACCTCCTCGGTCGTGAAAATGAAGGGTTCCGAATCGTCATGTCCAACTTCAACGGCGAGCGCCTGGCACTGGCCATCCAGGCGTGCCGCATGTCGCGCGTGTGCATCGAGGACAGCTACGCGTACGCATGCAAGCGCGTCGTCTTTGGCCGCCCGCTGATCGCCCAGCCCGTGATCCGGGCCAAGATTGCCGACATGGGCCGCGCCGTCGAGCGGCTCCAGGCCTGGATCGAGGCGCTGGCCCACACGGCGCGCGCAGCTACAAAGCAGGCCGGCGACATGGACCTCGCCGGCCGCGTGGCACTGCTCAAGGTCGAGAGCGGCCGCTGCCTCGAGCTCGTCAACCGCGAGGCGCAGCAGATCCTCGGCGGGCTCTCGTTCCAGCGCGGCGGCGACCACGCAGGCGCGCGCATCGAGCAGATCGGCCGCGACCTCCGCGTCATGGTCGTCGGCGGCGGCAGCGACGAGATCCTCACCGACCTGGGTACGCGCATGGAGAAGATGAAGGCCGACAGTCGGCTGTAGCGAGTGTGCCTCCGTAACAGGCTCGAACATTGTCATGCTTTTTGGAATCGCAATAGAGATTCTACATTGGCCTGCAGTTGACTTCAAAGTACTGATCCTCGTGTTACGTCGCTGCGCAGCATCTAGCTCCTGTGACACGATCAGACCATCCGTCTTTGCACACAACGGAAAGGAAAAAGTATCTTCTTGCCAATGAAAAAAGCGAGAGACTACGAAAAAGGTAGACAAAGAGTGAATGTGAGACCACATCGTCGTCGACGATTACGGCAAAGGAGGGAAAAAGAAAGTGTAAAGGGATGTTCACAAGACACGGAGAAGACCTCACGACCATAAGAGCGAAAGAAAACGAGAGTGAGTAGTTGGAAGTGGTCGGAGAATGCTTGTCCTGAAGAGGTAAAGGTGGGTCAGGGACGTACCCTAGTTACTGGCGAGGCGAAAAGAGTGGCCGTGGAACAGAGAACGAAAGAGGGGTATATGTCAACCGTGTGAACGGGATGCAATGGAAAGACGGAGCGAAAGAATGTGAGTGGAATCAGCGACCAGCCGTCTCAAAGAAGCTGGTGAAGCGCTTAATCTTCTTGAGCCGGGCCTTGCTGCTGCTTGCCGGTAAGTCATCCGACGACGCCAAACTGGGACTGCCTGCTTTTCTTTGTCGAGCAGTCGAAGCAGAAGGCTTTGCCGGGATGCCTGCTTGTGCAGAACCTGCTGCCGCCGCGCCGCCCGCACCGGCGGCACCAGCAGCAGCGGCAGCAGCCTCCTCACCGTCCTCTTCGTTGATCGTAGTAGACGTGGCTAATGGGCCATCGCGCTCCGCGTCAGGAGTGTCGTCTTCGCCGCCACTCTTGGCGTTGGACGACTCCAGGCTGGCCGCGCTGCCGGAGGTCAAATGGCTGTCGTTGTTGACCTTGAGGTTACGACGAGAAGATGGCTGTCTCCGCGACAGCCTGTTGAAGGGCCGATTCGACGAGCTACTGTAGCTGGGCGAGGCTGGAAGCCGGCTTGACTCTTGGCGTCGCAGCAGACGGTAGGTGTCGACGACGCCACGGGCAAAGAGATTCTGGCCTTTGCCACCATTGATCTCAGACTGGATTGCGTCCGACGAAGGGGCATCAATCATGTCCCAGTCTTCGTCGACCTCCTCCTCATCGTCGCCGTCCGTTTCGGCAATGGTGGCGTGGGCAGGCAAGCCTGAGGCTGGGCTGCGCTTGGCGACCTTTGCGCTGCTAACCTTCTTGGATTCCTCCGCTGGTCGTCTGGGCTCGCTTATTGACTCGGAAGCGGAAGAAATCACAGAACGGTCCGATGGCTGCGACGTGATGGTCGTATCACCACCGCTGATGGCTTCGGCCGCGGCCGCCTCGCTTTCCAGGTGAGCCAGGGCAGCAACAGCAGCTCTGGCTGCCGACTCGTCATCCTCCTCTTCTTCCACGACTCTGGTTCGCGCTGTTGAGGCAGCAGCAGCATCAGAAGGAGCAGAAGCAGAGGCAGAGGCACTCGTCGCAGTCGGTGCGGCTGCTGATGGAGCGGCGGCTTCCTTTGCCCGTTCGCCATTTGAAAGAGCATCAAAGGACATGATCGAAGACTGCGCCGACTCCGAGTCTCGGCGACCACGGAACGAGTAGCCATCGAACAAGCTTTTGCTGTCGGCCGACTCGGTAGCTTGCTCTCCGTGGCGTGTTGCGTTTGCAGCCGAATCGCCAGAAGCGACACCATTGGACCCAAGGGTGGTGTCTCCATCGGCTTGGGTCTGCCCTTGCGTCGGCGGATCGTCGCCAAAGTCGTCGGCGTCATCGGCCCCGTTGATGACGGGCTGCATATCCAGGAAAGCCTCGTCGAAGTTCTGTGTATCGGTCTCATCGAGGGGGTTGATGGGAGGGATATATGGGGGAATGTAGCGCTTGTGGAAGACGTGGGCCCATTCGATCATGGAAAAATATGGATGACGCTTGATCCGCGGCTCCTTCATGCGCAACATTGGGTTCCTCTGCAAGAGACCGCGAAGAATGCTCTTTGTGTCTTGGTCTAGGACGCGATCGTCGGGGAAGGTGAGGTCGTCGTGAAGGACGCGAACGTACATCTCCGCATGCGTGTCGGCCCAGAAAGGTGTGATGCCCGTCAGCATTTCGTAGAGCATCGTGCCGAAGCTCCACCAGTCGACCTCATAGGAGTAGGCGGCGCCCTGGATCACTTCTGGCGCCAGGTATTCGGCTGTACCGCAGAATGTCGTCGTTGTATCGCGTTCATCTGCCCAACGGTTGCGTGACTTGCCAGAATGCGTGTATGCGTTATCACCGCTGGACACCGATGAGGAGCTCCGACCGTCTTCTGAAGCAGAGAGCCAGTGGGGCGTGTGGCCACCGCCCTTGACGTCTCTGCTTGAATGTGACCGTGAAGGCGACCCGGGCGGAGGCGTCGAGCTGCCACCAACATCACGAACTGGGAACTCCTTAGACAAGCCGAAGTCAGAAAGGACAATGTGCCCATCGGACCCGATCAGGACGTTCTCTGGCTTGAGATCTCGGTAGATGACACCAGCACGGTGAAGTCCCTCTACACCCTCGACGATCTCGGCTGCGTAGAAGCGTGCCCGGTCGCGACCCAAGCGACCCCATCGTGACAGCTGCGTGGCCAGGTCGCCGCCGGGGTGAAAGTCCATGACGAGGTAGAGATTGTTTTTGTCGTGAAAGCTCCACCAGAGCTTGACGACAAACGGGTCCATGACCTCCTTTGCCATTCGTTTCAACACGGCCTGCTCGGTGAGGGTATGCTGAAGCTCCTGATGCGCCAGCACATGCCGCTTGTGGATCGACTTCATCGCAAAGAGCCCTCTTGTCGGCGAGTGCCGAACAAGCAGCACCTACAGGGATTCAAGGACGGTGAGCGTCGGTAGCTCTGACTACACATCTGCCACGCCAACTCACTTTGCCAGCACAGCCTTTGCCAAGCACCCTGATCATCTCAAAGTCGTCTACAGTGACCTTCTCGACCTCGTTTCGGGGATACCTTCGATGCCTCCGATCCCGTTTCTCGACGTCGTGCGACGACGTCTTGTCGCCCGAGCGAGAATCGATGCCGTCGGCGTCGGTTGACACTTCCTCATTCGCCGCCTGTCTCTCCCTCTCCAACTCCTCGGGAATGCCAGCGAAGTTGCCTCCTTTCCTTGTTGCTTCCTGTTGAGCCTGTCGTTCAGGGTCAACCGAGGTAGATCTCGCAGGGACATCGGGTCGCTCTCTTCCCTGACGAGAGCCGGTGTAGGAGTGACTCGTCGATCTTCCACTGATGGATCGATCGTCGTCTGTGCGTCCGCCTTCCTCGCCGATGTCTGACTGGCTCGGCGTGGCGCCAACATTGGTGTTGGTGGGGGCAACAGACATCTTGACGTGCTGAGCGAGATCGCTACGGACCTTGCGGATCCGACGCTCGACGCGGACGCTTTCGAGATCTTCAGAGCCGACACGGACGAAACGACGCCAGGCCTTGTGTCGCTTAACGGGGGCAAGATTGGAGATGGTGGTGAGGTAGGTGGCAAGGTGAGTGGTAGGCGCCTTTGCATCCTCAGCTTCGTTCGTGGGGGACACCGCGGTGCTCGCCTTGTTCTTGGCAGGCGATGTGCCGCCGTTGGGCTCTGCGAGGGCATGACCAGAAGCAGTGAGGTTACTCAACGCCACCCTGGTCTTGTTCGTGTTGGGCGACAGCGTCCTAGAGATAGTCTGAAGGATTTTGCGACTGGTTTGCGACTGGGCTGGCGGGGTATGAGCACCCGCGACACCGGACAGCTGCGGCAGCGGTGGGAGGGAGGCATGCGATTCCCGTAGCTTGGCGTCGAGGTCAGCAATTTCGGCCGTCGAGCGAAGCAGCGTGAGGTTGTGGGTGGGCGTCGTGACGTAGAGGGTGAACATGGGGTTAGTGACCTTTTGCTTCTTTCTTGGCTCTCGGCTCTTGTCTGAGGGGGGTGCATCAGCGACGCTGACGCTCCACGGCCCGTCTTCGCGGCCGACACCCACGCCGGCCCCATTGGCAGTCAGGATGCGCTTGCCAGAGGCCGTTGTGAAGCCGGAGCCGCCGTTGGTCGTGGACCCATCGGTGCCGTCTTCGAAGAGACCCTTTACGCTCCCTCGCTTGCTTGCGCCGGCTCCGCTGGTGGCTGCTGAATTCCCACTTCGATTCGAGAGCTGGCTCAGACCGCCAGTGATGGTGCTGTACTTTTTCTGAGACGACGAATTGGACGACATGGTTGCCGAAGTCGAGGTTGCGGCCGGCATCTCTGCTGCTGCTGCTGTGTTGCTGCGCAGAGGTGCGAGTCGAAGCGTCACGTCGGCTGCTATGGCTTGAGGGACAGTTGGCACGTCTTTGTGACAGCGTCGTTGCTATTGATGCTCCCGTTGATGCACCTGTTCAGAGCGCTTCCCTTTGTCCGGCGATGAAAATTATTGGCCTTGGGATGCGGCGTATCGGGTCGTGTCGTGGTATATTCGGGGAAACCTTTGTTGAATGTAGAATCGTGAGAGAAGGAAACCGGTGACTTGTCTGCTGCCCAGGAGAAGATGGCAAAAAGGGGGGAAGAAAGAGTCCGGACTGGGAAATTAGACGTCGACGAGAGGAGCAACGAGAGTGGGTGGGACGATCGACACGGAGGCGCGGAGGATCGTGTTCGACTCCTCGGCTTACCGAGACGAGACGCAACGTGCAGTCTCAGAAGTGCGAGAGAGTGCGACTTGAGCTGACTGAGCTGTGTCGTTGATGGTGCCTAAGCTCAGTCGCTCTTCTATGACAAAGAAAGACCGGCCAGAGGGTGCGTGTGTGGTACCGGTCGTCTTTGTAAAGGTGAATAAGGTCTGATTGGGACGCATCTGAGACACAACGAGCCAACACCAACCACGCACGCACGCCCTGGGCTAGCACAATTGTTCATAGGTATTTCATTTTATCCTTTTCAATTCAGGGTCTGTTAGTCTAATCTCGCCCTTCCCATTCTGCCTTCTTCACCTTTTTCCATTAAATTTTGGCCTCCGACTTCGGTCTGCCTGCAGTGCTGTCTAAATTTCCTCTCTTCTCCAATGGGAGAGAGACTCTTGACCGGATTCACGAAAGGTGTTGAAGTAGCTTGCTGCACTCAACGTCTGCTCCGTCCTAGTCTGCAGGACGTATCATTCTAAAAGAAGTAGTACGTAGTGTGTAGCAGTTGTGCTAAGCCGTGGGCCGATTTCAGGCTGCACTAGCCCCCTTTACTCCTCCCCTATTCAACCGCGTCTTGCGCATAGTCTATGCGTATGCAGACTCGAAAAGAGCACTCCCACGTGGACACACAAGACCTGCAGGCAGCAACCTGAAGGCTGGCCGCCTCTCAAGTCCTTGTCAGAAAATCATGAGCCAGTGCTAGGCATATAGTTGTGTGGATGTGAGTGTGTTAGTTTGTACATGCGAGTCTCGAGCTCTTCGTTTTGGGAGGATGAGAGAGAGGCGATAGGAGAAGCTAGGAAATCGAGGAGAATTATGCGACGAGCTTGACGACACCGCCGGCCTCCTTGATCTTCTTCTCTGCCAACTCCGAAACCCAACGAGCCTTGACGATGCACGGCAGCTGGGGCAGACGGCCCTTGGCCAGCACCTTGCTGTAACCGGCGGCGACGACGTCAATGACGGGAACCTCCTTGCTGTCAGCCGTGAGCCCCTTGCGCTGCTCGGCGGGAACGAGGGTCCAGAGCTTGTCAAGGTTCATGACGGGGCAGTAGTACGAGTTCCTGGTCCAGTGGTAGTGGCGCATACCGACCTTTCCGAAGTAACCTGTTCGTTTCCACCGTCAGACCTCTCCATTCCTTGTTCCTACACCAAACACACTGTTTCGTTCACTCACCAGGGTGGTACTTGTCCATGTTGATTCGGTGGTGGTGCTGGCCACCGGCGAGACCACGACCACCTGGGTGCTTGCGGTGCTTGCCTGTGAAATCGTGCCAGGCTCGGTCAGCTTCTATTACTTCCTCCGGACGGCTTGTTGCCTCTCCTGCCTTTATCCTCCGCATTCCCTATGCTCCCTGCCTGCCACATACACAGCCGCCTCTATCGACAAAAGGGGCACCAACAGCCCTTTCCTCCCTCAGCCTCCATCTGTCCCTGTGTCGCCTCTTGTTCCTCAAACGACATCACAGAGCACGACCCTGACTCGCCGCGCCGCGCGCCATCCGTGCGGCATGAGGTGCGAAGAGTACAGCTTCTCTCATCCATCTGCCGACACCGCCGTCCAGCTCTTCGAGATTGGCTACCCCTCGGACTCCTCGTACATCTCATCCACCACCGTCCATCACATCTCCGGCATCGACCAAGGCGGTACTCACCGATACGACCGTTACCAGCCGAAACGTGTCCTCGCGCCTTCCTGTTCTTGCTGAACCTGGTGGGCATCTTTGTCGGTCTCTTGAGAAGATGGTTGAAGAGGCGGCTAACTTCGCCGAAAGCCTCGCCTTTGGCGGGGCCAATGCTGCGGCCCTCTGTGAGTCCCACGTGGCTAAAATTCCCTCCACGCGAGATTCGAAAAATGTTAAATGTAAGCGGCCTCCGATTCAGAAGTGGTCCACCCCCTCAGGAGCCTGGCTAAATTTGGATCGGCCTGCCGACGCGTGAGGTGTGATTTTATGATATCACAGCGCCAAGACGAATTTGTGTCTCTCTCGCTTCACTACTCCATCGTCGGCCACTGACGAGCTCATTCGATGGAGGACTAAAGAGGTGAGTCGCCAGTCGCTGCTTCCGCGAACGCTCCGCGACAGGATGAAACGTGTCTCTTTATATTCAATTTGTCAATCCTCTTACGGCCTCTCCGTCGGTTGACGACCTATACACAACAAGCGAACTGATCAGACAGCCAAGCGTCCTTCCTTTTCTGGCTGATGACAAGCGCTGACACGTTGAGATTTGTGCAGAGCCACGATCACCACAAGATTCTCAACTTCAAACGTGAGTGTGATTGCGCAGGCGTCCCGAGCCGACGATGAGAAAGATTCAGATCAAAGAAGGGCGACTCCACCGAAAGGTGCTGGGCCAACACACGAAAATTATTGCGTTATTGTCCTGAGGCCCCTTAGCAGAAGTCGTCGTATGTGACTTGGTATGGATGGCTGACTCTGCAAGACTCGCAACAGACAATGGACAATAGGTCTCGCGAGAGCGTTAGCGGGCCGGCATCGCCGCCTTACGAGCACCCTCCTAGTGCCGCGGGCGGCATGCCCCCTACGTACCAGAGCCGAACCAATGTCGCAAGTGGCCGCGATGACTCGAGTTCCGAAGGCAAGAGAAAACAGCGTACTCCGCCCATGGACCCCGACGTGCGGGCCACAATGACGCCTCAAGGCCCTCGCATAGCTGTGACGGATCCCCTGGCCGACCTTCGCGCTGGCCTCCGAACAAAGGCCGATGGCTCACCCATCCTCACCTTTGACGAAGCTTCTCGTCCGCCCATGTCCAGGCGCAACAGCGATGCCTCAAGCATTGGCGATGCCCCCGAAGACTTCGACGAGTTCGACTGGAGCGAGGATGAAGAGGAGCAGCAGCAGAAGAAGAAGGAGGACGCCCAAGCGTATGCCATTAGCCAGAGGCGAAAGAAGATCAGTCCCTTCACAATCATTCGCTGGCTGGCAACGACTTTTCTTGGCAACTTTATTATCAGCGCGTCTCTCGCTGTTCCGGTCATTGTCATCCAATTCGTCTATCGTCCCGACAAGGGCGACAACAGCGCCGAGGCTCAACACAAGACGTATGTCGCCGACAACATCCAGGCCTGGTTTATCTGGGCTGCCTTCAACCTCCACGTCGAGTGGTGGATCCATCTTCTCGTCGAACTCTTTCCGCGCTTCGTATTGAGCATCGTCAAGCTCTTTTGGGGCGGCATCAACCAGAAGGCCCTCACCGGGGCTGAGTACTTCAACGCCATCAAGGGCTACCTCAAGCCTATCTTCTACGCCGCTCTCTCGTGGGGATCATGGGCCATCATCTTCAACTCCATTTACAACCTTTACACTCGAACCAACCCAGAGACGGAGAGTCGGGCTAAGTATCTATACCGCATCTACCAGGTCATCGAATTTCTCTTCTTCGTCTCCATCACCATCTGTGCCTCGAAGATCCTCGTCAGGATTATTTCGATGCGCTTCCACAAGACAGCCTACGCTGATCGTATCGCCAAGACGACAAAGGCGCTAAAGGTCTTCGATCATCTCAAGGACTATCGGCCCAAGGTGGCCCATGCCAATGGTGCTGGATCTAAGGGAACAAATACGCCCTTTGGCCTTCGCATGCCTGGGGGAAAGAGCCCACAAGGTGCTAGGACGCCGGCTGCGGGTGCCAGAACGCCTTTTAGTGCGCATCCCTCGCCCACAGCAGAAAAGCCGTCCACCGTCACGCCCGCCGACGCATACATCGGCGATGATGAGGGCGACAACACATCGCCTTCGCCGAAGCGAGGCTTTTTTGGCCGCAAGACGCACGCCGAGCGACGTCCAGCAGCTGAGCCCGTCACTGACAAGCTGCCCCCGCGCCAGATTGGCCCTGATTCGCAGGACCCAACGACACCCGGTTCTACCAAGCGACCCCGTGCTTCAAGGGCTACGACTGCTGTCAAGAACAAGACGGCTCAAGCCAGCGCCATGGCGAGAGTGGCCATGAACGACCCTACCAAGCTGCTCGACAGCAAGAATGTCGGTGTCGACCTTGACGTCACGTCGCCGGCAGAAGCTCGTCGGCTGGCAAGGAGCATCTTCCTGGCCTTCCGCGGCAAGCATCGACGTAACTATCTCGTACCCGAAGATTTCTACGTCGCTTACAAGGATCACAACGAGGCAAAGGAGGCGTTTGCCGTTTTTGACACGGATGGAAACGGTGACATCTCGTCGTCGGAGATGAAGCGAACGATCGTCAACACCTACAAGGAGCGCAAATTTATTTCCAAATCTCTGAAGGATGCCAGCCACGCCCTGTCGCAGCTCGACATGATTTTCCTCATCATTGCCTTCATCATTCTCATCTTTGAGAGCTTCGCCATCTTCAACGTCTCGATTGAGAAGTCGCTTACGACGTTTTACACCCTGGCGATTGGCGCTTCGTTCATCTTCAAGGAGTCTGCACAGAACGTCTTTGACTCAATCATCTTTTTGCTCGTCACCCATCCCTTTGACACCGGCGACCGCATCGTCGTTGATGACGCCGTCATGACGGTGCGCAAGATGTCGCTCCTCTCGAGCGAATTTATCCTTTGGGACAATACTCAGATCTTCATTTCGAACTCCCTCCTCAGCCAGATGTTCATCACCAATCTGCGAAGGTCTGGATTCCAGTGGGAGTGCGTCACGATGCAAGTCGCCTACGACTCGCCCCTCGAGTCACTAGACGCCGTTCAAGCCGATCTCATTCACTGGCTCCAGACAGAGCCTGAGCGAATGTTTGAGCCATCGACGGCCATCGTCCCTCAGACGATCGATTTCCAGCGATCGATCACAGTCACCATTGGCATGACGCATCGGGACAATTGGCAAGACTGGGGAGGTCGCTGGGCTAGGCGAAATGCCTTTTTTGCGGCCGTCTGCTACTACATGAAGAAGCACGGTATCAAATACCTCAACAGCAACCAGCCGATCATCTACTGGACCGAGGACGCGGCCCAGCCTCCTCCTAATTACGAATCGGCACCTCGCGAAGCTGCTGATGGCGACGAGGACGACGATGACGACAGCCGTCGACCCATCAGCGCGGACAACAACGGCCAGGTCAATGACAATTTCGCTCCCGCCGACATACCTACGCGTCTCAACGGCAAGCCAAAATCATTCATGAATTTTACGCCCCCGTCCGACGAAATCGAAGGGGCTGGTCTGCGCATTCGCAAGTCGCGGCAGGCTCGCAAAGGTCTCGCAACACAAGGTGGCGATGGATGAGCACAGCTCGCCAATTTCAGCACTGCATCCTTTTCATTGTTCTCCTCCATATTACATTTCAGCACGCATGCATTCAACTCAGCATTCTCTCTCGTTCCTCATTTCCATCTTTGAAATGTGCAGGCCACTACTCTCATTCACCATCTTTGCTGGCTGATGTTCCATGCTGTCTTCCTTCGCGTTGCGAGCCCTGCCTGATCTGAGCGCTAGATATGAACACGTGATTCTAGAAAGTTCTCGCTGCTTAGGTAAGCATATTTCGGCAGCGAGCTTTCTTTTGCGCGCTCAGAAGTTCATGGAAGCCGTTGGCTAAAAGCTGTGGCTACGCTCGCGTTTCTTTTCCCAACTACTACCCCTCTATTCCCCCACCACTCAACATCAAGCAATCATGTCGTCTGGTGGAGAGACTTTCGGCTTTGTGAGTTGCTCAACATGGCACCAAGAGGCAAACTTTAGCTGACTCATTATCATGTTTCACAGGCCGCCGACATCAGCCAGCTGCTGGACTTGATCATCAACACCTTCTACAGCAACAAGGAGATTTTCCTTCGTGAGCTTATCTCGAACGCCTCGGATGCGCTCGACAAGGTCAGGTATGGTGCCCTTACCGACCCCTCGATTCTCGAGACGGAGAAGGACCTCTACATCCGCATCACGCCCGACAAGGAGAACAAGGTCCTCTCTATCCGAGACACGGGCGTGGGCATGACCAAGGCTGACCTGGTCAACAACATTGGCACAATCGCCAAGTCGGGCACCAAGGCCTTCATGGAGGCTCTCTCTTCGGGTGCCGACATCAGCATGATTGGCCAGTTCGGCGTCGGCTTCTACTCTGCCTACCTCGTCGCCGACAAGGTTACGCTCATCACCAAGCACAACGACGACGAGCAGTACATCTGGGAGTCCGCTGCCGGAGGCACTTTCACCATCACACCTGACACCGTCAACCCGCCCATCACCCGAGGCACGGAGCTGCGGCTGTACCTCAAGGAGGACCAGCTCGACTACCTCGAGGAGAAGCGGATCAAGGAGATTGTCAAGAAGCACTCCGAGTTCATTTCTTACCCCATCCAGCTCGTCACCACCAAGGAAGTCGAGAAGGAAGTCGAGGAGGAGGAGACGCACGACGAGGACAAGAAGATTGAGGAGGTCGAGGACGAGGATGGGAACAAGAAGGAGAAGAAGAAGGTCAAGTCGCTCGAGACTTCCAACGAAGAGCTCAACAAGACCAAGCCCATTTGGACGCGTGACCCTAAGAACATCACTCAGGAGGAGTACGCCAGCTTCTACAAGAGCCTCACCAACGACTGGGAGGACCACCTTGCCGTCAAGCACTTCAGCGTCGAGGGTCAGCTCGAGTTCAAGGCTTTGCTCTACATTCCCAAGCGAGCACCGTTCGACCTCTTTGAGACCAAGAAGAAGCGCAGCAGCATTAAGCTCTACGTCCGACGAGTCTTCATCTCTGACGACGCCGAGGAGATCATCCCCGAGTACCTCAACTTCATCAAAGGTGTTGTCGACTCGGAGGATCTTCCTCTCAACATCTCGCGTGAGACGCTGCAGCAGAACAAGATTCTCAAGGTCATCCGCAAGAACGTCGTCAAGCGGTCGCTCGAGCTCATTTCGGAGATTGCCGAGGACAAGGAGAACTACGCCAAGTTCTGGGAGGCATTTGGCAAGAACCTCAAGCTCGGAATTCACGAGGACTCTGCCAACCGCAGCAAGCTCGCCGAGTTCCTCCGATTCCCCTCGACCAAGAGCGGCGATGAACTGACGAGCCTCGACGACTACGTTACGCGCATGCCCGAGGTCCAGAAGAACATCTACTACCTCACTGGCGAGAGCATGGCTTCGGTCAAGGACTCGCCCTTCCTCGAGCAGCTTAAGAAGAAGAACTTCGAGGTTCTTCTCATGGTGGACCCCATCGATGAGTACGCATGCCAGGCTCTCAAGGACTTCAAGGACAAGAAGCTCGTCTGCGTCACCAAGGAAGGCCTCGAGCTCGAGGAGACCGAAGAGGAGAAGAAGGCCCGCGAGGAAGAGGCCAAGAAGTTCGAGGAGCTCTGCTCGGCCATGAAGGAGATCCTCGGCGAGCGAGTCGAGAAGGTTGTTGTCTCGAACCGAATCGTTGGCTCGCCTTGCGTCATTGTCACGGGCCAGTACTCGTGGTCTGCCAACCTGGAGCGAATCATGAAGGCACAGGCACTGCGAGACAGCTCCATGTCGCAGTACATGGCCTCGAAGAAGACCCTCGAGATCAACCCCGCCAACGCCATTGTCAAGGAGCTTGGCCGGAAAGTGTCGCAGGACAAGAACGACTCGACGCTCAAGGACCTCGTCAACCTGCTCTTCGACACCTCGCTCCTCACCGGTGGCTTCACCCTCGAGAACCCATCGGACTTTGCCGGCCGTCTTTACAAGCTCATCTCGCTCGGTCTCTCGATCGAGGACGAGCCCATTGCAGAGGTTTCGGCTGCCGACGACGACAAGGCCGAGGCCAGCGGTGCGGGCGAGTCGCAGATGGAGGCCATTGACTAGATAGATGCTCGGTTCCGGTTCTAGCTTGAGTCTTTTCTCTGTCGATGCTACATAAAAAGATGATGTCCAATCTCACTTCTTTCAGATGAATCTGTCGTGGGTCTGTTTGCGGGTCCGTTCGTGGGCTGTATGCGGGTCTGTTCGCGGGCTGTCTGCGGGCTGTCTGCGGGCTGTCTGCGGGCTGTCTGCGGGCTGTCTGCGGGCTGTCTGCGGGCTGTCTGCGGGCTGTCTGTCTGCGGGCTGTTCGCGGGTCTGATCGCAGGCCGTGTTGGTGCATTTGATATTTCCAGACTCCTGCCGATATTTCCAGGGTTTTCTCATTCCGCGCCCCCAGTGGATTGCAGCCCATCAACCTGTCGGCCCAGACGTGTCACCCAAAAAGGAGATTGCAGTCTTACAACTTGGCGAAGAAGCGGAGTGAACGTATGCATAGCATGGACAGAAGACTCCAATACCCCGCAAACTGAGAATGAAACCAAACATCACAATGCGCATCTATTGACGCGGGCTTTTCCTGCGTGGCTTGGAGCTCGAAGTTATATTGCTCTCCACCGGGACGCATCGTGCAGCCCTCCCACTCCCCCGCGTTGACTGTGCCTTAAAATTCCGAGCGTGACTACATCGAGGAGCCAATTTCGGTCGCGCCTCGAAAGGCTTTTCGATCACCGACAAAAGGCTCAACCTTCGTGCTTACATCTCCTTTTGGCTCATCTGATGCACGGTGCTGTACAGTAACAAAGATGCACGGTCCTTGCTATTCGAAGAAAGAAATCCCCTAAAAGTTCTGCAGCTGCGTAGATGGGACCAGCAGCGGATCTTTGATAAAGTGGAAGCCAGGTGCGTGCTGCAACCAGGCGAATTTGAAAGGCGGGTACGAACCTTGCAATTTATGCTCTTCTGTTTTCGAGCCCGCTCCTCTTTGATTTCCCAGGGATCGCGGAGATAGCTGCTGGCTTTGAAGGAATGCATCACTACGATGGCTGCAAAAAGTGGGCCCTGATGACGCTGGAGTAAAATCGCCTCAGAGGTGTGGCTTCCCCCACCCATCCAGAAATCCTGCACATTGAGTCAGTTGTCGTCGTCATTTCTACGAGGAAGCACTAGTTGGGGCTCGATCCGGTCAATGCTGGTGAGCTAGGACAAAAATGTTAGGCCAGGAACAAAGAAAGCCCATTAAGATCCCGTGCGAGAGTGCCGACAGAGCCCGTGCAAGTCTTCGCCGCCGCCCAATGTGGGGGAGAATCTAGAAGCAAGTCGATTGCCGCCCTTTCACGGACTGGTCCTGGTCTAGATCCTAGATCTCTAGACCGGGAGTTTTCGGCCTCAGAGAGGAAAGATGTGGGGCACGGAGAACCTAAAATTTATCAGTCGGAGAGAGTTTGATAGCACGCTTAAAGTGCTGCTCTTCACTGATTGTTCTCATTACACTGCAGATCGAACGTGCGGTCCTCGAAAAGCAAGAACAAATTAACCGGATGAAGTTCGACGTATGTTTACATTTGCACTCCGAGCTTTGCTCGCGATCATCACGTCTCCCGTTAGACAGTGGCCACTCAGCAGCTTATTGCCGCCCGATTGTGGCCTAGAGCTTTTGCCTCCTTAATTGGTTTCTGCGAGCTGTACGAGTTCAGTCTCTCTTCGGCCACTTCGATGTCCTGATAAAGCATCAAGAAGGGTCTCCCCCTTGTCTCTCTCCAGGTTCTTCCCTCTTACTCCTCCCCAACGCTTCTTCTTCAGCGACCCTCCTCCCAAATCCGCCCATGCGCTGCTCTTTATTGTCAGCCGTCTGGGTCGCCATTGCGGCCTCTTCCGGCGTCTTGGGTCTTCCTCTCGAAGAAACATTGCCAGGCATCGCCCGTGGTCAGGAAGATGGTACCTTTGAGCCCCTCCAGAAGCGCCAGAATGTACTTCAGGGTCCTCTCCTCAACGGCGCAATCCCTGGTTTGCCCGATCTCTCGCCAATTCTGAGCAACAACACCTTCGACTATGTCGTTGTGGGTGCCGGTACAGCCGGTTTCACCTTGGCCGCTCGTCTCAGCGAGGACGGTTCCTCGGTGGCCGTCATGGAGGCTGGAATTGATTATGAGCTCTCACTCATCAACAACCCTTTCGCCAACACGCCGGGAGGAGATGTCGTCGGCGTAGGCTCAGACCCAGCCGATGCTCTCCAGGACGGTATTGACTGGGGCTTCCTCACTGTGCCCCAGAAGGGTGCCAACAACCGTGTCATTCGATACGCTCGAGGAAAGTGAGTCTCTGCGTCTCTTTTTGCATCTGTGCTAGCTAATCTGAAAGCGCGGTGTTTGCTCGACAGGACCGGCGGAGGTAGTTCGGTCAGGGTAAGTGGACGTTCTTCTTCACCGTAGTGGATGATCCTTTAATTGACGGCGTACAACGTCCCTCTCTTCTCCTTCTTCCTTTTCTCCTTTTTGTGGGCCGACCTTTCCCTCTTTGACAGAGTGAGTGTGTTTACCTTCTCCATTGCCCCTCATCCGGCTAATCTCTCTCTCTTGAAAAGACTTTATGATCTACCAGCGCCCTACAGTACAGACGATGGGAGTCTGGCAGACTTTGACCGGAGATGTCAACTGGGGCTTCTCTCAGCGCTTCTCGGACTTCAAGAAGAGCATGACGTTCACACCTCCCAGGCACGAACTTCGGCAAGAGATCCCAGCGGCTCAGTATGACCCTGCCGACTTCGGCTCTAGCTCCAGCATCGCCTCGCTGTCGGTCTCGTACCCTAACACGCCCCAGAACTTTTCAAAGTATGCGCAGCTGTCGGCCAACGAGCTTGGTACGCAAACCGTGAAGTCTTTCAACGGCGGTTCGCTGCTCGGTGTCCAGTACAACTCAGCCACCATCAACGCCAACGACGGTACGCGCTCAACCTCTCGAAAGTTCTACGACGAGGCTTCGAAGCGCTCCAACTTCCAAATTTTCTACCAGATGATGGCCAAGAAGATTCTCCTCGTAAAGAATGCCAAAGGAAACCCACAAGCTACTGGCGTGGCCTACAGCACGCTGCCTGGGGGTCTTGGCACAACCGGCATTCTGTACGCCCGCAAAGAAGTGATCGTCTCGGGAGGAGCCTTCCACTCGCCTCAACTCCTCATGGTCAGCGGCATCGGTCCTCAGGCTCAGCTTCAGGCGCAGAGCATCCCGGTTGTTGTCCAGAATGAGAACGTAGGCCAGGGCATGGTGAGTGTCGTAAAGTGTCTCTTTGCCTCCAGACAATTCATCTTTGTCGTCCCCTATCACAGCAAGATCACATTTTCTTCGGACCTGCCTACAAGGTCGACCCTAATCTCCACACTTTCACCGACCTTGCTGCTGGTGAGTGGTTCGCAGTCTCTGCTACTCCAGGGCTCCGAGGCTGATACTTTTTAAAGACCCTCTTTACCTCGCCGACGAGTTCCTTAATTTTACCACCAACCAACTGGGTCCTTTGACCAATCACGTTGCTGATCTTTTGGCTTGGGAAAAGCTTCCAGGCTCAGCTCTTGCTTCTCTTGGCTCCGCCGGTGCAGCGAAGATCGCGTCTTTCCCTGCCGATTGGCCCATCCTCGAGCACTTCTCGGCTCCCGGTGTCGTCGGCAACTTTGCGTGAGTTTGCGCAAACTTTGTCCAGGCCCTTTGCCAATGCTGACGAGGTCGATAAAGCAACCTCTTGGCCGAGAATGCCGCAGCAGGAGCCGATGGATCGCGCTTTGCCAGCATTTTGGGCGCACTCGTGGCTCCGCTCTCTCGCGGCTCGGTCACGCTGGCATCGGCCGACACTGCCACGCTGCCAGTCATTGATCCCGCCTGGTTGACAGACGAGACCGATCAAAAGGTCGCAATCTACGCCTTTAAGCGCGTGCGCCAGTACTTTGCTGCAAAGGCGATGAAGCCCATCCTCTTCACGCAGAACGCCACGGCAGACGAGTACCTGCCGGGCTTCGCTACCGTCAACACGGACGCTGAGATCCTCAACTGGATCAGAGACAACCTCATGACAGTGTGGCACGCCAGCTGCACCTGCTCCATGAAAACCAAGAACCAAGGCGGTGTTCTCGACAGTCGCCTGCGTGTTTACGGTGTCGATGCTCTTCGCGTCGTCGACGCTTCCTCCTTCCCCATTCTGCCTCCTGGTCACCCGCAGTCGACGATCTACATGCTGGCGTGAGTGTCTACCCGGGCGTCTTTCTGCTATGCTCGCCTGCACAGATTACTGATTTCTCGCCCTGTCTTCTCGCAGTGAACGCGCCAACACGTTGATCAAGCAGGACAACCCCTAATTGTCCCTCTGCACTCAAAGCCCCCTTTCCAAAAAGCCCCATCAATGACATTGCCTGCCGGAAGTCCCCAGAAATGACATTGCTTCTTTCACAACGCCTCCGATCGGCTGTCTTGGTCCTGCTTATAAGCTCCATTTTCTTGAGGACAGAATCTAACGGGCGTCCCTATGCCGTCACTAGGCTTTCCCTACTTGCTTTTTTCTTAGTGGAGGGCGCGTCCAAAGGTCGAGAAGACTTTGCTGCAGAAAAAAAAGGTTCTCCACCCAGTTTGGTCACTCTCACTACCTTCACCTCCGCCCCCAACTTGGCCCATCGCTAGAGAGAGATTCGTCAGATGACACTCTTTGCCGTAGCCGACTTCTGCCTGATCCCCATGGGTACCGGCTCCACCTCTGTGGGCGCCTACATTGCCGAGTGCCAGCGGGTGCTCGAGTCGCTCAAACAGGCTGGGAGCATCGTCACGTACGAGGTTCACGGCTACGGCACCAATCTCGAGGGACCCTTTGAGGCCGTCTCCAAGGCCATCGAGCTTTGCCACGAGGCAGTTCACAAGATGGGAGTGAGTCACAGTTTCTTTCAATCAGGTGTAGCGATTCTGATATTGACTGGAGCAGGCGCCTCGCATCGCCACTGACATTCGCATCGGCACGCGAGTCGATAAAGGGCCGGACTCAGGGCAGGAGGTGTGGGAGAAGGGATTGGGAGAGAACGAAAGGAAGAGAGAGAGTGTTCGTCGTCATTTGGAAGCCAAGAATGTACCATCTGCATGAAGTTGAGGGTAATATGTACAGTACAGGTAGTCGCGGTGATCAGAGGAGTAGTCTGGCGATTGAATGCGACCTAGGAAATGAGCTCGCTGCCAGCTGCGCGCTCAATTTGTGTAATGAGGCTCTGTGGCTCCAAATCTCGCCTCGCTGTGGAGGACCCTGCCCCATTCTCCTGCTCCTCGTCCGCTAGGCTGCTAAAGATGTCGTGGATGAACAAGGCGACAGACTTCTCGCTGATCTCTGCCTCGGCCCTGGGCCCCCACCGCCATGCGATGCCCTCCTCGGCATCACGCCCCGAGGTCCTATTCTTGCGTTTCCCCCGTACTTGTGTCCTTTTTGCTGAAGCGTCGGCAATCGTGTCGCTCTTGTAACGCTCTAGATACATGTTTTGGGCAAGACGGTCCATGTAGTCATCGAGCGTCATTTCACTGCTTCTGGCACCACCAAACGTGTTGAAGTCGTCATCAGCGCCCGGTATGAGCACAGGCGGCAAAGGGTCACTTGGCTCGAGCGAGAGGCGACGAAGATAGGTCCGTAATTGGTCTGGAAGAAGAGTATGTAAGCGTCTTTAGCTCCTTGCTCTTCAACATACGACTCACCATCAGCAATCGTACGGCCATTGAGGAGAATGAGACTGAGGATGACGAAGAGGAGGCCGGTATTGGCCAGCTCGCTAGTAGACCGCTTCCAATCTAGCATTGTGCCATTGCTATCCGCCTGCAGACCATCAGTGCTGCCCGCCACGTCCCTGACTGCTGCTGCCAGCGATGCGTCTGGTGTCGTCATCTGGCTGATGAGCTCGTGAGGCAACACTGAGCGGACAATGTACGATTTCCCTGCTGACGCTGTAAAGGGTGTCAACGCATAGAGGGTCAGAGATGTGCCGGCAACCGCTCGAGATGAATTGCTTCTCACCTTTCGCTTTGGTGTCTTCCTCCTCTCCCCGTTCCTCCTCCTTGCCTGCCTCCTTGGACGGGCTCGCCCTCTGCTGCTGCGTCTGGAGGATCTGGTCATTTTCCACGCCGCGAGCGCGAACCTCGACGAGCTCGAAGCCAAACGAGTCGCGCAGAATCTTTTGCGCTCGGTTGAATATGACAGGAAAGGCTTTGGCACCCTCCTTCTTCAAAACTTGTAAAGGCAGAATGTCAGCATGGGCCAAGGTCGTGAGGATGGTAGACCTACCCTTTCTGCTGATGTCTTCTCTCTTGATGGCGACGCGACGGTGTTCGTCGAACAAGGCCAATCTGACAAGGTCCTTGCTTTTGCGCCTCACTTCCTGTCGTGGCACCATCAGCAATGCACATCGCAACATAGAGCGCAGACAGACCCACATCTTTGCCCAATGCCTTTGCTGCTGCAACGGCCGTCTTGGTCTCTGTCAGCTTGACCCTCTTTGGTATCGAATAGTGTCCGCCCGATTCTTCCTCTTCTCCCTCCTCTGCGCCTTCTTCATCCTCCCCCGCTCCCTCTTCATCGTCTTCGACAATTTCTGCATCTAGACCATTCTCCTCGCCTTGTTGCTCTTGCTCCTCCTGCTCCTCTTCTCTGCGCCCGTTGCGCCCCGTTCTCGAGTGACTGCTGGACTGGCGGCTGCTTCCGACTTGGTCCCTATCGCGACGCCGATTCAGTCCACCATAGCTTACCTGTCCACGACGGCTGCTGCTTGCGCCCGAAGTGGATCTGGACGGCATGACGGTGGTGAGGAGTCGAGAGTCCAACACCAAGGCTGACTGAGCCTTGACGCGTGTTAGATGGGGGAGGCGCGTCCTCCGTTCTGTCTCCGTCTTCCGAGGCCGATTTTTAGGCTGTGTCAAGTGGAGCTTCCTTTTCGACACCAGTGAGAATAAGAAACACCAGGGCTTGACAAAGATGGAGCGACTCGAGGAAGCCCGCGTTCAGGAGGGCTTCCATGCTTTGCTTCAGAGCGCCCTGCTCCACGCCAAGACCGAAGGCTTGCTGTCCGACGCGGACCTCCAGCGAGCCGATGCCGACTTTCAGATCACGGCGCCGAGCCTGACGCTCTTCTTTGCTGCGCTCCAGGCGCGCGGCGACCCACCCTCGATCCAGGCTCCCTCGGGCGCATTTGAGCTGACGCGGGACAATGCGCCAGAGAGCTTTGCCTCATTCTTTGCGCTCTGGCAGTCTTGCGTGCCCAAGATCAAGTCACTGAACTCCGAGGCACGGCACGATCTCGCCCTCCTGCTCTGCGACCGCGAGGCGGCCTCTTCGCCACTCAGGGGCGACGTCGCCCGGCTCGCGGCAGACATCAAGACGGTGGCCATCGACATTGTGCAGAGGAGGACGTTTCAGATGCGCTTTCAGGCTGACCTCGACGAAGCGCTCGGCCATCGCGCCTCGACCGAATACACGCCGCCGCCGGGGTACGAGACGGGGGCATCCGAGCAGAAGTCGTCCCAGACGGGACGAAGACCGCCACCATTGCCACCGAAAAATGGAGCTCTTCCTCCCCAGACAAGCGGAGCTCTTCCGCCCGACGAGGACACGCTGAGCCTGATTCGTGAGACACTCTTTGCTGCGCTGGGAGACAGCATTGCGACGAACCCATCGCTGCGCGACGTCATGCGCCGAGGACCAACGTGGGCCTCGAGGGCCTACTACGCCTCCCTCTGCCTGGCCATTCTCGATGTCGCGCTGACTCGTGTTGCGACCCACGCTGCCGAAGTCGAGGTGCGCACGGTCCAGCTGAACGACCATGCCGTCGAGCCGATTCGTCGAAGCTCGTGTCCGGCCAACCTTGTCTCGCTCCTGGTCCAGCTCGGACACGTTGCGGAGCGATGCCAGAGTCTGAGAGAGGCTGACGATGAGCGAGCGATAAAGGACGCCGAGAGAGGTCAGGAGACGCCCGAGGGCGCCCGCCTGGTTGACGAGCTCACCCAGCGGCTTCTCGGCGACGTGGGCGAACGTCGGCGGAGCGAGGACATCGAACGGAGGGAAGCCGATCTTCAGAGACAGGTGGGCGAGACAGCCATCATGATTAACCGGCTTGCAATGGGTCAGTGCTCGACTCTCTTCCCGCGCATGCTTCACTCTCGCTGACGGTGACTGCAAACAGCCATGTTTGAAATACCCTCGTTCCGGGAGCGCCAGGCAGACGCATTTCGCGTCCTCGGCGCCATCACTGCATTGTAGCTGTCCTAGAGCTCAAACAAAGCCTCATTGTATCATAGTCTATCTAATACTGCTACAGATGCTCTCGGGAAGGATTTCAAAGGTAATGAACGGAGGATGAAGTGGGTGGGTATCTCACTTGAATGGGCTCTGCGAATGTTGTTCATGGTGTCTGGTGTGTGTCTGCGATGGCCAAAGGGGTGACCTTCAGAGTGCGTCCTCATCGGGCCTGTCGGCCCAGCTCTCGTCATCGACGAGTCTGCCCCCCTTTCCTCCCTTTCCGTGCCTGCCCTTCCTCCTCCCGCGCCAGCGCGTCCACGCATCGTCGAGGCCTGGGCATTCTTCGCTGTAGATGCCGTGCACCTTGGACCGCCGGATCTTGAAGACGACGTCGTAGCGCTTGGGGGGGTAGTGCAGACCCGTGACGCCCAGGCTCTGGGCGATGTTGGTGAGCCGCGCGTGCTCCCACACAACGACGACATCGAGTCCGCGGCGCGACACGGCACGGATGGCAGAGGCGGCACAACGCGTGTCGTCGCGGTCGCACGAGTGGTCGATGGGGATCGACAGGGACTTTGCGATGGGCAAGACCTGGTAAAAGTACCGACATGAGCTGGGCTGAACTGAGCCAGCAAAAGAGAGACTGCTTATGCTGCTCACTGTGTCAAAAGGCCTCTTTCGCTGACCCGTGGGCTTGAAGTCCTGAGCGATGATGTAGCTGTTGGGAAGACAATGAGCCTTGCGTTAGAAAGAAGGAAAGGAAAGCCTGAGTGCCATACCCACTCTACGGGTGTCCTTCCGTGCTTTCCAAACACGTCGACGAGGCACTTTGCCCTCATCGTCCCCTTTGCGCTGAGACCAGACTTGTCGGAGTCCTTGAACTTCTCGCCGTGACGGATCAGCTGTGCTTGAGGCGTCAGCGCCGTATGCACAAACATCAGCCGCACTCTGCCGCGCTCTGCTCTGCTCACATAGATCCAGCCGGGCTTGCTGCTCTCGCCCGCTCTGCCTTTGTCATCGTCGACCTCCTCTTCGAAAAAGTCACCGAGTAGATCCTCCTCGCCCTTTACCTTTCCATAGTAGCTGCCTTGGTGCGCAAAGATGCCTCCGGCCGAGAATGGCAACTGCTGCCGGCTAGCCTTTTCGTTGCTCGTCCGGAGCGAAGTCACGTACTCGGGCGTCGCCACGGATCCTTCGTCGTCGCTCGACGAAGCTGAGATGAGTGCTGCACAGCCTGCGAGGAAAAAGAGCGCCACGCAGAGCACCGTACGCATACTGATCGATTTGAGGAAGTAAGCCCTTCCGCCAACTCGGTCTCAATTGTGGTGTCGTGTCGTGTTTCCAGGGTGTTGATTTCTGTCTGACAGGCAAGACTGAGCTGAGCTCCTTTTTCGCGGACTTTTAAACTTTTTAGAGGGAACGTGTCTGTCTGACAGGCCCGTCTGCCTTTTCGCGCCGTCCTCTGCCTGTGCTCTGCCAGTGTTCGTAGTGCTCGCGCTGACAAACGTATTCGAAACGCTCACTTCCTGCTCGATGCTTGAGCGGTCACAGCACACAGCACAAATGCCCAGGAGGGGGCTTTAGAAGAGGTTCGAGGCGGGTGCCGTCTTGTGAGCGACAAACACTAAGAATATATACGAATCCTGCTTTCACTATCTTCATAGAAGCTACCTTAGCTCAGAGGTATGAGCGTTCGTTTCCGATTAAATATCAGGACTCCTGGCCACGAGCTGGCTAAGTGCGAAAGGTCGTCGGTTCGATCCCGGCAGGTGGCTCACTTTTTTGCGCTCTGCAGCTCGGAGATTTTTTTGTTTTCGACGCTAGAAGAAGCCCACGGAAAAGAAGAAGAGCTGCTCTTACTACGACCAGAGCGAAGATGGGTGAAGGAGGATCGACGGAAAGGCTGGACGATGCGGAGGGCACTCTGGTCGGCGAGCAGAAAGATGTGTCAGCCAGCGAGGAAGAGCGGCAGCTGCGGTGGAAGCTGGATCTCCAGATCGTGCCACTGTCGCTCGTCATATACACCTTGTCCTTCCTGGATGTGAGTTACCAGTACAGCCCTATTCCGGTCGAGCGCTGACATGACATGACACGCATGGGGACAAAAGAGAACCAACATTGGCCAGGCGCGCCTCCAGGGCCTGCAGGAGGACCTCGACATGAGCTTCCACGACTTTCAAGTGGCCCTGACGATCCGTGAGCATCTCCCAGAGGGATAGAGAGCGACTGTACTGACGTTGCGTGCGACACAAGTGTACGTGCCGTACATCATCTTTGAGCTTCCGAGCAACCTGATCATCAGGAAAGTGGGCCCCGCTCGGCTGATCCCGCTGCTCCTCACCATCTGGGGCATGGTGTCGTGCGTCCAAGGAACCGTGCGCAACAAGACGGGTCTCTACATCAACCGAGCATTCCTCGGCCTCGTCGAGGCGGGCGTGCTTCCCGGCCTGTCCGTCTACCTGTCCTTCTTCTATACACCACGCGAAATGCAGCTTCGTCAGGCTCTCTACTTCTCAGGGGCGAGTCTCTCGGGCAGCTTCAACGGTCTCCTCGCCGTGGCGATCGGGGAACTCGGCGGTCGGAGGGGCATCGCCAAGTGGTCATGGGTCATGATCATCGAGGGAGCCTTTACGACGCTGTTTGGCATAATCGCCTTTTTCATCATGCCCAACTCAATCAACAACGCCTGGTGGCTCACCGAAGCTCAGCGAGACCTTGGAAGAAGGCGTCTGGCTCTGGCCAGGCATCCGGACCTCGATGCTGTGGGGGAAAAGACAGGAGACATTGGCGCTACAAGCAGAGATGGCCTTCCTGACGAAGCTTTCTCCTGGTCCGAGGTTCTTCGCGCTTTTACCGACCCTTTTGTCTGGTTGATGTTCTGCGCTGGATTCTGCAGTGCGACGTAAGTTGCGTATCTCTGCTTGTTTGCATGCGAACTGCTGACACGCTTTTCGCAGGTCAATCTACGGTCTCTCCTTCTTTGCGCCGACTATCATCAAAAGCCTGCCGCTCGGCTTGACATCTGTCCAGTCCCAGCTCCTCTCTGTCCCACCCTTTTTTGCCGGCTTTCTCTTTTCTGTCGCATTTGCTTTCTTCTCCGACCGTCTGCAATGGCGCTATCTCTCGGGCGCCTCGGCATTTACCCTCGCTTCCGTCGGCTACCTCATCGCCCTCTGCACCAGCACCGGCTGGGCACAGTACGCTGGCCTCATGGTCCTCTGCGCCGGAAGCTTCTCCATACCGCCTATGTTGCTTACCTGGGCGCTCACAAACGTCTGGGGGTATTACAAGCGCGCCACCGCCGCCGCCTTTCTTATCTGCGCAACCAACTCGGCGGGCATCGCCGGCACCTGGCTCTTTAGCCCGCAAGAGGCACCCCGGTATTTCAGAGGATTCGGCACCAATCTCGCGCTCAACATCATGGGCATCGTATTTCTCTCGCTGGCGGAGCTGTGGGTCTTGCGTGAGCGTAGACGGAGGAGACATGGAAGCAGCGACCACCTGGTAGAGGCGCTGGCCTCGCAGGGAATGAGCCCGGCGGCTATCAGGGCAAAGCTCGGCGATCGTCATCCAGGGTATCATCTAGAACTGTAAAAACATCACTGCCATAGTGTACTGTACAGTACAATACAAACCCATATCTGCATCCTCTATTCATTGCCAGGAGAGGGTCACCTGGATCGGGCGATGATCTGAGATCTGAAAGCCGGCGTCACCCTCGCTCCAGCTCGGAATTGTGCCAAAGGTGATGATTTGCCACCTTTGCCTGCTTTCGCTCGGCTCCGTGTGGTCTTTGACCGCCGAATTGTCGGCATACATGATAAAATCCTGCTTTCATTGTCAGCGTGTCTTTTCTCTTCACGTCTTAAGCACATCGGACTGACTATTCGATCGTCCTCAGCCGTCTTTTGGCTCTTTTGAAAGTCGGTAAAGGTCGTCTGAGGACCGTATGGCTCGCTCAAGAGGCCGCCATCCGAGCTTTCTGTCCAGCTCGCAGTCTTTTCCTCCCGGGGTATAGGCCAGTAAGGGGTTCCGAATCGTGTAGGTACCGAGAGTGCCCCGTCAAAGAAGGTGAAGCCATTCCCCTGCGAATCACGATCGACTCCATGATGGCCTTCGACGAGCGTCTGGATGTGCAGGACAGATTCAGAAGAGAGCAGACCACCCAACGAAAAAGTTCCTCACCTTCCAGCCCCTCTCGTGCCGAGGACTGTTGAGATCGCCCATTAGCAACACCAAGGGATCAAGGCCGGTGGTCTCCTTGGTATGCTCGACGGCCTCGCGCGCCTTTCTCAAGATCAGCTTGCTGCTCTCGGCGCGTGCCCTTTCTCCCAGATGGTCATAGTGCGTCGAGAAGACGTGGATGAGCTGGCCAGTCGATGAAGACGGCTGGAGTGCAACGTGGGTACACATCCTCGTCTGGTCCTGTCCTGATCTCAGCCAGCGTCAAGCGTAAAGAGTTCCACGCTCCAGCTCAGACTCACTGCATCCCAGCCCACGCTTCCCGGTGCCTCTGGCGTCGGACTAAGCCAGAAGTGCTCGACACCCTCATTTCCCGTTCCACCTTGGCTGGCACCGATTCTTTGAAACTTATCGGAACGCCAGAATACAGGCACGGCCTCGCCTTTTGCTTTGCCGTCGTTGCGCGGTACACCGGCCCAATCGTAGCGGTGGCTTCTATTTCCCGTCGCACTCGCATTCTCTCCTGGGCTCTGGTCTCGCCCTTTGGAAATGGAAATGGGAGGAAGACCCTCTGTCCTGGCATCCAGAAGCCCGACAAGATCGTGGAGCTGTCCGGGAAGCACCTCTTGGAAGCTAAAGATGTCCCAGCGATGAAAAATGGCAGTATCGACGACCTTGTGTACTCTCTTGGCCCAGTGCAGCTCCCCGTACCTTTGCTCTGGCGGGTAGCTACGATCTGACATCGAACGATACGGTGCAAAGCCGCCGCGGAGCAATTGCCGGATCGAAGACAAGGCCGAGGCTGAGCTATCATACCGCACGTTGAAGCTGGCCACTGTCATCTCCGAGATCGGCGCTTGAGGGGTCGCCATCGTCGAGAAAGGATTTTGGCCGATCGGAGAGGGGGCTTGAATCCTCAAGAAAAGAGCTGCGGAGGAGAGCAAAGTAACGATCGGCACCAAGATGACGCCGAGACGCACCAGCGACGGCATCATCAACGTCGTCGTCGAGGAGAGTGGAGCGAGCGCGCTCTCGCACGGACTGAAGGGACTCGTGACAGACCTATCAAAAATGACAAACTTCGGCATCGTCCAAGGCATTATTTCAAGAGCAAAGAGGTCCTACAAGTAAATATAGATCGTAACTTTGTCGTAAGGACTTCGTACAGGCAGGCACTGAGAAGATCAACATGCCAGGCTAGGGCAAAGAAAGGTTTGGAGGGGATAGATAGTATGGGAAAATTGGTCAAAGCGATTTCATAAAAGGAAGCTCATCAGTAGTAATCCTCCTCGCCGTAGATCTCGACCTCGGTGGAGTCGAGGCTGACAGTGGCGTCCTGGAGGCGGTAGCCATCGCAAGGATCATCCCCATAGGGCTTGTCGTCGAGGTTGCTGGGGATCCAGCCGTACTGAAGACCAGTCTGGTACGACCAGTCGCGAGCATTGCGGTTCTTCCACGCCCACACCATCCAGCCCGAGGCCTTTTCGTAGACGTACTGCTGCGTCCGGAAGTTGCGCGCCATGAAAGCCATGTACTTGACGCTGTAAGGGTAGTCAGGACCCGAAGGGAAGTGAACGGGACCTTTGGCAAGGTCGCGGTCCGAGGCGCGGTCGCCATTGGGCCCATTCACGCCAATCTCGCCAGCGATGGTCGGATAGTAGCCCTGGGATCGGGTGAACTGGCTTTCCTTTGCGCAGACCTCACGAAGACGAGCCGAGTCCTTCTTCTTCTTCTCGGCATCACCGTACACGTAGTAGGGGTGCGTGTCGAGAAGGACGCGATGGGAGGCCCGCTCGGAGAAGAAGCCCTCCCAGTACTTGAGGCCAAGGAAGGCGTCGTGCATCACCATGAGCAGCGAGGTGTAGTCGCCCTGTCCGCCGGGCTTAGCCGCCTCGTTCCGGGCCCAAGGGTAGTACTTTTGAATCAGATCCTTGACACCCTGACTGTTGGTGGCCAGGGGCTCGTTGACAGCCTCCACCGCTGTGACGGTGCCCTGCCACTCGGGCTGGGAGAAGAGCGTGACGAGACGGGTGTATGCGTACTGCGTTTGGGAATAGTACGAAGGGTTGTTTGGCCAGTGAATCGCGCCAGCATGGCCAGAGTTGTCGTAACCTGCGTAAATGGATTCAGCACGACCATGGCAGAGATGTGCGAGAAAAGGCAAGAAGGTGCACTAACCGTTTTGCGATCCTGGGACACCGTGAAGGTCGACCCACACCTTGAGGCCGTGCGTCTTGGCCCAGCCGCACGCTTCAATGAGCTTGTCAAAGCGGTTCAGGGTAAGGTACGGCGCGCTCTTGCCCTTTGCCTCAGCAAATGACCAGTAGGGGAAGGGAATGCGGACATGGTTGAGGCCTGCATTCTTGATGTCGATGAAGTCCTGCTCGGTGATCCATGTGTCAAAGTGCTTTGTCAGGACGTGCTCGGCCCAGTTGTAGTCGCTGTACAGGCCAGCTGTCCATTCATCGACGATGGGGTTGGCGTGAGGTGCATTGATGGCGTGATTGTTGAGCGCGGACGACAGCTGGCTGTCCATCCAGAGCTCGAAGAGAAGCTGTCCAGGGCAGGCCACTGTCAGAGCGATTTCTTTTTGTTTCATCGTTGGCAAAAAAACAAGACCTACCCAATTGCCAATGTTGACACCACGGACCTTGTCGTTCTTGTAGTCGAAGCCCGAGTCCTCGGGCAGGTTGGGCAAGAACTTAATGGTGCCATTCTCGCCCAAGTAGCTTCGCGACTTGCCCTCGCCGACGCCTGCAAAGTCGTCGTCCTCGAAGCCGCTGAACTTGAAGGTGCTCGTCGTCGTGTACTCAAAGACGGGCCTTCCCGAAAAGTATGGCGAAGAGATCTTGGCGAGAGTGGCCATGTTGATGCCCACCTTTGAGGCCAGCGACCCGAGCCAGTCGAACGACCTCTGTGCCCATTCGGGTCGGGGAGAAATGTAGCCCTGAGAGACGTAGTCCTCTGTGTAGCGGTGGCTGTAGAATTCAGGATCGTCCTTAGGGTTGGGAAAAGGGGGAACCTCTTGAGGCTCCATGTGCACGGCCTTGTACCTGCTCTCGCCACGGTAGGTACGGACGGCGGGCATCGCCTCGACGCTGGAGGTGGCCAGAGCGGCCGCAATGACTGCAACGAAGGCAGCTCTCATGGCAAATCAGAAATGCGGAAGAGAAGGGGAAAAGCGAAAGGGGGTTGAGGTAAAACGAAACAAGACCAGAGGCCTTTATAGACGAGAGATGCTGTGGCGGGGTTTGTGCGCATGTATCATTGCATGACAGCGCGCATGTGTATGTGAGCGAACGAGCACGAAGAAAGTCTGGCCGGCCGTGGCGTTTACTTCTTTTCCTTTGTTCTCAAGCTTCCCTAGCTCTAATTTTAGTCAGACTATGCTCTTCCCGCCCCCTGCCATTGCAAGCGAGGTCTCCTTCGAGCCCTGCTCCAGTCGACGACCTTACCCCACGTCTCACCGTCCAGGTGGGTGGATCGCTCATTTAGGCAAGGTTAGCGGTGCGGAACATCCGTGCGGATGTCCTGTCAATATATTGATGTGAATGAGGGAGATCAGAGAGGGACCAATTTCCATGCGAGCTAAAGATTTAAAAGAAGCTAGCACAAAAGCAAGACAGGGGTAAAGGAAGCTTCGAAAATGGCCGCGGCCTTCTCCTTCTCGGATGTAGGCTACCTCCTTTCCCATGTATGCATACGATGGCTTGTACAGTCTAGCTCTTGTAGTGCTCAGATCCCCTTTTAGACCGCTAAGGCAATACTGCCCTTACCTCAAATGAAGTGTGTGATTGGGTGCAAGTTGCCGCTCTATGTATCCGAGATCAAAACCCGAACTGAAGCTGATCTTGAATCACAGACATATGCTGCAGAGAGTGCATCCCATAGCAGCAACACCCCACGTGCGAGCTTTCGGCAGCGGATGATTGATGCCCATGCGCCTTTCGATGAGGGAGAATATTTTTCGGATTTTGGATATTTTGCACTCGATCGAATCACACGTCGGGCTGTGCAGGTAGGGTCCTGGGAAGCTACTCCACATCCGGGGAAAGGGTGCGAAGGCCCAAGATAGCTAGAGTAGTAGTAGTAGTGAGAGACCGACTTTCCTTTCGCAGAGCTGTCGCGAAAAAAGGGCTATCTCAGAAGGACCAAAGCCGCGGTGCTTTCAAGCGCGCTAGTCATCGAACCTACGGCTTGTATATGTTGACTGACGACATATTTACTCCCAATTGCTGGGTTCTCGTCGTCGTGAGGAGCTCTTTTTTTTGAGAAAAGTTTCAGCTCGAGGCTGGAGATTGCCTGCTCTTTCTCTGAAGCAACGCCTCGTGTGGAGACAGCATCAGATCAGACGACAAACGCTTGCCTTGATCATTTATCGGGATTTTTTTTTTCTCGAAAAGACCCTTACTTGAGGCTTCGCTTGCATCATCGCCATCACCACTGCCTTTGACGATAACTTCTCAGGTCGCATGAAGCGCACGACTACCACTAAACCTACGGACGTAACGACATGACGACGGCGATGACGCCATCGACGGGGGCATTTGGCGCAGGTCTCTATCGCAAGACAAGCGGTAGCAACGCCGTTCCCGGCGAAGAGAGAAGGGCCGGCGAAAGAGGAAGGAGTTCCTCCACGGACTCCGTCAGGCAAAGGTCCGAAGAGCGCAACAGCCGATGGGGCCGGAGAACTGTGCAAGCTGCTGTGACCGCCGACCGAGAGCGATCGCAGCTCCTGAGAACCGTCTCCCACCTCAACAAGACGCAAAAGCCAGGCGTCAGCAAGCTGCCGGGCGACGAAAGCCTACCGCCCTTGTCGCCAGCAGACTTTGTTCCGCCGCCGCAATACCAAGACAGATCACGTTCGGCGCGGTCTCTGGACCTGGGACGAAGACGAGGCCTATCTGCAAGCGAAGGAAGCGGACCCGCTCGGACCAGTGCTAGGTTGGAAGACGAAAATTCGCTGCCTTCAACGGCGGGGCTGGGGTCTCTGGGGCGAGCCAAGGCGGCGCAGGCTAGAGCGAAGCTTCGCCGCTTCAGCGTCTCTCAACTCTCTCTGAGCGCAGTCTCTTCCTCTTCTTCTCACAATGCATCATCAGCTCCTTCCCCAGCACTTGCCAACAATGCCGAAGCTATGCCAACAGTGAAGACAACAGCAACAACACCTCCATTAGCACAAGCAGCTACCATATTAGCACCTAGAACAGTCATTTCCGGAGCCGCTGCTCCGGTCGGCAACACAATCATGCTTAAACCACGCCTGGCATTGGCCAACGCGTCTCCTTGCTCGTCGTCGGAGCCTGAATCGTCGGGTTTGCAATTAAATGAGGAGCCAACCAGCATCAGGCAAGGCCAGCAGCAGCAGAGCGCAGAGGGTCCTTCTCACACCACTTTGCAGACACCGGAACCCTCTCCCATTGACAATTGTGAGTAACCCTCCCCCCGGCGCCGCTTTTACGTCAGTCCGGCCTTCTTGTGGCTTTGTCGGAAGACCGGCCGATTTTTGTTCTCTTGTCGATGAACCCTTTAACCCTTTGAAGCCGTTTGCTTGCAAGCGGCAGGCCCTGCAAATGAGGTGGTTTTATTTTTTCGGACGCGCGCGCTTTGTTCGGATTTGCTCGCCCTTCACCCCATCGTGTGGGCAGGTTTAGCTGACAATAGAAAAAAAAAAAACCAAGACAAAATCCCCCCTCCCTTTCAGAAATTGGCGAATGCGAAAGAGGAGCGTCGTTCCACAATTTGCAGGAGCCCGAGCCCGAATCTAGACGTCAGCGCGGCCGATCCTTCGTTGAATTGCAGCAACGACTACGCACTTTCCTCCGCACCACAATCGAGCGGCGAGGCGGTGTTCACTTCCTGTGACGAGGTGCAACAAAAGGCCAGCCTCGGTGGGACCAGCACGGGCCGACCGGATCAGGAAATTTGCTCTTCGCATATCTCTCCCCTCCACGCAGGCGAAGGCAGTCAAGGCGGCGAGAACTCCAGATTGTTGCAGCAAAGACAGGAGCACCCTTCATCGCCTTGCGATCCCACTGACACAAATTGCTCTCGCATCGTCTCTAGTCGCCCCTCCCTCGACTCGATTCGTTCCGAGCACGTCGAAGAAACCGAGCGGACCGACAACACGCTCTTGCCGGGTCGCGCGAGCCGGATACACGCCTCTGATTGTGATTCGGCGGGGGGTCCGTCACTGAGGCATATGGCCGCGGCTTCGACCGACGCCCTCCGCGCACCTGGTCATCGAGAGCGTGGAGCAAGGATGAGTCTCGATGTGCGGCGTGGATCAAAGGGGCTGAACGACGGCAGTCACCTGGAGACGATGACGACTATGGCATCCCGGCGCCCCGACCCTTTGATGCCTATGGCCGAGCCGCGCTCTTCAACCCGCGTCTCCTTCTCCCTGCTTCGTCCAGCGATCTCTGCAAAGGAAGGGGGCATGCGCCGATCGAGTCTGGCCTCGCTCTTTTCAAGATCTCGCGAGAACTTGCAAATCACGACGGGTGACGCTGGCGAGGAAGAGATCAAGTCGCCAAGGCGCCTCTCAGAGGCTACTCTGATTGCAAAGAGCTTCATGCTCAAGACTTTCGGCGGTGTCGGCCCCAATCGGCATTCCTTTTCCAACGGCAAAGACCTTCCAAGCAGCCAGCGGCCATCGACTACGTACAGCCGCGAAGCCCGCGGCTCGTCTTCCTGGCCAAACGAAGAGGAACAGCCCAGCAGGGAGGCGGCGTCGCAGGTGTTCGCGTCCGCCTTTGGCGCGCCCCACTCGAGCGCCCTCGACGAAGGCCGTCCCGATCCTCCGCCCTACTCGAGCGTCCGCAGCGTCAACAGCGCCAACTCGCGCCCGGTCAGCCTCGTCTCGGCTGCCACGTCCTTCTTTTCGATCCAGGCTGGTCCAAATCAAGGCAGCACCACTTCTTTTACCGCCTCGCCCGTACGGCGACAGCAGCCCTTGCCCGTCGACCCTCCCTCGTCGTCAGAAGTGCCAAGTTCGCCTGCAGGTCTCTTTGCTCCTACCAGCAGCTTCCAGCGACTACCTCAAGGCGCCCCACACGCGACGATGCAGCTACTGTCTCCCGATGTGGGTCCCTTGGGTGAGGAGCGCTCTCCGTTGGCGCCCGGTCCTTCCTCATCGCGCCTAGGCCAGGACTCTACCTTGCAAGCGGCTACAGCACGCCCGTCACCGCCGTCCTCCCCTCGCGCAGCTTCGCGCTCTGCACTCGGTCTCGAGCAGGGAGCAGAAGTAGACCACTCTAAGGGCAAGATGAGGCAGAGCGACTCCGTAGCAATGAGGAGAGGTTCCAGCATGGGCATCGACGAGGAGCAAGATGCCATTGACCGAGCCCAGGCCTCCTCGACGATGACACTAGGGGCACCGATCACGCAACAGCTGCACCAGCAGGAGCAGGGCGCCACAGATGCAAGCGGTGACAACGGTGGCACAGCAGGAGGAGCGAACAGCGGGGCCTCGAGGAACAGGTCGGCCAGAAGCTCACGTCTTTCCCATCTCCCCAGACTCAACTCGATGCGCGTCGAGGCAGGGTCAGGCGTAGGAGGGATGGGAGGTGCAGGGGGCGCGGGGGGCGATGGAGGCGACAACAACGAAAGGCGAGATGATGTCAATGGGCCGGCATCTGCCGGTGGTGGCGAAGACTACACGAGCGAAGAAGGTACCGGCGACGAGGCCGAGTCTCGGGACGAAGAAGAAGTCGAGACCGACACAGCAACCGACGAAGATTACGACAGTTTTTTGTCTGGAAGCGAAGATGACCTCGACGGCTCGATGCCTGGCTCGATGCCGACGCATGAACGCCGTCCCTCAAGGGGCCTTGATCATCATCGGGCGAGGTCGTCGCGTTCATCGGCTGATGCGAGTACCACCCCTGCTACCTCTGCCGAGGGACCATCGGATGCCGGCATCAGTAGATCTCTGAAACCTGAAGGCATCCAGTTGCCACCGACCCCACAGTTTGGAAACACTTCTACCGCCACGCCCGACCAGGGTTTTCACGGCCAAGCGATTGGCAAGGACTCCTGGACACAGTTTGGCGCATCCACCCCATTCGAATCACCGTTGCCTACAGTGACGCCCCGAGCAGGCCCGATGGCTAGCACTAGATTCACAGCCACACCGCGAGGCGGCCAAACGCCCAAGGTGGGCTCGTCTTCCGAGGCGACGGCCGCGGCGGTGGCCAGAAGTGATACAGGAGGGGAAAGCTCCTACTTTAACATCCATCCGGTTGCTCCCCGCCTTGCGAATGGGGCTGCATCTGCCACGAATGGTGACATGCCCCCACCTTCACCGTCGATCATCTCCCGCCATCGCGCTCCATCCTCGGCGAGCACGCGCTCATTCAGGTCGATTCCCATGCCGACTCCGAATCGCGAGATTCCCCAGCTGCCGCCCATCGTGCCCATGAAATTCAGTGGCAAGGATAGAGCAAAGTCACCCGTCCCGCAACCGGCTGCACAGGCAAACGGCGTGGCCCCTCCGTCCGGATTGCCCGACGTCAGGACGAAAACCCAACGTCCCTCGACTTCACTTTCCAGCCAAGATGCAGAGAAAAGGATCTTGTCGCCTTTGCCTGCGCCAGGTGGAAGTATGCGAAGCTCACCATCGGCTCGACCGGGCCTCTACCAGCAGCAGTCGCGCTCTCTCATCGATCTCAGCGCCACCGCTCGTGAGGTCGAGAAGCGGCAGCATGAGCAGCAATCGACTCCCGCCCTCGTTGCTCCGCACAGTGCCAAAGTTGCACACAGGGAGCTTGCTCCCGACGCGAGCGATTCGGCCCTGCTCATTCCGCCACAGAGCCCAGGGGGCTTGCCACGAAGGAGAAGGTCGATGTTTGAGGTCGGCGCTGCTCCTCCGCCTTATTCAATCATCCATCGCCGGCCCGAGGGGACTCAGATGATCTATCCTCGTGAGGAAGAGGGTAAGGAGAAGTTGCCGATCTACAACTGCTCTGTTCACATCGAAGGTTACCTGCCGCGTAAGATGGAATTCAGCGCACCGGGAATCCAGGCCAAGGATCGGAGCTGGCGAAGACTCTATTTCGTCCTTCACGGAACGAGTTTGAGGGTATACAAGTCGGATCTGTCCGGTGATTCCTTGGCTGCAAAGGGTGCCTGGGGAATTATGGATGGCGTGCATGTTCACAAGGAGCCCATGAACGAGGATGGGTCCGCACCCGCGGCGGCACCTGCTCCTTCGTCAAGCACCAACGGCACAGCTCCACCGTCAAACACTCACCACGGCCTCACCGCAGCCGTCGGCGCGGTGTCGAATCTGACGAGCTCTCTCGTCCACCACCCGTCTACTTCCTCTCCATCTTCGTCATCACTCCAGCCGCCCAAGGCAGGTCTGATCCGAAATTATACACTCCAAGGGGCCGAATCAGGCCTTGCGGCAGACTATCTCAAGCGTCGGCACGTCGTCCGTGTCCGCGCAGAGGGCGAGCAGTTTCTGCTGCAAACCAAGAGCGACCGGCACGTCGTGGACTGGATCGAGGCTTTTCAGGCCAGCACCAATGTCTCGTTGGACCTCGAAAGGAGGCCGATGCCGAAATTTATCACGCTTCCGAGGCGGCGAAGGAGGAGGCGTCCCCAAGAGGCGGCAGCGGCGGCTGGTGGCGCAGCGACTACTGCCGGTCAAAGCGCAGCACCACGCACGGCAGCCGAACGAGAGGCAGCCGATCTCGCAGAGGCTCAGCGGAGGTCGATGTCCGATGCCCGTGGTGGTACCGCTGCGGCACGGAATACAGGGGCAAGGAGAATCAGCCCGCCTCGACCCTTGGGCCTGCCGGGCGACGATGCAAACTCGACACCGGATCCCAGTGCTGCATTTGACGAGATGCTGAGGGAAGAGCACGAAGACATGTCGAGACAAGAGGCAGGCGACATTTGAGCTGCTCTTTGACGAGTCTCCCTCTTGCTTTGATGACACCTAAAAGAAGGCCCCATGGTCCTCTCAAATTTTTCTTTCATGTGATGCTTTTCTCTTTTCTTTCTTCTTTGGGTTCATCGTTTTCGCTCATCCTCTCTCACAATTGAAGTACCATACTGGCAATGTTCTCAATGCACACAATGTTCGAGCGAAAGACGATGGATGATGTCTCATGAGCCTTCCTTTTCCTCGCTACCGCCAGAGAATGCTACTACTGTTACCAGAAATATCCCCCCCCCCTTCCTCCCTGAGTGGAGACATTGAGATCGTAGAAGCGGGAGAGACACAAAGAGAGAGAGGAGAGAGAGAGAGAGAGATTTCAATATACAACCAAGAAAGAAGGTAGAAGCAGAGGGAGCTCAATCTAGTTTTGAAGAGGGGGTTTTAGAAGGTTTCGAAAGCGGGGATCACTTGGGAGCCAAAGAATCAAATGGGGATGGACTGACGAGGCCGCCCGGATGAGAGACAGCCGGCTGCTGAGAAGTGGTTGCGGTTGAAGCGGCAGTGGAAGAGGATGAGGTGGCGGCGTCCAGGAGGAGCTGGGCCTGATCCAAGCTCAAGTGCGAGTGGTGGCCCCCGCCACCGCCGGAAGTCGAGGATGAAGTCGGAGGTAGCCCGTTCTGGTGTTGAGAGAGGGCGGAAATCGCGGCACTCGACAGGCCGTCGAGTCTAGAGATGTCGGCGGGCGCTGCAGATGTGTTGAGGGGCCGGCTGGGTGGGCCGCCAGAGGTCGAGAGACCCGATAGGCCCATGATGGCTGCCTGCTCGGCAGCGGCAGCAGCGGCTGCCGCGTGTGACTGCGCATGAGCAGGAGAGGAAGAGGATGAGGGATCCAGCGATGTCGATGACGAAGATTGCTGAAGTCCGGCGAGACCAGCCAGGACCTTGGCAGGAGACGTCATGTCAGAGGATGAAGAGGCGGTTGCCTCGCCACCGTTCCCAAACTGCGTCTGGTAGGAGAGCCCTTCTAAAGAGGGGTCTACCATCGGTTCGCTTTCCTCGCCTTGCTCTCGGCTTTCGTCTTTCATGTTTCCTCCCTGGGCGAGAAGTGCGGCCTGCGCTAGCGTAAGAGCAGCCTCTGCGTCTGACTTTGACCGGTTGCGGGTTGCTACATCATCGTATTGCTGCTGTTGCTGCTGCTGCTGCAGTTGCTGACGAGCAGATTGACGACCGCCGCCTCTCCTTCCGCCCCGATTGCGGGCTGTGGATGATGCTGGAGCGGGTGCAGGAGGAGGGATACCAGCCGAGCTCGAGCTCTTTCTACCCCGTTTACGACTTTGACGCTGACCCTCATCCTGCGGTGCAATGTCATGCTCTCCGACCGCCTCCTCGTCGTCCTCACCGTCTTCATCGTCCTCATCTTCGTCGTCCTCTTCATCTTCGTCCTCGTCTTCGTCGTCTTCGTCCGACTCTTCGTCCTCGTCGTCGCCCTCCTCTTGACCGTTCTCATTTTTGGTTCGCTTGCTGCTCTTGCCCTTTGGTTTGACGTAGCCAGGCTGATGGCATTTAGCGTGACGGTTGAGAGTCGTCCGCCTCGTAAACATCTTCCCACACCGTGGGTGGCCGCAGACATATGGCCGCCGTCCAGAATGAGTCCTCCGATGACGTGCCAACGACGAGGAGTCGCTGAAACTTTTTCCACACCCGGCGAACTCGCACTGGTGGGGACGCTCGCCCGAATGGACACGAGAGTGGACCGTCAAGGCGGAGCGCTGGATGAAGCTCTTTCCACAGCCGGGGAAATCGCAAGGGTAGGGTCGCTCGCCCGTGTGGATGCGCTTGTGGCGGGCAAGGTCGGAGCGACGGCTAAAAGTCTTGCTGCAATCCGCGCACTTGTGAAGCTTGGGGCCACCGGCATCGCTCTCGGTGTATTCGCCCAAGGCGGCAGCGGCAGCAGCGGCGGCTTGAGCTGCCTTTGATCCAGGGGGCTTCTTTGCTCTACTGTTGCTGCGCTTAGGCGCCTCCGTTGCGGGCAGCGGTGGGGGAGCGTTGGATGGGAGCGACGAAGACTGAGCCGAAGCCGAGCCGCCGCCCGAGTACTGCTGGGTCCATTGATAGGGGTCAAAAGGAGCGGGCGGTGGGAAACTTGCATTGTAGCCTGCATGAGATTGGCCGGCTGCTGCTGCTGCAGTGGCCGCTGCTGCTGCTGCCGCCGCGGCTTCGTGCATGTCCGACCCAGATGCGCCAGCAAAGTCGCCGTAGGGTCCCGATGCGCGCGAGCTCGAGACTGGGGTGCCGTGACTCCATGATCCGCCTGTGGTGCGTGTGTTTGACGAAGAAGCCTGATTGTTTCCGTAGGCAGCGACACCATAGGGAGCAGGCGCAGGCGGCTCGCCCTGGCTACCGTCGCCTAGACGGAAAGTACGGCTGAACGCAGGTGAATGTGGCGGATTCGCTGCGAGAGCACTTCGTCAATATACCGATAGAGAATGAGAGAGAGATGCTCGAGACCAAAACTCACCAGTCATGGGGCCGTGAGTCTGATAGAAGGTGCCAGGCGACGGGAATCGTTCGGGAGGCTGGAAAGTGATTGATCCTCGGGGAGTGTCACGACCACTGCGGCTTGGACTGTCCCGATTGCCGCCTCGCTCCTGTGATTCGGCGGCGAGTAGCATGGCGGCGAGTCCGCCACTGTTCTCGTGACCCTGACTGCCACCGGCGGCCTGATCCTGGTCGCCAGAGAAGTCCCGAGCAGCACTCGAAGCAAAAGGCGAGCTGCGGGACGGCTCGGTGTACCAAGGAGAGCCCTCACGCGTCGGTTTCCAAGTGGCCGACGAGGGCGATCCTCGTGGATGGAATGGCTGGTCGCGAATGTCGCTGCGACGCGGTGTCGACGACGCGTACACGTCACCCAGGCGTGATGGCGAGCTCGGGCGATGCTCATCCTGGAGCCTCGTCGATACCGATGCCGACAGAGTGGCAGCTGTTGGGACAGAAGGTCAGCAGCTATCCTGCATGTATGGCTCGTGCGACACTATAGGCGACGGTCATCATAGCGCATGGACCAACGCGTGCACCAGCCAAGGTGGTCCATGCATCCGTCCTTCTCCAAGAGCAGGACTCAAGGAGGAAGAGGCAATGTTACACCTGGATCGCTACGTACGCGATGGATGGTCGCCGCCATCGTCACTGCTCCCCTTCTGAACCGGTTTAGACAGAGCAAGGAGACTCACCATCGCCACGAGGCTCCTCCTTGACTCTCCTACGCTTACGCGACGAACGCGTCTCTTGGGCTCCGTCTCGCTCTTGATCGTCTTGGCTGGCTCCGGGCACGTTGACGCCCATTTCGTCGCCGTTACCGTCGTCGGGAGAGGGGGAGGCAGGGCGCGAAGCAGACGTGGGATAGTGCAGTGAGGAGGCAGCGTCGCGTGCCAGGGCACTGCTTCGCGGGCTTCCCACGGCCAGGCCGGTGCCGTGGTGCGCGGCCGAGAAACGCGCGGCCGAGTCTCGATAGGGCGACATGTGGCCTGGCAGATGATGGGACAGGCTCGTCCGAGGCGACCCCAGGGGAGACGCGTTGCCTGGCGCAAACGTCGAAGAGGATCCCACGGCAGCAGCAGCGCCCGCTGAGGTGTTTCCCAGCTTGGGAGATGGAAATTGCGCGCCGCTGCTGGACGATGGCGGTTGCAAGATCGGAGGTAGGCGGCTTCCCATGTTCCTTGACGAAACAATCGAACCAAGCTCAGGTAGGGGTCTCGCACGCCGTCGTCGAGAGAGCCAATCAGGGGCGGATGGCCGGTCTTGTCAACGGATGGATGTCGTGCCTTGTCTCTCAGGAGGGACCTGGATGCTTTGGACCGCTTTACAGCCGATGATGGATCGCTGTCGGAGCCCGCTTCTCAGTGCAGATGCGTCGACAGACGAGATGAAAAGGATGGAGAATGGCGAGGGAAGTCTGAGAAGGGGCCAAAGAGGAAGTAAGAAGGTGGCGGGCTGCAAGTGTGGGACCCGGGCGATGTCGTTTTCCTTTGGCTGGCCCGACGCAGTGTATGGGTTGTCTCCTTGTGACTAATGAGCAGCACTCGCGATTGTGTGGATGCTGATTCTGGCACCGCGAGAGGGCCTCCGTTTGCCAACGTCAGCGCGAGGCGTGATCCAGAGGACGAAGTAAGTCTTTCTTGGTGGGAGAGGGGAAAGGCTGCACGGGCCGTCACCGCACTGGCCATGTAGCAAAATTTTTCTCGCCTTCAAGGCAGTCAGGCAGCAAAGAAGAGAAAAAAAAAATCAAAAAAATCGCGCGCGACCGCTGCTTTCTAACCTGCTGACTAGAAGATCAGTCCGTCTCGCTCCGGCGCATACCTGATCGACTTGTGACGCTTAGATCGATAGGCTACAAAGAGAAAGCAGGTGTCGAGCTGGAGGGGCTGACGAAAGCGATACAAAGGTAGAGAAGTGGTGGCGTCCAAGCATTCGCACGCTTCACCCAAATAAAGCAAAAGAAACGGTGGGCACGTCTGGGACCGTGCGCTCCTGCGAAAACGTACCGCGCACAGAACGCTATTCTGTTGTCCGACGTTCAAAGAACGGGCGTGTGTCTTTGCGTCGTATTGTCTGTCTCCTGTCCGATGACCGATGGCGTACTTCATTGTTTTCGTTACAAGAAAGCAGAGGGAAGAATAGCTCGAAAAAGCATTCCCTTCGGACTTTGAGCAGGCGATATGAACAAAGAGAGACGCGCACTTCCGATTCGCACTTGATGCTCAGGCTTCCCAATCTCATCTCTCCTGTAGTCTCCAGCAAGTGGCGCAAGGCAACATGAGAACCATACCCCAGAGGCAAGCCGCCGGTCAGCTGCCCTCGCCAATGATTCAATGGGGAGATGGAGCTTGATGATGAGTCAGATCACGTGAATGAGGGCGCAACAGATGCCTGCATCTTTAATTTCCCGCAACCTTCTGAACAGGAAGGAAAGAGGCTACGAAGAAGGTCACGATGAATTCGTCGTCCTCTCCGCCGTCGGCGCCGTCATCATCATCAGCGCCGGCATCGGTAGAGAAGATGTCAGAGTCTCCGAAAACAGATCCGCCAACGCCTCACTATCTGCCAACACCGGCCTTGGACCACGCATTCTCGGGCATCGTAGCTGGGGCGGTGGCGACAGTATGCATGAACCCGTTGGACCTCATCAAAGTACAATTTCAGGTGGACACCTCTGCTTCCAACAGAAGATACTCTCCATCGTCCCGTCTCGCCCGATTAGGTCGCCTGGCTACCGGTGGCGATGTGGCGCGGGATATGGTCTCTGCCTTGCGAGCCATTGTGCGGCGCGATGGTTGGACAGGGCTCTACCGCGGCCTAAGTCCAAACGTCGTGGGCAACTCGGCTAGCTGGGGTCTCTACTTTCTGTGGTACACCATGATCAAGGAGCACATGACCGATGCGGAAGGCGGCAGAAAGCTCTCGCCCGGGCAACATCTCTTGGCTGCGAGCGAGTCTGGCGCTATAACGGCCCTGATGACCAACCCGATCTGGGTTGTCAAAACCCGCATGTTCACCACCTCGAGATCTGGTCAGGCCATCGCCATGGCCAATGTCCAGGCTCAGGCCAAGACTTCGACTTCTGTATCCGTCGTTGCTGCTCCCCAGGGCCAGGCGGCGGCCAGCTATCGGGGTCTGTATGACGGCCTGCGACAGATCTGGCGGTACGAGGGTATACGGGGCATGTACAAGGGTGCAGGCTTGGCTCTCTTTGGTGTCAGCAACGGTGCCATCCAATTCGTATGCTACGAAGAGCTCAAACGCTGGCGCATGGCCGTTGCGAGGCGAAAAGCCTGGGAGAGGGGCGAGAGAATAGAAACGACGGCCGACGAGGCGGTGAAGCTGGTGAGTGGCTCCCTCTTCCAGTCGGCATGCGTATGGCTTGCAGCATCCTCTAATGCCCGATCTGCTCCAGGACAACTCGGAATACATTGTCATTTCCGGTGTCGCCAAGCTGGCGGCCATCGGGATAACGTACCCCTATCAAGTGATTCGATCTCGCATCCAGGTGAGCCTTTTTTTTCCGACGACCAACTCTGTATGCGATGTCCGGTGCTGATCACTCGCTGCAGAATCACGCCACAATGCATCTGTACCCAAATATTCCCACCTGCATCCGCCTGACGTGGAAGAATGAGGGCATCAGGGGCTTCTACAAGGGCATGTCGGCGAATCTGGTCCGCATCATCCCAGGCACCTGCGTCACATTCGTCGTCTACGAGAACACGTCCTGGTTCCTCCGTAGATTGGCTCAAAGAAGAGGTGGGCCCATCAGGAGTGACTCGACGTCGCTTTGATCAAGCAACAACAAAACGGAAGGACTACTCCCTGCTCCATAGAAGTGATCACTTGTAACAACATACCAATTATCTTACTTGATAGAGCATTACAATCCCACATTTGCGCACACCATGACGCCTGGTTTGGAGTAGAGCCCTGGAACGAGCAGAGTGCCCCCGCCGATGCTGCCATCGTAGGCTGCAGAGGTGGCCGAGGCGATCCCGATCCAATCCTGTCCGTCCTCGGTCTCGCTGTCCAAGCTGGCTGCCACCTGCTCGCGCCGAACGGGTCCATGACCCTGGTAGACGGTGCTTACGTGGAAGCCTTCGTTTTGCCGTATCATCCGAGCATTTGCCGGTACGTACGAGTCGTCGTCGTCATTGCTGTCGTCCTTCGGCGGCGTCGGCGAGATCGAAATGATCCACGAATGGGCCCGTTTCGTATAGTTGTGTGGGTCTCTTGCGAAGCGCATAAGCTCCAGCCCGCTGGGGCCGCCACCTCCGATGAGCCTCGCAGCGTTTCCAAATAAGTCATTGCCACCGGGGATCCCACTGGCGCCCTTTGTAAAGGCGATGTTGTCGCTCAGGTTGGGCGTATTGATGCGGTGCGCCAGCCGGACCACTTCGCGCTTTGCTTCATTCCACTCGTACAGCTTGATGCCAGGCATCATCGTCGACGCCACGGCGAGGAACTTTCCGTTTGGGCTTAGTGCCAGGCCATTTGCAAAGGCGATCCACCGCGCGATAATCTTGGTCTGATGATGTGAATCTGCCCTGCCGTTGACGTCATCGTCGTCAAACTTGACATAAGTGACCCAGCCAAGGGGTAGGCCAAGGAGCGTCTCGATCCGCGCAAGGAGGGGTGCGCCGAGGCGTGCCAATTGGGCACAGTAGCGTGCGATCGCAGGGGCAAGCAAGGACAAGGGGGGCACAGCGAGGCGCCACGTCGCTGTCAGATCGTCAAGACTCGAAGGAGGGCGAAGTGCAAAGAGGTGGTCCTGGGTGACGAGGACCTCGTTGGCCGACAGCGCGACGAGCGAGTTGGGCGTGTGCGTCGCGATGGGATCGACCAGGCTGCGCACAAAGACGGCTCGCCAACGTCCTGACTGATCCTCACCTTTCTCTCCCTCTCTACTCGTTTGGCTGCTAAGAAGATCAAACACATCGATGGTGGACCGAGCTCGCTGGTGGTTGATGACAAAGAGTCTCGCTACCTTTGCTCCGTTGCCATCAGAGCTCATAGGATGGACGGCAACGCCCAAAGGATGAAAGTCGTAGGGACTCGGCAGACCTTCGAGAGACAGACGTAACGGCTTGACCGCGTTCATCAACTTGGTGCCTGACTGGCGTTCCTTTGAGGTAGAAGAGACTGCGTCGGAGTAGGCGTACATCCACAAGGCGCCTCGACCCTCTGGTTTCTGCAGCGGCCTGCGACAGAGGAACACATTTTTTAGTTACCCACATATGACCATCCTGGCAAGCACGTAAGAGGAGACCGCTGCTCACCCCATGACCGTGTTCCATTGGTCGCGACCAGGGTCGCAGCTGAGGAGCGCCCAGCCGTCCAGACCCGGACCGTGGAGCATCTCTGCATCCTCACAGAAGCTAATCTGGTTCTCTTGGCCCTCGAGGCCAGACGAAAGAGTCGCACATACTGGAGCCGCTCCACCAACTTCAGTGGACGGGCGCACCCAATGAGCAGGGAAGTGGGAAACGGGCGAGGTCAGCTGAAAACGGAACCACGAGACACGAGCGACGAAAGGACCCAACACGAGGGCGAGCACGGCAATCAGCAGTCCGCTTCGCACCGTCTTCGATCCGACGCGAGCGTCGCCGCGCCCGTCTGCACTACGCCGCGGCTGTTGACGAGCCGGCATATTTGCCGTTGTTTGACCAATACCGCTCGCGTCAAGAGAAGCTTGATGGGACCGAAAATAAATAGTAACAGCTTCACAGTGTGGGGCGACCGAGATTGGGGAGCCCGGAGGAATAAGCTTCTTTGGCGCCCGGGCCACCTCCACGGCCAAGTTGTGAACCGGGTAGCCTAGCCCGACACGGGAAAAGAACATGATTGCAGGCAATTTCGGAGGATATCTTTCAGCGATGGTCCTCGCTTGTCTAGGCCATTCACAACTGTTCACATTGACCTCGGAACGTCAGTTTCACCAACGCCAATTTCTTCGTTCACATCGGTGCAGCCCGTGGGAATATTACGGGGACGCTACAGCGCCCCAAGCGTCACTATCATCGGGCCTGCATGCTTGTGTCGGCACTCAGCTTCTTGAACATGAGACGTGCTGCAAAACCCTACTTTATTGCCTCGAATATATTGATTCATCATGTCCACTGATTGATTGGCTTTTGCAGACGAGCTCACGACCGGAGCGTTTGACCTGCGCTTTCTACCGGCAGCGTGTCGCTCCACGCATTAGATTGCACCTCTTCCTCACCCCGCCGAAAAGCCTCATGCACCGCTCAGCAAGCCTCTGGACGATGCGTGCAGCAGGCAGGCGAGCGGAGATATTGCAAACCCGAGATCTGGACCGGCGAAGGAGTGTGAATTGTACACAATGTTCGGGAATTATGACAAACAAGCTTTCTTTCTCTTGCTGACAAAAGAGTATAGTGTGCAAAGCAGGTTCGGTCGAGCGCTAGCGGTGCTGAGAAACATTAAGGGTACACGTTGAAGAGAAGGGAAAATCCGGATCCACCTCCTTCCGGCTTGGCAAAAAGTTTGAAAGCAACTGAAACACGCAACATGCGACTTCGCCGACCCAGCCAGACCATCCCACAATTGCTCGAGATACACTCCTACACTGCTACTACTCGTACTACTACACTACTACACGTCCTTCTACCACTACACTACTACACGCCCTTCTACCACTACACTGCTCCCACTGCACAGACAAATTAGCTTCTGCAATACGATTATTTTGGAGGTGGTTCACGATGACCGAGCACGGCTAAAATATTCTCTTCGGGCAACTTGCTCACTAGATTGATTTCGAGGACCGCAGAGCTAGGTCACGTCTAAATTTAGCGGCCGGGCGGGGCAAGATCTGCCTTGAAGGCCAGCTGGCGAGACGCAGAGGCAGAGCAAAGCGCGGAAGCACAAGTTCCTGCTTGGTTACATGCAGCAGTGGTCCGATGGCTGGCAACGCAGGCTAGGGCATTCACCCACTGTCATGCGCTCGACGCCTTGCCGGCTCATTCGCGTCAGGCGACTTTCTGCTGCACAAAGTGGAGGAGGTGTGGATTCAAACCCGAAAAGGGAGAAGAGCTAAGTTGAGATTAGGATGCCTTCGGAAACATTGAATTTCAATGGAAGAAATTGTCGCAGGCTCCAGCCACTAGTCTGGGACAAAGCTCGGTTCCATACGATGGTAGTGTGAGACCGAGGGAAGGTGGGGAATACAGAGTAGAGAGAGAGGTGTATCGCATCACCTCCCTTGAATTTCGACGCTGGCTCGCCTCCCCAACAAGCTGGCACCCTTGGACGGCGGTAGACGGATACCACGACCACATTCATCATCATCACCACTGTCCAACCGGGCAAGTTTGTTACATTACAATATACACGGCGACCTGCACATCGGCAGCGCCGTCCCTGTAGCATCACGACAAGGTGACTTCCTTTCTCGGGTCTGCATCGGCCAGTCCGCCTTGGCCAGCCTCCTCACCTCGTTCGCGGGGATCGGGATCGCTCAAGCCATTGTCGGAGGCCGCGCCTGCTCTTGCAGACGCTCCTGGATTTCTCCCAAATCCTCTTCGGTCCACCGAAACGATGCAGCCGGAGCACTTCTCGGGCGACTGGGATCCGCAGTCATCCAGAAATTCCTTCCACGTCCCAGTCAGCCCTGCACCCACGGGGTACTTGGCCAATCCGTACTGGCAGACGGCGGAAGACTCTCATCGCGACTTTAATGAGATCCTGTCGCGAGATGAGTCGACATGGCAGAGTGAGTGTACTTGTTCGCCTACTCCAAGGGCGCTCAATGAGCGGCCCTGTCGAAGCAAAATGACTGACAGCGAAGCGCCAACAGGCCGCGGGACATTGGAGGATACTGACATCAAGATATATGCGCGGCCCGGGGCTCCCGCGTCGGAACTGCCAATGAGCAAGGGGACCACGTATGTGCCGAAGTCCCGACCAATCGAGCTCCTCGCTTGCATCCACACCTTTAGCTACCGAAACCTGTTTGATACACGGTTCGCCTCGGCCGGTATTCTCCAGCGCTATTCACTACATGACCACCATTTCTACCTCGTCATCCGTGGCATCGGCCCCATCTACTCACCCCGAGACGCTACGGGCGTGCAGACGGTGCGATTTTATGACCACGCGGGTGCAAGACTGCCGATGTGCTACCCTGACACACCCAAAGTCGACATTGTCTACCGATCAGTCAACGACCCAGAAGTGCCGCCGCAGGAGGGCAAAGTTCGAGCGTGGATTCATATGGGCGGCTACAGGCTCGAGTGGGACGAAGCAAAGCAGGCAACAAAGGTCACCTACGTTGCCCACACTAATCTCCAACAAAGCGTCCCACGCTGTGAGTCTCTATTCATCGGCTTTTCACATTTACTGCCTTGGTTCTCACACGCTCTTCACACACAGACATTGGCAATGTGCTCATGTCTGAGCTGCCGCGAGTCACGGCCCGGCTCCGTGGCGCCGTGGAGAATTTCGGGTTTCCACCTTACATTCTCGACATCGAAGTCTGCGTTGTGCAACAGCTCCAGATCCACGATGCAAATACACGGCGGAACGAATTCCGGTGTCATGTGAGGAAGCCTGGCTCCTACCTCATCATCATAGACCGCGAGCGCATGTATCAGAACGGTGAGCTAGCTTTGACATCGCGATTTCCACTTATACATCGCCGCTCACTACCCTTTCACCAGGCATCGTTCCGCCCAAGGCTGAAGGAGAAGGTGCGCACGCAGTCACCTTTTCAGACCTCAATGGCCACTTGGGCGTTACTGTCGCTCCCAAAGGTGTCGGTCAGGAATTTGTATTTGTGAGTCCGTAGACGCTATTGCCCTCATTCTGGCTGCTGGCTAAGATTCCTCTGATAAGGTCATCGAGCCCCGAGACCAAGAGGCGCCACCGGAGTCGTCGAGTGCATGGTGGTGATTGTTTATACCCATTCCCCCGCCTCTCCGTCTCTCTCTTCGTCTATTGCGATCGCTGGCGTGGACTGGCTCGCTCTCTCGCGCTCTCACCCATCCCTCTGTACTCTGCCTGATGCTCTAGTCCGATGCCTCTTTCTGCTCTCAATACATGAAGCGTCGACCTCAAAGTCACGATTTGCTGCTATGATTCACGAGGCCGGGCCGAGAACTTCACCTTCTTTGCTATTGATTTATGACCCGTCTTATATTTATGTTATCTGAACTGATATTATATGCGAATCGCCTCATTTGGGCGCCGGCCTAGAAAACGTGGCCGACGAATGCCGACTTCTCAACCCAGGGGAGGGAGGAACAGGGCCGAGAAGAGGTTGAGACGCCACAATTAAGGCGGTGTCAGAGCTATCCTCTTAACCATCACATTCGACTCCCTCTACTTCCATTTCCGCCTCACGATCTGATCGCCTCTCTTCGTTGGACATCGCACCAACCAATCCTACTCCCTCTAGCACGAAAGCACCCGAGTGCTGCCCTCTAGAGAAGAAAAAAGCGCCAAGATGTCGGCCAAAGATGTGGGTAGCTTCATGATCTTCCGTTTCTGTCATTGAGTAAATTGATACTGACCATCGCTCGAGCCTTCCGTAGTACTACGGCGGTGAGTCTACGCTTCACAGCTGTCGTGGACGCTTGGCTCTTGTTGTTGGTGACGATGAGGACCGGGCCAAGGTTGCATGGAGAGACGAAAAGATCGAAAAGTTCTTGATGGCTTGGTGTGGCGGCGCACGAAGGAGAGGAGGTGGCTGCGATGCAAAGTGGAGTGTAGAGGAAGATGCACTTCGCCGCCTGCCGGACTGCGAGAGATTTGGGAGCCTTCTTCTCTGGTGACTGGATGCTTACAGTAGGGCCCACATTGCACCACACAGGCCAGCAGCAGCAGTACGGAGGTCAACAGTACGGCGGCCAGCAGTACGGCGGCCAGCAGCCTTATGGGGGACAGCAAGGCTACGGCGGTCAGCAGCAGGGCTACTACGTGAGTATATGCGTGGTCCCGGCTGCCAGATTGAAAATGTCTAACCTCTCTGCTCCTTTTCGTTTGCCAGCCTCCTCAACAACCACAGCAAGCATACGGGCAACCTGGCTACTACCAGCAGGCTCCACCCCAGCCCGTCTACGTTCAGCAGCCTCAGCAGAAGGGAGGCGGTGCGGGGGCTGGCGCAGGTTGCTGCGCCTGCTTGGCCGGAGCCTGCCTGTGTTGCTGCGCAGAAGGTGAGTTTTGCTCACATGTTCGTACAAAACTTGGTTCCGCTCATCATGCATCGATTCGCCCACGCAGAGATGTGCCTGGACTGCATGTTCTAGATGCCCTCCTTGCTTATGCACCTCGAGCTTTCTTCCGCCAGCCAGCAAATCTTTCCCGGTGCAGCTCTCTTCTTTCTTCCTTCTCGAGTGATCTCTTCCACCTCCTCCTTCGACAGGGACAGTGTGCTTGACACTCTCCTCTGGGGTAAATCTTTCTTTCGTTGTGGTTTGCAGCGTAGCTCCGTGCTTATATTATTACTACTATCCATTCATACCTATCGTCCTGTCGGTCTATCGCCTCGGTTTGAATTTGTGAGCGCGTGTTGGTGAAATTGTCGCAGTCGTCAGTAGTAGTGGAGGTGATCAACCGACGACCACCAACGGTTTTGGCCTCCCTGCTGCGACCATGACCAACGATGAAAAGAGCAGCAAGGGTGAGGAGGCAGACCCGATCTTGCTCTCGCTGTTCGCGGCACGCTTCATGAGCGTGGCCGAAGCGATGGGCCGGTCGCTCCAGCACACATCCATCTCAACGAATATCAAGGAGCGCCTCGACTTTTCATGCGCCCTCTTCAGCCCCGACGGCTCTCTCGTCGCCAATGCGCCCCACCTGCCTGTCCACTTGGGCAGCATGTCTTTCGCTGTGCGCTACCAGATTGCGCGGCTCTCTGGCGAGGCTCAGGAGCCCGACGACGACGAGCAGGACCGCGGCATCAATCAGGGCGACGTCATCCTGGCCAACCACCCAAGCGCAGGAGGCAGCCACCTGCCGGACATGACGTGCATCACGCCCGTCTTTGACGATGCAGGAAAGAACATCATCTTCTTTACAGCGAGCAGGGGCCATCACGCAGGTGAGTCTTCGGCTTCAAGAGTGCCCGTAGTAGATGTGAACGAAGTCGACAACGACGGCTAATTTGTGCGAATACAGACATTGGAGGGATCCTGCCAGGAAGCATGCCGCCGACGTCCAAGGTCATCTACGAAGAAGGGGCGCAGATCAAGTCTTTCAAGCTCGTTCGAAGGGGTGTCTACGATCGAAAAGGGCTCTTGCGGCACCTTTGCGAGGAGCCTGCCAAATACCCCGGCTGCAGCGGGACAAGGTGCCTGAGAGATGTTGAGTCGGACCTCCAGGCACAGGTCGCTGCCAATCAGAAGGGTATCAACCTCATCCATGGCCTCGTCGCCGAATGGGGGCTCGAAACCGTCCAGGCTGTAAGTCTTTGTTCTGGCTCCATCTCCACGACCCAATCGTTTTGTGTGCAGCTGACGCCCTATGCTCTCGCCAGTACATGGGCCACATCCGCGCCAACGCTGAGCTAGCCGTTCGCAATCTCCTCAAAGAGGTTGCCTCAAGGCAGGGGACCAACGAACTCTGGGCAAGGGATTTCATGGATGATGGTCAGTTCTTTCTTTCCTCCTTCGCCGCTGTTTCCGAAGAGCTGACCTTGCGTCTCGCGACCCGATGTCAGGCTCGCCCATCGAGCTCCGGGTGACTATCGACAAGGACAAGGGATCAGCCGTCTTTGATTTCGAAGGGACTGGACCGGAAGTGTACGGCAACCATAACTGCCCAAAGTCGGTGGTCCACTCGGCCATTATCTACTGCCTCCGAGCGATGGTGGACCTCGACATTCCTCTGAACCAAGGCTGCCTCAACCCCATCGAAGTGCGCATTCCCAAAGGCTGCTTCTTGGACCCCAGCGACACCGCCGCCGTCGTCGGCGGCAATGTCTTGACGAGCCAGCGCATCACCGATGTCGTCCTCAAAGCCTTCCAGGCCTGCGCGGCGAGCCAGGGTGACTGCAACAAGTGAGTCACGTCCTGCGCCTTCCTCTCTTTCGAGGTTATTCTTTAAAGACACTCACACACACACCAATATCGCCAGCCTGACCTTTGGCCTTGGAGGGACCGACGAAAAGGGAAATCACATAGAGGGCTTTGGTTACTATGAGGTCGGTTCGCCACTTCATCCTCTTCGAGTCTTTGCTCATCGCCACTGACTGCTTTGTTCCATCCTGTAGACCATCGCTGGAGGTAGCGGCGCCGGCCCAAGCTGGCAAGGGACGAGTGGCGTCCACAGTAAGTACCGTCTTGCCTCTTTTCTCTTCCTCTCCTACGCTGCACACCACTCATACAAACTGTGCCCCCCCTTCGACTAGCCCACATGACAAACACCCGCATCACTGATCCTGAAATCATGGAGCGGCGCTACCCTGTCGTCCTCCGCGAATTCTCCCTTCGCGACGGCAGTGGCGGCAAGGGAAAGTACGACGGTGGTCGAGGCGTCGTGCGAGACATTGAATTCCTCTCAAAGGAGATTCAGGTCTCGATCCTCTCGGAGCGAAGGGTCTTTGCGCCGTATGGCCTCAATGGGGGCGGCGATGGCCAGAGCGGGCTCAACATCTGGGTGAAGAAGGACGAGTCGGGCGAAGCGGGGGCAGAGAGGAGGATCAACCTGGGAGGCAAGACAACGGTCAAATTCAAGAGGGGCGACCGGATCATTGTCAACACGCCAGGTGGCGGAGGGTGGGGCACGCCCGAGGGCGATGCAAAGCAGCAAAATGATGCAGACAAGACGCACGTCCACATCGACAGACGCCAAGGCTCTCTAGCCGAGCGCGAGGCAGCCTCACTCGGTGCTTGAGCTTCAGTGCAATGTGAACAAATCTCCCTTTATTGACATTCTCGATGTGTGTGTGTGTGTAGCTTTACTCTTCCATTGGCTCCACCTCGCCCACCGTGGCGTTGCCGCCCGGCGCTGTGTCACCGGTACCCGTCGGTGCCTGCGACTGTCTCGGCTCCAGTCTGTGAAGCAAATGGTCAGTTGAGAAAGCTAATTAAATCCGCATGGAGACTGGAGACGCACCGGTTCAACCAGTGCTTGAGATCCTCTCCCTCAACGATCTTGAATTTTTCTGCGTTTCTCGATTCGGGCGACTTGGAGTCTGCGTCTGCGTGTGGGCCAACGATGGACAGGGAAATGGCGTCAAGCTCGAGCTGATGATTTGTGCAAGGAGAGTTGCGTCAGCAAATGGGTATCGCAGAGGACGAGAAGTTGAGAAGAGGAGCAGCACTCACGTCCTTTCCTTGTTGGAGCGTGTCTCTCAATGCGTACAGGCCCTGCAGCACAAGGTCGTCGAGGCTCATTTCTGCAAACGTCTCGTGCCGTCTCTCAAGGAACGTCTTTGCGCTCTGACTCCTGGCACCCAGCGCCATTGCGTAGTACTCGAAGCAGTTGCCCGTCGGGCTGAACTCGTAAAGGTGGGGGCCAGTGCCGTCGACGCCGATGACGAGGAAACCAACACCGTAGGGGCGTTTGCCGTACTGCATCGTGTTGAGCTGGGCACGGTCAGAGAGAGCCGAGATGAGTCGGGACAGGGGAATGGGCCGAGAATAGACGACGCGGCTCGACAGGGACAGCTGGCGCATGTAGTTGGACAGGACGCGGGCATCAGAGGTCAGACCGGCGAAGCCCATACCGACGTGGTTGTCGATGCGGAGCATCTTCTTTTGGTATGAAGCAAGCTCCGAAGGGGCACGTTTCAGTGCGACGAGGATGGCATGCGTCTTGGAGCGAAGTCCGACGACAGCGCTGCCTTGCTTGACTGCCTCGAGGGCATATTCGACCTGGTGCAAGCGTCCCTGGGGAGAGACTTCCAATGTTCGTTTTGACAGTCAGCTTCAGATCTAAGAAAAGGCACAGAATCATTGAGAGAGGCCCATACTCACACACTGTGTTCTCGCTGTCATACGTGTTGCGGAACATTGCGAGACCAGCACCTGTGCTTTGTCGTTGCGCGGTGCTGTGTTGCTGAGATGGAGGGGGGGGGATGGCCCTGGCTTCGCAAAGGCGTCGCGGCTTTCCACACGTGGAGCCTCAACTATCTCCGACTTCCGTGCTCGCTCGCTCGAGCCGACGCGCCTTCTTCCTCCTACCCTTCATCGACTACGCCCTCGCACCACAGAAAGCAACAAGCGATGGCTTTCCTCGGCCCTGCCGTTCGGTGGCCCGATGTTCTTGGGATCAACGCCACGGCTGTGTTCGAGTCGGTGCAGCCTCACCTGCCTGCACCGCTCGCGACGATGGACGCAGACCTGTTCATGTCCCTCTGCCTCTCCTTCACAGTCATTGCACTGATCACCGTTTCGTCGACCATCCTCAAGAGCCGCTCAAAGCACGGCGTACCCGTGTCGGCCTCATCTGCACGGAAGCTTCGAAGAAAGGAGACACCGACTGTGCTGCTCGCCGGTCCCACATCGGTCGGCAAGACGTCGATCTTCAGCGGCCTGGCGCTTGGATGCGTGCCGAGTGCGCACCCGTCGCAGCGCGGTAGCGAGTCGACCGTGTGGCTCTCCCCAACCAAGAAGGTGCACCTCGTCGACACGCCCGGCCATCCGAGACTGAGGGCCCGTGCCGTGCAAGGCTACCTCTCGAGCGTGGATGCCGTCGTGTTTTGCATCGATGCCAAGGAAGCCCTTCGGGGAGGCGCCTCGGCCGGCCTTGCGTCCAAAGACGCCACCGGCGGCTTGACAGAGGCGATAGATCACCTGCACGCTGTCTTGACGTCTCTCGCCCAGTATCGGCTGCGCCAAGGAACTGCGTCTTCGCCTGCGCCGGCCCTCGTCATTGCCCTGACACGTGCAGATCTCTCGCCCCACCTCGCCAACGTCGACCTTTCCTCGTCATCGGAGGAGGACATCAAGCGGAGAAATGCGCTTCTCGCCCGGGCAAGGACCGCCGTTGAGGTGGAGCTGGGACGGAGGCGGGCGGGTATGCGACTGGGCCGCAGCGCCAGTGCCAAGATCGGCGGCATGTCGCAGGTGGCCGGCTCGGGCCAGGCAGATGGTGTCTGGGCATCAATCAAGAAGATCCTGGGTCTTCAGGGACGTGCTTCTGGCAAGGGGTCAGACGGGACAGACGGCGATGATGGCGACGACGAGGAAGAGCCGGCAGACTACATCGACTGGACTCTCCTCGACCGGGGCTCGTCTGCATTCAGCCTCGACAAGCTCGATGCCGACGTCGTGCAGGACGGCAAGGCCCTGGCTGCGTTTGCGAGCGTGGGCAAGGAGAGGGGATGGGAAGAGAGGCCCATCGAGGGGCTAAAGGAGCTCCAAACAACACTGCTCAGCGTGTAGCCCTCGCTCTTTGCGACAGGACAAGCTGTGGATGTGGAAATTGTATTCATTATTGCGAAAAGAGCAGACGACCCACGACGACGGTCAAGAGGGCCGTTGTGACTGACGAGACAAGATTGACGGCATTGTTACTTAAGACATCTCTGCCTGTGATGACCTGCCACTTGCCACTGCTGCCGCTGCCGCCTTTTTTAGCCTGCTCGTGCTTGGGCAGCCTGCCACCGACGAGGACCTGCTTTGAGGCCGTGTTGTACCAGGTGCGCTGCAGCGTCGCACCGAGGAGCGAGTCTATTGTGCTTCCTGCCAAGCCCGCGAGGCTGCCGAGAAAAACAAGCTTGGCGAGGGCCGTCGAGGTGCCGTGAGCCAGCCTCGTCTGACAGGCGGCATTGTCAAAGAAGAGGAGGCTGGCACCGGAAAAGAGGCCGATGAGCGTGCCGCCGGCCAGGGCAGCCACGGTGCCGACGAGTGACTGACCGCCATTCGTGCCGGGGGGCACCTTTGCAAAGGGCGGCAGGATCAGCCTCGGCGAAGTGCGCGAGAGGATGCCGAGCTCAGAGGCGAGCGTGTCGCCCATGCAGCATGCAAAGTGGCCCAGCATAGCCAAGAAGCAGCCCTGGGCCACGGCGCCGGTCCGGTCGCCCAGCCACGGGAACAGCGAGGTGGAGTCGTCGACGAGGAGCAGACACCATCGCTTTCCGGACTGCCATGTGATCGAATGCCGATGGGGTTTCAAAAAGCCCGGCACCAGGGCGGGAGAGACGTCGTCGACGTAGAGCAGACGAAAGAGGACAGACGCGACGACGGCTGTGGCCGAGTTGCAAAACACCTGCCAGGCATCCCTCTGCCCTCCCTGCTTGCTCTTGTGATTTGCCTTTTCCTCTCCCTCGCGCTCCAACTTGGCCTTTGTGGCGGACCCGACCTTTGTGGCGCGGCTGCCGACGAGGTAGAAGAACAGGAGCGTGGTTCCAAACGTTGAGACAGGGTTGGCCAGCGTCAGGTACCCCACAGTGAAAGCCGCAAGGGCGCCAGAGACGGCGAGGCTGCCCTTTCGATAGCCGTGCAGCGAGAGGAGAATGGCAAGCGCAAGCGCGACCGGGTATACCTTTGTCTTTGCCATCCTATCCCCACGTCGTTTGCAGGAAGCCTTCGGATCGCCTGTTCCAGTGAAGGGGTGGAGGCAGGAAGAGCACCAAACCTCGGCCGAGCCCGAAGAGGCTCGTCGAGCGAGAATCGCGTCAGGCTCTATACGCGGAACGCGTCGCGTCTTTTTTGTCAATTAGATATTCGTTTCGGCTCTGCAGGGGCGTTCGTTCGCTGCATCACAACCATCACCACCACTACCGTGTCTCTGTGTTCACTCCGATGCTGGGACGAACAAGCCGCAGGGACGATTCGTCCGCGTTCAGAGCCGTTGGCGCGCCCTTGTCATCCTCAGCCAAGGGCAAGGTGGACCACTTTGCTGCTGTCGAGAGGCGGCTCGTGCCCAGGTCGCAAAGAGCCGGCTCTCCTGCGTCGTCGTCGTCCTCATCCTCGTCGGGCGAGGGAGAGCAAGACGGCGGGGATGATGAAGGTGAAGTAGCGGGCCCGTCGTCATCGCCTGCTTCCTCGTCGGCAAGCGAAACTTTTCGTCTCGGAGATGCAGTCTACACCAAGTCGAACATCGCTCACCCCAACCTTGGCATCCTCACCGACATTTGGCGCCCAGAGCAGGATGACGAAGACGAGGAAGAGGATCAAAATGGCGACGAGACAATTCTCTGCCGCGTCCGCTTCCTCTATTGGCCGCAGGACGTCTCCCAAGTGACCGCCAAGAAGCTCGGAGGACTGATCGAAAAGGATGAGGTCTACTACACCCACACCGCTCCGCGACGACCGGGGAGAAAGACCAAGAACTCGCTGCGGTACGGCCAGGACATTGACGACGGCTTTGAGCGCGGGCCATCGCTGCTGGAAATGACGATCAACGTCGAGTCGATCCTGGGAAAGACTTCAGTATGGGCCTCGCGCGAGGAGTGCGAGGAGGCGCAAAGTGCCAAAGCACCTGCGGAAAGGCAGCTCACCTTCAAACGAAAGAAGTGGAGCACCGACGTCTTTGTCAAGCGGGCCATCGATCCGATTCGGGAAGTCTTTTGGAACGTCGACTGGAGGGCCGTCGAGGGGAGGGGAAGACAATGCGGGAAGTGGGATTTGGCCGAAGGGGATGACGGATCGAAGGTCCGGAAAGCGGCGGGGGACAGCGACACCTTCTCGCCGCTCGAGACGCCAGGCAAGAACGCAAACGAATGGGCGCTGATCTTGACTCGCGAATTTGGCATCAGACGTGTCGACAGCGATGAGCCGAAGAGACGGAGGAAGCGGGATCCAGTCATAGACACGCCCAGCAAGAGAAGAGGGCCGACGAAGACCAAGCTCAAAGCAGGCAAGCAGACGCGCCGATCTCTCTCTCCGGCTTCAGACAGCGACAGCGAGAGTAGTCTCAGCGAACTGGACGGTGACGATGGAGGTCAGGATGCCTTTACGTTGGATTCGTCCGACCACGGGTCTGACTCGGACGACTCAACGGCCATCACCTCTGAGGAGGAGGATGGTGAGACTGACGATGGGGGCGAGTTCGAGGACGGGGACTCGGACGAAGATGGTGGCGATTATCTGTCAACGAAGAGAAAGCGAACAAGGGGACCTACAACGCCGAGGAAGCGGCGTGTCGTCCTTGCTGATTCGTCGCCCGTCAAGGCCTATGCGACGCCGCGGTCTCGGGCGAGGATTCTTGGTCTGAAGCGCGCCACGGCATCGGCCGTCTCGCTCCCCGCCCAAGCGCCCAAGATGACATCGCTCTCTCTTGATGAGCTGAGGTCCATGTCTGCACAGGACCGTGCAAAGCGGCTTCTCCACGTCGGCGCCACGCCAGAGGCGCTGCCGTGCAGAGAAGAGCAGTACGATGAAGTGCTTGCGTGCGTTGAGGATGCTGTCGAAGAAGGCATTGGCGGCTGCCTTTACGTGTCGGGCGTTCCAGGCACGGGCAAGACGGCAACGGTGCGAGAGGTGATTCGATCGTTGCAAGGCAGAGCAGAGCGTGACGAATGCAACCCGTTTACGTTTGTCGAGATCAATGGTATGAAGCTGCCCGACGCCGAAGCCGCATACAGCCTGCTCTGGTCAGCCCTCAGTGGTGGAGAACGCGTTGGACCAAAAACGGCTCTCAAACAGCTTTCGGCTCACTTTGGTTCCGGCGCATCTTCCTCTCTGGCAAAGGGCGGTCGGCGAAAGGGAACGAATGGATCCGCCTTTGAGTCGGGAGCAGGCGGACCGGCGAGGGCCGCGACCGTGGTCCTGATGGATGAGCTGGACCAGCTCGTCACGACGCGCCAAGACGTCATGTACAACATGTTCAATTGGCCCAACACGCCTGGATCTCGTCTCATTGTCGTTGCCGTTGCCAACACGATGGATCTGCCGGAGAGGGTTCTCAATCCCAAGGTCGCGTCCAGGCTGGGCATGACGAGAATCACTTTCATGCCCTATACAGATCGCCAGCTTGTGGAAATTGTTGAGAGCCGGCTTGGCTTTACATTCGACCAGGAGCAGAGCGAGGCTAACGGCGAAAACGACCGAGCCAAGTTGGTAGTACGTGGCTGCAAAGACGTTTTCACCCGTGACGCCCTCACGTACGTCTCGAAGCGCGTCTCAAATGTGTCGGGCGACGCGCGCAGGATGCTCGATGTGTGCCGACGCTCCGTCGAGCTGGTCCAGCAGCAGGGACCGGCTGACCGCAGCGTGTCAATCGGCGATGTGCGGAAAGTTCTCGACGCAATGGTCAAGACTGGAAAGGTGTCGCACATTGTCTCGCTCTCTCTGCATGCCAAGATCTTGCTCCGAAGCCTGCTGAGCTGCGTCAGAAAAACAGGCCTGACCGAAGCCGCATGGGGCGACGTAGTTGCGCATCACAATATTCTCTGCAGAATGCAGGCCATTCACGGTTCGCACAGCGGCTCCGCCAGCCAGAACAATGGCTTCTCTGTTCAGGACCTGTCTAGACCACTGGCCAGCCTTTGCGGCCTTGGTCTCGTCGTATGCGTCGGTGGCGGATTCAACCCCGGCAAGCTAGGAATTCACTCTAAGCTCCTTTTGGCCTGTCAGGAAGACGAGATCCGGCTTGCACTCGAACAAGATAAGGATGACCGGATTCGAAGGATGCTTTAGTTACTCTCAAATATACCATCATCGTATCGCACCTCATTGTCATACTCTATGAATTTATTTGTATTACGCCTCATCAAGAGACGGCTATTAAAGGATCTTGATTGGGGGCAACAAAGCTGTCGTTTCTAGTCGTCCTCAAAAGACAATAGTCACCGTATCGATTCGTACCCTTCCGGAGCCACTTGGGTAGCCAATAGGCCCGTTCTACCGTCGCCCAGATCTTGTCCGAGATCAGTGATGAGGGAGGAGCATGACTTGAGCCAGCATCTAGGAAGTCGAGGCAGAGGACACGGTCCCACTGATCAGCATTGACGGCGTACCGGGGCTCGTATGTCGGAGGAGGCTCCGCAGAAGGATGTGCATAGCGATGGGGATGATCGAGATCGACGATGTAGTCGCATGTGTCGACGTGAACGTAGCGATCAGGCTCTTCAAGGTTCATGTCATTGAATCCTGATGGAACGGCCCTCGTAATCCCTTTCCAGGGCCAAGCCCAGCCCAACACATCATCGAGCAAGCCGAGTTGAGAGACGGTCGCACCTTCGGCAGTAGAACCAGACGCAAAGTGCTTGGGAAGTTGACCGTTGAATTCTGACTTGATAAAGTCCACACGGACGCCATCGGGAACGAGGTAGTGCGTCGGAAAGCGGTACCATTCCTTTCCGTAACAGAGCCTGATGGACTCCCCTTGTTCAGCGCTGCCAGTGTTGGTCTTGAGCGGCGAGAGATCCACACTTGGTTCCTCGGCCTCTACACCAGACGAGCTATAGAGAATCCTTGCGCCCTGCGCCAATTTCTCCTCCCTCGTCCGCACAGGCTCAAGCCCCGCTGATATCCGCTGGCGCACGATAGGCGTTTGCTCTCCCGGAAAGCGTTGTGCGACAACACGAGGCAGCTCATGGCGCGAGAAGAAATCGAGGAGAGTCATGGGTGCATGGTACGAGTGGGCGACATGGAGAATCCTCGAGACGTTGATGAGCGCGCAGACACATACTATCGCCGCTGTGCACAGCGAGAAGAGCTTTGTGCGAGATGCCTGGGAGAAAGAGTGAGGAGAAATGTCAACGAAAGGAGAGGGAGAGAGAATATATGAATATTACTCACTTTGTAGGTTGACTTTGTACACCTGGTGTAGACCCGTTCCAGACAGCTTCTGAAAAGGTAGATTGACACTGCGGCGTTGAAGCAAAGCAAAGGATACGCTGGGAACATGAAGCGCTCCTCTTTGTGCGCCTGAGACGTCAAGAGTCCCATCCACAAATACTGAGGCAACAACCGAAGGGTCAGGAGTAGCGCTTCCGAAGAACCTTGAAGGCCATCGGGGTGTCCCTTTTGTATGGTTTTGGACGTTGATTCGAGGGGCTGCAGGCGTCTTCGATCGACGATGAGGGTGAGACCAAGGGCAGGAATGCTCAAGATGGACAGCAGCAGAATTGGTCCGAAGTTCAATGTGAGGTTGAGCAGGTAAAAATACCATGGTTCGACGCCGTAAAGATCTGGACCTGCTCCCCTCCTGGCCGAAAGGATGTTGTAGACCACGATATTGACGGGGACAAGGACCGGCCTTCCGTACGCGAGCGTGTCTATAAGGATGAGTGGCACGGCAGACAGAGCTGCGACGGAGGCGACCTTGACTCCACTGATAGTCCTTGCGATCCACAGATTTGTCAACCTCGAAGTCGAGACCAAGAGGCCGCTCGCCAGAAAGATTTCCTCGAAGACAAACGGCACCGATAAGAAGAGCGCAAATGGCCAACCCCACAGTGTGCCGAGCGCAAAGGCCCCTACTGCACCCAGAAGTCGGTACGGAGGTGTCGATGGGAGGTTGACGTTGGAAGGAAAACGCTCTTTTGCTGACCTCGATGGGTAGAAAGCGAAAGAGAGGGCCAAAGTAGACGTGTACATCACAAATGTTGAGGGTAGAAGAGCTTTGATAGCAACGTCAGTGATTCTGTGCACCCTCGTCTCGCTCAGAACGCTCACCTGTTGAAGCCTCGTACATGCCGGCGGAGCACAGCAGCAAGGCAAGCATATACCTTGCCACCCTAGGATTGACGACTTGGGCGACTGAGCGAACCAAAGACGCCTCGCAGAAGGACGAGGTGAATGCGAGTGTCATTCGAACGGCGAAGAATGCAGAGCGCTGCTATGACTCGTGAGCATGTCTGAACATTGAACTGATCGGCCCTGCTTACCTTGTCCGCGTGGAAGAGACCGACAAAATAGCGTGCGACGGGCAAATATTGCAAAAGGTAGAGCCAGGAGCGGATTGCAAAGGCTGGGGAGTACTCCCATGTCTCAAATGCGCTCTGAGATGAACCGAGTGGGCGAGGTGGGTGGCTAAGGAGGTGGAGAGGCTCCCAGTAGTTGAAGGCTGTGTACGCATATGTTGGCGGGCTTGAAAGCAAAGACTTCAAGTCGACTCACTCTCATCACAGTCCGGAATACCCGAGTACATTGCCGACATGACACGGACCAGCAAGAGCATCCGAAAGCTGGTGCCCAGACTGGGTGTCCATGGCGCTCTTTGCTGGCTGCGATGCTTACAATCGTTAGATTCGAGTAGAGGAGCACCAGCGGGAAGCAGTACTTACACCCTCGTGTAGTCCTTGAGCAAGCCAGGGTGCAGAGATCTGCCAGTGTGCATTCCAGCATCAGATAAGCGACCCGGTCCAGGCCCTGGAACCTGATCGCCGCCGCGGCGAGGAGTATGTCCACTTGTCATGAGGTCCGCCGTTGGCTGTGATGGCGCTTCCAGGAAAAAGAGAACAAGTCAAAAGCAGGGTCGGCCCGTGCGAAATGTGAAGACACGTGGCTTTGCACTGTGCTTTGCGCTCCCATAGCTACAGAATACAATCAAGTACCCTCCCCATGAGCACCCTGCAGACTAAAAACAGAAATGAATTCGCGAAAATGCACGGGGCACCTGTCGAATTTCACAACGGTTGTTGAAACACGGCTGCGAAACTCGCCTCGACGATGGTCTGGTGGAACTCGTTCACAACGTCAACAGTGCCATGTCGTCGTCGTCGTCGTCGTCGTCTGCTGTGCCCGTGTCGTCAGCGGCGGGCGGCGCCGCTGGCTTGACGCCCGCCACGCAGCCGCGCATCAGCCGCTGGGTGGGCGCTTTTCTTCGAGCAGTCCTCATGCCCCTCATCGTCTTTGGCATTCCCGCCTGGCCGGTCCTCGGTGTCCTATGCGCTGGTGGGTCCCACCTCGTTGTTCTTGCCCCGTCTCACCCCTGCTGACTGTCCGCGTGCCTCTCCTCTGGCAGTGCCCGTCATCGGCATCGTGTGAGTGTGCTCTTGCGATCATCTTCGGGCTCACGCATGCCAAGGCTCACTTATTTCTCCCCGCCACAGCACCATCCCCCTGTTCCTGCTCCTCACCGTCCTGCTCCTCTACGCCATCGCCTGGTTCTCCTACCTCGTCCTGGCCCAGGCCGACCCGCCGTCGTCGTCGCAGTCGGGCTACCTCGGCGGCTACCTGCCCTTCCTGCCCTTCTCGCCCGTCCGATGCCTCAAGATCAACTGGGCCACGCTCCTCTATGCCACGGCGGCTGCAAAGGTGGCCTTGCCTGCCGTGTTTGACTGGTGCTACCGCCGAGTCATGGTCCTCGGCACTCAGGGCGGCGGCGGCATCGTGCGCGAGAATATCCTCTACGGCTCCCCCTACCCAAACCGGCGCCTCGACGTCTACGTGCCTCCGCTGCGTGACTCGGGCCTGCCCACCTCGTCGTCGTCCACAGCTTCGCTGCACAACCTGTCCAAGTCGAGGCATCGCAAGCACTCGACGCTCTTTGCAGAGCCCTCGTCTTCGGACTTTGTCCACGCCCTCGACGCCGACCCGAGCCTGGGCGTTGGTGGTGGCAGAGGGACACGCAGTGCGCCAGGAGCGCCTGCGCTGCCCAAGGCGCCCGTGATTGTCTTTGTGCCCAGTCCGATCCCGCCGCTGGGCTGGACCAAGAAGAGGGTATGTTCATACTCACCTTGCAGCTCGGCAACGTGGTTCGACTGCTGAGCTGACGAGAACCATCATCTCTCTTTCGCAGAAAACGTATCTGCAGCTGGCGCTTCGGCTGAGGCGCCAGGGCTACTGTGTCTTTGTACCCGACATTGTGAGTGTGGAGCGAGCCTCTTCATTGGTGTGTGTGTGCGTTAAGCAGCCCGCTGACACGCGCATGAACTTGTACAAAAGACGTGGTACCCAGAGGCAAGGGTCAAGGCCTCGGTCATCGACCTGCGCCTCGTCCTGCGCTGGGTGGCCGACAACTGCGCGCGGTACGGCGGCGACGTCAACCGGATCCACGTCATGGGCCACGGCATGTCTGCCCATCTCATCATGCTCACCCTCACCCAGGAGGCCGTCGTCCTCAGCCGCGAGGGCCATCTGGAGCGCGAGTACGAGCGCCAGGAGGAGTCACTCAATGCGACCATGATGCAGCAGCAGCCGCAGCAACCATCTCACTACTACCGACACCAGCATCAGTACTCCAACAGCGGCGGCGACCCTACCGAGACGGGCAACAAGGAGCGCGGCGAGGCCGAGCTGGCGACGGGTGAGCAGGCTGCTCAGCAGCGCAGGCGCCTGGCCGCGTCCGCTGCCGCGAGGAGCATGGCCAAGCCGACGGTCGATGAGTCCGTCGATGACAACGCCTGGGTCGATGAGGCTGTAGACGAGGCGTCAGTAGGCGATCTGCCGCCGGGCGCTGTCATGAGCGGCGTCTCGAACCCCGAGGCCAGGCTGGCCAGCCAGCTCGGCCACGAGGGCCCAGTCCCCTTTCCAACAGCAGCCACGGCAGCAGCAGGAGCAGCATCGCAGCCCTCCTCAGGCGACGGGCGACACCCCAATGGCACATCTAGCAACGCCGCCGCCGCCGCCGCTGCCCGGCTCGGCCAAGCAGGCCCCTCGACGGCCATCTCCAATGGCCTCCGACGCGTCGAGATCTACGAGGCTCACGTGGAGCTGCCGCCCATCGCCGGTGTCATCCTCCTTGCTGGCGTGTTTGATGTCATCAAGTGCTTCCGCGGCGAGTCTGACCGCGGCGTCGAGCACCTCTCGTCGCTCCGGCGCAGCTGCGGGCCCAGCCACACAAGCTGCCTGCTCCACTCGCCAGCGCACCTCCTGTATGCGGCCAAGAACCTGCTCGACACGTCGCTCCTCCCGCCCAAGTTCCTCCTCATCCACGGCGGCAAGGACGCCGTCGTCGACATTTCCCAGTCGACGCTCCTCAAAACGCTCCTCTCGGGCGTCGGCGTCGAGCAGGTCAAGCTGCGCGCCTACCGCGAGCTCGGCCACGCAGAGGCCGTCGCCAGCCTCTTTGTGGGCATGGGCAAGGCTAGCACCCGCTATTCGCGCCAGATCATGACCGACATCTCCGACTTTGTCACCCTGTAGCAGACGCAGGAGCTCTCAGTCTGCCCTTGCCCCCTGGGTCCGGGTCCTCTCTTTTTCTTTCTTTCTCTTTTCGATACACTGTCACATTCTGGAGCTAGTCAATATGGGCTTTAATAGGGATCGTTCATCATATTGTCTCTCTGTGTATGTGTGACATTGTCTTAAGTCTGAGAAGGGTAGGTGACGTCGGTGCGCCGAGCGATGCCGATGCGTCGCGGGCCGTCGGGCTGCGCACCTGGACCATAGTCGAACGTGACGGCGTAGGAGCGGAGAAAGACGGTGCCTAGCACTACGAATGTTTCTTCGAAGCCCTGGATTCTGTGACGATCGCAGCGGGTCAGTTCAGGTCAGGTCAGGTCAGGTTCGATTGTAAGAGAGAGGGAGAGGAGAAGAAGCTCGTCTTTGAAACCCACGCTGAGAAGCAGAGACCTTCACGGCCGCTGGTCAGACTCGGCGGAAGCGGGTCTTTTGGAAAGAAGACAAGATCCGAGGCGGGGATCGAAAAGGTGGTGTGGCCGATGCCGAAAGAGATAATCGGGGCTGGTGGAGGTCGCGGCGGTGGTGGCGGCGAGGACTCCGACGACGACGACGGATTGCGGTCGGCACGCGCGTCGAGGCCTGTAGCGCAGGGGATGGACCAGCGACCAAGCTCTTTCACAAAGAAGGCGCCGGGAATTGCGCCATTGAGGAGCGCAGCGGCCTCGCGGGGCAGTGAGATGAGTGCTGAGCCTGTATCGAGGACTTTGGTGGCCTCGTTTCTCAGCTCAGTGGCACTTGGTTTGAATGAATGCTGTCATCCACGACAAGTGCTCACTGTAGTTGACGGGCTCGTTGATCTTCCACTGCACTGCTTCTCCATTGATGAGCAAGGGTGCCTCGGCCGCAAGGAAGCCGCCCCAGAAATCGTGTGCATCGCTGGGGAACCATTCGAAGCTGTCCTCACGGTGTCCCATGACGGCGGCCAGGTCCACGTCGCCAAAGGTGATGCGTCCACCGAGGCCCACGCCCGTCCTTCGGTCGGCCTTGACGAGCGTCAGGCTGAGAAAGGGCCGGTACAGGTGTCCTTCACGTACGAGAAGCTCCATGGGCGAGACGGTGCTACTGCGCATGCGCGGCGTTACGTAGGACGACGGTGCGAAGCTGTGTTCCTCCATCAGCGTCCGTCCTGACTTTGTAACCAGAAGGCAAGAGACCCCCTACTGCACTCGTACCCCATGATGCCGTCGAGCTTGCGCTGTGACGCAACGGTGTCCTTGACGATGTCTGTCGCGACAATGACGGTGGCCTGTCTGACCTTCAGGTCCGGCGTGGTCTGCGACAGCGACACGGTGTCGGAACCCGCGTAGCCACGCAAGCCACGATTCCTTGCGCCATACTCGAGCGTCACCTCATCGCCTGGCTGACCGCGCGGCACACGCACCGACTCGCCCGTTCCCCGATTCACCGTCCGGTTCGCGTATGTCTCTGATGCTCCCGGGTCAAAGAAGCTGTGGTTCGACGCAAAGCAGCACGTAGGGCCGTACGCCCATGTCTCCCCTGTTTCGACAGATTGCATTCAGCCTGCATCAGGGACAAACAACGCTTCCCACACTGACAAGAGCCTGTGTCGGGAAGTAGGAGCACCCGCTGGCCGGGCGTTCCGATCCACACTTCGATGAGGTACTAAGTGCGCCAACGGTCCTAATTTAGCGCGCTTCGCCCAGGCAACAACCAATTGAGAACACAAAGAGAGGACAAAGGCCTCACCTCGTTGTCAGCTTCTGTATTGTCAACGTGGGATACGCCTGTGCCAGTCCTCATGCGCTGTTCTGTCTCATGGTTGTGTCCGTGCGCGTCCACCTGCATCAGACGACGGTGAAGCTGCTGATTTGTCCCTTTGCCCGTCCTCGACTTGTGCCGCGATCGTCTGGGCTGATGGTGTCCACCCACGTTGGCGAGTCGAGAAAAGTCGGGAAAAAGGCACGCCTTGGCCTGCGGTGCTAGCTTGTTGCTCCGGTGGTCCTCGTACGGAAAGAGTGCTCCGATCGGCTTGGTGACCAGCTGCGCCTGGTTCTGCTGAGTGGCACGCGTGAGCGAGGCGGTGTGCCTGGACGCGCGACCGGAGGAGAGAGGATCGGAACGGGCCGTGGCGTCGACGCCAGTGCGAAAACCGAGTACGGATAGCATAATACTCAACACAGCGGCCAGCACCATTGCCGACGACAACAGATGCGCCTTTAGCGCGCCCACCGTCATGCCACTACGAACGTCCTTCGCGAAGAGCCAAAAACAAATGGGGAAAAAACAAGAGGGAGCTGCACTTTGAGAGAGAAACCAAAGTAAGCACAAAAGGCCCAAATAGGGGGCAAAGTTGACATTCAGCAAGCGACGGAAAGGAAAGGCCGAAAGTGGGAGGAGGGCGGAAAAGGGGAGGAGCCGCGCTCGCCACATCGCTCGTTCCTGCCGCGTCCTGCCACGCTGCCGCCGTCCTTTGAATGAAAAGATAGCGGAGCGTGAAGATTCACGGCCAAGCTGAGTAGCTTTGTTTCAGGAACACTGCTGATGCAAAGGCCACCCGCTTTTTCAACTGAATGTTGGTCATGATGAAGTCTTCGCCGCCACGCCTCCCATGCATCGTGAAAGATGCTTGCTATGCACGGAGCCGGCATTCCCGAAACCAAATATACCACCCTCGTACCAATCACCACGTATCTGGTTCTCTAACCAAATGAGATCTGTTGAAGCCCGGGTCGTCTGCGACAATTCGCCTTCTCATCCTATCAAGTGATGCCACCGTGCGGATACTAAATTGATGAGGAAGAGTGGCGTCTGAAAGCAGCTCACAGGCTCTTTGTCACCGTTTGACAGTGGCCGGCCGACAGTCCGTCAGGGCCTTCGCACCGAATTAAAGATAACGCAATTTTGGCGCGCTTGGACTTCCGTTGACCGCCCATTCTTTGAAGCATTGACACTCGAAACTCGACCTTTGGTCGCCCTCGGTGCGTTGTCCGCCAAGCGGGTCGAGTTCAGGGAGGAAGCGACAACGCAAGTCGTATCGTTTTGATAGAGAGGTCTGTTCGCCCGTCATCTGAGAAACAAAGAAGCAATCGCTTCTGTACCGGACAAAGCCCCGATGTATACCTTCTATATGAAATGCAATGGTCTTTCTTCGGGGATAGATCCCTGCTCGTGTTATCATGAATATCATCCATAAGAGGCACCAGGGCTTTTGCTTCTTGCTGCGCTGGAGACTGCCGAGCCCGAACCTTAACAGAGATACGGACCGATAGCATCTGAGTTCCGTGGGCAGTCCTCCTGCAAGATCTCACCGAAACAGTGGGAGCACGCATGATCGTTGAGGCAGAGAGGAAGCGCTGCTCGCGAGTGAGAAGAGGGGGCCGAGTGGGGCTGCAATATCTCAGTCCTACGTCCTCACGTTAGGAATAGTCGACCCTCAAGATTGCTCCATAGCGCTTGGCATTGGCTTCCTATGGTATTAAAGGAGCTGAGAGCCAACCCATCTCTCGGGCGTGTCGTCCCAGAACCGACAGCGAGAAAATGGACGGCATCGACTCACTATTTGTCGAGCTCGACACCGACCGCGACGGTTTCATCCACATTGCCGAGCTGGGCGACCACCTTTCCGACGTGTATAAACTCCTCTTTCCGCATCACGACGAATCTCTGACCAGAATCAAGGCAGTCCATGCTGCGCTTTTGCCAAACGACGCACAAGTAATGCTCGATCGCGACGCGTTTCGTCGGTTGGTCGAGCGGCAATGGACGACACCGAGTGAAGAATCCGAAGAGAAGAGAGCGCTAGGCTACACCAACGTCTTTGAGCGAGATCTGTCGTGGCAGTCTCGAATTGCGGCCAGCTGGCGCCTTTCGGCACATCGCTACCTCTTTGTTCTGGCAGTGGTCGCCTGCATCTTTACCAGTGCATTCGCCAACATGCTCAGGTATCTCCGCGACGAGGAAGCCATGCGTGCTTTTGTGAGTAAGCACCGAGATCATTCGGAGGAGGAGGGACATCACAGCTTTCTGACCGTCGCAGAAACAGGGACCGGGCATCGTCGTGAGCAAGGCGGCTGCGGGAGCACTGTACCCGACGCTGTTTCTCATGGTCATCTCCATGTCTCGTTGGCTGCCCACGTATGCAAAGCACCGCGGCATCCTCTCCACTTTCATCAATTGGGATCGCAGCAAGCCATTCCACATCGCCATGGCCTCTCTTACCGTTGTATTTGCAACCGTGCATGCGCTCGGTCATCTATTTGGCTCCTACCGCCATGCCGCTCGCGCTTCTGCTTCCGATCTGGCACCTTTCATACAAAGTCCGACTCCGACAATAAAGTATGCAAGTCTGATGAGGCTGCTCCCTTCCCCCAGCGGCCTGTTTGCACTCGCATTTCTCTACACTATGGCGCTATGCGGTCTTCCCGTGGTGCGTCGCCGGCAATTCGAGCTGTTTCAGCTCTCCCATCTCCTCATGTATCCATTTTGTGAGTTGTCTGAGCCGAGTCTTTCCCCTGCCCTCATCGTGACGCTTACTTGGGCATTAATTGTCGTGCCTTTAACAGTCGGCCTCATGATGGCTCACGGGACGCTCCGCCTGCTCCAGTTCCCCATCCTGGGCATCGTATTTGCCCCACCAGTGCTGCTCGTCCTTCTCGAGAGACTGCATCGTTCCGCGTACCGAGGCTTCTTTGTTTCTCACACAGCCGCCCTGGACATCGTCGACGCCACGACGGTCCGGCTGACCTTTGACAGCAGCGCAATGCCATGCTTCGTGCCGTTCAAGGCGGGGCAGTATGTGCTGCTACAGGTTCCGCAGATCAGCCGGTGGCAGTGGCATCCCTTCACCATTTCCAGCTGCCGCGGTGGAGTAGAGGAACAAGACCAGCAGGAGGTGACGCTGCACATCCGCACCACCGCCGGTGACTGGACGAGACGACTGCGCGAGTTGGCTAGTGCCGATGGAACTGCGACGGTGCGCGTCGGTCTCGATGGGCCTTTTGCGGCGCCTTCGGACGTCTTCTATCGCTACGACCGTACCGTCATCGTCGGCGCTGGCATCGGCGCGACGCCCTTCAGTGCGATCCTGCAGGACCTGAGCCATCGATGGCGCGCCGAGGTGGACCCTTGGAGGGAACATGAAGCAAAGAGAGCTGCTTACCGCCTGAACCAGCTTCAACGTGGGCTCAAGCGTATCTCTTCCAGTCGGGCAAGCTCGGTGACGGGCCACACCGTCGACATTCCTCGCTCTCGGCCAGTCACTTGGACGAATTTACCAGCCTCTGTACTTTCGCAGTGCTCCAGTCTCGCCTCGAGCGGCAACAGCCGTGCGTCTTCGTCGGTTGCGCTCCCAACACCCGTATATACCGTCGACTTCCACCCAAGTAGACCAGGTGGGCCACCTGACTCACAGCTGCGTGAAACACCCCCCTCACCGCAATTCAGCATCAAGCTCGAGCCGGGTCAATCTTCTCTGCAGCGCAGTGTTCTCTCTTGGGTGCTCCCCACTTCTCGTCCCCGGACTCCCTATTCGGTCGACACGGCGCACACCACCCTTCCCACGCCGTCGCCCAAGCGCGTCGATTTCGTGTGGACCGTTCGACAGGCCTCAGATCTCGACTGGCTCCTCCCGACGCTGGCCGAGGCGACACAGGATCTGCCAGACTGGATCGAGGTCCACCTGCGGCCCTACGTTACCTCTTCTGCTTCGTCTTCAATAGGGCCAGCAGCACTCGTCGAGGCGGCCATCGATGGAGCCGTGTTGCCAGTGCCCGTTGTTCGAGGTGCACGACCCCACGTGCCTGCACTCCTCGACGCCCTGCACGCAGACCTCGTTGCACAGCAGCCCGTGCGGCGTGGGCGGTGCGACGACATCGGCGTCCTCTTTTGTGGGCCAGCTAGCCTGGAACTCGAGCTTCGCGAGCACTGCGCCCATCTCACCTCGCGCGCCGTCCAGGACGGCAGTGGTCATCGCTACTTCTTCCACGCAGAGGCTTTCTAGTCATCCACAACCACCTCTCTTTTCATTCTCTCTCTCATTCTGTTTCCCTCTTGATGAATCTTTCTACTTCTAGGGATATATAGTAGATGGTGCATGCAAATTTCCAAGATATAAAAGACTCTACAGAACCGCCTCGTAGAACTGCCGGAGGGCTTTCCAGTACCCCTGGGCGTCGGCGCGGAGAATGTCGCAGTGGGGTGCGCTCTCCCAACGCCGAAAGGCCACCACGGGTGCAGGAGCTGACTTGTCCTTGCTACTGTCACTCTTCAGCGTGTCGACGGGCAAGGGGCCCTTTTGGAGCCCGCTCGTCTTGGCTGCCTCGTCGGCGTGCTTCTCGACGGCCGTGTACTTGATCAGCTTGTCGGCCTTGCTGTAGAGATAGAGGCGGGGCGGGAAGACATCGCCCTTGGCGGCGTCGCCGGCAGCGAGGGCCGACCAGCGCGCCGGGTTGTTGAGCTGGTGGCGCATGACCTCGCTCCACGACCGGCGGCCCAGCAGGCGGCGGTAGAGGAGCAGGAGGCCAAAGTAGAGCCAGACGGACCACCAAGCGGCGCTGCGGACGAGCCAGCTGCGGCGCGCGAGGGGCACCGTAAAGGCCGTTGCGCCCGACGACGGCGTCGCGATGCCTGGGCAACAGTCGAGCACCTGAGAGAGCACGGCGGGGTGGCCTGTCGTCTGAGCCAAGATGGGCAGGAAGCGGGCCAGGTTCGTCGCACCGCCGTCCGAGACTTGTATGAGGGATGCGTCAGTTAGTCATTGTCACACAAAGCAAGGAAGAGCCACACAAAGAAGGCATATAGAGATGAAGAGCACCACTCACACGTGTGGATGATGACGCCACGCGGCACTCGCGCAATGCTCGAGTCGCTGTCCTGCTCGTCGCTCTTCTCTTTGCTCTCGCGCGCGAGGCTGTTCTGTGCATCGACATCCATGCGCAAGCCCGCCTGGCGAGCACTCGCCTCGAGCCCGCGCTCCTGGTCGCGGAGCCGGTCGCGCTGGGCCATGCGCGTCTCAACCTCGGCCAGCACCTCGCCGACGCGCCTGGCCGTCTTCTGCTTGGCCGCCTCGGCTGCCATGAACGCAGAGCCCGTGGAGAGCTGCAGGACAATCGTCGAGTCGGGAAATAGGCGGGCGTAGGGCGCGGCGTACTTTGCGACGATGCGCAGCGGCGCGTCCATCCATCCCTGGATCAGCACCGCCGCCGGCGCCGGGCCACGCGACGTCGACACGGGCGCCAGGCCGTCGTCTTGCTGCTGCTGCTGCTGCTGCTGCTGCTGCTTTTTCAACTCTGCCTGCTGCTTCTGTCGCTCCCTGATCGGCGGAGGCCGGTAGACGTGGACGAGGCTGTCGAGCGCCTCGAATTCAACAGCCGGTGCGCCGCCGGGCGCGGCTGCCTTTGCGGCTGGCGGTGCCTGCGCCTGTGTCGCCATGTTTCGCTGCAAAGTGCTCGTCTGTCCTGCCCTTATTCCTGGGTTCGTGTTCTTCGTGAACGTCAGACGGGCCAGTCGACAAAAGAGCATGTACTGGATGAATGCACCACGGGGGGTCCCAGCTTTAGCGTGGTCCGGGGACGCAATTATTGTTTTGTTGCTGCCTCCGTCGGCTATCGGAACCCAACTTGGCCGGCAGCGCCAGTTATCCAGCGCGGTTGTTGCTGCTCTATGCAGGCACGGGCAGATCGGGTGTCCAGATTCGCCAAACTGCGCTTTCCTTGTCTTGACGTTGACTCTGGTGGCGTACAGATCGGCGCTCGCTCAGAAGTCGTAGCCATCTCATCGCATTTGATACCTCTATCTCCCCTGCCTCACTTATTCCCCATGAGTGATGACGCTCCCTCTGCACGGCTTGTGGGCCCGAGCGAGACGCGCCTAAATGACCAATGCGGGCCCTGAACTAAATCCCTGTTTTTAGTTTTCCATTTCCAAAGGGGGGGGGGGGGGCGTGACGGGCTGGCTGGCTGATTGATCGCATCGCATCGCATCGCATCTCATCACACCGCGCACGCACGCACACACTCCCTCACGACTCACCTCTTGTTGTCGTTGCCACGCCACGCCACGTCATGGACGGCTCTACGGCTCTCCCTGCCGCTGGCTTGTCGACGAACACGGCAGTAGCAGCAGCAGCAGCAGCAGCAACAGGAGGCACGCCAATGAAGACGGCCGACAGGGGAAGTGGTGGCATCAGCAGCGGCGGCGGCGCAGGCAGCCTAGGCAGCGCTGCGCAGGATGCAGCCCTCAAGAGCCACGTCCGGGCCATGCTCACTGGCGCTTTGTGTCCCGACGTGCGCATGACCGCCTTTGGCCGCGTCTACAGCCTCCACCGCGCCTTTCTCGTCCAGTCGTCATTCTTTGCTGCCATGCTCAACGGCGGCTTCCGCGAGGAGAACATCAAGATGGACATCTTTGCGCACCGTGGTGGTGGTAGTGGCCGCCATCGCGATCGCGATGGCGACGAGGGCGATGATGAGGATGGGGAGGACAGCGGCTTCGAGGATGGTCGAGGCGGCGGCGTGCGTGCTAGCGATGACGACGACGACGGCGTCATCCACCTGCGCTTCGACGACCCCAACATCGCCCGGCCTGCGTTCGAGTACTGCGTCACGACCCTCTATGGCTGCGCGCCCGAGCTCGTGCTGCCCGCCTGGGCGTCGCCCAAGCCAGACTCGCCCTTCACGGCGCACTTTGTCCACGGCGAGAACGGCGACCCTTCCTCGTCGTCATCGTCGCTGGCCTCGTCGTCGCTCGCAGCATCGTCGTCGCTAGCAGCAGCACCGTCGCTGCTCCCCAATAGCAGCAGCACGGACCCGTCAGCGGTTACGACGCCCTGCCATCCGGCCACACCGCGCTTCCTGCTCTCGCTCCTCGCCACGTCCATCTACCTCGGTATCCCTGCCGTCACGGCACGCGCATACACCCTCGTCCTCTGCTCCCTCACGCCCTTTACCGTCGCTCACTACCTCGGCTTCTCGCTCGGCCACGGCATCCAGGGCGCCATCGCGGCCAGCCACGCGGCGAGGCGGCCCGACGCCCACCTTCCCGCGCTGCAGCAGCAGCAGCACGCTGACTGGGAGCTCAGTGGGCCTGTCTGGGGATTTGAGTCTATGGGTAAGCCCATGGCTGCCTCGACGACGACGGCGACGGCGACGAAGGCCGCCAATCCGCGTGACAAGATCCACCAGCAGGCCAAGCGCCAGCGCCAGCGACAACGGCAGCAGACGCCCGACGACGAGGCGCTCACGGGCGTGCACCGGTTGTCGCTTCGCGAGTCTGGCGGCAGCACTAAGAACATGAACAACAGCAAGAACAGCAGAGAAGTCAGCAAAGAAGACTTGGACGAAGAAGAAGAGGACGAGGACGAGGAAGAAGAAGGATCTCAGGCCTCGGTGACGGGCGCCAAGCGGAGCAGCACGGCCGAGTCGCACAGCGAGCCCTTCTACGACGCCGCCAAGACGCCGGCCGAGTCGCACAGAGAGTCCTTCTACGATGCCACCAGGGCCCCGCCGCCGCCGCCGCTAGACGACGGCGGTGCTGGCGGTGCACGCAGCAGCAGGCCGAGCCGCCGAGGAGCGCGCACGCAGCAGCGGCTGCCCAAGCCACGGTACCAGTACGGCCGCGTGTGCAACAAGATCGGCGAGGCCTGCGCGTCCTGGCTCGCCCGCTGGGGCTCCGATGTGCTCGCCGTCGAGGAGGACCTCGAGGATGCCGTCGACGACCGCTTTCCCTCGACGAGCAAGAGTCAGAGCGGCACCACCGTGGCCGTGCCCCCCGTCCCCGAGCAGGTGCGGCCATACAACCACGGCCACGTGCACCCGTCCTGGCTCACTGCTGCCCGTGTCAGTGCCATTGCTGCGCCTCGGCCAGCCGTGTGGGCCCACCCGCGCCGTGGCGGCGTGCCTGCCGACTGGGTTCGCGCCCTCGTCGAGAGCGACAGCTTCTGGATCCGCAGCGAGTGGGAGCGCTACAAGGTCGCCCGCCGCATCGTCGAGCTCCGTCGTCGCACGCGGCCCACTGCTGCCAACGAGCCTGTTTCCCCACCACAGGCGGCGACACCATCCCACCAGAAGAAGAAGGAGGGTCTTGCGCGTGGTGGCCATGGTAGCAGCAGCAGCAGTGGCAGCAGCCATGCCACGGCGCGCTTCGGCGACCCTGCTTTTGGACACAAGACCTTTGGCTTCACCACCAGCAGCCCGAGCAAGCTGCGCGCGAGCACGGCCAGCGATGCGCTCTCGACGGCCCATGCAGACGGCCGCGACGCAAAGCGGTCCAGCTCGCACATCAAGACGCGCAACGACGACGACGATGATGATGATGATCACCACGGGATTGCCGGAGACAGTCAGCGGGCGACTGACGATGACGACGGTGGCGACGAGGGCGATGATAACGGCTATGACGATAATGACGACGACGAGTATGGCAACGATGACGACGAGTACGAAGACGAAGACGAGCTGGAGGACGAGGCGGCGCAGGAGGAGCACGACGAGGAGCAGTATGCGCGCCTCTTTGCCGACGGCATCTACTACACTCACATGACCTTTCCCGAGCTCAATGCCATCTCCAAAGACGTCTCGCTCTCAACCGCCGCCACCTTTGCCCCGCTCCACGTCCTCCAGCGCGCCCTGTGGGTCCAGTCGGAGCTGCAGAACCACATCACCAGTGGCGGCAGCCTCCTGTCGCCCCCGGGACGCACCCGGCTTGGGCTCGGTGCCAGGGCCGACGACGGCAGCGGCAGCGGCAGCGGCGCCCCGCCCAGCGACAGTGACTTTATGGATGCTAGCGATGACAACATCGACGGCGGCGGCGGCGGTCTGGATCAGGCCGGCGACGGTGGTGGCGAGGGAGGTGCAAGCGCAGCCGCAGCCGCCGCAAGGGCCGACGAGGGCGCCGTCGCAGGCAACCTCGGCATCGCCAGCTCCAACCGCGAGTTTGCCAAGGCCTACGAGGCCATGCTCAGCAGCCAGGCCTCGTCGCTGGCCCCTTCGCTGGCCCCCTCGCCCGCAGCACACCGCAGCAGCAACAGCAACGGCAACAGCAGGTCGCTCCTCGCCTCCACCGTCGACACCACCCTCGGCGGCATTGGCACCAGCCCGCTCCAGCTTGGGTCTGCCGGCGGCATCGAGGGCCTCCTCGCCAAGCGCTTCTTCCCCGTCTGCATCGACGACACCATCCGCGTCGGCGATAGCCTCTCGTCGCTCGCCTCGTCTTCCCTCGTCAATGCCACCGCCATCGCTGCCGCTGCGGCCGCCGCTGCTGCTGCACAGAGGCACGACCTCGGCGGCGACCCATCCAGGCCGAGTGGACTTGCCGTCGTGCGCGACGCCCAGACGCTCGTCCTGCCCGTCGACCAGGTCGCTGCGCCCGCGCTGGCAAAGGAGACGACGAAGCGGACGCCGGCCAACTACTTTGGCCTCTCCAACCCTGTCCGCATCGGCCGAGAGCTGGCCGAAGAGGCCCTCGAGCCGAGCCGCGACGCCGACACGGACGAGGACCGCTCCTCGCTCGGTGCCTCGCACCTCGAGGGCGACGACGAGGGCGACGGCCGCACCAGCAGCGACGCCCGCCTCGGCAAGATGATGGCCTTTCGCCAGTGGACCGGCTACGAGCCCATGCGCATCGGCGTCGAGTTCTACGGCGTCGACCGCCTGGCCGAGAAGCAGCGCCTCTATTCGCCCACCTTTTTCTACGCCGGCTCGATTTGGAATTTGTACGTGCAGACGGTGCGCAAGCCCAAGGGTCTCCAGCTGGGCATCTACCTCCACCGTCAGAATCCAAAGGACGCGCTGCCCCTGGCCAGCACGCCTCCCAACCCGACGAGTGCCAGCAGCGGCGGCGCTACCGAGCATACTGACGGTGCGCTGTCGCCCGAGTCGGCTGGAGCCGCAGCGGCGACGCCCAGCACACCTAGTCGAGCGGCAAATGGCAGTGGTAGTGGCCTGTTTTACGATCCATCGATCTCGTCGCCCTTTGCTCGCTCCCCGGCAGGCAATGCCGCCAAGCAAGCCTCGTCGGTCTTTGGCACGCCAGCCCAGAGCTCCGCATCCATCTACGGCCTCTCTGCCCTCTCGCCGCACCGGCCCGTCGAGGACCAGGTGCCGTACCTGGACCAGCGCAAGGTGCTGCGCGCCTTTTTCTCCATCCACTGCCCCAGCCCACTGGGCGAGAGCATCACCTGCTTCAGCTCCCAGCCCGACCATTTCACCGTGAGCCAGAGCTGGGGGTGGAAGAGCAGCAGCCTGCTGGGCACCACGTGGCTCAGTCGCAACAGCCTCGGAAGCGCCGCGACGGGCAACGCCGAGCGCTTCCGGTGCATCTGCACCATTGGCCTCGTGTGACCGTGTCTCCCCTCTCTCTCTCTTATAAAAGTGTGATGTTCCCACTCAAGTCTTTCAATCACTCATATCGGTCCCTCAATCAGTCAATCGAATCAAATCAGTCAATTTTTTCAGTCGACTGCTCTTGAGTTAGTCGCTCTTGATTGTGTCACTCTTGATCCAGTCACCCAGGCCATCAATCGTGCGCTCGTAGTGGGGACAGGAACAAAGCTATGGCGGTCATCGTCGTCGCGCGTTAAGCCACGTGTTTTTAGTCGCCGAAAGTTTGATTCTTCCCCCCCACCAGGCACCCGCCCGCATGGATTGGCTCTTTCTAGCTAGTCGCGGCGAAATTTAGAATTTGAACCCCCCCCCCCTCCGATCTGCTGCTTCTGATGCTGATGCGCAATGATTTCTTCTGCCTTGAAATTATTTTACACTCGCTCATTTAGCGGCACAAGGGGGACGGACGGCAAACTAGAGAAATGCATGTGCCTTGCCACCCGACCACCACCCCTCCTCAGCGTTACTGATCACACAGTCCTTCCCATCCACTTCACCCAAGTGAGTCCAGTCTTCTTTCTTCTTGCATGTCTGCCCGTGCACGCTACCAGATCTCAACTCACACCCTGGTGACTCCAACAGCATGTCTTCTGAGCAGCAGCAGCAGCAGCAGCAGCCGGCGTCGCCCTCGCGCAAGGGCTTCTTTGGCCTTGGCAAAAAGGACGGCGCAAAGACGCCGCGGCACGAGGTGGCCCAGACGCCCATTCTCGAGCACGGCAACCCGCTCGAAAAGGCAAACATCCCCACCGAGGCGCGCAACCAGCAAATCGTCGGTGTCGCCGGCACTGACGTCGAGGGCGACCACTCCAAGATCCTCCTCGCCCTCGACGGCACCGACGCCGGCGACAAGGCGTTCAAGTACCTGCTCCAGAGCAAAGTTCTCTCCAAGGAGGCCCACGTCTTTGTCGCCACTGTCCTCCCCGCCCAGGTCCTCTCTGGCCCCTGGGTTGCCGGCCCCCTCGTGAGTTGTTCTGCCTCCCCTTTTCTGCTGTGTTAGTCTTCTGCTAACACCAGGCTGGTGCATCGTAGTCCATCGACACAAAGAAGCAGAATGAGCTGCTCAAGGCGCTCCGCCAGCAGGCCCTCGAGAAGCTCGAGCCATACCGCGAGCAGCTGCGCCAGGCCGGCTACCAGTGCACGCTCCACGTGCTCCACGGCGATGCGCGCCAGTCCCTCGTCCGTGTGGCCGTGTACCACAAGGTGGACCTCGTCCTGACGGGCAAGCGCACAAAGAAGGGCTTCACCGGCCTCACCTCGGGCACCACGTCGAGCCACCTCGTCCACCACTCGCCGTGCCCCGTCCTCGTCATCAGGTAGAGCATTCCTCTTCCCGTCCCTTTCTTTCGCAAATACCTGTCGTGCATCTCTTTCTCTCGCTCGCTCGTGGAACCCCACATAGATGGCCCTGGCTCGGAGCAGCACACGCCGCCTTCTCAGTCTCAGTCTCAATAAATGTCAGAATGAATGCAAATTAGAGAAGCGGAGAGAGAGAGAGAGAGAGAGGAGAGAAAAAGAATCACTTGTACTTGTCCTTGTGGATCCAGGACAGGCCCACGGTGTCGTACCCCTGGGCCTCGGCCATGCGGTAGTACATGGCGGCCTTGCGCAGGTCCTTTTTACAGCCGCCCTTGCCCGCAGCGAGGAGGGCGCCAGCCTCTGCCTGGGCATCCGAGTCGCCGAGCTTGGCAGCGAGCTCAAAGTACTCGAGGGCCATGAGCTTGTCGAGCTTGACGCCCCAGCCGTAGCAAAAGCACTTGCCGAGCTCGTAGACGCTCAGCTTGAGCTCCGATCGGATCGCCTTGAGCTCGGCCTCGCTCTTCTGCTGCACCCCACCAGGCCCGCTGGGCTTCATGAGCTCGCCGGCGCGCGCGGCCGCCTTGCTGATCCACTCGAAGCCCTTGCGCGGGTCCTTGCGCGCACCCCAGCCCTCGCGCAGAGCCATGCCCCACATGCACATGCCCACGACGCAGCCGCCATCGATCTTGGCGGAGCGCTCAAAGTAGTATGCCGAGCGCGACAGGTCGCCCGACTCGTGGTGGGTGATGCCGAGGGTGAGAAAGGCCTCGGCTTGTGATGTCGCTGCCGGCTGGCCCTTGGCACCACCACCATTGCCGCCACTCCGCCGCCGGGCATCGTCGTTGGCCATCAGGCTCGGGCTCGACACAGCGCGCAGGCCCTGCATATTGGCCGGGCGCGCCTGCTGGCCAAACGAGGGCGAAAGGGGCGTGGCGAGGGGTGACTGTATGCGCGGCGAGTGGACCGTCTGGTGAGGGCCGCGTGGCTGTTGCTGTTGCTGTTGCTGTTGCTGTTGCTGTTGATGCTGCTGGTATTGCTGTGATTGTTGTTGATGCTGCGGCGGCTGCTGATATCGCTGCTGCTGCTGAGATGGCCGCGGGCTGCTCTGCGCCTGCGCATACTCGTCCGTGTTGCTCCTCCGCGGCGGTCGGATGACCCTCGCCAGTGGATCGGCCTTCTCTGTCGATGGGCTCGGGCCCGGCTGGCTGAGCGGCCGCCGCTGCTGCTGCTGGCTCTCTTCCTGGATCGTGGCGATGCTGTCGATGCTGTTGCGCTGGTGGTCGTGCCCGTCGCGCTCGCTGCGCATGGCGCGCACCTTGTCGCTCGAGATGGTGCCCAGCGTCGAGTTGCTGCCCCGGCGGCTGTCCCACGACTCGCTGCCGCTGCTGCCGTCGAGGCGCAGCGTCTCGACGTCGAGGTCCGACACGAGCGACTCGCGGCCGTCGTGCTCCTCGATGGCCCTGCGCCGGTTCCTGCCCAGCTCGGGCAGGCCGGTGCCTGGTGGTGGTGGGCCCATGGGCTCGTTTGGGTCGCTGTAGCCGCCGCCGCCGCCGCTACCAGTTGCACCACCAATGCTCCCACTGCTCAGTCCGTAGTCGAGGTCGGGCGCAGGCGGCGGCGCGCGGCCAGCAGGGTGTCCTGCACCCCGCTGCCGGATGGTGCCGCCGTCGGGCGCGAGGATGGGCTGGTCGAGCGGCCTCGACAGTGCCTTGGATGGGCTGATTGGATGGGCAGGTGACGAGGGCAACGGTGCTGCCGAGGAAGCTGAATGCGGTGGCTCGGCGTACTCGACGACGGCCCGCTGGCCCACACCAATGCCCGGCGCAGAGAGCGGGGCCCGGAGCGTGTCCCTGCGCCCGCCTCCGCCACCGTCGATGCTGCCGCGCACGCTGCCGGCGACGCTGCCCTGCGGCGTGGGTGGCCAGACGTAGACGTGGGCGTTGCTCCTGCCGTTGCTGCCCGAGGAGCCCGACGAGGTCTGGCTCGAATAGCTTGCCCTCGGCTTGTGGGCAGGAGTGCGCACGTCGGCCTGGATCGTCGATGCGCTGTCGCTGCGCGTGTGGGCCAGCGGTGGGCGCTGCGCCGCGGCGGCAGATGTGCCAGCATGCTCGTCGCCGTCGTCGCCATCATCATCACCATCGTTGCCGCCAATGTCGCCCATCATGCTCCGGAGCGTGTCTCGCCGCGACAGCCCTGGCTCGAGGCCAAGGCCGGCAATGAGTTGGTGGTGGATGCCCTGGCTGGGCGCCGACGATCCGTTGGCGTGCGCGTGCATGCGCGAGGGCGTCAGGCTGACAATGTGCTCCTTGCCCGGCACGTTGTGCAGCTGCAGGCCGCGCGCTGCTGTTGCGCTGCTTTCTTGTCCAGCTTGTTGTTGATGCCCCTGTCCCTGCATCGGCTGCTGCTGTGACTGCTGCCCTGTCCTCTGGTATAGCCCACTGGCGCCCATGCCCTCGACGTCGATGTCGGACATGGCCATCGATGCGACGCTGTGCTTGTTTACGCCCCTCCCCTTTCTCCTCCGTCTTCTCATCCCCCCAGCTTGCCCTTCACCATCATCTTCATAGTCATCATCGTCGTCGTAGTCATCATCGTCATCGTCATAATCATCGTCGTCGTCGTCGTCGTCGCTGCCGCCCCACGCACGGTCCCACTTGCCGCCCTCGCCAAACTCGCTGCTGCGGACGGTGTCGATGGACTGGCGCCGCTTGAGCGACAGACCGCGCAGGGCATCGGCGATGCGGTCGTCGGCCAGCATCAGCGGCTCGTCCGTCTGGCCCGTGATGGTGTTGAAGCTGACGTCGGAGGCCATCGAGTCGCGAAAGGCATTGCCAATCAGGCCCGACGGCTCCCGTGCGGTGCTCCCAGCTCCAGCTCCAGCTCCAGCTCCAGCTCCAGCACCGCCCTGCTGCTCGTCAACAGCGGGCGTGGGCGTGGGCATCCAGCGGCCCTGGCTCGACAGCCGCGCGGCACGCATGTCCCGCACCAGCTGCTGCCGGTCCGCTTGCTCCGTCGACGTCACTTTTGTTGAGGAGGAAGAAGCCGAAGAGGAAGCCGAAGAGGACGAGGGAGGCGAGGGCGCAGGCCGCGGGTGCCGGATCGACGAGGTGCGCGACACCTTGACGGCCCTCTCCAGCAGCGCGCCCCGCGGTTGGGGCATCACGCCTGCCACGCCGACGTCGAGACCGCCGGTGCCATAGCCCTGCGACGGCGACGGCGACGGCGGCGGCGGCGGCCGGGGCGACTGGCCACTGGCGAGCATGTCGAGCGGCGATGTGGCTGGAAAGGCCGAGGCGGCCGCCTGGCTTCCCAGCGGCGATGGCACCATGGGCGACGGATACGAGCGGTGGTTCGCCGCCATTCCGGATCTCTCTTTTTTCGATACCTTGGCTTTCAGTTCCCAGTCTCCGAGCGTGCACCGCGGCCGTGGACCATGCTCCAGCGCCTCGACCCCTGGAGACGGACGCGACCGGCCTGTCCGAGTGGGGAAAGCGGGGCCTGAGAGAGGTCGAGGAGGGGAAGACGAGAGCGATGCTTTGGATCAGGTGGAAGAGGGAGCGCTATGCGTCAAGTGGCAGTCGCAGCAGCTGGAAGGCCTCTTGAGAGCGTACTTGAGGCAGAAAGTCAACAGACTGACGAGCGATCGTCCGTCGGTGCCGTTCTCTCTCTCTGTGTGTGTGGAAACAAGCCTAAAATAAAAAACAAAAATAAAAAAAGCCAAGCTTTCAGCCGACGTAGGAGCGCAGTAGTAGCTAGTGCGTCTGCCCAGTCCCGAAAAAGTCTTCTATGCAAGGGCCCACGTGGAATATTTGCGTCTCTGACCTGTATTAGAGCTCCCGTCGCTCGACGCCGGCTCGGGGAAGACTGGCCGAGGCGCGCACGTCCTACGCACACACACCGACACACGCCATCATATCGCTCTCTCCACCTTTTCTGCCTTTGCCTCTCATCGTCGAGCGAGCACGGCCACCGCCCGCTAGCCCGCCACGGCCGCCGCGGACACGACGATGGCAAAGGGTGTCACAGACAAGAACAAGACAGCGGCGGCCGCAGCCAACGAGGCCGAGGGCGACGCAGGCGGGGCGCCCAACTTCTTTTGCCGACTGCCCGACCGGTCGCAGAGCAAGCTGGGCGCCAGCCAGCATCCTCCTCGGCTGGCCTTTCTCCGTAGTATTGTCGAGACACACAGGCCAGGCACGTGGGTCGATCCAGAGGGGCAAAGTGACGGAGGGGCACGGGGCGACGAGGGGCAAGAGGTCATTGGAGAGGGCAGAGCGAGCAATAATGGCGGGGGCGGCGGGGGCAGCAGCAGTAGCAGCAGCAGCAGCAGCAGCAGCAAGGACAGCAATGGCAACAGTCGCGAGGCAATCGACATCGCCAGCAGCCTAGATGCGCCCAACAGCAGCAGCAGCAGCAGCAGCAGCAGCTTCGGCGCGACATCCAACAGCTCCTCGTCGCACCCGACCGAGAACGGCGACGCACATGGCAACGGCGCCGAGGAAGACCCGCCCTGGTTCTCGCAGATGGTCAACCTGCCCCACCTGCGCAGCGCGGGCATCCCCCTCATTGCGCCCGAGCAGCAGCGTAAGGCAGAGGCGTCGAGCAGGATCAAGGACGGCATGCAGAAGTCGCTCAGCAGCCGGGGCCACGAGTCCAAGTCGGCAGCAGCAGCGGCCTCGTTGTCGTCGTCGTCGTCTTCTTCATCGTCTGCTGCCGCTCTCAAGTCGCCCGAGAAGCATGGACGCCCCTTCTCGCCCTCCCCTTCGCAGCTTCAGAATCAGAACCAACAGCAGCAGACCAAAGAGGGCAGCCGGTGGATGGAAAAGGCCGATAGCCGGACAAGCATGCTCTCGTCGTCGTCGTCGGCCTCGGAGTTTGACCCTGGCATGGCCTCCTCTTCGACGTCCTCGCTGCCCCGCCACCACCAGCCCCTCGTCCGACCGCGACCGGTCGTCGCGCCGTCGGCTGTAGCCACCGACGACGGCGCACCCACGGCCGCGACACCGGCCCAGACGCTCGTGCCGCCCGACAATTTTGCCATGGTCAACACGTACGTCTACCGGTCCTCGTTTCCCAAGAAGAAGCACTTTGCCTTTCTCGAGACCCTCGGCCTCAAGTCGGTCCTTACCCTCATCCTGGAAGAGTATCCAGAGCCAAACATGCGCTTCCTCGACGCCAACGGCATCACCTTTTTCCAGTTTGGTATTCCGGGCAACAAGGAGCCCTTTGTCTCGATTCCACCCGACAAGATCGGCGCGGCCCTCGTCACGATTCTCGACCGGCGCAACCACCCGATGCTGATCCACTGCAACAAGGGCAAGCACCGCACGGGCTGCCTGATTGGGTGTCTGCGCAAGCTCCAGCAGTGGAGCCTCACGACAATCTTTGACGAGTACCGCCGGTTCAGCTACCCAAAGAGCCGGAGCATGGACCAGGAATTCATCGAGCTCTTTGACGAGCGCAGCGTTTGGGGACAGGTCGAGCGCGCCTACTTGCCCCACTGGAACGTCCTCTCCAAGGGCCTCCGTGGCCAGGGCGCGGCCATCGAGCGGGGCGCACTTGTGGAGGAGGTGGAATACGACGACGACTACTATACGGAGGAAGAACAGGGGGGAGACCCTGGCCGGCGTCGCCAGCGACAGCGACAGCGCCCTCAGCGGCGGCTCATGCCCATGCGAGGCATGTAGAAGACAGGAGCATCATCGATCTAAGAACAACGACAACGACAACGACATGTAGCATAGAAGGTAATGAAACCACCGCTCGTAATACACCACTGCTCCACGAAACCCGTGCCATTGTTGCGCGCTCGACTGCACTAGGAGACTGCCTGATGATTGAATGATGAAAATTGTGCTCGCTTGAAATCATGAAGTGGTGTTCGTTATGCAACAATGAATGAGGAGTGAGAATGAGGAGTGAGAAATGAGAAGAGAGAAGAGAGAGAAGGAGATAGAGTCCTAGTAGAGACGAGCGCCGGCCCCGCTTGAGACGTCAAAGGCGCGAAAGTAGGCCGAGTCGGCTGTTGTGGGCGACGAGGCAGGCGCAGGTGGCGCATGAGGCGCACCCGACGACGACGACGAGCCAAGGCCGCTGCCGCCGCTGCTCCTGCCAGCCATCAATGCGGGTGTGCGCGCGCTGCTGCTGCTCGACGGGGGCCGCTTCAGGCTGGAGGTGCGTGTGTGGCCGCTGTGCCGCGCGCTGCCAGCTGCGGCCGCCGCCGCCGCGGGGTGGCTGCCCGCGGGCGACGAAGGGTTCGAGGCAGCCGTAGCAGCAGCGGCAGCAGCAGCAGCGGCGGCGCGACTGGCAAAGAAGCTGGCGAGACCTGCGCCAACAGCAATGAGGAGCGTGAAGAAGATCGACGGCAGAAGCGACGAGAGCGGCGGCCGGGGAGGTAAGGTGCGCGATGACTTTGGCCTGGGCGAAGAGGCCCGGCCCGGGGCAGCAGAGGGATTGGCGGCCGTCTCGAGGTTATAGGGCTCAGAGGACTCGGTGCTGTCCTTCCTCTTCTTGTCGGCTCCCTCGGTGTCGCTGCTGCCTCCACCACCAATACCAAAGGACTGCGACACGGCAGTGGGCGTGAGCGTGTATGCAATCGTGGCGGGAACGGCCAGGGCGAGCTTGATGGGCGCAGTGACGACACCAGACATGAGCGACGTGGTGCGCTTGCGACTCGACGCGCCACTGGGCCGTGTTGACGATGAGACGGGCTCCGGCTCGGGGGCGTCAACCGGGCCGCCGGTGAGCATCCTTCGGCTCCAGCTGATGCTGGCCTCGATGTTGCGCCGCGCGGCACCGACCTGCCGTTTGACGTTCTGTCCCCGCGAGTTGACATCGTCCCACACGGTGAGGAGGTAGCTCGCGATGAGGAAGATGCTCAGCGTCAGGCAGGTGGCCGACGAAATGCCGATGAAGAGGGTGACGTGGAGGACGGGGCGCAAGGGTGCGCTCAGCTGCCTGGTCAGCGTCAGGGCGAGGTGGCCTGCCGAGCTGAAGTGGTTCGAGGCAGCACTGAGGGACGTTAGGAGCGCCAGGTCGGGAACGTCGCTCCCTGCGTCGTCAGGCCGGTGTGTATGCACCGTCGCGTCGAGCTCGCCTCGTCGGAAGCGAGGCCGCTCGTGGTCCTGCAGACGGATCGAGTGGCGCGGGCTGTTGGGTGCAGACTGGCTCATGGAGCGCTGGTGGCGCAGGTGCGAGCGAGCGTGGCTCCTGACGTCGTTGTCGACCCGCTGCTGCTGCTGCTGATGCTGCTGCGCGGGCTGGTTCCCCCGTGGCTGCTGCTGCCTGGCAGAAGACGTCGACGCTGGCATGTCATGCAGCGAGACGGTGCTCCTGCCAGCAAGCGTGTCTGAGAGGCCGGCGTTGCTGCTGCGCCCAAAGGAGCGGCCGAGGGTCTGTGTCTGGCCCGGCTGTCCACTCACGGCAACCTCACGGTTGAAGCTGACATGGCGACCGCTTGCCAGGGACTGGCCGTCGTAGCTCGACTCGACAATCGACCGCCGTCTCGGCACGGGCATCGAGCGTCGCTTGTCGGCTAGGGAGGTCGCCGGGGCCGCGGGGTGGCTGGCCGCCGCCGCCGCCGTCGTCTGTGCTGGCAGCGACGACTCATAGCTCGTCGTGCTGATCGTCCTCGTCAGGCGCCTCGTCGTCCGTGTCGTCGTCGTCGTTGTCGTCGTCGTGTTGGTATTGTGGCTCGCGTTTGAGGCGGCGTCGTCGTGCTCCTCTTCCTCGCTCGTCGCTTCGGGGGTATCGGTGAGACCAAAGCTGGACCGGGACGACGAGGGCCGCTCCTCAAAGCCCCTCCAGAGGCGCAGCCGTTCGTCGAGCTCGTGGTGGCTCGGTGGCAGGCTCTGCTTGCCTGCTGCTGCTGCAATGCCGAGACCCATGCCGTCCTCGCTCAGCCTCCGCGTCCTCCTGCAGCTCTGTGACCGTGAAAAGGAGTGAGGGGGTTGTGCTTGCGCTTGGGACTGGGGCTGGTGGACGAGCCAGGCAGCCGCGCTCGGATGCAGGTCCATTTCGTCGCGGAACGTAGGGCTCCTGCCGTCGATGGGGCTGTCGTCGTTTCCACTGCTGCTGCTGCTGCTCGTGATGCCGCTGCTGTAGTCGCCGAGGCTGCTCCTCGAGGACCGGCGCGACGAGTGAGTCGTCGTGTCGCGCGATGACGGTGCGACGTCGCTCATCGTCGACGAACGGCTCAGACCAGCCAGGTTCTTCCAAGTGGCCTTCTCTGTCGGTGTGGCGTGGCGCAGCGCCGACGCCGACCGTGGCAGCGTCGATGGTGGCGACGACAGCTTGTTGTTGCTGCTGTTGCTGTTGCCACTGCCGCTGCCGCTGCCGCTGCTGCTACTGCCACTCAACGGTGCTGTGCCTGTCATGGCCTGCGCCCGACGGAGGCGCTCGGCCAGCTGCCCTGGTGGCAATACCCGTTCCCACCACCGGTCTGTCTCAGCGCTGTTGAGCCCTGCTGCGCCTGCGCCCAACGACGACATCGACGACGCCGATGGACGCACGCTCGATGTGGCAATCGAGGCCGGCCGCGCATGTCTGGAGCTCCTCGAGGGGTGTGGCACCTGCCGACTGCCGTTGCCTGCATTGAGGTTGCCACTGCTGCTGCCGCCGCCCATGCTGGGAAATTGAAGCGGCCTGTCGGGCTCGTCAGCCGCCGACGAGTGCTGTCTAGACCGTCTGCCCGTGCTGGCACCCCACGTATGCGGCGGCTGCAGGTGGTTGCTGCCGCTGGTGCGCATCTTGGGCGACGAGGTCGACGTGGGTGATGTCCACGGTGTCGACGCCGCCGTGCTGGCCGCAGAAGGACGCGAGGAAGACGCAGTGGATGACATGTCGGCGGCCCTGGATGACGACGACGATGACACCATTGGGTCTTGACGCACCTATGCGGTGAGCGGACGAGATGCCGACGCTGCTGATCTCCCCCTCAGCGCCAGAGGTCCGTTCGCTGATTATAGCACTTTGGCTTTTTTTCGCTGAGGAAGGGCCTCCTCACTGCAGACGCAACACGAACGTGGAATGCGACTGCGTGGCTTTTGTTGTGGTCAGAGAGGCTCGGGCGGCACCGACTCCTTTGCAGCGCGCGCGGTGTATTATCGCCTTTAAAGGTGAAGGTGGATGGGACCAGAGTGAGGGCCGTCCGTCGCCGTGCCGCTTATAGCTATCGGATCGATTCGGAAGATGTGATCGCTTTGTTTACTGGCAAGGGCGACCAACAACGAGGGAGAAGCCGGCGTCAAAGTGAAAGTTTTGATGGCTGATTTGGGTCGCCGCTGATAACGAAATAAGGAGAGGATTCACGTTTGCTCTTTCACTGCTCCTTATTTTTCCTTTCCTTTTTTTTTGGCTGTTCTTCGCTCTTTGTGTCTGGTGGACGAAGGGATACGTGTGAATGGCTGGGGTTTCCGGTTCGTCTCGTCGCCGTCGTTGTCGTCGTTCCTGCTGGACGTCAAACAGTCTCACTTACACAAGCAGTGCACCTACGTACGGCGGAGGTTACCAGCTAGGGTCAGGTTTCGTTCTCTCATCTCGCCCTGGCAGGAGCGGCTGCTGCTGCTGCTGCAACTCTATCGAACTACACTTGCAGCGCAGCAGTACGCGCTTTCAACCAGAGCCCGCGCCTACATTTGCTCGCTCCAGAGCCGTGAAAAAAAAAAAAAAAAAAGCAAATTTCAGAAGTCTTTTTCCTTTTGTCCGGTCTCTTTCAATCTCTTTTTCGACATTTCAAATTTTTGTCTTTTTGCCTTTCATCGTCTGATTGCGAAGAATTCTGTGGGCAGGCGGCAACCGCTCCGGCTGCTCCTGTCGCTTTTCTTCTATCATGAAAAGTGGCGAGAGCAGCGATGATTACGACAACCCGCTGCCTTGAGAGGTCACAGCCGAGGCTGGGCGATGGACCAAGCAGGAGGAGATCGAACTTAGCGCGAGAAGATACGTACCCCGCCTTCCCGAGGCTTGGGTTCTGGGCACGGCTTAGCTAGCCAGTAGTAATCTGTACTTGCTAGCTTGCTGGTGCCGCTGCCAGCCGTGTGAAATTTTCTGTTTTTGTTTTTCCCTTCAGGTCCGCCGATATGAACGCGTTTAAAAATGTAGTAGTGGTGAGATTGCGAACCCGATCATAGACAAGCTTTAATTGTGAAACATTTTGGATCTTATATCCCGAGCCCTCCCCTTTCGACGCCCTCGTCTTCTTCCCTAGGGGTGTGGCAGGGCAGCCATACCTTTTCGACTTTGCCCTCGAAGTCTTGGCTTGATCGTCCGGTGGCTTGGTTGCTTGGCTGCGCACCGTTCGTCGCAAGCAAGAATAATCATGCCACAGTAACCCTGTCCGGGCAAGGAAGGGAAGCCCAGGACACGCAAAACGTGCCAAAAGGGCAAAGGCGTTTCGCGTCCAGCCCGATCGAGAATGACCAAAATAAGGTCCAAAAAATGACGTGTCCTGCACCCTTTGTCGTTTGCCATCCCAATCGCGACACACACGGTGAGAGAAGAAAAAGAACGAAACTTTGTCCGCTTGGATTGTACCTAGACGAGCGAAGCGAGCAACTGCCCCTATCTCCCCGCTTGCACTGCCACAGAGACCCGGGGGGAGAGGGGAGTGCCTTCGCCCCCATGGGGAAAGGGCTTGTCGAGCTACTATCTCGGACGCGCCAATCAAGGCTCATATGGGCGCCGCAAACATATCTCTCTCCTCTTTTGCCCTTCTGACCCCTACATTTTGGCTTTCCGCCGGCAGCGAGGAAACGTGTGTGGGTGACATCGTAACGCACTCTGTACGTAAGTGGCACACTTATCTGACGCGAGGCAAGGGCAAAGGGTGGGAGCATTGCGTGCCAGTCCTGTGGTCGAGATAGAGTAGTGCTGGAGCTTATCGAGACGGGCGATGATGTGTTCGCGCGCTTGATATATACCGACACGTTCATTACAGCGCGGGGCTGACGGAAGGAGAAAGGACAGATCTCTATCGTTTGCCCGTCTGATTTCTCGGTACAGATTACTTCAACTGCTCGTCCGCCGCCCCTATCTTGCAGCTCTATCTGCAACGAATGGACGAGGGACGGGAGCGGGCATACCTCTGTGCTGAACGGGCCCGGAAATGCGTTCACTAGTAGCCTGTCGCCGTCGCTGTCGGAACCGTGCGCTCGCTTACTTGCTCCGTTCAGTAGAGTACACGCTCCGGGCAAAGCCCCGTCAGCGGCCTGGATCACTTGCGCGTCGCTGAATCTGATCAATGCGGTCGTCTATCGAAGCGTCAGAAAGCCGGGTGCCACCAGGGCGCCAAATGGGGAGTAAAGTTGACGACGCCGAGATTACGTGAGGGACCACTTTCGGATCCTTGGCCGCAGCTTTGCTCTCGTCGGAGTGGTCCATAGCTCGTGCCTTTGGTCATCTGCTATCATGGTTTTGAGTTGCTCCCTCCACCATCGGTAACCTCCCTCATTCATGGCGGAGTAGGTCCTAATATGGCCGCAACCTGTCCAGCATGGAGTGCCGTGGCCATGGCCGTGCGCACGTCAGGCCCCTCCGGCCATAACGGCATTTAGCTTCTCCACCCCCAAGACGCGTGCGCGTGCGTGCAAGCTTCTTTGGCTTCTCTTCTCTTCGCATTCTACGCTACCGCTACAATCTGCCTCTGGGGAAGCCAGCTCGCTAGCTGCAGTCGCTCTCGCCTGATGTCTCAGGTCGACGCTGCCCTGTTCCATGGTACGCACATCCCCTTCGCCTTTGCCGTCTGGCTCTCTTCCCCTACATTACATCATTTAGACTGACTGAAGCACAGCGACGGTGTACGAGCTCACGCGGCTGATTCCGCGCGGCATGGTCACGACGTACGGCCACCTCGCGCGCCTCGCCGGCTACCCATCGCACAGCCGCCTCGTCGGGCAGGCCCTCAAGTTCCTCGGCCCCTCCATCGTCGCTGCAGAAGAAGCCAACGGCGGCGGGGGCGGCGGGGGCGCTGGCGCGGGTGCAGGCTTGGGCGCAGGCGAGCCGGGGGAAGCGGGCGAAGTGCCGTGGTTCAGGGTGCTGAGCGCCTCGGGCGCCATCTCGGACCGCGGCGACGGAGGTGCCGGCGCCGCGAGGCAGGCCGAGAGACTGAGACAGGGTGAGTGTGTGGCTCCGGGAGCTGCTGTAGAGGAAAGCGGGCAACGACCTGTGACTGACGAGCTACTCTCCGTCAGAGGGAGTCGAGGTGAGCGAGAGCGGGACACCGACAAAGTTTCGGGTCAATCTGGGCCGCTACGGCTGGTGTGAGTCTTCTTTCAAGCGCCTCCTTCTCGTCTTGAAGAAAGCTACTAATTCCCGCCCAGTCCCGGACGCCGTCGACCTCGAGGCGGGTGACGATGAGGAGGCGCACGACGAAGAGCATGCATAGAAAAGCCACCAAGACCACAATCACAAGCTCAGACTACTACGCAAATGCCTTGCACCTGCCTCGAGAATAGTGTATTTATATCATCACGGAATGGACATCTACTCTGACGGAGGTTGGTATGGTTCCACGAGGAATTTGGAGAAGTTCTTGATCCTGTCCACCCCTCGCACCTCTTCGGTGAGAAGCGGGCAGCGGACGATGTGGAACTGTGAGTAGTGCCAAATGAGTGGTCAGCGTGAGGAGCAAGAGACTTCTGAGAGGGGACAGAAGCTCACATCTTCGGCGTACAGCTCCATCATCTCGCCCAGGTACTTGTTCTGCATCGCCTTTCGCACGCTGCAGTGCTCGCAGTTGGAGCCTTTCTTGGGGAACAGGAGCTGGTTGCAGACAATGACGTGGGTGTCGATCTCATACTGCGTCAGCTCCTGGATCAGCCGCTCCGTCTCGTAGAGGGAGAGGAACTCGGCGATGCAGACGCAGACGAACGTCGTCTTGTCTGGGTCCTTGAACTGCGTGTTGACCTCGTTGATGACGGCCCGCATCGACTCGAGCTTGGCAAACATGTCTTCCTGGTTGCCCTGGCCGCCGCCCATCATGCTCGTCATCTGTCATGTTCGGCATCGCAAATGAGCACTTTGCTTGCGCCTCCTCGTGCCGGCATTCTGACTCACCTGATTCAACATTGGACCAAAGCTCCTTCCCAGCGTCGAGAACTTGGCCAGGGCCTTTTCGAGAACCGAGGGAAAGGAGAGGAAGCGGAGCGTGTGGCCCGTGGGTGCCGTGTCAAAGATGATGACGCTGTACTCCATCGACTTGACGTGCTTCATGATCTCTGCAAAGCCCATCGCTTCGTCTACGCCCGGAATGGCAAACGCGAGGTCCTGCATCATCGACGACATTGCTCCCCCGCCTCCCTGCTGTGCGTCGGCTGTTTGGGACAGCAATCAGCTGGGTCTGACCACTTCCAGGCGGGCCTCGAGTGCGATGGCAACGAAGAGCATGGAGCAGCAGGAAACTCACACTGCTCAATCATTTCTTGGATGCTGCTCGTCGGATCAATCTCCATGGCGCTCAGATTATCAAAGCCATTGACCTTGGTAGCCTCCTTGCCAAACTTTTGCCCAAAAGCATCGCTGAGGTTGTGCGCCGGGTCAGTCGAAATGAGCAGGACGCTCTCGCGGACCTGGGAGAGCTGCACGGCCAGCGAGCACGACGTCGTCGTCTTGCCCACACCGCCCTTGCCGCCGCAAAAGATCCATTTGAGCGTCTTTTGCTGCAGGATGTTCTCCACCGTCGGTGCCAGCGTGTCTTCAATGATGGCAGTCGACATGGTGCTCCCCTCTTCTCTCCTCGTCGGCCGTCTGTATGGTCCAAAAGCAGAAGCAGGAAGAGAAGCTAGTTTTCAGTGGAGTGCGTGTCGTGCGCTTCTGGAGATTCTTTTCACGTGGCGCGCGCGTTAAACAAGCATCTTATTTCTGTCTCTCGCTGCTACTACAGCTACTACTGCTGCTTTGTGCCGCGCCTCTCTCTCTTTGTGAATCAAGAACCGATGATCGAAGACCTGTGGTACAGGCTACGGTCGGCAGACGACTGCCTGGGCTCTTGGTCCTGGTCGTGGTTTTGCTCGCGCTCCGGCTCGCGATCGGGCTTAGGCTTAGGCTTAGACTTAGGTTCAGAGATACCATCGGGTTCGGCACCGTCACCGTGCTGGTGACCGTGTCGGTGCTGGAGCTGTTGCTCGGGATGGATGGAGAGCGGGTCGCTGGCTTCTTCGTTGTTAATCGAAGAAGTAGGAGGTCTGTTGTCCCCAGTCGCTGCGCTGTCTTCTTGGGGCTCCTGGTGTGGTCCCTGCTTGTTGTCGCACCCAGCTGCTCCGGTTGACAGCACTCGAGAGGCCCTGCGCAAAGAGAACATGCGTCTGCCCCTCTTGCGCACTGTCCGAGGCACCTCCTTTCGGACCGTCTGGCGGGACAGAAGCGTTGCTAGCATGCACAAGACTGCAAAGGAAACAAGGTCAGCATCGTGCTAAATTAATGACCGCTTGAGCACCCCTAATCTTTGCTGACACTCACTGTTGACCTGAGGCTGTTGACAAGCAAGCGTGCAACTATGTTTAAGCACAGATCCAAGAAAAGACACAGCAGCAACGTGACTGACCAAGGGAAAGCGGAGAATGGACATCATGCCGACGCTGCGAGTAGCTGCAAAGATGAGGGTGCAGCCTGTAGCGACGAGCGTCATGGCCGCGCAGGCAATCATGTTGTGTCGCTCAAGGATCTTCTTGACATCTGAGAATTTGTCGTCGAGCCGACGGATATTGGAAATGAGCTTGAACGTGATCGTCATGTCTATCAGTATGCCAAGGACGAGGGGAAACACGCGGAGGGCTGACAAGGCAAACGGACGACGAAGCGTCAGCTCTATGATGTGAAGCAGGAAGAAGGTGCATACATACGGTCCAGGCCTTTGATCTTGTTTTCGTCGCGGTAGTCAGCAATGGTGAAAACGAGGGCCTCCGAGACGATCCCGATGAGCGTTTCCACAGCAATGGCGAAACCGAGACCAATGACGAGGGGAGAGGTACGAAGCGAGGGGAACACATCGAGGCGTCGGAGGAAGAAGAACTGGGAAGTGCCTGACGGGGCGATTGAATCAATATTTGTCAAACATTCATGCTTTGATGTCAGAATAGACCTCACCTTGCGCCAGGAAGCTGGAGAGAACCCGAGCGGGTTTGTTGTCAAGGCCGGTGATCATGTCAAACAAGAGGAAGCACACTCACTTGATAAGGCCCTCGACGAAGTACTCGCCGTGCTGGATCCTGAAATCGCCGTTGGGATCCTGGGTGCACTTGTCATAGATGAACGAGAAGAGGACCATCACGTCGATCAAACCGCAGAGAACGGCGGCAGAGACCTGCGCGGAGGGCTTCAGCCGTTCGTTGGCAAGAAGAAATAGGAGGCTCTACTCAAAGCTCACAGTGGAAAGCCGAACCCTATCTTCGATCTTCCAGAACTCCCATAGATAGCTGTACGGTGATGATGGCTACTTTTTGAGTTCGGCGTCTCAGAGCTTGAGCTAATCCACTTACGATGAGAAGAGGGCGCAATTGATGCCACCCAAAAAGATGGCGAGAAGAGCGCCAATGACCTATTGACGCAACGACGATCAGTGAGCCTGCCCTCTGTTGCAGTTTAACCACGGCCGAGCTACATACAGGTAAGCCGACCTCCGAAACGAGGACGTGCTCTGGGATGCCCAGGCTTTCGGCGACTTTGTCGAGCTGAAGGTTGCCCATTGAATTTGCTAAGCTTGGTCAGGCGGGCTTGGTGGTGTGGTTGCGGTCAGAGAGAAGGGGCCGCTGCTCTCCTCGTCCCATTTTCCCCTGCCAGGAGAGCTCGGACTTTCAACAAGGAAAGAAAGCGGAGAATTGTAGGGCATCATGTAGCATTTCACTGCACCAAAGCACACCGTAAGGCGGGCAGGGCTGAGTCTGATGTTGTCTGGGACGACACTTCTTCAGCGGGCCACGTGAATTGAATTTGGCCGCTCATCGCCCCGCCGGCATTTATTTTTTGTTTATTCTCCCATCATTCCTCTCACCACTGCCCGCCCCCTTTCTAGCAGACAGGGTCTACGTACAGCGATGGCCAGCGTCCATCCAAGCCGTGCAGGCCTGGTGCCCTCCTCTTCGTCGCCAGAGCCCAGGTCGAGGCGAAACAACGAAGGGTCGGGCGATCATGCGGCGGCGGACAGAGAGGCTGAGCTGCGACAGCGGCTTCATCGCTCCCGAGGCGGCCGCGAGGGAGCCAGCAGCGAGCACGACGCACGGGCACCACCGCCGCCCCACTTTTCGCGCGCCCCGCCTTCGCAGTACCCGGACGGACACGGCTATGGACGGGGACCACCCCCACCAGGCCCACCGCCGGGCTACTACAACCGTCCGCCTCCGCCGGGCTTTGGCTACGACGAAGGTCCACCCCCGCCAGGCGCCTGGGGTCCTCGGCGCGGCGGCAGCGGCCCTGGTGGAGGTGGTCCAATGCCGCCTCGTGACTGGACAGACAGGGGCGGAGACCAAGGAGGAAGCTTCTTCTCGAACAGGGATGCTCAGCGAAAGGCTGCGACTTATGTTGTCTGGCCCGAGAGTCCGCGGTCGCCGTATGTGTCTGAGGCTGAGGAGGAAGAAAGGCGGCGCCGCAAGAAGCGCGAGAAGAAGGAACGACGGCGGAGAGAAGAGGAGGAGGACGAAGAGGAAAGGCGCAGGAGGCGACGACGACATCGAGACGAGGAGAGCAAGAGAAGAAAGTACAGCGACGGGGAAAAGAGCGACGTCGACAGCGAGGAAGAGGAACGGAGGAGACGAAGGAAGCGGAAAGAGAAGGAAAGGGAGAAGGAAAGCCGCCATCGTCGGCATAGGCATCGGCTCGGCTCGGCCACTGTGAGCGAAGACGACGAGGAAGAATCCGAGAGGCGCCAGCGCCGGCGAAAGCACAGCACACGCTCCGCCTCGCCCGTTGCAAGGCCATCCGAGGGTGCTGCCAGCGACGACAAGGAGCCCAAATCGGCTGCAGCGCAAGAGGAGAGAGAGCTCTCGACGACTACGACGGCGGCGGAACAGAAGGCACACCAAAGGGCAATGGCACGCATTGGCCCCCAGCTCCCACCCGAGCTCTCTTCGTCTGCATCTCCTACCTCTGCTGCAGCTGGTGCCTCCAACGCGCACGTCGATGCCCGCGAGTACGGCCGTGCGCTGCGGCCTGGCGAGGGAACGGCCATGGCGTCGTATGTCCAAGAGGGCAAGCGCATTCCACGCCGAGGTGAAATTGGCCTCGACTCGGAGCGGATTGAGGCCTTTGAAAACGTCGGCTACGTCATGTCGGGCTCGAGGCACCAGCGCATGAATGCGGTGCGGATGCGCAAGGAGAACCAGATCATCTCGGCAGAAGAACAGAGGAGCATCCTCAAGATGCGCGCAGAGGAAAAGGCCAAGAAGGAGCAGGAGATTGTCGAGCAATTCCGGGACATGGTCGAGTCCATGGGCGACGGTCCGGGGGGTAGCTCCCAGAAGCGATAGTTTGTCACTGCTTCGCCCATTACCAGACCCAGATCATGACTGTTCTCATCACACAGAGATATTAACAATAAGCACCTTGTCATTCCGAGAATTCAAAGCTGTCACTGTCCCATAGTTGATCAATTGCCCGTCGATGCCTAAACTCAGCTGAGCCGCGAGACGAGGTAGGACATGAGGCCCTCCTGCTCCTCGGAGCAGGCCTTGAGCAGCATCTTTAAAAAGGGTGCAAAGAGTTCCCCGTCGCCGCTCTGCCTCATGCGCTCCACGGCGTCTTCGTCGAGCTTCCAGAGGACGCAGTCGAGTTCGGCAAAGGCCGTCGTGTTCCGTCGCTGCTGCGCCAGGAAGCTCAGCTCGCCGGCAATGGTGCCGGCCAGCATGGCCTCGTTGATCTCGTAGTCCTCCTGCGGAAAGTCGTAGCGCGCCTTGAGGATGCCGCGCTCGATGAGGTAGAGCCCGTCGGGCTCCTCGTCACGCTCCCACAGCGTCGTGCCCGCCGGCAGCTCGAGGCGAGTGAAAAATGGGGTGATGCGCCGGAAGAAGACCTCGTCGTCGTACGGCGGCGTCGTGTAAGCCTGGAAGGTGACCATGAGCAGCGGCAGGGGTTGGTGTGACGAGAAATGGACACTCTTGGCTGCCGACTTGCGGTGGTTGGCGTTGCCAGACGTTGCGACCGAAGACCGACGCCTGCCCTGCTGCTGTTGCTGCTGGACTCGGGACTGGGCCTGGACCTGCTGCGTCTGCAGCTGCTGCTCCTTGGAAGCCTCGAGCGAGACCTCGCTGCCGCTCCTGGTGCTCTCCGTCGTCGAGATCTGGGAGCCGTCGAGGCTTCCAAGGTCCAGCGCCTTCGTCATCATCTCGGCCGTCCGGCGGCTCCTCTCGGCTGCCTCTTTGGCCGCCAAGTGCAGGTGCTCCCTTCTCGGCGAGCTGACGGTGCTCTCCTCGAGGCTGAACGCGGGCGCTCGCCGGGGTCCGCCGCGGGGTACCTCGAGACCTGCCGGCCCACCCCCGGTGGCTGTAGCCTCGTGCATCGCAGCCGTGGGAGGGTTTGGCACTCCACCAGAAGAGGTTGTAGAAGACAGCGACGGCCTCTGGCTCACAGCGGCGGCCGCGGCATACATACCTCTCAGGTACTCGTTCTCGCTCCACTCCAGCGCCTCGTTGAGGTTCTGGAACACCTCGACACGCACGCTACTCTCGGCCCACAGATCGACGCTACGCAGGGCCACGCCGACGTCGCTGTCGGGCGTGAGACCGCAAAAGACGAGGACAACATCCTTGGCCTGGAGCAGACGCTGGATGCGCGTAAAAGCCTCTGCAGCCGAAAAGTCGACGCCATTGACGAGGCTGAAGTCGACGACGAGGAAACGGATTGGGTGCGACTGCCAGGTGGCAATGTCGAGCGCGCGACGGATAAGCTCCTCGACAGAGGAGATGTTGGCAAAGTAGAGGAAGCCCTGCAGCTTGACAATCTGCGTCTGGCTACCCACGCGCTCGAGAAACCGGCGCTGGGTGATGTGCCGCCGGACGGTGCTCCTGGCGATGCTGCCGTCCAGAACGGCACGGACTGTGCGACGCCTCGATGTCTGGATGACAAAGAAGAGGCAGGCGACAATGATGCCCGCGAGGATGCCGACGACAAAGTCGTAATAGGTCATGACAAAGATGATGAGCCAGATGGTGAAGTACTCCCAGCCATTGACCCGGCCAATGGTGTCCCAGACGGCCTCCTTTGTCAGGTCCAGTCCGAGCACAAAGATGAGGGCGCCCACGACGTAGATGGGGAGGTAGCCGATGGCGCCAGGACCGGCGAGGAGGATGGCAAAGGTGCCTGCGGCAAGCATTAAGCCCGAGAGACGGCTGCCTCCACCGACGCGGTAGAAGAGGACGGAGTTGACGTAGCAGAGGTAGTTGGGCACACTGCCCGCCAGACCAGCGAGAATATTGGAGATGCCGTGGGCGACAAGCTCGCGGTCCGTGTCCAGGTTGTCCTCGTTTACGCTAATGGCCAGCGCAGGTACGTTGAGTGGCACATGGAGGATGGAGAAGAATGTCAGTGCGAGCTGAGTGGGCATCGTGGCCCACAGGGCAGCTAGGCTCGTCTTGCTGAAGTCAAAGTAGGTGTAGAAGCGCCAGAAGGGTGCCTCGGCCGCCTTGCCCACGTCGAACACCCAGTCGTCTCGGCGAAGCGTGTCGAGGGGTACTCGCAGGATGCCGCTGGTGATGATGTAGAAGATGACGGGAATGACGAGGAAGTAGGTGGGGAAGATGAGCGGCTGGTGCCACTTTGCAGTGATGAGCCGGAGGAGGATGGCGAGGAAGAGAGGCGGGAGCCAATGGGCAACCATGAACCAGGACTGGGTGAAGAACTTGAATGTTTCGAGATTCCACTGGAAGCCGGCCTCGGACTTGAGCTGCGACGACACCTCCAGGCCCGTTTCGATGAGGAAGACGCCGACGCCACCGATGCACCCGACGAGAATGTGGCGGGGAAAGAAGCCAACGAGAACGCCGAGGCGGAAGTAGCCCAGCAGCATAAAGACGATGCCAGCAAAGATCGACGAGAGGGCAAAGGCGACAATCGTCGTAGAGACCACCGACGCAGGGTCGGCCTCGTCGCCCAGGGTATCGATGATGATGGTGACGAGAATGTGGTAGAAGGGCACGACCTCGATCATCATGGAGCCGTTACCGCCCTTGAATATAGAGCCGCCGAGGGTGTAGACGAGCTGGCTGATGATGCAGGTGACAAAGAACATCGACACGCCGTCGCCACCAAAGTCGGCAAAGATGGGGTACGAGGTGGGGAAGATGATGAGGCCGTAGGAGACGCCGTCGAGGACGTTGAGGAGCATGCCAAGAATCACGGCCGGGAGCAGACGGATGGGCTCTGCACTGGCCGAGATGGCGTCTCGCCAGGTGAGCTTGCGCGCAGCGTGATAGACGGTGCTGAGGCCAAGCGAGGGCGACGACGAAGTCACGGGGATCCTGCCTCGACCAGGACGAAACCAGACTGGAACGTAAGCCCACTTGGGCGAGAGCTCGCTGTCCTCTTGGTAGCCGTCCTCGTCTTCGTCGTCACCGTGGTCGTCACCATCGTCATCATCGTCGTCGGTGTATTCGTATCTCGGTCTTGGTCTGGGCCCACTGCTGTGGTCAGCAAACGAGACACGGCGTGGGCCCGATGTCGACTGCGTCTGGGTGCGCATGAGCTTTGCGTCTTCTTCCTGCTGCTGTGCCTGGGCCAGGACACCGTAGCCGTACGTTGACGAGGAGCCAGCTTTGTCAAATGAGCCTGCGCCCGTCGTCGGCGCACCACCATTCGAGCGTTGGGAGCGCTGGCTGAAGCCCGAGTCAGTAGCGGCCCGATCATTGCTTCTCGAGGGTGCAGACGACTCCTGGCTCGACTCGCGCTTCTTTGCCTCTTCTTCGGCCTCGAGGACGGCGCCAGCGCCGCTGAGCGGCGACGCAGGTGTCCTGCCCCGAGGAGCTCCGAGCAGCGGTGTCGACTCGCCGGGGCTGTCATCCTGCGCCTTGACCGTTGATGGGCTCGTGCTCTGGCTCGCACTGATGGCCTTGGACAGGTTGCTGGGACCGGTGCTCTGGTGCGACTGGGAGAGAATGGAGATGGGCGCAAAGTCATGCGACGAGGCTCCATCGCCCTGCAGCACCTCGCGCTGGCCACCGTCGTATCGATCTCTACTGGCTGCAGAACGAGGCGAGGCGGCAGTGAGCCCTTCGTTGTCGTCGTCGTCATCGCCGTCATCGTCGTCGGCATTGAGAGCCATACCGGCGAGGAAGGCGGTGCTGCCGCGAATGGTGCCCGAGGTGGCCGTGTAGCTCGATGGCACAACGTGGTTGCTGTGGTCGGGGTGCGTTGTCTGGAAGCGGCTGTCATGAGGGAGTCGAGAGGCCTCAGTTGCTGTGCCAGAAGAGCAGATGAAGCCAAAGCCATGAAAGGTGCAACCCACTAGCTTCTGCCCTGGAGGTTGATGTCCGAGCCGTTTCCCGCTCCTGTCCCGGCTCCTGCTCCCGACGCTTGTCTCTCGACATCGCCGCTGCCGCCGCTCTCGGTCTCGATCGTTCCATAGCCAGTTCCCGACGTGCCCGGGTGATAGCTCACCGGCCTTTGCGTTCCGACTGCTGCTGTGACGGGGGGCCGCCCGCCAGCCCTGCCCGCGACGGGTGCACCCCTACCCTGCACTGGCTGCGCATCGCCCGTGGTGAGCGATCGAGGAAAGAAGCGGTTCTGCTTTGTCGCCGACTGCTCCTCGCTGCCTCTACGCTGGGGAGAAGCGCTGCCTTTGGCCAAATTTTGACGAGGCTGCTGCTGCTGCTGCTGCTGCTCGTCCGGCGGCCAGGCGTTGGGCGGCCGCGGCGACGATGGAGGGATGCCTGTTTCGGCGGACTGCTGTCAGCATACACACTCATACACTCTCTCCGACTTCCCCTTCCAGACCTGCGGACTCACTCTGCGGTTCGGCCATCTCTCCCTCGCTTTAATCAACGACGACGCAGCCACGCCCTGCGAGTGAGCGATGGGTGAGCAAAGGGCCGGCCCCCTTTCTTCCCAAAGTCGTCATATTGCCCTTCCTTATCTTGCAGGGCCCGGTAGCGCACATGGCCAAAAATTTAAATTTTTGCCCGCGTCCCGTGTCCGTGGAGGGAGGAACGGACATACAAGCTCCATGTCAGGAAAATAAAAAGGAAAGAAGAAAGTGAGAGCCACGGTAAAGGAGACTAGAGCGACGACGACGACGACGACGACGACGACTGAACGGGGGACCAAGCTGGACGACGGAATCGAGCTGAGGAGCATGGACGAGGCAGCCACGACGGGTGGCGCGGGGGCCAGGGTGGCAGATGACGGGGGCGTGCCATCGCGGGGACGGCCACGCGTGCGAGGCGAGACGAGGGACAGATCGACGTCGACGGCCACGGCCACGGCCACGGCGACTCCGAGAACGAATGAAAGCTTTTTCACAGGCGTGCTCCTGCTTCTCCTCGTCGTCTTTCTCTGGACCGGCTCCAACTTTCTCACCCAGTTCCAGCTGACAAAGGGCTACGACAAGCCGTTTGCCGTCACCTACCTCAACACCTCGTCCTTCGCCCTCTACCTCGTTCCTTTTGCTTGCCTCGTTTCTCGCCGCAAATCGGCGGCAGGAGGAGGACAGGCGAGACATCTGGATGAGGCGTCGTTCCTGGACAAGTTGGGATTCAGGGTACCACAAGGCAGTCTATGGAGAAAAGAGAACTCGCGCGGTGGCTACGCTGCCCTCTCGTGTTCCTCGGTCGAGTCGCTTGAGGGCAGCGGTGCCGACGAGGCGGCTGCCGAGGCGCGAGAGCAGCCACTCTTGCACAAGCAACGACGGCGCTTGGCCCACCCGGCTTCGTCGGCGTCCCTCAGCAGCGTGCGGCCCTCGTCCATTGACGGCAGGCGGCCCCAGTCGACGATTGCCGTTACCGCCGCGATGGAGCAAGAGGCTGAGCTGGCTCCGCTCGACCTCCACGAAACCCTTGTCCTTGCCGCTCAGTTCACAATCGTCTGGTTCTTGGCCAACCTGACGCTCAACGTCGCCTTGGAAGAGACGAGCGTGGCGAGCGCAACGACGCTTAGCAGCACCAGTGGTGGGTCGTCCTTACCTCTTTTCACATACTCGATCCCTGCTGACTGATGATGAGACAGGTTTCTTCACGCTGGCTATTGGCTCCCTTGTCGGCGTCGAGAGCTTCTCGGTGCCCAAGTTGGGCTCGGTCCTGATGAGGTGCGTCACTACTTCGTCTGCGCTGATCTGCGACGGACTGACACAGGTTTCCCTCCCACAGCTTCCTCGGCGTCTTTCTCGTCGCCCAGGCCGACGCCAAGGCCCCAATTCAAGGCCCCTCGAACCCGACGCTGGGTGACGTTCTGGCGCTTGCCTCTGCCTTTTGTGAGTGCCGTCGTCCACTGCTGCATTTTACCAAGGTCAGTCGCGCTGACAAAACGGCGAGTCCAGTCTATGCGCTCTACGTCTCACTGCTCAAGAAGCGCATCGGCTCCGAATCGCGTGTCTCGATGCCCCTCTTCTTCGGCTTTGTCGGTCTCATCAACATCGTCTGCCTTTGGCCTGCGGGACTGCTCCTCCACATGACCTCCCTCGAGCGCATCGAGTTGCCGCAGGGTGCGCTCATGTGGGCCGGCGTCGCGACGAACATGGCCATCACGTTTGTGAGCGACATGGCCTACCTCGTCGCCATGCTCAAGTCGTCGCCCCTCGTCGCCACCGTCGGCCTCAGCCTCACGATTCCCCTCGCCCTCCTCATTGACCTCGCACGTGGCAGCCATTCGGGCGGCGTCCAGGCCGACATTGGCAGCGTCCTCGTCCTGGTGAGTTCCCCCCTTTCCATCTTCTACTTTTTTTTGATGGAAGTTTCTTACGGTTCGCTGATACGCCTTCTCGATGTGTGCAGGCCAGCTTCGTCTGTATTGGCCTGGCGGACCGGGCAGCCGCTCGGATAGAAGCTGGTCCCACAGAGAGCAACGAGTGATGAGGATATTATTGCAATTGTAGCATTTGGATTTGAAGATACCTTTTGTGTTTGTGTGTGTGCAAGCATTCTGACCGACTGACACTGAGTGCATTTGGGAACAATGATGGGGTTTGGCAGAGACGAGACAGGAAGAGGGGAAGTTTGGGAATCGAATTGGCATCACGAAATGGCATTGAGGGTATAGATCTAGAAAGATAAAATGACTGTCTACCAATGATTGTCTACGAACGGCCTAGCGATCGGACAGTGGGGATCGCAGCAGTAGCGGCAGACGCAGCGCCTGGTCCGTCATCGCCCGTCGTCGTCGTGGACGCGGGTGGAGGATGTGGCTGCTGGCGCGACGAAGCACCGGATCCCCAGATGAGCGACATGCCCAGATTCCAGCCAGAGCTCGCCGTCGACGACGACTTTTCGTGCGACTCTCGCGCCTGGCTTGCCTGGCTGGCGGCCACTGCGGACCCCACGCCGCCATTCGTCGTGGCTGTCTTGTCCATCGCTGGCGGCGGCCCCTTGCCCAGCGTCGCGGGATTTGACGAGGGCAGCAGCGAGATCGTCTCCTGCTTTCGCGGTGGCCGCTCCAGGTGCGACATGCGCATGAAACTCCTCCCGTCGATGCCGCTTCCCGTCACCACGGGGCCCCGCGACGCACCCCTACCTCCCTCATTGTTCTTCCTCTTGGACGCCGAGGGAGAGGAAGACGCCGTGAGCGTCACGAGGAGGTTCTTGAGGTTGGGCAGCGTGTGCCGAATGTCGAGCACCGTGATGCCATGCGCATTCATCATCTGCTCGACATCCTTGTTGACGAGGAAGCACGCGTACTCGAATCGATACTGCTCGACGCCGCGCTGGTACAGAGGGAATGCACGGGGCCCCGACATGACGCTGATGCCATCCTCGACGACGGCACGGCTGCCTGCTGTCGCAATGGGATAGTGCACCGGCGTCTCAAGGTAGACGCTCAGCAGGCTCACAAGCTGGCCGACGAGTCCCAGCGCACTGCTGAGTGAGTCATCGTCGACGAGGGAAGCGGCGCTTTTGGATTTCGAGACTCGCTCTTCCTCGTCCGGCGTTCGATTCGGGAGGGGTATAGCGACGATGCTGAAGAGAAGCAAGGAGCCATCGACGAGGTCGATGGGGTAGATCAATTCGAGGTGGCGGAGCAGCGTCCCGCGACGAAAATGAGTTTGGTCGCCAACGTCATCGAGCTCTTTTTCCAGCGTGGTCAGGTGGGACTGACTCTCTTCAAATGCCCGTCGTTGCGTTGCCTGCACCCGCCGGGCCGTCTCGAGCCGTGCCCGCCGTCTATTGAGCGCTTCTCTGCGCTGGGCCAGGAGCCGGCGAGCTGTAATGTCGAGCGTCAGCGCTCATGGTACGCATACAGAGCAGCCATCGACAGACACTCACCCTCCTTGGCAGCCTCCTGCTCGTTGTCCCGGTCTGACTTGAGCATTTTTACGTGTTCCTCGTCCTCGTCCCTCCTCAGCTGCATCTGCAGCGGTCCGTCATTGGCGAGCAGCCGCTGGTCGGACCTCTTCCTCGCCTCGTCGAGCTGCGTCAGCACGAGAGTCACTTCGCGCTGGAGCTGGAGGAGCTGCAGCACGTCTTCGACCTCGTAACCCCGGACCAGGGCGCCTACCTTGAGCTTCTGCCTAATCTCGGCCTTTGCAGTCTTGATGTCTGCTTCTGTTCTCTCAGGGTCCTCTTGGCCGTGGCCTCCGTCTACCGGGGCAAGCGGGGTCGGAGAATCGACAATGTAGTAGCATATCTGGGTATCGGTGACTCTTCTTTGTGGCTGCTGCTTTGCGACAGCAACAGCGGCGGCCTCTGTCTCTGGAGCCTTGACAGCCTGCTGATCGTCGGAGGTGCGATCGGCCAGGACCTGCGCCAGGGGCGACTCGAGGCCGAGGAGGACGACATTGTCGGGCAGCTGCAGTGAGGGAGAAGCAAGCTGGTCGGCCTGGATGCTTTTGAGGCTCGACAGCTTAACGCGTCGCTGCCACACCTTCGTCCAGCCCTGTGCAGCCTCCTGTCCCTCGCTCACGTACGCTGGCGCATCCCGTCCCTTGCCCTTCTCTCCAGCTGCCGTCTTATCAGCTGCCTTGGCCCACAACGTCACCATGACTTCGTCCAACGATCCGACCTCATCCTGCTCTACGCTTGAGCAGAAGTCGAGGGCGGGAACGATCCCGAAGGGCGCCTGGCAGCTCGATGGCGCCCTTCCCCAGGCATGGTGCAGGCCAGCGTCGGTGCTCGCCGATGTCGCAAATATCCTCTCGCCTGCTCCACTAGCCGGAGAGAGCGAAACGAAACATTGCGACTCCCTCTGCTCGAGCAGCCTCCTGAGCCGGGGCGCATCCCAGGTGGCAGTCCACAAGTTTGGCGTCGATGCTTCCTCCTTGTATTCCTCCTGCCCTTCACCATCATCGCCCTCCTCCTTGACCCGGCTCGCCACATCATCATTGCCCTCTATCTCCTCGTCCTCCGCCCCCAGCGTCCTCTTCGAAGAAACGGAGCTCGCGCGTGCTCGCCCACCCGTGCTTCTTGCGCGCCTGACGCTCTTGCTGCTGGGTGTGCGCCGGAGCGTGGCATTGGTACTGATGGAGCTAAAGCTCGCCGTCGACGTCCGTCTCCTCGCCACGGGCCGATGCGGCGTGAGAACAAGGAGATCCTGCAGACTGTCCTTGGCCGGTGCCCCGCGCAAGTTCCGCACGAGGACCGTTGTCAGATGTCGGAGTCGGGGCTGGGTGGGGAGGAGCAAGAGGAAGGTGAGCTTTCTCTGGGTTGGCTAAATCTCTTTGTGAACGTAAAGGCAAAGTAACCCACTCGATCGTATGCTATCTGCTCTTGTCGCTCGCCAGGCGATGCCGATGTGCTTGCATGGCGGCTGTGCGCCATGGCAAAGCGCCCAGAGTGAGCCTTGGCAGGGGTGTCGTATTAGTCGTCGGTGTCGTTTCCCCCTTCCTTCTGGAGGGGCACAGGCCATGCCATTCGACGACGGGACCCAACACGTGAAATTCATACACTCACAGGCCCACGCGCGCAAAGAGAACAGGCTTTATTTCTAGGTGGAGGAAAGGTTAACCCCGCGTTCAAGAGGTGTTGCACACCTGGCACGCAAGGCGTGAACGAATCAAGACGATGGCGGTGGCGCTCCAGGATGGAGAGCTGCTCGAGATGAGGCAGCTCGTTGGCGGGCAGTGGTCAGAGCCGAATGGCTCCAGCTTCTTCTCCATAAGTGGGTGTCTGCCTACCAAACCGCTGTCTCGCATACTGAGCACTCCTCCGCAGACCCGTCGACTGGCGAGCCGCTGCAAGAACTCAAGAGCAGCTCCGAAGCCGACGTCGAGGCAGCCATCGACTCAGCACAGCAAGCGTTCCGGGACTTCTCCAAGATGGCTCCACGAAGACGGGCACGGATGCTGCTCGCCTTTGATGCGCTGCTCGAGAAGCACGCCGCGGACCTCGTTGCGCTCCTGGGCGACGAGACGGGCAAGCCTACCTGGGAAGCCGAAGCCGAGGTCAACTACGCCCGCACCTACTCGTGGTGGTATGTAGGAGAGGTGGAGCGGTCGGGTGCAGGGACCACGGTACCGTCGGCGACGGAGCCAGCCGGCGTCCAGACGTTCCTCACCATCAAGCAGCCCATTGGACCGGTGGCGCTGCTGCTTCCGTGGAACTTCCCCATAGTCCTCTGCGTACGCAAGGTCGTCAGTGCGCTTGCCGCAGGGTGTACATGCGTCATCAAGCCGTCGCCAGAGACGGTTCTGTGCACGCTCGCCGTTGTGCGCCTTCTCGAGCGCGCCGGCTTCACAGGCGGCATTGTCAACTGCGTCATCGCGTCTAACGACACGACACCCGAGGTGGGCAAGAAGCTGTGCGAGGATGCACGGATCAAAAAGGTGTCCTTTACCGGCTCCACGTCCGTCGGGCGGCTTATCATGGCCCAATGCGCGCCACGGCTCAAGAAGCTCACCCTCGAGCTCGGCGGGCTAGGCTGCCTCATCGTCTTCAGCGATGCCGACCTCCAGCTGGCCCTTGACGGTCTCATTGCCAATCGGCTGCGGCATGCGGGACAGACGTGCGTGGCCGCCCAGCGCGTCTTTGTCCACGCCTCGGTCTTTGACGACTTTCTCGCGCTCCTCGTGCGGCAGGTACAGGAGCGCATCGACAAACAGGCGCTCGGGCCACTCCAGACGGCGCGCGGCGCAGACAAGGCCATACGGCACATCGACGACGCCGTACGCCACGGAGCGACACGCATCGACTTTCGCTCTTCTGCTCGAACGCACGCATTCCAGGCCAGCGGCTTCTTTGTCGCGCCCGTCGTGCTGACGGGCTGCACGCGCGACATGCTCGTCTACCAGGAGGAGTCGTTTGCGCCCCTCTTCTGCCTCTCGACCTTTGACACCGAGCAGCAGGTCCTCGCGCGCGCCAACGACGAGACAGACATGGGCTTGTCGAGCTTCGTCTACTCGCGCGACCACGACCGGCTGTGGCGCATGTACGAGGGCCTCAACGTCGGCAACGTCGGCTTCAACACGGCCAATACGACGTCGGCCGAGATTCCGTTTGGGGGGCTGAACCAGTCCGGCCAGGGTAAAGAGGGCGGCATCGGCGCAGGCATGGACGAGTACCTCGTCACCAAGTCAGCCACAGTCAGGAGGACGTAGCAGCAATGTTCGCGACCATGGGTCACATATTGGGAGACTCGCTGTTTCCATGCATCTCCTTTAGCTTCCTAGCAGATATCACGCCGAGCTCTGCCTAAGAAGGTGCAGGAAGTATTGCACAAATGCTAGTTGAAGAGGTGATGGTAATGGTAGCAGCAGGAGTGGCAGCAGCCCTAAAGCTTCTCAAAGCCTGTCATAAATCGAATATACCTTTCCTGCAGTTTAGCTCGCAAGAAGTTGCGCTTTTTTAGGCTAAGATCGACTGGATCTCAGCTTCTTTCATGCCAAATGCCAAAAGCCAGTCGATCCACTCACGATTTTCCAGAAGGAGGAGAAGAAGAAGAAAGGGGAGAGACAATGCTGGGAGACGAGGAGAAGGACGCGCCCAGGAGGAAGCGGCAGCGGGTGCAGTACAGCTGCAGCGAGTGCCACCGGCGCAAGCAAAAGTGCGATCGCGGCGCACCGTGCGGCAGCTGCGTCGCCCGCAAGGCGCCCCACCTCTGCCTTGAGTACCGGCCGGGCTACGATGCGCTGAGCACCGACGGGCGCATCGCCCGGCTCGAGTCGGCCGTCGACAGCGGCATCGAACAGGTGCTGCAGCGCCTCGATGCGATTGCTGCTGGCCAGCGCGAGAGTAGGCCCGCCGCTTCAGCAGCCGGGCCCTCGTCGCCTGCGCGTTCGCAGCCCAGGCGCAAGCCCACCGGCGGTGCCCTCACCAACGGCAGCGATGCCAAGCATGAGGCCGATTTTGACCCGCTGCAGATGGTGACGCTCTCCTACGACGCGGCGCGCAATACCTATGCCTCGCTCCGTGCCCATCTCTATCCGGACCCTGCCGACGAGGCCGAGGAGGCGCATTTGGCCGAGACGAGCCGGTTGGCGGCGTCGGCCCAGACGCTCATCGACGACCTTCCCGCGTCGCCCGACCGTTCGTGTGCGCTAATTGAGCACTTTTACCTGACGGTGCGGGTTGCATCTACTGCTAATTTTCATGCCTGCATCACACAAGCTCACAATTCGTCTCCATCTTCTCTCTTTATTCCACACCTCCCCAGGTCAATCCGCTGCACATGGCGCTGCCCCGCAAGCGCCTCGAACCCGCGCTCAAGGCGCTTGTTCGAAACCGAGGGCGCATGGAGAGGAACCTACACCAATTTGCCATCCTCGCCGCCATTCTCTCCTTGGCCATCATCACGGCGCCCGTCGGCCTGCTCCGAGAGCCCAACGAGCCCGAGACGCGCTTCGCAGAGGCGAGGAGCCTCGTCGATGCCGTCCACCTCGCCCTGCTGACGGCCAGCACTTTTCAGAGCGATGATCTGGACAAGGTGGTGAGTACTGCCTGCACAAAGGATGTAATTGAGCATGATGCTGAGGCATTGTAATCCGTTCAGATGGCCTGGGTCCTTCTCTCGCGCGTCCACGGCATCGAGGAGCGCACCCAGAACGCCTGGGAGGCGGCCACCAGCGCACTGAGAAGTAGCTACGCCATGGGGTTGCACCGTGAACGGCCACAGGGCGCCAAGGCTAGAGGTAGCAGCAGCAGCGCAGCGCCGAGATCTGAGATGCTGATGGCATCGTCTGACGACGGCGACGGAAATGGCGATGGTGAAGACGAGGTCAGGCGGCAAGTGTGGGCCATGTGCCTCTTCCAAGAGAGGAGCCTCTCCCTCGCCCTCAACCGGCCCTCGATGGCGTCGGACGCCATGCACACTACAAGGCCACCGAAGGGCTACTCCAACGAGACCCGGGACCGCCTCGACTCCGACGAGACGAGGGTGCTGTCAAATGCCTACTACCATTCCCTCGCCCTTCTCATGGGTCGCGTCAACGATGTCGTGCAGCGGACCGACGGTCACTCCCTCTACGACCAGGCCGAGGCCATTGACGAAGAGATTGACGTCTTTCGACGGTCCATGGATCCCTTTCTGGGCCCCTTTTCGACCGACGTCAACGAGCTCGTCGAGGCGCCCACGCTCGCCAGCGAGATGCTCCACTGCCATCGCTGGGTTCTCCACGCCGAGCTGGATGCATTGCGCATCGCCCTGCACCGGCCCTTTCTCAGCCCAACCAGCGTGGGCTGCCGCCAGTCTCGTGCGGCCTCGATCCAGGCCTCTTGGGACAGCCTGGCTCGCCGGTCCAAGCTCGTCTTCACTTTCCAGAAAAGGTACGGGAGTGGGACCACGCCCAGGTCCTTTCTCGTCCTCATCAACCAGTCGCAGCGCTTCTCCATGGTCCTTGCGTGCTGCATCTCTCTGCTCATCAACCCGCGCGACGGCGATGCACTCAAGCTGAGGGAAGTCATTGGCCGGTACCTCGAACTCATGCCCAGGCGCACGTCGAGGTACATCCGTGAGGGAGATCACCGACGTATCCGGAGCCTGGAACGAGAGACGAGGATCCTCGAGCTATTTCTCGATCAGGCAGACCGGCTAGCTGCCCTCATACCCGACGATCCGTCTTCTTTGACGCCGCCCAAGGAGGGACAGCTACAGCAGCAGCAACAACAACAACAACAGCGAGCATCAATACAGTCACAGCCACTGACTGCTGGTTTTGATACATCGATGACGATGGATCAGACGAACGATGTGATCAAGGCATTCTTTAGCAGACCACCTCCAGCAAATTTCCAGCACAGCTCTGCACTCGCCGTCCCCACCGCGGCAACGAGACCGGTGCAACGAACGCAACAAGAGGAGCAAGAGTATAATCCGTTTGCCCTGCTCATGAGGGGCCAGGCGGACGAGGCGCAGCTCCAGTCTTCGCTCGTCGAGGCCCTCTGTGCTGGCATGAATTGGAGCACGCCTTCCTATTCTGCCTTTGGGCCGGGGACCTGACTTTCTCACCATTACTCACTATCCCCGATCTCTTTGCTTTGCCCTTTTACCCCTTACATCACGTAGCATGTACTCTTACACTACTGTCCTGTGCGATGCTCCTTGTTTATCTTGAGAATCTAGATTTGTATTGCACTCCACTCAGCCCAGCTTTTCGATGATCTCGCTTGACTTGGCCACGTAGCAGGAGTGCTCAAAGACGACGTCCAGCAGGATGTTGTGGACCTCCTCCTTTGGATCGGCCACGCCGTCGCGCATCACGACGATGCTGCAGAAGAAGTCAGCGTCAGTCAGATTGTTTCTATAATGCAGTTGTGCACTTCTCGACAACGTACCGGTAGTCCTTGTCGGTGGCATCCCTGACGGTGGAAAGCACCGCTCCCGATGTGGACACGCCGGCCAGGATAAGCGTGTCGATGCCCTTTGCCTTGAGCTGCTCATGGAGGTCCGTCGTCGAAAAGGCGCCCGTGCGCGTCTTTCGCACCTCAATCTCGCCCGCCAGCGGCTTGACCTCGTCCAGCACCTGCGTCGCGGGCTGGCTTTCGAGCACGCCGAGCTTCTCGGCGGACCCGCCCGCCCTCTCGGCGAGGCGACCAAACGCCTTGTTCGTTGGAGGGATCGCGGCAAAATCGGTCGCACTGAACGCGACACGCACAATCACGACGGTGCATCCCGTCCGGCGCGCCGCGGCCAGCATCGCCGTGATGGACGGAAGCAGATCCGTAGGCGGCGACGGCATGCGCGCAAAGACGAGTGGCTGAATGTCCATGACCACAAACGCAGTCTTGCGCGGGTCCAGCGCAGGCAGCGGTTCGGGGCCTTCTGTCGCCATCTTGTGTCTGTCGATTCTCTCTTACTTGGATCAATGTGTCTCGCAAGCACGTTACTTGAGTGGTGGCCCTTGCTTGCTTGCGCAACCTTGAGGGAGCCAAAGTAGCAGCAGCAGCGGTAGCACGCTGCCCCTAAATATATAACCCTGCGGCCAAGATTCTCCTTTCAGGCAGGCTAGCTGTCGCCGGTAATCACCGTCGTCATCAACAAATCGCCGAGGAAAGACTGCGGATGGCAGGCCGACGGCAGGCCACCCGCCAAAGATCCATATGCACGCATGCTCACCGTGTCTTCGTTCCCCTCGGCGCCCTTAGCGTCGAACCGTGCATGCCTCCGACCAAAGCCTGGCGCGACCGACTAAGCGCGAAAACACCCTTGGCTAGGCGCGCGCCCTGGGCCGATTATCGCCTGGGTCAGCCCGAATTTCGGCGCTGAATTTCCTCCCCCCCCCCCCTTCCCCGCAGGCAAGCTTATTTCTTGCTTGGGTCCCCGGTTCCATTGAGCTGCGCATCTCTCTTCTGTGACATGAGCTTCGCTATAAAGGTGTGGAAGGGGTAGAAGGGAAGCGTTGACTGGCCCTCCTGAGTGACGACGATGGAAAAGACCAACCACGGCGAGATGGCAGCGCACTCACACGAGAGTACGCCGAGCCCCACACCTACGGAGGTGCACCACGACAACCACGAGCATGGTCTGTCGTTCAAGCCCGCCGAAGATATCGAAAAAGGTGTGCCTGATGGTTCAAAGGGCGAACCGTTGAAAGGACAGCTGGGCGAGCCGGACAAGAGCGGCACCATTATCATTGGTTGGGAAAAGGACGACGATGAGAATCCCAAGAACTTTTCCTTTAAAAGACGATGGTACATCACTTGGATTGTTAGGTGAGCTAGCTTTCTATCGAAAAGCCAAGGGGCGATCGGGCTAATGGAGCTCAAAAGCTTGTATGGGATCCTGTCACCGCTCACCTCTTCGATGATCGCGCCGTGTACCGGTGTCATCAGCAAGAGCCTTGGCGTGACAAAGACTTTTGAGATGAACATGATGGTATCCGTTTACCTCTTGGGCTAGTGAGTCCGACTGCCTGTTTTCACATATAAATTAGGTCATCAAGTTGATCTGATTGCATCGCTGCTCAGCGTCGTTGGACCATTCTTCATCGGCCCTCTCTCGGAAGTCTATGGTCGCCGACCTGTGCTCATGGCAAGCAACGCCTTGTTCATTGCTTTCAACATCGGCTGTTCGCAAGCGAGGACTTTCGATGAGATGGTCGCCTTCCGGTTTCTTGCGGGTCTCGGCGGCGCAGGGCCCCTTTCAATTGGGAGCGGTGTGCTGGGCGACCTCTGGCGAGCCGAAGAAAGAGGCAAGGCAGCTGCTCTTTACTCGATCGGTCCCCTGCTCGGCCCATCGCTCGGTCCCATTGCGGGCGGTTTTCTTGCAGAAGCGCGAGGGGCAGACACCTACGGCAACGATACCTGGCGATGGACGTTTTACATTGTTATCATCGTCGGCACCATTTCCGCAACCGTCGGCTTCTTCCAGTTGCCCGAAACATACGGTCCCCTCCTCCTCGAACGCCGCGCTAGACGGCTGCGTGCACAAACGGGAAACGAAAAGATCCAGTCAGAGTACGACAAGAAGGAGACAACCCGACAAATCATCACCCGCGCGCTCGTCCGCCCCATCATCATGCTAACGACGCAGCCGATCATCCAAATTTTCACACTATACCAAGCTGTTCTCGTCGGCACTTTCTACATTCTGCTGGTCACCTTTACAAGAGTCTTTACCGAGACGTATCATGAATCAACGGGAATCGCCTCGCTCAATTTCCTGGCTCTCGCTCTAGGCGCCATTACAGGTGGGTCTGCTTATTTGGTCATGCTTGCAATGAATTGCTTTGGCTGACGAGTCGGTGCCACCTCCAAAGGGCGACAAATCGGCACGCAGCTCATGGACAAATACTACTGCATCCTAAAGGCTCGAAATGGTGGTGTTGCCAACCCCGAAATGCGGCTCGTCATTTTCTTTATCCCCGCCATCCTCATCCCATCTGGGATGCTCATCTATGGTTGGGCGTGAGCCTTCCCGTTACGTAGTTTTCCAGCAGCCCAATACTGACGCAGGCGTGGATCTTCCTTTCGCAAACAGAATTGAATACGCCGTCCACTGGATCGTGGCAGACATTGGCACCTTCATCTTCGCGATGGGCCTCATGTGTGTTGGCTTCGCCCTCAACGCCTATACCATCGACGTCTATCCCCTATACGCCGCTTCGGCGCTCGCTGTTACTAACTCTGTCCGTTCCGTCTTCGGGTTAGTTGTTCTTCAATCGCTTTTCAGCCATTGGGCGACGTCTTGCTGACACCTGTTGCATTTGCTCCAGCTTTGCCTTCCCTCTCTTCGCCGACGACATGTACGCCAAACTTGGCTACGGTAAGTCGGCTTCCTCTTTCTCCCTTCGTTCACCTTGCTGATGTCGGAGACCTTTACAGGCTGGGGCAGCTCGCTGCTGGCTCTCATTGCTTTTCTCCTCGGTGGACCAGGCGCCCTGGCGCTGTACCGCTACGGACCAAAGCTTCGCGCAATGTCGACCTACGCAGCCGGTGGTGCCGGCTCTGGACAATAATAGCACGGGTGTAGACGCCCCTCATAACATGCTGCTGTATTCACAAAGGAAAGGATATTACGAAAATACGAAGCGTACAAACAATCGATCATACCCCCATTTCCTTCATGAAGAGGAAGAACTCGCGCTTTCTTTGGCAGCATTGACGGCGCTGCTGCCAGCATTTTGGGCAGCTTGCCCAGGTGCAGGAAGCAATGCTTCTGCGACGGGGTCCTTTGTTGTTGAGTCACTGGTGCCCGTGAGAGCGTTGTCGCCGCAGTTGCACGAGTCCTTGAACGTGGGTTGGAGCGAGCCCAGGAGCTAGATGAACAAAAGCGAAATAGCCGCCAGTAAGCTTTATATATCTGCAAGTTGAGCTTTACAACAACTCACGAAGTCGAGCTGCGACTGGAGAAGCAGAACGGGTGAGGCAATTTCGGCAGGCATGAAGTCGAGTGCAAGCTGGAACAGGGCACAGCAGGCACCCGCCACTGAGAGTCGAATAATTATATCTCAATTGTGAGCAAGGCAGAGGAAGCGGGACGCACAAGAGACTCACGGTCATCCTCATTGGTGGGAATGGTGAATGAATTCGGCTCTTGCGGGTCCGCCGGGTAGGGGAAGAAGAATCGCTGACCTTCTCTTTCGCCATTGGCGCCAAATTGAACCGGGTGCTTGCCGTACTGCTTTGCCACCTGACCCACTACATCGAGGAGTGTGTAAGGCTGGGCGCGGCGGTACCAGTTGTCGGGGAAGCGTTCAGGAACGTGTCGGAAGCCACCAGGGGCAGTCGAGTCGGGAACGGCGCCAAAGAAGGTCGAGACAGAGTTTTCGTAGGCGTACGAAGCGTTGGGTGTCGTCACTTGAGTCGCATTGGCAAATGCTTCGTACACGAAGGACGAGGCGCCCCAGAGCAGGAATGCCTTTGGGCTGAAGTAAAATCGCGGGTTCTTCACAAGAAAAGGACATCAGTGCTTTGGAATATCAAAGACAGTCGCGCGCTCTTCTCACATTGGCCCTCGAGTCTTGGTAGCGAGCATATCGGTATTCGGCCATGACGGTCGCGTTGTAGATGGCATCTGGTCCGCCAAACTTCTTGGCATACGACTGCATGTCGGCGTACATTTCTCCCTGGAAGCTCCAGTTGTCGCCGTTGTTGAGGTAGAAGTCCCTCCTGGTGAGAGACGTGTCGCCCTCAAAAGAGTTGTGGTGCGCAATGCCACCTTCGTGCGAGATGAGCTCTTGCACTGCACCCAGCAGCGCGGTGCGGTCGTCTGTTCCGTTGAGCGAGACTTTGGTGGTGAGAAGGTCACCGTCGAGCGAGACGGCAATGGCGGCGAGGGCTGCGCCAAGGTCATAGTCGATGTTGTATCCCTCCTTCTGGCCGATGACGAGGTCCACTAGGGAGACGATGCCGTTACGTGGAAGGTAACCGTGGTTCGCCAGAGCGTTCATTCCTTTTTGAAATCATTAGAAACTCGCAAACGGTAAAGGTGGCAAGGATTGACAGACAACTCACCTGGGCACGGTCCCCTCTGGTCCGTAGGGCCTGGTGCTTGGAACAGATGGTCCTTGTCGTTGGGGTCAGGCGTCAATTTGGGAGCAGGACCGCCGTCGGCGGCCTGCCGTTTGTCCATTCTTTTGACGTAGTCGGCCAATCGAGTAGCTTCCTCCATGGCGAACTGGACGTCTCTCTTGCCCACGGGGTTGAAGCGGCCATTCGCAGTCATCTTCATGGATGGAAATGCCCATGTCGTCGTTGTCGCCACAGCGGCAATAGCCACGAGCAGATTGGAGAGTTGCATCTTCAAGCTGGAACGTCTTCAGGCAGGGAGAATGATGGACAGCTTCGACGAGGGAACAAGGTAGCTTGATATTCAAGTGCGCTCATTATATACACCGTCTGAGGCAGCTGTCGTGAAAAAGCAGAGTAAATTGGATCTCTTGGAGAAAGAAACCCCGTAGCGCCGAACCGTCCTCACATCGTCTACTCGACGCTCTTAGTCCTGCCCAGCGAACCCGGGAAAATCAAAGGACTGAAGGGCGACCAATCAGTCTCGTCCCGTTTTCAATCTGGGGAAAAAACCCTTTATTACTTCCGAGGCGTCGATGAGGCGGGGCCCCAAAGTCCATTAGGCCAACAGCGCTTCTCGAAGCCAGATTAAACTCAAGAGTCCGTGCCCTTCAAGTTGCAAGCAGACAACAACGCGCAAATGCAAACAAGTCAGTCGATCGCTTCGATTCTCTTTCTTGGACAGGAAAACGCAAGGACGCTAACGAGGGTTTAGCTTCGAAGTTCGGGCTTTGAAAATAAGACGATTCTTGCCCACTCTCTCTCCATTTGAGAGCATGCATCTTTCAGCAAGAACACAGAGGCAGGAACAGAGAGAGATCTTTAATGGGAACGGCAGCGGGGCAATCTGTAAGAGTTGTTGTCCTGACTTGCATCAGCAGCGTAGCACAGCAATATTCCTCGAGATCCGGGTGCGGCCTGTCTGGGCCCCGTCAGCAGTTCACACCGTCGACGAAGCAGCACAAAAGCGGGAGCAAAGTGTTGTTGATTCAGGCGTGTGAAACCGCTTGCTTTGATGACTTTCTCTATGATGAGTTGATGAGCTAATATGGTGTTGATAAGGCTACAGTGATGTCTAGGTTGCGCTTGTGTGGAAATCGTTCGTGTGGTCGCTTGTTCGGTGCGTTGCGTATCGAGATAATGGTAAAAATGAAAAGGTATCGCTTGGCATTACGGTGCTGGAGGGGATCTTAGCATTCAATGCACCCTCTTCAATGTAGGCACGATATCTGGCTTGATGACTTACAGGTCTCGGTGAGAGAGCCGTGTGCATGGTTGGGTGCTCGTGGTGCGAAAGAAGAATGAGTTGCCTGGGTTCTACAGAGCCCCAGGTTGGTCCCTCTCTTCCTCCGGTCCGGTGCCTCTGCTCTGCCATTCCTTGGAAGCTTGTTGGTGGTGTTGATGGGTAAGGGCGCCCTGACGCTCTTCTTCACCGGGTCTGGAAGCTTCTGCATGGAAAGGACGAAGTGGACCGGCGTGGCTGCTCGTGGGCATGTTACGATACGACTCGCCAGTACCGACATGTGCAGCGGGGTCAGACATGCCTGAGCTTGATAAGCCGGCTCGATTTTCATCCTGGCTGCTGCCCTGACCAGTACTTGAAGTGACGCCCGCAGAGTCAAGATGAAACCCAGGGTAAGGACCGGCTCCGAGTCCGGCCGATGAGAAAGCTCTATTTCGATGCGTCATTGGGTTCCAGCCGGGCTGGTAAAGTCCGACTGCGTGCTGGGTGCCGACGTGGGGAGAGGCAACCACAGCTTGGTTGAAGGGAACAGGGTCGCTATTGCTATGATTATGACGCACTCCGTGGCTTCCTCGGACATCGATGCCCCCCGTTAAGCCACTAACGTCGCTGCTGGACCGTTGATGATGGTCGCTGCGTTGGCTCTGTACTCTGCTTGAGCCAATGCCGCGAAAGGACACTAAGTCAGTACGACTGCGAGGACTCTCGGCAAGAGCAGGTCCCTGTGTGCTTCCGCTACTGCCGGGATTAGAAGTGAAGCGAGGGGTTAGAGGAGGAGGAGGCATGTTGTGCTGCACCCGACGAGGATCGCCGACGAGGTGGCCCTCCGAGCTGCGACGACGGCGATCGGCACGTTCAAGAACGAAGATGACTCGACCGGAGTGCTCAGGCAAGACCTCGGGATGTGTGCGCGACGAAGCGGGAGCGGAGCTTTCAGATGTTACTCCAGGGGTCTGGGGAACAAGGAATGATACGTTTCGCTGAGAAAGGCGGCGGCCACGAGAGGAGACGGTAGCAGCCCTTGCTGGGCGACCTCGCCGACCGCGTTGACTTTCCACAGGACCTGATTCACCCAATTTCGAGACTTCGTCAGCAATCTGCATGGGAGGAAGTGAGAAGTGCGCTGGCGACGGTGAGGGATCGGAAGTTGCAAGGGGCCGACCAAGCATGAGACCGAGGCTGGAGCTCGGAGTAGCACGGCTGGGGCTCGAGGCAGGTGGGTTTGGACGTGTTTGTGCGCCCGTCTGGGAGAAGGGAACGTTGCTTACCGAGGCCCGCCGACTTTCCAGGACAAGGGGAGGTGGTGCAGGTGGGGTGTAGAAGCGAGCAGACGGGCTGATTTGGGCTCCAGCCGCGGTTCCACCATCGCCCGGGCGTGAGGACTGCAACAGCCGCTGCGAGCTTCCTGCGGCAGGATCACCAGGAGTGCTTTGTGTCCTCTGTTTCGTCTTCTTCTCACCTGGTGCCGCTCTTTTTAAGCCAGAATTGATTCGACGAGCTGCTGCAGACCTGGTCGAGGGTGCCGGCTCTTCTGTTCGCGAATAGAGGAGGCGGGTTATACCAGGAGACTGGGCACTACTACCACTACTACTACCACCAGGACCAATGTCAAGCTGCGAGGCATGAGAATAAGTGAAACGCGGGCCTGTGCTTTGATCCATTGCTTCGTGAGCCTGGCTGTCGAATACAGGATTACCGCGACCAGGTCCATGTCCTTCCCCTGTCCAGAGCTCCTGTCCCTTTGCCAGTTCAGTAGCACCCTCCGGGCCTACACCGGGTTGTATGTTGGGTCGCACCGGAGAAAGCTCGACAAAGGGTACAGAAGACTGTCCCATGGCCTGGTCCGGCCCCATGCCCCTTCCAGGTCCATATCCTTGATTCGACTGCGAAGGCAGGCCGGCCTGACCCTGACCCTGACCCTGGCCCTGATCAGCCTGCCAACGTAGCTCGTCCCTTCGCATTTCGACTTTGCTGACGTGCTGGCCGGGCAACACTGCAAGCCCGATTCTCCTCCTGGTCCTGTCTTGGTATTCGTGGCGATTGTGGTTCACTCCAGCGAAGTCGCCGTTGCTGGCATCTGCTTCGCCTTGCCGGACCTCCACTGCTTCGCTGAGGATGATGTTGCACCCGCTGTCGACGCACGCAAATCTGCCCTCGAACAGCCGTCCGTCTCGAATGGTGATCCTCACTGCCCGGTCGACAAAGTCGCTCTCGATCCTCTCGGCAGCTCGAGAGGATCTGATGTCGTCCGGCCGAAGGTTTGGCGGCTGATACATTTCCTATGTTTTCCTCCTCCTCCTCCTCCTCCTCCTCCTCCTCCAGTCCAGTCCCTCCTAGAGTTCCTCCGTCTCCCTCGCTCCCTCTTCCTCTGCACCCCTTCTCCACCACCTCCTCCTTACTCCTTGACCTAGCTCGGCACCTGCTCAGCAGCAGGCCGCGAGTCCAAGCAAGGCAATCGCAGCAGCAAACAGCGGCAGCAGCAGCTCGACGTACACCAGACAGCAAGCAGCGAAGCAAGCAGCCTGCGAGAGCGCGCGGAATGTGCATTTCTAATCACGCAACGACGGCCTTTGACGCGCCTGGCCGAATCCCGACATTGCTAAGCAAGAAGCCAAAGAAGCTCGCCCACCCAAGGCGGAAAATGGGCTGACAGTACGTGATCGCCACCTTGTTGGACCAACTCACACCCACACACGCCATCGACAACCATGTCGGTCCTTGGCCGTTCTTCCCTGGCCGCGACTCGCGCCCCGATGGCGGCGGCTTGGCGACGGACAGCGAGCAAGAGCAAGGCCGCCACTAGCAGCAGCAGCAGCGTGACCTCGAGCAGCTGCTTCTCCACCTCGTCTGCCGCTCGCAAGCCGCCAACGGGGGTCCTGCTCATGAACATGGGCGGGCCTTCGACGCTTGACGAGGTCGGCGACTTTCTCTCGCGCCTCTTTCACGACCGCGACCTGATCCAACTCCCGTTCCAGTCGACGCTGGCGCCGCTCATTGCCAAGCGGCGCACGCCCAAGATTGTCGAGCAGTACGACAAGATTGGCGGTGGCAGCCCCATCCTGCGATGGACCCGGAGCCAGGGTGCGGCCATGGCCAAGATGCTCGACGAGCTGCACCCGTCGACGGCGCCCCACAAGGCCTACACGGCTTTCCGCTATGCGCGGCCGCTGACGGGCGAGGCGCTCGACGAGATGCGCGCCGACGGCGTCGAGCGCGCCGTGGCATTCACCCAGTACCCGCAGTACAGCTGCTCGACGACGGGCAGCAGCCTCAACGAGCTCTTTCGCGAGATCCAGCGGAGAAAGGCAGCCGACAGCGGCGCACCAGAGGCCAATATCCAGTGGAGCGTCATTGACCGCTGGCCCACTCACCCAGGTCTCGTGCAGGTGAGTGAAAAGGATCAAGGCGCAATCGGCTTCTTGGCGTCACACCCCCTCTTCTCGATTCAGACTGCTGACAGTTTCCAACTTCTAAATCAAAGGCATTCACCAACCGACTCCAGGCTGCGCTCAACACGTACCCGGCCGAGGAGCGGCACAAGGTGCCCATCATGTTCTCGGCCCACTCGCTGCCCATGCAGATTGTCTCTGGCCGCGGCGACCCCTACCCGGCCGAAGTGGCCGCCACCGTGGCGGCCGTCATGACCAAGCTTGGCTGGTCGAACCCGTACCGGGTGACGTGGCAGTCGCAGGTCGGGCCCTCGGCCTGGCTCGGGCCCCAGACGAGCGACACCGTCAAGGGCTGGGCAAAGCAGGGCTACAAGGACCTCGTCGTCGTGCCCATTGCCTTTACCCAGGACCACATCGAGACGCTGTACGAGCTCGACATTGAGCTGCACGAAGAGGCAGAAGAGGTGCGTGTTGCGCAGGCTCGTCATCATCGCTTGTGTCTTGAGACGAGACGAGAAGAGAGCGTGGCTGGCTGACACACTATACATGCGGTGTTTACAGCACGGCATCCGGCTCAAGCGCGCAGAGTCGCTCAACGACGAGCCGACGTTCCTCCGTGCACTTGCAGACATTACCGCCGCCCACCTCGACTCGCTCGCTCTCACAGGCCCAGGAAGCAGCAGCAGCAGCAGCAGCAGCAGCACCGTCGGGCCCCACGTCTGGGCGCAGGGAAACACATCGAGGCAGATGCAGCTGCGGTGCCCCGGGTGTGTGAACCCCGTCTGTGGCGAGCAGAAGCGCTTCTTTGCAGACAACACCATGGGTGTGGGCGAGGATGCGCTGCGGTGAAGAAGAAGAAGAAGCGTCGTTGATATATTCGTTTTAAAAAGCCTGGCTAGGGCAAGGAAGCCCTCTCCGTTGTTGTATCTACATTGTCACATGCTTGCTCCCCAGTGGCTCTCTAATCTCAATGTGAAGTCACCGCAAGCGGCTTGAGTGACTCGTGATTCGCCAACGCCCTAAAGAGCCGCCTCCATTCGAGCGGATCGCCCTTGCTCCTCCGCATCAGCACGTACGTCTTGGCCACCCTGCTCTCGCTGTCTTCATCCTCCAGGACGGGACTGCCGTTGCGCGTAATCTCGGCCACGCGCACCTCGCCCTGGAGTAGGCACTTGCGCCGGTCCATCGTCCGCACGCGGATCCTCGCACCTCTGCTCCCGACCAGTGCGGCGCTGCTGCTGCTGCTACCTGTTGTGCCTCTGGCCGCCGCCGCCGCTGCTGGTGCTGCTGCACCGTCGCTCATCTCGACGTCTTCCATCATCGAATCATCATCGCCCTCTGCCTCTTCAGCAATGTCGTGCCCACCATGCGCCTCGTCCTCCTCTTCATCGCCCCGGAAGCCGAGCGGCGCGGCATGATAGACGATCGAGAGCTCGGCGAGGATGCCCACGATGCGCTGCACAACGTCTGACGGTGGTGCGCTGCAAAAGAGGCGCGTCAGGTGCGGGCTGAACCTCGCCGTGCCCCCGGCGACGGCGGACCACTGCGTCATGTGGTTCATGGCTTGGGTAAACTGGCTGCTGGCGGCGCCTGCCACGAGGCCTGCGCCGTCGGCTGCGCTCGCAGGAGGGACATTGTCTCTGCGAGCCGACACCTGCTGCGACATGGCCAGGTGCCGCGCATTCGTCGTCGTCGTCGTCGCCGCCCTCCCTCGCCCGTTGCCCAATGCAGGATGAGCTGATGAAGGGGGCAGCCGCTCATCAAAGCTCTGCAGGCCCGGTCCGAACGCCTCGGGCTGGGTCAATGAGATGTTCTCGGGGACGGGTGCTCGTCTTCCATCGGAGTGCAGGCCAAAGTCCATGTCGCCCGAAACGATGAGGCCGTGGAGCAGGCGCTCGGCGAGCGTGACGGGATCAGAACGAAGCGAGTTGGGTCTGCGGAACCAGCGGTGCTCCTTGATGGCTGCAATTGTGTACCGCTTGTCTGGGTCGACGCACAGCATGTGTCGCACAAGCGCTGGTGGAAGGAGAAGCATGAGCAGCGATCAGACACCAAAGCGGGTTCTAAACTCACAGAGCGCATCGTCTGGGATCCTTGGCCACGGATCATAGGATTGGCCGCGAGTGTATGCGACAAATTCTGCGCTCCTCCGCGTCGGCTCGTCCCACGGTGTATTTCCCACCAAGAGGGCAAAGAGGACGACACCGGTGCTCCAGACATCGGCTTGCTCACCCCGGTATGGGTTGCCGTTCATCTCTGGTGCAATGTAGGGCAGGCTTCCACAAGCACCCTTGAGCTGGCGCTCCTTTCCCTTGTACCTGTACACGCTGCACAGGCCAAAGTCGGCCAGCTTGAGGCACCCATCGGCGTCTAGGAGCAGGTTCTCGGGCTTGACGTCGCGGTGCGCCACGCCCTGTGAGTGGATATACTCGAGTCCATCGATGAGCTGGGAGAAGTAGAAATGCGCTGTGTCCTCGTCCAGGCCCACGTCGGGGGCTGTTGGTGAGTTGCGTGTGTGAGTAACCTGTACATGTTGTGGCCCTGCCCTCCCTAAGAAAGATTCACGCACCGATCTTGTCAAAGAGATCACCACCAGCGCCTAGTTCAAGGACCATGTAAAGGCCCGGGACATAGTTGGAGGTCCTCGATTCCCCGGGCATAAATTCGTCGACGGCCAGGAATTCAAGGACGTTCTTGTGCTTGAGGACATTGTGAATCTGCACCTCCTTCTTGAGCGCCGCTCGATCGGGGGCGTGCTGTGGGTGAAGCGTCTGCGACGAGGGCTTGGCGTACGAGACGACCTTGATGGCAGCGACCTTGTGCCTGACATTGGCTGCCGTGATGGCTCGAAACACGCGCGAGAAGCCTCCGCCGCCGATGTGCTGCACGATCCGGTATTCCTTGATCTCGGGATACGATAGGCCCGTCGAAGAAGTCGGCGCCTGACTCGGTAATCCCGGCATGGCCTCTTCTTGTCTCTCGGAGAGGTGTGTGTGTGTGTAAGCTTTGTCCGGCTCGAAGGAAAAGTGTTGGTTGCTCAGCACCACTTTTGAGTCGCGTCAATCAATCAAACAATTTCGGCGACGCGCGCCTCTCACTCTCGAGAATAAAAATCACAAGTGTATTTTGTAGGCTTTGCACGTGGAGAAGTGTTGGTTGCTGCCAGGGCTCCACCGTCCAGCTTCGGTCCTTCAGAAGACTCGACAGTGATTCATGGCCAACGCATCCCCAGGGCAAGGATGTGGAGCGCTCATCGGCGAGTCGATGAGCAAGACACAGCGCTGATCGCCGCCTCAGCCCCGGACGAGAAAGATGAGGAGTGGAGAGAGACTTCGCTCACGCCCTCTTCAACCTCCTCGTCGGACGGGGTGAGCGACGACGAGATGGTGTGTCTATCAACAGGGCGAAGGAGGCGCCGAGGGCAAGGCAGGGGTGCAGCACAAGCTGGCGGCAGATCGCGAGGAAACGTAAACGGAACAGGATTGCCGAAGGGAAGACCGAGAAAGTACCCGTCCGCAGTCAAGACGGATAAGATCATCGCGATGGTAGAGCTCGAGAGCAAAGGAGACAGTGGAGGCGAGCAAGCGAAGGGAGACGTGATCATCGTGGAGGAATGGAGCGATGACGGCCTGTCCACACCACCATTACCCGGTGACTCACGTCGTACCGTCAAGGTCAAAGTAGAGGACGGAGAAGACCACAGGAGAGACGAGGGGGCAGCTGCTGAAGAGGCAAGACTGGAAGACATTGCAGCGCGAGAAGAAGACGGGGCACGAGTCGAAGACAGATGGCAAAAAGAACGTCGCAGGGCGGAGGAGGAAAGGCGGGAGAGATTAAAGAGGGAACAGGAGGAAGAGGAAGCTCTTTTGCGGGAAGAGCAAAAGATGCTCGAGCAGCTCTTGTCGGAAGGAGACGATGGTGATCTTTCTGTCTGCTCAGATGACGACGACTACTATGAAAGAAAGCGCCAGGAGCGTCTTCGGAGGAACGCCAAGATGCTCGCCTTCTTGAATGAGGACTTGCCACCCTCTTTACCGCAGACGGAAAGGCCCACCTCCCGAGTCCAAGCGTCCAAAGGCCGGGTCCATTCATTCAGAACCTTTAAAGATGGGACCACGACTGCGATTCCTAGAGCTGGACAGACGTTCGAGCTAGCATACATTGCTATCCCTGTCCTCCGAGAACGCAGTCGCTCTTCTTACATTCATTGGCACGACCCCTTACCGGAACCAGACGAGGGTCACAAGCCCACAAAGAAGGCAATCTCACCCGAACCAGCCAAAGGCGTCTCGCCAGGACCACCCAGAGGTTTTCGAAAGGGCCCTGCCGGAGACGGTCTCGATGGCGATGGGACGAGCTGCCACCAGTGCCGCCGAAAGACACTGGACGAAAAGATGCGATGCCGAAACCACGAGAATGGCCAGGTGTGTCCACTCTTCTACTGCAGGCGATGCCTCCGGAAGCGCTATGGGATCGTCGATGAGTGGGATCCAGAGTCTCGAGATTGGACGTGCCCTCGGTGCCTTGCCTACTGCAACTGCTCGTGAGTCCATCAGGTACTGATACGGTTCAGGTCTGAAAGTCACAATGCTGAATTGAACCCCTCTCGAATAAGCTTGTGCCTGTTGCGCGCTGGCCTCGGTCATTACATCCGACCAAACCAGTTCAATAGCATCTTCGATGACGACGGTCGTCAGAAGTTCCCGAGTGTCAAGCACTTTCTCGACAGCCTCTCTCCCGACGGCGCCCTCAAGATTGGCCCTGGAGGGATCTGCGCAGCGGATTCAAGCAGGAAACGGAAAGGGAAGCCAAAGAAGCCCGAGCCAGCAACAGATACCCAAGCCGAGCGGGAAGACGACAACGACGGCGCTATTGTGGAGAAGCTGGCCGGAAGCCGAGGTCGGCCAAAGAGAACAGCCGCTTCTCTGTCGTCGTCCAACCTCGCGGCACAGCCATCGAGGCCGACTAAGAGGCGTAAGATCACGGTCAAGGTGAATAAATCACCAAGAAAGACTGAAGTCAAGGAGCGCAAAGATAGGGTCGTCCGAGGCAACGGCTCCGTCTTAGCAGGCACAAACGAGGACGCGGACGTGGCTGCAGCGCCACCGAAGCACGAAAAAGACGACGCAGAGCTTGGCAATCTGTCGAGCGACCTGTCAGATTTGACCGACTCCGAGAACGAAAGCCAACTCCTTCCTGGTCAAGACAGAGGCGCTGAGCCTGGCGAGCTCAATGCAAGCCTCGAAGCCCTTTCCCATATGCCGACGCTGGCAATGGATGGGCATTCCTCAGCAACATCTTTCTCGCCTTGGAGACTCAACCAGCCAGAAGTGAACGCAGTACCCTACCCTGGAGAACATCCTTGGAGGCCTCCGATGTCGCCGCTGCACAAAAATCCTTCCGCGTTGCAGCGCCCTTATTCGTCCGATCCGATGCAAGTGGACTCTGGAAGCGGCTACGACGAGCCTGCAAACGGTTCTGGCATCATGGCTCTAGGAGCTCTAGAGCATCTGACGTCCGCCGATCTCTTCTAATCGACGCTTATTTCCCCCTTCTGTGCAGCAGCTTCCGTTTTTTCCCCATTTGTATCCATAGCAACCAATGCAAGCATTTGACATTGCACTAATTGAACATTATGAGCTGCTCCATCGCAAAGTTGAACAAACTGTTCCGGCTTCGGTGACTCTTGTCTTCTCCACTTAGCGTTGTCGTTAGGCAACGGTGAAGGCCAAAAATAGTCAGTCGAGAGGCATTGTTTGTAAGATTCACGTTCTTGACACATTTCTACAGCTCTGCTTTCGCAGCAGTATAAGTCGACCTTAATCGAGAGAACCGAAAGTAGGACAATTGAAGAAGAGAGTGAAGAGAGAAGATTTTTGAAGAGAAGAAGTGAGGAAGAGAAGGGAGAGAAAGAGCGTGACGAGGACTTTCTTGGCCATCGTTTTGCTTTTCTCGCCAGCTTAGTTACATCGAAAATTTGAAGCCGAGTCTCGTTCCCATTTGCCGTCTTTGCCGTTGCAATCGCCCTGCCCCTTTCCACTTAGCACCTTCCACGGTGCACTTGTTCGCCCTCGATGATCAATTTACTTCAGTGTCGCCTTCGGTTGTCCTTTAGGACGCCGAGCCGGCAGATGTGCTGGACCGCTGCATCGTGTGAGGCCTTGCGCCTGCTGCTTGCCTGCTGAACCTCCTCGAAGGCAACGAGAAGGAACCAAGGGTCGAGTCGCTCTCAGCCTCGGCCTGTTCCGCGTCCTCAAACGAGGCGAGGTACTCGGCCGGCTCGTCGTCCTCAGGCGTGCATGACAAGACGTCGCCCCAGAAGAGGATCTGGGCCTCCGATGTGAGCGGCATTGCTCCCGTCTTCGAGGACGACGACGAGGGCGAGGAAACGGGGGCTGAGCCCGTGTCCGTAGCTGCAGCTGCGGCTGCAGCACTTTCTTCACGACGCCTTTGCGCTCTCATTCGCTGCCGGTAGGATATGCGAGGCGGTGGAGGGAGCGAAAAAGACCGATCTTTGTTCAACGATTCGTTCTTCCCCGTACGCCCGGCGTGCTCGGACTCGAGCCGACGAAGCTCGTTGCATTTCTCGACCAGATCGGGCACGATGGGACTCGGCATCAACGGGGGTGGAGAAGGAGGTCGAGTGGAGCCTTCTGCTTGACCGGCCTCGTCCAAGGGCAGCTGGAGATGCGTCAGCGAGGCCTCGTCGGCTTGTGCAGCAGCAGAAGCATTGAGCGAGGGCGACGAGGGAAGAGAGGTCGACGGAGAAGGTAGCAGACCGCTGTGCTGCTGTTCGCGGCTGATCGCGCTGCGGCGATTGCGGCGTTGCCGAGACACGTTTAGCTCCTTGTTCACGGCCAGCGGCAGCAGGATGTAGAGCATCACCGAAAAGACTGATGTGCATGAGAAAGGGGACGAGGGAGAGGGCTCAGCTGGTTCTACTCCTCGATCGAGTTTCGTTCTGTCAACTCACAGAACCAGGCAACGACAGGATAGCGACAGATAAAGATGACGGGGCTCATTGGATCGACGAAGCGGAGCACTAAGTTGGGCAGCCAATGGCCCAACGTTATGAAGCCGATGACGACAGACATGATGGAGTCGATGAGACGGATCTCACGTAAGATTTCCACCCGTTTGTTCCCTCCCGTTTTATTCATCGTCTGGCCCAGGTCTACCACAATTGCCGTGGTGGTAGCCGGCAAATGCTTGTCCTTGTCTTGTGCTGTCGAACGGTGCGAGCCGGTGGTCGAGAGCGGAATCTCCTCCACGAGAAGCAGCTTTTGGCGCTGAGTGTGCGCGGCATACGCGCTGATGCCAAAGCCAAGGGAGATGAGGCCGGATACAACAAAGAGGATGACAATCCCGGACTCGCGAAATACTGTGAGGACGACAAGCAGTGTACGAGGGGGTGTATTAGGAACGCCAAAAAAAAGGATTCGAGAGACGCTACTACTCAACCAATCCACATGGGTCCGTCGAGCTTGTCTTGGTGGTTAATCTCGAACATCTGTGCGAGTATGACAGCGCATGCGTAAGCCTCGGCTGTGATGGCGAGAGCAAAGAAGTAGAGGACGGGCTTTCTGTACGTCTGAAGGAACTTGTCGGTGCATGTCACCTGCATGCGCTTGACAATTTGTATGAGGTGAAAAGCGCTGCTGACCATCAGCAGGTTGTTGAAGGCCAAAGTGAAGACGACATATTGCCATTTGTAGACATCCGAGTCTTTCAACGTGGGCGAGATGGCCTTGCTCCAGATCAAATCTCCAATGATCGCCGCAAGGGTGAGAGAGTTTGCGACCAGGATAAACACCGACCATTTGATCCACCGTGGCTCAGCAGCTAATCCGCCCGTTTGTTCATGGCTGCAAATGCGTGCAATGTGAGGACACTTGTAGCTCTGCTGAGACTGCTCTGGGACGCTCACATCCAGACCATGCCGATGGCGCATCCGCAGATGAAGACCACGACGCACCAGCCCGTCACCTGCAATTAGTGACGACGGGTAGGCAGGATTGTGTCAAAATAATGGACGAGACAAAAGCGTCACTCGGACCTACTGAGAGACCAGTTGACAGCGTCTCGTTACTGTCCATGTTGCTACTTCTCGTTGTTTTCTATGAGCGGCGGGTCTGTTCTGCTGGTCGTTGTATGATGACAGGAGAGAAATGAAAACGAGGGACGAGCGCTCGTTTGCTGCGCACCGGACCTTGTTGTCAGTGGTAATGACCCAGAGTTCACCCTGGAAGGTAGAAGTCTCGCGGCCAGCGGCACGTTCCATGTCCTTTTTGGCAGTCACGGTGGGGGGACACGCCTTGTTTGCCCGTCCTCGCACCTGCTGATGAAGCGACGAGAGGATGGACGCCGCGCCGCGCCGCGGTGTAGGCGCTGAGGTTTGCCGTCCACGCCTCCTTTGCCTTCTCTGCTTCCGTGGGTTTCCCTCCCACTTTCACACGACGACGTGCGGTAGATCTTCTTCACATCTTGTCTAGAGATACACACAGCTTTGGTATCAACCACAGTCATGCTGTGCTCCTTGCCTGCCAACCAGCTGGCAATGTCTATTTGAGAGAGGTCCTCAGCCAGATGTTCGTCCGTCCTCAACCCCCGTTTCTTACTCCGCAGAGGGTTGCCGAAGCAAAACAGCCCCGTCGCTACTTTAATTCTCGGCTTGCCCACCATGTTGGTCTCAGATCGGACGGTGCACACATGGCTTCTCTAAAAATCCCAAAAGTGACAACGTCGCGTGACAAAGTCGCACGACGGGAAGAAAGTGTGATGCTCGACGCGTCTCTTTGCGCGCCCGCGCGCCCTCTTTCGATGTACGCGCGCGCGAGCAGAGGAAAAATACAAAAAAGTTGGCTGGGCTGGGAAAAGTGACACAAGCGAGGGGGAAGGGGTGCGCGAGACACGTCCTTGCCTTTCTCGTGTATAGAGCTCGCAGCCTGTCGAGGGAGGCTACCGTTTCCGTCCCATCTTCTCCTTGTCCTCCAGCATCGCAGCCTCCCTCCATCTCCCTTCCTCCTTCCTTCTCTCACTTTCTCACGACTCTCTTTCATCATCGTAAGCGACATCACCTGAACACAATGCCCACCACTCGGGCGTTGAGCGCGCGGCTGCCTCTCGCTTCTGACGGGCACGACGACGCCGACGTTGATCCAAAAGCCGCTCTCAAGTTGGCTTTGCCCGGCAAGCAACCATTCCAGCCGCGAACATGCTCGTCACCCCTGCCATTTGACATGCAATCGACCTGCTCCGGCGTCAGCAGTGGGAGCAGCACGCGTCCGACTCGGCGACGTGCACCATCCTGGTCGACATCGTCCTCGGCCAAGAGCGGCTACTCTGCTCGGCGATCTTTTGCTTCCTCTTCCTCGTGCGTCAAGTCGACGCTTTCGGGCGACGACGATTCGCAGGAAAGCGAGGAAGACGAAGACGATGACGAACGTGCGCGCCTCGGCGGATGCGTCTTCGCGTCCGAGGCCCTCAAGAGGCGAGACGACAGCAACAAGGAGAATATCGCGCCGATCCGCGCATTCATCACGCAGCAGCACCGGCTTCTCCAGCAGCGCCTCGAACAGGAGGAGGGCGTTGCGAGACGGACGCGCGCAAGGACAGCGACGCCCATGTCGACGCGCTCCTCGACACCCCTCAGCTTGCCTCCGCGACGCGTCCCTTCTCCCTCGTCCTCCTCTTCTTTGTCTTCTCGCGCCTCCTCCTCTTCCTCTTCTTCTTCTTCTTCTTTGCGCACGTTCCGCAGAACTGTAAGCTCGCCCACTGTCTCGTTGAGCCCTCGAAAGCGGGTGCGAGGTGCGGCTGATGAGCAGCAGTGCAGCTCACCGTCAACGCGTGCTCGCTTCGAGTCGATGGCGCCAGTGACGCCCGGCTCGGACGAAGCTCAGGATAGCGCCAGCAGCTACATCTCGAGCCAATGCACCTCTATCTTTGACGTTGACATTGAGTCGCAGGAGAGCAGCCTCTCCTCGAGTTTTTCACGAGCGACGAGCCCGGCTCTTACCGAGGCTGAGGAAGTCGAGGTGACCAAGAAAGAGGATGAAGGCACGTCATCATCGCCCGTCAGGACGAGCAGCAACAGTAACGTCTTTGCCCATGCTCGCGCGCTACTCAAATACGGTGTCTCGTCATCTTTCGACAGCAGCAGCTGCGGTAAGGATAGCAGTGGCGACAAGAGCAACAACGTCGTTCAAGTTGTTGGCCGGGAAAAGGAAAGGGGTGCGCTGCAACGCTTCCTTCACCGTCGCTTCCACCTCTTTCCTCACCTCGAACACTCTGCATCTCCTCAGGGCGAGAGTCTCGCCGACGACCTCGACGGCGCCCAAGACTCGGGCTGTCTCTATGTATGCGGCTTGCCGGGCACCGGAAAGACGGCTCTCGTTCGATCCATCTTATCGGACGTCGCGGCAGCCAACTTTGGCAAGAGAGGACCTCGAATGGCCTTTGTCAATTGCATGTCGGCCTCGCAACCCAGACTCGTCTTCAACTTGGTTCTGCAAGCGCTTGGCGAGAAGATGCAGCCAGACGACGTCGAAGCAGAGAAGAGACTGCAGACTCTCATCAAGGATCCTTCTCAGCGCATTCTCATTGTCCTCGATGAGATCGACCACCTGCTCCGTAGCCGCGCCCATCAGAATGTCCTCTACCGCCTCTTCTCCTGGGGCGCTCTCTCTCCGCCCGCCTCGTCTTCAGGCACTGGTAACTCGATGGGCACCTGCGGCGTTGTGGGCATTGCCAACTCGCTGGACCTCACCGAGCGCTTCGTCCCTCTGCTCGCCAGCAAGGGGGCTGCCCCCGCGGTGCTCCACTTCCGTCCCTTTGAGGCAAAGGAAATCATGTCGGTCGTTCGCGCCCGTCTGGCAGGCCTCAAGGGGCGGTACGACGTCGATGAGGACCAACTGCGCGAGGAGGACGACATCATCGTAGAGGACGGAGAGGAGCCTCCGCTTCCCCTCTTTGTGCCTGCCGCACTGGAGCTGGCTTCCAAAAAGATTGCGGCAGCGACGGGCGACGTCCGAAAGGCGCTCGATACGTGCCGAATGGCCATCGACGTCGTCGAGTCCGAGCAGCGCCGCCTTTGCGCGCTGGACTCCGAAGAAGACAAGAAGCAGCACCTGCGCACCTTTACGCCAAGCACTGCACCAAGAGTCACACCGGCACATATTCTCAAAGTCCTTTCGGCCGTCTTGGGAAGCCCACAGCTGACCAAGATCCGATCGTTGGGCCTCCAGCCCAAGCTTGCCCTGCTCGCGCTCCTCGTTGCGCAAAAGAGGTCTGCAGAGAGTCTCTCGGTTCTCGGCTCTTCTTCTACCTCTTCCTCCTCTTCCCCCTCCTCCTCCGCCGAGTCCAGCGCCGCCGCGCCGACTTCTGTCACCCGGCTAGCAGACGTCGAGAGTACCTACCTGACCATGCTCAAGACGGACGGAGGATCATTTACAGCACTCGAACGGTCAGAGCTGCTCGACGTTTACGAGATGCTCGAGGTCCAAGGCCTGGTCACACTCAGTGCCACCGCGTCTTCTTCGTCGCCCAGCGGCAACATCAAGCGGCAGCTCAAGGCCGCTGCGGCAGACGCCGTGGGAAGTCGCGCCTTGAGACTTGCAATGGGATCCGAGGATGTCTTGAAAGGTATCACGACGGCTGCCCCTCCTGTTGGAGCCGCAGCCGCAGCAACAGCAACGGCGTCGACTGCTGCCGCGACGTCCAAAGCGGTGCTCGAGTCCATCAGGCGGATCTGGTCTGTGGAGGAGGCGCGCATCAGGCGAAACAAGGGCTGGGAAGGCATGCAGGGCGATGCCGACGAAGAGCGCAAGAGGATCCTCCGTGAAGAGCTCGGTGGGGGCCGAGGCGCCCAGGCCAGCTTTTGATCTACGATCATCCTCATGTCAATGCTTTTCACTCTCTTTTCATACATTGTCGTTACCGTCATAAGATATTTTCTCATCGCAATATTCTCCTTACCTTGCTACGTCGTCCGTCTACCTCTACGAATCTAACGATCATTCTCTTTTCTCTCGGCCCTTGATCTTTCTCATCTCCATTTGTTGATTGAGTGTTGAGGCAGAAGAAGAGAGTCTTTGACATTGAATGAACACGAGAGCCCTCCCTTTCCATGCAAGCTGAGTCGTCATGATCTAGCCGTCGATTTCCATCCCGTTGTACCCCATAGCCCCTGCCCCAACCGCATCAGCCCTGACACCATTTTCGACCTCACGATAGAGCGCATTCCCGCTCCTTGCCTCCCGGACCAGCGCCTCGAACCTCGCACTGCTCGGCGCTGCCCCGCCGCCCTGCTGGGCCTGCTGGATCGGCAGCCGTTCGAGGGCAATCATGGCGCGGAAGATGGCGCGGTGCAGCTCCGTGCTCTTTTCGACTTCCTGCTTCGTCGCTTGGTCCCGCAGCTTAACCTTGAGCGTAGACGTCATTGGCTCGACGAGATCATCAAGGTCTGTGTAATGCACCGCTGCTCGTCAGCACGCGAAAGGTGGAAGAAAGCGAAGATGCAAAAAAAAAATACTCACGCTGGGAGATGTGGGCAGGCGCTAGTGCGACCAGCCTGACGAGCATGAGGTAGCAGAGGACCTTGATGCCGTCATCGTCTGTCAGGCCTGCAATGACCCTGCTCAGTAGCTCCTCGATCTTGATCTGACCAAAGCAAGTGTCGAGGAGCGTGTACATCGTCTCAAATGCATTCTTCCTCAGCTCCAATCCGTCGTCCATCGTGACCGTGAAAGGACCCATGGTGACTTTCCGGAGAAGCTCCGGCCGGGGAATCGTCTGTTCGTACATCGAAGGAAGCAGGACGGAGAGGTGGGAACGGATGAGAGAGGGCTTGTGATGAGCGGCCGAATTAAGAGCGAACATGGCGTGTCGGCGCACGTCGAGGTCGTCATCCTTGAGCAGCGAGAGGAACTCGACCATGGTCGGTGCAAGCTCCACATCGTACTGCGAAGACTCCTTGCCTGTCAGCGTGTAGCGAATGGCGGCAATGACGGCCGCACGAGTCGTCGCTACCGGATCGTGGAGACGGCCCTGAAGCTGAGGCAAGTAGCGCGCCGGGTCCGTCAGGGTGAGCCTAGCCAAGCACTCGGCCCCGAGATTTCTCGTGGCCTCGTCGGTGGTGTTGCAAATGTCAAACAGTGGAGCCCAGATCCGGTTCGCGACGACGCTGAGCTGCTGTGCGCTCCCGTGCGATATGAGCTCCTTCAGCGCGCTCAGAGCCAGCAAGCGGCGTCGGTTATCTCCTCCGGCCATCTGCTGCTCAATGACAGGTAGGAAGGCTTCGAGGTTACCCACGGACATGTTGCCGACCGCAAAGGCCGCGGCACCCTTGACCTCCTCTGCCTTTGCCTCGAAGAAGCTGAGGACCATGTCAAAAAGTGCTCTCCTTTTTGCGAAGTCCTCCAGACGGCCCACTTCACCCAAGACAAGGAGGTTGAAGTACAGCTCAGCCTCAGTGTGCGACGACGCGTCGTTGATGACTTGAGAGGCTGACTCGATGACTGAAGCTCCTGCTGAAGGGTTCGCCTTAACGACAGCACCGATGCACTGGGCTACCGTCGAGTTGATGTGGGTGGCCGAAGGCGAGCTTGACTTCTTGACTGTCTGCAACGCTGCCATGAGATTTTTGAGGACGTCCTGCGTCAAGCTGGCATCGACGCGTAGCATTGACTGAAGAAACTCGAGGACAGCCTCCAAGCCTGGGCCCTGGAGCAATGGAGAGCGCACCATGCTGTAGATGGCTGGAAGGATTGATGTTTGGACGCCACTGTGCGCCGCTTGATTCGATGCGAGGATCAGGTTGACTGATTGCAGGGCCACGGGCACGAGAGTAAAGTTGGACTCGTGGGTCAGCAGCGGCTCAATTTCTGTGACGATGAGATTGGCAGATGCGGCGGCCAAGTGATCGCCAGACCTAACAATGAAGTAGACATGCAGTCAGCTCCACATGCGAATTGACAATGTCAAGTGAATGAAGATGCCCACCTTTTCAGCAGCGACGCGAGACAGTCAAAGGCTGATAACTTGAGCACACGATTGCTCTTCCGCAGCAGAGTGGCCACCTCGTTGATCGAATCCTGCACGAAGGTGTCGAACATCTCTCCGCGGATGATGGGCGACGAAGCGACTTCGGCAACAACCTTGACAGCAACAAGGCGCGTCACCTCGTTTCGAAGCCGGTCAATGAGCAGAGGCAGGGCCTCTTGCTGCTTGTCCGACAGATCGTCGCCGGCATGGGCAAGCATGGTCCCTAATGTGGCGATACCCCTTTCCTTGACCTCCTGGTCCGAGTCGCTCCGCGAAATGCGCGCTACGACCGCGGTATACATGGCCTCGATCGGTTTCTTGTAGTTGCCCACGCGCGGCGCCACTCCTGAAGAGGTGATGACATCGCCTGGCAATGGTCGCAAGACGATGACGAGCTGCGAACAGACGCTGAAGGCTTCCGTGGTGTCGCGCTGCGAATTGCCGTCGATGGCGGAGACGACAAAGGAGAGCAGGTTTGGCAGATGGTCTTCAAACGTGCGCGGCGCATGGCAGCGAAAGAGGAGGCGTAGGAAAGAGAGAATTTCGGCTTTGAGATTAGCGCTCGGTCCGCTTGCCGCTTCTGCGCCCTTGATCGCCCTCTCTGTCTGACCAACGAGCAGACCGATGTGAGCGTCGAGACCACCCCCGAGGACGGTTATGAGCTCGCGTAGGACGGCGTAGCTGGAGAATCTCGTCGGCATCGATTTGGACACAATCTGCTTTGACAGCGCCTTTGCAATGGCCGGCTCCAAGTTCTTGAGCTGAGCTCTCGGGCTTGACGAATTGACTTCAGCCTCAATCGCTTCTCGCTTGCGTTTCAGCGCGCCAGGGGACGGTCGCATCACCTCAGTGGCTTGTGCACCACCTCCAAAAATCTGCACTTGTCGCAAGAAAGCCAAAAAGGTGCTGAGTACCTCGAGACGCACACTCTCTTCCCGCTCTGAGAAGCGAGAGATGAGGGTAGGTGTTATCGCAACGGCGAAAGAAGAAAGCAATTCGGACCTTGTCGTGATAGTCGTGTGGAGCACCTTTGCTGATGCTCGACGGACCTTCCAGGAGAGATCGTCGTCGTCCGAATACCTGTAAGAACGAATCAGCTTGCTGCTGCGATGTTCATACGAAGGCAAAATCGGAGAACCCACTCGTCATCGATAAAGTCATCATCTTCGTCGACGTCATCATCCTCTGCCATCTCCTCGTCTGAGTCATCGTCGCCACCTGCGTAGTTTGGGTCGTACTTGATGAGCTCAACTGACAACTCGACGATCTGAGTGACGAATGGAGTGACTTCCGTGTGACACCGCAGCAAGATGGACTCCATGGCCTTCAAACAGCGACAGTCAGCTACCTTGTCAGTCGGTGCTTGTCATCTGGCGTCAACATGAAGGTACCCACCTGCAAGCAGACCTCCCGCAATTCATCGTCCTCCTCTGCCCTGGCGCTCGACGTGATAGCGAGCACTCTTGGCATGAATTCTGGGAGCCGCCTGCCTAGCCTCCTGGGGCACGTTCTCGCCAGCGTCCCCTGGAGCTGAACGACAGCCTTGACGACATCTGTGCTGCTCTTGTTGTCCACGAGCGTTGCGGCGATGAACTCGGCCAGGCCTGTGAAGACCTCGGAGGTCGAGCAGGCACCCAGAGCGCCCAGGCCAAGCATCGCACGCTTTCGCACTGTGGCTCGAGTGTGGCTCAGGGCGCTGAGGAGCACCTGCGAGGCGTTTACCTGCAGCTGTACGTTGGTTGCGACGATTGCTGAGAAGCGGGTAAAGTAGTCTGCAATGACATCGAGGGAGTCGATGAGGAGCTCTTGCGAGGCACTTGGGTCCGAGATCTGAGCAAGGAGCCGGGGAACAAGCTTGTTTCCGGCCGAGACGGCCAGCTCGCTGTCGGCTGGCACTTCTGCCATGACGGTCTTGAGGCCCAAAGAGGCAATGTCTCTCAGGTCCTCCTCCTTTGAAGAAACATATTCGACGAGCCGATCGACGATGGTCTGCATCTGCTTGTCTCTTACTGTCTTGACGAGGATGCCCAGGCTTCGAAAGTGCGGCAAGTCAATACTCGAGACTCGTCGATATGGGAGAGAGACCAACGCACCACTTGACGCTCATGTTCTTGACCTCGCCATTCTTGTCCTTGATGAGCTCTAATACACGCTCAATCGACTTCTCTTGCATGACAGGCCCAACAGCGTTGAACGTCTCCTTTCGAGCCTCGTTCATCAGGTCATTGAGGGCCATGTACCTATTGCGCACACGCGGTCAGCTTCGTCCTCCGCGGAGCGAGAAATGATGCAGGGCTTACCTGAAGTCGGCGTCCGGGGACTCCATCTTTGTGATGAGATCTTTCGTCAGCCTGTATCCTTGCGAATTATTCCAAAGCTACTGGAATTGGGGCATTTACCTTTTCAAGGAGCACGACGACATCGTGCGGTGCCCGCGATGACATCTTCTTGCCTCTTCTTCCAAGCCCACTTGTTCCGTCCTGCTCAGCCCCTCTGTATACCTCTATGCCGCCGTGTCGCCAAGGCCGGGCTCTCTGCTCTTCGCGTGACGCTCAGACGAAGGACCAGAATAAGGGAGTACCTGTGCGCCCGAGTCACTGCAAAAGTGATGGTGTGATGATGGTGTCTCAGCCAGCGTCACGTCGCACTAGAAACCAAAGTGTCGCCGACGCGTGACCGGGAAGACCGTCACCACAAGGTGCGTGTGTGGAGGCATTTCACGAATCCTGACTGCTTGCTTACTACACCTTGACATAGAAACACACACGCACATTCACACATAGAGACACCATGGAGGCGCCCGACGACATCCGCACCCGCTCGCAGAGCTACCTGACAAGCTCCCTTGAGCTTCCTCCCTCGCTCGCGACGTCTCTCGAGGCGGCGCTCTTTTCGCTCGCAGCGCCCGAGGAGCCGCAGGGCGACCCGACGGGCAACGCATACAGGCAGCGCGTGCGGCAGGTCGCGCTGAATCTCCAGCAGAACCAGGAGCTGCTTGGCCAGCTTCGGTCAGGCAAGGTAAGCGTAGATGAGGTGGCGCAGATGGACCCAGAGGAGATGAAGACGGTAGAGCGAGCGGGCGAGGACAAGGCGCTGAAGCAGGAGGGTGAGTACAATTGTCTTGTCATCTGGACTTCTTCTGGACTTCTTTCCACTAACGGGCAAATGGGGAAGCAGCACTCGAAGGCTCTCGTGGTCAAAACTTCCTCGTTCCCGTGGGCGCTACAGGAGGTCAGCAGGCAGCCCCTGCTGCATCGGAGGAGCTGTCACAGGAGGGCGAAGTGGGAGCGCAGGAGGCAAGCCTCGGCGAGGAGGGCGACCAGAGGGTGCGAGCCCAGCCCAAGATTGCTGGTCTGGAAGGCATCGAGTTCGAGTCTGGCCTGTAATGCACGAATGTAGTAGTAATGTATTATCGGAAAGAAGCCCGTAGCTATGAAGATGCCGTGAAAGTAGGCCTAGGATGACGACATGAGTCTAGAGAAGAAGAGGTAGGCAAACAGAGCCACAATCAGTGGAATGACCGCCCGTGTCCGATGTGGTTGCTGCTGCTGTTGATGTTGATGTTGATCTTGATGTTGCACTTGTTGCTGTTCTGGTTGCTTGTTTATCGGTGCTGTCCGTTCACTTTGGACATTTGTCGTCGTTGTCATCGCATTTACTCTGGGGCCTGGTGCTGCTTCGTCAGTCGAAGCGGTGGCTTCCACCCTCTGGCTGCGCACCTTGCCGTTGTCGGTCTTGCCGTCATCGTTGCCCTTGGGCACAGATGACGGCGTCTTCTCTACCTCGCCCATGTTGGGCAAATCCTTGATTCCTTCACCGCTGTACTCTGGGAAGAGCTGCTTGAATCGTCGCTGCTGAATGTTAAACGCGTGTGACCGGGCTGCCAGCGTCTTTCGATCCTGGGGGGATACCATGACGGATCCCGTCGTCATCTCATCGGCGCACATGAACGACAGTAACCCGACAAGGCTTCATACGGCTGTCAGTGAACCACCTGACGTTATGTGGGAATGACTCACATGTTCGCGACGCTCCAAGCCGGGTTCCAAGAGCCTGGATGGAAGTCACTCATTGACGTGCAGATCTTGGTATCGGTGTGAAACCGGCCTGAGGGTGTTGATACCTTGATGCCGCTGTGAATGAAAGTTTCAGCCCCCACCTATTCTTCGTACGGCGACAGAGCTCATTCCACTTACGGAGGCTTGAAAGGGTAGTCGGACGGGAAAATTAGCTGGCCCCAGTACTCGCCGCCGAAGTAAGGCGTATCAGGCGGTCCACGCAGTATGAAGTGCCTGTGACCAACAAGGTTCTTTCAGCGTTTATCTCTTTGGGCGGGTGATTCTGTGAGTACAACTGACCATTCAAGGACGTTGTCTTCGCGCGGGCGGGCGTAGCAATAGGGCGGAGGATCTCGGTCCATCATCTGCGCTTCCTTGCCAAGCTGCTCTCCATTCTTGTCAGTGGAACGTCAAAGCGCCCATACATCAAGCGACACCTCACCCTCTTTGCGCCAGCTTTGGTAGCCATCGTGCCCTGTTGCGCTGTCTGTGGCTGGCGAAAGCGTGGGAGATGAGTTACACTTTCCTACCAGGAAGGGGGCTATCTTTCCGGTGGTCGGCCGAAACAACCGCCCCTGCAAAGCTAAGTTGGTTGATATTGCCAAACTCAACCACGTTTTCATTGTTGTCCCGGTTAGCTTAGCGGAAGAGCGTCTGACTTTTATTCCAAGGGATTTCTGCGTTCTTGACAAGTTCGCGAAATCAGAAGGCCGCGGGTTCGATCCCCGCACTGGGAGTCTACCTTTTTCTTCACTTTCTCACGCACCTCCACTGTTTTGTTTTTGTTTCGTCCTTTTTGATCACGACGGCGAGGACGACGACAAGCAATGACGACGCAAGAAGACACACTAGTATGAGCCAAGGCATCAAGCCGAGCCGGCTGCGTTTCAAAGCGAAAGCGCCTCGCTCTCCCGCAGAAGAAGCTCAGCTCCCACCGGACCTGCAAGAAGATGAAGAGGAGATTCTGCAAGCGGCATCCCTTGATGCTGGTCCATCGGTCGCAATTCCCAAGCGATGGCTCGATGCGGCGAGGGAGGGTGATGGTCGGAGGTCCAAAATGGCGGGTGGTATGCATGAGATGGACGAGGAAGAGTATGCTGAGTTCGTTAGGGCTGGTCACCATTCTAGAACTGGAAGAGGGGCCGAGGAGAGAGAGGAAGAGGAGAAGGAGAAGAGCGAAAAGAGGGAGAGGGAGCAGAGAGATAGTGAAGCGGAAGCGGAAAATAGACGCAGAAGGAGACGACGAAGGAGACGAAAAAGAGAAGAAAAGACACGAGCAAAGGAGCAGGAGACCAATCATACATCAAGCCGTCAAGCCTTTGACGGGCAATGGTCCCTGGGAGTGCTGAGCAGTGTGCAAGACGTCCCGTGGCCTGTGCACCCTCCATCATCTCCACTCAACCGTATCAACATCGACCACTTTCTCTTCTCTGGATCTTCTGAGTCCGCAGGCTCGCGCCGTCTCCGGACTGCACTCCGTCGGTTTCACCCGGATCGCTTTCTTCAGGCCCACACCTTCGCCAGTGAACAAGCCAAGGACGAGATTCTCGAGAAGGCAAAGACAGTGGCACAAATACTGGCAGACATTGTTGTCGACCGTCGCAATCAATAGGAATGCCAATTTCTACTACTACTGTACTGGTAACGTTTTGTTTTTACTCCCGTTCGAGCAAGAGGTTTTTGCACTTTCGACTGGTGAAGGATAGACGACGAGGAAGGGTGGGTAGGGGAAAGGAAGAAAATACAAGGTGAGAAGAGATGGTGAGGGGGAAAGCAAAAGGTGATGATGATTGTGATGATGATGAGCTGTGTATGTCTGTATCTAGAATGATGAGAGGAGCGAAAGCAACTGCGCCTTCCTTTTTTTGTTGGTGAATCGTACGGTCGTAATCTGGGTAAGAAGTGAGAAGATGGCGCAAGAGAAAGAAAGAGAGAAGCACTTGAGCGTTCAACGTTTGTTGGCCCACATCGAGCTCTGCGTGAAGCGACTCCTTCTCGGCGAAGCAGCCCCACCGGCAGCCGTGTTGGGACTCGCTGCGCCCGGCGACACAGGACTGAATTTGGGCGAGCTGGGGCTGTACTGAGGCGAAGCTGGCGAGTACTGAGGAGAGGTGGCCTGGAACGCCGGGCTGGCCGGCGACCACTTCGGAGAGCTGGGGCTGTACTGAGGGGACGTGGGACTGTACTTGGGGCTAGTCTGTTGACCCATGGCCGGTGAAGTCGGGCTCCAACGCGGCGACTCCGGGCTAAACTTGGGGCTCGTCGGCGTGTATGCCGGCGACACAGCGTTGCCACGGGGACTTGTAGGAGACCATTGCGGGCTCGTCGGTGCACCATACGCAGGGCTCGAGGGGCTGAAAGCCGGGCTCGCGGGCGAGTACTTCGGCGACGTACCCTGGAAAGTGGGCGATGCAGGCGAGTAGGAGGGCGACGTCGGGCTGTACGACGGCGAGGTGGGGCCGAACCCGATGTTGGGTGACGTCGGGCTGTACGCATTGCCAGACCGAACAAATGGACTGACAGCCGCCGGTGACGCCATGTAGGCTGGAGAGGCAGGACTGTAGCCGCCCATGGGCGACACAGGCGAGTAGCCCATTCCAGGAGAAGCGCCTCCCAGCGGCGTTCGCATGGGCGTCTGGCCAGGAGCAAGGTAGTCGTTGAACTCGTAGTTGGCCTGCGCAAGAGGACTGAACGCTGCTGCATCCTGCACCTGATAGTCGTAGTTTGTAGCCGGGCTGGCTCCATCGTAAGGCGTCATCATGCCCATCGGCGTCTTGCTGCCCATGGGGTCCAACTGAGCCTGCATGGCAGCCTGCACGGGCATTCGGTAGTCGACGATGACATCCTTGAGCATCTCGACGTCGAGCTGCACGTTGAAGGAGCCCGTACCCATGGGCGCCATCTGGCCAAGAATGACATTTTCGGCCACGCCGTGGCAATCGTCGACGTTGCCCATGGCGGCCGCCTCCATGAGAATCTCGACGGTCTCCTCGAAGGTACACCGCATGAGCGCTCCTTGATTTGTCCTGTTGATGCCGTGCCTCGTAATTGCCATGAGGTGGCCCTGCGTCGTCATAAGGTCGCAAAGCAGCGCCAGGTGGCGGTAGTTGACGTAGGAACCGTCAAATTCGATGACGTTCTTCGACTCGCGCAGGACAGAGTTGCGCGCCGCTTCGATGCCAAACACTTGCAGAATCTCAACACAGTTGTTGGAACTGGTGCGAACCGTGTCAACGCCATCGACGGCCAAAACCTCTCGGAGGTTGCTGCCATCTGTTTCAAGGATCCACTCGCGCACCTTGTCCCAGCCACCAGTGACGGGATCAACACGCTGGTGCACCTTGTCCTGGTGGACAATGAAGACCTTGCGGATACCCTTGACACCCTTGAGGTCGATCGCCGTGAGCATGTCTGCGGCCAAGACCTTGAGGAAGTCATTCTCGTCGCCGTCCTGACCCGCGGCCTTGTCGACATCATTGTCGATGACACGGATTCGCAGGACAAGTTGTTCAGCATTGTCTTCTGAATGCATGACGAAAACATCATCGCTAAACGTCTGCGAAATCTTGGCAGCCACCTCGGCCATGGTCAGGTTTTTGTCAAGCATCTGAGCGCGATCCAAGACCAAGCGCAGGAGCCAAGCGGACTGGCGGTCCAGAGTCCGCTCGACATCCTCATCTGGAATGGCGAAGAAGGCCTCGACGAAATCCTTGTCCTCCTCGATATCTGTTGAGGTGGGGTCAGGGTCGAAGTGAATCTCCACCGCGCTCGTCACGGTCTGCAACGTCGTGTGGGTCAGGGCCGTTTGAATGATCTTGGCCGTCTCCTCCGATTGGCTGTACTCTTCCGTGAGGTAGACGCTGAGCGAGGGTGTTTTGATGTTCTCGGCGCAATTGATGATCTCCTTGAGACGAGGCACACCCAACGTCACATTCTTGCTCGACACACCGGCGTAGTGGAACGTGTTGAGGGTCATTTGCGTCGCCGGCTCACCAATGCTCTGCGCCGCCAGTGTTCCGCACATCTCACCCGGGTTGGCCACCGATCGTGCAAATTGCTGCTCAATCTCGCCCAGTACCCAGGAGAAGGCTTCGCGGTTCAGGCGAAGGAACTCGATGACGTTTCTCGTCGAAAGGTAGGCACGAATATGGATCTTGAACAGGAGCGTCGCATTCTCCTGTGCTGCTTGACTGATCTGGTCCCGTCCACGAACAACGATGAGCTTTTCCAGCAACTCGCGGACGCCAAGGATGATGTCGCGCGGCGACAGATCCGACGGCTTGCGTGGGTCGATATTAAATTCCTGCCTAGCGTTGAGACACAGTCTCGAAACGTTCATCGGCAAGTACGCCTCGCCTCGGTGGTCCCTGGCTGCCTCAGTGCGAAGCATTCTCCTGTCCCACTCGAGCTGAGCAAACTCCTCATCGAGGAGATCCTGAAGCTCCTGCGACCAGTCATCCAGTCCAGCCTGCAGCGTACCCTTCCTAAAGCCAGCCTCATTGAGGTCGACACGGAAGCGGCGCTGGAAGTCTGCATCGTTGAGGGTGTGCGTGAGGAGGTGCTGCTTCTCGATCATGGAACCGTCCATGCCATCCTCGCCATAGGCAAATTGGATGACGGCATTGGTCGAGTTGCGCACCGTTCCGTCGTAGCACACCATTACGTCTTCCAGGGCTTTGACGAGCCTCCTCTGGATGTATCCCGTCTCGGCCGTCTTGACGGCCGTGTCGATGAGACCTTCTCGACCGGCCATCGCGTGGAAGAAGAATTCCTGGGGGGTAAGGCCTCGAAGATACGAGTTCTCAACGAAGCCGCGCGACTCTGGGCTAAAGTCGTCCTTTGTGAAGTGGGGCAGAGTACGGTGACGGAAGCCAAAGGGAATGCGCTTGCCCTCGACCGACTGCTGTCCGACACAGGCTGACATCTGGGAGATGTTGATGAAGGAACCTTTCGAACCGGCAATGACCATCTGCTTGACGTTGTTCCAATTAGGCAGATCTTTCTCGGCACGCGAGCCCACCGTGTCTCGGGCCTGATTGAGCTCTCGGTTGACCTTTGCCTCGAATGACTCTCTCAGCGTCATGCCTGCCTCTGGCTTCATGCGATCATGTCTCGCGTCCTGAATGTACTTGTCCACCTGACCCTTGGCTCGAATGATCTCTTCGGTGATGAAAGTGGCGGTAGCCTTGTCCGCCACCGTGTCACCAATGCCGATGCTGAAGCCATTGTTCAGCAGCCAGTAGTTGACGACACGCTGGGCACCGCCGAAGAAGTCTCGACAGATCTCTGGTCCTCGCTCTCGGAAGATGATATGGATAAGGCCACCAGCAGCAGAGCCGACAACCTTCTTGTTGATGACACCATAGAAGATCTCGCCGTTTTCGATGCACACACCATCGTCGGTGACGTTGTTTTTGGAGGCCTTGAGGCTGTCGCCCAAGAAGACATTAATGCCCTTGGGGATGCACATCGACAAAATTTGCTTGCCAGACCAGTATGGCTTGGGCTTGATGACGCACGGCATGGGCACCACACCGTTCCAATCCGGCACCCAAAGGAGGAGGTTCTGGACTTGATCGTAGTCCATGAGGCAGTCGCGGAGCGTGAACTTCCTAATACCGCACAGGGTGTCCTGAACGATGCCCATCACAGGCTTGTTGGCCTGAGGTGAGACGATCTGCCGAGGTACCCAGGCGATCTGGCTCAGCTCGGCGCGCGACTCCTCACTCTGGGGGACGTGCAAGTTCATTTCGTCACCGTCGAAGTCGGCATTGTACGGCGGAGTGACCGAGAGATTGAGACGAAAGGTAGAGAAGTCCATGAGCTTGACGCGGTGGCACATCATGGACATCTTGTGCAGACTCGGCTGTCGGTTGAACAGGACAAAGTCGCCGTCCTTGAGATGCCGCTCAACGGTCCAGCCGAACTGGAGCGCCATGTCTGCCCGCCGGTTGTATTTGAGGTCGATTCGCTCACCCGTGTCACGAATGACGTAGCGTGCACCTGGCCACTCATTTGGACCGTTGCGGACAAGCTGCTGGAGGTAGGAAATGTTGTATGGAGTAACTCTCTCCGGGTAAGTGAGATTCCTCGCAATGCTCTTTGGCACTCCGACTTGGTCCAGCTCCAGATTGGGGTCACCAGTGATGACAGTTCGTGCCGAGAAGTCGACACGCTTGCCCATCAGATTACCACGGAGGCGACCCTCCTTACCCTTGAGACGTGCTCGGATCGACTTGACGGGCCTTCCTGACTTTTGCATAGCCTGAGGGATACCTGCAATGTCGTTGTCCATGTAGGTGGCGCAGTGGAACTGCAGCAAGTCTTCAAATTCGCCCACAATGTGTGCGGGAGCACCCTCTTGTTCGAATTTTTTCAGCTGGATGCTGGCTTTGATGATGTCGGACAGCTTGTACGTCAGATCGTCCTCGCCCTTAGCCGAGCCACCCTCCGCAACACCTGGACGGACCGGCGGTGGTGCGACAGGAAGGACGGAGATGATCATCCACTCGGGTCTGGCCTCGTCGATGGAGAGGCCCATGATTTCGATGTCCTCATCGCTCATCTTCTTGAGGATCTGAAGCGCTTCCGATGCCGGCAGCACCTTCTTTTCTGGCTGACCAGCCTTTCCTGCCTCTCCATCCTCGTCCTCGTCCTTGCCCTTCTTCCATTGCACGTACATTTTCAGTCCCTCTCTCCGAATCACGGGCTGCGAGTGGCCACATCCACCATGACCGACAGGAGGCTCGAGATCAGGGCCCGCCATGTCATCCTCGTCCTTTACGGGATCGGCTTCGCAGACAAGCTTCTTGGAACAGAGCTGCCACACGCCCTGGAAGCGCCGTGCCCGTGCATGCGCGCTCTTGCCCTGGGTTGACCGAAGGACGCTGGCAAAGACAGGATCGGTCTGAAGATGGAACCAGGCACGCGATAAGAACAAGGCCGTGCTCGTCATCTCAATAAAGAGTCACCCACCTCATCGAGCTTGAGTTTGCCACAGTGGGTGCAGACGCATTCAAGAATCTTCTTGACTTTCTTGATGAAGCCGATGTGGTATACTGGTCTGGCCAAGTCAATGTGGCCGAAATGACCGGGACAATCGTTCATCGATTCGCCACAAGTCTGACACTTGTAGTTGCGGTCTGTCGTACCCAGTCGTGGGTCTGAGAGGCCTCCCACCATTGTCTTGCCCGTCTCGTCGCGGATGTCAGGCGACTCGATCTTGAGAACCGACATGCTGCGGATCTCATCGGGGCTCATGACGCCAAATTGGACCTCCTTGACGGTCCGCTGCTTAGCGGCCGACTCGGTGAAGCGACCATGGGCAGCCATGATGGGCGGTGGTTGGTGGATGGAAGGATTGGGAAGTGAGTGAAGAGGGCGCGCCTCGCGGATATCTGTCTGTCTGGTCTTCTGCAAGAAGGGCTGGCTTTCATCAGCGACTTTGTCTCCAGAGATCATCCGCTTCCGCCGATGACACTAACATTGTCGCCAAACCCTCGCACAGTATAGAAGCGATCGACGACGACGAGGGCAAATCACACAGTGTACACCGCAGAGCGACACCTTTCTCTTTTTTTTGCTTCTTTTGCTCTTTTCTTCCGAATTGCCAATGATCCTTCCTTCCTTCCTTCTTTCCTTCCTTTCTCCCCTTCTCCACTCCAGCGGCCAACCAGAGACGATGCTCTTTTCTGTCTCTTCGCCCCCGTTGCGCTCTCCTCTTTTTTTCAATCCCGTTCTGGCCTTTCGAAAGGAAATCGTCGCTTTTCAAGCCTCTGCCTATGCCCTTGATGCCCTCAAATTGCCCTCTCTTTGGATGCGATTTGGCCACACGACCAGCGAAGGTGTGCTGCAGAAGGGATCGGCGTCGTTCGACGACAAGGGTGACGTAGAGGAGGCGAAGAAATCGCAGAAAGGAAGAAGGAGAGGAAAAAGGAAGGTGGTGAACGGGGGGGTTACGACGATGTAGACGGAGAGAGGAGAGAGGAAGGGGGAAAAAACGAAAACGGGAGCAGCGCGCGCGCCTGGCTCTGCTCTGCCCTCAACCGTCGAAAAGCCAGGAAAAACGCGTTCAGATCGGGGCATTTCACCAGTGTCTTTTTTGCCCTCTAAGCAGCGAGAAGCGCTCGCGTGCGAAGCTGCTGAGCGGGCTGGCCCTCCACGGCCGGAGATGAGCGAGCGCAAGTCTAGCCAGACAAGATAGCCACTGCTTTCCCTTCTCTTGCCTGTCCTTCCAACGATGCATCGTCATCCTTGATCGACTGCACCTGTATCGCTCTCATCACATCACGGCAGGGCTCCAGGACGCTGTCAGAAAAAAAAGCAAGCGCAGCAGTTGTTTGCCCCGCGACATCCCACGCCAAGCCAGACCGGTGTGTCTGCTGAGCACGCACGATGGCGTCTCTCTTTGGTACCTGGGGCGCAGACCCCTTTGCAGAAATGGTCGAAAAGGCCACCTCGGAGCTGTTGCCAGCGGGACAGGAGGACATGGCTCTCAATCTCGAGATCTGCGACCAGGTGCGCTCCAAGCAGGTGCCGCCCAAGCAGGCCATGCAGGCCATCAAGCGAAGAATGACGCACCGCAATCCCAATGTCGTCCTCAGCGCTCTTGGCGTGAGTAGACAGTTCTGCTCCTTCTTATCGAAGCATGAGCACTAACATCCTCTCGTAGCTCACTGACATCTGCGTCAAGAACGGTGGCGACCACTTTCTGTCCGAGGTGGCCTCCAAGGAGTTCATGGATGCTGTCGCCCTGAACCTCACAAGCTCGCAGAAGAACCCGGACGTCGAGGCAAAGGCCTCGAGGCTGGTACAGAACTGGGCGCAGATCGCAGAGGCCAGGCCGGGGCAGATGGATTACATCACCGAGACCTACGAGCGCCTGAAGCGGGCCAACGTCACTTTCCCGCCACTCGAGTCCATCAATACGGCCATGGTGGAGACGCTTACGGCCCCTGAGTGGTCGGACAGCGAAGTGTGCGCGAGATGTCGGACCAGCTTCACAACTTTCAACCGAAAGCATCACTGCCGAAACTGTGGAAATGTGTTCTGCCAACAGTGCTCGAGCAGCCAGCTGGCTTTACCCTGGTATGGCATCACACAGCCCGTCCGCGTCTGCCAGGCCTGCTACGGCCGAGGTGCGCCACCAAAGGCACCTGCAAAGCTCCCTTCCTCTGCTTCTCCGTCCTCGACAAAGAGGCGGAATTCTGCAATTGTACCACCGTCGGGCCGAGGCGGCGCTGGTTCCCACCACCGGTCAAACACTATCGCCGCGGGCAGTTCGGTCGCAGGTTCAAACCGAAGGCGAGCCAAGGAGGATGAGGACCTGGAACTTGCTATCAAGCTTTCGTTGGAGTCATCGGGCGCTTCATCCTCGGGCTCGAGGCCCGGATACGTTCCCAGTAAGCCTTCGGGCGAAGGTCGCGCGACAAAGCAACCAAACGGCCGCATGCTCGAGGGCACAGACGCCGATGATGACCCGGATCTCGCTGCCGCCATCGCTGCCAGCCTGCGCGACTATGCGCCACCGCAGCCTAGCGCGCCAGACGGGCTGCCTGCGCCTGTCGAAGAAGGGCGGTTGAAGACACCCCGTCCGGACGAGAGTGGCCTGGAGGGACAAAGGCTTCCCCTCCCTCCATCGTTGGAGCTTCCCGCGACCGATGTGGACGCGCTCCTCACCTTTTCGCAGACGATTGCTTCTCAAGAAGCCTATGCTCGGCAATATGGACAATGGCCTCCAAACACCAACCAACAGCATATGCAGAGCCAGTACGAAAAGGCGACGAGTGCCAGGCCGAGAATGGCGCGCAGTCTGGAGGAGGGCAATCGACGTCACGGGGTCCTGGTCTCGATGCACGACAAGCTGGCCGAAGCCGTCAAGTTGTATGACCAGCTCCTCGATGCACAAATGTCGAGACCCGCGTATCCTTACTATGGACAGCAGCAGCAGCAGCAACAGGCGCCACCAGCGCAAGTACAAGGCGGCTACTACGGCCACGAGGTCTATCCCTCCTCTTCGATGCCGGCTACTGCTGCAGGCCCCTCACTTTATCCCTCGCTGGCTCAGCAACAGCAACAGCAGCAGCAGCCGATGCCTGCCCAGGCTGCGCCATTGTACGGAGGCTACCCTGCGCAGCTCTCCACAGGCGATCTCCGCATGCCGCCCTCTCGATCCAATTCGGTAACATCGTATGGAGCTCAGGGCAACAGTCCATTAGGGTACCATGCTTCCCAGCAGCCGCATCAACACTCTGGTCCGACATTCCCCCACATGCATCATCAGATGCAGCAGCTGTATCAAGCTCAGACGCCCTCGGAGGCTTCGTATGCGCCCACGCCCAATCCCATGCACCAGCAAGCGGCAATGATGGGAGGTCCTTACTTTGGTCAGGCGCCTCCCCCTCGAGCTCCATCATACGGTGCCCCACCTCTTTCTGCAATGGACTCTCACAGCCAAACGCAGCATTGGCAGGCTCTGCAAACGCTCCCTCCTCCTCCTTCGTCGATGCAATCACAACAGCAGCCGGACGCTCCGACTTGGGCTAATCAGGTCAACGTCCCTACACATGAGCCTGGTCAGGCGACCGCACCTCCGCCGTCAATCAGCTCTCTTGGCTCAGTCCCTTCGATGCCCCACTTTGGCCATTTGATGAACCCACAGCAGCAGAATATTGACGGCTCGGCCTCGTCACCTCATCAGGCGTCTTCCAACTCGGAGACCACCCTGTCCAATGCAATGAGACACCTTTCGATGCAGTCTCCCTCTTCGTCAAAGCCTCAAATTCATGGACCAGGACAGGGTTCGCATCAATTGAGCAAGCTACAACCGACCGGGCCATCACACCAGGATGTCATCGACTCTCCAGCCCAGTCTGATGATTCTGGCTGGCGAGACATTCCCATCTCGTCGGCGTTGCCGCCCTCTGCCTCATCAACCATTGCAATCACCCCTACGGCTCCTCCTTCTCAGCAGCAGCAGCAGCAGCAGCAATTGCCACCGACCTCGTCGAGCTTTACCTCTTCGCTTCACATCTCCTCCCCGAGCGTTGCTTCTCCACACTCGGTCTCGCAGCATCAGCACCAACAGCCAATCTCCTCGCCCGGCGGCCCGGCGCAGCAGTGGACCTCGACGGCGCGGCCCGTCGAGTCGTCGCTCATCGATCTGTAGCCCCGTCTCCTCTCCTCTTTCTTCTTCAATCTGAACCTGCTCTCACACACACATGTCATATGTCTGATTGAAAAAAGAAATTGGATTTGTCGCTTCACTTCTCCTGTTCAGAGGATAACTTTCTTCCAGAGAAAGAGAAGAGAGATGGTGGGAAGACATTGCTGCGCGATCCTGTATCTGAGAGGAGTCCTATTACAAATTGTGGGGAGATAGAGCGTTACTTGCGACGTGGCGAAGGATTGTGAGAGACGGGTGATAAGGGCCAGATGGAGCACAAGAGAGAGCCCGAGGAGTAAGGAAGGGTTATAGAGATAGAGACAACTTTGTCTTTGTGATTGTTGATACAGAGCGTCAGGTGTGTTTTTGAGTCGTAGAGACGAGGATATGGAAGGGAAAGGGCAAGGCGCTTCTCATTGCCTTGGCCGATTGGGCGAATTGCTGGCCCCGTACTGGTCAGCAATGAGGACCGCCTCGGCGTACATTGTCTTGTACCTGACGAGCTCCTCTGCCATTTCCTCCTTTGCGAGCTTTGTCAGGACGACATTCTTGACGAGGTCGACGTGCTCCTTGTTGACCTGCTGCAGCGTCTCCTCGAGCTCCTTGACCTTGTTGGACAGGTTGCGGTTGACGAGCTTGAGCGCCTCGACCTCGCGCCGGTGTGCTGTCCGCTGGCGGACCTGCTCCTCAAAGTCCGAGGCGTAGTCATCGAGCATAAAGGGCGTGATCTTGAACTGGAAGGCATCGCGGACAAACTCGTTGACGCGGTACTTGGGACCCGAGGTGCCCATCCGGCTTCCTGCTCGGCTGCCCTGCTGCTGCTGCTGGGACGAGGCCGACGAGCGCGACGAGGCAGCTGCATCGCCGCCATTGATGGACAGGTGCGTGTCTGACTCGTCGATCTTATAGACGTCAAACATGCGTGTGGCGAGCAGAGGAAGCGCCTCTTCGAATGGTAGTGTCAGGAGAACATCCTCGTTCTTCTTCATCAGCGCCAGTGAAAACCGGAACAGGGCCTCGATGCCCTCTGCAAAGACGGAGTCCAGGATACGGAGGACGATGTCGAGCGGGCAGCGGTATGAGAAGAGCGTCATGAACCAGCCGCTGGCGTACATGCTGCTCTTGATGCCGTTGCGGGTGAGGTGCTTGGACAGCAGCGGTAGGCAGTCTTCGAGGAGACGGTCGTACTGGAAGAGTCGGAGCTGGAGCGAGGGCATGTTGGGGATAAAGTGGCCGCGAAGGTCGTAGCTCTTCATGAGCCGGACCAAAGTAGAAAAGGCCTCTTCGTCGGGCATGTTGAGCAGCAGGGGCCCGACGACAAATTGCATGCCCTGGCAGTAGCCACATTCCTCATCGTAGAGCGAGTAGGCCTTGACGACGTTGAAGAGGTTCTCCTGGCCGATGCCTTTACCGTCCTGAAAGTAGTCCTGCTCGGGAAACGTTCTCGCTAGATCCTTTCGAATGTTCTTCTCGTGTGGGCTCGTCTGCTTGAGATAGAAGGCATAAATGAGCTCCAACTCCTCGTCCTTTGAGCTGCTCATGAGCTGCCACATCATTCCCCTCAGCGCTCCTGGGATGCCCGTTTGAATGGCACGGCTGAGTTGGCGCGGCCTTGTACGGGCAATATCCTGGTAGTTGCTCATGACGTCGCCCCAGAAGTCCCAGTCGATCGACTCATCGCCCAGTTCTTCACCCGGCGGCCCGTCCCAATGATCGTCGTCATCTGCCTGCTGTGAAGGTCTAGGAGTTGTCTGCTGCTCGTGCATCTCCCCAGCCTGCGGGGGAGGCGCCTCGTCCTGGGCCTCTTGACCAGGGCCATTGGGTCTGGATGAATGCTGCTTGGACAGGCTCGACTGCCTCGAGTGCGAATGTTTGTCCTTTGCTCTGATGGCGTTGAGCTTCTCCTTGAACTCGTCGCCCCTCGCACTGTTCCGATTCACCGCACCATCCCGACTCAGCCGGGCATTTTGGCGCTTCACGAAGGCCGCGCTCTCGAGTGAGGCAGATGACGGCTCCTCGGCCGCCAATCTCGCAACGGCACCCGCCGGTGTCTGGATATTGTTGAGCGTCTGTCGCCTTGACGACGAGACAGGCGCCGTTGTGGCAAGACTGACAGTCGAGAATCGGGTCACACTGGAGTCTTGCCCTGGCGTCTGGTGTGCCTGGGTATGTGCCTCGTCGTGTGCGCTTGTCGACGAGGAGAAGCGCTGTGGATCCGCGGCCACGCTGCTCGACGATGCCGCCTTCTGCTGCTCGGCAAATGGCGACTCCATCTCGGACCATGGGCTTGAAGAGGCAAATGGATTGGTGATTGTTTCGTCGGGGTCCAGGAGCGAAGTGGCGCCCTTGGAAGGCGGCAACGTCTCCTTGTCGGCCGTGAGCGTGAGGGCCTCGTCCAGCGCCGGGTTAACTTCACTGGTGTTCCCCTCAAGCTTCATGGCTGCTTGTCGCCGCGCCAGCTCCTCTTCGTTGTCAACTGATTTGCCCTTCTTTGTCTCCTCTGCCCCTTTCCCGTCCTCCGTCTCCTCTACCCCTGTTGCATCCTTTGTCTCTCCTGCCTCTTGCGACTGTTCTCGTGCATCCTCGTCTTGCTTCTCCCCTGCCTCTTTCTGCCTCTCTTCCGCAACCTTTCCATCCCCCTCGTTCTCGATGATTGCCTCACTCTCCGGAGGGTAGATCGTGGACGACGGCGCTTTGACCTTGCTCTCCTTTTCCTGGGCTGTATCGCCCGACTGAAACTTGGCCAGGAGAGCAGCCACGCCTGCACCCTTTGCTTTCTTTGGCGCATCGAGGCGTCCGGTGGCCGGACTAGACTCCGAAGGTGTCCTAGCCAATAATGAGTCGCGCTTTTGTACTTCGGCTTTGGGTGTCGCGGGTGCATCAATCGTGCTGGCGAGCGAGCCTGGCCTGGAAGCTCCACCGACGTCGGCTCCGAGCTCCTCCTGGAGCGATGCAGCCCCTTCGTCGCCCTTGCCATTCAGCTCGTCGTTCATGTCGAACTCGACAAAATCTTTGGCGTCATCGTGCTTGTGGCCTTCGTCGTCGGTGGCGCCCTCGCCTGCATCCTCAAACTCGAGCGCGTCTTCGCTGTCGCTGGGCACGGGCGAGTGCGCATCCTCCTTGTCTCCCGTGAGCGTGGGCGATACCATCTTAGACCCTCTCTCTCTCTACTGGGCTTTCACCGAAGGAAAACTTGCTTCGAGTACGTTGATGTGCGAGACGTAGACGAAAGTCGAGGTAGTGAGAGTCAACAAGAATGCTTGCCTGCTAACCCTGGCTGTCTGCGTGCCTGCCTCGCTCGCTGTTGCTCTAATTTTAGCGCTCGGCCACCCTTAAGCTTTTTAGTACGGGTACCGGTGGCTCGAGGAAAGCTTGCACGTGCCCGCTAGCAATTGGCGAAGGGAGGCAGACAAGTGGTCGCGCGTGCGCGCGCGACGGCTTGCCCTTCTTCCCTCCTCCGTGAGCCGACTTGTAGTACGAGTGAGGCCATCTTTGATCGACTGCTCCTTCATCTGCCTAACGAGCTCGAACTTGGATCCGCTCGACCTAAAGACCCCGCCTTTCGACAGCGGCCCTGCAGAAGCGGACAACAGGCGCGTGTATCACGTGACAATCCAGAGGAGGGGGAAAGCCTTCTACGTCGCGACGTCGCGCTCCAATCAGTCACTACTTTCTTCCTAGCTAGCAGTGGTTGAGCAGCATCCGCGCAACCAGCATGAGCCTCAACCTTTCGGGCGCGCCCGACGTGTCCGTTTACACGGACCCGACGATCCAAGCGCGCTTCGACGCCCTTGTCGAGCCGCTCCAGGCCTCGCTGGCTCAGGCGGGCCAATCGACGACGCCGACGGCGCCTGGCAAGGACAACCTTGATGGCGCGGGCCTGGCGGACCTGGCATGCGCCATCCAAGCCTTTCAGCATAAGCACCTCGGCCAGGACTCGGCAAAGGCCCAAGGCAAGAGTATGCATCCGCCCAGAATCCCTGCGCATTTCTTCCTCTTTGGCCCTACGCTCTCGACAGTTGCCCAGACTGGCCCCTCGTCAAAGGATGCCGTCTACCATGTCCTTGATGCCGCGCTCCAATTCATCGCTTCAAAGGGGAAAACGACCTGGGCCGATTTCGAGGGCGACGAGGCAGTGGACACATACATCGACATGGTGGCCTCGATCAGAGAAAAGCTGAGATCGGCAGGGATCCTCAAGCGCTTCAAAGTGGCCGCTTCGCAGGATCTCATGGGTGCAGAGGCCGAGGACTGCAAGAAGGTGGCAGAGGCAATGGAGTGTGAGTGTTGTGGGCAATCTGCGCGCCCAGGGTCTTGGATGCTGACGGAAGGGGAATCACTCTTTCTCCAGGCGAGTGGGTCTCGGATCCGTCACAAGCTACGCATGTTGTCTTCTCCTCCGAGACGCCTCCTCCTTCGCCGTCTGGCTCCTCCAACCAGGAATATTTCCGGACTTTGGCCAGAGTCAAACTGTCCAAGGGCCGCGAAGTGTCGCTGATCCACGTCTGGTATCGTCCCGACTCGTACGACTCCTGGCTCCCTGCCGCAGATTTCGCCGACCCAGAGCCAGAGCCGCCCGCAAAGGACGGCCAGCCGTGGCTCGTGGCCACACGCTGGCTGCGGGACAGCGTCAGATACAACGAATTGATGAATGAGGAAGACTACGAGAAGGAGGACGACGAGAACAACAATGGAGCAGAGGCCGTGACGACAGCAGCCACACAGTCGTCGACGGCAAGCGCAGGATCCAAGTCAAGAAAACGTGGTCTCCCTGAGGACGTTGCTGCCGATGATGACATCGTCGAGGAAGACGACAGCGTTGCGCCAAGCAGCAGCACGTCGACGGGCAAGCGCATCAAGCTCCTCGTCGCTGCCAAGCCAGTCGGCGCTGTGGCCATCGACTTGACAGGTGCGAGCGGTGCCCCTCCGGGTCGAAACTACGAAAAGGAGCCCATTAGTGGGGGTCAGCTGGGCAACTTGCCTCCAGAGGGGGAGCCCACCAGAACCGAAGTGGGAGCGGAAGCAGATGGACAGAGCAGCATCCCCCAGGTCCGAGTCGCTGGTACCAGCGGCGACGTCACCATGGCCGACGAGCCAAGCGCAGCAGAAATTGCCGCTGCACAGCAGGCGGCAGAAGAGGCAGAGAGGTTGGCGACGGAGTCAGTGGCGAAAAAGTACCTGGCCGAGCAGACGCAAGAAGTCATCATCCCGTCGTATTCGACCTGGTTCTCCTTTGGCAGCATCAATCCCGTCGAGAAGCGCAGCCTGCCAGAGTTCTTCAACAACCGCAACCGTAGCAAGACGCCTGCCATCTACAAAGACTACCGCAACTTTATGATCAATACATACCGACTCAACCCGAGCGAGTATCTCACGTTTACGGCCTGCAGGCGAAACCTGGCTGGCGACGTCTGCGCCATCATGCGCGTTCATGCCTTTCTGGAGCAATGGGGCCTGATCAACTACCAAGTCGATCCAGAGACGCGACCTGCGTCGCTTGGTCCACCCTTTACTGGCCATTTCCGTGTCACCGTCGACACCCCGAGGGGTCTGCAACCGCTGCACCCTGGCACGCGACGGCCTTCGCAATCCGGCATGCCGCCGCTGCTGGCGCCAATGGCCAACGGGAAGGCTCACTCACAGCAGACTGGCGGTAAGCCGTCGACGGATCTTACATTGGAGCTTCGTCGGACCATCTACCAGACATCGATGAAGCTTTCCAGGCCCATCGACACCGACGCGGCCAAGTCGCTTGCGGAGGCCGCCGATGCCGAGCTTCGAGCGGGTGCCGGAGCTGCACCTTCGTACTCGTGCGACACCTGCGGTGCCGACTGCACGCGCACCCGCTACACGAGCATCCGAGCACCTGCACGTGGCGCATACAGCGGCGGATACAACCTCTGTCCCGGCTGCTACCTGGAGGGACGCTTTCCCTCGAGCATGTACAGCGGCGATTTTGTCCGCATCGACGACGGTCCCTTCAAGCAGGCCGCTGATGAGGGCAACGATGAATGGAGCGACGCCGAGACGCTCAGGCTGCTTGAGGGCTTGGAGATGTACGAGGACGACTGGGGCCAGGTTTCGACGCATGTGGGCACGCGCAGCCGGGAGCAGTGCATCACCCGCTTTCTTCAGCTTCCCATTGAGGACGCCTTTCTGGATGGAAAGGACGGCGCATCGAGGCAGGCCAATGGGCACGGCGAGGGCGATCGCCAGGGTAGTCTGCCCACCCAGAGTGATCTGGGGCCGTTGCAGTACGTGCGTGACCTCAAATCGTCGATTCCTTTTGCCCAGACGGACAACCCTGTCATGAGCGTCGTGGCTTTCTTGGCCAGCGCCGTGAGCCCGGCCGTGGCGAGTGCAGCAGCGCAGAGCGCGCTGGGCGAGCTGACGCAGGGCCTCAAACGGCGCGAGGAGCTTCGGGAGAAGAAGCGTACGGAAGAAGGAAGCGGCGAGGGCGACAAGGAGCGGGAGCAGGACGCCATGGATGTCGACAAGGACGGCGGCGAGGTGGCAGCAGGCGAAGAGAAGCGAGCGGAGGGAGAGACGGACAAGAGCAAGGACCCGAACCGGGCAAAGATCACAGGCGATGCCGACATCACTGTGCATGTCAGCGACGCAGTCAAGGCCCAGGTCCGTCAGGCAAGGGAGGAGGGCGATGCGGCCGATGGGGATGATGAAACGCTGCCGCACAATGCCGTCGAGCGGGCCGCAGCGGTGGCTCTCGGTGCTGCCGCTGCCAAGGCCCACCTGCTGTCGACCTTTGAGGAGCGCGAGTGCCAACGCCTTGTGGGACAGGTCATTGAGGCGCAGATGAAAAAGATGGAGATCAAGATGGCCCAATTCGAAGAGCTCGAGTCGCTGCTCGAGGAGGAGCGAAGGAGCCTCGAGTCTGGTCGGAAACAGCTTTACCAGGATCGACTGGCCGTGCAGAGGCAGATTGCCGCGGTGCACGACCTGATGCGCAAAGCCTCGACGCAGCCGCAGAGCGTGACGCATCGCGACGTCGCGGGCGTTAGCTCGGCCGTCCAGGGCCTCAACCAGCAGGGTCCCGTGGTCAGGCAAGTCAGTGATGCAGAAGCAGCAGCGACACACCAGCCGCCACAGCCGCCACAGCAACCTACGGCTCAGCTGGACGGGGCGGCAGCAGCAGCAGTGGCAGCACCGACGGCTCCTCCTCCGGCCAACCTGCAGTCTCTCTAGACGCTGACAAACCTTGTAATATCTCTTCCCCTGAATGGTTTCTTTCCCCTCTTTTCCCTCTCTATGTATGGTGGTGTATCGTCTGCTCGAGAATTGAATAAAGTTCTGTCAGTTCTTTTGAATCTCGCCCTTCCGCGAAATTGTCAGACGTCAGACCTGATGTTGTTGGCATGAGCCTAAAAGTCGGACTTCGGATCACGGAGGCCGTGACTGCTGAGATTGGGACAGGTTTGCTCCGCTCTCAAGCTCCCTGTCACGATCTGTTCTCCACCTCCTACGATTCCGCAAGTCAGTGACGGCCGCCACGATGGAACCACGTCTGATCTCCTGCTCGGCATGCCGCTACCACAAGGTCCGTTGCATCGTCGACGAAGGCCAGGAGCACTGCCAGCGATGCCTCAAGCGCGGCGAGGTATGCGCGCGGCGGGAGACGAAGCGGGCACCCCCAAGAGATCCCGCCCGAAAGCGCAAGGCGTCCCTCACTCCACCGCCCTTCTTTGACTCCTCTTCGACTCGGTTGAGCTCTCACCGGCGCTCGGTCGCGTCTCCCTACTCCGATTCGAAGTTTGCTAAGGCGAAGACGGAGGAGTCTCGAGAGTATCTGCAGCATCAACAAGATGAGGACAGTGCTGCGCTGCTGAGCAATCCGCTCAAATTGCTCGCCCAGGCATCGCATGAGGTCCAGAGAGGTGACCAGCTGGCGAGATTGCTCGATTTGGATGAGGAGTCGAGCAGCAGCCCCCCAAGTTCGAGTGGCGAAAGAGGCCCAAGGGCGTGGGACTTGTCCAACGTTGTGACAACGTGCGACATTGGGGCCTTGGCTCGCTGGACAAAGCATTTCTCCGCCGGTCTCTACCAGCCCATGCATGAAAGTCCATCGCTGAATCCAGCTGAGAGCGGACTCGTCAGCTCGTCAAGGGCTGCCTCGCTGTACCACGACTACATGGATGGTGGCCTCAACAGCTCCGTCCCGCTGCTCGATCCGGACATTCACACATTCAAGCATGTGCTCCGCCATCCGACGCTCGCCACCGTCGTCCTCTACGTCTCTGCTCGGCATGCGTCCTTTTCGGGCGCGCCAGACCTCGTCGTCGACCTCGAGCGGCACTTTCTGCAGAATTGCTTGCCCCATGTTGTCCTCGACGGATGCAAAACAGTCGAGATCGTCATGGCCCTTGTCCTATATGCATCACACCATCCCTTTGCCACCAAGCCGAGCGATGATCGCGCGTGGACGATGCTTGGACATGGCATCCGTATCGCCACCGAGCTCGACTTGAGCTCGCGCCTCGTCTCGCAAGCAGTCGCCGATCCCGTCCTCAAGCGGCAATTTCGAGCGAGAGAGAGGACTTGGCTCCAGCTCTGGCTTGCCACCCAATCGCTGGGTACGGCCACTGGACGGAGACAATTCCTCGGTACGGATGGCATCGTCCAAGACTGTGCTGGAACTTGGCATCAAGGCATCGAAGCAGGCGACCCAATGAAAGAAGCAGACGCAGCCACTGTGGCGAGGGTGCAGCTGCACCACGTCTATGGCCGAATCCGGTCTCTCTTCCGCTATCTCACCACCACACCAGTCGCAAACTCGCCGCAGCGCTGTGTGATGGATCAAGACAAACAGGACTACTACCTCTCGCGTATCCACAACGAGGTAGAACAGTGGCTCGACCAATGGCCGCTGCTGAGGGAGACGCTGCTTCGTGAGTTCCAAGCGCTCGGAGTAAGAAGAAGAAGAGCTGACAAACGAGTAGCCCATGGCACATATATCCGAGTCTTGCTCATCTCCATGTCGCTGCAAGGACCGTCGAGCAGCATTGCGGCTATGGAGCCGGCCCTGGTCCGTCTGTACGAGTCTGTCACGACCTATCTGGAGGACTTTGTCACAAAAGGCTCCAATGTAGGCCAGCAACCCAACTCTGTCCTCGTCGCTGTCACGTACATGGCCGTATTGAGTCTCAAGCTGGCCCGTTTATCATGCTCCGACCAGCCACATCAAAAGCAGCCCGACCGTCTGCCCTGGATCCAGACCGAAAGACTACGTCGTCTCGTCAGGGACGCAGCCAAGAACCTGAGCCAGTCGGTCGATGTCCGGGCTCAACGATATGCCGAGTATCTGGACTGGCTCCTCGGATGTGCCTCTTCTTCTTCTTCCGAGCAAAAGACGCATGCCGCCACCTCCAGCGCGTCCACAACGACATCGCCGAATGTCGATGCGGCTTCCTCCTTGTCGGCAGACGCCTCGTTGAAAGCTTCCTCGACGGACCCCACAACTGTAGCGACCCCCAACGAGGACGTTGGCAGCCTCTTTGACATCACGCCTTCATCTTCTCTGAAGTGGCCGTCCGATGTACCGTCAGCGACAGCGTACCAGCAAGCGTCGGTAGACCCCACGCTGGCGATGGGCCACGACGTCGCTGGTGCTACCGTTTCGTTCTCGTCCGTCTTTGGCGACGATCTCTTCTCCGGTCCCTTTACGGCCGACGTCGACCAGGACATCCTGGCGTGGGCCCAGCGTTTTGTCGTGTCCTAGGTTCATACTCTGTATCTTTAGCCCAGTATTTTGTAAATGATGCTTCGAGGATTCCCCTCTTCAATCAGACAAGAGAACGATAGAAAGAAGGGTATTGCTGTCAATTCGAACTACGCTCTTGAGGAAGGAAGGCTGACAAGATGAAGGGAAAAGGCGAAACTTGGACAGACGATGAAGATGAGATCCAGAAAGATGACGGACGGAAGAGGAGGAGAAGTAGAGAAGAAGAAGGAAAAAATCAAGCAGAGAAAAGCGAAAAGGAATCAAGACGGCAAAGTCTTTCTAAGTCGAACTTTTCTTTCTCGCAAAGAGCTTCGAGGCCCTCTCGCGGCCATCGACAACCCTCGACCGGATGCTCTGTGGTGCCTTGGACGAGACAGCGTCTCCGTTGGTTGATTTCGCTCCTGCGCCGACGGTGTTGCCTGGCACGGTGCTGAGGAAGGATGCTCCACCGACGATGGATTTCGCCCCACCCTGCCCAGGCACCACCGTTGCAGTGTTCTGAATCGGCATCCCACCAATGCCGCCACTCGATCCGACCTGCTGGCCCCCCACGTAGCTGTTGTTGAGACCATTGGTGAGGCCACCAGAAGAGTCTTCGAGCCTCGCGGCGCGCCCGTCGTGTTGGGTGGGGCTCACCATCATAGGCTGAGTCTGCCTCGCAAGGAAAGCTGCATTGATACGGTGTCAGTCAACCGAGTCAAAGCGGACTCTATGATTATAGCGCTCACCAATGTGTCTCTGCAGCGGGCTCGACATCGTCTCGCTGCCCGCCTCGTACGCGAGCGGGCTGAGCCGGCTCGGGTCCGCCATACCAGCCGACGAGTAGCTGGAGTCCTGCTGTTGCTGCGTGGCAGCGTCACTCTCGTTGATCACGCTCATGTCCAGGCCCAATCTCGCGATCTCATCGGCAAAGTTTTGCTCGAAAAAGCGCTCCAGTGTCTCGTGGAACGGCTTCATCTCGGGCGGGCACAGCTTGGCGTGAAGACCGATGCTTCGATAGATGACGGAGGCCTGCGCGTCGATTGCCTCTCGGAGCTTGTGAATCTTCTCCTCGTCCTCGGGGTGCGCCGACACGAATCCGAGCGAGAAAAAGGCGCGCTTGTACGTGGGGATTCCTCCATTCACGGGCGCATCCACCGCGCCGTTCAACGCCATCGAGAGCCGGTTCGTGTTGATGTTGGCTCCTCGCTTTGAGACTTTGGCGAGCGCAGCAAACTTGGTCTCGAGCGCGCTCAACTCCTGCGTCTTGGACTCGACGTCGCTCAGCGCATTCTCCAGCGGGCTGATCTTGATAATCCGGATCTCGGCCACCTCGCTTCGCCGAAGGACAGTGGGGAACGAGTCTTCGACCTCGAGATACGTCTTCTCGACCCAGAGCCCCGCGACGTCGTGTCCGTCGACTGCTGCGACACCATTGGTCTCGGTTGACGAACCCAGGCTCGCTGGCCTGGGAAGTGGCCTCGTGTAGGAAAAGAGATTCGTCGTGTTGTGCTCGTAGTATGCTCTCACAACCGGCGGCGTTTCTGGGTTGGTAAAGACATCCCTCGTCTTGTCTGGCTCGGGCTGCACCGCGGTGATCTGGATGAAGAGGCCTGGTCCGAATCGCACATCGTCACCGGGCAAGAGCGTGCTCTTGATCAAGGTGGCCTTTGGGTGCTTCTGGTGCAGCCTCTCGCAGAACGCACCAAACTTCTCCCAGTCCAAACCCCGGTAGACGAACATCTTGCCCTGCAAGCTGGCAGGCCACTGTTCGCCGTAGTAAGCGACGCGGAAGTAGCTTGGGTAGGTGCGCTCGACTGCGGCAATCTTCTGGAATAGGCCGGCTTGGAGCGTAAGCACGTCGGCCAGACGGCTGTAGTCGACCGACCGGTGCTCGTACTCTCTCGCCAGCTCCCGGCAGATGTCGATGGAGATCTCCCAGGCCTGGCCCTTGGCAAGGTAGTCGAGGATGAGCATGTACAGCGTCTCCTTTCGCGCAAAGTGCGACTGCCTCGGCAGATCCAGATCGGCAATCGGCTCAACAAAGCTGTTCATGTCCCACGTGTGCAGGTCGGCGTGCAGCTTGAGCGTCAGGGCGGCCTCGACGTAGTTGTGGTTCTCGAGATGCAAATTGACGAGGCGGAGGACATGCGTCGAGAAGGCCGTCACGCGATTGGCCTGCCTGAGGAAGCCGAGCAGCTTGAGTGTGCCAGAGACGCGATCGTCTTCGAAGCCTTCCTCCAGCGGCAGGCCCCGCACGCTGAGGAGCAGATCCAAGAAGCGGTTCACGCTGACCAGGCAGCCGTGCACCTGCTCACGCAATTTCTCATTGACCTGCGGCCCGTCGAAAAGGGAACGGAGCTGGCCGATGAAGAAAGCCCTCGAGATCTCGTCGCCCTGCGTATCGGTGATGAAGAGGACGTCGAGCTTGTCGATGATTTCGGCCTCGATGACGCCAAAGTCGCCATTGAGGTGCCATTCAGAGGTGATCATCGTCGCGAGCACCCGCACGGCGCAGGTCCGCAGCTCGTCGTGATGGCTCAAACACAGCTCCAGGACCGGCTCGACGAGCGAGGGCACAAACTGGACCTGGAACCCACCCGTGTTGAGCCGGCCGGGTCCCACAATTTCCGTGCTGGCAGTCGCGGCCTGGTCGGGCCAGCCAATCGAGTTCCACAGCTTGGCGAAAATCTGCGCACCCTCGCCCCGGATGTCGCCCGCCAAGCGCCAGACGGCTCGCCGGCGTTGAGGCTTGAATCGCTCAATGACGAGCTGGTCGCTCGAGAGGAGCGTCAGGAGCATGTTGAGCCCTGCGCGCCAGAGGGCCGTGTCAAACGTCTGCGACTGGTCGGCAGGCGGAATAAAGTCGCGCACGAGAAGACCAGCAAGTGGATCAGCCATCTTCAGCACCATCTGATGGGCGAGAATGTTGATGTTGAGCCAGCTGCTAGGGTAAGCCTCATTGAGCAGAATGCTCGTGGCGACGTCGAAGAAGTTGAAGAGGAAGCTGCTCAGCTTCTCGCGCCCTTCAATGTCGAGCTGCTCGTCGAGGAAGCCCGACAGGTGCCTTCGCGGGCTCAGCATGATGAGGACCGTGAGCACGGCTGCAATCTCGCCCAGGCCGCAGTTGAGCATGGCAGGGTGCTCCTTGCGAAGGTGTCGCCTCGATGCTCTCGTCGGCGGTGGCGAGACCTGCCCGACTGGCTTCTTTGCCAGGAGCGGGAACGGATAGCTCGACGGGAAAATGACGGGAACCGAAGACGAGACCGTCGAGGGCGATCTATGCCGCTCAATCGCTTGCAGCGTCTCTGGGCTCTCGAGCTCCTTGTACGTTTCCAGCAGCTTGGGCATCATCGACAGGATGTAGTCGACGTTGTCCTGCTCCTGGCGAAGCTCCTGCTGCGTGCTCTTGCCCTTGCGTCCATCGACGAGGCTGACCTGCAGTTTGTCCAGCATCACGGCAATGACAGTCACTGCCAGCCTCGCAGCCTCGACCCAGGCGACGCGGGCCGAGTCGCGCACGCCCTCATGGTCGCCCGGGCTCGTGTGTGCGCTCTCGTCATACGCGCCAAGGTGGGGCCGGACCCAGCGGATGAGGCTGGGCAAGAGCTGCGAGCGCGAGGCGTGGTCCTCAAAGAGCGTGTCGTGGGTGACGTGGAGGATGTGCAGAAGCTTCCAGACGCTCATGCGGCCCTTTGTCACAAAGATGCTGTCGGCAAAGGCCGTCTCGACGCGCACGAGCTCCTCCAGCGGATACACCCTGGCCAGGTCGGGGAGGATGCCGGCAAAGTGCTGCAGTGCCAGCGTCTGCGTTCCAATAATGGAGCTCGGCTTGGTGGTGGCCATCATGCGGTTGATGCTCCTCAGCAGCGAGTCGAGGTCACGCTTGAAGCTCGTCTCAAAGTGGTCGCTGACGGCGCCGCCCAGCGCGCCCAGTGGGTCCTTGACTCCTCGCTGGTTTTCGCGGCTCCTGATCATGAATTTGAAGAGGTACGGCCAGACCTTGACGGCGGCGCGCAGGTCCTTTGACGTCTCCGTCCTCGTCGGCTCAGCGAGGAGGCGGGACATGGACGACATGATTCTGCCGTAGGCCGTCTGCGAGTGGAAATGCTGGTCGATGTAGACGTCGAGAGTGGCCTGGAAGTTGTTGAATCTGCGGTCCGACACGATGCCCAGCACAGTGACGAGGGCCTGGAAGACGAGATCGTCGAGCTCGCCCGACCCATTCTTGGGGCTGACGACGATGCCAAAGAGGGCATCAAAGATGTCGCGGAGAAACTTGACAATCTCAACTTCGCCGATGAAGGTAAACTTGACCAGGACGGACTTCATCTCCTCGAGGCTCTCCGACAGGACCTTTTCCCAGCTGAGGAGCTTGAGCAGGACCTCGTTCTGCGTGTAGCGCGTCGAGACGAGAAAGGTGCGGAGCGTCATTGTGTCGCGCAGCGGCTGGATCACGCTCGACAGGCTCTGGGGCAGCGAGTCTGCCAGCGACCGGCCGACCTCGACGGTGGGGGGCAAGGTGAAGTAGAGCTCGGGGCTGAGCTGCTGCGCAGGCCGCGAGCTTCGCCAGAGGAGGAGCGTATGGCTGCCGTCTGGGATGAAAGCCGAGTTGGCGCCAAAGAGGGGCAGATAGGCGTGGGCGAACGGCAGATTGACGGCCGACTGACCTGCACCATTCTGGTCCCTGCTGAAGCCACGCTCCTCCTTGGAGCTGCGGTGGCGAAAGGAGAAAAATACGTGGCAGTGCTCCATGACCTCGTTGGGCAGCTCGAGCTTCAGCAGCTCGCCCCACGTCGGCGCATTCTGGTGGTAGAAGACGGTGCTGTCAAACTGGGTGACGAGCGACTCGCCTGCGCCGCGCGACACGACGTTCTCGAGCACGCGACCGTCCTTTGTGCGGACCTCGGCAGAGACCTGAATGTTCTTTGGCGTGTTGCCTCCAGGGACCTTGCTGCTCTGGGGGAAGAACTCGCCGCTCCAGAGCTTGATGTACGCCTCGTTGCGCTTGTCGCCGGGGAAAACGACGTCTGGGAAGCCCAGCCGCGCCGTCAGCGGCGTGTCCTGCAGCAGACTGGGGTTCTCGCGCACGAGCGTCGACGTCTCGCCGTGAAAGACCTTGACGCTGATGGCAATGAGCTCGGCACGGGGCGACTTTTCAAACTCGCGGATCCTCGAAGCAATGATGTCCTGGTGCAGCGTGCTGAAGGCAGCCTCGTTGGCGGGGACAAAGATTGGCATAACATGCTCCTTGAGCGGGCTGCTCGACGCTGTGTCCGTCTGAAACTGGTGGTCCTGGCCCAGATCGAGCACGGCGCATCCAAAGGGGCGTCTAAATGTCCGGTCCGTCGTCATCTTTGATTTTCTAAAGGCAGGAGAGCCCGCCAGGTTGGGGTCGTTGTCGAGAGTGGTGAGCGCCGCAGACCCGCTGCCGTTGCTGCTGTCGTGGGGATGGGAATGGGAAAAGGCGCCTGCAATGGTGCCACTGAAGCTGCTGCTGGCATTGAGGCCGCTGCCCCGGCTGCCGTCGGAGCTGCTGTTGAGGCGCATGGAGCCGTTGCGGACGATGCGGCAGACGACGTTGAGGTCATGCATGTCGTTGGACGACAGGTCGGTGAAGAGGGCCTTCATCTTGCCGAGCTTCTCACCAGCCTCGCGCGCGGGCACGCCTTGGCTATTGACGACGACGCAGTACTCTTCGGTCAGGAAGCGGGCCTCGGCCTTGTTGTAGAGGGAAAAGTAGAGCTCGGCCGTCTCTCCGGGAAGGCAGGGGCTGGCGACAAAGGCGCGCACATCGAGATAGACGTGGAAGTACTGCAGAGACAAAAAGGGTTAGCAAGGCACAGGTAGAATGCTATGCCGGAAAGACAGAACGCACCTTGACGGCGCTGTCGTCGGGTGCCTCGGCACTGGTCAGAGTGGCTGATCTGCTGCGTCGATTGACGAGCGTCATCGACGGTTGCCGTGCACCTGCCCGTCTGGCCGACGAGGTAAAGGACCCCGCGCCACCGCCGAGGATGCCAGCCTTGGAAGTCGACGGCGAGACAATGCCAAAGGCATTCGACGGGGCTACTTCCATGGAGCCGCCGCCAGTGGACGTCTGCGCCTGCTGGTCCACATAGGCGAGGGCGACCTGGAGCGCATAGAGACGGATGCCACTAACCCAGCTCTCGGGGTCCGATTCCTTTCCCGTAAAGTCGACGTCGACGAGGCCGCCGCGACCGGGGTGCCTGACAATGACATCGAGGCCCTGCTGGACATTTCCCTTGACGAGGCGGGCGACGCACTCGCGCCGCAGCTTGGCCACTTCCTCGGCACTCAGCGTCTGCGCCAGGAGCTGGCGGCGAGCGGCATGGAGGACGTCGATGTGCTCGCGCACGGCATGGAAGAGGGTGTAGTCGCGTTTGGCGAGGTATGCGTACATGAGGGTGCTCCACTCGCGCAGCGAGCATGCAATCTCGTCGACCAGCGGCTCCGTCGCGCCGCTGGCTGTCTCATCGCCGCACTTGAGGCTCGGCAGCGGCGGCGGCGGCCGGTCCTCGTCGGGCTGTGCCTCCTGGAGGACAAAGGACTGGCGCGAGTTGTCAAAGGTGACTTTGCCCTTGTCCGACGCAGCCCCTCCTCCCGGCGAGGTGACCTCGCCCGGCTTGATGGTGACCATGAGCGGGCTCGTAGGCTGGCTCGGCACGTTTTCGTCCTCCTCTGGCAGCGTCTCCATGTGGCTCGACGAGGCTTGCTGCTGCTGTTTGCTGTTGTTGCTGCTGCTGTCTGGCGGGGGCGATGTGGCACCAACGATGCCGGCCTCCTTGGCACGCGCATGCACCTCGGCGAGGCGCATCTCTGCATCGTCGAGGTGCTCGCGGATGTGGACGTGGGCACGGGGGAAAATGCCCACGTACACCTGGGGCTCCTCGACGAGGCCGGCGCCAGCGCCCGCGGTGCTCGTGCTTGGGAACGTGCTGTAGTCCGACAGGCTGCTCGTCGTCGTCGCCGTCTGTGGGATGCGTGTCGTCGAGACGACATAGCCGCGGCACCAGCTCACATCGGTGTGGCCGAGCTGCTCAAAGACGTAGACCTCATCGCCGACCTCGAGGCCGATGAGATGTGCCTGGATCGCCTGGACGGTGCTGTCATCGAGGCCTGCTGCTGCGGCCGCCGCGGCCGACAGTTCGAGCGAGTCGAGCTCGGGGACAAAGGGCGAGACGGCAAAGCCATACTGGATCTTGGCCAGCGGCTCCCACCGCCGATATGGCTCGGTCTTGGGCGCATGTACCTGTCCGTTGGTCGCCGATGAGGACGAGGCAGAGGCAGGAGCAGAGGCTGGGCCGGCCGTCGACGAGGGCGTCGTGGGCGTTGTCGGGTTCGACGGGCCCAGCGTGCTGCTGGCCGACGTCGGCGACAGGGCCGCCATGGTCGCTGTTGGCTTTTCTTTTTGGTTGTTGAACTGACAAGAGGCGTCTAGGGAAGAAAGAGAGAGAGAGAGAGAAAGAAGCTCGGTCCCTGAACTGAACCCACCTGTCTGGACCGTGTGCTTCGACTGGCGGTCCCGCTCGCGTGGAAATTAGTCTAAATTGTGACACTACTAAATGTGGCTACCTACCAACTGCTCTGAGCTTGGAGCGATTAGACTACTAATCGCACTACTGTTGCAGTGTTCGTCTGCCGTCTGCCACTCAGACGATGGCGGCAAAGGCGCAGCCTCAGCGCGTCTCGCTCGGCCAGTCGGCCACGGTGCCCGGCCATACGCTCCCATCGAGTGCAGGCTCGGGGCAGGCCACTGCCCCCCAGCAGCAGCAACAGCAGCAACAACAGCACCAGCAGGCTTCATCTTCTTCTTCCTCCTCCGCGTCGTCGTCGTCGATCCTCAACTCCACCTCGCTCGCCCTCGCACTGCCGCACTCGCAGCAGTGCTCGCCCGTGACGCACGTCGACTCCAATGCGCTGCAGTACCTCGCGATGGAGATGGCGCCCGTGCTGCGCAAGTCGGCCCGCGTCGCGCTCCGTCGGCGCCAGTCAGGCCTCGCGCAGCTCGTCGAGGCAGGTCTCGTCCCCAGCACCTCTTCTTCCTCTTCAAAGACCCCACCCGCCTCGGAGCTCGAGGACGAGACGGTGGCGCGGCTCGAAGCCATCGGCGCGCACGTCGGGTCCGCCTTTGCCGAGCGCCTCTCGCGCGACCGCCCGCCATTCAGCGCGACGCTCGACGTCGTCAAGTTTGTCTGCAAGGACGTCTGGACGGCCTGCTTTGACAAGCAGGTTGACAACTTGCGCACAAACCACCGCGGCGTATATGTCCTCCAGGACAACCACTTTCGCCCGCTCCTCCGCCTCTCGACGACGATGGCGGCAGGCCCGGGCGCGCTCGCGCCTGCGACGCGGCTGGTGAGTCCGGTTCTCCTCTTTATATGCCCCCTCTTCTTTGTCGAATTCCAAACTGACGGCCGGTGTGGCATGGCATGACAGCACCTTGCGTATCCCAGCGGTGTCATCCGCGGCGCGCTGGCCCGGCTCGGCGTGCCTGCCACCGTCGTGGCCGAGACAAGCCAGGTGCCTCAGTGTGAGTTCCCATTCCCTCTTAGCACAGTGACAGGCTCCGATCGATCACTCATGCGCAAGTAATTCAAACCAGGCACCTTCCACGTAAAGACGGCCGCACAACGGTAGTCGGATAGAGTAGAGTAGTGTAGCTTGTTTCTGTACCATTCATGTGAAAGAATTCAGACCCGCCCACGGATACAACAACAAGAATGACGAGTGACTGAGAGACAGGGACAGAGAAGAGCGAGCGCAGGGGAGGCTCAATAATCGAGAAAGGGGGGCGGAGAGAAAGGCGCGCAGAAAGAGAGAGAGAATGTCATTCTGACCGACCGACGGACTGACTGTCCTCAAGGCATCATCAGAACCGGTCGGCGTGCACCTCGAGCCAGCGCGGGTCGGGGATGATGCCGCCCTTGTGCTGCTCGCGGTACGACTTTGCGCCGCGGCCCCAGCCGTCGGTCTTGATGCGCGGGTCCCAGGGCAGGTGGTGCGGGTACACGCCCTGGAGGCCGACCTCGTCGGGCGGGCACCAGTCGAGCAGGTCGGCCAGCTCGGGCGCCGAGGTGTAGTAGCTGTGGAAGCGCCGCGTGGGGTTGCGCATGCGCCGCTTGGCCTGCAGCGCGCCGTGGCAGCCGTACATGTCGCGCTCAAAGAGGCGGAAGCCCTTGATCTTTTCGCCCTCGTACTCGGCCGCCAGCGAGTCGGCGTCGGCGTCGTCGTCGATGCCGACGTAGTGCCACTTGCGCTGGCGGTCGTAGAAGCCCTTGACGGGCCAGCGAATCGCCTTTGCATGCAGCTCCTCGAACCGGCTCTTTTTCATCTTGTAGCCCACGACGGTGACCCTTGCTGGGTAGCGGCCGGCAAACTCGCGGAAGCGGGCGATGCTGAACAGCAGGTTCTCAAACGAGTCGAGGGCAAAGTTTTCCGTCGTCATGCGCACGCCCTGCAGGCCGCGTGCCACGGCGACGCCGGCATTGGCCTGCGCACCGCTGCCCACGCGGCCGAGGATGGCCTTGGCGTCCGCTGTGATGGCCTTGGATGCGTGTGCCTCTCCAGGGCCAGAGTTCGAAGCAGAGAAGTTAAAGCCGGGCAGCACGGGCAGCGAGAGGCCCGACGAGACGGCGAGCGAAAAGTACGACTCGGCCTCGGTCTGCAGCGACGTCGGCCGTGTTTGCCCTCTGTGATATGTCCAGTCTTGTCAGGTCACTTTTGGGGGAGCAAATAAGCCATCGCCGCGAGCATTCAATGCACTCACCCGCTGAAGACGAGAAGCGCAGTGGGATCCGCGTCGGCAATCTCCACGCTGGTGACGGCAAGGGACAAGAGCAGAGCGTAGGGGTCAGTACAATGATGCATCGTATAAAGAGGCAACTCACCCCTTTTCAATGTGCTTCCAAAACGTCTTTATGCTTCCTCCTTGTTGGTAGTCTTCCAAGACCCAATTTTCGTCATTTTCCCGCTCCCGGAAGTCGCACCCAGCTGGCGTGGGCAAGTGAGAGCGGGTCAGCGTCATGCGTTTCTTTTAAGCCGAGAACAGAAACCCACCCCAGACGGCGTGGCCGACAACCACGACGAGGTGATTGAGCTTCTCGGTGCCCTTTGCCGGCAGTGGTTGGTTCTCGCTGAGCATTTTTGGCGTGAGGCCGTGGAACGTGGTCCACGAACCGAAACCCGGCGGCGGAAGGCTGCGCGCGCCTCGCCCGCCGAAGATCATGAAGCGCAGATTGATCAAGACGCTGAGTGAGCACAGGCCGAGGAGGAGGAGGATGCCCAGGTTGGTGACGCGCGACCGGGCCGAGAGGCGCTCACGCAGCGAGATGCCGCCGGGCGCAGAGGGGCCGCTGCCATTGAGGGCGAGCGAGATGCCGGACTTGCGCCCGCCCGACAGAATTGACGCGGGAGATCGCGGTATCATCGCAGTGGGTCTCTCTATCTCCTTCTCCTCTCTCTCGTCCTTCCTCTCTCTCCTTCGCGCGCGCTCTATAGGTATTTACGCTGGCCAGTCTGGGGAAGGACAAATCGTCAGTCGGTGGTCGTCTGCTTCGATTTCTCGCCTGACATCTAACGTCGATTCGAAGTTGCATTTTTCTATTTTAGACTACCGTACGCCGCCCGAGGTCCACGTGGGTGTCACCGCTCATTCCGCGCCCCCATCGAAGCAATCGACCGACGATGGCGATGGAGCCTTGAATCCCATCACCAACGTCACCCAAAAGGACGGCAAGGAGCCATGCGCCCGTCGGCAGCCGCACCCCGAACCGTATCGAACGTGCGGCCATGAGAAAAGCGACAGTCGAATGGCTGCATACACACGGGAACCAGCATCTGGGATCTGAGCCAACAGTCCGAGCTACTCAGTCACATCGACACAGACACTTGCCAACACTTGAGCCGCTCAATTGGCAAGGCGGAGGGAGCGCCGTGTTGAGGCTATAAGATGGAGGAGTCTTCCAGCGGGCAGAGTCCATCTCGACCGACGACGGCACGCTTCGTCACATCGCTGTCCGACTTCCACCTGCCTCAGCGATCGCCCACGGCGGGCCATCAAGGCCATCAGAACCACCACCACTACCACCAACTCAGCCCTGGGTCGTCGTCTTCCGCATCATCGCATACCCCCTCACAACCGTATTTGACGGGTGGGCATTCGCCCAGTGGCTTCGACGTCGAGAATGGGGGCGTAGCGAGCATGCCGCTCCTCAGGAGGGCCGCTGCTGCCAATGGCGCTCGCATGCGAAGGACCAGCATGCTGGGCCGGGAAGTCCTCGGCAGGGGTGCCCGTGGATCGATGAGTGAAGACGACGAAAACGAGAGACGCGGAGAGGACGATGAGATGCGGGGTCAGGCCGCCGTCTCGCCAACATCGACGACGACGTTGACGAGAGGACAGCTGATGAGACGGCGCGGACCTCTGCAGCGGGAGGAGTCGCCCACACTGCGTGGAAGGTCATTTGCAGCAAGGGAGAAGAGGAATCTGGACCAGAAAGACAAGCGCGAAGATGACATTGACGACGAGGATGATGACATGGAAGTCGATACGGGCGACGTCACACTCTCGGGAATCGAGATGCGAGACAAGTCGTCCGCCGTGGCAGCCGGCCCTTCAACACCGCCCTTGCATCCCACCATGCTGAGCAGCAGTCACGACAACAACAGCTCGCCCCTGCCTCGGACGGGTGTCGTGCGGAGGGCTGTCAACCGGCGAGCCAACCTGATGGTGAGTGTTGCGACACAGAGCAGGCTAAGAGGCTGTGTATGCTGCACAACCTTAAGCGCTGACCTTCCCTACCCTTTCGTGTTCATAAAGCCAAAAGACAGAGGCATGCTGAGGGTAGCTGCCACGTTGCGAGACGAGTCGAGGCCATCAGATGTGGAAATCGCCTCAGAAGCCAAGCTGCAGCGCAAGCTTGGGCCGGACTCCGATGCGCCCTTAGTCAACCGCCTTGGATCGCCAGCCCATTGGAATCCGGCTGGCGCCGGAGGCAATGGCGGGACATACTACCCAGCGGGGGCTGGAAACGACCGTTGGGGTGATGAAGACGACTTCTCCCACGCTCTTCACCGCGCGGACGAGGTGCTTAGCGATTTCGGCGACGCAAGTAGCGACGAGGGTGCGACCACCACCACGACAGCTACTCTTGTCGGCCTAGGCGTCGGCCAGACCAATGGCATGCTCGATGCCGAGAGCGAAGCGGCAGAGCGAGGCGCGCCAGGAGGAAGCCGTGGTGGGCCTGGCAATCTCGGCATCTCGATTCCCAATGCGTCTGGCCTCTCAACATCGGCCTCGTCGAAAGCGTCGCTCTGGCTTGGCTTTCGTGAGGGCTCGCGGCAGTCGCCGGGCGTAGAGAGGGCCATGACAAAGTCAAGAAGCTCGACGATATCTGTTCATACGCCCACGGAGGCCCAGCCGACGCTGTCGACTTCGATGGACGTCGAGCCGCCTCCTTCTGCGTCAAGCAGCGCTGCTACTGCCACTTACCCAGTCACCGCCACGAACAGCAATGGCGGTGGGCCGGGAGTGGGCAACCATCCAGCCAGCTCACCCAGCCTCTGGGGAAGAAGCGCGAAGCGCAAGGTCGGCGACGAGCGCTTCGATCCATACGCCTCTTCTGCCCTGTACAAGCGCCGGGCAGTTTCTCCAATCGCCCTCATCTCCGCGTCGGCCTCTTCTTCGGCGCCCGGTGGTGCAACTGCCACCGTCCGCGCCTCGACGCCGACGACGAGCTCAATGGCAAGCACCAGCAACGCCGCCCTGATCTCGCCATTTGCGCTGCAGACGCACAACACAGCCGGCCTGCCCGTCCCGACGCCCATCTCGATTCCCTCTCCGACGCTGGCTCCCCACCACGGAGGCACCTTCTCGACGTCGCCCTACCCCAGGGTGGCTGGGTCCCGGTCCTCGTCGGGCGGCGCGCCGTCGTCCTACTTTGGGGCAAAGGACGTTGCGGTGGGAGGAGGCGCGGGCATCGGTGTGGCGATCCCGGGCGCCGTCTCGGCCGCCGCTTCTGCTTCTTCCTCTCGGCCAATCTGGACGAGGGGCAGCCGCGCCAACTCGCCCGCTGCGCTGGCGTCGACCGTGGGCAGCGGCGGCGGCGGCAGCAGCGGCGGCGGAGGCAGCGTGACGAGGCCGTCGACGCCGACGAATTCGACGTTCGCGCCGCTGTATTCTGGGCCGGGGCCGTCGCCTTCGCTGCTCAGCACCAGCGCAGGCAAGCTCGGCACGCCTGGCTCTGCAGCGACGCCCGGTCCAGCGACGAAAAAGGGCGGCAGCGGGCCCGGATATGGAAGTGGCGCCCTGGGCCTGAGCTTGGGAGGCGGCAGTAAAGGGTTGAGGGAAGAGGAAGAGGAGGAGATGGAGGACGAAGGCATGCTGGGCGACGTCAGTGCGATTCAGCTGGGCTAGAGAGTGGGAGGGAGGGAGGGATCTGAGCTGAGCTTGCGTGGGAGAAAGGGATACCCGGTTGATCCTGATTCATTGCTTGTATTGTATCCTCATTTCATCATTCCAACACATGCATGAGCGCCTCTATATTGTCTGTTCTATGAAGACTGGCTGAAGTGGGCGTTCCGGAGACGATTGACTTTGTAAGACCAGCACCACTCGTCAGCCATCCTGCTCTGTTTTACCAGCAACGATAAAAAAGCTACTCACTTGCCGCACCAACGTCGACCCTTCTCGGTCTGGCGAGGAACCCATCGAGCCGTCCACCTTCTGCGAAGCTGTCCAGGCCCGGAGCATCAGCACCGAGCGCCTCCTCGATACGATCGAGCATCTCTGCAAACGGCGCTGGCCGACTCGCATCGAGGAGCGACTTGATGATGCACTCGATTGCGCGCGTCTGCGAGGCATGGACGAGCTGCGGGACGGCACGCAGCTCAATCGTGCTACCCTGCGCACTATCAGGGCCCGTGGCAGCTGCGGGTCCGACGTCGCCAAACTGGATCGAGTCCTTGGAGCGCGACATGATCTTGCCTGCAGGCCTACTGAGGCGCACGGACCGCCGCAGGGCTGGGCTGAACGGGGACATTGTCGCCGTCGCTGCCGATGAGGGGGTCGAGGAAGGGACGAGGGCTTTGGCGCGCTCGGTCAGATCCAGGAGCCTATATTCGTCCATACACAGCACGACGTCGGCCGGCGCAAAAAAGTCACTGCTGCTCCCGCAGACGATGAATACGGCGGGTCGGCCCTCTGTGGCGACGACCTGGCGCACACGCTCGACAAGCGGCGTGATGGGCTCCTTTTGCACGAGCTTGCGCATCACATCGTCGCGCTGCAGGAAATTGCTCGCAATCGTGTCCTCATCGATGAGGAGCAGCTGCGAGCGAAGCTCGAGCGATTCGATGAGACTCGCAGCGCACGACGTGCTGCCCGAGGCATTGGTCGTGCTGAACTGTGCGCAGTCTTTGGCGTCGCGGCCAGGGAGATTGCTGATAAAGGGGGAAATGTCGACCGTCGACACGGGCCGGCCGTCTTCGCTGCGGATGCTCGTGACATCTTCGACTGCACTGACGTATTCTCGGCCGTCGCCTGGAATGTGGTCGTAGCAGCCCAGCGCGAGGGCAGAGAGCAGGGTGGACTTGCCGTGGTAGCCTCCGCCGCAGAGGACCGTGATGCTTCCCCTCGCCACACCCATGCCTTGGATGGTCCCACCGTTTTGCAGGGGGAGTGTGACCCGCACAGACTCAGGGCTGACAAACTTGATGGCCTCGTCGGCTGACAAAGGTTTGTCGCTCGCACCGCTCGCTCGGGCAAGGATCGCTCCGTCAGGGATAAATGCGGCCAAGGGTGGTGTGTGGCTCTGCAGTGCAGTCTTGCGCAGGACCTGTTGGTTCTCGACCGACACGACGTGCTCTTCGATTCCTGTCCGAGGGCCAAAGAAGGCCGCCGAGATCAGATAGGGGACCGACTGCGTCACTGGTGGCCGAGAGACTGTGAGCCATGGAAAGACGGGGAAGAAGGCAGCCCGTCGACTCACGGATCTCGCGCGCCCATTGCCCACAGACACTCCGACCCCGAGCCGGGAGACCGACTCTGATTCGAACCTCGATGTAGAATGCTGCTACATGGACGGCCGTCCGCTCGAGGACCTGCTGCCCGGGCGCGTCGATCTCGATTTGGCCTCCTTTTGCACCGGCCCAGCCCGACGGCGGCGCAGCCTTTTCGTACTCTTTGGAGAGACACGTCTCATGCAGTCTCCGCAGAAGATAGTCTGCGAGCGCTGTGGAGCTGATGACAGCTGTCAGAGAGATTCATCTTGCCTGGAATTGTGTTCGACTCACCGAGGCCGAGAACGATATAGCGACGGGTCGAACAGAGCAACACTATGCGCGACGCGGATGCGACACTTGCTGGGTGCAGCGTACGGGTCTGCCTGGGCGTGGTCGAGAAAGAAGGTCATGGGACCCTTTGCGGTGGACAGCGTCCATGAGCCCTCAACGTCATGATAGGCAGGGTACGGGGCGCCCTCCATCGACGAGAGCAGCTGACCGAGCTGCTCGCCAGTCCTGGGCCCATCGACTCGCGGCCTCTTGGGTGCGTCTGGACCGCCACCGAAGCCAACTCCTCCGCTTCCTCTGCCTCCTCGACCGCCACCTCGACCACCCCCCCGACCGCCGCCACCGCCGTACTTTTCCTTAAAGTATGCACCTCTTCCTCGGCCTGACATTGTCGCGAAGCTCTTCTTTCTTCTTCACCTGTGGAGGAGACGTTGGAATTTTCTTAGCCTGAATTTGCACGCACGCACGCACGCACGAGCCATTCGACGAAATCCGATTCATTACTGCTCTCAACGTCAAATGCGCTCGGGCACAACGACAGGCAAGCCACACAAGCACGCAGGCACCCATCCCGAACCCGGTCCTGCCCTCGCCAAGAGCTCGCACCATCGTGGCTTCAGACATGCCCCTGAGCTCGTGCCGTAAAGAATATTCTCCATACCTGTTAGAGGGGCTGTGACCCAAGATGAGCCTCCGACGGCAACTATTCTCATACGATGATGAGAGAAAGAATGAACAACGATAGCAGAGCAGTGATGAAGAGAGACATATGGCCGGGCCATGACGGCTGTTCCGTCCAGTCCATGGGCAGAGGTTCGTGCGGTCTAGCTTCCTCTTGCCGTCAATCAGCACGTTCCTATCCATCCAATCAGTGGTCTCTGCTCTGCGGACCGGAGCGAACTAGCCTGTACCTGTGACTGCTCTGATTGAATTGTCCCTTCCGTACTACTACTCTCTTTCAAACCAATTGGCCCGATCTTCTCGGAGCGCAGCCGATTTCCCTCGAGGAAAAACAGGTCAAGAAAGCGAGCGGCCTGACGTGGTCTATTAACAATTACAGCCTTGCGAATCTAGCCCCGTCTTGGCAATTCAACATCATTCCGAGACAGAGGTTAGTACGTAGTTGGCAGAAAAAAGAAGCCGATCGTGCCTGCTGGTGAATAAAGTTGGCTTCAAGAGCGAAAGCACAAAGCACAAAGAAGAAGAAGAAAGATGGAAAAAAAATAAAATTAAAACTGATGATCTTTCTCTGAATGTTGCGGGGGTTCCGGTGACGTTCGTGTCCGCGCCGCGCGCCTAGCCCTCTTCAAGAACATATGATAATTTGGCGGATGGACAGACGTGCGTCGTCGTTGTCTTTGCGCGGGATTCCTACGCCGGCATACATCCACTCTTCATCTCCCCACCAGGGGAACATCCGACCGAACAAGCCAAGGAGGAGCTAAAATCCTCTTCCGAGATGTATTACGGTTGAGGTAGCAGGGGTACACTAGACTAGAGTAGTAGTAGTACTAGTCATAGTCTAGCCAGGGTTTAAAATCCATCGGCCCTTTTACCGCGATGGGCAGGGGACGAGTGTAATGCCTTTTTTCTCCCCCCCTGTCCCTGCGTTTGCCCTCGAGGTCGCTGGTGTACGTGCTTCATATTGGAATTGCCTATTATTACTCAAGGCAGGACAGGAATATTTCCTGCGCTCGTAAACACTCGAAAAGCTCGACTCCGCCTGCCTTCCACCCATTTCTTGCTCCTCCTTCCCGACCCTTCTCACATCCCCCCAGCTCAAGACCATCAGAGTCGTGACTCACAGAGACCCATACGAGGCGGTCAGCATAAGACTGACGATAAAAGAAGGGGAAGAGAGAGTGAGAGAGTGAGCACAAGAAGAGGAAAAAGACAAGATGCGACCCGAGACGCCCAACTCCTACCACCTCCGGCCGGGGACGCCGGGGACCCCTGGCACGTTCGCAACCGAGGGCCGACCGTACTCGTCTGCGGGCTCTTATGGCATGGGCCTGAGTGAGAGTGGCAGCCATGAGATGCTCAAGTACTATGACAACCAGGGCCAGTTTGGCGGCAGGCCGGGCTCTGGCGGGCCCAACCCGGACGGGAGCGAAGATGCATCGACGTACTACTTTAACAAGGAAGGCGGCAGGGTGAGTCACTACTCCGACCGACGCCAAGCGGGGTCGGGCCGCGATTGCTTTTGAACTCAATTCGCAGACAAGCGACTAAATCTACCTCTCCTCGCACAGGCAGCAGCAGGAGGCGCGGGCGCAGCAGCAGCAGCAGCCAGTCGGGCACCCGGCAGGGGTGGCTTCTGGGGCTGGGTGAAGCGCAGGCCATTGGTTGCCTCGCTCATTGCCCTGGCTATTGTCGCAGCTATCGCCGTCGGCGTGGCGCTGGGCGTGGTGCTTGGGAACAAGTCGGACGCAACCAAGAATGGCAGCTCCGCATCGCCGGACAACAACGCGGCACAGGGCAGCACAGGCAGCAACGGTGGCGTGGCCAGCAACGGCACCTCGACTAGCACGAATGGCTCCACGACTGCAAAGGCTGTCACACCTCTGCCCGCTTGGAACCTGACGGACCCAAACACAAAGATGATTGGCGTCTCCCTCGGCAACTGGCTCGTCCTCGAGCGGTGGATGGACGAGGACTGGATGACGTCGACGGGCGGCGACGATGCCTGGGACGAGTGGACCTTCACCCAGAACCTCGGTGCCGACAAGGCAAAGGCTGCGCTGACCGACCACTGGAACTCGTGGGTGACCGAGGCCGAGATCGACACGCTCAAGTCTGTCGGCATCAACACTGTCCGGATCCCCGTCGGCTACTGGGCCTTTGTCCCTGCTGCCTCGGGCGAGCCCTACGTCGCACAGGCCGGTCAGACGGACCAGATCACAAAGATGCTCGGCTGGCTCTACGACCGTGGCATGTACGCCATGATTGACCTCCACGGCATGCCTGGCTCGCAGAACGGAGACCAGTCATCGGGCCACAACACGACGAACCAGCAGTGGTGGAGCGACACCAACCAGGGCTACTCGTACACGGTGCTCAACGCGACCATCGAATTCATCAAGACGAACAAGTACTCGTCGGTGGTGCACAGCGTGTGCAGCGTCAACGAGCCGCAGATCTACAGCGACTCGAACAAAAAGGCGATTGCGACAAAGTGGTACGAGGCCAGCTACAATATGCTCAAGGCCGCGGGCCTCATCTTTGTCTTCCACAATGGCTTCGGACAGCCCGACGACTGGGTCGACTTTGCCACGGGCAAGGACCCCAATTACATTGCCTACAGCACCAACCCTTACCCCGGCTGGTTCCCCGCCAAGACGAACGCAGATTCGATTACCAGCGCCGTCTGCACGCTCGCCCAGCAGGCTGTGGGCTACCCCGTCCCGATGATCTACACCGAGTGGTCCGTTGTCAATGGCGTCCAGACCGACTCGTTTGACCAATCGTACTACAACACTCAGCTCAGCGCCTATGGCTGGTCCGCCGGCTCGTCTTTCTGGAGCTTCAAGACCGTCCACTCCACCAACCGGGTTCTGGCCGAGACGAACAACGTCATGGACATGTACAGTCTCCTCACGCTCATCTCGCAAGGTCTCGTGCAGAAGCCGTCGAACCCCAACGAGAGCGGGCTCGACATGCTCAAGGGCCTCAACAACACGGGCTGCGGCGACATTCCCACCGTCAAGTGGACCAACCCCTCGACGTCGGGGTCGAGCAGCCGCCGGCGCTCCCTCGACGATGGCGCATCGATGCGCATGAGGACGAAGCGCGCCCTCTGATGACTTGTGTCCCCTCTCTCTCTCTCTCTCTTTTCCCCTCACATGTGTACTATTCTCACCTCCGATTCTGCCCCATCTCATCATCCAACCGGACACGTCTACGCACAACACCACTGCACGCGCTCTCGTCTACAAACACAACAAGCTCTTACATTCTTTCTTCTCTCTTACTCAACCATCTGTCCATACAATCACTCTCTCTTTGCTCTTTTTCTCTGTCTCGCATTCTCGTTCCTCTTTTCCTTTTTCCCTCAATAACGGACAATCATTTCTTGGACTTATGACGTTGGCCTCTCTGTGCGCTCTGGGTGTGTGCGCGTGCGGAAGCAGTCCTCGCTTTCTGGTAGTGTCAACAGATCCGATGGAAAAGTGCATTCACGATCTGCGATGTCGGAAAAAGCCGACTACGCATTGAGAAGCGCTCACGACGTCACCACCAGCCACAATTGTCCTTTTCCCAATTGGAATTTCGTCGAGGAGCGGAGGAGGGGTAAGGAGAGAGTGACAAGAGAGAAAGAGAAATGGCGAGGGAGGACAAGAGGAGGAAGATGAGAGGAGAGGAATCGGAAACTGTAACTAGGGGACGAAAGAACGCTTTTTGCAACCACGAAGAAGAAAAGACTTTGTAGATGTGTGTGTGTTTGTTTGTCATGGAAGGGGAGGGTGCCAAGAAGATGAGAGGGGCGAGGTGTGGAAAGGGTGATAAGGTGACGGATAGAAGCTGGCACCATCGGGTCGCTTCATCTACCGTCTGTTGACAGCTAAAGAAACGACTCGTAGCACTGAGCTCCTCGCAACCGAGGCGACAGACGAGCAGGGAGGCGCGTTGCTACCGACAACTGCTTAGTCGGTGTGAGCCGACTGGGCAGCAGCCGAGGGAGCAGCGGGGGTGGAGCCCTGGCCCCTGGCGTTGGCCATGACGGGCCGGAGGACGCGGGTGTAGACCACCTTGGCGCCCTGGGTCTGAGGCAGCATGAGCCAGACGATGGCCAGCGTCTTGAAGGTGTAGTACATGGGGATGAAGTGGAGGATGATGTCGATGAACGACTCGATGAAGTTGAAGAAGCCGAAGACGACCCAGTACGTGAGCCTGTGGTAGATAAATACTGTGAGTCGCTTCGCTTCCATCTTTAAAAGGGCACTCTGGCCGTCGCACGCACCATTGGATGTCATCCTGAGGCTGGGGCGACTCAAGAGCCTTCATGGAGAAGTAGGCGGGGAGGAAGAAGCCAATGAGGTTCGTCAGGAAGCCCGCGAAGCTGTTCGGCAAGCATCAAGTCAGCGCCACATGTCCGATAAATCGTGCATGGAAGTCAGCTTACATGTTGAAGAAGACGAGCTGATGGAAGAGGAGGGCAATTCGGGTCAGACAGGACAGTATGGTGGCGTGCACAGAGGAAGAGAAGAACTCACGAGGGTGAAGAGAAGGAAGAAACCAACGGCACCGTAGGCCTTGGCCTGCGGGATGCCGACAGTCTGCTCGAGCTTGTTCAGGTGGGGGTACTTGGAGAGCTGCAGAAACGACAAGACGTGTGTGAGTGGCCTGCTTTCGATTGCTTCCGTGGTTCGTTAGTTGGTGAAACTCACCTCCTTGTCGATCTGATTGCAGCAAATATTTGTTGAGGAGATGGAGGGGAGAGAGTCAGGTCAGTACTTGCACATTTTCTATATCAAGGTCGCCGATATGCAACACATCGACCTCCACCAGAGACAAGGAGGCCATCGCTAGGAGCACCACGTCGGCTGCGAAACGTCTCGCAGCGCAAGGCAAGGCAAGAGACACGCACCTGGGAGATAAAGTACTCAGCCTTCTGCTGGAATTGTTGGAGCTGGGCGGCCATCTTTACTAAAGCGTTGTCTGGGGTGTTGTGCTTAGGGAGAGGAGAAAGATGCGAGGGTGTGTGTGTGCGCTCAGTGCCTTCTGATAAGGTGAATCGTTAAGTTAGTGGTGAACCGAGAGAGAAGATTTCAGCGCTGCCAGCCAGCTAGGCTATCTGCTCTGTATCTGCCACAGCCTTTTTGGGCCGCGCATTTTGATTTCATCGCGTCATTTCTTGTATTGTGCCCTTTCAAATCAAAGCTGCCTTCTGGACGGGAAGTTCGTCACGTGAACAGACCCTCCCTTTGCTTGACCCACCGTGACCAGCAGCCGCGCCTGGTCCATTCAGCACCCGTGTGGAAGCTAGGGTCTGGCTGGTGAAGGAGGCAGTATGTCATGAATGTTGTAAATAGTCTGTTTTTGGCGCAAGCGACAGTGCCCCATCTGGTCGAGTGATTGTAGCAAGAAACGCCAAGCTGAGCGAGAGGCAGACCGAGGTCACGCGCTTCGAGGGCGCGCTCAAATTTTTTTTGGACTGACGCCCTCCTCACAACCACCAAAAAAAAACCTTCAGAAAAATCACAAAAAGGGAAGACCGATCACAGTCTCGACTAGGACTGCGTATCATCTTCTTAAAAGATTCAGAAAACCCAGGTGAGTGGGCGAGACATGGAGGACGACGATGTCGATGGCCGTTCTGACCAACAGTTCTTCCTCTCTTAAGAAAAAAATCCGAAAAAGCAGAAAATCCCCTCGTCCATCCCAAGGCCGTTCGATCTAGTTCGCCTTCACCATTCACATCACATCGCTGCAAGGTACAAAGGACCTATTCAGCTTCGTAAGTGTGGTAGTGCTGTCTCGGCATTGTTGCTCAGTCAGACAGCCTGCTGACATGGCCGTCCAGACGACACTTCCTCCTAATTATCTCCTCAAAAAAACACCTAGCTTTCCTCTACGAACCTGCCCGTTCCTTTGATAAAAGCAGAAAAAATGTCGGCCGCCACCGCCACTTCGCCCGTTGCCAAGCCCGCCGAGGCGACGCAGGAGAACAATGGAGCGCCCGCCGAGCAGCAGGCTGCCGGTGAGGCCCCCAGCACGACCACCAATGGTGCTGCTGCCACCGCCGCCACCCCGGCGTCGACCGAGTCCGCTCGGCCTGCGCCTGCCCAGTCGCAGTCGACGAGCAATGACAGCCAGCCCAACACGTCGCTCTACGTCGGCGAGCTGGACCCCAGCGTGACCGAGGCCATGCTCTTCGAGATCTTCAACATGATTGGCCCCGTCGCCAGCATCCGTGTGTGCCGTGACGCCGTGACGCGTCGCTCGCTCGGCTACGCCTACGTCAACTTCCTCAACGCCGCCGATGGCGAGCGTGCCCTCGAGCAGCTCAACTACTCGCTCATCCGCAACCGCCCCTGCCGCATCATGTGGTCGCAGCGTGACCCTGCTCTGCGCCGCACCGGCCAGGGCAACATCTTCATCAAGAACCTCGACGAGGCCATCGACAACAAGGCCCTGCACGACACCTTTGCCGCCTTTGGCAACATTCTGTCCTGCAAGGTCGCCATTGGCGAGAATGGCTCCCTGGGTTACGGTTTCGTCCACTACGAGACCGCTGAGGCCGCCGATGCAGCCATCAGGGCCGTCAACGGCATGCTGATGAACGACAAGAAGGTCTTTGTCGGCCACCACGTGCCCAAGAAGGAGCGTGTGCAGAAGATCGAGGAGGCCCGCTCCCACTTCACCAACGTCTACGCCAAGAACATCAACCCCGAGGTGACGCAGGAGGAGTTTGACGAGCTCTTTGGCAAGTACGGCCCCGTCACGTCGTGCGCCCTGGCCTTTGACGACGAGGGCAAGAGCCGCGGCTTTGGCTTTGTCAACTACGAGACCCACGACGACGCCCAGCGTGCCGTCAACGAGCTGCACGACAGCGACTACCACGGCCAGAAGCTCTTTGTCGCCCGTGCCCAGAAGAAGGGCGAGCGCGAGGAGGAGCTGCGCCGCGCCTACGAGACGGCCAAGAACGAGAAGCTGTCCAAGTTCCAGGGCGTCAACCTGTACCTCAAGAACATCCCTGAGGAGTTCGACGACGAGCGCCTCCGCGAGGAGTTTGCGCCGTTTGGCACCATCACGTCGTGCAAGATCATGCGTGCCCAGTCGGGCGTCTCGCGCGGCTTCGGCTTCGTGTGCTACTCTGCTCCCGACGAGGCCAACAAGGCCGTGACGGAGATGAACGGCAAGATGATGGACAACAAGCCCCTCTACGTCGCCCTCGCCCAGCGCAAGGACGTCCGTCGCCAGCAGCTCGAGGCCCAGATCATGCAGCGCAACCAGCTCCGTCTCCAGCAGCAGGCTGCCGCTGCCGGTGGCCTCGCCGGTTACCCTGGCCAGCCCATGTACTACCCTCAGCCTGGTTTCCCCGGCCAGCCTGGTGTCAGCGGCATGCAGCGTCCCCGCTACGCTCCTGCCGGCATGATGCCCCAGGGTATGCCCATGGCCGGTCCCTACGGCCAGCCCCCGAGCCAGTTCCCCGGCGGCATGATGCCCCAGGGCTACCGTCCTGCTCGCCCTCGTGCCGGCCCCGGCGGTGTGGCACCCCCCGCTGGTGCTCGTCCCCCCATGATGAACGGCGTCGGCCGCCCTGGCCAGCCCGCTACGGGTCCCATGGCTGGACGGCCTGGCCCCGGCGGTCGTCCCGCCAGGCCCCAGGCTTCTCCCGTGGCCCAGCCCGCCCTGACGGCGGCTGCACTGGCCAACGCTGGGCCCGAGGAGCAGAAGCAGATGCTGGGAGAGGCCATCTACCCCAAGATTGCCGCCACTCACGCCGAGCTGGCTGGCAAGCTGACGGGCATGATTCTCGAGCTGCCTGTGAGCGAGCTCCTCCACCTCCTCGAGGATTCCGAGGCCCTGGATGCCAAGGTCACCGAGGCTCTCGACGTCCTGCGCGAGTTTGAGCAGCAGGAGCAGGAGCCCGAGGCTTGATTTGTCCTTTCTCCTCCCAAAATCAAGGAAGAGAATTTCCTCTCTTCTTTGTCGTGATTTCGAATAATGACCTTATACTCTCTCTCTCTCTTTCTTTTCGTCGCGGCTCCGGTCGCGTCGAACGGAGAGCGCTCTGATCTGTACTCTTGTGTAAGCTCGAATGTGATTGGACCTGATTTCATGAGCCCACCACTCGCGGACCAATCTCGGCGCATTGTCGCTGCTTGGAGTAGAGCGCATCGCCCACGTCGACCTGCCGCGCGCCCGCCGCGTACCTAATGCGTGCGCACGCGCGGTCGAGCGAGGGGAGCAAGATGAGAGAAATGAAAAAAGCGCACCTGCAGGGCTAGGGCTAGGGCTTGCGGGCGTTGACTGTGCTCCGACGCAATCCAGCTGCCTCTTGTCGTGGAGACCACGTACTCTTGGATGCCGCTCGGCAAACATGACCGCTAGCTAGAAGTCCACCCATCTGTCCTTGTTTGTGTACATCTCCCCATCCCTCCTCCCCCCGCTCCTTCTGATAAATTGCCGAGCCGTGATTTTCTTTACCTCCCCTTTCCCCCAAAAAAAGTACCTCACCGTCACTTCTGTCTTGCCCTCGTCTTCGTCCTCCTCATCGTCCTCTCTCTCTTTCGGCAGTCTTTGATTCGTCAGCTAGCTAGCTGGGCCTGAGAGCAAGCAAGCAAGGCACGACCGAGGAAGCGCTGTGGCTCTCCGTCGCCCCGTTGCCCTCTCTTTTGTTTTCGTCTACTCCGACTGAATCACTGCGCCCTGCGCTCACCCCCTCATTCACTCACTCACTAGCCCTCTCACTCACCAAGCCATCCTCCCACTCACTCACCCCTCCCACTCCTGACGTGCTGCGTGGGCTAATTGCGCAGGACACAGTTTCCCGGACCGTCTACTCGTTCGTTTTGTGTAGACCAGCGCAGACACCTTCGCCCGCCCGCCCGCCCGCAACCGCTCGGGACGTTCGTCAGCAGGTACGCCCAACGACGTTGCTGCCTCTCCCCACTAGCGACCGTTTCCATCCAAGGGGGGTTGCCCCTTTTTTTGCCCAGTCCAGTTCAGTCCATCCAGTCCTTTTCCTCGTGAGCTCCGTCGCCACAGCGTAAAAGGACAGAGAGACAACGCTGATGCGCCGTCGACTGCGACAACATCCAGCATTGTATTTATTTATGGCGAGCACACGTCCTTTGAAGATGAGGACAACGACGACGACAGCGACCACAGCAACAGCGACAACGACAACGACAACGACAACGACAACGGCCACTAGTGACGACGCCGCCTCGTCGGCACAACTGCTCGTCGACGAGGCCAGTCCGGCCTCGTCCTCGACGACGACCCTTGCGCAATCGCTCGCACCGTCATCGTTGTCGTCAACAGCCTCTGCAGCGCACACGCTCGCGTCGGGCGGTAGCAGCGAGCACAAATTCGGCTTTGCAAAGGACGACACCGCCTTGCAAGGCAGGAAAAACGACGACGAGGAGCAGGACACGACGAGGATATTTGCGAGGGACGCCGAGCACTGGAGAACGGCCGCCTCGGCATGTCCGCGGTCTCTGTGGAAGCATGACTGGGAGGCTGCGAGCTGCGATGCGCCCCAGTGTCCAGTCAGGTTCGGCTACGCTTCGCTGCCGGGATTCACTTGGACATCGCCACCGACCACGCCGACCCACACACATCTCGGCAGTCCGGGCAGCGTGCTCAGCATCTCGTCCGAGTCCCCTCGCAAGCATCTCGCCTCGTATCAGCTGCCCCCTGGCAGTCCAGGCTCGAGCTCGCTGCGGCCGAGGCGTGAGTAGATGGGTTCGCATCGAAGAATTTGAAAGGATGAAAATGCTCATCATGCTCATTTGCAGTTTCTCGATCTCGCACCTCGTCCAATGGCAGCATTCACACCCAGCCGCCGACGAGCCCACGCTCAGAGGCATCGTTTGACAGCAGGCCACCTAGCCGTGGCGCAGGAATTTCTGCTTTTCGCATCCAGCGCAGGCACCACTGTCGGCGCTGTGGCGGGTGTTTCTGCGCCGACCACACGGCCAAGCTCGCGCTGCTCACAATGACAAGGCGCGACGCCATGGTTGAGGTGGCGAAGCGGGGAAAGAAAATTGCCTTTCCCAGGCCGCTGCTTCTGGGCAACATCAGCGAGGACGACTGCTCCATTCCAACAGCTGGTCACTCGCCAGTCACAGCCGTCATGGACGACGACGACGCTGTTGCTGCTGGACCCTCTTCCGGCGCCATGGCTGGGTCTCGGAGCACCACGGCAATGGCGCTACTGCACTCTATCTCGCCCGATGTCACCGTGGCGGTCCGAACGCGAGTATGCGACTTGTGCTTTGCCGCCGTTGAAAAGGCGCGGCTGCAGTACATGACGAAGAAGCGCATCGACGGCTGGGACGTAAAGACGGTCAACAGCGTGCCCTTGAGCTGGTCCGACGGTGAGGAAGAACAGGAGCAGGCAGCCTCAATTCGTCGCATCCACGAACAGCTGTACCAGGAGAGCAAGGCCAAGTTCCAGTCCATTACCGAGCAGCGCCTCGGGCGGCACCGCAGCAGCCCAAACAACAACGGTGTGGAATACATGAGCCTGGCCATGGCGCTGTCCGAGGCCACCTATGAGGCCAAGCAGCGCCAGGCAATGGAGGCCCTAGCCGCAGAGGCGCTCCCCGCTCTCGAGTCCATGCATCTCGCCCGTCGGCACATGCGGTCCAGTGGCTCTAATCGGTCCCGCGGCCGATTCGATTCGTCCCCTTGGGGGGTGGAAGCATATCACCACAACAACCACGACGACGAGCTGGGCTCGTCCGAAGAGGAGCTCGAGGCTACGCTCGACGCCCTCCGAAAGGGACTTAGTCCTGCCCGTCGCTACGGCTGGACCGGAAGCTACAATGCGAGCTACCATTCTACGCCTCGCTCTCACAGCCCACTCAAGCCTGAAGAGGACAGCAGCCAGCAGAGCGCGAGTAAAAAACCACCTACGACGGCCATGGGCCATCTGCGCCTGCTGAGGAAGTACGAGAGCAGCAGCAACTCGTACGACGTCTCCGAACGGCGCTGGAACCCCGACCTTGTCACGTCCAAGGGTGAGCGACTTGCAAAGTTCTCGGTACGTTCCTTTTGTCTTAGTCAATGGTATTATGTCTTTACGATGCTGAAAAGTATTCTTAGCGGGTTGGCGCATCGACTCAACTGCTCCCAAACATATCCAGAGGCCTGGCACCCGCCGCCGCAAGACAGCTGTCAACCGCTGGACGTGCCGAGGGCAGTCCGGCCTCGCTACCAATCCAGATTCCTCGACACCGTAACTCTTCCTCCTAACTCCCCTCCTCTCCTCTCTTTCTGTCACCGTCTTCTCGTTCTTAGCGTTCGCTTCTGGAAGTGACTTTACCCAGCTGCACGAATACCACATGGTGTGCCTCTCCTCCTTCAATATATATTTGTCAAATGTGCTCGAAATTTGGCGCTTGATGAGAGACTGACTGGCTAGAGAGAGAGACCGTCAAGCCACGGTGCAAGAAGCTCATCGGAGAATTCTTGATCAACGGAATGTGCGAAAACGCACGTGGCGCGCGTTGTCAAATTGCAACGAGGCCCTGCCCTTGCCCAGCCCAGCCAAGCCCAGCCTCCCCACGCAGAGCAGAACCCCCTGATCCTGATTCTGGATTGTTTCCTCTTTTTTAGTTACTCTCTCGTTTCAGCCCACAGCAAGCAGCAGCAGCGCGCGCAGCTTTTTGGCCGCACCGCAGACCTCCAACACACGTACGCACGTAGGCAGCTTCTCGCTCTGTGCGTGTCAGGGCGGCGAGTCGTCGATTGGCTTTTTCGCTCGCTCTTGAGTCGAGGCAGCAGTCAGCCAGAGGGAAAGGAGGGCCCGCAACGAGAGAGAGAGAGAGAACGCGCGCGCGCACGAAAGGGGATAGCTAGCTAGCCAGCCGCCGCGCCTATCATCCAGCCCTAGTCGTCGTCGTCAAACATCGTCTGGCGAGAAACGGATAGAACGAGATGGGTAATCTCTGCAGCTGCTGTGAGTACCGGGCCGTCTGTCTTGCCTAGCCAGCCCCTTTGCACTTGCTGTTCGCGCTCGACCAGTCGCTGACTTGGCTGTGATCCGACTCGGATGGTGCGATAGGCGGTCGCTCGCGCAGCGCGCAGTACGAGCCGCTGCTGCTCGACAATGAGCGCGATGCCGTCGCAGACCTGCTGCAGTACCTCGAGAGTGAGTCGGACCTGATCTTCCTCTCTCTGCACGGATGAATTGCTCACGGAAGAGGGACGATGACAGACCGCTCCGAGACCAACTTCTTCACGGGTGATCCATTGCGGTCGCTCTCGACGCTCTCCTTCAGCGACAACGTCGACCTACAGAGGAGTGCCGCGCTGGCCTTTGCCGAAATCACCGAAAAGGAGGTCAGGGAGGTGGGCCGGGATACGCTCGAGCCAATCATGTTCCTGCTCCAGAGCCACGACGTAGAGGTGCAGAGGGCCGCGAGCGCTGCGCTGGGCAACCTTGCCGTTAACTGTGGGTGATGGCTTCTATATTTCCCCTCGATTGAAGCGAGACGCTGACCTGGCGAGAACGCGCGCATACAGCCGAGAACAAGCTGCTCATCGTCAAGCTCGGCGGCCTCGAGCCCCTGATCCGCCAGATGCTCAGCCCCAACGTCGAGGTGCAGTGCAACGCCGTCGGCTGCATCACCAACCTGGCCACGCACGACGACAACAAGACAAAGATTGCAAAGTCGGGCGCCCTGGTGCCCCTGACGAGGCTCGCGAGGTCAAAGGACATGCGCGTGCAGAGAAATGCGACGGGCGCGCTCCTCAACATGACGCACAGCGACGAGAATCGCCAGCAGCTGGTGAATGCGGGCGCCATTCCCGTCCTTGTCGGCCTCCTTGGCAGCTCCGACACCGACGTGCAGTACTATTGCACCACTGCACTCAGCAACATCGCTGTCGACGGGTCCAACCGCAAGAAGCTGGCCCAGACGGAGCCCAAGCTGGTGCAGAACCTCATCGGCCTCATGGAGAGCTCCTCGCTCAAGGTCCAGTGCCAGTCGGCCCTCGCACTGCGCAATCTGGCCAGCGACGAGAAGTACCAGACGGAGATTGTCCGGTCGGGCGGCCTCCCCCCGCTTCTCCGCCTGCTCCGGTCAAGCTTCCTGCCCCTGATCCTGTCGGCTGCTGCGTGCGTCCGCAACGTCTCGATCCATCCCCTCAACGAGTCGCCCATCATCGATGCCGGCTTCCTCCACCCGCTCATCGACCTACTCTCCCACGAGGACAACGAGGAGATCCAGTGCCACGCCATCTCGACGCTGCGCAACCTCGCTGCCTCGTCGGAGCGCAACAAGACGGCCATCGTCGAGGCGGGTGCTGTCGAGCGCATCAAGGAGCTCGTCCTCACCGTTCCTCTGAGCGTGCAGAGCGAGATGACGGCGTGCGCTGCCGTGCTTGCGCTGTCCGAGGACCTCAAGCCCCAGCTGCTGGAGATGGGTATCTGCGAAGTCCTCATTCCTCTCACTGCCTCGCCCTCGGTCGAGGTGCAGGGCAACAGTGCCGCGGCGCTGGGCAACCTGTCGAGCAAGTCGGATGACTACGGACCGTTCAATGCCGTCTGGAACCAGCCCGAAGGCGGTCTGCACGGCTACCTGGCCCGCTTCCTCGAGTCAAGCGACCAAACGTTCCAGCACATTGCCGTCTGGACCATCGTCCAGCTCCTCGAGTCGGGCGACCAGCAGCTCGAAGACAATGTCCGGTCCAGCGACCAGCTCCTTCCCCTCGTCGCGCGCCTCGCCGAGAGTGCCGGCGAGGACGGCCAGGGTGTGAACCCAGACGGAAGCACGACGGCTAACAGCGATGACGGACAAGATGCTGAGGTCGAGATTGCTTCGCTTGCAAAGAAGATTCAGGAGATCTTGATCGACTCCTCGTCGGCTCCAGCAGCGGGAGCAGCAGCCAAGGACGGGTCAGGCTCGAACAAGGCTTCGTCTGGCGCGGCCGGGAAAGAGTCGGCGGAGCAGCGGTGATGACAAAACAGTATGAAACGAAACACGTAATGATTCCCCCATCTTCCCCTCCTCGCCCCCCTTCCCTCCAGTTCAAAGTGTAGATCGTACCTTTCTCTTCTCTTCCCTTCTCTTACCTCTTCTTCATCCTCGATGGAGGCTTTCAGCTCTTTGCGTTTGTTCTTTACCCAACCCCCCTCTTCTTTCTTTATCCTTCCCGCTATCTCTCTCTCAATGCCATGAACTCTACGTTTCGTTACTGTGCCATGCCAGGGTTACTCTACAGATACAGGTGCGTCCTCACTCGCTCTCGAAGGACCAGAAGCCAATACCCAAATGTCGCGCTGCTGCTGCTGCTGCTGCTGCTGCTGCTGTTGCCCATCAGCCTGGCGCTCGTCCATGAGCAGATGGGCGCCTGCGCTCCGGAGAAGCCGCACCACGTCTGCGTGCCCATTGTATGCGGCGAGGTACAGTGGCGAATGATTGGAGTGCGACGCGGCACGCAGGTGGACATTGTAGCCCGACTGGAGGAGGAGCCGGACGCATTCGAGGCGGCCCAGCGTCGCGGCGAGGTGGAGCGCGCTCGAGTGCGGGTCCAGCTCGGTGCTGCTGCTGCTGCTGCTGCTGCTGCTGGCTGCGGTTGCTGCCGACGCTGTCGCTGTCGCCGTCTTTGTGTGTGGGGTCGCTGTTGGCTGGGAGGAGGCGAGGAAGCCCTGGCGGGCCAGGAGAGACGAGAGGGTGGAAGGCTCGTTGCGCTCGATGGATCGTTGAATCAAGTCTGTGTGCATAAGGCAAGGAGGTGATTTGAAGTTCAGTGGGATGCGTTGAATGGAGCTAGACAAGAGCACATACAGGGAAGAATGCCCCGTTCCGCCTCAACCGCCAGCGAATCGAGGTCTGCTTCGTCCTTGATCTTGTAGAGTGTCTCCTCCTCGTTCTCATCCTCTTCGACGTTACCACCATCGTGCGATGAGCCCAGGATTCTCGCAAGGAGCCCGAGGACTCGCTTGCCCCGTCTCCGTTCAGTTGTCGCCGTGCCAGACGAAGAGGACGAAGAGCGTCTTCCCGTCCTGTCATGGCCGTAGTTTCGCACCTGTGTCCTCTCTGTCAGCTCACCCCGTAGGCTGGTTCCCATCAGTCTTCGAATTTGGTCGGGTCCCAGCTCCTTCTTGGCGAGCAGGTAGCTGAGCTTCGTCAGTGCCGCTTCGGGCGTCATGTCGGCGCCCGCAACGACACCGACTTTCTCCAGTGTCTTTCCGACCTCGTAAATTGCTGAAACTTCTCCTTGGATGCATTGGGAGATGTTGACAATGACGACGCCCCTCTCTGCCGCTTCTCGCAGCACATCAAGGAGGTCTTTTCGTGTCGGTGCATTGCCTGCGCCGTACGAATGCAGTACCACACCCCTTATCGGCGAGGACTCGAGGAAGGACCTGACGGTGAGGCTTTGCAGGCCTGGAAAGAGTCGGAGCAGCACCACGTCCTGGCTCAGCGCGTCGTGGGCCCGGAAGGGGGCGAGGCGAGTTGGTCTCCGGACGAGGTGCCAGGCGACATCGATGGAGATGCCTGCTCGCGCGAGCGGTGGCATGTTTGGAGAGTCGAAGGCAGAGAGGGCGGAGTTGGAGAGCTTGCTGACGCGGTTGCCACGGTACAGCGTCGAGGCGAAAAAAAGCGTGACTTCGGCAATGGGCTGCGTGCTCGCTACCACCAAGGCTCCCAGTACATTTTCGATGGCGTCATTTCGAAGTTCGGACAGGGGCACCTGGGCTCCCGTAACCACGACGGGTTTTCCCAGGTTCTCAAGGAGCATGCTAAGGGCCGAAGAGGTATAGCTCATCGTGTCGGTACCATGGAGGATAATGAATGCGTCGAAATTTTGATAATTGAGGTCGATGTCAGCCACCAAGCGGAGCCAGTCCTTTGTCTCCATGTTGCTCGAGTCAAGCAGAGGGTCGTACTCCAACACAGTGTAGCGAGTCCGCTTCTTGCCGCCATCGCCAAGGTAGGGTGTCACCATGGTGGGCAGCATCAGCTCGAGGCGCTTGCCATCGTCGCTGATACGATGCTCGACGGCGCTCTTGGTGTAGATGCCGTCCGGCGACGATGAATAGACTCGGGTCGGCTTCCCAAAAGGCTGAAAGTGTGAAGAGAGGCTGCTTCCCGTGACCGAGGTCAGAGCTGTGGAGAGCTCCATCTCATGATTCGACGAACGTTGAGGCGTCGTCGTGCCAGAGTCCGGACGGCTGTATGCCTCTGACCACTGAAAGAGCTCTTCTCAGCAAAACGCACACATGCCAAGTTAACACTCATAGTCTCAGCTCACTGCCTTGTACCGATCTGTGGTGTCACTCCAGCTGAAGATTGAGTCGGCGTTTGGGTCGTGAAATCGGCTCTGTGTCCGAAGCGTTTCGGTAAGGAAACCAGGATAAGGAACGTACCCCTTCGAGGGGTTCCGGACCATGCCCAGCGTCCCGCCGGAATAGAGGATCAGGATCCTCGTTTCGTCTTCCCATCCTCGTCAGCTTCTCTGCTTCCCCTTATTGGTATTGGAACTCTCACCAGCGGCCATGATCAAGCAATATCTTGCGAAGCAGGAAGAACGCAGTCAAGGCGAATGCCAGAAATTAGAGCTCACTGTGGAGCGGATCGGCCGAAAAGTCAAATGAGCGCCCCTCGACGATATAGCACCGTGCGAGAAGGGGCCGAGCAATATTGATTTTCATTCCGTCCATCGAGCGAGTGAGGCAGTGACAGCCAGCGCGACAAAGAGGCAGATGATGGCGGAGAGCAGCGGCACGTTGTCGCCGAGTGGAGGAGGAGGAGCAGTAGGGGCTAGGCGTCATCAGAGGCAACGTTCCAGCGTCTCGGTCAAGAAGAGAATCAGCAAAGCGGATAACGACGAGGCGCCCGACAATGCCCTCAGTGCGCCGAACCCGGCTACGACCCCCACCCATTCCTCTTCCGTAGGCTCGCTCGGCGAGAGCCCCTTTCCTTCAATTTCGTCAACATTACATGTTCAGGAGACAAAAGATGTCAGACCGCCGCCGAGAGATCCAACCAGCACCAAAAAGTTGCTTCCATCGCCAAAGGAAGACAGCGAGGAGGCCGAGAACAGAGCATCTATGGATGGCGATTACTTCTCGACTTCGGCACCATTCTTCCCTTCGAAGGTTCTCTCTTCCCCCGAGAGACGTCAGTCTGCTATGCCTGCCGCTGCTTCACCGCCCCGGGCAAAGGAGGAGGAGGGTGTCTCGAATGGCGCAGAGGCAAAGGTCGGCGACGAGAGCGTTGGGGCGCCAGACGTGGCCACCACGAGGACGGAGCTGGACCTCTTTGACGACGATGACGAAGACAACACTATCAGTCCGGGGCCTGTCCCAACACATGCTGAGGCACAACGAAAGACGGCGTTTCCGACCCCGTCCGCGCCGGTGGTAGCGCCGGCCCTGCCGCCAAAGGATGACAAGAATGAATCTGAATCCGCTCCTTCGGTTCCCCAGAAGCCGCTGCAGCGCAGCAACAGCTCATCGACTTCCTCGGCAACGGCTTCGCCAGTGATCACGGGATACACAACGCCTCGATCAGGCCGTACGATGGGTAGCCCCTCCTCTTCCATTGGTCGAGTCAGTGGTGGGCAAAAACGGCTTAGTCTCCTGACAGGAGGCGGCCCTCCTTCCTCCTCGTCTTCGGTCGATTCGGCGTACGGAGGCCGGGCGTACTCATCGCGACCACCAGATAGGTCAGCTTCTCCTTCGACGCCGACGGTGTCGCGAAGAACTTCCATCTTGGGTAGCAAGCGAATGAGCCTCGCATACATTCCAAGCCCAGCCACTTCGGCCGCGAGGCCTTTTGGCCAGGGCGACCTTGGTCCAACGACGCCCTCTTCGTCATCCAGCCTGGGCTACGTAGGATCACGAGGCACCAGCACGCCGAAAACAGGACCGACACCGACATCGGTTGATTCTGCACAGTCGCCCTCAGCGCTAGGAGCGCGAAGGAAGGAGGATGGGGATACCGTCATGACGCAGCACAAGGACATGCTGGCCCGCATTGCTGAAAAGGAGCGCAGGTGTCTCGAGATGAGGGAGGCGCTCACAAAGGAAGAGGAGGACCTCCGCGAATTGCGAAGAGAGTGGCAGGCCTCGGTTCACCGCGAGTTGGCCAACGAGAGCGTCACAACAAGCCCGACAGCCTCGAGGAATAAGGGTGCCCTGGCCCGGGCGGCCTCTTCGAGCATCTCGAGCATGTCAAGCATGCCGAGTCATGAAGGGGAAGGCATGCACACCCGCGACAACAGTCTGAGCACTACGACGGCACCTACGACGGCACCCTCGACGAGCGACAATGGCTCTCTGTCTTCTTCGGAAGCCAAACTAGCTTCGCTCGATGGATCGACGCAAACGACGTCGGACAAGCTCAAAGACCTCGGAAAGAGGCTGCCCTCTGGATGGGGCGTCCAGCTCAACAACTTCCTCGACCAGCTCGCCGCCGCGCCTGGTTCTGACAAGGACAAGGACAGAGAGGCGTTGGCGATGGGTGCTGGAGGGTCCGACGTCGCGGCTGCGGCTGCCGTGCAAGACGTTGGCAGGCAAGGTCTCGAGGTGCTGGCAGAGGAAGACGAAGGCTCGTCGCCGCGAGCAGGCTCCGCGAGGTCAAAACCTCTGCCACCCGTCTGGTCACAACGCCCAACACCGGAACAGCGACACAACAAGAGGCAAAGCGTGTTCGGAACGCTTGCCTCGTTTCAGAAGTCAGTCGAGGAGGGCCTTCTTGGTCTTCCGCCGCGGTCAGCAGCCGTTTCGTCTCCGCCGAACAACGATGCGGCGCACAACGACACGAACAGTGAATCGAATGCGACCGCAAAGGATGAAGTGGCAGGCTGGGGAGCCTGGCAAAAGCGACTCAAGGAAGCCAGAGAAAATGCGTCGGGGCTCTTGGCCAAAGCAGAAGCGACTCTGGGAAGAGCAATGACGATCGACGAGCTCATAGCCATCGAACCGGGGCGAGTCGATCAGCAAAACGCCACTTCGAGAGCAGGAGCAGCGACGAGCACGGGCGGAGGCGCTTTTGACGAGGCCAACGAGAGAGAAAAGGCGGCCCTGGCAGAGCTCTCCTGGCTCAAGTCGCTCTCACCTGCCATGCGTCAGTCTGGCAACGATGGAGGGCTGCAGCCGACAAAGGACGAGACGCAGACGACGAGATTGGATCCCGAGACGCTCCTGGAGCTCGAAAAGGGGAGCGGTCTCGCACCCCTAAGCGGCCTTGGTTTGGGGCTGGGACCTGGCAAGGGTGGGGCCGCAGGCTCACAGAGGCGAACGTCGACGTCGTCGGCCAACAGCAACTCGTCGAACCAGACGGCGACAGCCAAGAAGAGGATGAGTGGCAGCATGCCCATCTCTTCGCCGAGTGGCGGTGGCGACAGCAGCCTCGGATTTATGAGCATGCTCAGCTCCGCCTGGGGCACCGGAGGAGGGACCACGTCGGTCGATGGAGGGAGAAGACCGAGCTTGAGTCCCAAATTCACCTCATCGTCGCTGCACAGTGATGGTGGCGTGTCACCGGGCGAGGGGAGTACAGGTCACCGGAGGACACCATCGAACCAGAGCAAGACGAGACTCGCTGCAAGGATGGCGGCGGCGGCAGGCGCTGGCTCGACTCCCTCGAACAGCAGCGGCGGAGCAGGAAAGGCAAAAGCGTCCATGAACGGCAGCGGTGGGACGCATGCAAAGACAAACAACAACAACAATTGGGATTGGGACGCACCACTCTCGCAGGCCGAGAACAAGCGCCTCGTGACCAGCCCGCCGACCAAGTCGTCGGAACAGCTCGACAAGGGGACAAAGGACGGCGACAAGAGAGACGACGACGACTGGGGTTGGTGATATTCTGTAGCTTCATTCATGCCGTGTACATTACTCTCTCCCTTCTCATGCGATTTCATCACACTGCCATCTCACCCCCTTCCTTCAGCAATGGAACGTTCAATTAAATCTCATGATTCGTCATGTCCCCTCTGCTATCTCTCTGCCACAGGAACGGCTTCAGCTCGTGTCCATAGTCTCTGTTGTCGCGGTCACGGTCCCTTTTCCGACCTCAAGGACATCTGTTCATGGTCCGTCAGTCTCCAGAGGCCCATCTAAATAGGAGACAGAAACGCGGCAGACCCACCTTCCCGAACGATCATCTCGCGGATCCGCTCCTTTGTCCACGGGGTGGTGCCCTTGCTGAACCCGTACTTTTGCTCCTTGACGCCCCGCTCGTTTGGCTTCTCCAGGTTGCGGTACATGTCCGTCTGGTCCTTTGTGATGACGCACACGTCGACGTTGCTTCCACTTCCCAGGTCGTTGAAGATGCCCGAAGAGATGGCGGCGATGACGAGCTGAACTGCCGATTCTCGCTGTTGATGCTCTCGACCGTCAGCTTCTGCTCGCTACAGGCGAGACTAGGCTAGACCGGCTCAAGGGTGCGGCAATCACTCACATCCATGTCCTTTGTCCAGCCGCTCTCGAAGACGCTCATCGCAGCCAGGCTTCCACTGCCCATGGTGACGTACGGCAGCTTATCTGTGCTTCCGTGTGGCGCGACGGTAAAGAGGTTCGGCCCACTGGCGTCATAGCCGCCAAGGACGAGTGCAGCACCAATGTGGCCCTGGTACTGGAAGAGGCGCTGCTTGAGCATCGTCATGGCCGTGACCACTCTTGGTTTCCGGCCCGTGTGCAGGCCGTGGAGCTGCATGTTGCTGCTGATGAGCGCCGTCACAAACTCCGTGTCGGCCGCCGTGCCCGCACCGCAGCACCGGATGTTGTCGGAGATGTAGTGGATCTTTTCGCAGTTCTTGTCCGCCACAATGGGGCCCTCGGTCGCCCGCGTGTCGGCGCCGAGGACGACGCCGTCGCGGAAGATGCAGCCGACAATCGTCGTGCCCGTGCTCGTGGCCTTGGGCAGCGACATGCCGGACTGCGAAGACAGATGCGCATTCCGGCTGTGCAGCGAGAAGTCGAAGCCCGACTTGGAGGGCTCGGGCAAGAGCGAAGTCATGTTGAATCTGAGGCCTGGATCTTGGTCGCAGTTGAGGAGGAGCAGGAAGAGCCTGAGCGCCGCGCGTCGACCTGGTCCAAAACGATGTCTGTGCTCAGGTCACGTGAAAAAAAAATCCGTCCGGCCGGGAGCTTCGTGCTCCCTCTCCACCTCAAAACCACCTAGAACGTAGGTTATGAGAGGGTTGAGACAAGATATTTTACTACTACTGCTACTACTCTTACAACAGATGCTCCGTGATCTCTTCAATGCTGCTTGGTTCTACCCTGTCTCGTTGCGTTCCAATAGAGGTAATCCAACGAGAACCTCTTTCTGCGAGCTTCCTCCTCCTCCCCAATTGGAGTCTGGCTTTGGTAGCTGGGCAGCCCCGCGGACCAGACGACGTTGCCCGTCTCTGGATCGAGGCTGAAGAGCTCCCTCGTCTTGGCAGGCAATACCTTGAAGTAGCCCAGCTCGCTCGTTGGCGGAGGCGGCTGTCCAGACAACGAGCCAGATGCGGATACCAAGACCGACTGAAGGGACCGATCGATGGCCTGGGCGATTGGCGGCGGCTTCTTGCTTTCGTCCTGAGCCTTGGGAGGAGGCTTGGGAGCCTGCTCCTTTTCCTTCTTACGTCGTCTGCGCTGCGCCCGCATCTCGTCGGTCCAGCCCTTGAACATTTGTGGCACGTCGTCACCGCCTCCATACAGGAGATCAACACCCGCCGCGGCAGCCTCGACGAGCGTTGAGGATGTTGTCGTCGACGTATGGCCCGGTCCCTTTGTTGAGTCTTCCTGCAACGAACCAGGGCCCTGCACCTCACGCAGGAAAGGCGACTTGATCTTCGGTGGCATTGAGACGGGCGTGGCAAATTCGACCATCTCACTGCGAGTGGAAGGAATTGGTCATCAGCAATCAAATGCGCGAGGAAAGAATGACAAAGACTCACAACTTTCGACTTCGGACCTCGTCGGGCATGACAATGTGCCAGTTCTTGATCTTGAAGAAGACTTCTTTCTCAGCATGCCACCTCGACTCGCAGACGTAGAGAGGGTTCTTCTTCTTCCACCCTCCCTGTCCCTCTGCCGGTCTACCCTTGAGGTAGCGGGTGTGGTACATGACAAAGATCATCTCGAGGATGTCCTCGACGTGGTGGTCGACCTGCTGATTGGTGCGGAACACCTCGTCAGGCCAGAAGAGCATGGTACGTGGATGCTTTGTCTGCTCTGGACGGAGGTAGTAGCAAGCGGTGATCCAGTCCTGGCGCCGGCCATCGGGGCGATGCTCTGTCTTTGTGGCAAAGACGTGTGCCACGATGGGTCGCGCTGGGTCCGTAGGGTTGGAAAGGTGGACCCAGTCGCCGACGACGATTTTCTGACCCTTGTAGAGGAGATGATCGACGTTGACCTTGTCGCCTGAGGCCACGGCTTGACCAGACCCCTCGATGTCGTCCTCCTCGGCTGGACCGTACTTTGTGGATGCAAAGTTGCGGTCCTGCGCCTCGTGGTCCATCTCTGGCCTCATAACATCGGCAATGGAGCGGGTGAGGTGCTGGTAGTAGCGCTGCAGCACCAGCATCGATCCGTATTCATCACTGCCGGCCCTGAAGTACCGCCGGACGTTTTCAAACAGCTGGAGGACGTCTCGTTCAAAGTCTTCCGTGGTTGGGTACTCTGACGCCGAGATGCGGCTCCAGATGGCAGAGAGGGACGTTGGCTTCTCGACCTGTTCAGACAAGCCATCTTCCTCTCATCAGCATGCTGTAAAGTAGGCCTTGCACTCCCTTGCGTTCCCACTCACCACCTTGTAATACCGCGGATCCTCGTCGGGGTCGGGCGTGTCCTCGAGCGACTCTGCGGGCTTGTACCCATCCGCGTCTGTATACCTTCGAATCTTTGACACGATGTTGCGGTAGATTCTCTTTGCCGACTCGCCATCGATGGGCTCCTCGAGCCAACCACCCTGCTGCTGGTTGTGACGCCTCGAGGCGAGGCTGAAGCTGTTTGAGGACCTGCCCAGCGTGACCTTGAGTGAGCGCCTCGGCTGGTGCGGCTGGATGCTCTCGTCTGCCTCGTCTCCATCGTCATCGACTCCGTCGTCGACAGCGTCGTTGGTTGCCCTCGAGCTGCTTCCTCGCGCCCGCTGCTGGAGCGTGAAGGGAGAAAGGTGCCTGCTCGACGAGGTGCGCAACCTCGCAGGTCTTCCCGAGGGCGAGAGCGACGCCGTGTCTGCTCCGCTGGTTGCTCCTCCACGCCGCGTCCTCGTCACGCCCACATCCGCGGGAGGCGTTGACGGAGGCTGAGAGCTGTTCATGGCGACAACATCGCTTCTCCGCATAATCGGATACACAATGGGCTCAGGGCTCTGCTCCAAGGGCGATAAACTCTGGCCACGCCTGCTTCGCTGCTCTCGCTCGGCTTCGAGGAGCTGTGCACGCGTATCGGCCTCCAGCATCAAACGCGAACGGCTCGGCCTGCCAGCGCCACGCGGACCCAGGACGTCGGAGATCTTGAGCTCAATCTTCTGTCGAAGACTCAAGGCCTGTCCGTTGGCATCGACGAGCTCCTCTTCCTCCTCCTCATCCTCTTCTTCTTCTTCTTCCTCCTCTTCTTCGTCTTCCTCCCCCAGCTCATCTTCTCCCATCTCTTCATCCTCCTCCTCCTCCTCCTCTTCGACCTGCCTGCGTCGATTTGTGGCGGGGGCCGACTCAAAATGCTGGACTTGCGTCCTCCTCCGCTTGCTAGGCATCACGCCGTCCTCCATCTCGCGCGCCTCAGTTACAGTCGGGCGCCGTCTGTGTGTCGCTAGAGACGAAAGCGTGTCTCTCGCCCCAAGAGACATTTTCGACGCGCCACGGTGCATTTTCTACCGTGGCTTATTTACTTTTTTTTTTTTTTTTTTTTTTTTTTTTTTTTTT